AAATATTAAATATTTGAAAGGGGGTTTCGCCAGATTTCCTTCTTTCAGATTCATCTCAGCCAATCATATGTATACATTAAATTGCTGTCACATCGAAAATAAAGTCTCGAAAATTGCCGAAACCCCCCTAATAATAAATCAGGCAAGAATAAAAATCTTTTCGAATCAAAAAAGTCTAGAAGCTGCAGGGTTAGTAGAAAAATCCGGAGGTTTTATTGTAGTTGATTTTGCCATTATTAATCTTAATTGAGCTCAATAATTTAAGTTATTTTTTTTGAATAAGTATAAAATCCAAAGGCTCTAAACACGTAACAAAGAACTTAAAGCTCTTTAATACAGGATTTCCAGTTCAAAAGTTATATTTTTCAAACTATATATTTTTCAAAATCAATATTTTCATTTTACGCTTCGATTATATATGCAAAAAAAAATTATTTCTTGGCTTTTTGTACATTGGGGAAAGAAGACAATGCTATGATCAACCCAGCCTTGGCAGTTTTCCATAGCAATATTGCGGGAGCACTCAGCGATATACTCCAAGAATTGACCACAGGCAAATATGAACTTTTTATTAACCAGTGTCTTCAGTTTTGAGAAGCACTCATCAATCGGAATGAGAAAAGGGGAGTACGATGGGAGAAAATGAAGGTGGTGTCGTGAATTATTAAATAATTCAACGACAAAACGGGATCTATGGATCGAGGCATTATCTATAATGAAGTTGCGGGGGGGAGGGGGGGGCAGCATTACTCTGGTCGAGCGAATCCATAATCTTTTTTACAAATTCAACAAAGATAGGCCCTGTCGTTCCACCAGGGGTCAACTTCGCCTACAAACTCTTTACGACCTGGTAAGAAATACCGGCAAGAATCCAGATGTTAAGTCCCCTTTTTATCTTCGTCTTCACAATGCTGGCCTCGCCTTTCTTGGACCACCCTTGGACTCTGATCAGGCTTGCATTAAAGTCTGCTTTGTCTACAAAAAAGCGGTTCATCTTGTACGATACACAATTCGTGTGCATACTGTCTATGTACGCTTTTCTCAGCTCAATTGTCTTTGGATCGTTTCCCTTTTTTTCCACAGGCTTTGTCCTCTTTAAAGTGAACCTGATGTTCTGAGTAATATATTTGTGTAAGCTACTGATGCTCAGGTTCTACTCTTGGAGCACCAAAAAATTCCTTGACAGCTCCTTTCTCATTTGACCAAGAGTCAAGGTGCAGCATTCTTTCAAAACGTCTGAGATGAACTTCGAGTGCTCATCGGTTATATGCTGGTTTTCTTCGCGAGATCTGCCTCGCTTCCTGGGCTCTACCGTTCCGTCTATATCGAACTTGTCGCTGATATTGTTGGTCAGCGCCCACAAAACACCAAACGTTCTCGCTGTTTCGGCTCGAGTCATGGATTCTTGGATAAAACGTTTCTCCACAATCAGATTCTTGATGTGGATTTGAAGAACTTTTTGTGGTCCATTTCTCTTTCTTCTCTTAATGATAGCGGTTTGATTGGGGTTTATTTTGAAAAAATTGGATAAAGAAAAGGTTAATGGATAAAGACAGTACTCAAAGCCATATTGCAAACCTAGCATTATATACTTTTCTTATGACGATATATTGACATTGGATGTATTATTATATGCCTATCATAACCAGTTCTGACATTTTCCAAGTATTGTATAGTACGTGTTAGTATCCTTTAATGATTTTTATTATGCTGGTTTACACTTATTTCTATAAGCATTGATTTTTTTGCATATATGATCGAAGCATAAAATAAAGATATTGATTTTGGAAAATATATAGTTTGAAAAAATAATAACTTTTGGTGTGGAAAGCCTGTATTTATGACTATTTTTTGTTAATATTTGAAGGGGGGTTTTTTTTTAATTGCAAGTCAATTTAGGATTTTCGCACTACTTTATCTACTTTAGAGCATCTTCAGCAGTGAGAGAACTTTTAATTTACCTAAAGTTAAACACCGCTACTTTAGCTAAAGAAAAGGTCGATTTTCCCAGCAGTTCGATTTATCTTTTTCTTTAAATATAAAAGACAGTCCCTTTTCTTTATCTTCCTATTAAATTTAATAGGAAGATAAAATTAATTGATGAAAACGCTCTCAAAATTTATTTAAAGTGAATTTAATCGAACTGCTGGAAGGACAAACTTTATCTAAATCTTTAAATTTAATGTAAAAGTAGAGATAAAGTGGACTGCTGAAGATGCTCTAACCAACCATTAACCAATGGAAATCTTAAATTAGGAAACCAAATGTCTATATAAACAGCTATGATCTTCTTTCTTAAATAAATAACACTCTCATAGTACCTACTGTTCCCTTTATAAATTTATTCGTATACCTCACTAAATTCAGCCTCTAAATTGACAAAAGTTATTATTATTAACAGCTTTACAAGTACTTTAAATTCATATTTTCTTGCTTTTTAACAATTTTTCTTTATTTTCTATCTAAGATATAATAAAAGATTAGCCACTCGGACCTAAGTATATAAATTCTAATGGGTCTGAAAAGACAGGGTCTTATGAACTTCTTTATGCTGACATTTCTACTCATATATACCTTCTTTACTTTGGTACAACTATGGAGATAATATATTAGTATTAAATCAATTCTTACTAAAGTCCCATACAAAGAAGACTTTAAATTAGCACGTAACAATATTAAATTACTCCTGGTAATTGTAGAGGCTGATTTTTTTTGTTCTTTACATTACTCTATTATCTCTCCAAAAATTGATCAAGCTTAGTAATTATCACAGCAGAAAAATGAAATCCAAAGTTTATAATACAATTTCAAGATATTTTTAGAAAACAAAATCAGTTATACTTTGCAGTATAAGTGCTTTAGTAAGACTGCAGATATGAACAATAAACTTATCAAAGTATGAAAGAGGACAGAAAAAATCGAAAGGAAAGAAAAATGGAACACAGTTATTCTATCAAGTATAAATTTAGAAATAAGAGAGGAAAAAATACAATTGAATATACTATTATACTTTAAATAATACTACCTTATGGTTTTCAGCATTTAATATTGATAAATATAATAAAATTATTTATGTATTAAGCGTATGTGAATTAAAGCTGATAATACCTCAATATAAAAATGTATACTATTATAATAATGTTAGTAAGTGTGTTTTTTACTAAGCTCATTGTAAACATCAAAAATCTATTGTGTTTACCAAAAAAACGTAAAATATAGAGACTAAATAAAATGGCATATAGAAGTAAATAATTTGTGCTTATAAAGTGGTAAGCTTTATTACTTATTATACAAAGTATTTCTTCAAGATATTTACTATGTACTTCATTAAGACAGTCTCCATACATATCCAAGTAACTAACCAAGATATATACTGTATATATCATTAAAGATGCATTTATTCTCTTAAAAAACTGCATTTGGAATGACAAGGATTGAATATTGTGGCAAATATTTTGAAAAAGAGATACCCACATCTCATAGCATGTGAATTAAAAAAAAAGTAAAAAAGAAAAAACTCCTATCTTTTTATATCAATGAGAAGAATCACACAAAAACAGTACCGCAGCACATATGAGATCTTACAACCTCTTGAGAAACTCTCAAAATAATTTCACTCCAAATAGCTTAGCCAAATACTTGGTATTCCATTTGTATTTATTATATAGAAGTGCATTAAAATATTTTAACATTTCTTTTCTTTTCTTTTTATTCAATAATACAATATCTTTAATGTAATTCTTTTTAGTAAATTTGTAATGATGTTAAAGAATTATAAAATATAGAGGGGAAAGTGACGCTAGTATAATTTTACAGCTAAAAACAAAGCAAAATAGAAATTACACCCATTTTTTTTTTGGAAAATATAAGTACACTAACAAAAATATGTTACATTTTTTAATCGACAGTCTTTTGCAGTGAGACATAAAACATTTAATGGAAATTTAAAAGGTTCTCAATCAAAATACGGATGTACCTACTTGATTTGCAAGACTACAATGTTGCTTTTCCCAGATTCCTTGTGAATTAAGAGTAAAGCTATTTCTGAAAGATAAAAATTTACTCATTTGTAGCCTTTATACCAGAAAGAAAAGTCTTATATAAGTTGCTATAATTTCTTCTAGTCAAATAAAGTGACCTAAAAATATTTATAACTTACAAAATCAATATTATCAAAGTCTGTATTATATCTAGATATCAGAGACTACATATAATATTATACAAATATTTATTTTAATAATTGTACATTTAAATTATACATATATATATATATATATGTAAAACAGGGAAGTAAAGTATTAATTACTATACAAGCTTTCCTTGCAAAAACTGGATGAATTGCTTTGTAAGCCAAATATCTTCTACTTCTGAGCCAGCATTTGAAAGGTTTTCGAGAAATTTCTCGCCGACTTCTTTTGTCAGGACACCAGATTCAATACGTGCTTCTATCAAAATACGAACGGTATCACGGTTAAACTCAGGATGTCCTTGGATTGAGATGCATTGTTTGTCATCAGAAAGCATTGAATGGATCGGTGTGTGGGGTGCTGTGGTAGCTAATGTTTTGAACCCAGAAGGGAGCTTTGATACATGATCTCGGTGAACTTGACTAATATTCTAATAGCAGAAAACCTTTATTGAGATTCTCGTCTTGGGATATTGTACTTCCGTAACTTACAATAACCTCTTTATCTGTATGGAAAACTTCCTTTCCTTCTGATGTAAGCTTCACCGCATAAAGACCAAACTAAGATACACACACGTCAATATACTCGTTAAAAAATATAGAAATTTTTTAATGCAGTATGCGGGTGTATTTGCTTACCTCCCAGCCCTTCTCATTCCTTTCGCATACACCACCGCAGGCGCGGGCCATGATTTGATGACCAAAACATATACCAACCATACGGACTTTGGAAAGATATGGCTCTGTACGCATAAGTCCCACAAATTCAACCAGTTTGAGGATCCAGGGCTCATCCTCATATGCTGAGGCAGCAGATCCTGTCATTACAATGCCATCATATTTGCCATTTGAAAGATCATCAAGACTTGGGTATGACATTTCTCTGACATCAAATGGCTCCCATGTCAACTTTTGTTCATCACCACCGGCCAAGGAAAACACATGTGGAAACATAATCTTGTAATCACCATATTTTTCGTGAACCCGAGGGTGAGGAGTGTCGCAAACTAAGAGGGCTAAATGTAAAGAGGGGGTTTCTGTCATGATAGAAACTTATACAAGAGCTATAAAAGAAAAAGAATAAATCACTGACAAAAGTAACGATAAATTAATAATATATCTGGATTCAAAAGCAGCCTTTACTTTATCTTATTTAAGCATTCTTCTTTAATTTGCATGATAAGCTTGATCAGGGGAATATTTTCCCACCAAACAAACTATGACAAATACTTCCACTTACTCCGATACACGATATATAGTCTTGATTGTGATGACACAATAAGCAATGACTTGTAAACTTTTAATAGTTTAACATATTGATCATGGTCGAGTAAATTTAATAAACCCAATAAATATATTATCTTTATGAAAAATCGGGCACCCGAAATACTTGATTGAGAGCTCTTCTTTGGAGGAAAGAGGAATTGTCCTACATAATCTTCCGATTATGGTAAAGTTTCAAGATTGGCGATAAGATTACAATGAATTACTATCAGAGAGATAAGGTGTATAACTCAATACTATCTATTAAATACATCATATACACTGCTTTTCACAATGTCTTCCACGTAAATTAATAACAATGAGGTATGAAAAAAAAATTTAAAATAAAATTCGTTTTTCTAAGAGCATCTTCAGCAGTCCACTTTATCTCTACTTTTACATTAAATTTAAAGATTTAGCTAAAGTTTGTCCTTCCAGCAGTTCGATTAAATTCACTTTAAATATAAAAGACAGTCCCTTTTCTTTATCTTCCTATTAAATTTAATAGGAAGATAAAATTAATTGATGAAAACGCTCTCAAAATTTATTTAAAGAAAAAGATAAATCGAACTGCTGGGAAAATCGACCTTTTCTTTAGCTAAAGTAGCGGTGTTTAACTTTAGATAAATTAAAAGTTCTCTCACTGCTGAAGATGCTCTTATCACTGAAGCAGTGTGAAGTGTACGAGTGCCTCGTGTGTGTTACATTCCTGAGATGTGACCCTGCCAGGTTCATTAGCAATTGTAGTATCCGTTCTGGATTGTGGAGTTTGTATTTCACTCAATTGTGGTATGTATACCACATTTAGTATTTTTTGCTCTTTACATGACTCTTATTATCTCTCCAAATATTGATTCAGTTCAGTAATTACTATGCTCTTGCTTAGATAAATGATCTATTTTCACTAGAATATTAACTATTTATTATCGTCTATTTTTTCATTAACACCATAATAATATCTGGCATCCTATATTTGTCCATTGAACAAATTCTAGATTTTCTAGGTAATATACTAAGAATACTAGAGAGCACCTTAAAAAAGACTAATGATAGACCAGTGAAAATCTCTTAAAAAATAAAATAAAACTATTAAATTATCAAGTTTTGTCTTGATAATTTTATTTTGTTTTTTATATAGTATTTTTATTCATAAATAATAAATAATAAAAGGTATTATTTTACTCATTCTTTCTGTCTATTTATATAAAATTAATATATTTTATTATTTAACATGTCTTAAATATGCCTATTCAAAGACTTTTCATAAATTTTAGCCTATTAATAGCTATATATAAACAGTAAATACATCTATAATAATATACAAAAAAGCAATTTTTTAAAAGACTTTATACATTGAAGGCCTTGGACGTGAAAAGTAAAATCGTATAAAATCACATATATGGTTAAATGTTTCAAAAAAAATTATATGATGTGTCTAAGGTCCCTATTAAATTAGCTAACATAAGGGGGATTCAGTAATATCTTTTTATATTCATTATTATTGGTTAGAACTTAAAGCTCAGAAAAAATAAAACAAAATCTAAAACAGAAAATGAAACTCTCTATTATAGTAAAGGAAGAAAATACTAAGAAAGTAAAACATAATGACAAGAGCAGATTATGTTTTTTTTATAAAAAAGAGCATTTATTTATGATTAAAAAAACTGATATATAGTCTCAAAGTATTTTTATATATCTCCTTTTATTATATGTTGTGGTGATCCAGACACTCGGATGTTGGATTTATCACATATAAGAACATATTCATATTGGGATAGCGTAGTAGCTATCATCTTGTCAGTATAAAATATATATAAACGATTAAGTAATCAGCCCAATAATTATTACAGTTAGTACTGTAGATAATATCTTAAAGATTGTTAAGATAATTATATCATACTGCAGGGTAAACTGTGTCAGATCGATATGGAGCTAATTTAGTAGGAAGTCCTAAAGCTCTAGTATAAAAGAGAAAAGAATAGCTAAGAGCTAAAGAAGTACGATTTATGACTTGATGTCATAATTGTAACACCGACACTAGTTAAGCAGTAAATACACTCTAATAACCAAATATAGTAAAGGAAGAAAGCCTTAAGAAACTAAGACGTAATGACAAGAGCAGATTGTGTTTTCTTATAAAAAGGGACACTTTTTATTTATGAATAAAGACAACTTATATACAGTCTCAAAGTATTTCTATACGTCTCTATTATCAAATATTTTATTTTTCTATTGTTTCGTACCTGAAATACCACATATGTTTTTATAGATATTGTAGCTTAGATAGTAATAAAAGTATATTATATAGTGTCTGTTTTCTTTAATATTAGAGACCTTCAGACACTCAGATTTGTGGTCTAGTGAATGAACTCAGTCCCTTAGAAAGGAAAAGAAGCATAACACTAGCACCGCTAGACTACAAATTTGATTAAGGTTTGGTAGAATTTTCGTCAAACCTTATTCAAATTTGCGGCCAATAATATTGTCTTATTCATTTCTCTAAACTAACACTATTTAAACAGCAAAAATGTATAGAGAAATTGTTGTAGGGAAAAAATAAAGCAAAATACAATATAGATGAAGAAATTTGTGAGAACTTGTGTAGGTTATTTATTTCAAAAGAAAAATAAAGAATAATCAAATTCGATTATTTTTCTACACGGAGCTATCTACTGATATTTATATGTTTTTCTAATTTGTAATTCAGCGTGTGCTTAAGTAATCTTTATTACCATGAGTCATCTTCCAGGAGTATTGTTCTTCTGGAAAGATCCGGAAAGACTAATTGATATTATACTTCTCCAGTCAGATCAGTCCGAGAGTTTTGTTAAAGAAGAGTATTTATGCTATTGATAATATTTTAGTATTCCGACCCAGATACTCGAGTGATGTTTCATAATATTAAATAGTTGTAGTTGTAGTCTCTCAATTAAGTATTTATATAATAAAAGAAATATGTAGATGAAATATAATGATGCCATATATATAATATATATGTATTTGTATATCTCATGTCATGGTAATAATAATAAATAATCAATTATATGTATGATGATCTGTGTATTAGATAATATCATAAAAGCAGATCTGTTTGACTAGAATAGCTGAGGATATTATTTTATCCTTCAGTCTTACTCTCAGATTCAGCAGTAATCAATACTCATTTATAACAAAAATATAAGCTTCGAATATTAACTTATAAGATAACTAAGAAAGTTTGATTATATATTTATATACACATTTTTTTCTAATTATATATGGAATATGACTTGGATAAATAATCTTCAATATATATTCCAATAATACATAGAAGTCATAATCATTTTTTAGTTGAAAGAAGCAAAACGTTTGGTTAAGACAATAGTATATATTACTCTTTGTGATTTTAGTAGTTGCCTTATCAAAAATATTATTCAAGTAATGAGCAGTCCTTCTATAGAAGCATTTTGAATTTTTCAAAAAAAAACTTTTTTTAGCTATTTTTGTACAACTTTGCAAATCTGAGTACCCAAAGGTCTCTATTAAGAAGATATACTAAGTTATTATAGAGTGCTTCAGCAGTTTTATATTTTTGACTGCTCTGATTTTGTGAATTAAATATATAAGACAATTATAATTAATCTATAAAAAATTAACTGAGTACCCCAAGTATTATGTGGTATTTCAGATACAAAACAATAGAAAAATAATAAATTTGATAATAGAGACGTATAGAAATACTTTGAGACTGTATATAAGTTGTCTTTATTCATAAATAAAAAGTGTCCCTTTTTATAAGAAAACACAATCTGCTCTTGTCATTACGTCTTAGTTTCTTAAGGCTTTCTTCCTTTACTATATTTAGTTATTAGAGTATTTACTGCTTAACTAGTGTTGGTGTTACAATTATGACATCAAGTCATAAATCGTACTTCTTTAGCTCTTAGCTATTCTTTTCTCTTTTATACTAGAGCTTTAGGACTTCCTACTAAATTAGCTCCATATCGATCTGACACAGTTTACCCGGCAGTATTATATAATTATTTTAACAATCTTTAAGATATTATCTACAGTACTAACTGTAATAATTATTGGGCTAATTACTTAATTGTTTATATATATTTTATACTGACAAGATGATAGCTACTATACTATCCCAATATGAATATGTTCTTATATGTGATAAATCCAATATCCAAGTGTTTGGATCACCACAAAAGACATAATATATCATATTATATTTGTTGTAAATGAGTATTGACTACTGCTGTAATTGAGAATAAGTCTGAAGGAAATAATATAAGTTCTCAGCTATTCCAGTCAAAAGTGTCTACCAATTACTTTATTATTTAACATGCAGGTTTAGCATGCATGATAGTGATTATATTTCATATGATGATATCACCATAATATGGGATACATCAGTGTATTATTATAAGCATAATTATAACTCATAAATACATTTACTTTCAATATTAATACTTTATTGGGATTACACATATTTCTATAATTAATCATACATTAATTATCCCAAGATCACATTGCTCTGATTAAGGCTCAGATAGAATTGATTACCTGACCCCAGTCATATAATTTTTCCAATTTGAAATAATATAAATAGCAGTAGTAGTTCAGTGTAGGAACCTGGTCAAACTTTGATACAAAATCTTTTCTCAATAAACAAAACCTACACAAGTTCTTATGAATCTTCATTCCTAATCTCAAATCTTCAATTCTTCCTCTTAAAAACTTCTTCAACTTCAACCACCACAACAATATTATATAGTCCATTATATAGTCCATTGTATATTTCTATTATATATTATGTTATATATTCTACTGTGCAGCAAGTGTATGAATAAAAATAAAATCCACTAAATTTACTATCAATTTCTCTATATATAGATTTACTACCATATTTTTACTATCAATCTGTTTGAAACTAAGCCAATCAAACATACTGCTTTACTATTCAGTAAATTAGTGGCAATACCACTATGATTAGTAGCAAGCATAGCTCATTTACCACCAATTTCCCCTGCTTTAGCATAGTGTGGCCAGCCACCAAATTTCATGCAAATTAGTAGTATTGCCACACCAATTTCATTCATAGTGCTAATGAAACTTCCCACTATATAGCAATATCAAAGTACCTGATCACCAAACAAATAATACGCTTTAAAATATAATTACTACTTGTGTAGCATATACAAATGCCCGGCTAGCTCAATCGGTAGAGCGTGAGACTCTTAATCTCAAGGTTGGGGGTTCGACCCCCCCGTTGGGCTTTCATTTTTGCTAATTTTAAAGCTGATGCTGATTAGCATCTGTCCACACGTCACGATAGATGAAATATACTCGTCTCTGACGATTACACATATATTTTATTTATTTATTTTTGTTTTAGTTTATTAAAGCGTTCTTTTATATACATATATACTTTTTCTTAAACTCTTTCAAATACCTTTTTTTTTAAGAAATTAAAAAAAAGATATTATGGATAGCGATCAAGGCGGAATGAACCAACCTTCAAGCGTATCTGATGGTGGGCCAGACACATCATCATCTTTCTCTCCGCATTCTTCATCCGCAGACGATGCAATGATGAATGGACCTAGCAGCACGCCAATTTCATTTAGGTTCAGACCCGAGAATTCCATGACTGGCCTTGGTCTCAGAAGCATGAGCCCTGGAACACCCGGGAGCCTTCCTTCAAGCGAGGATACGAACAGGGAAAACGAAGAGCAGGAGCTTTATCCTATTGCCGTTCTTGTTGATGAGTTAAAAAATGAAGATGTGCAACTTCGTCTTAATGCCATTCGCAATCTTGGTACTATTGCAATGGCTCTTGGTCCTCAGCGAACAAGAGATGAATTGATTCCTTTTCTGAATGGTATAAAAAATACGAGTGCATAAACCTTTCTGTTCGTATAACACATCAACTTACACCCAGATAATCTGATTAGATTCCATCGATGACGAAGATGAAGTTCTGTTGGCTGTTGCTGATGAACTCTCGAAATTCTCAGAATATGTGGGTGGCCCTGAATATGCACATTTTATGCTCGGACCTTTGGAAAACCTATCCGCGGTTGAGGAAGTACTCGTTAGAGACAAGGTAAAAAAATATAAGAATGTATTATAATAAAGATATTATTTAACACAGTAGGTTTACATAATATGTTTTGTTATTCGCTTTCTCGAATTATTAGGCTGTCGAGTCTCTTTGTAAGATCGTTGCTCTCTTAAATTCTTCTCAGATCGAGCACTATTTTATGCCTTTGTTGAAACGCCTGACAAGTGGTGAATGGTTCACTAGTCGTATCTCTGCTACCGGACTTTATGCTGCTGGTTATTCAAAGTGTACTCCTGAACAGCGATCAGAGCTGAAAGTGTAACGTATCTCCTAAGTTAGTTTGATTAATATATTTCAACTATTTTATGTAATATATTTATTTATTAACTAATTTATTGTGTGTTTTTTTAGTTTATTTGCCCAACTCATCCAAGATGATACACCAATGGTCAGACGTGCTGCAGCAAAGTCATTAAAGGTATTATTTTTTATTGAATTTCATTGTTGGGACTACTAATAAAATGTATTTAATATTCTATTTCAGGATTTGATTAAGGAGCTTTCTAAAGATGTTATAATCAGCAATATTTTGCCTCTTTTTATCAAACTATCCAGTGATGATCAAGATACAGTCAGATTGCTGACAGTAGAAGACTTGGTGCAGATGGCTCGTATCTTATCACCCGAAGAAAGTAAACAGCATTTACTTCCAATTCTTAAGCAACTCGGACAAGATAAATCATGGAGAGTACGCTACATGGTCGCCACTCACTTCACGGAGGTAAATATTGTCAAATGAGATAAAAGAAAGTGGAACATATTTATGAATGTTAGGTAAAACACACCCACCCACTCACACACATACGCATTTATTTATTTATAGATATGTGAGGTTCTTGGGGAGACAATTACAAGAGAGGAATTGGTTACTCTATTTGTAAGTTTGATCAAAGACAGTGAGGGTGAAGTTAAAATGACTACCATCGGACAGGCACCAGGTAAATACACCGTTACACGCGCAAGTTTGACGGATATGTAAAGGTCATTAATAAAACTAACTCTAATAATTATTATCACCCAGCCTTTGCAAAGAAGGTGGATGAGACAACTGTTGTAAACAAGATCTTACCATGCATCAAAGACCTGGTAATCGATACAAACCAGCACGTCCGTGCCGTAGTGGCCATAAATATCAGTGGACTTGCTCCAATTGTCGGAAAAGATTTGTAAGTTCATTTTACATGAATGTAAATTATTGAAAGTAGCTAATTTTGTTTTGCAATAAAGGACAATCGAATACCTTTTACCCTTATTCCTCCAGCTCTTGAAGGATGATTTTCCGGAAGTGAGACTCAATATTATTTCCAAGCTGGAACATGTCAATCAAGGTAAACAGGTGTTCTGCACTAGATAAATCTCATAAGTATACTCCATACTCATGTTATTTATAGTGATCGGCGTCGAGCGTTTATCTCAATCATTACTCCCTGCTATTGTTGAGCTTGCCGAGGATAAACAATGGCGTGTCAGACTGGCTATCATAGAGTATATCCCACTGTTGGCCAAGCAGTTAGGCGTAGGCTTCTTCGATGAAAAGCTGTTGAGTTTGTGCATGTCTTGGTTGTGCGATACGGTTTTCTCTATCCGTGAGGCTGCCACAACAAACCTTAAACAGCTTGTGGATATCTTTGGCTGTGAATGGGCCACTGAGACAGTGCTTCCTCAAGTAATGGATATGGCTACCAATACAAACTTCTTATTCCGTATGACAAGTTTGTTTGCTCTCGGAGTAAGTGTCATATTTTATTTAATATTACACCAATTTTTTTATTTACCTAAAAAAACATATATAATCTGTAGACAATGGCTACTTCCCTCTCCCCAGAAATCATTCAAGATAAGGTGCTCCCTACTGTGCTCGAATTAAAGACAGATCCTATCCCAAACATTCGTTTCAATGTCGCCAAGTCACTGGAGGTCTTGACGCCAATCCTTAGACAGAGTCCCGCAACTGCCGATCTTGTCAATACCCACGTCGCACCTGCTCTTCAAGATCTTAGCAATGATAATGATGTAGATGTAAGGTGGTTTGCAGAGAGAGCGATACTGACAGGTAATTATATATATATATATATATATTAACGAGCCACTAAGCTAACAGTATATTGACTTGGTAAATGTTTATAGCTCAATAAAACTACATGGATTCCCGTGCTTTTATATGTAGCCATTCTTCTTGTTTTTTAGTAAACTGATGTACATCATTCCAAGAGCATTGCTATGCCCTTTAGCTTTTATTTTCTCTCTCATCCTCTTCCTTCCCTCCAAAAAAAAAGAAAAGAAAAAGACCTAAACACATGCGCTGTTTCGCTTTTGCTCGTCCCCAAAAAACTTAAAGTATACTGTGATTTATTAGCATCTTGAATCGTTTTTAGCACAATGAATACTTAGTATGAAATGAGAAAATATTATACAACATCCTAAAGTCCAAAGATCTTCCTCTTCAATCTTGTCTCGATTTAAAATTTAACGTTGTTACAGTAGATTATATATATAGTTTATTTATATATTTTACAAAGTATTTTGATTGATATATTTTTTGATTTTTGTTTAGTGTAAAATAATGCAAGAAATAGAACATGTAAAATAAAATAAAATAATAGAAGCGAAATAAAAAAAAACAAAATACCAAAACAAAACTAACGCACACTAATCGTCCTCTTCTAACATGTTCCAGCTGTCAAACCATTCAAGGTCTTCGTAATCTCCGATAGGACCCTCCATACCAAAAGCAATCGGCGCAAGATAGATAAATACGACAATTACAAAGAGATAAAAGACACCAAAAACGATCCATTGGTTTCGTTGGGACAGTTTAGCAGTGAAATGATCCAGAAGGAAAGGTACCATTAACACACTGAAGTAGAGTGCAGGGAAGTAATGATGTAGGTACGTTACTCGGCCCATGATAAAGAATGGAATATAGTGGAAGAACCAGCCGAGGAACAAAGTTTGACCAACATAGGTGAACTGATTCCATTGATCTACAATATTACAGAAATGGTTTAATAAACTCTTCACCAATATATATGTATGTAAATCAAGTTTATGTATACTTACCATAAGAAAGATCGTTGATCTTGCGCTGCATGCGAATAATGTAAAACAAAAATGTACCAATGAACACAATCAAAGAGGCAAAAGAAGTCCACCAGACAGCGGGGCTTCCCAACAAGAAGTACTTAATTTGGTCGTCTCCCCAGCCACACATGCGTAGACCAACAGATACAAGAGGCCATTCAGTTGGTTCAGAAGAAAGAATGTCTTCTTTATCCGGGTCAGGAACAAGAGCATTGTTGGATGTCCACATGGCAACATTAAGATGCCAGAAGTCTTGGAGGAACTTTGACTTATAGGCATTCTTTGGAGCAGCAGGAACTATTTTTTTTACAAGTTTGATGATCAATAAATGGATTTACTATTTGAGATGTATATCTATATTTGTATACTTACGTCTATCGTTCCAGTGCTCCTCTACGTTCCACCAAGTATGAGGATCTTCGGGTCTGTTTCTCTTGTCACAAACGACCTCGACCTGCTTAAATCCCCACTGAGGAAGGATTACATTGTTGGCAGCCAGATAGCAACCAAGCTGAGCATGGCGCAGACGCATACGAGTAGTGAGAGAACGAATACGATCAAGGTCTTTGTGAATCATATCATCAACAATCTCAACAACCCAGTTATCTTGGTTGTCACCCACGGTCTCATTTCCATAGCAGCTTACTTCCCACTGGTTTGTGGTTATGGGTGCATTGATAGGGTGACTGTGCAAGTTACGCTCAGTAGGTTCATGTACGAGACGAATTGTGTCCCCATTACGGACGAATTCGACGGGTGCTTCATCATCAATATCTATCCCACGAGGATGTTTTAAAATCCAGTGATTGTTGTCATCCTTGTAATGGTAGCAAGTGACTTGTTGTTGCTTTGATCCTTCAGGGAAAGTCTGGACATGTGAATGAAGTAAACCACCGCCGTAACCGTAATTCTTAAGTGTTAACTTGGATCCAAATGCAATTTCTATAGACAATCATTTAAATTAGGTGTGTGGATAGATATATCTATATCTATATTTGATTTAAATATACTTACCAAGAGGATTCTGCTCAAAATTGTTTCCAGCCAAGTTAGCCTGGAAAAGAGAACTCATTTGAGCATCTCCAGGACCACTCTTGTAAAGGAGAGCAAAATGGAGGGCAAAAGTGAAGAGATAGATTGCGACAGGAAGACATATCAAGCAAATAATACGGGCAATCCAGTGGCCAACATATTTTGCTTTTGGCATTTGGACATCACCAAGCATATCCCACAGTTCTTGGATAGTGTAAACACCAACCAAGGCGACAGCAAATAAACCAACCCACTTGACACTAATAATACAGAGAAAGACATGATGTAATTAGGCTGTGAGCATAATTTCTATTTACGGACCCATAACATACCTGGAAACACAGCCCAAGGAAACGCCAGTTAAACTAAGCCAAAGCCACCAAGATTCTGAAAAAGGCCTGTAAAAAAGTTAGGGTTTAGCTACTATTAACTTCTATTGATGATATCATATCTACTTACTGTTCGCGGAGATTGTGAAATACAGAAAGACAATATAAAGAAGTACACGTAAAGAAAAGCAACATAGAATCCAGGAGAATAAAGCGACTGATGCACAGGTAAGCAGTGTCTAATACATGAATGTTGTCAATATACAGATCTTGTTTCTCCCCTGATTTACTAACCCAAGAGAATCATTGTTCCAGCCAATATGCACGCTTTGTAGGACATGCCCATCTCTTCAGCAGTGGCATAAGCCAAAGGAACCATCAGAGCACCCCATACAGCATTAAACAGACGCATTACAGTATAATTGACATTTTCGGGGTACTCTTGTCCGGAGTCGAAGCTGAAGCTACCATCATATCCAGCTAACCAGCCCGAGAGTCCCACCAACATCTTACCCAGTGGGGGATGTACGTCAAAGTAAAAGTCATGCTCTAGGTAATGAGATCCAAACTATTTCTCATCATCAGATGTCTGTTCTGTTCTGTTCTGTCTCATTTCTTCCAATCCAATTCATTATTACATTACCTTTCCGAAATGTGCTTCATCCCACACAACAACTTTAGACCAACCGATGAGGCGGAAACGTGTCCAGAATGACAAAAGAGTCAAGCCAGCCAAGGTAAGTGCCTTGTAGTGTTCTTGAGCAAAAGCAATGTACTAATAATTGAGTTGACGAAGCTTTCTTTAATTCCAACACGAATAATAATAATATTGTGTGTGCAAGTGAAAAAAAAAGTTACTTTGTTGGATGAATAGACGATTCGTGGTGGTGGTTTTGATGTCTTGTCCTTTTCAGAATAGGACTGCGAATCAACGTCTTGTGAGTCTAAAGGAACGTAGTCATCTATGTTTCTTGCTTCAACTGGGATGGCCACTTGGGGAATGTTTCTTCTTTTTAGATTGTCCATGATGAACACTCTAGAATCCCAGAAGAAAATACAATTTTTCTTTAAGGGAAAAAAAGGAAGGAAGGAAAGACAAGGATAGAGAAAGAGAGAGAGAAAGAGAGAGAAAAACAAAGTGTGTCTCCGCTCAGGGCTCTTACGAAATGTTAACCAAAATTAACCAAAATTAATTAAACAAAAAAAAGATATATATATGTATAAGTATTTTATTGCTGTACACCTTTTGATTATTCTACCAGCTCCTGTCACTTTTTTGCATATAAATTATTCTTATAATCTTTACTTGGGTCTGTTTCTTACAGATATTTCCTGAATTGAAACAGTACCGAATGTTTTCAACGAATATTCGGAATAGGGTTGCTGGGCGCACTGCCAGATATAGAATCTAATTGTCAGAATTGCCAGAAAAATAATAATTCAGAATCTGGATTTGAGTAAGAGAAGGGAAGCACATGTCAATTTGAAGGTATCTTTGGGTGTACAGCTCACGAGGTAGTTTGCAGAGTCAGACATTATTGAGCTCTTATTCTGAGTTTCCTGCCTTGGCAAATTGGCTTGGTTGGTTCTGGAAAAGCATTTTTTTTGTGATAATGAAGAAACCCACAATCGTACCATGAAAAATAAAATAAAGTAATCGCTAATCTCCGTCTTTTACAAATGCCCCGCAGATGAATGTCACCAAAGTAATACCTTGATTTTGTAGATATTATATTTAGCATTACAGAGGGATTTGGACTGTCATGGCAACAGTAACTCTTTTCTTTTGCATATCAGTCAATTAAGGCTGGCTCAACTAGTAGAACTAATGAGCTTAGAAATTATGCTTAAGATGATATTTCTACTCTTACACACAATGAATTGAATCAATCCAAAGATAGCTCAATAGCCAAAAAAGCAAAAATAAATATTTAAAATTGATCACTGAGCACAAAAGTTCCCTATTATCCTAAATAAACCATCAAACGTGGGTCACAAATACCTGATAAATCGACACACATAATAATTGCAATTTCATTTCAAATTTTAAGTTCAAAAGAAAAGTATTAATCAATATATACACCATGAACACTGTAAGGCAGTGTACACTTTAATTTGTACCCTTTCCCTTTCTCTGTTGTAAGACCTATACTAATATATATTCGACAGTAAGTTTCTGCACCTTGTGTAAAATTGAATTAGTTAAGATACCTACCTTTTTAATTCATGAAAGTGTAATACAACCTTTATATACTGTTCCAAAATCCTATTTAATTTCACTTTTGGTGCATTCTGCGATGTTGCATCACAAAAGATACCTTTTCTTATTTAAATACAGTATTCCATGTAATAGGAAAAGAATTATATATATATATTTTTTGATAAAAACAAGTAAACCAATTCACGCGCATTCAAAAGAGGCAAACCTCATCTAAAAAACCAAGCAAACGAATGATGGACTTGTTGTAAATATTTGTAAAAGATATTAGAAAAATGTTACACAAATCCTATAATCTGGTTTTGAAAAGTTTTAATATTCTATTGATTTTTTGGGGATGGAAAGAAGTACCATTGCCTTTTTACTGTACTTTCACTCACTACAAACATTGTTATTTCAAAGCTCTCCGTATATTCATAAGAATTTCATTTTAATCGGTTAATAACGAACTACCCTAATTCGAGTTAGTTTTATACAGAGCTTTACTTTGCAAGACAAAACCCAAAAAAAACCACTTTTTTTTTAATTTTTGTGATGAACAAGTGGACATTGAAAATGAATTTATGGTGTAAATAACCCGACTTATTGTGCTTAAAGATTTTCAAGTGAAAGTTTAGGACTCTTTTTTTTAGTGAATATTTAAGCAATATAGGTCAAACAGTGTTATAATAATAATAGCCATATATTTTACTATATTTTACCAGTTTGTTTAAAGCTTTTAGTTTGATTATTTTCAAGTCTACTGCCTTATGGTCGAATTTTCACAAAGATTTCTGCTTGGATAAAATCAAACCATTAGTATATATACAGTGGAAGGGCAAAAGTCTTGATAAATGTCAAAGTCCGGTATACATTCTTTCGTATCAATGAAACTCTATTTTCTGCAATTATAAAAACTATTCATTTGGCTAAAATATGTGTATGAATTAGAGCTATAAAAGACCTGAATAATATTTGCTGTAAGTTTAGAGAAGTATACACTTCATTAGCGGACATCAAAATTTATTAAGACTTTTGCCCTGCTACTGTATATTGGTTATGGCGATATAGCATTGTCCACCCAGGCTTAATATATAGCAAAACTATTATCACAATATATTTAGATAAAAAACAGACAAACCTTGTAAGCCTAATACTATACCATATGTCAATAATCAAAGATAAATTGATCAAATGTAACGATATATTTGGCTTTTGAGTGGATTATCTTTCCTTTTTAAATAAAAACAAATAAATAAAGCATATTATCTTCTAATCACTTCAACGTTTACCCATTCTTTTTTTTAAATAAGCATCTTTATAAAAGCCAAAAACTTAACGAGACTTGTCAAGAGCAAGTCCCTTATCTCATATCTGCTTTACCAGAATAAAAGGAAAAATTGGTATTAGTTTCTTGACCTAGATTTACTAATGTTCAATTATGGCGTATAGTTAATAATAGTCTTATAAAATACATTTCTTGTTTATATAGCTATACATATTTAGATACACACCCGCATTATTTGTAATAGTATTATTGTTACTATTATTTGAGTCGCAAGCTTGAATTATTTGCCTGTGAGCCTATGGCTTCCTTGAAAATTCAAACTCTCTTTTATCCCCTTTCTTCACACAGTTGTTTTTGAGTATTTTTTTTTGTTAATATCTTTCTCAGAAAAAGAAAAAACTATCAACACTATTGGGTAACTTAAGTATGGGAATAAAAGAGATAATAGCAATGGTTCCTTATGTAGTTTTCTCAAGTTATCTGACATCAACAAAATATCATTCTCATAGTCATATACATCTGGACCAACAAACTTTCTTTCATTCTTTCTTTTGATACATGTATCACCATTTGGTAATCAAAATTTTCTAGTCGGTTGGTTGGCTGGTTGGCTTATCTGATATTCATATATATGCACATACATATACACTCCCAAAACTGAAATCACCGATAAAATCTTTGATTTCTACCCCCGAATAAACCATACATCAACTTCATTATGCTATATCTTCTCAAGAAGTTGACAAAATAAAACCAAACATTGTGTTGTTATAGAGAAATGTATATATATTATAGAATAAAAATAAAAGAATGAGGTTTAATATACGGTATTATCACCACGAGCTTCTATGACTGCTTTAACTCTGTCAGGCATACTTGCTACAAGAGTTTGCAGAACTCCAGGGTCAAGCAACTCCCATTCCTGAAGAATACAGGCCTTCAGCTCTTGCACATTGTTAATAGAGGCCTTTCTCTCTTGAACCTTGGCCTTTAGGGCATGCCAGACATGCTCAATTGGGTTCAAATCTGGACTTTGCGACGGCCAGTAGTCAAATCGTTTAATCTCCCAACGGTTTTTCCACCACGTCGTGTAGGACCCAGTATGACAGCTAGCACCATCTTCTTGGAATGTGAACATGGTGTCATGTTCTTCATTCAATTGTTTGTACCAGGGATTGAAGTCCTTAGACAGACAATTGACGTATGCATCTTGGTCTACAGATCCTTCGATAAACGATAATGGCCCAATGCCACCAGCCCAGAAACAACCCCATACCATCAAGGAACCTTTTCCATACTTTTCTGTTGTTAGTGTATGGCGTTCCTGGTACCTCTCCCCTCGTTTACGAATTACGGATGGGTCAGAATCATTGCCTTTCACCATGAACCTCGACTCATCTGACCACACAACTCTGCTCCAGTCTTCGATGCTAAAACTGGCCCTAGCTCTAGCCCAACGCAACCGATTCTTTTTCTGCTCACGGGTTAACTTTGGTTTAGATACAGGGGTGTAAGAACCGAAGCCTTTTGCTCGTAGGTATCGGATAACTGTCTGTCTACAGACAATAACGCCAGCAGCTCCCAAATTTGCCTGGTGGTATCCATAACTCTCAAAAGGATTACGTCTCACACTCAAACAAAGACTTGTAACATCTGTTACACTAAGTTTCTTTGGTCTCCCAGGTCTGGTTTTTGTCTTGGCTGTTCCAGTAGTCTCCCAGCGCTTTATTGTATCGAAAACTGTAGTTCTAGGAATGTTCATACGGTTTGCGATGTCAGTTGGAGTATGATTGGCTTTTGAGAGCCAAACAATGCCTCCACGCTCAAAATCTGACAGCTCGCGTCTGGAGGGAGTAGTTTTAATTCTTTTATTACTTTTCGACATTGGTGGTTAAGTTTGAGGTAAAGGTGTGAGGAAGAGAAAGGTAAAGAATGTTATAAAAACCATCTCGGCTTAGACCAAAGTCTATATCAAGTAAGGCGTTCTATATTCCGATATACTCGGTTTTCTCTTTTTTCTTGTGTGACTTTATTTTGGTTTTATTTGTATAAAAAAACATGAAGCATAGAGAACAGAAAACATAGAGAAGTAGGCATGTAAATATAATTACGTAAATAAGTAAAAAATAAAAGCATAAAGAATAGTATAAAATAATTAGCATAATTTACATAAATTTTGCCCACAAAGGAGAATGGTAACTGGTCAAAGATATGTATCTTCCTGAATCCAGCACTGGCATAGTTGAAAAGATGTTGTCAATGAGAGTATTCTGGCTTGTTGTTGATTGAATAGTGTTAGGGAGCGTAGTAGTCATATTTCTGTTATTCATAAATTGAAGTAACGTCGTTTTCTTGATCGATTCTTTCGTGAAAGCAACATTAAAGTCACCAGCAATGGTTATATGCATATACGTATGACTAACAACAAATTCTAGTGCTTCCGTCAAGGTATTTAGTTGGCATAGTGGGGATACATATATGCTGCAATATAAGCTGCTGCTTAATATAAATAATGATATGCTTGTTGATCCACCTGCTTCATCAATGAACATTCTGGAACTGGTTGTATAAACCAAAGAATCGTCGTTTGAGTTGTTCGTACTAGGTAAAAGAGAGCTACGAATATAGCAGCAAGAACCAGAAACTCGTGCATTGGTTGAATGGCTATCTATGCGAGATATCATGGTGAAGTTTGGAATATCATATTCTTCATTATTAGGCAGTGTCCAAGTTTCATTGCAAAGAATAATATCAGATGTTAAGTATACTTGATCGCTGGTTATCTGGTTTATATGTGCCCTCAAGCTTTGCACATTATGTGAAATTAGCTGTATATAATCACTTGTTTCTTCCTTTTGTAGTTGGCTAAATGATAATCCCAACAGTATTGTCTGCTGTCTAATGAGCTCATTTTTCAATTGATTGTTTCGATCTTCTGCTATTGGTCCGGGCGGAACAAATCTGTTACCCTTGTATATTAACTTTAAACCTTCTGCAGAAGTAGCTCTAGAACATGCAACATATAGGAGTGATCGAGACATTCTGTGTGATCCATGGTCAAATACAACAACTGATTTATATGTGCCTCCCTGTGACTTGTGTACAGTGAGTGCTTCAGCTGGAACAATTGGGAATTGTGTACGGGTTAGATGTATCTGACTTTTGATATTTCTGCGAATTATGTTACAGTGTGGTTCTATCATTGTCAGATCGTCTGAAATCCCAAGACTACATCGAATTCTTTGTTGCTGTCTCCTCAACTGCTTCCCACTTCTTTCATCATCAAACCTAATCCACAATCTTAATGGCTTTCTTAAAACTGTAGAAGTAGATGTTTCAGAGGCAGTGCTGTCTGGTACAATATTTTGGCCATAATCAATCCTCTCCAAGATTCCATTTGCACCATTGACAAGTCCATATGCTGTATCTAGGTTTGCAGTCATCATATATTTTCCACTTATTTTTAGCAAAAGCGTTTTTATCAGACCCTGAACATCGGATTGCTTTGCATGATCATCGGCAGAATGTATGAGTCTTTGAATAGCAGTGCTATCCCTGCAATGTCCAGTTACTCGGTCAAAGGATTTGGAGATTGCACCTTCAGTATTTAAGCTGGTAAGTATGTGTTGGTTTGTTTGCTGAACGTATGCATTTGTGTTAAACAGATATATCGGCTTTTGGTTACTGCTTTCAGATAAATTGTTTTCTTGAGCTACAAGGCTTGAAGGTAATGTTCTTCTGCCAGTACTAATTTCCATTGCATCTTCAGGAGTTATTGAAGCCACTCAACTTTGGAGGATATGAATATCGCCTTCAGTCATTGACCCAATTGCCATGTTGTTTAAGGCTACTGCAAATGGAACATCGTCTCTTTGTCGCATTATCTCCGTTAATTTATGAACTTTAAACAAATCCCAGATCTTGTACCCAAATAAGGATACAAATGGATTTGTATCTCTTGCATGGCTGGTGCTGTAAAGTGGTGTGTCCCCAACTGGTGGAAGTTGTAGGAAGTCACCAAATACAATAACTGATTTTCCACCAAAAGGAACTGATCTATCAAAAATATCTCGAAGTCTTCGATCAACCCATCCAAATAGTGTCTCTCCTACCATACTGATTTCGTCAATAATAACCACTTTCAGGTCTGCAAGTGCAACACCCATTGAATGGGAGACGTCAGATGAGAGTGAGGAAAGACCTTCTCTTCCACGTTGTGTGACAGGAAGATGGAAGGCATTGTGCAAAGTTTGAGCAGATATGTTGAAAGCAGCCTTTCCCGTTGGAGCACAAAGAAGTACGGATGGTGTGCTCATATCTCTTTCTCTTGTTTTGTCAAACTCACGGACAAGACTTTGATAAAGTACTTTTATCAATAGACTTTTTCCAGTGCCGGCTCCTCCCGTTACAAAATGATAAAACGGTGTATGTTGTTGATCAGATATAGAGCTGTTGCTGTTACGAATATGATCAGTAACATGGTACAAGTATTGTCTCTGCTGCAAGTTCAGCATTGATAAAAGCTCTTGATATTCAGTATTATTTAACCACTTTGGAATATTGATTTTTTCAAGGTAGGTTAATCGATTGTTCTGTGTAGCTCCATTTGGATTTAATTCGATTGTTAAATCTGTTGTTCTGTGATACTCTCCTTCTTCATTGTCATCAATATCTAGCGTGTAACGTCTGAAATCGTTTTCAGCAATAGGTGGGGCTAGGGTATCTGTGTTTCCAATGGGTTCATCTTCTCTTTCTGTATCCATGTTACTACGTTCAAGTGAAGCTATTTCAAAATAACCTTCTAGTACATCATCGTTAACCTGACAAAATTCTTTTTTTGCTAGCAGAATAGTCTCAAAATTCTCTAGAAAAACTTCCTCGCAGTTGATACTTAAAAGGTCTTCTTCTTCATTTCTCCAACTTTTGAACAACATCAATAAGCAACGAAAGTACTCGTCAGCATCTTGATCAATATTAAACTTGTAGTAACGTAGGACACGCGGCTTAGTTCTTTTTCTAATGTAGCCTTGGTTTTCCAAAAGACAATACACTTGGCCTGGCTCTCCATAAAGCGTGTTTTCGTTATTATTCTGTTGAATATGGTCTTCTTGGTCTTCTATGGGCTCATAATAAGTATCATCATTTATGTCATTGTGATCGATATAATTAGTTGCAGTATTTCTTGATGGTTGCTTTTTTGAAAACTCAAAATAAGCAGCAAACTGTGCCAAGGTCAAATTCTCCAAATCTTGGGGCCTACAAATGTAATGCTCAATTAATCCTGGTTCAAAGCAGCTGGTAGAATCGGGATCCATTGCTACAAGTTCAGATTGCTTCTTTAATATGTGAAGTCGGTTTTCTGGTCTGCTTGTTGGTATAAATACTGTAGCTGTGCTCGCTTCTGACATTCGAATTCGTAGTAAGTTGTATGCTGCTTCTTGAGCAGATATCTCACTAGCATTGTAATAGGTCGCAGCAAGTGATCTCATCATATTAAAAGGTGTCGAGCTACTGTCATCTTTGCGCTTATTGTAAATTTCTTCAAGCGTCTTACTTAAGCCTCTATCAGCCTTGTTTATATAGTCAACTACATATGCGCAGCAAGCATATGGATCGAGAATGAATTGAATATCCATATTTGATCTGAACATACTGAAAATTTTTTCGTTATAATTATTTATCATGACTTCGTTCGGTTGTCGTTTTATCATGATTTTGTTCATTTTAAGAGTATTGCGGATAGACAGTATGTATTCATCAATAGATGTGATATCAACAGCTATTAAGAAACCATCAAAACTCATGGCTGACGTTTGAAGAGCTTCATAATGTTCTTGGAGATATCCTTTGATGCGAGTCATATTTTGCTTTAATTTGGTAATCGTAGTTTCTGATAGACCTTCGTTTTCAGTTATTGGGCATAATATCCGAGTTCTGTCCATAGGATAAAATGGAATATTAAATCTGCAAATTGTAATATTGTTTCTTTTTCTTTGGCAAGTAGATGTGTGCATATGACATTGCCTTTTCAGCAATTCTTTCCAGGTGTCCTCGTTACAGCGATATTCCTGTTGATGATGCGGTATTTCACCCCATTGTCTCTTACAAGTAATCATACTATCAACAAATTCACAGATTTTTCTTTTCATATCCTCATGAACAGATTCGTCTGTCCGTTGGTCAGGTTCGTACTTTGGAGCGCCCTCAAGCCATACAAGCATATGAACATGAGGCGAGCCTCTATGCTGGAATTCTATTCGGAAGTAATATTCATTAATGGAATGATTTCCAAAAGGCCCATATGGTGCTTTCCATGTTTTCTTCAGCTGTCTAAATCGATAGTCAAAGTATCGTACACATGTTATTGGGTCTTGCTGAATCAGTTTGGCTTTTTCATCATATGTCATTTGCTCCGCCTGTTCTTCTGTAATAGCAACTCCATCAGTTACAAGTTTTAAAATGCATAATAGCTCAGACCAACTTGCTTCTGCTGCAGATAGAGTTACAAAAATTGTTGGGATACCAAATTGTCTAACCATTGCCAAAAGATTTTTCTTCTCGTTTTTCCAATATTCTGCAGTAGAACGGATACCACTAAATGTCTTATAAGCCTGGTCTTTACTGAGCAATCCATCAATACTGTCATTATTTAAGAAGTCGGATGCAACGTATGGTACATTGTTGGAAAGTTTTGTTTTCTTCCGAACTGTATTTAGGTTATTGCACATTCTGATTATTTGATTTTTTCTGTCCATATACAGTATATACTCTACTCTTTGTGCTGCTCTACGATCGAATCTCCTTGCAATGGACTTTGTCAGGAAAGAGTAAGTCAGAGTATCAGTAGATAATTGCTGGCCACAGAAGATTTGAGGAAAAGCCAAAAAGTCGCTGTCTTTATCAGTCAAAATAGACAAAGGGATTCTTCCATCTCCAGGCGAAAGTCTGAGAGCTTCGTGATCTGAAACTATAGCCGTTTCCTGCTCACTAGAGTTTATTGATTCGTGTTCGGTACTACTTTCTTCATTTCCTTCAAAGTCTTCAACCCTATCAACCTCTTCTACGTTTTCAGTATCATTATTGGCAACCTCTTGTACCCAATTATCACTCAAGGAGATATTATACTCTTGATAGAGTGTTGTTGACTGTAGAAATAGTGCTGCTCTCCAAACTTTAGCGGGACTTATATTTCCTCTGATATAGTCTTTGATATAACGCATCCTACGAGCTAAACTCAAGTGAGTTGTATTTGAGTCGTCAAGATTACGAGGAAGTAATGAAACCGTTGTATCAACATTAACAGGTACGTTGATAATACCGCCTTTACTTCTATACTGCCCAGTTAGTCCTTTGTGTGTCCATATAGACTGGAAAACGTGTCGAGGTGCAACAAGTCTTTCTTCTAATCTTGTCAGGTCGTCTAGACAAACGACATGATCAGGAAAGTGGAGACCATTAGAGAGAGCAAGAGTTGGAAGTGTTTTTTTCTTAAGTGATGTTTTACAGGTAGGACATAGTGGAATATTGTCTATAATATCTTCACCAACGAAAGTGCTTGGTATCTTATGATTGTCAATTGCCCAAAAGGTTTTCTCAACAATATCTTGTGAACAACCCCAATTGCCTGTAAGAGCGGTTCTTTTTACTGAAGATATATCTTTTTGAAAGAAAAGGCCTCCACAACATCCGCATACGCATGTAGGACCCTCTCTGATTGTTGATTCATACTTTCTTTGTATACTACTCCAATTATTTGTGCCAACGTCATTCAGTCTACGCCTTCTTACTACTCGCTCATTCTCTTCAATAGCTCTACTTTGTCTACTACGCCTATACTCGCGCATATATTCTGCTCGAGAATTATGGTTCTCCTCTTCTGTCTCTGCCGCTTCTGTCTCCACTACTTCTGTTCCTACTACTTCTGCTTGAATTACTTGTGTTCTCACTACTTCTGCCTGAACTACTTCTATTTCAGCTGTAAGTCGGCATCTGTGTCGATACTCCCGCATATACTCTGCACGAGAATTACTAATATTCTCTGCTTCTACTGTCTCAACTACTTCTATTTCAGTTATTTGTTGGCGCCTGCGTCGATATTCTCGCATATATTCTGCACGAGAAGTATTAATATTCTCTGCTTCTACTGTTGCTATCACTTCCATTTCTGCAGTTCGCAGGCGATTCCGCCGATACTCTCGCATATACTCTGCTTGAGACATTGAATTCCGTTGTTGTGTTTCTGTTTCTGATGTTTCCACTTGCAATGATTGCCGACGATTACGCTGGTATTCTCTCATGTATCTTCGTCTTCTTTCAGCCCTTTCTTCAGGGGTAACAGTGTGTCTAGGCATTTTGTACTTTATAATAATATAATATAAGAGTAAAAGTAAGAGTAAGAAGAAAGTATAATATGCTTAGTAAGCTATAAAGAAGAATCAAAAGCGTCACGTGGTTAAAGTGTTTACATTTTTACTAGTAAAATTCTTACAAACTTTCACTGCTTAAAATTGTAACAAACTCCGCATACAAAATTGTTACAAAATCATTGTTTACATTGTTACGGATTACCCCTTTTTCTTAGGCTTTATAACTCCGTAAACTCCATATAGAACGCCAAAAAGCAGCATGAAAAATGTGGTTCATCGATGATTTTTATTGTCGGAGTGTATAATACAGACCTTGCACTATTTTTGGGACATACATATTAAAAAGAAGGCCATAGAATATGAGTAGAGTTCAAATATCTTTAAATAAAATCTCGACAGTAGACCAATATGTAATAAAATATGCACAGCAAAGCAGCGGCTATAGCTATGAGCGCGTGGGTATTTCTTTTAGGAAGTACAAATCATACAGCTGATTAGTACACTACAGATATTTTTTTGTTTGTTTGAGATATTTATTTTTATTGAATTCTTTAAGCTGTATACCCTTAAAATAAAATATATCTTACAGGGGAAAAAGTTGTAAGATACATTTGTATGCATATATGTTGAACAAAAAGTAAAAGCTATGTACATGACAGAATAAGACGTCAATAAACAGTAACCAATAAGCGAAGTGATAACATAACAAGAAAACCAACCAACAAAAGAAAAGAAGAAATAAGAAACCAAAAGATCAAAAAGAGGAGTACCTATCTAATTATGCGTAAAGCATATTGTAAAATAAACCGCATATACATTTTTGTTGTTGTTATTATAACCAAACTGTCAAAAGAAAACCAGATAAAACAGTATTTAATATTTCTTGATTTTTATAAGCATGTTACTTACATTACTGCGAGTAATATATCAAAAAATATAGCATTGTCTTCTTTTGTGAGTGGAAGAGTGGGCATGTAAGGAAAGCTAGGATGTAAAGGGGAAATTAAGGATCATGAAGTAGTTTGGATATTCAGGATATTAGGGTTGCGTACTAATTTTTGTGCATAAAGAGACATTCGACTAAGACATGTTTACAATCTACGTTAGCTTGACTATAGAGACAATTACTAGGAAAATCTACAAGGCTCAAAACAAATGAATAGACGAACGAATACAGAGAACGATAATCGGAGATAAAGATATGTAACCATGTCATGTATCAAATCACGTATTATGAATAACATTAACAGGGGTAGAAGCTAAAATAATATGCAGTGAAAATACAACAGGTAAAAGTTCAGCAAGGTTACATAAAAAACAACTTATGTTTGATTATATAAGCTGGAAAGAACGTAAAGTAAATCCAACTAAGTGAGCCAAAGGAGCAAATGTATCAAAAAAATAAATAGGTTGGAGTACTCTTACTTTACAAACTATAATGATTAAAACGCAAATGAAACATATATATATATATATATATATATATTACAAAGGGTCATATAACATTGAAAGAAATATATATCCAGGCAATAAAAGGTAAATCATGTTTAATTTGAAAACAGTGAAATATATTAAAGGAATAAAATGATCGGAGGATATTAAAGAGAAGGAAAGTATCACGGTAACCAGATAATTTGCTGTTTGTACTACTGGATTAAGTATGTCAATACGCCACACTAGACAGTAAGGCAAAAACCTGCACACTTCACATCTACAATAATGCTTTGCATAATGTACTTTAACGCTTAATGAAACAGGTTTGCTTCTTTAAAAAAATATACAAGGTGAAAGACATAATGTACCCCAAATAAGCCAGGAATGTGAATAATTATAGCATAATTACAAAAGAAGTGTAGTAAAGATTCCCTTTGGTTTGATAAGCATAAAAGGTTGCGCTTAAGCTAATTTTACCCCTTCTAAATTGTGAGATTGAAGATATTCAAAATAAACAATACATATATATATATAATGTATATGTGCAAACATATCAGGGTATTATTGTATGCTTAAAAGCTTTACATGAAAGATACAGTCATGTCTCCCATAAAGTAAGGGGTGTTATGTGATGCATGATTTAATGTCATCATTTGTTAGAAGGTTGAGTTATAGCTATATCCTAGGATTTTAGCCATCCTCTCTCAGAGAACCACAAAACATTTTGTTATCCTCAAGGGACCTTTATAAAAAGTCATCATATTATATTATTGATACTACTATTTTGGCTGTTGGTACCTATTAAATTAAATACTATTGGATACATATAAAGTTTGACATGCATTGTTTATAGTGTATCACAAACGAGTAGTTGGGCAAGGATATCAAGTTTCTACTAGCAAGAAAAAGCCGCTATTCACACATGCATATCTAATTATAGAAGAAAATAACACTTGAATTCTATATAATAAGCATACATCTTATGTATATATATTTTTTAAAAAATCTATATCCTTCTATACATATATAAAGCTTTCTTCTTTTATCTATTTTATTGACAGAAATATACCATATCACTATAAAGAAATGCTTACCTACTTTGCCCTATCTAATGATAATCCTGACTCTGTTGCTAAGCATGAAAGCGAAGACTTTGTTTACAAACCTTCACCAAATGTTGTATCAGATACAAAAGAACGTAGATATTACAGCAGTTCATCTCAAACTTATATACTCCCCTGCGACGAAGAAGAGCAGTATCGTCTAAACATGGTTTGTACTGTTGTTGTGCTTGAAACACAAAGAAATTTAGAATGCTGAATTGCTTATATTTCTTTAGCAACACATACTATTCGAAAAACTATTTGATGGGTAACCAATTATATATTCGGCAGAATTTATGTACTAACAAAGATATACACATGCACATATACACATATACATTTAGCCATGTGCTCTCTAGTGTAAAAAATAACTTGCAGCCTGGTTCTACAGTTGTCGATTTTGGATGTGGAACTGGAGCATGGGTGATAGTAAGTTTTTTCACATATTGTGTATTGTATATGAAACTGATCCCATAGTATAGGATATGGCCAAGAGTTATCCAGACTCCACATTCATTGGAGTTGATATTGCCAATGTTTTTCCTAATGACAATCTACCTCCAAACGTCAGCTTCTCAATCATGGATATTTCCAAGCCTTTGGACTTTAAAGACAATTCACTTGATTTCGTCAATAGCCGTCTTCTTTTGGGAGGTCTCCAAAAAGAGAAATGGGCAACTATGCTTACAGAGTGGTATCGCATAGTCAAACCCGGAGGAATTGTGCAATTAATGGAGGTTGATTTTATGGTTTGTACCGTTTAACTTGAATCAATAAGGGAACTATTGAATAGGCATATATCTAACTGTTTCCATTTTCTTTTTTTATTTTAAAAAAAGGCAGCGGATATAGTACCAGGTGCCGAGCGTTTTATTAAGGGCCGTAAGTGTACAATATGGCTATAATATTTCCAAAGTCAAACCGCCTAATTTCACTTATTATCATTTTTAGTTCATGACCTTATGGAGGAGAGAGGGTTGGATTTCTTTGTGGCCGTTAAGCTTCCTGCTTTATTACGCTGTAATGGATTTAATGTTGTCGAAAGAAATGCACGAAAAATGGAATTTTGTATGTATAAAAGCTGTCTATACATGAGCCTTTTACTTACATTATGATACACATAGACGGTACCGACTTGAGTAAAATGGTAGCAGACAACTGGGATAGATTAAACCTTGGTTTCAAAGGAGGTTTGGTGAAGTATATCTGTCCTGAAGACCCAGATTCATATGAGGTGCTTTTAGAAGGAGGTATTAAGGCCTGTATTGAACAGCGTTGGTTTAAGAGAGCAGTTGGTGTAGTCGGCCGAAAGCCAGTAGTATAGTAATAGTTCTATAATTATATATATATATATATATATATATATATATACATACATACCTATATTATTTATATCATAAGAAATAAATTACATATATTTTATCATTGTTGGATATTATTAGAATTAAAAAAAATTGACTAGGTACATAAAATATCTTTTTGTTAGAGAGATATTTTCTTCTTATATATAGGCATGTTGTTTATATTTTATAGAATAAGGTCAAAGGTGAATGATCAAAAAGAGGTTTGTGCTATGAAACTATAATGTTTTGACAATCAAAGGCTATCATTTGTTGTAAGTGTAAGAATATATAGCTTGGATATTCCAAGTATAAAGGGTACTTCTTAGATTCTCTTGATTCATTTTTTTGTGTTTATTGTTTTGTTATTATAACTTACCTAGCTATAGTGTAGTATCGTTCTGCCAAACAACCCCCGCTTTCATGCAGCTGTTCTGCTCTGTGGGATATGCAGTCAACCTTCAGAAACTTGACTGATTCTATTTTTGTGTGGAGTCAACCCCGGTTAAAATCAATTTCTTTTTGTTTTACTGCTACATACAACAGACTTCATGCCGATCGATTAACCACAGCAGAAGTTATAGTTGTCTAAACTTAGAATAACTTTCTTGCACATTGTCACATCCACTGTAAAGCAGTCATTTATTAGGAAATTAGAAAAGGAGGATATATTTATTTGTTTTTCTGTTCGGATCTTCCAAGTTCTCTAAGATACAATCTCTATGTGAGCTTTATATATATCAAAGTAAAAAGAGAAATATTAATAGTGAATATAGCTGCCTTTTGCATCGATTGCCCATGCTCTCCACCGAACATGCTGAAAGTCCAACGTCAATATTCTCCAACAATCTTTGGATCATAGCCTTTAAATCCATTAAATTATTTATATCAACTCTTATTCAATATAACCCGGGGTTTAGAGCCCACCAAGCATGTTCAATTGGACTTAACTTTGTACTTCGTGTAGTATAGTATTCAAAACACTTAACACCGTGACCATATTTCTACCACTTTGTATATGAGCCAGTATGACAACTGACGTCGTCTTTCTTGAAGGGCGAACTTGGTGTCATGTTTGTCAATCAGATTTTTAAAAAAAGAAAAAATGAAGGGAAGAAGTTCTGGGGAAAAATATTGGCGTACTCATCTTGGTTCACAGTGACCTCAATAAATGCAAATTATCTAAAGCCATCGACCCAAAAACATATTTAACTCATCACTTTACCCTTTTTCCACTTGTTCCCCGAGACTATAGGCCCTTTCGCATACCCTATAGCAGTCTTCTTCTTTTTCTAATAACTCGGGTGCCTCCAACGTTATACTCCAACTGCGAATCTATACTCATTAGACCAAGCTGCGTTCCTTTGTTGGCCATCTGTCAAATCGATGTGGTTTGTGGTCCATTCTAATAGTTTTTTTGCTTATATCTTTCAGTTAAAACCGGATTGTTGGCTATAATATACGAGCCAAATGCAAGATGCCCGAAAGGACCGATTACAATAGTTTTACAGGCAATTATATCCATCTTATTCAGTACCAGTCTCAGATAATCATAGGAAGGAAATGAATCCTTTAGTACAATCTTCACAAGATGTCTCTCATTTCTCTCGTTTTTTTTGTGTCCTTTTTTATCGAATTCGTAAAGGCATTGGTGATTTAGTTTTAGTAGATCTCTGAATAATACTTTGAGCAGTTGTCACACGCAACTTTACAGCGTTAAAGATTGGTAGTAATGGGATTATTTCCAGCTAAGCATAAGTAAATATCACATCTACATTTGATTTTATCAGCTTCATCATAAGGATTACGTCTTTTTGTTGATGTAGATGCCATCTTAATGCCGGGATCGTTTAATACAAAGGGAAAGTAAAAAAAAGAACAATGGCATGATTACAGTGTATTGTCACCATCTGTTTCACTTTGTCATTTATCGTCTTGGAACGTCTACTTTTTGGTCTTAATTACATGTAAAATAAATAAGTAAAAGTAATCGTCTGAAATTCAAGCTATTTTCGCATTGAAAAAAAAAAAAAAAGAAAAAAAAAATTGTAATTGGAATGTCTGAAATTCAACCGAAAAAAAAGTAGCCATCTCTTTGTTTCTGCCATTTTTTTTATTACTATAGACAGATAACATTCATTCACCATGCAGGACATTCTTACTTTGATTACTAAAAATGTCTCATTCACACCGTATGATGTTGCTTGGATCCCAGCATCCACACGAGTATGCGCGATCGGTACAACAGAACGAGCAACTGGAAAGATCGCCATTTATACTATTCAGGACAACATGCTTTTTTTGGCAAATGAGGTGAATTTAAAGAGATATTAATATTAATATATATTAGCAACAGGCACATATATATATTTGAAAAAACACAATACATTTTGTAGAGTATAGTAAGACTGAATAAATAAGAATTTCTTCCTTTTTATCTATATATAACATTAAATAGACAGAAACAGACACAGCTATTCGGTGTGGAACATTAGGAGCTGCTGATGCTCATACAAGACAATTGGCTACAGGTGATTTTGAAGGCCAATTACAACTGTGGTAAGTATCTTCTTTCTATTTGATGTTCTATGTAAAATAATAATAATTCCCCCCAATACAATATGTATTTATAGGGATACCCAACGTATGGAAATCCCGGTGGCTTCCGTAAAAGCACACGATACGTTAATTAATGCTATCGATGGTGCAGGTGGAGTCATATCACCTGGAGGTGCGCGGGAACTGGTTACAGGAGGAAGAGATGGTAAGGAAGGCTTGCTTATTTTATTTTATTATATATATATAATATTGAAACATTAATAACCATCTTGCCAATATATATATTGGAAATACTATCATGTATAAAGGATTTGTCAAGGTTTGGGATACTAGAGAACCTACAAAGCCTGTTTTCACCGTCCGTCCTCACCAAGAAACGTCTCCACAAGACGTTTGGTGTGTTGCGTTTGGTAAATTACAGTTATTTTAACCCCACAAAAACAAACTTGGAATTTCTAATATGTTTTGTTTTGTTTTACCTAGGTAACATTGACAATGGTACACAACGACTAGTGGCAGTCGGATATGCCAATGGTGATATTAAGCTCTTTGATTTAACCGCGTCAAAATATATCTGGGAGACGCATGTGAATGAAGGCGTAAGCATTTTTGAGCAACCAAAACAAAAACAAAATAAATAAGAAATGTATTTATTTGTATGGACTTCAATTGACAAACAATATCTATTTTGGCTTCAAGGTTTGCTCAATCGAATTCTCTACTACTCCCTGGGATCAATTGACAGTCAGTACACTTGGCGGGCTCTATGTTCTTCGTCTTTCAACCGGAAAATCCACAAAATTAAATGTAAAGCACTACTGGCCTTAATTTTGTATCTAGGTTGATAAAACTATTAACAAACCTTTTTATTACATTTCTATCCTGAACATGTGTATGACTCATAAACAAGACCCCAGTCGATGTTACCTTTTGGTCTGCTTGCCACTGCCCTCAGGTCCCTGATCTCTTGGCTGTAGCAGGTGGAGACGGTGAATTGCGCCTGTGGAAAGGAGGCGAAAATTCACCAGCAGCTACAACATCAGTATCCAAACATCCTATTGTGTCGTTGGATTGGAACAGAGACAAGAAAGGATTGTTTGTATGTAGCTCGTTTGACCAAACCTTGAGATTAGGTTTGGTTCGAGGTATTTAATATAAGCAGAAACAATAGAAATAACTTTATATATATATATATATATAAATATAAATAAACATTTATATATATATATATATATATGGGTATATGTAAATGAACGAGTGAATGAGTGAATGGGTGTGCTGAAATGATAAAATATGATGTAGTATATATGTATATTATAAACTTTTCGTTCTCTCTCTCTCATTGAACTGGTGTACATGTTGGCTCAAAATGTCCCATACGATTCAATAATTCTATCCACATCTCTCTCTTTCTATGCTGGACTGCAAGCCTATATAGCTCCACTCGTTCTTGTAGATAGTCGGCAGACTGATTCAAAAGAGGAATCATAATACGTGTCTGAGTTAGCAAGACCAAGTTCCGTCCTTTCTCTAGTAGCGATACATCTGATCTTTCAATTTCTTGGCGTAGTGCTGTGCTCTCACCCTGCACAGTTGTCAACACCACCTGCATATAAGGTGCTTTAAAAATATCAGATGCATAATTATACAGGCCGTTTTTAACAGACAAGAGCGGCAAGAATAGAGTCAGACCAGGTTCACACACCCTTTGTTCTAGGCGTGGTAAAATTGTGGTGACCATGTGCTGGATTCGGACTAAACGAGGCTCGTCCGAGGCCTGGTGGTTAGGCTCCTTTTCCGGAAGATAGTGATCGATTGTAGTCTCTACAGTTCCGAGTAGACTATCCAGCTGTTGTTGTGGAATCAGCAGGGTCTGTATTGTGTCAAAGGTATCCAATACTCTTTCCTTAATTTCGAGCGATTCAAAAGACTCTACAAGATCTTGAGTGGGTGCATTGACCAGCGGAAATGCCTGTTCTATATCATCCAGTAAGCTATGGCCAAATTCATTTATATGCTCCCATGTACTGTTGAGAGGCCAATCCGCGCGGCTACACATTGTTGAAACTGTTTTTTCGGCCTGAATTAGAGCCATTCGCCCAAGAGAATATTTATTCACAACGCCAAGGGTGGTGTTTAGACTATCCTTGATGATAGGAATGGACCCGAACCGAGCAAGAAAGCTACTTGTACGCGTTGGTTTATTTTCAACAACACATTCTTCTTCACGTCTTTTTGAAACAGAGTCTTGAGGAGACCAAGGGATCTTTGAATCCCTACTGAGGTGTGTCTCTTTGTATTCGTCTTCTGTATATAAATAGATTCCTTAGGATGAAATGATGATAATTTGGTTTGTGTAGGGGTTAAAGTATTTACCTGATGAATAGTCTTGATAACGCATTTAGTATACTTGATTGCAGAGGGTTTTTCTTCTTAATTTTTGTTTAGCTTTAGGGATCAGGAAGTCAACGAATACGAAGGCTCAATTGGAAATATAAGTAAAAGCAAAGTGCAGATAAAATGAAGAGAACTGTAAGCATAAATACAAGTATATATATATACGGGTTTATTTATCTATTAAGCTTCTAATTTTCCCCACACTCAATGTATGGGGAAACAAGCTAACAACCCCAAATCTAGGTAAGGCAATATTTTATAGTGATTAGCATACACAGGTCTCTTGATCCAGGAATAAATATTTTATTTTATTATTTTATTATTTTATTATTTTATTATTTATTTATTTTTTTGAATGTAACCCGCCCCCTTGCTTCAAAAAGTGTCATTTGTTGTTGTTACTGTGTAGAAGCCCTTTTTTTCATTTCATCTTGTTTTCTACTTTCCAAACCCGGGAGACTCTTTATATATATATATATATATATATATTAGTAACGATAGGCCCAGTAAGAAGCAGAGGATACGATCGCTTCCTGTTTATCTTTCTCAAGCTACAGCATTTAATTAATTAGCAAAGAAGAACATTAGTTTATTATTCACTCGCTCATTCGTTACGTTGAAAAATTGTCCAAAAAACAATGTATATATTTTACTTACCTCACTTAGGACTTGTCTGTGGATTAAACAGAGATAATCTACATAACTCATTTGGCCATACGTTTCATCTTCTACCATAGTCTTTACAAATTCCTGTTCAGAATCCAAACCCTGTCTAATTATATAAAGGCGAGCCTTTTCTGGCGAAGTTGAATAGTCATTATCCAGACATTCGCAAAGTTGGCGGGAAAGTGTATTGTCTAGAGCGGGAATTTGAGTCTATAAAACGTATAAAAAATAAATAAATAAATAAAAAAGCCAAAAACATAAACATAAACATAAACATAAACATAAACAAGGTGTAACGTGTTTGAGATACTCCAAACAAAACAAGTGCAAACAAGAAGGGTTACCATGCAAGAATCAATATGATCCGATTGAGTGACACCAAAGACATTTTGAAGGAGTTCAGGTGTAGCATGTTGCCCAATCCATAAGAAAGTGTAAATATGACTCTCTAGTAAAATTATAGATAAACGTACGTAAAGTTGAATGCTCAAGGAATACCAACAAAATCAGTTAAATAGAGTAACTTACCGATCAAATAAATGCCGGAACTTGATAGACGGCTGTATGACAGTCTCTCCATAGGAGTCACATTTACATTATCCTGTTGGTATATTAAATATACATATACATGTACTTATATATATATATATATTGTTCTTCTTTACCTGTACTAACATCTCATGTACTTTAATCATTCTGGGGTAGATCCATTTGATAGTCTCTGCGATTGATGCTGACTTGATAGCCCGCATGGTATATACTCGTACATCACTCGTTACATTGGGATCTATAAGATATTTTTATGTGGTTCAAAATTAATTTTCAATTCAATCAACACACAAAACAAAAAGAAAGAAAGAAAGAAAGAAAGAAAGAAACTTACCCCTGCGTAACAAGGCACTCTTCTTTAGACAAAGGGTATATATAGGAAGTACTTTAAACGAGTCCGGAAGTACCAGCTGTCCAGGAGATGATGATGCAGCACAATATTTGCGATAAGCCGTCAATATCTTAACACATTGAACATCGAGATCTAAGTTGATCTCATTCAACGATCGCTTTGTTGCTTGAGAAATAACTAAGCAAAGAAAAAAATAAAAACATACGATTTTCAATATCTTAATTATGAGCGAGATACACACCTACTTTTCTTTGATATCAAACTCAAAGACACTTCAACATCTGCGTGCTTGAATATACTATGCATTGAGCCGGTAACTGGCAAACACAGAGTGTGAACTCGTACACGCCTCAGTCCACTGGTAGTGGTGTAAAGAAGAGCACATTGGAAGTACAGTTCTTCGGTATCTTTTAGTCTAGCATCGTACTTCAAAGAGAATCCAATAGAACTATCGGCATCAATGCCTGCCAGTTCAATGTCCGTTGCATTTTGCATATCAAAGTTTCCATACTGATCCTCAATAGAAATGCCTATTTGTATTTTTTGTGTACACACATATATATACAAGCAATTAAGATCATATCGCATTAATAGACACACACACACAACAGAGCCCTAACTTACCATTGGAGCACCGAACACGCAAAGCTGCATTGTATCCCTGTTCACGCTTTAAGCTACGCTCCAGTGAATGGACCAAGGCACCATGTTGCGAGGAATCAAAGTTTGGATAAAAATGAGTATCACCACCCGTCAGAGCAGGTAAAACGCCTTCAGATCATTTGTGTTATTAATATTAATATTATGATAATTTTGAAAGAAAAAATGGGTTAGTAATAACTACTTACCCAAAGTACTGAGATCCATAATCGTATTCTGAGGGAATAACCAAAGATCAACGCACACACCACTCTGAACACATTCTTTTCCAATTGTGGTGTAAAAAGGGTTCTGGGGTAAAAATAACTGTTTTTCTTTATCGGTGCCATACAGCTTCTGGTCTTCACGACCCTTTAGTGCCCCTGGGCCAAGAGTGGGTAGCAAGCTTTGAAATATATGGACCTTTCCACCAGTTTCTTTCTATTTAAGTAATAACATCCGTGTTAAATAAATAAGTAAATAAATAAAGGGTCTATGTGGCAGATGATATATATAATTTTTTTAAAGAAAAAAGTTACCAAAGCTAAAAGGGAGCCCTGGACAGCAGATCCCATAGTTGCAACAGTGGCTCTGTTGTTGGTGTGTATGCTAGGCAGGAGTCGCAGGAGATCCTCGATAACTCTCTTGGATGCCACTGGATCAACAAGAAACCCTTCTGACAAGGGCAAGAATATATCATTGACATCCGACACCACCATCATCTGTGCCTGTTCTAGTTCAGCCTGCAAATTTTATACATCCTGATCAGAATGGTAATAACAGAAGGTGATTATAAAAGCATCCAGATAACCCTACTTGCCTTGATATTGTAGAAGCACACAGAACTATCAAATGTCAAGATAGCAACCTTTGTCTCCTTGTCCAGTCCGGATCCTTCATACAGGATGCCCTGGATTGCAGAGCACACACTTTCCACCATTCCACTCTTAACTGCACTCCAGGAAACATCAATTGCAAAAACTAAAGAAACGGGCGCTGGTTTGCGTGTCCAGTACTCTTCCGGAACATCAAACTCGACGGATCCCAGTTGTAATTCGGGTCGAAATTCAATATCGGTTCGCCAACCTGTCATATCCAAGTGGCAGAAATAATCACTAGGAACTACATACGTTCAATATGTACACATCATAGATAAGAGATTAATGTATGTCCATAATTTATATACAGCAAAATAAAATAACAAAGAACATCGCCTTTTATCTTTCTTCTTCTTTCTTCTTTACCTTCATTATCAAATCCACATAAATTACACATAAATTTACGACCGCCATCCACAAATCGACACCATGGGTTAATGTAGCCTTTACATCTCTGGCATCGAACTGGACCCTCTGCACTAGTTGAAGCCAGCGGAACTTGTACGTCCGCTTGGTGTAAATCAGCCAATGGCTGGACTATAAGGCCCAAGGGCAATCCGGAATCGTTCCACAAATCGTAAGACACTGGTATTTCGCGTAAGGTACTTCTCATAAACCGTGGATTGCAGTTTCCTTGATCAATTGCCCGGAAGTTTGTTGTGCTTAAGGGCATAACATCTTTGGAGCAAGTACCATACTCTTGGTCGCGATATATATTTTGGTTTTGAGCTTGTACTTGGACAGGAGAAGGGATCTGATCTGGATCAATTTTCGGTCTTGGAGTATTCGATACTGGTGCAGCTGCAGGAAAAGGCGATATTGGTTGCGGTTGCTGTTGCTGTTGCAGTTGCAGTTGGGGTTGGGGTTGGGGTTGTGGTTGCTGTTGCTGTTGATATTGCTGATGCTGCTGCTGTTGTTGCTGCTGTTGCTGCTGTTGCTGCTGTTGCTGCTGTTGTTGCTGTTGGGTAGGTTGTGGATATTGATTATTAGGAAGAGAAGAAATAGTGTCAGTAGGTGCATAGGCACGTCGAGCGCGACCTGCTTTGTGGGAGGAATCTTTATGATGTCGTATATCCATAGAGGCCATAGGAGTTACGAGATCTGGCTGAGGACTAGTTAAATGTTGAGGTTGTTGAGGCTGTTGAGGTTGCTGATATATTGGTCGAGGTTGTTCTGGATTCCAATTGGGTCTTGGAGATACCTGCCCTGGAGGGCGCTGGTATTCTCCAGGATGTCCAGGATGTCCAGGATTTCCAGGATGTTGAACAGCTATTATTTGATAATCGTACTAATTAGTATTGGTCTATTATATCTGCCTCTTGGAAAAATGGGGATGATTTTCTTTAATGATTTACTTGGTCGGACAGGGCCATGGGCAAGAGGTGGTCGTGCACTGTTCACCGGAAAAGGTCTTGCTTGGTAAGGTAAGGGTCTGAATGGCCCATGAGGTTGATTAGTTGGTTGCCCCGGATAGAATGCCTGTTGATTCTGCTGATCCGTGGATGGATGACCAGACATTGATAATCGTGTATGATGATAGTAAATAAAAAAGAAATCAAAATTCACTTGTTTAAAGATTGGCGGGGTTTGTCGTGTATTAAATCATTTCATATGAGGAAAAATTAAAGGGAAGAAAAAAAAAAGCATGGCGTCCAGCCAATAATCTTTAATTTCAAATTTGCTCCCAGTGATGTGGAGAGATAGATAGAGCAAAGACAAAAAAAATAAATTAAAGAAGGGTCTGCTGGGAATTGAAACCACGACATGAAAATTACCTTCAGTATAAATAAATGAATATAAAAAAAAAATCATACATAATTTTTTATATGTAAAATAAATAAATAATAAAACAACGAAAAAAAGTCTATTATTTTCATTGATTTTCTACTGTTTATTTTCATAATACCATGTCGGACACTCAGCGTTTTTACATGCGAGACATTAAAGAAGGGCTAAAGACTGTTGATACAAATAACACAACGAGCGAGTCGTCCGATGAAGAAGACGAAGAAGTGTGCTTTATCTGCACAGAGCCCATAATGACCTATGCAGTCTCTGAATGCGACCATCGAACTTGCCACCTTTGCGCTCTTCGTCTTCGTTCGCTATACAAGACCCGCAATTGTGCTTACTGCAAAGTAAATTAAGGCTATTATAATAATACTATATATATATTTTTATATTTATTTTTTTTTCCTTTATTTCTCTGGCGATCAACCATCATAGACTGAACAAAGAACAGTTATCTTTACTCACGATCCCGAAAAACCTTTCTCCAGCTACACCCCAGAAGATACACCTTTTGTAGATAAAAATTATGATATTCTTTTCGAAGACGAGACGATGTATAAAGATACCATGGTTCTTCTTGACTACAACTGTCCTGAACCAACATGCAGCCAAAAATTTAATGATTACCCTCAACTCAAACAACATGTCCAGTCCGCTCACGGCCGTATGCTCTGGTGAGCTATATACAAAAATTTACCAACTTCCAACTAAACTGATATATATATATGGGTGTCTTACTATAAATTTCTGTAGTGATTTGTGTGTCGAGCATAAGAAAATTTTCCCACATGAACATGTTCTCTATACATCTGCTCAACTCGGCCACCACTACCGTTACGGTGATGAATCCAGTCAAGATGCTGGTTTCAAAGGTCACCCTGAATGCCAGTTCTGCTCAATCCACTTCTATGGAGATGATGAGCTGTTTGCCCATTGTAGAGATAAGCACGAGCAATGTCACATTTGTGTGAAACGTGGACGTCGCCACGAGTATTATGCAGATTATGATGGCTTGGTAAGTTTGTATATCAGCAGAAAGATAATTAGAAAGAAAGATAAATAGGTACAGTGATTTTATTTACTTATCATGCTCCCGGTGAACTTCTTCTTTTCTATGTAAATTCCAGGAAATGCACTTTAAAGATGAACATTATTTGTGCCTCCAGAGATCATGTCTCGAGAAGAAGTTTGTGGTATTTGACACAGCTTTGGATCTCAAAGCACACGATGTAGAAGAACATAGTGGATCTCGCAAGGTTGATATCATTCAATTTGATTATCATAGTAACAACAACCGACACCACAATAGAAATGGACAGCAAGGATCACACCAGAGTCCCCGTCAGCAAAATAGACAACATCACAACAACCACACAAATAATACCGCCCGTAATAGTGATAATAGTAATAGTAATAATAGTAATAATAATAGCAGACCAAATGTCCAAGAGAATCAACAACAAAAGAACCAAGAACATGTGAAGAAAGAAACCAAGAAACCGTCCTCTACTACTTCATCGGCTTCTTCTTCTACTACGACAGCTAATGTATTACCGCCCGGCGCAAACTTCAAGACAAAGCAAAAGGATAAAGCATTGATGAACAAACCAGCTAACTTTGGCAGCTTAACAGAGCAAACTGCCGCAGCATCCTCCGCAAGTAGCTCTACAGCCGATCCTGCTACAGTAAAACGACACACCGAGTTTTTAGAAAGGATCAAGACGATGTTAAAATCAGCGGAAAAAGTAAACCAATTCCGTAAATTGACAACTGCATACCGCAGTTCTTCGATGGATGTAGATCTTTATGTTTCCAATCTTTCCGATCTGTGTGGCAGAAATCCAGAGAATCTGTCACACATACTGCTGGGAGTTGAGGATCTTATGGATAGCAAAGAGAAAAAAAGAGAAATTGCACATGCATGGCGTATTCGACAAGCTTCTGTAGGTTTTTTACGTTATCAAACAGGCAAAGTAAAAGCCCTGAACTCACAACGCTTTTTCCTTTCTTTTACATATTTGTAGACATCCAATTTCCCCACACTCCCTACGGCCAGTAATCGACAAGATTCTGTAGGTCTTTATGATATCAAATAGGGAAAAAAAAACAATAAGAACCCTGAACTCACAATGTTTCTCTTTCTATATCTGTGTAGGCATCTCAATTCCCCATGCTCCCTATGGCGAGTAGTCGCCCACAACCACAGAGTAAATCACCAGCACCGCGTGTATTGGTGATTAAGAGCAAGGGGAAGGCTCGTGCTAAACAGCCGGCCAATTCGCCCAAAGCAGCCTGGGAAAATATAGCACCTGCTGCGGCTAAAGAGAAAAGTAATAGATCACCAGGAATAAGTGAAAACAGACCTCCAAGCATTCCTCATTCTGAACCTAAACCAATGGATACATATCGCCCTGCCCGAGTTACGGCAGCACCCTTGGTATCACCCGAGAATACTTCTCGACCATCAAAGAAAGTAGGTCGTAATGGACATGCATCAGATGCATTCCCATCGTTGCCTGTAGCAGCACCAAAACACCCAGTGCTTGTCCAGATGAGGCGTAATAATAGCAACCCAAGTACACCTTGGGGATCTGACCGAGAAAGCGAGAATGAAGCACCAGTCGAAAAAACATCCAACAAAAAAGGAAAAAAGGGTAAACAGGTCCTGTTCCGTGTAGGTCTCTAGAATCCATACATGATAAACAACACTGCATGCAACTTTTCATTTGTCTCTTTCTTTCTTTCTTTCTTTTTTCTTTTCTTTCCCTATTTGGTTTGATTTGTAAAAGCATAGCTCTAATTCTTATAATAAAAATATATCGTTGTCTTGGAAGTGGACCATTGGCCACCCAAGAGTCTCTCTATCCCGATTCCATGTGTTTATGATGATTGATTTGAATACAGAATTTATGCCACAGCTTGTGATGTCCATCCAACGCAAATGTTCCAACTTTCGTGCCAGACTACCTGCACCTGTCTCACTCACTTGGCTCAGGAATGCAATAGAGATGTACCTTAGCTTGGTACATCTCTCACTAATCAATCGTATAGGACCATCCTGGACCTGCCAACATCTTGTCAGATGGAGTAATCGTAAGTTAGGGCAATTGTTTGCGATGGCCTCTACTGTGGTATTGGTAACCTTGTAGAGGGAAGTAAGTCTGAGATGGGTTAGATTTGGACCCCAGATGGTTATAGCATGGTCGATACCGGTTGTGTTAAGTTGGCAACAGAACGAAAGGTCAAGATGACGCAATGATAGAGGTAATACATCCGAGTTTAACAGTTCCAACAATTGGTTATCAGATAAATTGCGCATCAATCCGAGCCACAAGCCTTGCAGGGGCACCTTGGTTGTTGCCAATGCATGTATTGTCTGTGGTCCAAGATTTTCACACCCAGAAACATCAAATGAATGAAGTTCTGGACACTGGCTAACTACAGATGCCATATCTTGGTCGGTTACTAGACCAAGCCACTCTGACTCTTTTAGAGTGGTATCTACTTCAGGATAGTTTTCGTTTTCCATCAGGGATGTGTAGGCAGGGGTTTCGATTGTCTCTAGACCGGTGCCTTCAGGAATAGGCTGGAGGCGTACATAGCCTCGTAGATTTCCTTGGGGTTTATCATAGGGTTCGATAGGTAATGTGCGAATGAGATTTGTCATGCTTGCCGGTAGTAATGGAGGTGAGCGTTTCATGACCAAGGTCTTTGTGAAACGTGTCCATGGAGTTGGGTGTTGGAGGGTACGTACAAGACAATACCAGTGATAGCGTGTGTGGATTGCTAGGTTGCGGTAGAGTAATGGCATTGCAGAGTTGTACCATGTTTTGTTAATACGGGCTAGGGTTGCTAGATTGGATTGCGGAATGTACTGAAGAATCAGGTTAACTATCTCGGGTGGTAGCTGAACATGTATTTGAGTTGAGGAATCTTGAAAGCGACTTGACATGTGGGTAAGAAATGAGTTTAACATTTTATGAAAAAAAAAAGACAAAAAATAGGAAATAGGAAATGGTCAAAAAAAAGTAAAAAAAAAAATGATCGGGATATTATTTATGGAGGGGATTTGTTTTTTTTAATAGCTTGAACTTATTTCTGATATTTAACGAGAAATTTATGTTTTCTTTAATGAACTATGAGACGTCTTTACCTGATTTGTTGATATAGTTGAGACTGATGGTTATGATGATGGTTATTATTATTACAGGAAATAGTGCATTAGAAGATGTATCGTTTTTTTTTTAAAAAAAAAAGAAAATTGTTTCAAAAATAGAGAACATTTCCATATAATAAATAGAGTTTGTTCGAGATTCTTGCCATTTTTATTATACACTCAAGTGTATTAGGTTCTTCACCCCTTATTATTGTTGCTATTGTTATTCTTATAATTCTTATAATAAATATATAAATGATCCTAGTCTGATTTGAAAAATGTAACAGGGCCAATACCCAAAAGAACAAAAAAAAGAGAGATATATTATAGATAAATTATCATGGTCTTATTTGATTTTTTTTTATTCTTTCATTCTCTCTATCATTAAAGGATAGTATAAAAAAAACAAGAGCTTAGATCAATAGTAATGTACCATGTATATCAATTGTGGGTGTATAAATAAGAATGCAGTGATTTACAAGTGTCAAATAGTAGCACCAGCACCAGCACCAGCACCAGCACCAGTAACAACAAACATTATGTTTTGAAGGTTTCAATTATAAATTTTTAAGGCTCTTATTCTTTAAGCTGAGTCAAATAGAAGGAAATGAATAAATAGGAAATTTCAAAAAAAAGGTTTGTAAAGTGAGAAACATATGGCGTGTTTTACTATACAGTAATGTGGCTGGACAATCTAGAATAAGATACATAAGAGCGTATTTAATAGCCATGGATCTCCCCTTGATTAGTAATGTGTGTCGATACACCAATACAGACTTGCTCTTTAGGATCTCTAAGAAGAAAGGAAGCAGAAACGAGAGCTATGGACATTCGATAGCCTTTAAATACACAGTCAACTATAAAATATGGCCTTACCAACCATTTCCATCTCTGTCTTTGTCTCCTTGCCCTTTCTTTATTATATATTTCGCAGCCCCTTTCTTCTTCTTTGGGTTTTGACTTTCAAGTTCACCAACGCACACACCTAACCACTTATATATATATATAGGCATACATAGATACGTACATAGATACATAGATACATAGATACGTACATAATACATAATACATAATACATGCATAAAGTATATAAATACATAGCCTATTTTCCTGCTCGTTTGTCTTTTTTAAATTTTGCTTGTCTATCAGTAAAAATAAAATAAGATATCTATTTATCTCTTAAACTTTTGGTGCTTTGGATTCTTACTGTTGCTTGCTCAGTCTTTTTATTTTATATATTCCCACATTCTATTTTATCCCTCAGGAACACCTCCCCTTCCCCCTTGTATACTTGGCACAAACATCTTTTTAATCACTGATTAATTATCAATTCTTTATATTCTTTCTTCATCTTCATCTTTCTTATTCTTATTTTGTACACACTTCTTGACGATTAGCAAAGTCGAAAAAAAAATTACAAAAAAAAAAGGAAAACATAAAGACCTTTTTCTCTCTTTCTTTAAATATAAATATATATATATTTTATATATATATATTTATATATGTGTATATATATATATATATATATTTCTCTTACTTATATACATACAATTTATCTTATATAATAGTCTACATATAGACTTATTCCTTTGAGCCCAAATGTCCAATCTTAATCATCCTCAAGCAGATCCACATAGTGCACGATATCCTGCCAGACCAGACCCAACCCACCCTCCTGCTTTGGATCGGTCAAATCCCAATAGACGCTCGCTCTTACGGCGGGGTCTGTTGGCCAGAGACGAAGAGCAATACGACGACAGACAGCAAGACACTGACGTGAAAAGCATCAAAATCAAAAAGTCCTATTGTCCTGACCCATGGAAAATATATTGCTACCTTGTCACTTGCTTTTGTCCTCCATTCATCCTTAGATTGCTAGGTAAACTACAGCTAAGAGTAACGAGAATCGAAACATCCCTCTACAAACATGACACCTTCCCCCCCCCCCCCCCCCTTTTTTTTTTATTTTTAAACCAAAGAAACAAAACGCATAAAGCAAAGCGACAAACCCTCACACACCCACACACTCACACACTCACAATTTCCCCTTTCCTTTAACCTACCCCTTCCAATCGCTCTATCTTTTCTCTCTTTCTCTCTCTCTCTCTCTCTCTCTCGCTTTCTCCCTTTCTTCCTAAATCCCTTACCCATCCCTCTCACCCCCCTCCCCTCCCCCTTGTTTCTATCTCTCTTTTGCTACGGAGACAACGTGCACCTTGTTTTTTTTAACCCTTCTTCCTTGCTCTATATTTTTTTTATTTAGGTAAGAAAGATGCCTCGTCTCAATTAGCCTTTCGGGAAAAGATCGGTCTGGTCTCCATCATCCTATGCATTATGGGATTTGTCGGTTTCTTGACATTCGGATTCACCCAAGTCGTTTGCCCTCGTCCCCCCATGAGCTACCGTATTGACAGTATCAGCCAAGGGTATGTGGTGATCCACGGTTGGGCCTATTTTTTGGCCTCTTGGAACGATCACCCGCCAATCCCAGATCTCGGAACAGATCCAATGAATCCAATCTATCCCCCTGTCAATGCCAATGGAATGGACGCTTCCTTTCTGTTCCAAATGCAGAACAACAATAAATTTTGTGCCAACATAATAACCGCAAAATCAAACATGGTTGTCGGCCAGGACAGCTCAGTCCCAACCTACTTTCCCTGTCGTCTATTCGATCCCCACTCCCTCGAGGTTCCAGACAGCAACACATACTCTAACCATTCAGGATGCCATCTAAGCCCCAACGCACGTTCATTGTTTAGAGACATGCGCACTTATGGTGTACCGAGCAACAATGGAAAATTCGACAAGGCCGGTCGAGTTTACTATGACTGGAAAGAAGTCAATACTACAACTCACCTTTCTGTTTACAACAGGTATGATTAAATATGCACATCTATAATCCACCTTACCATAATAATAATCATACTCTGTTAAATAACCCCCTCTTTTATTCTTATTTTCTCATACTATTATTCAAAAATAGCTATGTATTGAACCTTCATCTGCTTACTGCACTCCCTCAATCACTTTTTAATGTGCCTGCTGGTGGACTTATCGAAACTATTCTCGGAAATACAGCTCTTTATGGAGGCCAGGATATAACTCATCTGGTTGCATCTCAACGTACTCCCGGAATTGATTGGAAAGCCGAGGCCAACTGCTTATTAGATATAATAAAGGTCGGCGAAATCGACACACAGAGCGTGGGTTGCATTGCTTCTGATGTCGTGCTCTATACTTCCTTGATCGTCATCCTGGGCGTTATCATAGTCAAGTTTGTTCTTGCAGTTGTGTTTGGCTGGTTCCTAAGTTGGAAACTGGGTAACTTTAAGGAAGGTCGGTCCTACAGCGAGCGCATGAAGCGTGAATTGGAAATCGAAAACTGGACGTCTGGTATTCATCGCCCGGCCGAAGCAATTCGACCCCATTCGCCTTACGGTGCAGGCTCATTGAGGCCCAAGAACAAATGGATGCCAAGTACCTCTCGCTTTACAAAACCTGAAACAGGCTCCATGCATTTCAATTCCACAGACAGACCAGGAAATGCATCATGGAAACAAGTATCCAGGTAAGAGTTCATAAATACAACGACAATTTTTTTTAAAAAAAAAACATCTGTCGATATCTATTCTATTATTATTATTTTACAAAATGTACTCACCCATATATTTTCTTAAATATCACTAATGTTCTAGTGCTCGGTTAGCAGGACCTTATGGTTCTTCCAATATCATGGCCGACTCTTCGCCTTTACGCCCTCCAACAGCTGACAATAGTCAAAGCGGGTCTTTACATCGCCAAAGCCCAACTTTGCCTTCAAGCCGATCTTCACTTGTGTCTTCTAATGTAACAAATTCTACATGCACAATGGCCTGCCCGTTTCCTATTTCATCACACGCAATACCCCAGCCAAAACGAGACTTTATGCCATTTGGCTTTGTTCTAGCCCACACAATGTGTCTTGTTACATGTTACTCTGAAGGCGTTGATGGCTTGCGCACCACTCTAGACTCAATTGCTACTACCGACTTTCCAAATTCACACAAGCTCATAGTAGTCATTGCAGACGGAATAATCAAGGGTCACGGAAATGCCTTGTCCACACCTGACATTTGCATTGGAATGATGGAAGATTTTGTGATTGCACCAGAAGATGTCGAGCCTCATGCATATGTGGCAATTGCAGACGGCACAAAGCGTTACAACCAGGCCAAGGTGTACTCTGGATATTATTCTTATGACGACTCGACCGTTAATCCCGAACACCAGCAACGGGTGCCAATGATCACAATCGTGAAGTGCGGTGGGCCATCTGAGGCAGGCGAGAATAAGCCAGGAAACAGAGGAAAGCGAGACTCTCAGGTTATTCTTATGTCCTTCCTTCAAAAGGTTATGTTTGATGAACGGATGACAATGTTGGAATACGAGATTTTTAAGATGATCTGGCGTGCAACTGGTGTGAGCCCTGACAAGTACGAAATTGTTCTCATGGTTGACGCAGATACAAAGGTTTATCCAGATGCCCTTTCACGTCTAGTGAGCTGCATGGTTAATGATCCTGAGATAATGGGTCTCTGTGGAGAGACAAAGATTGGCAACAAATCTGACAGCTGGGTATCCATGATCCAAGGTATTTCTCTCACTCTTTTTTGTATTTTTGAATGAATTAAGTTAGTCCAAGGCAATATATACATACATTCATATGTATGTACATGTACATGTATATGTATACACATGTAGATGTATTCATATGCACATTCATATGTATACACATGTACATGTAGCATGGCTTTAACTTTTTTCTTTAATAATTATATTCATTTTGTAGTGTTTGAATATTATATCTCTCATCATCAAAGCAAGGCATTTGAATCAATTTTCGGAAACGTAACTTGTCTGCCCGGGTGTTTTTGTATGTATCGTATAAAGGCCCCCAAAGGCAACAACGGGCATTGGGTACCGATTCTGGCCAACCCAGACATTATCGAACATTACTCTGAAAATGTTGTCGATACTCTCCACAAGAAAAACCTGTTACTGTTAGGAGAAGATCGTTACCTATCCACCCTAATGCTACGTACTTTCCCGCGTCGTAAGATGCTGTTTGTTCCTCAGGCAGTCTGTAAAACAGTCGTACCCGACTCCTTCCGAGTACTGCTGTCTCAGCGTCGTCGCTGGATCAATTCTACTATTCACAACCTGATGGAGCTGGTGTTTGTTCGCAATCTGTGCGGTACCTTTTGCTTCTCGATGCAATTTGTCGTGTTTATGGAGCTTGTGGGAACACTTGCTCTCCCAGCCGCAATTTCATTTACCTTGTATCTGATTGTACTCGCCATAATCGGACAACCCGCAGTTCTATCCCTAATTCTACTGGCGCTCATTCTGGGTTTGCCGGCTGTGCTGATCATGATGACTAGCCGTAAGATGGTATATGTAGGCTGGATGATGATCTACCTAGTCAGTCTACCGATTTGGAACTTTGTATTACCAACATACGCCTACTGGCATTTTGATGACTTTTCTTGGGGTGAGACGCGCAAAGTAGAAGGCGAAGGAAAAGAGAATCATGGCGACAAACAAGGCGAGTTTGATAGTTCCAAGATCGTGATGAAGAAATGGCACATGTACGCACGCGAAGACCGCCGACGTGATCTAGCGGACCGTCTTCAGTCGACAGGAACCGTGTCGGGATCTCCAGTCGGGTCTGCAGCTGTCTTACCGTTGACTGTGCTACCAAGAGCTCTGTCGGAACGAACGCTGCAAGAAGAACGTCCGTTACAAGAAATACGCCTGCCCATAATGTCCTCTCCACTGCCTATGCTACAGTCTCCTCCTCCACTACCCCAATCTGCAATGCCAGCTTTAGCAACATCTGCAGCATCTGCAGCATCTGCACCACCGCCACCACCAGTACCACCACCACAATCAGTGACAATACCAAAAGCAGCAATAGCAACAGCAGCAATAGCAACAGCAGCAACAACAACAGCGGCAGCAACAATAGTAGGAGCAAGATTATCAACAGCATCTACCGCAGTTGGTCCTGTTCATTCTTACTCTGTACAATCAGTAAGAAGTGAGGCAGAGAACCGCACAAATGTTGAAGAGGAGGAATATGAAGAGGAGGAAGAGGAGGACTATGAAGAGGAAGAATACTATGAAGAAGAGGAAGAGGAGGAACGGGGAAATGGTGACAGAATTGAAGAGTTGCCCTTGCCACTATCATTTGAAGTCAAGGAATCTGATGACTGGGAGGCTGGTGTATTGAAGATGTTTGGTAATGTTTAATAGTGCCCTTTTTTTTTCTAAAGAGGTTCAAAAGGGAAACATTAGTTTTGGCTTGGCTTGTAAAGTCAAGAGAGTAAAAAAGAAGAAGAAAAACTGCATTACATCTATACCTACATCTATTACATCTATACTTACACCTATACCTATACTTACACTTACACTTATACTTACCCTTACACTTAAACCTATACTTACACTTACACCTAAATTTACACTTACGCATATACTTACTCATTCATATTCATACACATACATATACATTATATCAAAAAGACAATTTGCTTCTTTTAAAGAAAAAAGAAGAGTCAAACAACCCAAAAAAAACCATATAGTCACAATCCGTCATTTGTTTTCTTTCCTTATTTCTTTATATTACTATACATATCTCACTCGTTTGACTACTTACTCACTCCCTCACACTTCTTTGTTGCTGAAATATAATAAAACCTATTGTATTATTCCATTTCAAATTAGCCAAAATGATATATATATAATCAATTGAATTGAATTCGAAAATAAAATTCTCAAATAGTAGTAGTAGTAGTAGTAGTAATAATAAGAAAATGCAGAAAGGTTTGATATTTTATCATGTGTGTAGAAAACAGAAATCTGCTTGACCAAATAGATCAGTAAATAAAGAGTAAATTAGCTTGTATTTTGGAGATCCAACATCACTTTGGGTACAGAAAATAGACCAATACATGCAAGGATCAGCAAGGTACGGGTAGATACCCAAGCTGAGATGGCTAGATAAGACATCGTGCCTGCCAACCACATCAGGCTCTTTCTTTTGTCCTGAACCAGTATAACCCTGTACATCTCTGTGCTCGCCATCCCAGCCCATGTTGAGCTGCTAGGACGGGATAAGGAGGTTTGATCGGATACTCTTAGTAAGGTTCTTTTATATATATATATATTATATTTTATTTTTAATATAAAAAAAAAAGAAAAAGAAAAAGGATTAGTGGCAAGTTTGACAACAGTTTTGTATGATTTGATAACAAGTGTTTCAATTTGGTGCTTGACTTACTTGAATGGGTGAGGAACTGTATCATAAGGAAGACGGAATACTATATTATGTAAAATCCTGGCTGCTTGGACAATTGCGAGGTCCAGACTGATTATCCAACAAAGACTACCTAAGATGAGATGTTGCGGAGACCAGCAGACAAGGAGTAATAGGCCAGCTAGGACTATGAGGGAGTGAATGGGGGATTCCCAATATATCAAACGGCTCCCAACTTTGAAAAGATCCCTCTTTTGAGGCTCTTGTTCTATTTATTTATTTATTTATTCATTTATTTTAAAATGAAATCAATTGCATAAAAAGTAAGTTACAGAATAAAGCTAGTGGTTCATATAGAATGCTTACCATTGTAGATTGATTGATATATGTTTCCAAGCGTCGGTGATGATGGAAGAGAGGGTTTGATAGGAGATGTTGGAATTATGTTTATGTCATTTAATCTTGGCTGATATTCATGTTTTTGCTGCTGCTGTTGCTGCTGTTGCTGCTGTTGCTGTTGCTGCTGCTGTGACAGTGGTAGATTTGTTGCCCTGGAAAGAGAACTGCGTGCATTCTGACGACTAGGCGGCTCTCTCTGTCTCCTGTCAGCATCGGATCGAGGGGTTTTTGTAGATAAAAGATTGATCCTTGGCGTAAGATCAGGATGGGAGTAAACAGGCTGGCTCTTTCTGTATTGGATGTTATGGGTCGTCATATGTTCTATAAATCAGAGTACATGTATTTATCTTATCGTTAAAAAAATAATGGTGAATAAACAGCTTCTCTAGAATACACTCTTAAATACACAGAAATCAGTTTCATTCTTTACTCCTTTTCCCTTAAAGAGAAAAAGAATACGTTTCTGTGTCATAATGACGATGTACTTTCTTCATGGTATAAAGTCCTCTTGTAGTCTAAACCTATTAAGTTATTATATTTTCTCTAAAAAAAATAGGTTTTTATTACAGCTTTTACTTACGATTGAGACGAAATCTAAATATTTTTTTTTGTAGACGAATTAGATTTAATTTAGCCATTTTTTTTGAGACACATCTAGACAAGCCTATTCTTTTTTAAGACGAGATGACCTTCCGAACTGAAACAAATAAGATATTTTTTGAGACAGAACATATGTTTCTTGCTGGTTGAAGCTAGATAATTGTGAGAGAATCAATGGATACTTTAAGCTCTCTATGTTCAAGATATATTATCACGATCATTAGTACCTTTGTAAGGACTGTCATTAAATCCCAAAACAGGCTTTTCTACAGAGCTATAATGCGTGGTGCATATTTCTTTTTCTCAATTGGAAAGATGATTTCATACATACATACATACATACATACATACATACAGATACATACGCATATACATATATACGTTTGTATGAAGCGTTTATATATATATATATATATAAGCATTCAAATTTGTCTTAATCTCAAATAGAAACACAGCACTGGATTCTAGGATTGGTATTGTAATCTTTTGTATAATGAGGTTAAGATTTATAATGTAATATATACACCTAAAATGTCTCCGTATTAAAACCCAGACAGTAGGCCCAGATTGGTGGGAAATCCAGAAAAAAATTGATTCCCAATACCAAGTACATTCAACGATCGCACTCTTCTTTTCTTTTCTTTATTTTATGTATTGGTTCTATTTGAGCCCTAAAAGTTGAAAAAAAAGAAAGAGGCAATGTACAGGAGTTAAATGCGATTGTCAAGAAGAGTAACAGGAAGAGGAAGAGGAGGAGGAGGGAATGAAGTTTAGTTTTAGTATATTAGTATGTATGTATATATATATATATATGTATGTATGTATGTATGTATGTATGTATGTATGTGTGTGTGCGAGAGTGTGTATAATGAGTTTGTTTTTTGTATGAAATTTGAATAAATAATAAAAGGATGTGTTTTTTTTGTGTTGTGTTGTGTTGTGTTGTTGGGTGGTGTGCGTGAGGATTTGTAGGTGTAGGTGTAGATAAGATAATCTATATGCAAAAAGAGGGTACAAGTTTTAAAGAGCAGTATATATAGTTTGTGAGTTGTATGCGTAAATTATATATGTAAATATATAATATGAATCTTTAGAGATAGAGAGATAGAGAGACAAAGTTGTTCATTCCTTTTTTTTTTTTTGGCTCTTTTGTAAGACCGTCTATTTTGGTTATCTCTGTTTCTGTCTCTTATCTCTCTGTTTTTTTTGTTGCCTCTAAAACACACATCTTTTAACTGAGTATCGGAAGAAACTATCGCAAATCATAAAACACAGGGGTTAATGATCTGTTTACGCTTGCGGTTAGAATATCTTACATTTCCGACAATAACACTCGGTAAATCAAATATATCACGCTTGATAGTAAAGCAAAAAGTGCAAGGAACCAATCTCTTTGTAGGACTGATGAGTATACAAGAGCTGTACACAGCAGAATCAGTGTTATCAAACGCATGGAGAGCGTATTTTTCCCAATATTCGACTGCAGAGGCATCACTCATTAACTATACAACGGATTGTTAGCAATTCGATAAATATATATATATAACTTACTTCGTAAATATAGGTCTTTTTGTTCAAGAGGGCGTCCCGGGACCACTGAGTGAGGAGAGAGAATTCCTTGCCAACTAATGCGATCTCACCCGTTCGTCTCCACACAACAGTGGGTGTGCCGGAATAACTAATTAATTTTTCATACTCCTACAGAACAACAGCAACGATGAATTAAGAGAAGAAGAAGAAAAAAAAAGGGGGAATAGTTAAAAGTAATGCTTACAAGAAGTGTACGTTGGAGACATTTTTCGGTAAATATAAGATCGTCTTCAGTCAGGTTCATCATTGAGGCAAGTACAGAGGGGCGAAAGAGCGCCAGCGCCCGGCTAATTCGCATCAAGTCTTCTCTACTCATTCTATATATACATAATACATGATTTTTAGGAAGATGCCCATGTGGGTTTGTGTTTCCCAAAGGAAAAAAAAAGTAAATAAAATAACACTTACTTTTGGCGGACATATGTTATCAGATAATGATAACCTTCTGCGTAACTAAATGGTTTGGTAGCACTGGCATAGGCCATTTCTGGAGTGATTATTTGATTACGACGCTTCACCGCAGCACCAGCTGTAACTGGGCTGGCAATCTTGGCCACGACTGCCCCATCGCCATAGGGAAGCATGGAAGATATACCAGAAGAGGATATGTGAGACGAGTTCAAAACAGCAGATGGAATGGAACCAATAGAACGAGGAGGAAACAAAATATCGTCCATAATTGATTGATTTCCACTTGTGAACGAACTTGGTGTGGTAGGAAGAGAAGGTGTCTGAAGTGGGGGACGGGTATCTGGAAGAGTAAAATCAGGGCTGCCATGTTGTTGGTGTTGGTGATTATGTTGATGATGATGATGTTGATGATGAAGTTGCTGCTGCTGCTGTGGCTGTTGATGCTGGTGTTTATGCTGATGTGATTGAGTATGATGATTTTGGCTTTGACTTTGGCTTTGGCTTTGGCTTTGGTTCTGGTTCTGATGATTGTTTTGATGTTGATGTTGATGTTGATTTTGATTTTGATTTTGATTTTGGTTGTGGTTCTGGTGTTGGTTTTGGTTTTGGTTTTGATTCTGCTGCTGCTGCTGTTGCTGTTGCTGTTGATTTTGATTTTGATTTTGGTTCTGATTCTGATTCTGATTCTGATTCTGATTCTGATTTTGTTGGTTATGTAACTGTTGTTGGTGTAATGGTTGCAAGTGCTGACGGTTTTCTGTTACAGTATTTGGCCATCCTCCGGTATTAACGGTAGATGTTATTGAAGGGGTCGTGGTAGACGTGGTAGTAGTGGCGGGTGCCACGGGGTTCGGTTGGGTTGCACGTACGTTTGTTACGATCGGGTGTACTGGTGGCTGTGTTAGTTGAAGGTCCATCGGTGACCCCAACATACTTGACAATATTGAATACTCGAGATTTGTAGCAGAGGATCCAAAACCGTAATTATAATTATCCATATTCATCAACTGGCTACTATTGATCATCTCGTTCGCATCTGTAGGTTTTAAAAGAATTAAAGGAAAGAAAGGATTATAAATGACATTGGCATAATTTAAATATAAATAAAATAAAAACAGGAATCAGCAAATATTCTATACCGTTTGTCATGAATGCTTGAGTATCCAATATTGCAGCATTTGTTAGTGTATCCGAGGCTGAGGTTGTGTTGAAGGATTCCATGGTGGCTGGTGGGAATAAATTGGCCCGATTCTTCAGGTCTATTGTATATAATTTTTTTTTATAGAAAAATGAAAAGTTAAATACGTACGTAGACACATACAGCTGTTACAGCTGTTACTTCTGTTATAGCCACTACTATTACAGGCTCTTTCCAAAAGGATTGACCATCTTAATGCAGCTCCCAAACTTTCAATTCATCAAGCGTATTCCAAAGAAGAAAGAGGAAAACGAAGAGGATTATAAAGGGTGTTTTTCCAGGGAAATGTAATCAATTGTCACTTTAATTGTTTATTAAGCTTGAATCATACATTTATCACTGTATGGCTTTAAGGGTGTTCTTTACGTCTTTCATTTCGGATTTTTAAATGGTCAATCCTTTTTTCAGGAACCTGTATTGTTATGTTCTACCACTGCCACTACCACTACCACTACCACTTCCACTTCCACTAATAGTAATAATACTACTAATATAGCTACTATATGTATATATCTTTACCTTCAGCATCTTGTAGATATTTTGCTTTTTTGCGTGCTCCGTCTGCACAAGTTGATGCCAAATCTCTCTTTATGCAACGCTGGCATGGTCGAGCTATTGATATATATATACACAGAGCAAAATTGAGTTTACAGTAATAGACTTGAGGATTTAAAACTTACAGTCATCACATGTGAGATGAGCCTTTATGGTTTGATTGATTGAATGATTGGTTTTGTTGACAAGAATGTGTTGATTAGCTTATTTGATCTATAATTCCATTGTAATATTGTTTACTTTTTGACAATGGATGCAGGCTCTGGTAGCCTTCTTTTTACGTTGTGGGATGTGTTGAGAAGGCATTGAGTTTATGGCCGAGTGAGGTGTCTCGGGAGTTGTGGAAGCAGATAATGTAGTCATGTGGATTGGGCAACAATAAAAAAGAGGCTGTGCATTCCCAAATGGTAACAATAAACAGGAAGAGAAGGGGAAAGAAAAAAAAATTATAATAGGATATTACAATATATTATATTTTTTTTTCTTCTTCTTTCTTAGCTTCAATTCTATCAATTATCGATTTTCACCTCTTTACCCCAGCCAATGATGATGAGTCATTAACCAATATAAATATAAATATATATATATGTATATATATAAATAAAAATAAAAATAAAAATAAAAATAAAAATAAAAATATAATTATATTACTTTGTCTCGTTCTCTCTCTCTCTCTCTCTCTGTGTGTGTATTTATATATATATATATATATATATAGGTCGCTTTTTTTTATTTATTATTATTTTTTTACACTGCAGACGGGTAAATGTTTAAGCTAAACCACTATTATTTCTACTAGTTTTGATCAACGCCGCCATTATTTTAACTGCGAATTCATTATTGTCTGCATACACCTGGAGAACTTGGTTGTCAGCACAGACCTCAAATGAATAGGGCATCAGTCGTTCCTCAAAGTCTGTAGTACATTGTGTTATCCTATCCAGGTCAAACACGGAGCAAGGTGTCTAAAAGGAATTGTAAGAATATCGAAGTATCTATATAGTATGACATACCGTTCCCTGCCATTCTGGAAACAATAAGAACCTCTTGTTCGTAATTTCAAAGTATCGTCTTCTCCACAGCTATTAAAGATTAATAAGCCTCTACATACTAATGGCCGTGAGTTCAATGTTCTTACCCTGCTATCTTCTGTGAGTACCGTCAATTCTCCAGAGAAAGCAACCTTTTTATATACATATACATATACATATACATATATTGATATTGATATTGGTAAGTATATGATGATTAGGAATTATTGTTGAAATAAAATGAAACACACACACACACATATATATATATATATACATATACATAGGAGACTCAATTTAGGTACTTCTTTTTGGGAAACTTGGGAAAGAACTAGAGCAACCCGAAACCCACCTTTTCTATTTCGCTCTCCTCTTGTTTGACTGGCTCTTCAACCTCTGGCGTGGGTTCTATTTCGATTGGCTCTGGCTCTGGCTGAGGTTTCGTTTTCTCTTTTTGTTGTATTTGATGAGTCTTTGGCTTTGGAGCCATGCGGCTGTTACTCAAAGGTTTTGTCTGGACTTTTGAGGATACTTGTTTAAGATCTTTTCGGCCCATTATACCAACTTCCTTCTTTGGGTTAAGAAGTGATGCAGAGAAATGGCTATTTCCCACGGCTCGCTTTGACAGTGGCCGTTTTTGGAAATCCTGAAGATTATTGAAAGAATGAGACTTTACGGTGGCATTGAGGTGTGGAGATAGTGGTGGTGTACGTGGAAGTGAGACCGAGGAGATGGACGAGGATGGGGACATTAGTTCAGAGGGACTGTTGCGCTTAATATACAGTCTAAGTTTTGGCTCTGATAGTTCATTTGTCTGATTGATTGTCAGTAAAAGCCCCTTTGCCTATACAATAAACTATCAGTTTTATGTTGATTCTTAATAAATGAATTAATTAATTAATTAATTATTTTACTGCAGGAATCTGGGATAGTGTGTGGCCGTGGACAGCAGCTTGGGCTACAAAGATAAATAAGAATACAGTCCAACTGGGTGAATAAAATAAAGAATAAATAACCTTACCTTTTTGCGTGTCACTAAAAGCACAAGTGTATGTTTTGTATTAAGACAGGCATGTACAATGACTTGAACTATAATATATCTTTATATCTTACCTGACATGTCTAGGAACATAAACGAGTGTAATCAAATGACGCTCGTATAATAACATGGCAAACTGAATTTCATTTACTGCAATCTTCTCTTTAAGCACACTAAGGATAATAAATTAACCCTCTGTCAAGGAAATTATCATTCAGCCAAAGATATTATTACTTTAATCCTCCTGTTCCATGTTCGAAAGGATATACAGAGATCGTCTGTCCTGTTGCCTTGCGATAGCGAAACAACACCCTGCAACAATAGTAGTTATGTATTAAAGCGTAGTATTGGTATTGGTATTGGTATTAGTATTTTAAAATCAAGGAATCAAAACTGGTGGCAAATCTTCTTTTCTTTTCCTTTTTTTTTTAAAAAAAAAAAGGGTCAAGGGATTTAAGGAAATAAACCTATATCTTCTTTACCAATTCATATGAAATCCAAGGAGGATATTCTTTGACGATTCGAGCCATTTTTGCTCACCCAAAGAGCTCAACGTGAGGAAGTTATGCATAGTTTGGTTTGAAATTGAGAAAGAGCGAAAGGAAAAAGAGACGCCAGAAAGGGGGAGCATTGAAGACTCTTTGTTAAATACCTTTGTTTAGTCTATCCGATGAAGATTCAAAAGAAAGAAGAAAAAAAAAAGGAAACAAAAACAACAAAAACAACAACAACAACAACAAAAAATATGCCGCACAAGCAATGCAAATCCCTGCCTTGCATCACTGGGTTCGATCCAGTAAGAAACCAACTTGCAAGCACTACTTGTACACACGAATATATATGTGTATGTGTATGTGTATGTGTATGTGTATGTATCCATCTTTATGATATTTATAGATATCTGAATATCTGAATATATTTATACTTAAATATTCGTAACAACGCATGTCCCTTTTAAGGGGAAAACAGAGGGACAGGAGTACATCTTTAAGCAAAAACAGTATAGAATGACAAGAGAGAAAGAACTGGAATATATTGCATACTAAGCATGTGCAATAGCTGAAAATGCAGTGTTGTAGATATGGCCACAAAGCTTTTGCATCTCAAACAACCCCAGCTTGGCTATATAGTAAATAAACGGCCAATAAAGGGTGTGAGTATGATGCTTATAATGATTTCTTTTATGGACTTACGGATAGGAACTTGCATTTCCAAGATAGATCGAATCATGTCTTCCACTTGACTGATTTGATCTGTCTTAAAGTACACCATCAAAAGCATCGGCATCTCAGACACGCCTGACTGAAGCAGCTGAGTTAATACTGCGACAAGGTCTCTCTGTATTATTCCAAGTAATAATTAGATGCTTCTGAAACGAGTATGACTTTATCCGTATGTTTTACCTGTCTCTTGAGGATTGCGACTGAGGAAATAAGAATAAGACTGAGGAGAAGCTTGACTAGCCTAGAACCACAAGAAAACAAATAAGTAAATAAATAACTTTTCATTTAATTATGATTATGATTATGATTATGATTGTGATTGTGATTATAATTTTCTGGTTCGTGCCCCCTTCTTTGTGGCAAAAAATAAAGAGGTGCATTTCCACAATGTGATGTGATGTTGTGTGGTGTAAGGATATGCAGTGTTCTATCGTACCTTTCCATTTCAGTGACTCGCAGTAGATAAAAGCACATATCTACCTCGGCCTCACTCAACTGAAGTCCAAAAAATCCAACCAATCCGGCAACCACTCGGATTGCCATTGCCAGTTCAACCTGATTTACCTGCACATCTCCCTTGATAATCCTATTTAGCCACCAAGAACAAATTTATTATTATTACAATCATTTATCAGAATTACCGAACAACTTTGAATCTTGGCGAACACCCGGCTTTTGATGGTTGCAAAATGATGTCTGCTGTTTACTGACTGCGCGATAAACCACGAGGGCATCCGAGACAAGATGCTATTGAAGAAATCAACCTGTACGCACGCACAAACGCACAAACGCACAAACAGACATTTAATATAAAACAAAACTAATACAAATAATTCATCGTATTCTCACTTCATCTTCACAGTATACAGTAAGGCGTGTAACAAGATCCGGTAAAAGTTGCATTTCAACCAATTTGAATCGTACTGTGGCAGCATATCTCGGCTTCTCTTCTACCATGGTGTAAATCATCTCACTACATAAAATAATATATAAAATATAATAGAAAGCCATATTAAGTTTACCGGATTTTCTTTTCAAGTATCCTACTTGACGTGTACATTGGCGTCTATATTGCCAATTTTCTTATTCTCTTATTCAGGGGTAGAAAAAGAAAATCTATTTTATTTTTTGCTTCTTTACCTTAGTTGTATGGAGTAGCGTGTACTAAGACAGTGGGCGCTTTGTAATAGATGATCGATGGCCTTTTGGTCGAAAAAAGCAATATATATATATAAAGAATAAGTTGGATGCATCTTTCTTCGCCCTGCAGTTACTATAGTTTATAATATTTCTTTTGGGGGGAAGGGGTCTATCCTTAATATCTCCTTACTTCTGTAAAATTAAGAGGGTCGTTTCTGGCAATACAGCGTACAAGTTCACAGCGTGTAGACAAATGAACAAAGCCTTCAAGGACATGCTTTCAATGGACAAAAGTTATGGTATAAATGTTATGTAAGAAACAAAACAAAACAAAAAGATATGCACAACCACACAATAAACCACACAAACATGCGCGCGCGTATATATATATAATTATATAGAGTTTATAATTTATTATTCCCTCTTCTTTTTTTGCACACACACATACACATACACATACTACATCTATCTCTCTTACTTGGATATTTCCTAATCTCTCATTCACATCTTGTGCTTCGAGATCATCAAATAGATCAAGAGCAGCTACCACCATTCCAGATTCATCACGTAGAAAATTTTGATTGGACAATAAATGACTAGACGCTACCACAGATTTGCTCGCTCGTTCAGGTTGTTGACGATTAGCGTAGGCAAGGTATTGAATGCAACTAAATTCCAATAGTAATCTAATATATCACAAAAAAGAAAAGTTTATTTCTCCAGTCTTTTTTTTTTTAAAAAAAAAAGACATTTTGGATTATGTTTACTCACTGGAATTTACGTGGATCACTGAGTGTTCCAGATATGGATCTGTATTGGGTCTTGAGATTTATGACGGTAATTGTGGCATAATGTGTGAATAAGAATAAGAACTCAATGGAAATCTACCTGTGAAGCGTTATGTCCAATCTTTTGAACCGAGTTTTTATATTGAAAATAATAGCTTTTGAGCTCTTCAATTTCGTCTTCCATTGTCTGTTAAAAAAAAGTTCTATAAATGTAGGCTTGAACTTATTCACTAGCGACAAATGTGTGCATTGTGTGTGTGGGTGGATGTATTAATAGGCTTTAATACCGTCCTAACCTGTATGCGATTATAAGCAGTCACGCCTCTTTTAGGATTGACATTTGATCAAGCTCTTCAAAGAAAATAGGCTATTTTCGTTTTCTTTCCTTATCCAATCCAGGAACCGACAAGTGATGTGAGTACAAAGCTTTCGTGCGTGACGTCTTATTTCCCCACAAACTCACTCACAAACTCACATATAAAAACGACGCGTTGGGTCCTGTTCACTTTTTTTTTTCTTTTTTTTTTGTATTATATATTTTCTCCTTTTCTGCTTCTTCTTATTTTATATCACTTTATCTTGTATTAACATACATACATCCAAGAAAGATATTCTCAATCAAATGGCCGAAACAGAGCAAGTTCAAGTGGTTGATGAATGGAGTACGACCAAAGACAATTATCCTATCTTCACAAAGACCTGGAAGCCTGCCGGGAAACCAGTGGCACAAATCTTGTAAGTGCTGAGTAATATTATTTAGAGCCAAAATTAAATATTCCTTTTATTTTTGTTTTGTTTTGGGGGAGGTGTTCTATAGGATGATTCATGGTTTTGGTGAACATATCGCTCGTTATGATGAAATGTTTACATTCTACGCTGAGAATGGCATTGAAAGCTTTGGGTTTGATCAAAGAGGCTGGGGAGAAACGGCTGCAAAGTCAAAGGAGTATGGAAATAACAATGGGTAAGCAACTATGCAGACTAGTAAATTAAATACTTTCAATGGTTAGAATTTTATCGAGTTTACGGAAAATTAAACGGCAATATTTCTGATAAATATAGCTATATGACCGCCCTGGGTGATATCAATGCAAAAATTCACAAACTCAAACGTCCTGGAGTTCCTCTCTTTTTGATGGGCCACAGTATGGTAATTCAAGAGAAATAAGAAAAAGAAGTAGCTCATTATTGACATTTCTTCAAGGGTGGAGGTCTGGTGCTCAACCTGTTGGTCAAACGAGATATCTTTGATGGCGTGGACTTATTGCAGGGCGTAATTTCTTCTGCCCCGCTCGTCACATTGACTACCCCCGTCCATCCCATCAAGTACATACCTCTCTCAATGCTGTCCAAGGTGTTTCCTAGCTTTGTTATCAGAGCTGGCCTAGACCCCAATGGCATTAGTCAAGACAAGGAGCAGGTCAAGAAATATATTGAAGATCCTCTTATCCATGACTATGCCACACTTGACACATGTAAGATATTGATAAGGTTTATCCAAGAATGTGTCATTTATTTACTGTATTTGAAGTACGTGGATTTCTAGAGGCTGGTGAATCCCTTTTGGTTGAAGGAAATAAGATTGATGTTCCCATCTTATTCTCTCACGGAACAGCCGATCCTGTTAATGATTATGCTTCAACCAAAAAAGTATATGAGCTTGCTTCTTCAAAAGACAAGGAGATGAAGAGCTGGGAAGGCCTTTACCATGAATGTAAGTCATATGGTACATGTAGTACATACATACACAAAGAGCTAATATAGTGTGTTTCTGTTGATACAGTGCATAATGAGCTGGTACTCGAGCGCAAAAATGTGATTGAATATTACCTCCATTGGATTAAAGCAAGAATCCCCACCCAATAAGCTCTAAAATAACAATAACAATAAAAATAAAAAGCAATTGACTTCCAATCTACAAGGTTTAATCACAAAGCTTGGGGAGCATAGGCCTGTGACGCGATAAACAATGGGAAAGTCTTGTGATTTTGTCCCCCTCCTCCCCAAATAAAAAGCAATATTATAATGGTAAAGCTAAAGATTATTTCACTATTAGATGTACTTTTTTGCGTTATGTAATTTAAGTATTCACTCAAAAGACAAGCATCTATAAAACAATAATACTAATACTAATACTAATACTAATACTAATACTTCTTTACTAAATTGACACTGTCATTATTCAAACCCTTTTTCGACCCAGTAATTTTGGTAGTCTAGTAATCACCGACTATCAAACAAGCTTTCCTTATAATCCCTTTAATGTTTGACCTGAACAACTCAATATGTTTTAAAAAATGGTGAGTAATTGGGAAAATTATGTGGGTATAAAGCCACAATTTTCAATCAAAGTTCGGACTTCATCCACTTTATGGATATAAGCGTTATCCATAGCCAGAAAAGACCTTTTTTTTATGTTGATTAAGCATACTCATAGCATTACTCGAAAGCTCAAGGAAATTCTCATTACGTGCACTATATCTAGTTTTTACACCGACATCTATCGCTTTACTACCTCTCCACTCTTATTTCTTATAATAATCAGCCTTATTCTAAAAATCCTTTAGTTTTCATAAATAGCATCAGTTAGAGGCACGGCAATACATCTGTTGAAAGGAATCAATTTCTTGTACATAACGCTTTGATCGACCAAATTCATTACGAACACATATTTTGAAACCTGTCTCGTCGATAAAAACAAGCCTATTTTCTTAATCCATATTTTTTTTTCATTTGCTCTACGTTCTAAAATAATTTCTTTGGGCAAAGTGGGATTTCTGTAAGCTACTCTTGTAGTTTCAATGCATTCCATATTTCTGAATGCAAATGGTGTGTATTGGGCTACACGTTTGGGAAAATTGAAAGGAGAGATGGATTTAATTTTGAAAAATGCTTAATGATTAGTTTTCCTGCTAGAGAATAGCTTTTGATTTTTCTCTATAAAGTTTCTTCTAATACTGGGCTTTTTTTTTCAACAATAACAATTATCATTCCATTATTTCTTGCTAAAAAAAAAAGTCTCTTCACGAATGAAGAAGACAATAAAATCTTGTATATTTTCTGGAATATAGGATCTATATTATTGAACCTTGGAAGTAGAAAGTTTAACAGACAATAGTTTTGAGCGGTTTTTTGGCCCAAAATATGGATACGGAACAAAAAGGTAAGAATGTGCCACTTGTTTATTCAATGGTACTCTTATTAAACTCAAACTACAGTGGCCAAAATGTCATTCACAAATTTCCAAGTCATTGAAAGCATATGGTTTAGTAAATGTGGATGAAAAGTGTATTCGTTTGGAGCTCGTATTTTAAAAAACTCTGTTGGGATTCAAGGTGCGTTTTTCTGGGAGTATAGATCTATTATAAAAGTGTCAAACAAAAATAAAGACGAGTTTAATTGCCCAAGAGAGAATATGGTTGAATTTATGTATAATATACTAATAGCTGATTATTTTTCCTACAGAAGATGCTTACTTGGAGCTGTGAAGCTATCCAGATAATGATATAGGCGGCATTTCTATCTTTTGTCTCTTATAATCCCTCGAGGCTCTTTTTGTCTTTTTCCTTTTTCTTACACTTGGTATGCCATATGATCTATGAATTATATGCACTATATCCTTTATTAAAATACAATAATTAGCCGGGGAGCAGCCTTAAAAAGCTTGCTAAAAAAGCTAATATGTTTCTCCATGATATAACCATTCGCTTATGATAATTACAGTGTCTATTAATTGATAACTATAGTAACTATGTAATATGAGTGGGTAGTAAGCTTCCAAAAAAGAATAATAAGATATCTTAATGCTGATTTTCTTTTAAATAATCATAAAATCAATAGTAGTCTATCTTAGGAAAAGAAGCATGGTGATACAGGCACACAAACTCCATGCAAAATACTATAGGAAAAACAGATACAACTTCCAACAGAAAAAGTTACACCAGTCATCAAGAACTCGCTTATTATCATTTTTGTTCACTGGTTTATATTCTGATACTCTCAAAAGTATGCTTCTTTCATGGGATATTTAATATTATGTGTCCTGAAAAACACTATTAATAATTATAATGATACAGTATTTAACGTCTATAGAGAAAAAATAGGACGTGAATTTTATTCTTCTAGCATATGTTATCTAATACGACTTGTACTATAATTATCATCTGAATAACCTGATGAATTATTCAAACTAGAGGCAGCTGAAGTACTAGATTCACCAACTTGATTTACGTAGCGCGGGCTTGGCTGTCTTCTCACATGCGGTGGTGACGGTGGGTCTTCCGGGATTTCGTCAAAATGCCATGTAGCTGTAGAAGTACGGTCGACCTCTTTACCCTTAGATCGTACAGACGTATTAGAGCTAGTTTCTCCTGTTGATCCCCCTGCTGTTATTCTCCGGGAAGAGCTTGTATAAGCATGAATATTATCTGGCCTGACGACAATCGTTTTGTTATCTTCTGTGCTACTTGTTGCTAGTAATTGATAGTTCGTGTTTCTCAAGGTTCCAGCACCCAGATTGTTCTCGGCAGGTTTTATAGCCTTTGTGGCACACGTAAGTCGAGGGATACCAGTATGGGTAGCTGTACTCTTTGGAGTGTTGGACTTATGACTAGGTCTGATACCATTGGTAATCAAAGCAATCTTGTTGCCAGTACTAGAAGCATACTCTGGGGTTTTCTCTGTAAGAGACTCAGAAGATACAATGGATTTAGTATTGTCATCTTTGTTCTCGTCGTCAGACTCGGATATTTCGACTGGCTTTTGTAACGACCACGTTCCATCGAACTCACGGCATTCATTTATAGCATGCTGCCAGCAAAAGGTTGCGCAAGCATAAGCAAGTGTACCAGCTAGGATAATATAGGTTGCTAGGGTGATTACATAAAAGCCTTGGTGCCAAGGGTTCCAATCCAATACTGACTTGATACCCGCTAAATATCCTGTGTGGATGAATAAGTCAACCCCAACGAAAAACAAAAAGGATCCAATAAAAGAAGTTGATGCCATGATTGTATATCTTTCAACTCTGAGTGTGAATACACCAGCGATAATAGAACACAGGCTTATAGAAATGACACGAACTATAGACTAATTGTAACTATTAGTACTTTAGAAGAGCACATTGTAAGGTGCACATATTCATGTTCAATCCCTTAATCATTGGCAGCTGAGAGACATTTACCTGACTAACAACTCCACTTTTTGTTGAAGAAAGGGCCCAAAGTGCAAAAACAAAGCCTCCCATTGCTATAAAAAAAAACAAATGGAGGGTATTAATCTCCCGTGAATAATTTGACAAAGCATAAGCTATTACCACAAATAATGTATTTTGCTTTGTCGTGAAAAATACTGAACACGCCCATTCCAATAAAACCAAATAGAGATGTCACAATAAGAGTGTCTGATTCAGAATCGATATAGCTATCCGGTAGTTCAACGTTCATAAATGTAGACCAAGCAAATACACCTATTGTTGGTTTTAATACAATACGCAGTTTTGTGTATTAGATGTACGGTCATTATTCTCTTATTTGTAAAACTTGCCGAACGAAAGAAATCCCATTATACAGACTGTAGGTCGTCTGTAACGGAAGCCAAGGGCCGATAAGTACAACCCCACAAGAATAAATATTACACCAATAAGTTTATTGTGGTAAGTCGGCTCCCATCCACCATAGATTAATATCATTGTATCCTTTTCTGTTATTGGTAAATAATATATGCATGTGTATTAGCTCTTGATGGCTTGATAAATTCTCAGAATGATCACTTATTATTTCTTACGCTGGTATTGTTCTGGTACGTCGTACATGTAATCAATAGCACGCCTGGGAATACGACTAGGGTTTTTTTGGTGAGATACATTAACATGTAGGTAATTGGCATCTGAATCTAACAATGGTCGCAGCATGCTATAATTTGTACTTAAGTTATAAGAAACTCTTATGATCTGAACAAATCATACAAGCACAGAAACTTACCCTGCGTCTTGTTGATTATATATAACGTTTGAAAGAGAGGATGAAGAAGCATGTGCCAGAATTGCTGTATGAACTGTTGCTATCAGCAGTATCCAAAATGCTTGGGTTAATAACATTGTGAGATTCTATTGAAATAAATAAAATATCTAGTAAAGAAAATAGATAGAGTATATAAAATATTCTTAACATTTTTATAGATATATATTAATTCATCGACGACAGTTTATTATGACAATACCATAGACAATCTTAGTTACTGACAGCTTTATATTTTATTATGACTCGTCTGATAATATACGCATTTATATATATATATGTACACATAAGACTTAGGTGTCCATAACAGTTTATTAAAAGAGAGTGGTTCATTAAAACAAATGTCGTTTAAATAATGATTCTGACTACAAAAATTCAGCAGAGACATCATTTACAATGTGCTTTTGTATGATTGAATAATCAAAATATAATCCTTGCAAAAGAAATTATTGAATTTATAACAATCTTCTTTACTATGAAAACCTTCATAATAAAGAGCTATCTTGCTACTATTAATTAAAGAGTATATAATACATAATAAATACACAGAAACACCACCTATGGAAACTTACACAGCTAATATGCTACGTACTTTGCTTTTATTTTAAAGGTTTGATTAAAGAAAGAAAGAAAGACAAAGAATTAAGCTGAATATCACACTCTGGTGTGAAATAGAAATACGATACTAAAAAAAAAAATTAAATTACACATGTGAAAATAAGGCTTTAATTTTATTTAGCTATTAATATTTCTCTGGTCTGTGCGTAAGCCATTAATGTATACATAATTAATCACAGGTAGAAAAAAAATTAAGCTTTGTTTTGATTTACGAGGCATGCATGGTAAAGTTGACTTGTTCATTTGCATTTGTTTGGAAAATTTACCAGCTGACATATAGCTACATAAGATAAAACACAACTCTAATATTAGTAATCATCAAGTGATCATTTTATTCGCTGTATAGACTCTAGTTGTTTGAGTAATACATTTACAGTCTTTGAATTTGATATAAGGTGTTCTTGTATATATAAGAAATAATGGTAAAAAGTGCGATTTTAGTGAGAAAAATTTGCTTCGTTCTTCAGAGTCTTAAGGTGATTTTAAGGTGGTCTTTTTGGTCAAATAGCGCTGTCTCCGTTTTATGTTTCAATTTCAAGTTATCCAAGTTATTTTGTATTACAGGCCAAAAATAAAGGCACCTTTTTAAATATCCAACTTTTGCCATATCCTCTTTTCTCTTTCATAGTTATTCCCTAGTATCATGCTATTACTTTTATAGTCGACGTAAAACATGTCCCTCGAAGTGTATAAAGTAAAAAAAGGAGATTTACTAGATTCAAATAATGCAATGATTTATCATAAATTCATTTTAGAAATATACGGTGATAGCCAGGTTACAAAATTATCTTCATGTAAATAATACCTTTCTAGAGCTTGCTCGGCATTTTGTACTTTTGTAGCCTCTGTATCAGACAAAGACTACTCGGAACATTTTACCTGGGGATCGTTGAACTTTCAATTTAAGAAACACAGGAAAATCTCTAGAATTGTATCATTACATTACAACTCGTAAACCTTGTGTTGGGAGTTCAATACAACATCAGGACCGCAATTTTATAAATGGTATCAAAGCCGTAAGCAGGATATTTTCTCCAGGCAGTTTGGATTGGTAAATCTAAAAAAAAATTAACATAAAAGTGAAGATTAGCTGCAATGTTACCGTAAAAGACCATGTCAGGTTACATATTACGCTCGAAAACGGTAAGCATATGCAGTATTCAAGTCAGTACTGATAACCCTTCTGACAATAGATTTTTCTGTTAGTATTGTGGATCTACTGCAAATTAATATCGACGTGATATATCTGGATTGTTTATCTAAGCTTTATTATACTCTACTCTTTGATTTCAGATAATCTTAGTGTTTAAACTGAACATAATCCCCTGTATACCTTGCTTGTTTATAAATTATTTCTGTGTTCTTTTTAAGATACGCTTACACGATACCCTATCACTGCTAGCATTCTCCAGCAGGATACCTCAAAGACACGAAATAAAATAAACTGCCTATGTAAGGCCCATAATTCGAAAATATGTCAGATTATGTTCTTAGAAGAAGGAAAAACAAGCCACACAGTGAGTACTTTGTAGCTATCTTGAGACATTAAACGTGATAATACAATCCTTTTATGGCTTATTTCTTTGCCAAAGAGTATAATATATACTAAGGCTATTTTTATTCTAAGAAAAAGTAGAATCAGAAGTATCTGAAAAAGCAACGATAAAATGGTTGGTATTTGACGTGATTTTTCTATAATACCACTTGTAGAACTTCAAAGTGCGCTTTGAGACTTCAAACTGTACGCTTTGCATTTTTGAATTACGAATTTTGTTATATTAGAGCACATTACAGTAAAACAAGTGATACAAAAATATACCTTTTCTTTAAAAAAAAATCAATAAAATTCATAAACAGAATATAATACAAATGCTTTCCTTGGCCAAACTTTTGCTTGAAAGTAATTATTGGTTGGCTAGTTTTACTTTTGAGCACTATATACAAGGACTAAAATAAGTATATTCTAAAAAGAAGGCAACAGCTATTTACAGCTCTTAAATTTTATCCAAACTTGTATGAAGTTTTATCTTGGCAGATTCAATAAAGGACAGTGTAGAATACCTAGGGCTTGGAAGATATTTGTAAAGCATAGTGACTGTCTTTCTAATGGAATTCTACCAGCTAGAAAAAAAAGGACCAGCTTTTTGGGTTTGGCAGGACTAGTAGAGAAGAAGAAAAAAATATAGATCCCACCACCGATTGGACAAGATCAATCTCCATTAAAAATTATTTTCGTCTCTTTATCTATTCGACATAATCGTAAAACACTCTACCTTTTATTCATTTCATATCATTACAGAGAATTTTCTTGTACTACATAGCTTGTTCATTAAAAAAAGCATTTCATTGACACATTATTTGTTGAATTCAACACCTAATACGGTTAATCATGGATTCAAATTCTGGACCAAGTCATCCTTCCTCGCCAATTGCACCCTTTGAAACACCACCAAATACTACCAATGAAAGCATGGATACTTCAGTAGACAACAGTCCTAATAATGAAGCTGATCAAGTTGCTCAAAACGAAGAAAACGCCAAAACTGCAAAAGAGAATCTGGAGAAAAATGAAGAGTACGTTTTAATGGAATAAGCAACAGACAATAGTAATATTAATAATCATAAGAGTTACTACTATTACTATTATGCGTGAAGAAATATGCGATAAAAGAGAACTTGAGAAAACATCTAACTGATATTTGTTTATTCTTACTTTACGTCTTACTTTAACTATACATCTCTCTACAACTGTTCCTCTTTGAACTTCTACTTGTATCTATATAAACTACAGCTATCGAGCAGTAGTCAAAACATTAGATGTGTTACGCCACCAACTCAAACAAGCCCTTCAAGATATTGAATCTCTCCATAAATTGAAAAAAGAAGCTCTTGATGATCCATTTGAATTCGTAGCTTATCTTAAACAAAAGGCATGACTATTTTCAAAATAAGAGTAAAGAATAAACTGTGGATTTATTAACACGGATGTTTTATTTAGGATTCTAGACGACGTATACCTCAATTGCAAAAAATTGTGTGTGTTCCTGATATCGACTGGCGTCAGTATAAATATTTGCCCGATTCACGCCTAGTTCAGCAAGCAGGTAATTCAATAACATATTGTATTATATAAATCACTTAAATACCTTTAAACTTCTACTAGCTGCATTAAATGCACTTTCTCAACACTCTATTGGGCTACACAAACCAAGCGTTTTCCGAGTAAGTTTTATTGTTGTTTTTTTTTGCTAAATAAGCTATGGATATCACATATTATACGTGTATTTACATTCCAACAGAATATTCTCGAAATACCCTATCATCCACCTCCACCTTCACACCCTACATCTTCAGCCGTGCGATCCATGCAACGTGAATTAAACAAAGCTTCTCAAATATTAACTCAAATGCCTTCGCGTGCTAATTCGGTATCAGATTTCTCAGACAAAGAGTCCGATGATGAAAGCATGGTTCAGCCAAGTAGATACGGAAAGGGCATGAGCAAACGACGTGCATCAGTACATCAACCTAAAGTTGAGGAGCCTACAGCGCCTTTATATAGAAATATAATGGCTGAAGATTATAACGACAAATGTCAACCTAGTGACTATCCTACCTATAGCCGTGCAAACACACCTGAAAGGTAAAGAATAATATTATCGTAAGTGTGGAAGATATAAACTAATTCAATAATTTATCAATTAGTACCCGGCAGACACTACGATATATTGAACCGCGTATGAGTGAAGAACTTTCCCTTGATTCGGTACGACATATACCATAGATGCATGTACTTATAAATAAGAAAGCAGCCCTGATTATCTTTTAATTTAGGATGATCGCTCAAAACTACCGACTCACAATCAGCCGTGGTCTGATGAAGAACAGGTAATTATATATGCCTGTCTATATAATGGTTTGCTTTATTTTATATAAGTGACCTAACTTTTTTAATATTCTAGCAACGACTCGAACAATTATTAGAGATATATCCTGATGAGCCTGTTCAAGCTCAAAGATTCAACAAAATCTCGAGTGCTCTTGGTACTCGTACTGCCCGCCAAGTAGCCAGTCGAGTCCAAAAGTATTTTATCAAGCTGGCCAAATTAGGACTTCCTGTACCTGGACGTATCACGATTCCTGTGAGTTGTGAATATAAACTTATATATTTTCTCTCTAAATTGGATGTAGCAAAAAAAAGACTTATGTATAATTGTAATATTTCTTTTTAGCCTTCCTGTTTACCAAAGCCTTCGCGCGGAAGTATAAATGGACGTGGGCGAGGAATTGGTAGGATTATGAAACCTAAAAGGCAGAACAGCTCCAATAAACCACGGTCTGTGGCTCGTCAGCCTGTACGTACTTCGGGTTCAGGATATAATTCAATGGTTTCTGGGGGTATTACAACCACAAGGTATATGAATATAAGAAGATTAAGATAATAGTATAAAAAAGTTACCTGGAATCTAAAATATATATTTTTAAAAAATAATAGAATCTCGGGTGCACATTATTTAACAGCCCAAGCACCACCAACTGTGTTTATGTCGGATGACGATGATGATGATACTACTGTAAAGAACATGATGCTCAAGGTTACCAACCAGAAGATACGCAACGTAAGTCTTATTGAGCCACAATATCACTGCAAAGACATTTTCTAAATATATATTATCAGGGCGACTCTTCTATAAAAGAGGAGAACACGAATGAAGCTGTTCATGAAGGTTATGCTGTGAGTAGTAAAACAAATGTGTAATACACAACCCACAACTTACAAAGCTGTAATACTGATCTTTTAATCTGATGATAGTGTGACAATTGTGGAATAGAACCAATTGTTGGCGTACTTTACAAATGTACCGTTTGTGATGTGAGCGAAGAGATTGATTTATGTGGACAGTGTATGTCTATTGGCACATTTTCAAACGGTAAGTATAAAATTATATATTATTATCTGTACTAAATTGTATAAATGTCTAATAATCGTTGATGTGTTCATCTTAGATCACCATACACCGGATCATCCTTTTGAAGCTATTCGAACACCGAATGCTTTACCATATTATGCTGATAATGATTATGCTTCTCCAGAATATTTGGGCGAATACAGCTACCTTGGATATTGATCTTATTTTCAAAGAAAAAAAAAGAACCATAAAAGTATACTACATTTCATATAGTCTCTTAAACCCTAAAAAATCTGGCAAAAATCTACCACTGAAATCACATTTCTTGTACCATAGTACAAGCAAAAGGAAACATAAAGAATTTTTTAAAAAAAAATATCTTTCTGCGTGCATATCTAATATATATAAATATAAATATTCAAAAGGACACCCTAGTCCACCATATATAATGTTTTATTTATTTCTTTATGTGAGAAAGGCTCTTGTAATATCTAGCTATTCTACACATTCTTATCTGCATAACCCATGATATCAAATGCTGCCCTGTAGCAGAATACAAATTGAACAAAAGTTTGCACCATTGTGGTGCGTTGTCGACGAAAGCTATCGACCAGTTGGAATACAGGGTCAAATGTAGCCTCTTTGAGGCTTTCTGTGAATAGGCCTTGTCGTGTGGCATTTATAACGCTGCTTATAACACAGAATGCTCCTGTACGCCCACATCCGGCGCTACAGTGAACTACCATAGGCCCAGCGTTTGGCGTCTGGAAACTTTCTGCAAAATTGGCTAGAGAAATAATATTTCCTGTCTCTGTGGGCACTCCGTGGTCGGGCCAGGCTGTGTATAGGATATGACTGACCTTTCTGACCTTGACAGTCTCAAGCTGACCATCGCTACCTCTAAGCATCGCAGATACTTCAATCTCTCGAACAACGCGATTCTCATTGACTTCAACAACCTCAGGCTCAATATTGCGTACTTGAATTATCACTCGACCATCTCCATTAAGCATAGTTTCATTTGGATCTTTTCCACTCTGTGCAAGTAAAACTTCTTCTTGTAATGGCCAGTAACGTGCACACTTCTCTTGAATACTGTCCATCTCACGTGTGAGACAGACGATTATACGAGTATTCTGATCCAGCACCATTTGCCAAAAATCAGCAATGGTTTGCCGAAGTGGTCCCTGAGTAGCAATGTAATGACGACTGGGATCAAATGGATCCGTAATCATGCTCGCATTAATATAATTATCAGAAATATTGGCAGAAGAAGTATTATCAAGCTTAGCCCCGGGATATGTAAGTCGAACGCGATTATAGTTGAATGGAATAATATTTGAGTATCGATTTTTGCGTCTTGCCAAGGAATGAGTTGCATCCGTTTGTAGGAATTTATTTCCGTCTTTTCCGGCTAATCTTCTTGCTTGATCATGTTCGATTCGTCTATAAAGATTCTTTAGATGTTCAACGACATGTCGGTTATCGAGATTCCAGAGCTGGCGAAGAGATATTGTGTTTGCTTGCATCTTATCAAGTCAAGGCTTAAATGTGTATGATAAAAATATAAAGGTAAAAAAAGAGGGCTGAGATTTTATCTGTATTTAATACTATAGGTTTTACTTGAGCTTGAGACAAATCGAGAAATTTGTATGGCAGCATGTGGGACACTCACTTTAGACTTAAACTAATAATCTAGTTCTAAAGAGAATATATTTAAGAGACTTACGTCTATTAAGTGAGGGTGAAGAGTGTGATAGTAGTTTGTTTCATAGTGCTTGCTAATGGTACGTGTCATGCATATACAAACACATGATCGCTGTGGCTGCCAATAGTCAAGGCATTCAATTAATATCTCTTTAGTGTGCAAGATAAATGCAAAAAAAAATAGGATACTCGCAGTAGTTTTTACACCTTGAACCTATAATACAAATTAATACGAAAGAAACTTCTTGCAATACTTTACATATTAAGATGTAAGGCTTTGACATGAATAGTGGGATTGTATTGCATATGTCTATTTTGTCTTTGAATTTATTGTGTGTCGGTATGTAATAAGGTCAGTATGCACGTTTTTTTTTCGTATTAAAGACAAGAACCAAAATTGCATATTTTTCTTGACCTCCATTTGCTCTATAAACGATGGTATGCTGGTACCAACGTTTCTATAAGAATATTCTCAGGAACAAAGAAAAGACAGTAATATGATTATGCTTTCTCCTATTGACATAATCCAATGTACACATATTTTGATATAACAGATCAACATAGTATGCAATATTTTATTTAAGAATATTATTCATTCATATAAGAAAAGGCACTACTAAGGTGAGAAAGGTTGATTTGCAGTTTGTGAAGACTTAATAAAAATACAGTATATCCAACATTTCAAAACCAATACCCGCCCCATTTTTTTCTTTCCCCCTCAAATTCAAACTGGTATAATGAATATGGTTTAGGTTGAGGTTTCGGTGGGGAAGGAGGTGGGTCAGAAAGTGAGATAGTATCCCATATTGTTGCCACCTCGATAATTTGGGATTCTTCATCGCTTGAAGAAGTTTGGGGTAGCGTAGTAAGCTTTCGCTCTGGTCTAGGATTAACTCGGGTTTCTGAAGACGGTGAGCTACTGGACTTAAAAATTTCTATAGAATTATGACCGGAGCTTGTTGTTGAATTGGAAAGAGTATTTTTACTAGCTCTGATTTTGTGGTCAGGAATTTCTTCACTCGCCCAGCTAACAGTAGACATTGGTACAGTTTGAAGGTTTTTGTATGAAAGGTATGGATACACACTCTCGTTCCCTTCTTCATCAAAAAAATGGGAGGGTCGTTGTCTTTTATGATAGTCACTTATGTCATCTGGGTATTCTTGGTAGCTTGATTCCTGATATGACTTCGATTCTGTTTCTTCGTTAGAAATGGCTTCATTGTTAGAAGAATATTGTGTACTTTCATTCGGCTTGTTATTAGCGTCTGTTACAGGTGGGAGTATTGAATATATGGATACTAAAAATACAATTAATACAATAACAATTGTAATAACAATCATAATTGCGACATCAGATGTTATTATATAATCTTTGTCTGTAAAAGGATCAGGATGCAAGAAGAACTTTGGGGAAGCCAGGTATCCAGTACGAACAGCGATATCTATACCACTAACTACAAGATAACTTCCGGTGATTGTAGATGACAATATAAGACCTATTTTCTCGTAAATGATTGTTATCCCTGCAAACAGGATGAATAATGAGGCAGAGACAATCGCTCGAGCAATGTGCTATAGTAAGGCAACAATTAGGTCTTTAGCTTGGAATATAGAACTTACTAAACCAGTGATGTATACCTGAGGTATAACGTGATCGCTATTAAGACCGCATATAAAAGCAGTAAGTGCAATGCCTCCAGTTGCTACAAGTCCATGAGTAAATATATATTTTGAAACAGTATATTATACTTACCCCCAGATAGAATCTTTGATATTGTTGGACATAACACGTAAAATAAAGCTCCAAGAAAACAAAGAAACGCAGAAATAATAATCAATGCACTGATATGAAAAGATGATAATATCTCAGGCTGTATATTCAACCAAGAATATAAGCTCAAAAAATCTAAAAGGTTTTATAAGATTAAAAGTCAAGTGTAGTTTTAGAAAATCAAAAGAAATTAAAACCTACACACAGTAATAAATCCAAATACCCCCAGTGTAGCCTTGACAAATCGGACAGACAAAAACGTCAGACAAAGACCACCTCCAACCGTAATCATAAATAGGACAACATTCTGCAAACTTAAAGGTGAAGTACCGTATATCCGAGCTAGATATTGCAACTCTTTGAGCTTAATAAAAGTGCTGTTAAAGAACTCCAATAAATAATCTTACTCATTCGCGCTTCATAAAGAAAATCTGCTTTATCAATACTGTCTAAAGTTTCTAATTTGACGGTTGGGTTATAAAAAGTATCAAAAAGCTGTGTGTCTCTAATTCTCTTGTATATAAATGAAGGTCTACTCACGATTTACAAGGTGTCATGTTTTAGTATTTTAGCTTATGGATGTATAAAATGAATTAACGGCTTACTTTAAATCTATGGAATATAACATAGAAACTTCCTCAACTGGTGCAGCCTGCATTAATACGGAAAATATATCCACTATGAATACACATAGTAAGAAAATTCGTACAAGCATCTCAAAGGTGTCAGTTGGTAAAAAAAGAGAGTAAAAGGTGGTTAAAGTTAACGATATAAATATATAACAGTTTATAAGCTGAATATTTTCTATAATAGTACATTTCCATGACAATATTAATAAAGCACAAAGCGCAAGAGGTATGTTTATCCGTTTCCCCGAATGAACTATTTAATGGTGTATCATTTGGCAAACAATGGTCTGGATAAAAGAATGTCTGTTTTTAACATCCAAATATAACTATCACTGTAGTAAATGGCAGACATTATGATTCCTACGGTCACGGAGTTATAATGTTTGCCAATAGAATCTTGGCTTTTAGTAAATTAAAAGTATTTACAGCGAATACTATTTATGGGAGTTAAAATTACTTTTTCTCTAATCCAATAAAATCGTTTAAAGTAGCAAAATTATACCATTTTTAGGTACATATTTCTCTTTTTATAACAAATTTGGATAGTACAATTCGTTGGATTTCAGATTATTTTTGCATATAATCCAATCAAATATTCTAAATATGGCAAATATATACCTTTTTTTAGATATCTCTATTCTTATAATTGGTTCAACAAATACACGGTTTTATATTAGAGAAGGTGTTATCTCATAGAAAATTCGGGACTGCTTAATTACAAAAAGTTGATGTCCAACGTCGGAATAAAGATCGTAATTTAATTTTTTACAATTTCTGCGAGAAAGAAAATCAAAAGCAATGCGTTTCTTTCTTAATACCAACATAAAGACAACTTACACCCAAAATAAAGAAAAATATGCTTTTCATTAACCCTGACCTGATCGAGTAGCTTATTACTAATGATAATGAGTCGTAGGAAACTAAAGCCAAAAGGAGAAGCCGTAAACGCTTAAATCTTGAAGACCTTTCTGACGCTGAGTGCAAGAGAGAGTTCCGATTGACTCTTCAAGAGGTAGTTTGTTCTTTACAAGTATATATCTCAATGTGAGCGTATAAAGCCCTTGGTATATAAGTGCTTAAGATATATCTGTCAATTTCTAATACCCTCACATTAAATACATATCCTTCTTCCTATTACCTACTATGGAACTAGGCACAACTTTTATACTAGTACAATTTTTTTACTTCACAGTAAATAACACCTAATTATCTGTTTAAATTATAGTTATCTTTGTACTATTAATCTTTAGTCTCATTATAATGTTCTGTGTAGTTTAGGTCTTATACCAACATCTTGCTTAAACAAAGATTCTTGGCATCATTTGTTGTCAAAAAAATAAGTGACAGAAAATTCGAACGAATTTTCTGTGATTTGGGCACTTTTCTAACAGAAATTCTGTGGGTGGTTACCATTTTAGTAAAAAGTGAAACAAATATCTGGAAATTAAAGCGCCGGAAAGTGATCATCTCACGGAAAATTGAAATTTCTGTGAGATAACACCTTGTCTAATATTCTAGTAATTTCAAAATATATATATGCTCCATAGTAAATACTACTTTCTCATTTATTTAATATTGTAGGTTAAAAAATACATCTTTAAAATCACTGCCATTTTACTACATTCTATCTCCTAATTTTTAGTCTGTGATCCCAAGATTGACTTTCCCTCTATTGTAATGCAAAGCTTTTCTTCTGCTCATGAGAAAAACTGGGTTTGGGTACAAATATGTAGAATCCTGGGAATTTTTCTTTGATATACCTGATAATATTACCACGTTAGATACCGATAACTCACTCCTAAGAGATATGGCTTTCATCCTTTTATTTTATTATCGGGCGTGATCTAGTTGCAAGAGAAGATTTTGCAAAGAAAAACAAAAAAAAGGTACTCGAAAAGCGGTTTGTTTTTGGTAAAGGTATGATATGTTATTGTCGCAGTATATATATATATATAGATTAAGCGCATGGGTTGGATGAATAATTACAGAAAAATAAAGAATAAAAAAAAATTATTTGCCGCGCCCTAGAAGATCTGCTAGAGGAGAAGGAGCTCTTGGTCGTTCTCTTCCACCACTAAGTCCTTTGGGAGAAGAATCAAATTCTAGGGGTAAACCTCGTCTCGGTGGCTTCCACTGTTTATCAGAAACTCCAGGTGGTGTAGATTGAGCTCCACCAAATGACACTCTTCGGTCATTTGGTAAACTTGGGAGCTTGTAGGCGTTTGGAGAAGGCTTTCGAGCGTCATTGGGTTCTGAGCCATTTGTACTTCTTGTAGAATTATAATCTGGACGTGGGCGGCCAGCATTTAGAGATGGAAGGGGAGACTTGCTTCTAGACCTTTGATTTTTCTCATTGTTAGGGAGACCCTATAAAAGTATGCATTTAGATATCGTACAAAATAACATTAACTTGCGGTTTTTTTTTTAAAAAAAAACTTACTCTGTTGCCTGGTTTGATAGGGTTAATATCAATATATCCAGAAGATGTGCTATGCTCACTATCATCTGACATAATGGAATCTTCTCCCAGTGAGGAGATTTGTTTCAATTTTGCAATTTGTCGAATGAGCGGTTCCAAATCCTTGGCTATTCCAGAAATATTCTCTTCTCTTTTACGTTGTATCTCTCTCGTTACACTCTCACACTTTTCCATAACTGCCTGTAGCTCTAGTTTTTTTGCTTGTATTTCCTGCTCCATCGCTTTGTTGTCTACTCGAAGTACTTGTACACTTTCTTGTAGGGACGTACGCTCAGATTGTAGAGACTTAATTTCCGCTTCTAGTGAATCTTTCTGAACCGATAGTCTTGCGTGCAAATCAACAAGCTCAACAGTCTGCCCATCTAGTCTCTGCGTGTTGTTTCCATCTAAATTCAGAGATTTTTGCTTTCCGATATCCTCGAAATCTTTTGAAGCCGAATTCTTCTGATCGATGTGGTCGATAGCACGTAATACAAGGTCCTCGACCATTTTATACATTATACCCGTGTACTCTTCCAAGTGTTCACGCATAGACAGCATAGATTTATCAAAGTATCCGCGCGCATTATCTTCATACTTTTTCAGTTTATCTTCAGTGTTATCTTGTTTAAGTTTCTTTTGTCCGGTAGGGTCTTGCCAATCTACGCCAAGGTGGCTATTGAATGCGCTCTTAACTGCTCTTCGAACAGTTTCTTCCATGCCTACATGACTACCTCCAAAACGGTCTAGTACACGTAAAGTACGCTCCATGTATCCACGGGTGCCCATAACTAGCTCTCGGATATCTCCTAATATAGCTTCATCTGTCAGTGTTTCTTGATTAGAAGATATATCTCGCATTGTAGTTTCACTTTCTGCTGAGAATTGGCGCGGATATGACCCCATATTGCTGTTCAATCTGCTTAATCGTTCTTCAGTCATCATCAGTCTATCTACCACCTCTTCAAGTTGCTGAGATAATCCAGGTAGATCAGGAATGGCACTAGCTTCAATTTGCTGGATAACATGCTGGAAAAGATGGCCAAGCACCTTGAGACTCTTTTCATAATCATCTCTTCCTTCTTTCTGACTCTCTTTGAGCTCTTCTGTGCTAGACTGAAGTGCAGTGGAAATACTTTCATGGATTTCTTGAAGCTGATAATTGATAGCATGATTGTCAAGTACATCACTTTTGCTTGTTTCCGGGTCCGTATCTTTTTGATGCTCCAAATACGCCCCAACTTTCTCTAACATGTCCTCAGACTGCTTACGCATATCATTAATCCACTCCCCTGTCTGTTTTTGATGGGCTTGAAGTGTATCCTGAATCGACTGTACAGCGGTATCAAGACCCTCTTTATCAATTCCGTCCGAAATTTTGTCTTTTAGCAATCCAAGCATTGTGTGGACACCTGATATATCGTCGGTTGCTATCTGTCGGTCAGAAGAATCATCTTTATCCATACAGAAGGACATGAGGCGAGTTTGAGATAGCTGGAGCATCTCCATCATCTGCATCAACACATCAAACTTTCCTGACAATGAGATGGTATTATTTGAAGATTCATTCCCCTTTTCGTCTGATCCTATGAGCTCTTCGCGCAGGTCACTAAATTCACGGCGAAGCTCATCAAGTACTTGTGTTTGTTTGTCAGATTTGCTGTTATTCTTTCCATCTTCCGACTCTGACTCCATAAATCGTAAAATGCCATGTTGGAGCTCGGTCCACTCTTCACGGGCCTCATCTAAGGTTTTGCATAGCTTTTCTGTACTTGACTTGATATCTGAAACCTGGAGATTCATTGCAGGATTGCCTTCAGAAGCTAGTTTAACTTGGTCACGTAATGCCTGAAGACTGTACTTCACATCAGAAAGAGTTTCCTTTACAGAATCTGGGCAATCTTCGTTTTGATTTGAATTGTATCGTCCCTCTCTGCGCCCGATCTTATGATACGTCTCTGGTGTCCGATCAGCTTTTTCTTGATTGGTTATTTTATACTCCATTTGTTTTTTAATATATTCGAGATCGTCTACTCTCAATCGCCATTTAAGAATTTCTTGCTCAAGCGCATCATTTTTCATCAATTGTCTCTCTGACTCTTCTTCTTTAGCTTGCCAGTCTTCCATCTGTCTCTCTAGATGGTTTGCTTTGTTTCTCCAGCTTGTCATTTCGTTCTCCATCAGTTCTGAGCGCGTATCGAGTGTCTGTCGCATGTGATCTAGCTCAGTTGCTAGTACGGACTCACGTTCCCGATGCTCGATTTCCATTGTGTGCTCTTTTTTTGCGTGCTGCTCCTCTATTCTAGCCAATCGATCTCTAAGCTGGATATTCTCTGCTTCAAGTTCGTCGTTGATTGCTTGAAGATCACGGTTCATATGCTCCGCTGAAATGGTGCGTGTCTGAAGTTGATTATGGCTAGCAATTGACACTTTCCCCATGATTGATGTAAGCGATGTAACCCAGTCCTTGCGTGCCTGGAAATCGTCTGTAGCCAGGATCACATCTTCCCTCTTTACCAGGATACGCATTTCCCATTTTATTCCGGTCTTGTATTCTTGTGCACGCGGCTGAACTTCTACTACTTCGCTCATGTCGTAAGTTTGAATATGGTTGGAAAACTACATAGTGTAATACAGAAAGTTCAATATATGCAATATGCTCTTCTTCCTCTAAGCCCTACCTTGTCATCTTTGTAAATATATAGTCCCCCTGGCTTAACAGCATTCCCATGCTTAGCTACGACATATACAGGTTTCCATTGCTGATAATATGAGCAGTATATGAGTATGCGGTTAAAATTTAACTAGATTAAGATTTTACCATTAAACTATTTTTCTTATACAGCCATCCTTCTTTTGCAACCTATATATAATAATATCGAAAAGGAAAATAATTGATGAGATTTTATAAAATTTATCTTTCACTGTGTTTTACCGTGAATTCCTGAGGTCCATTTGTAGAGGTACTAGTAGGTCCTTGGGTGAAATTAGGTCCAACTAGTAAACTACGGTCTGAACGCATTGTCGACAGCCCGGAAGTCGAAGAAGCAGAAGTTGATCCAGCATCTGACCTATCATCTCTACGGGCCTTAGAAATGCTAGGTTTTCTTGTCTGTCTTTGGGTTTCCTCAATTGAGTCATATTCTCCTTCGGAACCTCCCTCATGTTCTGTGGGACCTTTTTCTTGAGGCACAAATGATAGTCTTGTCTTGGAAATAGAGGAAACCGGTGATGGGGACTGATTGCGAAACGAAGACACAAAGGCTCCTGGAGGATTTGACTTGCGACTATTTTGCCCAGCTTCGGCTCTCTGTTGCTGTTGCTGCTGTTGCATGAGCCATTGATGGTGTTGCTGAAGTGCTGCAACTGATTTTCCAGAAGTGGCTGCTGTTGGCCTTGACTGCCGTACATTGGTTTGCTCAGAATGATTTGAGGGGCTTGGTACTCGTTTAGTATAGCTTTTTAAGGCTTCACCAGAAGGAGAGATTGGGCGGGAATCGGTGTGACTCCAGGATGGCTTAAGTCTGATGTTAGCCGGGTTGGCACTATTGGGGTTAACACCCCTTTGGCGGGGGCCTGTCTCTTTCTCGTAGTCATACATTTCCTAGTTAACTGTCTATAAGTAAAGAAAAGGAATGGATAAAGAAAAGGAATAAAAAGCTTACTGTGGAAACAATGAGGAAATACTAAAGGACAAAGTTTTGTAGAATACATGCTGCGTGAGCAAGTCAACAGTTCCCTTTTTAGGAACCATCAAAGCAAAGGTTTTGACCAAGTTGAGGACGCACATAAATTTCTCCATAAGCGTCGATTTATTGTCTTTCTTTGATATGTTGCTTCTTGTTAATTCTGTTTAAAGGAATGATTTAACTTGTTGACGCACCTGTCACAAGGAATAACAATATCCAAAAACAGACATTCTCTCGACACAATAGGTTGCTTATTTGAACAGGCAATCTTTTAGCAAATTTATTTATTTATACTTTATCTCATAAGTCATGTTTGGTAAAAAAACTATTAATCTATGTGTCTGTCTTAAATAAAGTCCTTTTTTTAAATTATGAGACATTTATTCAACAAAAAAAGTCTGTGGCTTTTTATATAAACTTCTTTGTATTTCCTATTCTGGCTTCATATTCATATCTTGATGAGTTGGGTGCGATCTCTCTTGTGGGGATGCAATGCAACAAAACCCCCCAAAAGTAGCGCATTTGCACATTACAATGCTATGTCTAAAGATCAACTTGTCAAACGAGTACTTGCTCTTGAGAGTCAAATGACACAACCCCTACCAGATACTCATTACCCATATAAACAAAAAAATAAACCAGGGCGTCCGTTTGACATGAATAAATACGGACAGAGACGAGTGGCCTTCAAGGTCGCGTACCTTGGCTGGAACTACCTTGGATTTGCATCTCAGAATGACCCCATTACCACTCCCACTGTGGAAGACGAACTCTTCAAAGCATTCAAAGCAGCTTGTCTGATGCATCCCACACCTGAAAAAGCTCAATTTTCTCGATGTGGACGAACTGATCGAGGTGTGAGTGGACTAGGACAAGTGATTTCATTAAATGTACGGAGCACAATGGCCAATGGCAAGGAGATTCCTTACCTCGAGACAATCAATCGACTTTTACCAGATGATATCCGAGTGCTAGCCTGGGCTCCTGTCTCAGACACTTTTAATGCTCGCTTTGATTGTCGTTCCAGAACGTACAAATATTTCTTCCCAAAGCACACTTTAAATATTGAGCGCATGAAAGAGACGGCATACCATTTTATAGGATCGCACGATTTTCGCAACTTTTGTAAGCTGGATCCTTCCAAAAACATTACCAATTACCACCGAACAATTCTATCACTAGATATACAACCCGTACTTGGACTAGATACATCTGGTGTGGGGCTAAATACTGAGTTCTATGAGGTCAAGTTGAAAGGGACTGCATTCCTATGGCACCAGGTCCGATGCATGATGTCTATCTTGTTCTTGGTAGGCCAGGGATTAGAATCGCCCGAGATCGTCAAGAAACTCATGGATGTCGAGACTATTCAAGCAAGGCCGGACTATCCTATGGCTAGTGATCTCCCATTACTACTGTATGATTGTGAATTCGAAAATATTGATTGGATTTATGCTTCAGACAATCACAATGCATCTAGTGCAATACCCACGCCATTAAAAACATATAAACACATGCGGGAGCAATGGTCGGAGCAAATGACACGCAGTTTGATGTACCAAACCTTCATGAGCAGCATGACTGGGATGCCAATTACAAAACGAGACATGAGTATCTCTAGTCTAGAAGACTATATTCAATCAGATGAAGCAGAAGATCGGCAAAGTGCAGTGGCCGTTGTTCTTGGAGGAGGAAAGGAAATACGAACATCTCGATATAAACCCTTGGTTATTAGACCAAGGGCAGACACAGATGCTGTCAAGAAAGAAAAGTATAAAATTAGACTACAAAAAAAAGCGCTTGGTCTTTTATAGATGTGTATATTCTATTGAATTTTTATTTTATTTTTCATTTTAATTTGAAACAATATATGATAAATGAGGCTATGATACAAAAAGGTATAAATGGTGTGTAGATTAATGGGACCACTTGTGGGCAATAGATGAAAGCCATTTACTAGCACCCTCAAAACCATTGCGACCTTTTTGGTAATCTTCAAATGCCTGGTAAATTTCTTTGGTAGTGTTCTAAAAGAAATCAAATAAAGTGGTTAATGTATATCCTATTTGGGGTCTACCTAATCATATCAATATATTACCATCACAAATGGACCGTGCTGAACAATGGGTTCCCCGATAGGCTTGCCTCCGATAATGACAAAGTGGCAGTCATCAGAAAGAGACTCCACAGGAACAAATGTACCGCCATTGTTGCTGAGTACGAGTGTGTGGTGGGCCTCAGAAATATGGTTGCTGCCACCAAATTTGGCCTCACCAGAAATAGTGTAGATGAATCCAGTAAAGTTGTCAGGGATTACCTGCTCAATAGCCTTGCCCTTCTTGAGCTTTACATCGATGTACATGGTAGGAGTACGTGTCAATACGGGGCTGTGGACACCATAAGATTCACCGGCGATCACACGAATATCAACACCTTCTTCAGGGGATACTTGAGCTACGTCATGGCTGGGTAATTCTTGGTAAGAAGGTTCAATCATCTTGTCCTTGGCGGCCAGGTTGACCCACAATTGAAGACCGTGAGAAGGATTCTTATTGGCTGGAATTTCTGCGTGAAGAATACCACGACCAGCAGTCATCCACTGCAAATCGCCACCTTTCAAGTGACCTTTGTGTCCCTTGAAGTCTTCGTGCAAGAATTCACCGTCGAGCATATAGGTCACAGTTTCAAAGCCACGGTGAGGGTGATCAGGAAAACCTCCTGGGGCTCTGACATCGAACTCATCAAGCATGAGGAAGGGATCAAGGTTGCGAAGGGCAGGAGTACCAATACTGCGGTAGACTAGTAAAGGGAAACAGATAATATAGTCAGTAACTGAAAATATTACCGCAAAAGTAATTTACCTTTGGCACCATCACCATCCATTTGAGGGCGGGAGAGAACAGACTTGATAACGTTTCTGGCAATGCGGGCAGTCATTGTAATGTTTGTTTGTAAAGAAGTTGATTGTAAAATGTGGATACTCAAAAACGACGACCAACCTCAGGGAGTATATATAGGATTCTAATTTAAACTCAGGGCGCAATGTTTGTAATCCATGACAGATCTTATAAATCTCAATTTTTGGATATTACCAAATACAATCCCCGCTTTTGTCAGCAAATAAGTCATGGCTTACAAGACAATGTTTCTAAAGCAGAGTTTGAAAATACAGTATGTACAATAGGTCTAAATTTATACTGATAATAGAGAAGAAATTGGAATCTAGGTAATATCACAAAGTTGAATTGAATCTTAATAGAGTCTAACCAGCTAATATAATAAATTTACTGAAGACTCACTCCTCTTCATTGTGTTTTGCCATAAAGTAGGATAAAGCGTTTAAGAGATTCCCAGAGAACGTTTACTGAATTCATAAACAGCGTAACTAATACTAACCGATGGAACGACCTAGAAACATATCATACCAGTAAACAAATTGTACTCAAATTTTAATATATATGTATAATATGCAGTGTATACCTTGAACAGAGTAGGCCCAAGGCCTTTGTAAAATCCCTTGATTCCATCGGCCTGGAATGTTTTTTTCACCGCATCAAATGCTGAATTATACCGATGGGGGTGACCAGCTGTTCCTTGAGCTTGCAATCTTGTGCGTATCATATTAAGCGGATATACACTTGTGGCACCGATAGAACCGCTAACCATTCCACATGTCCACAACACAAGCACGTTTGGTTGAGGTGCCTCCCCTGTTTGTCGATGTTCTGCTGCTTGTTTATTCATATGTTGGAGATAAGTTACCTTCAGCGTCTCGTATATACCTTGAAAATTAGTATTTTAATGAGCAGTTTGATTTGTAGTACAATATATGTTAGCCTTTACCCATATCCAAAGCTTGGTAAGGGAAAACACCTAAAAGACCTGTTGGATACAATAAAAGAAAATATCAATAAAGTTGAAAATCCACACAATTATACGACTTTTCTATTATTACCAAGTGTAAGTCCTGGCCAGAATGCGCGTATACCCTTTGTTTTGTACATTTCCTTGGCCGTCAAGAAGATGTATGATTGAGGTTTACCGGATGTACAAGGCATGTGAGGATTAGGAATTGCGACAGGTGATCCGCCGTGGTTAGCCATTATACGAGTTTTTAAGGTCTCGACAGGATAAATACAGAACTGCGAACATAGACCAGCCATACCACCCGCAATAAATCGAGCACTCACTGGGATTCCGTTCTTATCTTCCGAATTGGTTAATTCTGCCATTATTGACTTGGCTGTCTCAAATACATAGAATTTGATTGCAGATTCTGGTACAATCTTGACCACATTGAGACCATTTCCAACAAAAAATGCTCTCAAACCACCTTGGCTGTATATGTGTTTCAGAGCTGCTGTGATAGACATTGGAGCTTTTGCTTGTGCCTGATAGGAGGTTTGTGTGATAAGGTATACTTTGAGACGATCGAGCGGGGCAGTGCATGTCCTTGATACCGCACCGGCAATTCCACCAGCAGCAAGATATTTGTATGCATTTCCAACCGCTTCATCCGTGTGGGGAAAGACGACTTCGGCATCAGGCGTGAGTTGGGTCGAGGTCTGGTAATATTTATAAATCTCGATAATCGTTGTGTCCTGTGGTAGCAGCTGGGGGGATTGGACAAGCGTTAGTTTTTATCGTCCAAGGTTATTCTTCTCTTTGCGTGGGTTCACCAGCAGAAAATCTCGCCAGTCTTGGAAATCGATGTAGCCGTTGCCCTCTACATATAGCATTTGTGTAATGGTGAATAAACGTGTTCCTTGGTTATAATAGAAATATATGCAAGATCATGTGTGCGTTTATCTACTGGCTGTCAAATAGGAACCATTACTCTTAATAGTCAAAACATACCGGTGTCAATCGCTTGAATAAACTGTTCGATATCGTCTTCGGTTACACAAACACCGGCTGCTTTTAATGCGCTTTTCAAGTCACCTGCGCGTAAACGATGGTCGTTGGATTTGTTGATTTCTGAAAACAGAGCCCAAAGTTCACGCTCTTTTTCAAGAACGTAGGCCCTAAATTCCTCATAATCAATCAGTCCGTCTCTCGAAGTATTGCACTTGGCTAGTAGATCTGTAGCATAGGATGTATGGGTTGGCAGATGCGTCAATTTGAGGAAACCTCTTATGATCGCATCTGCATCAAGATATCCAGTGTTATTGGTATCAAGAGAATCAAACAAGTTTTTTACACGATTCTCTCGTTCGGCCACTTTCTCGTCATAGTAGGGATGGCGAGGTTGGTCGGAATGTTGGTTCATGGCGTCCAAGCGAAATGCAATATTTCATGAAACAACAGCCCAAACTGCTTTTTTTAAATTGGTATTAAGAAGTCTATACAAAAAAGAAACAGCAAAAGACCGGGAAATAGAAGGAAGCGTTTCTTCTTCCTTTGAATTTCCTTTAAAATATATTTGAGAGTAGGGGGGGTGGAAGAAGAAAAGTACAAAGTAAAATTTAATCCGCTACTGAGACTTTTTTCACTTTTTTTCTACTTGCTTTAGACTAATAGAAGAAAAGGGTCTTAATCAATGTGGCTTGGCATACCCCGGACTTCAACTTTTTTTTGACATGGAGAGGTGGGTTACACGGTCTTCTTTTTACTCTATTTTATTAAAGCTTAAGGACTTTCTGGACAGCCTTGAGTACACTGTCGTGAAGACGGGAACTTGAAGCAATAACGCCCTTGTTTTTGGCCAATGTACGTCCGATAGAGAAATCCAAGAGGTTACCATGAATATCAGTCACTTTTCCACCAGCCTCAGTTACCAACACATTTCCAGAAGCATGATCCTATATGAATAATATGAATCCAAGTTTAATACCACATATATACAATAAAGCATACACATACCCAGATCTTCTCTACGTATGTGTCGCTGACGGGTAAGCGAAGGTATATATCAGCATCACCACGGGAAATCGAGCAATATTTAGCCTGACTGTCCATGCGCACGGCAGGGCGAGTAATTTCTAATTCGCTTGCGATTTGAGCAGCATCGCTGTGAGAAGAGTGTCCAGCCTCAACAGATTCGCAAAATGTAGCATCTTTAGTGGAAGAAACATCAGCAAAGTGGATAGGTACTTCTTTCTCGCTCGAGAAAGGACGCTGTAACCAAATAAATGTATAATGTCAATATATACATCTCTGTTGTCCGCACACCAGTTGTTTGGCATATTGTTTTATTATTTCTCTCTTCATTTTTTCTTTACCTGGAAAGCTCCTTGACCACGAACGGCAACGAACAAAGAGCCGCGTTCACCATCAGGCTTTGAGGCATCGATAGGAAGGTTAGGAGTTCCCATTACACCAAGCTCAACAACACCATCGATTATCAAAGCCAAACATACGGCATATTGCCCACCGCGCAAAAAGCCTTTTGTACCATCAATAGGATCCAAAGCCCAGTGACCTTGATATTGGATAAAAAGAATATTGATAAATCATCTATGCCGACACAAGAAATAATTGATTTTTCCTTTCTCTCTGCCTTACGTCCAGTAGCACCACCGGCATAATTTCCACGGTCAATGGCCTTCAGGATCTAAAAATACACGCATGCACCCACAGAAGTTTTAAATAAATAGACCTTATTCTTGCTTCCTATTGATTTATATACCTGGTCTTCACTCAATTGCTGGCTAGCACTCAGAACACCGTTTGTTAAAGAGTGGACCTTTTCTCTAAGAACTTTTCCTGTATCGCCGCGTAGGTCTTGGGAGTCTTCTTCGCCAATAATAGCGTCGTTGGGAAAGGCCTTTTCGAGATATGTGTTGACAATGGCCTGTGCAGAGAAATCGGCAACTGTGCGATTATAAGCTTAGTACAGTTTTTTTATTGTGGTGAGATCACTCACCTGTAACTGGAGACTTGTCATTCTTAGTCAGCGTCTCATTCGCAACAAGATGCTGGAACACCGACTGGCAGACTTTGCTAGCTTGGAGAACGGCCTGAATGGCGACAGCTCTTTCGTGGGCAAGTGCTATAGCTGATAGTGAATAAAGACATTTAATTTGATAAAATCGTGAAAATAGCGTACCAAGCATTTTAAATTTTATTAGCAAAGAAAGAAGTTTTTTTTAGTGGAAAAAGGAAAGGCGGGCACTTTGATCAAAGCACTTAAACCTAATTGCCATCTTTACTTTATTTTTAATTTTTTTCTCATCGATCGCGTTTGTAACACCGCATGTAATGCATCTATACAATTTCAGGTTTAGCTTCTCCTTCCCTCAATATAATACAAATATTATATACTCTACATGTATACATACACCTACACTGTGCTTAGTTTACTGCCAATATGCATGTCACTCTTTAACAGAATTAAATAAGGACAATATGTGAACCTGATAAATCGCGAGATGGTTAAAGCTGACCATTAGGAACGCTGTCAGATAACGCCATAACTTCATTTTAATCTCAGTGTTAACATCTCCTTATGGAAGAGTATAAATGTCTTCTTTGTCCCATTCCTATAACTTATTCATCGATGTAGAGTCTAGTTAGGTTATAGACTATTTAATAGTCAAGTAGTCAAGTGTAGTGGCTGTAATAAAATATGTTTAGCTTGAAATTCTATAATATTATTATGCTGAAAAAAACTCTATTAAGAAAGGGTTATATCAAGAGCAGATTTTCATTAAATTTATTAATTCCGCTAAATCTAAAGGCCCATAAAGCTGTCTGATCAACTAAACACTTAAACTGGACACTAAAGTTTATTTTATTTATGATTTCTCTAAAGCTATCAGAAATTTATATTCGATTTTCTTTCTTGTATAGTCCAGAAGAATAATAGCATTATTGGTTGTATGAGTAATAAAAATATATAATACATATCAGACTATTCTTGTCTATGAGAAAAATTAATTAGAAATGTATTGTGTGTATCTTGTCAATGAAAGAGCAGAAAAAATTGATTTAACTAATTCCTTTCTTTTTGATTTTCTAAGTACACTGCTGATTTGATATACTTTATACTTTTCTTTAAAGCAAAATTGCATTAAATAGCCAAAACAAAACCCGGTGTGTAATCGGCCAAATGAGAGTGCGATAGAAATAAAAGTTAATATAAACCGGTAAAGACAGAATCTCATAAGTGAGTATGCACTATAATAGGAAAAACTTATGGGTTCTGAGGAACAAGCTTTGATAAAATAAGTCATGCTATTATTTCAAACTTTGCAGATAGAAGGTAGAGTTGGTGTTAAACAGTTATTGGTATTAAATACTATAGTATATTGTGTGAACCCAAATTTTATTGTCTGAGACAGTGAAATAATATCTTCAAAAACCAATGGTATTTGAGAGAAGAAAATAGTATTAGTCTCATAAAAAGTGAAGCGATGGTAGATCTCTAAAAAATAAGAAAAGAAAATCTAAGTACGGCCCAATATATATTTTGTTATAGTAGATCAGGGTAGATATATATTAATAAAGCAATAAAAGTGATGCAACACATACTGAACAAAAAGTGAGAGATTAATTACAAACTAAAACAAAATTAATGAAATTAAATATAAGGTATTAGAAAAAGTCTCGCATAGTGTATTGGGTTTTAATATGAACAAGTATGAGCATATATTTCTTACATGTTTTTTTTTCTGCTGTTTATTATAGAAATAGTGTCAAATAATAATAAGTATTTGAATAGCTGAAAGATAAGAATATGCGAGAATGGTAGCTATAATTTGTTAAGTATTTAAAAGGAAGTTGATCTATTTTTCCAAAACAATTGGTGTGGACAGACTAAAAGTTCAAAAAAAGTGCAAAAAAAGGGTAAAACAACTTCATCCAGAACTTAGTCAATCAGACTAATTTATGACTGTCCACACCATTTTTTTTAAAAAAAAGTTCAGAATTAGTTCAAAATACATATTAGATAAAATTGTGCATAATCCCGTCTCTGTCATTAAGTGAGAACCTTTTATTGCAAGTTTTTCTAGACCTCTCATCATATGGGATATCTTCTCCATAAAAAAATTCTTCTCTTCTCAATCTTAGTGGCAATGGAAGAAAACTAGCTAATTAGAGTCGATTAAAAATTTTGCCCTTTTTTTTGCCCTTTTTTTGCCCTTTTTTTGAACCTCCAAAAAAAAGGGCAAAAAAGGGGTAAAGTTAATTAAAACTCTAGCCCAATGATATGACTTAAAGTTTTGCTCTTTTTTTGCCCTTTTTTGAACTTTTAGTCTGTCCACACCAAATAAAGAACAATTGTATAGATCAACGTTTAAAATTAAAAATATTTAATATGGAAATAACTTCACAGTATTTAATTTTTTATTACTATTGAGATACTGACACTAAAATCAATTCCAAATATCTTAATATTAAAAAGCAACTTGTTAGTAGAAAAATAAGACGAAGAAAATTCCAGTTTATTGAATAAAATTAAAAATAAATAACATAAAACTAATTTTTTTTAAAAAATATAACTAACTTATAAATATGATTCTTCTTCTAATAAAATATATAGTAAAAAAAGTTTATAAATAAATTAAATAAATAAGGTATATTAGAATACTTATTAAGTCAAAGTTGTTAGAAGATAGTTATATCAAGTATAAACATTAAAATAAAAGAATTGCCCTGACAAAGAAGACATTGAAGACATCGACCGCTGTCGGCGGTTGAAATATTTTTTACCGGAATTTACATTGGTTCGGTAAACTTATCGTGCCGGACTGCCGGACATCTTGCGATTTTATGTAAAGCTTATAAATTTGTTAGTACTCAATTTCAAAGAAGTAGTTGGGGATGTGATGTAGTGGTATCATATTCGCTTCGCATGCGAAAGGCCCCGGGTTCGAACCCCGGCTTCTCCAGCTGTATTATCGTTTTTCGTTTAAATGAACTTACTTTTACCTTTTTTATTTTATTTTTTAAAAAGAAAATTGGCTCGCTTGACTTCTTGGTACCTTTGCTTTTTATGATTTTTGTTGTCTTTGACGTTAGGTAAAATGATGGGTAGTTCTCCGGAATGATATTAAGGATGTTAATAAATATATATATAAAAGAAAAAGAATTAAAAAAAGGAGTATATTTTCGGGATTGAACTTTTTTTCCTATAAAAAAGCCACAAGTCACTTTGTGACTAGGGAGTCAAGTTGAGATAAGAAAAATGACTATCACTATAGAAAGTGTCAGATTCTAACCTATTAAGTTTTACTTTTGATAAATACAATTTATAGAGCTTTAGATTTTTATATCATCTACTTTTTTAGACTACTTTATTCTTTCTCTTGCAAATCGAGACAAAGACATTTTTGAATTTATTTTTAATAGAGGAATTGGGGAAACCCATATAAAATATATTTATACGGAGATCGTATTATTAGAAAATAATAGTGTGTTTCAAAATCTCAAGAACTTTAATGGTCCACCCAATGTTTCTAATTTCAAAAAATAAAAATGAAGAATTACATACTTCAATCTTTATAGCTCTACAGAGTACCCTCTTTCTTGATAGCGATACTTACAAAGGTAATTGCAACAACATAGCTGCTGTATGTGGTGAACTTGAAGTGCCCATTTATTTTGATAGAGTTATTTTAACTTCAATCAACAATCGAATCCCCAAAAAGAAAGCTTCTTGTAAAATATCTTGTTTGTTTCAATTTCTCTAAAAAAGCGTCCAAATATTAATTATACTTTATTTCAATCTTAAGTGAACACACTATAGTAGGAGAAACATATGGCAGGTTGTAATTAAAATTAAAATTAGAGATACTCGATATCAGTTTTGTTTTAATAATATCATGATAATAGCGAAAACAATAAATATTCTAATCTTACTGTACTTCTTGTTGAATATATCAGAGTTTTTTCATGCTTTTTGTCTTACTTTTGAAATACAAAAATCATTTCTAGTAAGTGTATATGCCATACAATAAACATTCTTTAGAGTATAATGTTTTTATATTGCATTTTACTTGCACGTATGGGTTTATTACAACTCGTAAACATAATTCAAAGAATCGTAGATTTATAGTTACAAATTAATATATACATGTCTTTACTTGGAACATAAAAATAAGTAAAGAAAAGTACGTGCAATTAGCTCCCTAATGATTTCTTTTAAATGTTTTCGATCATACACGTATTTTAGTAGATAACTCTGTAGCTATATTTTATATAATTACTCTATGGGAAAGAAGTAGCAAAAATTTACCCAAGCAGGAGTATAACCGAGTTTAAATACAAGCTCTAATAAATGGACCAAAAATATCCGTGAGTGATGTAAAGTTTCCAAGTGTAAAATGACTTCCATTTTTTTTTGGTTATTTATTATTAATATTTACTTTTGGTGTTTTCATCTGCCCCATACATGAACTACCCCGCCAGATCCAGAAACACCAGCTACAATAACCATAGCCTCTTCATTGACAGCCAAACTGGTAATGTCGTTTTTAGCTTGATATGTTTTCAAAAGGGTCCCATTGGCCAAGATATCCCACAGTCGAACCTAAATATGCACACACCAATTTCATTAGCAGATATATTGCTCGTATTTTAGTATATGTACGTGTACTAACCATTCCATCGCCACCACTTGTTATGAGGGTACGGCCATTAGATAGCCAATGTACACCCGAGATGCCAATATCTGCTTCATAGACACCACGTGATCTTGTACTTGGTGCTAAAACAGGTATTAAGATATAATTATCTCAAAAAATTTACATACCGTGTGAGAGACGATAAAGAGGTTTTTCAGGGGATCTAACGTCAATAATGGCAATTTCATTTGTAGCGTTTCCAGATGCAACATAGTTTAAACATGGGCTAGATAAAAAGCGAAAAGAATCGATTTTGGTCGGCCGTGACTTGTATAGACAATAATCTTACCTGTATGCTACCACATTAACATCTATGTGTGCGGTAGGCGCAACGATTACAGGCGTTGTGATGCGACAGTCGTGTATGTATAAATTGCCATCACCTAGTGTTCCTTCTGCAGCACCATAATTTCCTGTTGCAAAGCTTTTACCTAGCGTTGTCTCAGCTCAGCCAATATTAAAGTGCCACCGACACACACGAGTTTTTACCATCAGGACAAATAGCTAGGGCACTGATAGCACCGCCTTTATAACTTTCTCCAAATGTATATAGCTCGAGAATATCGGCTGTATTTACATCGAAACTTTGAACCTAAATTCTTTGTCAGAATACTATCTAGTCTTTATAGTAATTAACTTACAAGACCCGGTAGTAGAAGATGATCATTTCTCACACCAGTAAAAAGAATATTATCAGATGCAAAGTGACCAAATTCAAGACATTCAATACTTGGCTTGACAAGATTAGGATAATCCAAAATACACGAGGAACCTGTGCCTTTTGTGCCTGTCTTATCTACTGACCAAATGACAGCATCACCATCTTCTGAACCTGTAGCCAAAACATTCTCTTTGATATCCCGTTTGACGGAAATTTGATTAATTCTTTGAGTGTGATATTCTATCAGTGTACGCGCGCAGATATATGAGCTTGATTTTCATTTTCATTTTATTTTTAAAAAAATTGACTTGCCTAGTTTTGAAAGAAATGCGCCTGTATCAGAAGACCACACCATGGCACGATTGTCAAAAGCCGCCGAAAATATTAGAGTCTGATCCACGGATATCTTAACATCGCTTACGCTCGCCCAAAGATCTAAAAGTAGTACTTACTATTAGTATGTATTATATGTATTATATGTATTATATATTTTTAAATATTAGCTTAATTTAACCTTGTGTTGTACGATCTGGAAGCGTTATTGGTGTGTTATGGCACGGTAAATGCTGAACTTCTTCTGAAGATTCTCTCCACAGTCGTAGATTACCAGGTCTATTGTATTCAGCTTGTGAATCACATGTAGATCCTGCCACTACTGTAAGAACATGTGACCGTGGATTTTGGAGTATTCCCAATGAGAATACATCACCACTACCATCTCCAAATGTACGACTGGTTTGCAGATTGCACCAGCCAGCGACTTCCAGAGGTACTGGTAAAAAAGTTGTAGATAATTCACGTTCTTTCAAAAGGCGATATGTCGGTTTTTTAAGGTCTCGAGCTAAAGACACAAAAGATGAGTTAGTTGATCTTTTTATACACACTAACACACGTTTTTTCTTCTCCTTTTTACAACTTTAGGCACCTTTTTTCCTGGTAATCATAATAGGATGAGGATGAAACCCATGTATTTCTTCTTGATGATCAATCCAGTAACGCTGACAATCTGCACTTGTTCGCCCTGGCAAGTTTACAGACATTGTTACCCAGTCAACTGTTGAAAGACGCCGCCTGAATCGTTCTCCAGGTTCAATCATGGATCTAACAATATCTCGCTCATATTCGCTAAATGGCCAATGTATAATATCTCCATGCTCAAACTGTGCCCAGTCCTCCCAATTAGAGTTATACCATGCGTAATAGGGCACATATGGTTTGACACGTTGAATAGAAGATAGTGACGATTGCCTGGATACGGGTTTGAGAGTGGTTTGGCGACGGGTGGAGCGTGTAGCCTTGCTGGCGGCACGCGTGCCAGTTTGTGAAGTCGAGCTGTCCAAAGGGCCAAGAGATTCTATATAAACATTAATCATCTCAAGCATCTCAAAAGAACTTGTTCGGGGAGGAAAGCGAGTCCTTGGTCTACAAGGCAAAATGTCTCTGGATGGTCTGACCTAGATACCCACAGTAAACCAGTCAAGATATTTTTGATCACCCATTTCATTTTATTCATTTTTTCTGTTACCCATTCTTTGGTATTATCATTAAGTGATTTCACATAGCTCCAATCCGGTTCTTCAGTTGTATTTGGGGTTAGATCCGAATCATATTGATATGTAAAGTCCATATTTGAGCTATCCGTGTTGATCGGAATTGGATCCGGGGTACGCTCACCGTACTCCCATTCGCCTGATTCGTCTGAGCTTGATTGATTTTCTTCGGTTTCGATAGAGCTCTCAACTTCCATAATATTTATATTGGCATTGTGGCTATCAGCATTATTCGCTGGGAGAGCTTCATCACCATCATCGTCAATGCTAGTGCTGTCGGCATTACCGTCATCATCATCATCGATATTAATGCATTCAATATCACTATCCAAGTTCATGAACATCCCACCAATAATAAGATCAGAAGAGCTATCGTCTGTCTGGAAAGAAGTTTTAGTAGAGGAAAGTTGGTTGTTGGGTGATGATAAGAGTGAAAGCGAAGGTATCGATGGTACCGATACCTCGGTTTCAGATTGATTACTGGAGGTGTATGTATATTCATGTGGATCGGATATCGTGACATCCATTCCAGCTTCTTTTAATATTACTAAATTTTTATTGAATCTTTCTGCTACTAGTCGTCTTTCCGCCAAAAGTTCTTCCTCGGTTCGTGGGTCTATATCTTCATCTTCTTCTTCTGTTTCTGAATCGAGTGATATGGGGTTCATCATACTACTCCCCTGGAATTCAGTAACTGGGTCAATGTTAAGCACCGCGTCATGAAATAATGGCATGTCGTCTTCGTCATCACTACTGATGTAAACAGTTTCTGGTTGAAATTCAGGGGAGTCTGTTTGCGTGATGGTAGTTGGTGGAATATTCGATAAGTTGGATTGGCTAGTAGTAGAAGGATAATTGCGTGTGTCATGACCCAAATTAAGTGTTTCAGGCACTTTCTTGTCTGAAATGGCTGTCTGCCTGCCATCAGAAAATCGGCCTCGGATTGACATGTACCTGTTAAAGACAGATTCGAAGAGTCCGACATAAGCTCCTTCGTTCTCCATATTTATGATAAACTAGCTTTTATGTATGTATGTATGTATGTATGTATGTATGTATGTATGTATATATATATATATATATATATATATATATATTGGTGAATATTTATACAAGTATAAACTTATATTTGTGTGCGTATTTGTGTATGTAAAATAATAGGCTGGTTCAAGGTAGGGCAAGAACAGGGTTGCGAGCTTACTGCTGTTCAAGCTGACTTCTCTCAAACGAGCACAGAGAAAAAAGGACAAAGAACGAAAACGAGAATTGGTGAGATTCTTACTGAGATTGAACTCTGCTGTGCATAAAACCATCAAAGCCACCGATATAGTAAAGTCACAGTTGCGGTCATCTTTAATAAGGTTAATGGTTATTGATCCAGCTTTTGATTTATATCACAAGAGTATCTGTAAAGAAGAATGACTTTAGGTCCTGTATTGTTTTAATATGTCATTTTCTCTTATTTTATTTTTTTATTTAAAGAAGGGGTATACTACTGTATCTCCGGAATGATTTTTCTGAAAGATGTGTTGATTCACAAGCAGGACACGCACTAAATGTTTTGATTAAGGGGAATATACTTGTATCTGAAAAGTTAAATAAGTATATAAGTAAAGAATGATAAGACTGATATATTTAATCTATTCATCTTCTCTTTTTCCTTTGAGTTCGTAAGTTATCACTGTAGGAAATGACAGGATTTCTAACTCCAGACGCGTATATCTGATATACGCACACGTACGTTTCATTTGGCCAATAGTATATCAGCTTTTAGCCTATTCGTTATACCTTTTCAGTAAATACGATTTATGGGATTCCGGGTCATTTTTCATTCAAGTCGATCAACACTTTTAAACATGGATAATCAATACTTATTCTTTAGGTACCTCCAACAGCCTTCAAATTGGTCTAACAAACGTAGATGTCTTATAGAAAGATATCTTTATTTATGATTTTATTACGGATCAAAATATTATAAGAACGACAAAAGAAATATGCGAAGAGCACTAGTTCATTTATACCCAGTAATAATTTTAATTAATGTCTAATTTAAATCGTAAAGCCATCTATCTTTATAAGCTACTAAATATTACTTTATCCAAAAATTATGCAAACCGGTTTTGTTTAATCATTACGAGAATTATAGATATATGCCGTCTTATCTTGTAAAGCTTCGATCCGACATATTGTATTGTAGGTTATCACAGCAAGTTTCAGGTCCAATAGTGTTATCCTCCAAAAATCCTAAATTTTATATCAGTCAATTAGTATTTTATAAAGCCTCGAAGTCTTGTTAAAAAGAATAATAGAGAGCGAAAATAGAAAGGGACATAAGTTCAAATTGAAGGTATGGTGCTTGTGGGTTTGTTTGATCCTTTATTCAATTTTTTTTAAAGATCAACCAAGCAGTTCACTATTCACCCGGCACTCATGGTTTTCTGGATTGAGAACAAGAGCTGTCTTTTCAAAATCGACTCCATAACACTGAAATAGGATCGAAAGATTCTAAACTTGGTAGGCATTCGACGCTGTTAAAAAAATCTGCTAGTTTCTGCCAAAATTGGCAAGTAATTTCAAAAACTCGTATATCGTTTTTCTACAGTGTCACTTGCACACCCTGAGATTTAAATCCTGCTATTTCCTAGTGGTAATTACCGTGTATAATTGTTTGGATTATTTTTTTGTTAATGATGGGCTTATTGATAGTTATTAGCTTTTACTGCGCAACACAACCACTCTTATAATGGAATAGTATAATGTTACAAAACGCGCTGTAATTCCGTTGAAACTGGCGCGTAACTGCAATATATCATGTGATTTGTACATGGCCAGTTGAATTGATGTGTCCCTTTTTATTTATTTGTTTGATTCAATGGAGAGGCCTCTTTTTTTACATTCTGTCACTTGGCCAGAGTTAGAGATATCGTAAATAGACATATATATCATGATATACATATAAAAATACAGCAAAAAATACAGGGAGAAAAAAGGAAAATAAAAGAAAGGATATCCCATCTGGTCCCTTGTCCAATGTAAAGAAGATGTTGTGTGATAAGCATGCATGGAGGCGAAAATACGCCAACGAGAAGAATTTGCCTTGAAGCAGCAGTCATATTAAAATTCCTCTTTATGGAAATATATGAGCTCTTTGTGTATATGTGTACATGTACGGTGAATTATTGAGTGACCATGAACAGAACAATGAGATAGAAAGGCTAACAGCACAAGAGCACAAAAGTTAATGCACACAAGAAAACGTGCTTTAATGGCACAATGAACTACATCTTCCGGGAAAAAGATAAAGAGTAGGGGCAGGTTTTTTTGGGGGGAAGGGAGGGAGAAAATTAAGCATGGCCAATCCGCATGGGTTAATAAATTGGATTAATTTGCGATATTGATTACTTCCCTAGCAGCTGCCAAACGGAGTAAATAAGCGTGTTGTTTAGATCAAGGCTTTCTTTGTATGACAGAAAGTAGGCAAAGAGAAGCAGACAAAATATCATTGTAAGCAAAACACTCCGCTTTAGCTTGCATTGGACCCATTTATTGTGCGTCCAAAATAAAAAGCCAAAAAGTGAATCACTGCTTAATAGATTATTATATGATATACTAGCTTTTTTAAATTCGTTTAATTCATTTAATTCGTTTAATTTGTTTAATTTGTTTAATTTGATTTAATTTGATTTAATAATTTGTTTAATTTAATTTATTGAAAGATTTTATAGATTTGAACCATAGGCCTGAGCCAGCAGCCATAGATAGACAAGACAACTATTTTTTTGGGGGGTTTTTTTAAAAGAAAATAAATAAAGAAATAGGAAGACAACAACAACAAGAAAGCAAGAGAATTTACTTAAAATGCACTTCCCCTTTTTCGATTGCATATAGGATAAAAAGAAAAGGAAAATTCAAACTGTCGTAAGAAAATATATAGAGAAAAAAAAAGGTTATAAGGGAAGTGTTAAGATACAAGATGATTCATAAAATAATAATAGTATAAGAGAAAAGAAAGAAAAGAAGAAAAAAAAAAGATTAATAAAGACAATATAGAGATACATAAATGTGTAAAAGGGACAGGATAGTGAATTGATCCATGAGGTGATATATATATGTATATGAATGCGTATGCGTATGTATATATCAAGAAAATAGAAATAAATGAAAATCATGGTGAGCAGAAAAGGTAAGAAAAATAATAAAGAAAAAAAAATATATATGCCGGTCAACAATGTGTGAAAATGATAGAGAAAAACAGTAATTGATCATAATCCGCTAGATATTGAGAGCAGAATAAGACGGAAAGGTTTTTGGTTTTTGGTTTGTTGTTGTTGTTGCTGTAGTAGTAGTTTATGCGTAGAGAGGACAATCAGATGAGACATGCTTCGTGGAGCCACAAAAGTAGCAGAGTTTGTCTGCTGTTGTCTTTAGAGCTTTTGGTGGCTTTGGTGGACGTGTGGACACAGGGCGTGATTTAGTGTGGCAGCAGGGCATGTTGGCTTGAAGTTTTTTTGTTGTTGTTGCTGTTTTTGTTGGTTTTTTTTTGTCAATAGGAATAATAATACAATTTAAAAAAAGAGAAAATAAAAGCTTATGTTGCAGGAAGAGAACAGCAGAATAAAATACTGTCGTAGTCCTTATATATTAATATTAATAAAAATCAATAGATAAAATACGTATTTGCTGAGCAGGAAAGAGTAAAGAAGTTGGCAAGGCGAAATTGTCTTTTATAGAATTCGAGGGGATTACCGGAAACGAGAGACCTGGGTGGTGTAACAGAACCGTACCTTGACTAGAGAGAAACAGACAAGACTAATCTCTCTCTGCGTGTGGACACGATCGGCAAAAGTTCTTGTAGTATCACACGTGGGGATGTCAGACAGAAGCCATGTTACACTGGAGCCAAGGGTCTTACTTAGCTTCCCCCTCCCCCCAAAGAAACAATAATAATTTATATAGTACCCAACCACACGCGTAATGAAAGCAGAAAAAAAATCGGTAAAGAAGTTTTTCAAAGCTTTAAGCCCTCGACAATCTCAACTTGTATAGGTTTGTGTGTGTATACTTGAGACTGTTCATCGCAAAACTTCAAGATGGTCTCGATCTACACCAGGACCAGAACACCAGAATCAAAACACAGCTTGTATATTATTTTTATATATATAAATATATATATATAAGCGGCATCAATCTCGGGAGACCGGTCGGGTTATCAAGAACAAAAGAAGATCGTCCGGTTCAAGTGGTTTGAAAAATGGCGCATGTGACTGCCCTGAATAAACCCAGAGATCAAGTAAAATAACTACAAGACATTCTTTGACTGGAGAAAAAGAAGCAATATAAACAAGAAGAAAAAAAAAGGTCAAAAGAAGAGTATATTTCACATATGCTTCTTGTTTTCAGGTGTCTGTAGCACATTCGCTAGCCGCTTTTCTTCAGCTTAATTAATTGCTTATACGCTTTTTCAAATGAAAATTTTACACTTATAATTTGTTCTTGTAGGATAAATAGAATACAAGGTTTTGGGTCCAATAGGAATCTAGTTTTCCGTTTTTTGAATCGACGCATTTATTCACCTTTTTAGAAATATGGAATATCGAGGTTTTGGCAGTACTATTACACCATGAAAACCAAGCCCTGGGTATTGCATTGGACTGTACTGTACTGTACTTTGGTGTATTATGCCATAGTATACTGTGACTTAAGGTGCCTTAATGTATCTTAATTATACAAGGACCGTGTTTTCTCTCTATTTTTTTTTCTTCCAACTTTTGTATATAATGAGTATCAAGATAATTAAACTATTCCCAGGAGTTACAGACCCGGACAGAGGCAATATACTCCATTAATATTAACCTTCGAGACAAGGCGTAAATTATCAAAAAAATTACAATAGATTAGACAAGTTTAAAAAAAAGAAAAAATGCCTCTTTCATATCATTTATGATTAGCCGCTAACTAAAAACAACAGTAATAGCCGGCACACTTGTTGCCAAACCAGTTCAGTTTCATTAATTTTCTGCCTTTTGTATGTATCCCTTGTGATATGGTCGAAATGTTTACAAATACAAATTAAATAGAGCCTTAATTGCCCAAATTTGTCGTTATTTTTGTATTTTTGCTTAATTACCAAGTTTAATTCATTTTTTTTCTGAATGCTTAATACACAAAAAGCAAGAATGGAAATAACTGTAGCATTTATATTTTGCCACGTATAATGTTCTTTAAGAATTCTCGAGAATTTCCCAGTTTGTTAAATACTTCTAAAGACTTCAAAAGTGTGAATTTGACTGTCAAAGAATATTAAGCCAAAGAGAAAAAAATAATATTCCAAATACTTCCAGTTTTTAGTTTGTATTTTATAAATATTAAGAATATATTATTATTATTATTATTATAGGCCTTCGAACCGATAAACCACTTATTTTAATGAAGATATTATATTTTGTGAATTGAATAAAGAAACACAAGCTGTAATTATTCAATATAAATGTGCACATGCTTTAATAAGAGCGTGTAAACGATACATTTTTAGACCTGTTCTATTGATAAAGATCCCAAAGATTATAGCAAGTATTCTTAAGCATCATATTGGAGATAAAAAGAATGATATTTTTGTCAATAATAAGAAGCACAGCTTAAAAGAAATAAAGTAAATTTGGTCAATGTTTATTGGAGTCTTTATATATTTGTTTTATGTTTTTCGTTCTGGAGCTTATAATACATGTTTCAATAATTTCAATTACGCAATATTCACTATCTTGATAAGATTCAAGGTATTTGACCAAGTAAGCTAAACTCGGCCAATATTGCCTTGTTCTCTTGACTGGCATCCATGTGCTGTCTATGTTCTGCTTTAGACAATACGTCACTAATGGAGCGTGTAGTTTCTGCAGAAAATGCATTGTCAGGCGCATTATGTCTCTTGAGGCGATAGTAGAATGCCAAAGCTTTTAGATCCTGTCCTCGTTTAAGAAAGGCATTAATGATAAGATTAATTGACTGATCCAGTGGACTCAAGGGTTGCCATGGATGCGGAGATGCTTTGATAAGAAATATAAGTAATTGAGAAGATGTGGTGGCATATTCAGGGTTCTGGGCAAGCGTAAATACAGTCTTGGAGAGTATTTGACCAGCATGTGGATTCCATTGGAATGAGGTCGGCGATGCCACCCCACGGCGCAGCATTTCTTCTGCCACCTCTGCTAGGTTCGAGTGCAGTTCTGGGCGAAACGTCAAGTAATCCAGATGCTGTGTATATAATCCCATACCAGGTTTCACTATTTCTGCATATTTTAATATATCCCTCCATAGAAAATCAACAGCGTGTGAATCGCCATTGATAATAGAGTATTCGAGCATCACAGAATAATCAAAGGCTGTCCTTAGTTTGTTTAGTGATAGATGTTGCATTTTTTCCACATATAGCCGTGCTTTTTCGAGATTATTTTTCTTGACATGAGCACGAATTAAGTAGGTCATTGTACGGGTTGTTGGTAAAAGATGGTTGGATTGCAGTCTTTCAAATACATTGTCAGCCAACTCAATAGCATTTGATTGTATAAATCCACGTATTAGTCGATTATAAAGTGTTACTGTGCTTATTTCGGCTTCTTCCATTTCACGTTGGATGGCTTCGAGTTGCGTAGTATCTTGTATTTTACCGGCAAGGTCAATGGCGTGAGGAATCTCCTGCATTCTTTCGTGTGATAATTTTCCACGTGGAGGGAGATTAGGATGATTGCGACCATTTAAGATAGCTTGCTCGATAATATTGCTATATGACTTTGCACTGTAAGTTGTCTTTTCTGTAAGTTTATCGCGAAATGTGGCGGTGAGTCCTAGATAGAGATCTTTCTCTTCTTTAGGACTAAGGAATCGTCGGAACCATTGGGTGGCTGAGGTGCCATAGGCTGCGCAGGTGAGTTGTGTAAGGGCAGGAGCCCATTTACGTTGGAGGTATCCACGAGTAGATAACAGTGCATTTTGTGCCATTAGACAGAAGGTATTGATATGTGTAAATAAATAAAATAAAAATAAACGTGTGATGAATTAGCTAGTATTCCGTGTGTGCATGTGAATGTGTTTGTATGTGAAGGTGATTAAAGAGATGACGTCAAGAAATACTAAATGGCATTGTCGCCATCGATAAAAGGAAATAGTGATTTTAGTGGCAAATTGATTTATTTGTGTGTGTGCGAGCCAATCATATATAATCTGTACCTGTAGTGGCAAAGTGGCTGGACCAAAATGTCAGATATGATGAGTGAGTACAAGATAACCCTGCCTCTATTTGAGCCATATTTATATACACAATTTCTTTCTTTTAGCTTGCATGTGTTTACTTAAACTTTGAGTTTTAGAAGTCGCCAGTTAATTTATATCTTGCATTATAAAAGTGAAATATTTTACTGCAACAAACATAAAGTGCAAACCGTTTAGAGAAATTCAGTACTGTATTTCTCAATACGAAAATTAATATTATTGCCTAATACCGATTTTTTTTGTAAATTTAATATCGAAGACCCCTATTATATTGGGATTAGTATTTGATGATTCCTATACCAAAAGCACTAGGTTCTAAATAGCTTCTTTAAATTTACTGTATACACAAATATACTATCTTTACAAAAAAAAATTACTTCTATACCAGATAGTATCGTGTCCAAGACGGTTTTATTTGGGAGATATATTAGCTTAAAATATAGTTTGCTGAAGCACAATAATTATCGCTTTTCAAGCCACATTACTCTTATTTTCCCGTTTATTTAGTGTGATAAAATATACCCAATACCCGAAATACAATAGTATATTTCTTAGCATAGGCAGACACTGAATATTAGACTTGTAAACTAATCAAAGGTGGACTTATGTGCAGACATAGACGTATTAATTTGGTAAAAATGAGTGAAATAATGGCTTTAGAATCCCTCTCTTTTTTATTATACTTTTTGGTCAGCGTCACATAATAATCCCGCTTTAACTGGTCTTGCAAGTTCACAAAGATTAATTTGCTTAGATTATAGGTCAAGTAATCGAATCATTCATGCCACTCGGATCAGACCTTAATGTTCTTTTATCAAATTCTGCAAAAGTTGGAGCTGTTAAATTAGCATGTGGATCAACTTCTACCAATTCTGATACTGGTGATCATTCAAGAATTCAAAAGCGACTTTTGGTTCGAAATGCTGAATCAAATGAACGCAAGTTATTCGCTGCCAGCTTTGGAGATTCTGCACCACCATTAAGGTGAAGACTTGAGATACAAAGAATAGAAATGCATGTAGAAATATGTCCACTGATTGACTTGGTTTGTGTGAAGAATACGCGCAACATTACTTCAAAATCAACAAGACAATCTTGAGAACGAAGAGATTACTCAAATGCTTTCAACAGCATACAATATGTGTGATATATGGTATATTATGGTCTCTAAAAATAAACAGTTCAATCAGTTCAATTTTTTATATATATATACATATATGTGTATTTGCACATGATTTATTGTGTAGTAATATTCCAGAAATGAGATCAATTGTGGATGAACTCAAGAGTCGTCATGAAGACACTCAACTTTCAATTGAATATCTGGAAAAGAAATCACAGCAGGTTGATAGACGAAATTCACAGACAGAACCATACTTACAAAGATAGCTCAACATATGTGTGTACATTTTTAGAATGAGAAGGAGATAGCATCTCTTTCCGCCTTGCCACCTCTACCAACAGATGATCTCAAAGAACAAGATGATCCCAAAGAACCAATTCGATTAAAACTCGAAGTGAATGTCCGAGATCTAAAAGAAGATATATCTCAGTTAGAGAAGAGTGCTAAAGAAAAGAGAAAGATGGTAACGAGCACATTGTAGAAGGATATTTACTGGCCTTATTAATACCCAGTGTCTAGATATACGATTTAATAGCGAAAATCGATTATGCAAAGGCAAATCAAGAGCCACTGAAAATAAACATTAGCAAACAACCTGGGGAAGATTCTATACTTGAACAGATAAAGCTCCAAGAAAATGTAGGTTGACGCTATCTTAATGTGAGCCTAACCCACCGCTAATCTGATCTACTGTAGACAATTAATAAATTACAAAAAGATATCGAGAAAGAACAAAATTTACTCAAAGACTATGGAAAGTACACCATATTCACTCGCCTTTAATCAAATATTCTAATAGTACAACAATAGACTCAAAATTCGAAGCAATCGCAGCCTCAAAAGAAAATCCGAACCTAAAAGGAAAGCAACCAGCTCAGCATAATTTACAAAAGTCTCAAGTAGAACTAGGTGCTGAATCACGTGAATTATTTACTATACTTTGCGCAAAGGCAGATAAGATTATCAATGGTGCCAATGAGGTACGTTAAAAGGCTACATAGCAGGCAAAAGGAATCTTTTTTTTTAAAAAAAAATCACTGATATCAATAGTTGAACCAACCCGTTGTTGATAAGGCTCAACAACAAGAATTTATCGAAGCAATGGTGAGTGTATTTGTACTATATTTTCTTTTATTCAATAGCTAAAAATTGTGTATTCTTATATTTTAGAACGAAATAAAATATTCTTTGGAGCAAGTTATCGGTGATATTCAAAAAGCACGGAATATCAGTATCAGCATTTCTCACTTAAAGTAAGGAAGATTCTATGTCTGTGATTACAAAACGAGCTGAAATCATGGCCTTTTAGGAAAATCGACCAAAACATCAATACCTTTGCATTAGATGGTTATAAACACGCTGAACCAGATACTGCACAGGATGTTTATGTACCTTCTCCTACGATAAGATTGATTGCCAAGATTCTTTGTATACTAGAAGAGCCAAAGGTTCGAGAGGCTGGTATTCCAATGTCAGTCCTCAAAAAAGAGCTCTATAAGTTTGCAGGTACTATTGGACAAGATGAAGGAACCGCAGCCCAGGCAATCTATAGACTGACAGCAATGGGACTTGCTTCTATTGATCGAAGCAGTCCTGATCTTATTATCCAACTCACTTAATTATAAAATGATTTATTTAATATTTTCTAATGACCACCAATATCCGTATGTATTGTACACACTACACTCCTAGAACAGAACTTAACGATAAAATATTTGGCTTCTAATTCCAAATAAACTATACATCAACTTTATTATGTTATAATTTCTCAGAAGATGACCAAATGTGCTGGAAATTTGTATCGATATTGTGGTATACACACCACAATTGAATGAAGAATATATCTCACAACCAAACACTGGTTCCTTCTTGCTAATGAGCCTGGCAAGGACAATCTCCGGAACTGTTATACACCAGGCACACATACACTACACACTCATACAGTGTAAACCAACTATTACACAACAGGGGTTGAATTACAGGGATTTGAATAGTAACAGATATAAACAATATTATTTTGGCTCTTTAATAAATAACACTCTCACAATATCTACTTTTTCCATTATTGAGATACTAACCCATAAACAATCCCGAATACCTCAGATATATATATATATATATCGTAAAATAAAAATAAAGTAAAAATCTTATATACTGTGTGACTATCGCAAGTATACAGTGCTTCCGGATCAAGCTGCTTTCATTCCTGAAGAATACAGGTCTAGAGATCTTGAGTATTGCTTATAGAACTCTTTCTCTCTTAAAGCCCGGAATTTAAATCGTGCCAGGCGTGTTGAATTTGGTCCAGGTCTGGGCTCTGTAATAACCAGTGGTCCAAGCACTGGATTTTCCAGTGATTTATGCACCACGTCGTGTAGGATTCTGTGTTGCAAATATTACCATATTATTGGAATGTGAATATAGCGTTACTTTACTCATTCAATACTTTACACCAAAGATTAAAATCATTGGACAGACCGTTAATATGGTGCTTAGTCTGCAGATATTAGCCCCAGTAGCCCTCAAGTTCTTTGATAATATATATAACTTTCAAAAGAGCTATGTCCCACACTCATATAAAGAGTATCAGCATCTGTAAAGCTTATTATATTTGGTCATATAGGTCTGTGACCTGCTTTAGTTTTTTTAGCAGTTTATCAACACTTAATGGTGTTGTAAACCGTTGTTTTAAAGATGTTCCTGTGATGTATAACCTCAGTTGAGGTGTTATTGGTTTCATAGAGCCAAAAAATACCTTTACACTCAAACTCTAACAGTTTATGTCTATAAAGAAAACACTTGGTTACTTTTATGTTTTAATGACATTTGTGGTTAAGTTTGAGAAGAAAGTTTTAGGAAGAAAAAAAAACTCAAAAAATGGAAATTATTGTTGATTTCTGCTATCGGAGTGTGATATAGGTTTTTCAAAAATATTAAAAGGGGTGTTCAACAGCTTTTATTTTATGGTTTTAACTTTAAACTTTTGGGTTTAAATATTGGCCCAATAGAAATTGATATGTTCAAAGCTCGCTGATAAATTAAAACTGAGGTCTTCAAGCTAGCGCCCAGAGATTTTTTTCTTATAGACTTAAATGTTTTCAGATTAATTTCAACCAATAATTTTGTAATTTAAACTTAAGCATACAAATTTAAAAATCTAAAAGACTGTTGAACCCCCCTTAATAATCGGTATAATAAAGAAATGAAATAAAATTAGCAAGACTTAAAGTCTGCAGATAATAGAAAAATAGAATATAAGTAACTAGCAGTCGGTTGATATGGATTTAACATGCGCACCCGCTTGCCTCTGCATCAGTGCTGTTGTTCAGGTTAACCTTTTGCACTATATCAAAAATAAACAGACATATGGATTAATGATTTGTATTTGAGCACGTAACCGTTTGATGCCTTACAGGTATCTTTGTTTTCATCATTTGGGTTGTCGCCGTTGATTCCAGGCAGAGATTGTGCAATCTTTTTAAACAATGTCTTGACCTATCCATATTTGAAGATTAAAATCGTTATAATTATTTATGTAACAGAAAATAAATTGCTTACATTGTGGCCAACCTTGGCGCTCGTTTCAATAAAGAGAACGCCGAGCTCCTTTGCACGCTTCTCTCCGTCCTCTACACTGACCTCTCTGTGCAGAAAATTTCGTGGTTAAGGGGGTGTAACACCAACCAAAAATATTTGCAAGGAGTTGCATGGCTTTTCTTTTTCCTTTCCTTTACCTTTTCTCACTCAAATCGCTCTTATTTCCCACCAGTACAATGATCACCTCAGCACCTCTTTCTGCTCGAACATCATCGATCCACTTGGTTGTGTTTGTAAATGATTCTCTGCCTTTTTTTCAAAAATAAATAAATAAATAAATAAAAGAAAACAGCAACAACCATATATATACATATGAGTATAAATCTACAGCTTAAATTTAATCTTGTAGTATATTTGACTTACTTGTGATATCGTACACAATAACGGCAACAGATGAATCACGGATATAACTAGGAATTAAACTACGGAAACGTTCCTGTAGTAATGGGGTACAAGAGGATCCATATAAGAAATTTGTTTTCAAAATTAGTCACAGTACCTGTCCAGCTGTATCCCAGAGCTGTAGACGCACTGTCTTGTCTTCTAGATACATCGTTTTGGATAGGAAATCGATACCAATAGTAGCCTAATAAACGTATACATATTATTATTATCATCAGAATAATATAATAATCCCACTTCCTGTAATACAGTGTAAATAATAGAATATATTCTTACCTGGTACGTATTATCAAAAGTATCATACATGAAGCGAGTAATAAGAGATGTCTTGCCGACTGTGGAATTCCATTGTGAGTTGATTTTCTTTTTTCTTTCTTTTTTTGTCATCACTTGTATCATGTGTCACTTACCACTCTGCTCCCCGAGAAAGACAAGCTTATACTTTCTTAGAGGACTGTTAAACTCGGTAGTTGCCATTCGAAAGTACGATGAGATGGGATGAGAAGAAAAGGGAAGTGTCAGTCTTCAAATCGGCCCGTGACTTAAATTTTTCTGAGCTATATTATCAGAAAAAAAACTCCTCTTTCTCTTCCGTTACCCCACTCATGCGTGTATACAAAATTCATTGGGCTTTTTAACTATAGAAAATAATATATATTTATATAATAGAGCTTAAATATCTTGTCAAGCACAGTCATTTTATGCCACCCCCGCAATAAATGCATATGAAATAAATATACGCGCTTAGGTATCTGTGTGTATAGGCGTATATCATACAGGAATTAAATATACTGATAAAATTAGTATTTTAATACATCTGATACAGGTAGACTATTTGAGTTTTATTAATGAATACACAAGGTATAAAGTGTAGTGCACTATATTTTATATGTTACTCAATTTTTTTTTAGCATTCACTCTATTTTAGAGGAAAACACATGTATTTAATGGCCTATCAGTATAGTCATTATTATTAACTTAGTAAGTATAGTAGTAGTAAATACGTTTTGACTCTACCATACATATAAAGAGCAAGAGTCAAAGATACCTTTATATAGACAAGATTAACAGCCAAACTTTCTGCTTCATGTGTTGGCGCTTAATGAATTTGTGAACCATCCAATACATATAAAAATACAGGCTCAACTGTTTCATTTATTACAGGATTTTTACTTTAGATTGAGATGAATGAATTTTTTGTAGGGAAATTAGATTTTTGTTTTTATGCATTCGCTATATTTTGACACGTAAGGTAATTTTAAGAGGCAGTATAGCCAGCTATGTTATCATCATGAAGAAGGAAGCTCAGGCTGTATAGTGTTCAAGTCCGGGTTATTATCTAGCAAAGGGTTTTTATCCTTAATGAAGACGCAGTAACAAGGGACAATACATTACTTCAAGAGGATGGGTTTTCAGGATAGTAGATGTACATTTAAATAACTATGGTGGGTCAAATAGTATGTGTATGCCTAGGAGTATGGGAATGAGAATAAATTGTCAATATAAAAATGGGAAAAGTGCTTTTAACGAGGTAGAAATGGATGCTTTATTTTGCTTCACGAAATTTCCTCTGATAAAACCTTTACTGCCAACTGCTGCCGCTCCTTTCTTTCTCCGCAAGGTGGGGGCCACAAACCACCACCGCCACCGTCTCAATATTTTACACTTCTTTGTGTTCTATCAAAAGAATGTCTTCCCATAAATGGGAATAAGACGATGTCACGATTTCGCATAAAAGTAAACCCTCCCCTCTAAAAGAACAAAACTACAAGCTTAAAGTTAGTAACTTAAGGTTTAACCTACTGAAGTCCTATATATATCAACATAGTAGTAGTTTCAACTCCCTATTTTTGCTCTTATATTCTTCATTTTTATTTTTGCATTTCTTTTTATACAATGTCAACCACAAATAAATCTTTTAGAGTCCTCATTACTAATGACGATGGCAAGTGAAATTTATCTTTATATATCTACTTACCACGACAAAAGCTTCTTACTATGTTATTCTATTAAACAGGCCCACCAAACGAAGAGGAATCTCCTTTCATTCTTTCTTTTATCGAGTACCTAGAGAGTTTTGGCTGGGACGTTAAGTATGACGCGTTTTAAAGCTTGCACCATAATATTTACACGAAAATGGTATTAATTACAACATCTATTATAGAGTGTGTTTGCCCAATAGCCAAAAGTCATGGATTTCCAAGTCTTTTATGATCAAAGATAGTATTGAAGTGAGCTATTATAATCGGAAGACTAGACAAATTAACCACCACCAAAGTAGCCCCTCTGATTTTGTTTTGGTAGGTGGATAATCACTTTTTTTTTTGGTAACCAAGATATATTAATATATATATATATATATAGCTGAGCGGCACACCAGCAACTTGTGTGAACATTGCTCTGTACCATATATTTAAGGATGAATCCTTTGATCTCGTTCTTGCAGGACCTAATTTTGGCCGAAACTCTTCAACGTAAAACAGCCAACAGTCAAATACGGATGTAAAGCATTGTTTCATTACTAAACCTTTTGATAGGATATACACTCTTGCTTCTGGCACTATTGGCGCTGCAATGTAAGATTTGTTGAATTCATATATATATTTTTTTTGGAAGACACCTATAATAACCTCTCTTTCCTTCTTATCTTCTTTAAAAAGGGAAGCTGTATTATGCGATCAGAAAGCAATTGCATTATCATACTCTTTCTATTCAAGAGACTTTAGCAAATCCAAGATAGACCATGCATGTGAAATGGGTAGGTTCGATGCCCAAAACACAGGAGAAAATGTATTCATAGTTTGAGTTGTCTTTTTCTTTCTTTCTTTAGCATTCAAGGTTATAAATCACCTGTGTATTCTTGACGAATGGCCTAAAAATGGACTTTTCAATGTGAATGTTCCATTGGTAGAGGAAGAGTGTCCTGTGCATTTAACCACATTTGCGCAGGCTAGCTACGGTAGTTTATTTAAGCCCATTGGATTACCGGCTGCAAATGTTGTAGAAGGAAGTGAGAATGTGGAGCAGCAAGTCCGAATGGAAGGGGAGGGTGAATCTGGCAGACAGGTCTTTAGATTCTTGCCAGATTACAAGACCCTGAGTATATCCAAGACGCTAGAACCTGGGACGGATGCTTGGGCATTGGAAAATCGGTTTATATCTGGTAATTTGGATACATGCATACTCATGTATGTCTTTCTATTTAATGACCGCCTTTTTCTTTCTTGATAGTGACACCTATGCTTGCTTCGTTTGAACTTGCAAAACAGCCGAACGTAAACTATAGATTCGAGTCTTTGAATAAACTATGATAGCTTAGTTCATCGGCATATTCAGATTAACTTTAAAAAATGTGTCACAGATCATCTCTTTACTGTAACAATCAAACCAGAGAGAGAAAGAGGAAACAGGCTTGAGAATGCGACATGAAGGATCGACATCAACTAAAATACATTTAAAGCCAGACAGGCGGGAAAGGACATGGGAATGCCTATCAATTTCTAACATCTAATACCAATCGCACAAAGCCAAGAGTCCTCTTGTAGAAAGAAAGGAAACAAAAAGCAGTGTACATCAAAAGAGGGCTACTTTAAGCTGATAAGCTATACCTATATGATGTAGTCAATTGGTGGTGTTCCTTTGTGTCTAGAGTTGCATATAAAGAACAAGTGATTCAGGTTATGTTGGAAGAGTCATTCTTGAACAGGTTGCTTTTTGACTAGATAATTTATCTATACTAAATAAGTATACCATTGACAGCATGCCACAATAAGGCCAAGTTTATTTACCATAAAGACACCTACCCATTAGATTTCTGTGCTCACGAAATACCCAGGTAATCGAATAATTAAATAAATAGAATAAAATGAAGGCCCACACAAGTCCTGCCGCAACTCGATCACATCGTATGCGGGGCATGAATATTTAGGGTAAATTTTTGTAAACTTGCTTTCGTATCCCTTTCTCTTTTTAAGCTGCTGATAATTACGCCATGGGCAATCCAGCTGAATGGCTTGAGACAGTCCGTAAATGCGAATACCTTCCTGAACAGGACATAAAGAAGCTGTGTGAGATGGTAGGTAATCGGGTATTCTGTAATACACACCAGCTCCATGGCAATCAATCGCGTAGTTCAATAAATAATAACATGAGTGGATGTCGCATTGCGGTTGTATTCGAAACTAGGTTAAAGAACTCCTTATGGAGGAATCTAACATCCAGCCAGTACAATCTCCCGTAACCGTCTGTGGTGACATTCATGGTAATCAGCTAACCATTTTGTTTACGGGTGATGATACCTAATACGAGCAAGTAATAAAAGAAAAATGAACAATGGAATCACTTAAACAACAATGGTTTTTATTTAGGCCAATTTTATGACTTATTGGAGCTATTTCGTGTGGGTGGAGATATCGAAAATACAAACTACATTTTCATGGTAAGATGGAATAAGAAAGCATTACGTGTAACAACAAGCTGGTTAACGAAGAAGTCCTCCCTTGCTCTTTTTGTTTTTTTTGGGTTGATATCTACACACACAGGGTGATTTCGTTGATCGTGGTTATTTTAGTTTAGAGACATTCACTCTCTTAATGACTCTTAAAGCAAAGTGAGTTCAAGCGAATGTGTCTTAAAAAAGATTTAAGAAATTTGGTCATTGAATCAATATCATTAAAATACTAGGTATCCAAACAAGATTACATTGTTAAGAGGAAATCATGAAAGCAGACAGATCACCCAAGTGTATGGCTTCTATGGTAATAATAACAGGCATTTTTTAAGGGGTATCATACTTACGAATTCTTATAGATGAGTGTCAAGCAAAATACGGAAATGCTAATGTCTGGAAATACTGCTGCTCTGTATTCGACTATCTCACTCTTGCAGCGGTATGTTGAGTTATCCTAAGACACATTTTCATCCCTATCTGACTCGCAACCGATCGCAGATCATCGATGGTTCTATTCTTTGTGTTCATGGTGGTCTATCACCAGACATTAAAGCACTTGATCAAATCAGAACTATACATCGTCTGCAAGAAATTCCTCACGAAGGATCATTTTGCGATTTGATGTGGTCTGATCCTGAAGAAATTGATACTTGGGCTGTCAGTCCAAGAGGTGCTGGCTGGCTGTTCGGAGGAAAAGTTACAAGTGAGGTAAGGTATCTTGGTATATTAACATTGAATATATGAATATATATATATATATGTGTGTACATACAAAAAAAACTCACAGATAAGATAAAAAGTTCAACTACATCAACGGACTTAATCTTGTAGCAAGAGCGCACCAGCTCGTACAGGAAGGCTATAAGTATCACTTTCCAGATGATGAATTGGTTACAGTATGGTCTGCACCCAACTACTGCTATCGATGTGGTAACGTGGCGTCTATTATGGAAGTACGTGACGTGAACGATGTGACAGAGAGAGACTTCAAGATATTTGATGCTGTGCCGGATCAGGACAGATTTACACCTTACAACGCAAGGAGTGGTCTTGGGCTGACATCAAGACACGGAGGCTCTGGTGGCCAGTACTTCTTATGAAGATGTTTTTTTCTTTACTAAAAACAGATACATCGATTATACAAACCCTATTCAAATCTCTCCTATTTTTTTGTTATATTCGGCAGGTCATCATCCTTGTCTATCCTTTTCACCTCTCTCCACTACATCCTCTCTTTATATATAATCGTACTTTTCCTTCCTGTACTGCGTGCATCCTAAATCCACTGCCATTCTGTTAAAGTAGATGATTCACTGGATGATTTTATATATTTAGTATACAATGCATGACAGATCTGTAATAAAATATATTTTCTCTATCAGCATAATCTACATCTGTTAGTCTGATAGTGAATTAATAGGTATATTACAAGGAAATCATTACTTATACATGTTTTTCTTACCCTAACAAATTTAATTAGCAAATATTCAAGTCTCGATTATTTTTTGGTACAATAGTTGTCTTTTATTAGGGGGTTTCATCAGTTTTAGGTGTTTGCTTTTCAATTAAGCGATGCTTTAATACAGTATCCAAAAAAGCTTATAGATAAATGGAAATTTAAAAGTATATTAGGAGATTTAAAATATTTAAGTTAAGAAAAACAAACTCAACAAAGATACTTATACGAGGAAAGAGAAAGTTTTTTTTTTTATTTATTTTAATAAAATATACCAAATACAATTGCTTTTTTGTTTTAATTTGTTACTCGAGTGCAATATTTACTATGCAAGCCAAGCGTGCTCTAGAACCTGATCTATATTGATTCGTTCTGCTACTTCTCTTCTCAACATTTTTTCTATCAAATCGACCATAATGGGGCATGCATCGGGTGCAACCCTCAACTCATGTCCCATAATTTCCTCCATGCAATAAAATGGATTTTCCTTGTAAATAATTGTGTAGAGTAATATTCCCAAGGCCCATATATCTTGTGGTGGTCCTTCATAGCTTTCTCCTCGAAGTATTTCGGGTGGAACATAATCAAAAGTGCCGACAAAGGTTTCGAACGATCGGTTAGACTTCACATAAGCTGCACTGCCAAAATCAATTAGCCAAACTTGATTTTTTCGGTCTAGAATGATGTTTTCATCCTTAATGTCTCGGTGAACTATTTTGTGGTGGTGCAGATGTTGAACGGCCAAAGCTATTTGCTTAAAGATATGACGCGCGGAATTTTGGACTTCTAAGCGAAATTCAATGCTATCGAACAAATCCATTCCGTCTCCATACTTTGGCATTACAATGTAGCAGTAATCATCGTCTTCAAAAAAATCAAGCATTGATGCACAGTTGGGATGAGGATTCTTTCTTAGAGTGTTGAGGACATGTATCTCAACAGGAATAACACCCAAGGACCGGTCTCGTACCCAACTGTCAACCAGAATGTTGGACTTCGTTACAAACTTAATAACCAATTCTTCATCCGGTCTATCATTGTGATGTGCATGCCGAACAATGCCGAATGCACCTGCACCTAGTGTAGTAAGAACGGTGTAATCATTAATCGAAGGAGTATTTCTGGCAGGTTCTTCTGTAACTGCAACCACAGCAGGTTCTTCTGTAACCGCAACCACGACAGGTTCTTCTGTAACCGCAACTACGACAGGTTCTTCTGCAACCGCAACTACGACAGGTTCTTCTGTAACCGCAACCACGACAGGTTCTTCTGTAACCGCAACTACGAGAGGTTCTTCTGTAACCGCAACCACGAGAGGTTCTTCTGCAACCGCAACTACGACAGGTTCTTCTGCAACCGCAACTACGACAGGTTCTTCTAAAACCACAAACGTGGTAGCTTCTTCTGTAGCCGCAACCGTCATATGTTCTTCTGCAGCTGGGACTGTAGCGAGAACTTCTGAGCCTTTCTCTGGAATATAATTAGCTAAAGGCGAGTTGATTGGTGTTGGTGGAGTAGGTAGATCGAGTCCATTTTGGTTTTTACTTTCTAAATGAGAAAATCCGTCTTGTGTGTGACCTTGCCGAGTATATACGCCTTTAGTATAGAAGCTAACCCAGAGTCCCAAACGTTTGTCGTTGTGAACAGGCATAAGTTTAACCTTAACCTCGAATAAACTTCCATCATCGTGCTTTGCTAGAATTAGAGGAAGTGGCTCATTATCTTTATAAATGAGGTGTTGATCTGCACCGTCTAGTGACGGTGTATCCATAATTAATTCGCAACAGGTTGCATTGTTGAGTAATGGGTCGCTCTGTAGCAAGCCACCTTCCTTGAGATGCTTATAAAATGTAGGAAATTGGGGTAGAATTTCCTCGATCTTTGTCTTGTTAATTAAAGAGTCTTCAGTACGGCCGAATAGAGACTTGGCAAATAACTGGTTACAGCTTTCAATAACTCCATTTTTTTCTATTTCCACCAGACCAGCAATCAGAGGGATAGATGTCATTTTACAAATAAAATATGGGGTTTTCTGCGAGGATCCTTGGCTCATCTCGAGTAGTTTGAAACTAATAGGAAACATTGCATCATTTTTGGTTTTTCCACCAGCACTCTTCCATTCGATAAATGTTTTGATCTTTTCAAAACCCTGGTTCCAGGTTGGGATTATCGATTTCAATGAGCGACCGATCAATTCTTCTGGAGTGTAGCCATACAAATCAAATACTGTTTTATCGGCTTGCAAGATTAAACCCTAGAAGACATATGAGTATTGTACTTATTTGCCATCAAGAAGAAAAGGAATAAGTTTTTTTTGGGAATTTACCTTGTCATCGACAAATACATGTACTAGTACTTCAAAGACTTCTTCAAAGATCCAAATGTAGAATGTTTCTCCAGAAGAACTCTTTTTTTCCTTGATCCACAAAGAGATATTTGACAGAGAATTATTTCGCTTGATAATTGGTAGCTATTTTGGTTATTATTTGTAGAGAGAAATATCAGATGAGTAATATGCTTAAAAAATGTGCTTGATATCACAATTACTTACTACGTCGCCACGAATTAAGAAACTGGAACTATTATCGGGATTTAAAGTATCTCGGTTTCTGAACATGTTTTCAAACGTGACTTTAAATAAAGGATCAATGAAATCCAGCATATATATGCCCCCAATACTCCGATCACTTGAATCCCCGAAGAGCACATTGGAGGCAGAATCGTTTGAGAGGATAACACGACAATCTTTACGCGTGGTCAAGATAGCCCGAGTATCTGATTCATCTTGAGGTGGATGAAGTTCTGAAAGAGAAAAAATATTTGAGCCGGACTCGTGACTTTCGATGGTGGTGGGTGTCGTGACTTCGATTGAAAGAGACGAATCAGTTGATCGGTTAGAGATAGGAAATTGTGAGAAGTGTTGCGAGAGAACTGAACACTCAGTATTTGGTGGAGAATCAGGTAGACGTGCAATAATTCTGTTGCGTTCAAAAGTAAATATTGGATCAGAAAAATCTGGTGAATGGCTATTATCGAGAAGTGTTTCAAACTGGTCGAGTTCATTGCCGGAGAGTGGTGGGCTTGAGAGTTCATGCTGGCAAAATGATGTACTAATTTTGTGGAGGTTCCTGTCTAGAATCGGACGTGGGCTAGATGACACGTGCGGTGAAGTGGGGTGTATACTCGTGTCACATAATGGATCGACAGTAGGTTGTCTAGAAAGGAATCGATAATAACAAAGAGATTATTAGTATAGATGTGGATTGGTTAAGATCACGGACACACAGACAAAGATATATATATATATATATATATTACCGGGGTTCTGGACTAGAAAGGGATGAACAATTTTGTGGGATAGAAAGAGGGTGTGTAATATTGTAAATCATATTAAAGAAGAGACAATAAGGATCTTCTCTTCTGAATATGCAATTATTATCAAAAGCCTTTAGGGTGAGCTTTTATAAGCACTTATTTTACTAGAGAAATAGGCTATAGGTTTAATATTAAAATAAAGTAGAAACTGTTGAATGACTTGAGGAAATGAAATGCAATACACTGAAATAAAATTAAATAGTGAAAGGGTGGGGACAAGCGGGGTCCCCCACATACCTTTATATACATGTCTTTGGTTTGCCTTTCTATACGTCATTGGGTAGATCTGAATCTTGTCGAATAACAACTAAAGAAACATTAACAAGAGACAGTTTTTGACTTTATTAACCGACATGAACCCGATCCTCGTCACTTCAGGAACATAATTTACTAATGTTTCCAGTATTTTCGCTTCACATCGTTGACTGAAATGCACGTGCATGCACGCATTATGAAATACTTGAGACAATATTTGGTCTATTATGAACAGGAGCCTTGTAATATTCGAAACGCTTTAAAGACTCCATAGAAATCGATTGACGGAGAATTCTGGAAAGAGGTTTTATTTATCTATTGTTACAGAAATTTACATCATATGCGTCAATTTGAAATCCATGCTTTCTCTATTCAAGCCTTTTAGTGTTTCTGTTTAGACAGTCAAACATTATTATACTCATCCTTTGGTGTTGCATTCTCTTTCCTCCTTCTTCTTCTGCTCCTTATTCTTACAGTGATCATTTACTTGTCTTATTTTAGCATGTGGCTTATAATTGATATTCGTTAATGCAGGAATCTTGAATACATTAATTTATTCAATTGAATTGGGCTCATTTATTTAAACAGTACATTTTAAATCATCGTTAAGCTTTTGCCATTTACACAAAATAAGCATATTCTAATAGTCAGATAAGACGCTTTGGTCAGGGATGGTTAACAACGGCTTATGTGTACTAGAAAGGAAGGACATCGTTCATTCAAACTCCTAGCCTTTTAAAGTCGGTTCCATGCCTTTATTACTCGGCCCATCTTTCTCTTTCTCTTTACTTTTAGTTTTCTACTTTTGCCACACCCAGCCTACTCTTACACGCACATATCTATCATTATCGTCCTCCTGAATTCCCTCCTATCAACCAATGAAGCAACCACATCACCACATCAACAGCGTAATTTTCAAGGGAGACCGTCCCCTGCCCGGGTCCCATCCGTTTCTTAATTTTGCGCGAAAGATAGCTCAGGCTACCTCCATGCGTCGCCCGGTCGACATTCAACTCGGGTTAGCCAGGGGCTCAACTGTAGTCGCAGTTCGCGAGAAACAGCAGCATGCACTCCAGAAAATAAAATGGCTGTTGCCAAACCTACTCAGTGTTAATAGGCGAGAGGCTGCATTGTGGAGACAGCCATTTACTGCACTCATGTCCTATCTCCAACCTCCAAATCGAAAGGGTATTACAAATGATGAGAAACTATGTCAAGACAAATTAGAACAGCTGATAAAAGACGTCCTCTCACACATCGATGCCAAGCAAGATTCCTCGGATCTCAACGAGTTACGTCCCCGACTTATTGCTTTCTTGGATGCCAAAGAAAGGGAAGAGGGTGATGAAAAAGAGGAAGAAGAGGAAGAACTAGAGCCTCTATAAATATCCCATTCTTTCATTCCCTTTATCTTTTTACCTCTTTCACATATATATTTTTTCTGTTTTTTTTTATTCAGTTGACAGCCATGGTTACATGGGATGTATACATTAGCTACTACAAGTTTTTTTAAAAAAAGGGCCTATCATATACAATATGATATTGTAAATAAATCCTCTACCGCATTGCACCTTTCATTGATTGGATTCCCACGCCAGCTTGACGATAGAAATCTAACGGTTGTCGGCGGTTCGTTTCAAATAGGTGGGACAGATACGTTTTCTAGGGTGGTTTGAGCTTTTAGGTTTTTTTTTGTATCATTACTCCACCCCGTCTTCGTAAAAAATACAATCTATGAACCCGCCAAAACAAACATCATCTCCTTGATTTCTGATATAGTTGTACTCAATTTTTTTTTGTCTTTTTTTGCCACAGCACGGGTCTCAACGGATTACACAGGGTATTCTTAATTTTAATATTTTTAGACGATAGAAAATAATCATTAAATTGTGGGATGTTCTTTTTCAAACTGCTCCAAATAAGCAACCAATACGTCGACTTCCTCCTCGGGCATGGCATTGTAGATCGAAGCACGGGCACCACCTAACACATACAACACAACTATTAGCCATCGAATAAGGCGCACATGATATCGAAATACTTTACCCACTGAACGATGTCCCTTCAATTGGACCATTCTTCTTTCTTCTGCTCCCTTGAAAAACTCAGCCTCGAGTTCCTTTGGCAGCTTGAACACCACGTTCATCTTGCTTCTTGCTTCCTTTTGAACAGGAGCCGAAAATAATTTACTGCTGTCAAGAGCATCATAGAGCTTGTTTGCCTTTTTCTCGTTTTTCTTTGCGATCTCAGTCAAGCCACCGTGTTCCAAAAGCCACTCGAGCATCAATCCGACCATATAGATGGCAAACGTTGGTGGTGTGTTGTACATTGATTCATTCTTGGCCAAGGTGTCGAAATCGAGCATCAGAGGACGAAGTGGTCCAACCGAAAGATCGACAATCAGATCTTTACGGACAATAACCAATGAAACACCAGCAGGGCCGAGATTCTTTTGAGCACCACCATAAATCAAACCGTATTTGTTTACATCGATAGGGCGCGACAGGAAATTGCTCGATACATCAGTTACCAAAGGTACTGAAGGGTTGACCTTGGGAACCGATTGGAACTCAACACCGTGTACAGTTTCATTATCGCAGTAGTAGACATAAGCCACATGGTTTTTTGCGGGGTCAGTGAGTGACCAGGTAGATTCGGGTGTGATTCTATCATAGGCACCAGCGGCTTTCTTGGTGTCTACGACGCGGTTGACGACAATTGGATTTCCCTTGACAGACTCTGCAAGTCTTTGGGCTTCATCTGCTGCCTTGCTAGACCATGCACCGGTCACTATGTAGTCTACCACAATAGGAGAGTTGTCTTTGGTTTTTGACAGCTCCTTTTGTTTGGCAGCAATAAGGTTATAGAACACAGCAGCAAACTGGGTTGTCGCACCACCCTGCATAAATAGAATCTCGTAATTGTCAGGAATGTTCATAAGTTTAGTCAAGTTAGACTTGGTGCGATTGAGGATTTCGCCGAATGGTTTAGAACGATGGGAGAGTTCCATTACTGACATTCCGGTATTGTCATAGTTCAAGAGTTCTTCCTGAGCACGTTTTAAGACGGATTGGGGGCTAGAGAAGAGAGATAGAGGTAGAAAGTTCAGGGGGTTTGTGCTTGCTATTGGTTCCTTTTTTTCTTTTCTTTTAGAGATAGCTTGTAAAAAAAAGAAGCATTACATCTTTGCAGGACCTGCACCAAAGTTGTAAGTGTGAGTGGACATTTTTTATAGGATCAGGCTTCAAAAATTGTAAGATAATTAGAATCAAACTCTTCCTTGCGTTTGAAACTCCCAAGATTTAAACATGTCAATCTTTATGTGACTGTTAATCAGCCCTGGGCTCACCATGACACATTTTTTTTTTCATAGAGAGAGAGAAACGGAGATCAGGCATTAGTCCCGCTTTGAGTCATATAAAGATGTACATATATAAAGAATGTAGATTTGCCTTTATTTGATAAAAGATTAGAGTGCATTGGTTTGTGAATACAATGCAGTTGTGATCTATATATCTATATATTTTATATATAGATCTAGATATAGTTTATTGAAAATAAATAAAAGGAGAAGAAATTCAACAGACAAGGAAAGATCATATATAAACTCCTAGAGCATCACAGTAGGGAAAAAAAAGAGTAAAGCTCAACATTTCAGTCAACTAAATGATATGAAAGAAAACATTATTATTACTGGTTTAATTTGGCTTTGTAGAAGGAGAGTGATTTGAAACTTTTTTTTTTTCATTTTTGGTGTTATTTTATGATGATTATGATGATAATGATAATGATAATGAAAATGAAAATGATAGAACTAGGAATATTAATAATAGAAAGAAGAAGGAGACAACGACTGCGACAAAGAAGAATAAGATGATAAAGAAGAAAGTGTGTACACAAAATTAAAATAATAATAATAATAATAAAAAAGGATGTAATCTACAAGACGGTCTATAGACAACAGATTATATATATTTCTTTATATAAAAGGAAAGGTTAGGCTATTTTAAGGGAAAGCAAAGAAATAAAGAAAGGAGAGAGGGAGGGATGAAAGGGTATTGATTTGATGGCGCTTAACATCCAACAGATCCTGCTTTGGATAGCCAGCCAAGGCTAGGGTTCATTTCATTGTGTCTTTCAGGAGAATGGCTGTGTTGAATGGGAGGCAGATGACGAGGTAAATTGTCCAGAGTTGGGCCAAAACTAGATTCATGAGTAAGATACTTTGGATATGAAGTAGACAGGTCTGTGCTGTGTTGTTGGCGTCTGCGCTCTGCATGACGCTCGTGCGTCTTCATATGCTGAGAAAGGTTATCTGAGCGAGAGAATGTCTTGTGGCAAGTAGGCACAGAGCATGCAAACGGTCTTTCACATGTGTGTATTCGCATGTGCCGTTTGAGGTGCTCAAGACGCTTGAATTGGCGGTGACATTGGTCAACTGGACAGATGTGCTCTTTAGATGGGGACATACGACATGAATGGCGATCGGAAGATGGTGCCTTTTCTTTGTTGGAAGACAATAAAATGTCCATTTGTAGACCTGATGTACATCTGGGCTGCAAATGTGGCATTTCAGGGTGGTGGGTTACGGGTGACGAATAGACAGGTGAAGACTGTCTGCCCTTTGGTACATGAAAGACGCTGTTGTGTGATTGGAATATCCGATTAGGCTGAGGAAGATATGTTTTGTGCTAAATGATTATAAAAGATATCTTGAGTACATAACTCGTCACTGAATTCAGTTATTGCACCAACATACCTCTTCGGGAAATGATGGACGACGTTCGAGTACATCTTGATAGGAATACATGTTGTAATTCATGTTTTCATTGAATGGTTTTTGATTGTCTATGGTGTGTGAGACTGGCTGTTTCGGACGAGAAAGATTCTTCTTGGCGTGAGTGCGATAGTGCGAATTGAAGTTGTCTGACCGACTGAAGCTCTTTCCACAGCCTGGATAGCGGCAAACATAAGGGCGTTCACCGGTGTGAACATACGCGTGGCGCTTGAGATGTTCGTATCTTTTGAAACTCCATCCGCACATGGGGTGCTTGCAAACATGCTTGTTTTGGTGCTGGCCATTTGGATTGCAGGCTGAAGCAGTGTGGTCTTGGGTAGCTAAAGGTGACTGAGGACCATTTTGAAGAGAAGGTGAGCATTGGATAGGAAACTGAGAGTGAGAGTGAGAGTGGGGATGAGAGTGGGGATGAGAGTGAGAATGAGGGTGAGAATGAGGGTGAGAGAGATAGCTAGAAGAATTGCGACGATAGAAAGAGTCTTGGGGAGATTGAAGAGCAGGACCACAGCCGGTAAAGGAGGGTAAGTCAGAGGAAGATGAACAAGAGGAAGAACATGAATTGGAGTGGTCTTTAAGCTTGAATTGGTGGCCGATTAGGTATGGTGAGACTGAGGGTGTGAGTGGAGGCGAGACGTCTTGGTAGGCATTAGAGTAAGTCATTGGATAGCCTTGGTTTGACTTGGAGGTTTGGAAGGCAGAGGGATATTGGTAGTGGCGGTCTCTTTCAGAAATATCTGACAGAGGTGAATCAGCACCAGAGTCTTCTGTGTTTTTGAAGGGAAGTTTGTTGGTGTTGGAGTTGATGGCTGTGGTGATGGTGTTGGTGTTGGTGTTGGTGTTGGTTGACTCGTGCTTTAACATAATCGTTATCAAACAGGCAAAGAAATATAAGAAAGCAGGGCAGATACAGAAAAAAAAAGAGGGGTGGGGGTTAATAAACATTCACTGCTTTTTATAAAGTTGATCTTTTTTTTTATTATTGGATTTGATTTGCCAGATTTAGCTCCAAGAGCTTATTTGGCTTTCTACTTGAGCCGATCCCCTTTTTTTTTCTTTTTAGTATTCATTTGATTCCAAGCAAGGGGATGAAGCTATGAAGAGAGAGAGAGGGCGATTCATTTGTACCTAAAAAAGAACATTATATTTGTTATATTATTCTTTTGCACAAGCATCTAATTTCTATAAGCAATCAAAATGCACCCCTCGCTTTTCTTCTTTAAACTGAAGAGGTTGACTTTTGGGTTCAGGGGAATAAATGAGCTGTAGAAAGATACTCCTTCAGAACAGTGGTGATTACAAGACTGCTTTACACTGCACTCCACAATAATATATCTTTTTTTGTAATCTATTCCAAGTCCCAATTGAACTTCTTTGTTGCAACGAACACTCTTTACCATCAAGACACGTCTTGGTTGAAATACACACTCCAATTGAGACTCACGGTGAGCAAGAAAAAAAGGGATTGACAATGTCAATTGAGCATACAAAATTAATTGAACTTATTATAAGCACCTAAAAATACACATATACATCTACATATACATGTCTTGGTCAAAGCGCCTTGATGCATATATAAATATAAATATAAATATAAATATAAATACAAAGGGTCACAGCTTTCAATTCTCCTTGTTTTTATTATCACCATTATTTCTTCTGATTTTTTTTTTAAAAAAAGAAAATAATATTATTAATAGCTGTATATTATTTACTATGAATTTCGAGGGTCTTTTGTGTGTGTGTGTGCAAAGGTTTACAGCTTGTATTCTGTCGTATATACATAGCTTTATATAAATAAAAGGCAAGATTTCTGTTGAGAAATGCCAAAAGATCAAGGTTCACATCAACATCAACGGCTACCATTATCACTACCACCCCCCCTCACTTCTTCTTCTCCTACTCCTTCTCCTTCTCCTCCTTCTCCTTCTCCTGCTCCTGCTCCTTTTCTTAGACCTTTCATCCCCTTGACTAAACTCCTCTCAAGTTGGAAGCATTCCTTTAAAATGTTTTCAAAGTAAACTCAACATGTACAAACCTTAATAAGTTAAAAAGAAGGGGGGAAATCTGACGCCTCGTGTTCTTGCGACTTTCTTTGTTCCTCTTAGCTCCTAACCCCTCTTCTTTTCATACCTCCTTTTACTCCGCTAACAATACGATCGCACACACAAACCATGATCGGCAATAGTGATTGATTAAAGAGCCCTGAATAGGTTCGACAAGCTTGTCGTTTCATTAACACCCCTTTAGCTCTTCATGGTACGCGTATCAATGCAGGAAAACAAGGGGAGAATGAATTGTTTCTCTCTCTATATTTCTTTGTGTTCTTTGTTTTTCATCTGACTATTCTGGCATCTAGATGGCTGTGAGGTGAGAGGGGAAACTACACCACCGATAAAGATGAGAAAAATTTCACAAAGATAAATAAAGAAATAATTAGAAATAGTAATAGTAATAATAATAATAATAAAGGGGAGGCAAATAAGAGGGGTAAGAGGAGGTGTAGGAGGAGGAGGTGGTGGTGGTGAAAAGGGATCAAGGCACAAAACCAAAGGAATATTAAATATTCAGTATTTAGTATTCAATAGGTGTATATATATAAATTTATATTAATATTAATATTAATATTAATATATAAAAAGTTCATTTTGTTGCCTAGAACAGTAAACAACACTTCCATAGTGGTGAAACCTCGTGGTTTCTTTGTAACCAAAAGGTCTGTCGATGGTGTTTCCAAACCCACTTCACTTATAAGCATCTAGATAACACATATGTTAAATCGTCTGTGCCAAATTTATTTATTTTATTTTTTCTTGAAATTTGCTGATCTCTCAAACCATACCGACCACCCTCCAGCCCGGACAAGCTTAACCGTCACTTTGAGACTCCGGAGTAGGCTGGCTGGAAGACAAGGCAAATACACAGGCCACAAGGAGATGAAGATCCTCCTCTTTTATCATCCATCTGCAGAGCCGTAAGTGTTATTCTAATGGCCATCCAAGCCAAAATCAGTCTTCAAGCATCTACAGATATATGGATTGCTCAGGATCAACATCGAAATCCAGATGCTGATGTTAAATTTTCTTTTCTAGATGGCCAAGGACCAGAAGACCACCAAGCGTTCCACTCTCGCTGACGTTGTTACCCGCGAGTACACCATCCACATGCACAAGCATGTCTTTGGCAGATCCTTGAGAAAGCGTACTCCTCACGCTGTCAAGGCCATCAAGGCTTTTGCCGAGAAGGCCATGGGCACCAAGGATGTCCGCATTGACCCCGCACTCAACAAGGCCCTCTGGGCTCGTGGTGTCAAGCACATCGAGCACCGTATCCGCCTCAGAATCGCCCGTAAGCGTAACGATGAGGAGGATGCCAAGGATAAGCTCTACTCTTACGTCACCTACGTTCCCGTCGCCAGCTTCAAGGGTAAGTTTTCAAAAAATCGGGTGTCCTTTGTAGACTGTTACTAAGTTGTCATTATCTCTCTCTCTTTCTCTTCTTTATTTTTTAAAAAAAAATTATAGGTCTCGAGACCACTGTTGTCGATGACGAGTAAAGAATATCTTTTCATCTCTGTCAGAATTTGAATTTTTACTTTATTAATAAAGCAAACTCATCATATACATACACACATACATGCTAACATTATATATATATATCATGCTATGTTATTCTTTTGGGATAAAGAAGTGGGACAATCTACGTTTTGATTTTTTTTTATTTAATTTTGGTTAATACAGTTATATGGTGCTTATTGTTCATTAGTACGATTATTAGTACTATTGTTCTTTGGTCGGTTTGAAATGGATTTTTTTTAAAAGAAAAAAAGGGCATTAAAATGAAAGGACTTTAAAGAGATATTGGTTAGAGAAGAGAGTAAGGTACATACTGCACAAAGTTAGATTTTTTGAAATGTAAACCAAAAAAACGCACGTTTGTGCTGGTAATTCATGTATTCATGTATTCTAATCCGTAATTCTAAACCGCTTTTTATATATATATATAATTCATCTATTTATGTATTTTTAAGGTCTGATTTGGCTGGGGAAATTTAGCCAGCTGTGTTTATCTTCTCTTACTTTATTTTATATACACACCGATGTATACCGAAACCTGCATGAAATTAGTCATTCTTGCTGAACAGTCTAAACTCGTCCAAACACTATAAAACCGGAGTTTTGGCCTTTTGCTACCTTTCTTGCTCATTCACCTTTCACATATAAAAACCTTTGGCTCTCATACCCTTTACCCCCCTCACTCTTCTTCTCTCTATAAATATATCTATTTATTGTGTCAACTCCTCACAGCAAGACCAGTCATATATTACTGCTCTTTTCTTATGCGAGATAAATCATTTTCATTCGAAACCCCTTTACCGTCAGTCGACACAGGCATCTATTCTCGAAAAGCACTCACATCCCTCTATGGCGTGGATTTTATTGCAGCCACCGTATCTTCCGCAGCCGTCGCTCCCTTTATCGCTGTCGTGGATCGGTACGGATCTACATGATCTACTTGATAATCTCATGGCTCCTATTCATCTCTAGTTTATCAATAGATCTATAATCGAAAATGCAAACGGCAAGCAAACCTTGAACACCGGTCTCAGGAAAGGATTCCGGAATTTGTTGGCAAACCCTTTGCGATTCTTGGCCACACCACAGTTTGGATATGTTTATGGTACCTACTTTAGCACCTATATCGCTGCAAATACAATCGAGACTACCTGCGAAAATTATTCAGTCGATCTGAACAGAACTGCGTTTCTCAAATTTATCGGCACAAGCATCGTCAACATGTCGCTTTGCATCATCAAAGACCGTGCATTCACTCGCATGTTTGGCGTATCTGCCGCCAAACCCCTTCCTTTACTCACCTATCTACTATTTGCTGCACGCGATTCAATGACAATCGCTGCTAGCTTTACTGCACCATCCTACATCTCGGCTACACTGCAGCAACACAAGCTTGTGTCTAATTCGGATCAGGGCAACACAGCTGCACAGTTGGTCTGTCCTGCTGCTGTTCAATTCTTAAGCACCCCACTACATCTATATGCTCTCGATCTCTACAATCGCCCAACTGTATCTCTCTGGCAGCGTGCTCGATTAGTCAAGGTAGAGTATTTAAAGAGTACGCTGGCACGCATCGGACGCATCGGACCGGCATTTGGACTAGGTGGAATTGGTAATACATATATACGAAACCTTAGAAAAACTATAATAGATAAATCTACCTCTTAGACCACAATAGGACACTTCTTCTTTAGAAACTTTATTCTGTAGACCATTTGTTGTTGTTATACCCAAGAATCACTTGGCTACCAATGACTCTTACTTTCCCACGATCATAACTGTCTTTTAATTTTACAATCGTTTTTTATTCTCTCAACTGATTTTGTGAACCTGTTGCTTTGTCATGCTGAGTGGCATTTAAAGATGTAACCAATAAACAATACCTTATCTGTAATCCTCTTACGAATATGGAATATCCATGTATGTATCAATCTTCCTAGATAACCGACTTTTCTTTTTTGTGTATTCGATTCATTATATAATCATACAAGAATTTATTTAATTGTGACAATGAAAGCAGCCAAACTTTGGAAAACGATATATAGAAGATTTTGAATTATAGGTTAAGAAATAAAAAGAAAGCACCTTATATTTACTTTTAACATCGAATGACTCTCCAGCAATTCATAAGTCTATTGCTTTTGAATATTAAGCTCCAAATCACTAGAATTAATTATGAAGCGTATGAATTGGCTTAGAGTTCTTTTTACTTCTTGGTTAATTTCTGCTTTACAATTAACATCAAAAATCAAATAAAAAAAATCTCCTTCATCTTGCACACATAAAAATAAAACTGAACCAAATTTGAGATAAGAAAATGTGCGCAATTAAAGTTGCATCATACCTTTGTCTGGCATTTCTGATATCATTGTCAAGATGTATTGGCAAATACTAAGCATTTTCACGCTTTAAGAAAAGAAAAAGAAAAAAAAAAGGGGGATATTTCTGTCTAGATTGACGCACAATTCATCTATTAGTTTGCCCGTGCGTTCATGAATATTTATTTTCCTAAATATATGACGCCTGTCGTGCAGAGAGTCAGCTATACATTGGTGTATCTGGTATTAAGGCTGCAGGACCCCATACATAATCAAGGGCGCCATGATTTATATATGCCAGTATAAATAGCCACCAGATCTGGAGAAAAAAAAAAGACTACTATATTTAAACAGCATGTGGGAAAAATTAGGAATCACATTATCTTTTAAAGGTATAAAGATATATAGTACCCAAATGAACTAAAGGTAAAAATTGTCATGGATATTATCGAAAATTGTGATAATAGAAACTGAAACGGTCTGTTTTCTTATTTACACAAGAAACTATGTCGTAACTCAAGGGAAACCTCAGCTATATTTTCTAGCTAACTATACAAATTATCGGTCCGGTCCACCGGAAATTTACAGGCTTGTATTCATTAAAATTAATACTTTATACCAAGTATATGGGAATCGTACACAATGATATAATACTGCAGACATTACATAATAATATACTTGATTACTACAAAAACAATATAGTACACAATGCAGTAATGTATAAAGAATAACAGCCACACAACAAAAATCAATCAAAATATCTATAAGGGTGGCTTTCATTATCATAATCAAATCAATAACACATACAGCAAAGTTCTACCCAAAAAATAAAATAAACCAAATACAATGAAATGAAACAAAACCTACCAATTTAGTCCTAGCTAAAAGCAAAAGCAAAAGCAAAAATCAACAACGAATATGTGAATAAACTAGTCTTAAAATAAGGCCTTCGTACTAGTGCACTATGTTGTGTGTGTGTGAACGGTTTGTGTACAAGGCGTGACATCAAATATCTCAGAGTACTAATATAGGAGAGTTAAGGAAGAGGGGCGGATATTTTGCTTATTTAATAATCAGATACAAGCGAGATCAGCACTTGATCTACAGGAGATACACTATGGTAAGAAAAAGGGTGATTTTATTAGGAGATTTTTGCCAGCTTTTCTCAGGCGTTTAAGATGAATTTTTATGTTGTCTCCAATAAACAATACAACATATATATATATATATATATATCGTTCTATTCTAGAACGATACCTTCCCAATAGACATACAAAGGATATCATACAGTGTAGATAGTAATAGAGTAATTTACTAAATTACTTTAATAATGTAATGGCTTACCAAGATAGTATTTTGGGGGGTACATGTTAATAACCAGGTTGAAAAAAAGTTATTCTACTCTTGTCAATGATGTTATTCTATCTCTTTTTAGTCTTCATCTTAAATAACAACTCTCCAAAGCATTTTTTTTGGACCTTATAATACTTACAATTTGAGTAACACAAATGAACCTCTCCAGAATATTGCCATCTACCTCACAGTTGGAAAAGGAGATACTAGAAGTTTGAGAAAGCAACAAGATCTTTATTTCACAAACTATTCTCAAACTGTAACGAAACCATATCCTTCAAAAAGAAATAAGAATATTGAATTGGTATATCTATAATAGCTTATAATAATGTGAACAATAAAGAAATGAAGACTTAATGTAATATCATCTTGTAATACTATACCATATCACATTCGATATTTGAGAGCGACGACATGAACAATTGTTCGGGACTTGCTTGATCCTTTGAAGAAACAGCTGGGGACGTGAATTACCGTGCTCGGACATACCAGACACATTGGTTCAACGTTTGTAAAATATCCTTTTTATTCTTATGTCCTTTATTGGCCTACGATATCAGCTATGAGATGTGGGTGTAGGAAATTGTCGAGACATAAGCATTATTATGTCTGTTACATAGTAGGAGACATTAATGATATTAATCAGCAACAAAGAAACCTTAGCAAAAATATCTTGCTTATTTAATTGGTTAAGATCAAAGGATGCCTTGGGTGTCAAATTGGTAAAGAAGGTGTACTAGCCAAGTACATAGGTGTATTTGTGTGGCAATGACGTGCACTTTAGAAACCAGGTCTTGTAGGGGTCTAATAAACTCTGGCCTCCGTCTGGTTGATTGTAATGATTCCTTGATAGTAAGGACTAGGAATAAGATAATTTCATTCAATGTATTTCGGTCAATAAGGGGCTAAATATCCGAGGTTTGCTTGCTCGGTCCTTTCGAAAGTGTCACTTAATAGGAATAAATTACTAAGAAGCTGTATAAGATTATATATAATAATTCAGCCAATCGAGTACTTGCAGAATAAAACATAAAGGCTCGTAAAGTTTAAACTTTTTACCCTTTAATTTTTCCGTATTTTATAGACTTTGTATATATAAGTATCGTATATCATATGTAGTTTTGATACATAAAGATTTATTACGTAATTAACTAAACAAACACATTGATATAAATGACAATCGCTTAAAAATCTTAATCATTATTCTACAAATATATCAAAACAAGATTTAGACTCCTTGTATTTGTCTTTTATTGTTTTAGATTCGCTGTTCTGAAGTTTGTGTATGTATTGCTAAAATCAAGTATGAGTTGTGTAATTAAAACATTTAGAAACCATTTTGTATTCTATCCTAATAGCAATATAAAGCTGTTTCAAAGATAATATTGTATTAGCGGGTCATACCAGAGATATGACAGAATAAAGCATCTTTACAAGACCAGGTCAAGTCCTTGATCAAGCAGCCAAAGATTAAGAAGGAATCACTTTTATAGCTTTTCATGGCTTCTCAATGATCGCTCGGCGTTTCTTCTTTCCGCCAAACTGGCAATCAACTTTGTAGAAAATAATATCGTTTTAACAAATTTTATAAAATCGAATTTTTTATCTCAAACAATATTATCTATTTACAGATAAATAAGATAGGAATTACACAGTAAGTGCAAGTTCATAGTATACTTTATAGCAAATTATCCTATATATTAGAATATTGGTACTAAGTGATTATGACAAAGAATTATTTCTTTTTAGTATATCAAACAATAAAATATAGCTTTAAGTGCTAGCCACCTTATAAAACCTCACATTGAATACCGTAACTTCCAAGTAAGCACAAATTGATAAGATACTACTCTAAAAAAAGCCAAGAATTATTAATTGTACAGAAAAGTCTTATGATATATGATCCATTAAAAATACAATTATAAAATGTAGAAAAGATATATCGATATGTGAATAGAATCTTACATGCACACAAGAGAGCGGAGATACACTGCTTTCCATAAAAGTAAAGGGTCGAAATAGGGGCGGTTTTCTCTCTCGAAAAGCGTCCCCTAGAATTACCTCAAAAATCACCCTCAAAATAGCCCTTTACCCCTATAGAGTGTATAGCTACTATGTATTGGTGGCAATTAAGGTTAATCGACAATTAACATTACGACAGCTGCTTTACCTAAAAAGATATTTCTTTTGGTTACCAACAAACATACTTTAAAATAAGAAAAATATTAATCAACCGGACTGTGTACCAAACCTCCACTGTTATCATTTCACTGTCAGCATCAAAACTGACGCGACACTGACTTAGTATGGCGTACGTTATAACGTAAGTTCTTGCGATACAAAAGTAGATAGCAAAAATGATCCGTACTACTATGCCGCTGCTTTCTATTGGAAGGAGATGTAGTATGTCTGTATGAAAGCTTCCGGTTTTTCTCTAAGCAGAATATCATAATAGAATATATGCTTAAGAGTATAATACGAACAAATTCGTAAAAAAAAATTGTGAAAACAATCTGAAATTTGCTTTCCAAGTAAGCAAATTTTTTTTTTGTTCTTTTAACAAAAGCTCTTAATCTAATGAAACCCATCTTCAGGATTTTTACTTTTGGTTCGCACATTCTCACTTGGACTTTACGGCTTGAAATATTAATAGTGTATATAATGTATTACAAAATATAAAGTTTTATAATGTGAACCATTTGAAGGAAGTTAGCAATAGGCCATTTTCGTCTTTGATAAAAAAATACACCGGGTAAAAAATAAATAAAATAAAAATTAGTCTTAATTATTTGTCTCTACAATTTTTGCTAATTGTTTGGCACATATCCATCTCGTAGAATTCTGAAAAAAAGGTTGGTCAGAGGTATATTATAAGGAGTATAATAAACCTTTTAGTGGTATCGTAATTACAATAGATGACATGTTTGTATTATCTTTTGTGTTCAGTTTCTTTTGGTACAAAAGATAAATAAATCAAAATCTCAACCTTGTTCTTGACACATGAAGAATCTACTGAACATTTGGTAATACTTAAATCCAGACTACGATTCCTTCAGATGATATAAAGATACTTCTTGAGAAGTTCGATGATAAAAATAACAATAATAATAATAATACGTATATACGCGATTATTCCCGGAAAATGATTATCTAATATAAGAAGGTTGAAATCCGGGATTTGCTTGTGTGATACAGTTCTTGTCATAATTATGGTCGAGTATCACTCAGATGCTATTGAGGCCACACAGCTAAACAGCACTGATTACTTTACCATTCAATTTAAATCAACATTTTTAAGGGCTATTCATATACAAGGATTTCAGGACCCATGGCTCATAGCCCAAAAAAAATTGATACGGAGAATACAGCGCTGATTAATACCCTATAGTTCAGTATTAATAATCAACCAAGTCGTTCTTTGGGATATATAACAATAAGAATAAGAAATATATATAAAAAAAAACTTACCCGAAAATCCACTCGGGGATTGAATAAGTAAAAGGTATATATAAAAGGTGAATGTTGTTTAGCTTTATTACACTTTATTCCTATAACATACAGCATGTCTACCAACACTTTCCACGGTTGGGCTTGTCCCGGCAAAGGTAAGCATTCTAACTAATTTTTTGCATCGTAAAAAAATCTTAACCCGAATCTTAAATTGACAGACCAACCTCTCGAATGGACCGAATTGCCTTTGAAGGAATTTGACGACGAAACCGTTGAGATGAACGTTACTCACTGTGGTATCTGTGGATCAGATCTCCACACTCTAGATTCTGGATGGGGTCCTACAGACTATCCCTGTGTTGTTGGCCACGAAATCACTGGTGTGTGCACACGTGTCGGTAAGAATGTAAAGCATATCAAGGCTGGCGATCGTATCGGTGTTGGAGCTCAGTCTGGTTCCTGTCTCGAGTGTGACAACTGCAAGAATGGCGACGAAAATATTTGCCAGCGCAAGTCTGTCGGTACCTACAACAGCCGCTGGTATAACGGCGACAAGTCGTTTGGTGGCTACGCAGACAAGTGGAGAGGACATGAACGATTTGTCTTCAAAATTCCGGACAATATGTCCAACGAGATTGCTGCTACTTTCTTCTGTGCTGGTGTGACCACCTACTCTCCTCTCAAGCGTTTTGGAGTCAAACCCGGGGACAAGGTTGGCATAATTGGTATTGGCGGTCTCGGTCATTTTGGCGTACAATGGGCCAAGGCTATGGGCGCGTCTGTTGTCGCTCTCTCACACTCTGATCGCAAACGAGCTGATGCCAAAGAACTCGGTTGCGATGATTATATTATTACTACTGACAAGGAGGCAATGGGTGCTCAAAACGGTACATTTACACATATTCTGTGTACCAACTTTAGCGATACATTTGATTGGGCTCTTTATCTCAGTCTTATCAAGGCAAATGGCTACTTCATTATGGTTGCTCTTCCCGAGAAGCCGTTGACTAATATCCCTGCAATGTGGTTGGTCAGTCGTCAAGTCTCCCTGGTTGGATCCTCTATAGGATCTCCTTCCATGATCGAGGATATGCTTAAATTCGCTGCTACTCATGATGTTAAGCCTTGGATTAACAAATATCCTATGAAGGATGCAAACGAGGCTGTCAAGGCCATGCGAGAAGGAAAAGCTAGATATAGATTTGTGCTGGAAAACTAAGACTACGTTTCTTTAAATTTTGTATTCCATCCCTCCTTACATTAAAATAAAATATGTATATAAAACATTAACTATAAGCATGTCAGGGGGTTTTATTATGTTTGCAAACGCAGACGCAGGTGCAGACTGCAGAGGTTAAACTTTGTAAATAATTGGCTAAAGAAGATCTGCATATAGTTAATATTTACAGATTGATTCTTCAGATCAAAGCTTGAAGATTGTCGTCGGCAAAACTCTTGGTAATAAAGGTATCAGACATACAACTAAAGCTGAGGAAGTTAAAAGAAGGACTCAGTGCCTTTTATCTAATGCTAACTTTGGCTAATATGTTACATTATGCCGCCTGCATCTGCATCTGTATCTGCATCTTCGTTTGCAGATAATGAAACCTCTTATAATCATCAGATTCTAGAATATCTGGTCGTGTATGCGGATGACATGGTATATATAAAGGCAAGGCAGACAATTTTTATTTATTTATGTCAGAACTTAAATAGCCACAAAGCTTTTTTGATTGATTTATATCTATTTCAGGCAAAAAATGTATTGAAATTGGAGTAGGAAATTAGAGCAGCTTCAGCAGTATCTAAAAAAAATCTTTAAACTTAAAAGGCTCTTTTCACGTACCTAAAATAACGTCAGAATTAAACGCAACTTTAGAGCAACTTTTGGAGTTTCTTTAAGAAAGTCTTTAAGACCAAATATAATCTTCGGCTTTATTCCAAATAAAGACTTAAAACCAAGAAAATTTGAAAGCAATTCTAACAGTTTCTTTATAAAAAAAGCTTTAGAGCTATTACTTTTGGTTTTTTATTCAAGGTTTAAATTTATAGTCGGAAGAAAAAGAGATTGATATAATAAATGACAGAAGCCTTAAAAATCTTAAGACTTTTTTTTTTATTTTTATGTATACTTTTTCGTATAGAGAAACTGCTGGTAGCGATTTTTTTTTCTTTTTGGAAAATCTTTATTTATAAATTTTGATATAAAGATTCTGTGTAAAGAAACTTGAGTGGATTTTATACTCTTTCCGAAAATTATTAGTGCAATTTTCTATCAGTTTCTCTAATACATTCCTCGCTTTTGGTGCATTTCATTTTTGCGCCGATAAGTTCCAGAAAGAGAGCAGAGCGATTAAAACAGATAGCCTTCAAAATTTTAACGAAATAAAGAAAGAAAGATAAGATGAAATAAAAGAAGGCACTGCCTTTTGTGTAAAATAGCATACGAAACAAATCCTAATATATAAACCAGTATACGAATCACATCCTATTATGTATATTGTGGAACTATTAAAGCTATTCAGCCACATCAACCAAAGTAAAAGGATATTTGTAAAAGGCAACATGTGCCACATAGTAATAATTTAGTGAATAATGGATATGATTCAAAAGATTGGGATTTTTAGCGGGCATACATAATACAGCTGTATAAAAGGAGGATGCTGTTTAGCTTCATTACGTTTTATTCCTATAACATACAATATGTCTACTGACACTTTCCACGGATGGGCTTGTCCCGGCAAAGGTAAGCATTCTAACTAATTTTTTGCATCGTAAAAAAATCTTAACCCGAATCTTAAATTGACAGACCAACCTCTTGAATGGACCGAATTGCCTTTGAAGGAATTTGACGACGAAACCGTTGAGATGAACGTTACTCATTGCGGTATCTGTGGATCAGATATTCACACTCTGGATTCTGGATGGAGACCTACCGACTACCCCTGCGTTGTTGGCCACGAAATCACTGGTGTGTGCACACGCGTCGGTAAGAATGTAAAGCATATCAAGGCTGGCGATCGTATCGGTGTTGGAGCTCAGTCCGGCTCCTGTCTCGAGTGCGAATATTGCAAGAGTGGTAATGAGAACATTTGCCATCGTCAGTTCATTAGTACCTACAACGGCCGCTGGTATAACGGCGACAAGACTTTTGGTGGCTACGCAGACAAGTGGAGAGGCCATGGACGATTTGTCTTCAAAATTCCAAATAATATGTCCAACGAGATTGCTGCTACTTTCTTATGTGCTGGCGTGACATCCTACTCTCCTCTCAAGCGTTTTGGAGTCAAACCCGGGGATAAGGTTGGCATAATTGGTATTGGCGGTCTCGGTCATTTTGGTGTACAATGGGCCAAGGCTATGGGCGCGTCTGTTGTCGCTCTCTCACACTCTGATCGCAAACGAGCTGATGCCAAAGAACTTGGTTGCGATGATTATGTTGTTACCAGTGACAAAGAGACAATGGATACACACAACTACACCTTCACACATATATTATCTACTAGCTTTAGTAATGACTTTGATTGGCCAAGATATATCAACCTTCTTAAGCCGAATGGCCATTTTATTATAGTTGGAGTCCCCGAGACGCCATTGACGAACATCCCTGCTCTTTTGCTGGCATATCGGCAGGCATCCATCGTCGGATCTGCAATCGGATCTCCTTCCATGATCGAGGATATGCTTAAATTCGCTGCTACTCATGATGTTAAGCCTTGGATTAGCAAATATCCTATGAAGGATGCAAACGAGGCTGTCAAAGACATGCGAGAAGGAAAAGCCAGATATAGATTTGTACTGGAAAACTAAGATTTTGTTTTTCTTTTTTCTTTTTTAAAAAAAATCATTTAAATATGTAATTTTGTTTTCATGGGTTGAATAAATTGACGGCTTTAGATATTTGATCGTAAGAACAACCTTTGCTAAATAAATTATCTTATTCGACTGTAATTGGAATGTATTGAGTGATCTCTTCATATTTGTTTAAAAAAAGTAGTTATAATGTAATAGTGATATTAATTATACTTGATATAAATCGTTCCCTTTTTACATCATTCAATAACAGTAATAATAAGGGGAATACAAGTTATGTTAATATTAAATCATAAATAAAGAGATGTCAATATGAGATAAATTCACTTCAAGAAAAGAAAGTAATATGTAATATACACCCTTACTTAGATATACCTTGGGTTGTTACCAATGAGAGAAAGTAAGTATTGGATTAATTAAACGTTTTAAAGGTGTAGGTAGACTGTTAAGTGTTGGATTGGTACTCCGTCAAACGTCATTGGACCCACAGTCACTTCCAACAACACATTTTGCAATTGGCAGTGGACGCTCAAGGACAGTTCTACACTCATTGTACTTGACACGTAAGATGAACACGATGTCTCGATTGACATGGACAATTTATAAATTAGAGCAACTGTACTTAAACGGTCATTGAAATTATAGACAAATTAACATCATGGGCATCGCAACCACTCCAGAGCTCAAAAAGTAAGACCAATGTAACTGTTTTTTTAAAGCAATGAAATGCAGCGAGTTGAACGTGTTCTTTGCAAAAAAAAAAAGGTATATGGATAAGCATCTTTCGCTTAAACTCAACGGTAACCGACGAGTAACCGGTATTCTCCGTGGTTATGATCCCTTCATGAACATTGTGTTGGATGAGGCTGTTGAGGAGATCAGTGAGACAGAAAAAAACCAGATTGGCATGATTGTAAGTACAGAAAGCGAATCAACCATGAGATCAAGTGGTGTTATTGTTTTTATTGAAGGTATTGATTTATTATTATTATATGATGTAGGTAATTCGCGGTAACAGCATTGCTCTTTTGGAGGCGCTGGAACGCATCTAATCTTTCCGGATGTTAATTTTCTATAAACTTGCCTGACCATCCGTAGATTAATGTTCTCCTTTCATAGTCCTTTCTTTCATTGTGTTGTGAGCTTGTTATTGTTGTTTTTTCCCTTCTTTTTCATGTTGGCTATTATATTGTAGTAGTCACGAATAGCAACAAAAATGTTTACTCTGCGCCACCAAATCCTTTGTCTTTCTTAATTCGACATTTTAATTGAACGTTTAGCTTCAATGAATAATGATAATATTGTTGAGGATTTAGATCTTGAAGTAATGATGGAAAATCTACCCTCTGGTTCTGAAATGAGTGATCAAGAAGATTATGAAAGTAATTCATCATTATCAAGCGAGGAAGATTCCGATTCTGATTCCAATTCTAATGAGATTCTTTCGCCTAAATCAACTAACATAGATGAACGTAAGATACATGTTAAATATGCATTATATGATGGACGCATTATTTAACTAATGTATTAACCATACACTTTATTAAAGATTCTGATCGAGAAGATGCTTTAATGAGTATGCAATGAAAATTATGTAATGTTAGTATAATAGAAACTCATTTCCATGTATCATAATAATTATAGCCGAAAATCCTCAAGATCATGCAAAGCAGGATGAAGAGATCGACTCTGACGAGGAATTCATGACGGAAATAATAATAAAAAAAAACCCGATAAAAGACAATAAAAACAAGGACATCTCGAACGTGGATCATGCGCAAAAAGTCTTGGAGAACAAAGTTTTGATCGAAAATAAGAACGAAGTATCCTCAGAAACCACTACCCCAATTCCCGAAAATAAGAATAAACCAAGTTCAGAAGATATTGATATGGAAGAAGCACCAGAAATTACTACTCCAACTCTTGAAAATATGGACGGAACTAATTTGACCAATGCCAGCAAATCAGAAACACAATCAGCCGAAGCATTATCTGAGGATAAACACAAAGATACTTTAAAAGACGTAGAAATTACTGAAGCACCCGAAGAAAATACAGGAATACCTGTGGTCAACGACCAATCGAACTCAAATAATATACAGACGATAGAACCATCAGCCTCCTTCCATCCAATGTCAGAAAATATCTTGAGGAAGGAAGAAACAGTTGTAGAAGGAACTGATGAGACAAGACACCAGCCAGAAAATATTGATAAATTGCGTGCAGACAATGATAGGCAAACACCAAGCACCCTTCCTGATTTTCCTTTATCAATTGGCAAAATGTACAAAGCCCCATACATGGACAAATTTTACTACACCCAGGAAGCATATGAGGCCATATCGCTCAATGCGTCTCCCAATGAAACTATACAGAAAATGAAAGAAACAACCTCTTTTGCCTCATTCCTTAATTTAAAAAAACAATTTGGACAAGAAAAAACAATCGAGAGAAACGATAAAGGAACGAGACCTGCACCCGATACTGTATCAAAAGAAACTCATATTCCTGTTCCAGTACGGCACAATATGAACGAAGGTTTAAGAATGGGTAGCCTCACATTACCCTCTCATTCAACTTCTCCCAAAGCTTTACATATCGCAGAGAATTCTATTAATAGTACGAAACCAGCAAAACCCGAATTCTCTTTAGATGCTCTTTTGGAGTCTATTACAGACCGACCTGCCGATCCTATTCCTCCTATCGAAAAACCCCCCGTTCTTGCCATGAAACGCAAGTCAAGACCAGATAAAAAATACCCAAAAAATAACAAACCTGAGCGAAACACTTTATCTGATATCGAAGTAGCTGCCATGGCTGCCGGCCTATAATCCAAAAAAAAAGGTGTTAGCAAAGCAATTATTCGTACTTCAAATCAAACCCACTTGTAAATAATAAAACAATCAATCAAACTTAACTGACTATATTTATATATATACTTATTTTGCTTTTACCAACAATTGTAAAACCATTCATACCGAGGTTTCAACAGGAAACTCATGTACAATTTGTATAAAATAAAATAGTTTGACAGCAAACAATCTTTGAAAATCGAATTTATAGACGAAATACGCTGTAGAAGCCAATAGAGTAACATATACTAATTCTCCAATCTTCTCCCTTCTCAGGTTTTCTGACATTAATGCAAGTGATTTTTAAATAAATAATGTAATTCTTTAGTTTTTATTTTATTTTTATGAACATTATTTGGTCTAAAAGAGCTAAGCAAAACTGGTAACAAAATAGCACGATTTACTTTGTCTTTTTTGTCTCTCCATCCTTACTATCACCCTCAGTAATAGTTGCGGAAACTTCAGTACCAACTTGTCCAAACTCGTTGGCACGCGTGTGATCTTCCTTGTAAGCATATCGTTGGTAAAGGTACACAAAAAAGACAACATCATCACGAAGACAAGCTAGACGATGCAAGGTTGGCATTTTGATTACAAAAGCAAACAAGTCATCTGAAGGAGAAAAATATAATGTTTAGGGTTTCAGTTGATTACATATTGTCTCGTGTAAGTGCCCTTACCAATGAATGTGTTCAAAGACTTGTACAGCAATGTTCTCCATGGCATGTGTGCTACCTATAAGCGAAGTGATTATATTAGTTCAACATTCATATTGATTCTTTACTTCCAATATACTTACACTCTTGAGGCGGTAATTGATGTACAATTGAGGAACCATGGTAATGAAGCCAAACATATAGACAAACTCGACCAATGTCTTGAGAACGAACGAGTACCAGCTCTTATGCTCGTCATACATCAAAGAGTAGATGGCATAACCACCCAAAAGAGGGTAAGACAGCCAAATCAAATACTTGAATGCAATTGCATCATATTTGGCAGTGTCATCTTCAGTCTCAGTAGACTCGATATTTTGAGTACCAAGGCTAGGCAAGAGGGATCCAGGAACCCAGACAAGCTCGTACTTAAGCGCCTTGAACACTTTCCACACCTCAATCAAGAGACCAACACCTTGACCAATCAAAACCATCCAAGAGGTTTCCTGGTTGTTGTCCAACAAATACAAAAAGATGACAATTTGGAAGAATATGTTAACAATGATGCTGCGAACAGACACACCGGCACTGTTATTCTTCTTGTTCCAGAAAGCAATATCTATGGTTATCATATGTAAGTTTTTTTCGGAATCATTTAATCTGTTATCTAATTCTCTATTTATATATTACCATTTTTGAAAGCCAAGAATTCAAACAGACTATGGAGCAAAGAGACGATCAAGGTTGTTCCCAACAACACAGGATTTGTCTCCATGAACATACGTTTCATTTCGTCAGTTTCAGAAGAAGACATGCCACCCAAGGGGTTATTTGACTGCTGTTTCATCGAGTCGTCAAATACAGCATAAATATTAAACTTCCACATTGCAATAGGTTCAAATCGAATATTCAAGGGAAGAGTACTATATATATACATATATTAAAGTCAAAAATAAATTCTTTCGTTCACCATTAAAAAAATCTCTTTAATTCTTACCTGATTGTCTCGTTTATTGGATAAGCATTTTGACGTAACACCCAGAAATCGTTAGGAAAGACAATTGGGCGATAAAACCCAACTTTTCCAGAAGAATCGCGGGTTAATCCAGTATCAAAAGGAATATCTATATGACAAGATTGTGCGATTTATTTATTTATTTTTGTTTTGTTTTGTTTTGATGTTAATATGACCGCTTACATTTAACGGTAGCAGGTTGTAATCCATTCTTGGGGATGGTGCTCTTAGGATCATTAACAAGAGACAATGTTACATTTTCATGCCAATAGGCAACCAGCGGAGCACGACGAGTCCAATTGCCCAAAAAGCTATCTCCAAAACCACCAAGAGTGGATCCTTCCTGGGACTTCAGCACATTAGTTTTTAATCATCCAAAGACAAAACTCAAAATGTCCTTTCTATACCTCTTGATTAACTTCCTCTTTTTCCTCTTTTTCCTCTTTTTCCTCTTTTTCTTCATCTTCGGTTCTCTGCAAAAGGTTCTTCTGTTTCAGAACAGCTTTTTTAGGGTAATATTTAGTCAAAGCTAAAAGAAAAGATAAAGTTAAAGTCATTAGAGAACTCTTTTTTCAACGCAAATCATATGGTCTTACTATGTCTGACATAAACCACAGAGTCAGGGATAAATGAGGCATCCGCAGGGTTAATTGGACTTCCTTCGCGTACCAGGAATACATGGGCATATAGAGTTCCGTTGTTTTGGAGAAACTTTTATGGATAAGACAATTATATTAACATTCCTATGCTTTATTTACACCACAATGTAATCAATTTACCTGAGTAGCTGGAATATCCATGTGGTATTCACTATCTTCAAATGCTTCGCCAAAATGAATTTCATTGGAAACCCAATCAGGTTGCGCACTGTACTCAATAAAATAAGGACTTTCATTAACGTAAACAGACAGTTTCATAGGGGTGCCCTCTTTCCAGAGAGGAACGACAGCTGAAGGCAAGGTATTAGTGGGAATATCAACCGGATATGGGTTGTGATAAACGCCTGGGGGCAAAATAGGAAAATAATCGGTGTTGGCTGGGGTTGTGTAAGCTGCCTCAGGGTTTTGGGCAGTAGAAGGAACAGCAGGCTCAGGAGTGGATGAATTACGGTTACCTAGGTGGAAATAAGTATTTGAATGTAATATTTAAAGCATTAACTTACCAAAGAAGACTTGCATCAAGACCCACATGACAACCATCTGTATAATGGTTCCTTTGTGTTTGTCAAAAAAGCTCTGCTCAGGGTTGGCATTTCCTGGAGGCGGTACATTGGCCTGGACTGTGCCCTTCTTGACAGAGGAAGAACCAGAGTCAGACATGATGATCAAAGGCAACAAAGTGAGACTCGAGAGCAAGAAAGTTAAGATTAACCATTTGCCAATGATATTGCAAGTCACGGTTACATGAATACAGAAGAAATGGAATGACCGACTTTTTATTTTATTTTATTTAAATGGGCCATCATAGCAACAATTTTGTAACAAATAATTGATAAAAAAAAACTAATTTGTGTTATGTAAAGTATACAGTGTGTATACATACTCAACGTCTCTCTCTCCTTCTTCCCCTCTCCTGACTTCTTTCTCTGTATTTATCTCTGTCTTTCTCTCTTTCCCTATCACGACCTCGATCTCTATCTCTATCTCGTTCACGATCACGACTTCGGTAACGGGATGTGTGGTGGCGAGAGCTCCGGTGCCTTGATGAACTCGAGGTTCGGTCTTTATGCGAACGCGAAGGCGATGCTGTTGTTGCAGTCTTGCTGGTGTTGTGGTCTGAACGCTGTTGTGATGGTGATCGACTAGGTGTACGTCTACGGCTTCGGCTCTCACGTTTGGTCTCTTCGCTACGTTGGGGTGACCGTGACCGGGTAGGAGATCGTTTCCGACTCTTACTTTCGCGGCGAGACGAGGGGGAGCGTGAGCGGCGACGGCTAAATCGAGAAGGCGACGGTGCGTGCTTATTATCACGTTCGGCTCGAGGGCCAGTCGGTATTTCTTCGTCGGATGTTACCATTGCAACACCTTTAATCGACTGGTGGTGATGGTCATCGTTCAAATCGTGATCGTTAGAGCGGTTTCCGCGCATTCCTGTATCGCTACCATGATCACTTGGACCATTCATATTGTCACTTCTTCGTCGAATGCCTTGATTTGAAAAGTGACGACCACCTCTTCCACGCCCACGTCCACTAAACCCACCTCGAGGATTGAAATGCATATTAGGCCCACCAAAATGAAACATATCTTGTGGAGGCATTCCTGGAAATGGGTTATTCATTCCATTCCATAACTCATCCGGCCCAAAACTAGGGAAGCCGGGATTCATGAATGGAGGTCGTCCCATTTCGCTCATCATATCAGAACCCATGCCTGAAAACCGAATAAGTGTGTGTTACTTCTCAAATCTAATTCAAAGCTACATTCAATCATACCAAAACCCCATTGTTCAGGACCATTAGGTGCATTCATGCGCATGCGCATCATGGCAACTGCGGCTGGGTTCATACCCGGAGGTGGCATGCCCATCAAGCCCATCCAATTCATCTCAGGCCCACCAAACATCTCATTTTGTGGTCCATTCATACCACTCAGCATCATATTTGCATTGTTTCCAAAAGGTGTATTCATGGGTTCCATTATCATACCGTCTTGACCTGCTCTTGTTTTTCCTCTTGGTGGGCGGTCTTCAGACTCGAACACTTGGATAGGCAAGCCTCCTTTTGATCCATGCTGTAAAGAAAAGAAAAAGAAAAACACTTAGTACTTGTTGAAAATAATATATATGCCACATGCTTACCTCTGCGGTATTTTCGTTGCTATTACTATTATTATTGTTATTATTATTATTGCTATTGCTGCTGCTGTTGTTGTTGCTGCTGCTACTGTTGTTGTTATTATTGCTAAAAAGCTCTATATTATCCAATTGTTTTTGAATTGGTGTTGCATCCTCTTCTTCAGCTACTTGAATATCGAGAATATTTGTATTAATCTCCTCCATATCTTCTGTCTCGGGAAGTTCTGCTGCTTGACTTTCTTCAATATATGCCAGAATTGTATTTCTCAAGGATCTATTTGGAATTAACTGGCTGGGAGTCATGTTGTCCGCATTGCATAGAGGACACTTGCTGGTTTCGTTGAGTGTAGTTGTGATGCCTACCATAAAAAGCGAATCCTATGTTAAGCATCCCAGGCAACAAAGGAAAAATAGGTACGTAAAGAAATCACATTTGAACCATAAAAAAACAGCCACTCCAAAGCAAAAATGGAAAAAAAACAATAACCATATTGCTTTGGTCTGTCCTGTCTCAGTGCATGCTTTGCCTGCCTGCTTGATTGACTAATTGTTCTCACACTATTTTTCTCATAACTTTCATCTAATATCTTATTTTCTTTCCCAAACATCGTATTTATCCCATTAAAGGTCCAGAGCAGGCAAGACAAGCTGTCACTAGTGTCTTTTTGACTCCACTCGACCCGGTATTCGAATTCAAGTGAGATTGCTTGAGCAAATATGTACATATATACAATAGCATAGACTAGCAAATGACACATGCAAAGAGCACTAAAGAAAATAATATCTCGAGTAACAGTATACGTACATTCTTTACAAAACGACTTGCCACAGCAAGGCACCAGAACCGCATCCGTCATCAACTTTTTGCAAATTCGACACGTCAATTCGTTTGGTTTGGATTGACCAGTTGCCTCAGCACCACCTTGACCAGGTAATCTAATTTTTAAGCCTTATAAATAACTTGTTTTGTCTAAATTTATCCCAATAAAGAAAGAAAGAAAAACTTACAATCCACCGCCAATACGCTGGGGTTGTTGAACCTTTGTAGGGCTAGTGCAATAATAAATCCAATGGCCTATAAAATGAAAGAGAACGAGAAGGTTCATATACAAGCTTCACTAAAAGCCTAATCCTTAAGTCACAATACCTGGCTGACCGCACTTAAAGCAGACATAGCCTGCTGGCGGTCGTTGAGTTTCTGGGGGGATTGTAGGAACAGCAGGGCTAATTTGCCTTTGCATTTGCTGTTGTCTCTGGAATTGCTGTTGCATCATCATCATCCGCTGTTGGTATTGCTGAAATTGAGGATTCATCATTCCCATGCTCATGTTCATCATTGGATCAAAGCTAGTAGAGCTATTCATCATATTATTTCGGAACTGCTGGGGTGATCTGTTTTGTTGTACCGTTCTGTTTTTGTCTAGTGTGAGCGTTGAGTACAGAACAAGATATATTACTTACGATGACAACTGTTCTTGTTGATCGTTCCATTGATCCGAGCTCTGTTGAAACATGGCTTGGATCTTTTCATCTTCGCTTCTAAAATCTTCGTCTGCCATAAAGTCAATGATGGCTGGTCAATAGGTGTACGTAAATGTGTTTCTGTTTTATTTTTCTTTTGTGCGGTGCAAGAAGCGCGCGTGTAAAAACTGTGCTTCGGAAGTTTGCTATGCGCACCCTAAAATTCGATGCGTCAGCCCTTTGGCTTCAATGGATGACAAGTCACTCTTGGGTTCATGTTGCAAACTGTCCCCGCCTGTAAGCTTACGTCAACCCCGTTCCTTGTCAATCGAGCCCTGTGTACCTGTGTGACCCAAGAGAGAAGGAGTACTAAATGTGTCCTTTAGTCACATCGCTTTTTTTGTACACTCTCTTTTCCCTATTCCCACCTCTCGCCAAGGTTATCTTGCCCTTTTTTTTTCTCACTTGGAATCCTTGTGTTGACCTTTTACGAATTCTCCCATTTATATAACCCTTAATATTATTTAAGCTACCTCTATATTTTAAAGCCTATTTTTACACACACACATACATATATATATATATACATATATACATATATACCTATATTTTAACTTTGTCAATGTCGAATACAGACTTTCTTGCCGTAAGACTAATCTCATCAGCACATTACGGGACTCAAATAGCCTTACCATGTATACCAATCGTATCAATAGAAAGCCATTGAAATTGTCAAAAAGGCCACAGATGAAGATCACAAAGGGAACTATAAGGAAGCTTATGGTCTCTATCAGAATGCTCTCGAGTATTTCATGACAGCTATAAAATGTAAGAAAGAAAATAAAATACAAGTTTAAAGGTCTCCATAGACAACAGCCCCCTTATATGGTAATATTAGATGAAAAGAATGATCGTTTCAGGGAACCTATCCGAAAGCGCTTTGTTGAATATCTGGACAGAGCGGAAATGTTGAAAGAACTTTTGAATGAAAACGACCGGAAGAAACAACAGGAATCTGTAGGTGCCAACGGTGGTAGCAAAAAGTAAGCCAATTTCACGACATGATTTTATTATTATTATTATATTCAGATAATAATAAAATTCTGACTAAACACTTAAAAATTAAGGAAAAAGGCAGAGACAGGCAGTGATGACGGGGAAGAGGATGCAGATATGAAGAAGATGCGTTCTAATCTTACAGGTTTGGCTCTTTTTTTTTCTGTAATACAAGATCAGCTCATGTTTCAGTTGCTAACATTTATTTCTTTTGCTAGGCGCAATTCTGACAGAAAAGCCAAACGTAAGCTGGGATGATGTCGCAGGTTTGGAAGGTGCCAAGGAAGCTATCAAAGAAGCAGTTATTTTGCCCATCAAATTCCCTCACTTTTTCACTGGCAAGCGTAAACCCTGGAGAGGTATTCTGCTTTACGGCCCCCCAGGTACCGGAAAATCATTCCTGGCAAAGGCTGTGGCCACAGAGTCCAACTCGACATTTTTCTCCGTTTCTTCCTCCGATCTGGTATCTAAATGGCTTGGTGAGAGTGAGAGGTAGGGAACACACACACACACACACACATACATACACAAATGTGAAAATAAAAAAGTGGCTACTAGAAATTAACATGCTTCAATACAATAGACTCGTAAAGCAATTGTTCCACATGGCACGTGAGAGCAAGCCAGCGATTGTCTTTATTGATGAAGTTGATTCGTTGTGCGGTACTCGTGGTGAGGGCGAATCTGAAGCATCCCGTCGTATCAAAACAGAATTCCTTGTTCAGATGAACGGTGTTGGTAATGACATGGACGGTGTTCTTGTGCTTGGTGCAACCAATATTCCCTGGGCGCTTGATAATGCTATTCGAAGAAGGTATTGAAGAGAAACAAGCATTATTTATGATGCTCATTAAACTTGGTTGTCTAGATTCGAAAAGCGTATCTATATCCCCCTTCCAGACGCACCTGCCCGTGCTCGTATGTTCCAACTCAATGTTGGATCCACCCCTTGTAGCCTCACTCCGGCCGACTACAAGCGTCTTGCTGAAATGACAGAAGGGTATGCCTGTTAATCTATCATATATCGATATCTCATCTTTGTTTCTAGTTACTCTGGATCTGATATTTCCATTATTGTGAGAGATGCACTGATGCAACCCATTCGCAAGGTTCAGTGTGCTACGCACTTTAAATGGGTAAGTTTATACCTACAGTCAAAACAATAATAGCTATGACATTTATGTATTTATCGGAATACAGGTGAATGCCCCCTCAAGGCATAATCCAGACGAGATTACACCTCATTTGACACCCTGCTCTCCTGGTGACCCTGCAGCAGAGGAGAAGTCTTGGATGGATGTAGATACAGATCAGCTTCTGGAACCTGAATTGACTGTTCAAGATTTCTTAAAGGCTGCCCAGACCACCCGTCCAACGGTCAACCATGCCGATATCCAGCAACATATTCAATTTACAAACGACTTTGGTAAGAGACTAACATATTATTTAAAGTGTATTTTTTTTGTTAACCACTATAATGTCTTGTAGGCCAAGAAGGATAAAAACTGTTATATGAAGAATATTAACTATTAAAGAAAAATAATGGAATGTGTGTATACGAAATATTTTACAAAACAGCCAATTTTCTTTTCTCTCTGTTTCCCTTGTTTTTTTTAGTAAGGTTGTGACAATGTAAACCACATAAATATAGTCTTAATATATTCATATAGAACGTATAATTTCGTTTTTTTTGGGGATGTTTTACAGTTAAATATGGAGTCGAATGAGTACACTTTCATGGGTGTTTATTATATAGCAATCTGTATAGCCCATCTAATAAGAGTCTAAAAACAATAATTATGTTTGTATAACAATCTCACCTTCCCATCTCCAGATCATATAATTACTTTAAGCTGTTATATACGAAAACAATTATGCTTGTGCTAATTCTTATACGTATGCTCCCCTTTGGTTTTCTAATGTCAATATTTGTGAATGAATGTGAATAAAATAAATATGGTAGTGTAAATACAGAAGCTTATAGCTATATAGCTAAATATGCAGTCTCTATTTAGTCAAACTTGAAAATAGGATTACTGATTAATTTATTGAAACCTCCGGTGAGCAATCCAAAAAAAAAACAAAGACTATTAAACATTAAATTGGAAACACATACCATTTTAGTCGGTGCAAATTTTATGGGTTTCTTAAGAAAGTACGAACACTCTGTTATAAAAACTATAGCAATAAAAAGGGCTACTGGATATTAAATATCTAATGTTAGTATTTTCTTAATAGTGAACAAGTAACAATACTGAGATAAACTATTTTTAAAAGCTTAAATATTATATCTTTCAGTAAAAAATAAACCAAGAAAAAATATCAAAGGTTATAAGCAATTTTATGAAAACAGTAGCAATAAATATACAGAGAATTTATTAGTGACAAAATAAAAGATAAAGAAAGTATATTATACAAGAAATTTATATTGCTTTTGACAGCTGCACATTAACAACATTCTCTTTTTACACGGCACGTTTTATCATAGAAATCTCTAGGATACATACTTATCTAAATTTCCGTATATTTTAAGTAGGGCTTTTGGTTCAAGTTCAAGGCACTGGCAAATTATTTGACTTTTTATGCTTAATTTTCTTTAGGATACTATCGATACAAAAATCTTATTTTTTTCTGGTAGAGCAATATAACAGCAATAACCTTGTCGAGTCGGCTTTATATGCTGAAACGTGACGGTATAAGATAACTAAACCTGTGTACTTTACCATTTTTACTATATTAGACACAAGTAAAAGATATTCGGGAAAAAATTAGGGATTTAGATATCGTCAATTTAAGAAGATCTATGGCGTAAAAACTCTAGGATTAAGACACTACTTTAATTTCGCCATAAGATAAAACCAGAAATAAGCACTAAATATGGATATGTTCATGTTTTAAGTAAACCGTTTTCTTTATACAAGCAAGAAAAAAAAACATTGCTAAAAAAAACAGCAGCACTTTTATATATTCTATTAGTACCGTTTAGGAATATCATTTAGCTTGAAAGTTTAATATTGAAATACTGGATGCAAGATTCCATTTGAGGGTGTGGTCGATACCATTTAAAACTTGGCTATTCGCCTCTCATTAGCCGGTATAATATATATTCTGTCTAGCACGTTGCTGAAGATAATGCTTTGGTGCATTTGCAGACAGCATATGCAAATGCCCATTTTTTTTTAAAATGTACAGTTTCCGTTTTTATTACTATTCTTACTTTTATTCTTATTCGGCTGTTTTAGTCATATAGAATAGCATTATTAATATTACTATTACTATCACCATTATTCTGTTTCGGCAGAAGGCCGTGAGATGTTGTAAATAAGACGAGAGTACATATATTTTTTTTTGATATTTTATTATTCCGTCCTATACCTCTGTTAATTGGAATAAACTTGTCAGCTTTTTAAGTCTAGAACTCATCACAAAAATATTAGCAAGCCTAAACTCTTCGAAGTTTGAAATTTCATACAAAATGATTAAATTAAAATAAGAAGTAAATGGAAGTCTACCACATGAAAAGACTGGATACCTGTTATCCGTTGATTAGGAACAGACACACTGATATTCCCGAGTTCATTAAGATGTGTTAGTATTTTTGTTAAGTCAGGAAACATCCCACCTCAGTATAGGAGAAAAGTGTAAGTTAAGCGGGCCCTGGAAAAAATGATCTGATCGAATGACATGCCTTTTGGAAAGCTTATATTCCCCTTATTAAAACATTTGTAGACGTTTAACTCTCTTTTTACAATTATCCAAAAAGAAATATGTCCAACAAATTTGATATAACCGTATTTGGAGCAACCGGTTTAACTGGCAAACGAATCGTAAATCATATCTACGAATTATCTACTACTCAACCTACCAATTTCCCAGACAATTTTCAATGGGCTGTCGGTGGACGAGATTTTCAGAGACTAGAGGAGGTGGTGGACGACATCTCTCAAAAATACCCCAACTCATCCTTGCCTCGTCCAAGTGTCATTGTAGCAGATGTCGTTCGTCGTGAGAGTGTAGATGAGATGACACGACAATCAAAAGTGGTGCTTAATGCAGTTGGTCCATTTCGCTATATGGGCGAGTATGTGGTCAGATCGTGTGTTGATCAGGGCTGCGATTATATTGATGTATCAGGTAAACATAATTACTGGGTTTATAATAACGGTCGTCTTACTTATTGATTAGGCGAACCCGAGTTTATCGAGCGTATGCAACGAACTTACCACGATGTGGCAGTAAAAAAGAACGTGACAATTGTGCACTCTTGCGGCTTTGATAGTGTAAGCTATAACACGCACACACACACACATATATATATATATATATTGTAATTAACAATATCGTGTCTATAGGTACCTGCAGACCTGGGTGTCTTAAAGTTAAAACAGCTTTACACAGTTAATAAATGGACGCCCATACATATCGAGGGATTCATGAAAATACATGCAGGTTCAAGTGGTCTTCGCATGGGATATGCTACATATGAATCAGCTGGTAAAGCCCATTATTTGGCTTTGTTTACACAATATGTATTAATGTCAGCTACACTCTTTTAATAGTTAATGGCGTAGGCTCAGTCGAACTTTTGCGTGAGATTCGCAAAGTCTCTGAGCTCCCTCAGCTGCCTCGCCAAAGTGGCCCACGTCTCAAATTCCGTAAAGGTCTTAGAAAAGATAAAGACTATGGATATCATGTTCCATTTTTGTTTGCCGATCCTTCAATCGTCAGACTATCCCAGCAACTATTCTTGGCCGGACATGCTGCTCCTCCTACTCTTCCCGAGGATGCAGCCATGCCACCAACCGTTCAGTTTGCAGAGTATCTCTTACTACCATCTTTCTGGATCTGTGTTCTCTATTACTACTACACAACAATTTTTGGCCTTCTTGCTTCTTCTCCTTGGGGACGCAATGTGTTACTTCGTAATCCAGAACGCTTTACACACGGACTAGCCTCCAAAAAAGACCCAACACAGGAACAACTTGATGAAACTAGCTTCGAGCTGATTTTACGTAGCAAAGGCTACTCTTCTCAGACATTGCCCTCTTCGGATGAGCCCCTAGACCAATCCATAACACTTGTTGTGAGCGGACCTGAACCAGGTTATATCTCTACGCCTCGTATGGCTCTCCAATGTGCATTTACATTATTGAGAGGCAAGCCAACTGGTCAAGTCCCTCTCGGTGTCCTAACCCCAAGTACAGCTTTCTGGAATACAGATATAATTGATCGCTTGAGTTCTGTAGGTATCAGTTTTGAACAAGTATCCCCTTTTGATTCAAATACACAATAAAACTCTTTTTCTTCCTTTCTTTTGTCAATTTGTTCATTCCGTTCATTATCGGTGAATATATATTTTTTGTGGATGCAGAATATGTGTTTGACGGGATATGTTACAGGTGGATGAAAATCATCTTAGAAATCAACATCAATGGCTGCACGATGTTGATCCATGCCGCTCATTTGGTCAGCCTCATAGCCACGACCTACACCACCTGCCTGACTTTGTTTGGCATCTTCGAATGTTCGGTGTCTAATAACGTCCATATCAAACTTGTTCTTGAGAGCATTGATTTCAGAAATCAACTCAGATGTAGCATCCTTGAGTGCTTCGCCAGGTGCTGTTCCGGGTACTGTTTGGACTTTTATGAGGAAGTTGTGTTCGAGAGGGTGAGGTACTTTATATCCTGCGAACAATACACGAGGATCCTTGAGGAGCTGCCTAATCGTTTTATGCATATACATGTATATAGCAAATGGGTTCACTTTATCATTGAATAACACAAACAGAAGAGCTGGAAACCTACGCGCGAAGCATGTTGGCCAATGTGTGATCCTCACGCTCGATTCTAAATGTCGCAGCATTGGGAATTCGTGTATCGACTTCCATCTCTACCCTTTAATACAAATACATGCATATTTTATTTATTTTAAATAAGAAAAAAAAAGAGTTTGTGTAGATGATTCGATCCATGAGTTTTGTGTAGGAAAAAAAAGGATGATCGTCTTCGACACTTACTTCTTTCTTCCTTCAGGAATCACAAATAACTCAAAACGATCGGGTGCGTTCATTATGTACTGATTTTGCCTGTAAAAATATGTGTGGGTAGATAATTAGGTAGGTGGTTGGACGATGAGAATCTAACCAAGGCAAAAAAGGTATATGTATGTGTGTAGATGTTGGTAATATACGTCATTTGTGTGTGACTTTCTCTTTTCCAACTCCCAAAGCTCTCATTTCTCTGGAGGTTTGAAACAGTCGATCTAATCTTGACGTGTTAAAAAGAACAAGTAGGTTTAAAAGCTTGGGAGCGAGAAACACTAAGAAATATATGATGCAGATAAAGGACACATTTTGGATGATGAATAATTTCTAAACATCAATTATCGTGTGTAATTAGACTTTTCTTGTTATTATTATCATTATCACTAATCTTTCTTTGTGACAAGTCACTGCTGCACTGCACTATAGTACTCTACGCACGCATATACATATCTACACATTCACACACGCACAAGCACATACGCCCGAACGCACACAACACACAACACCCAACAAAAAAAAAATGCTGCCATTGTCCCTTTTGCACACGGCTGCCGGCCATCCAATGCTGGTCGAACTGAAGAATGGCGAAACATTTAACGGTCATTTGGTCAGCTGTGACAACTTTATGAACCTTACGTTGCGTGAGGTTATCCAAACCTCACCAGATGGAGATAGATTCTGGAGACTCCCCGAGTGTTATATTCGTGGAAACACCATCAAATATCTAAACGTGCCTGAAGAAATTGTGGACATGGTAAAAGAAGAAGAAGGAAGACAAAGACAGATGAACCAGCGAGGACGTGGCCGGGGTGGACGCGAGAATGGCTTCAATGGACGTGGTGGACGCGGTGGACGCGGTGGCGGAGAGGGTAGCCGAGGTCAAAGTCGAGGCGGAGGACGTGGAGGATTGGGTGGACCTAGACCATGAGAGAACAAATGTATGTGTGCGTGGACTTGGCTGTACAGCAGACTATAACTATGCAGCTAAGCCAGGTAGTTGGAAGAATATATATATACAATTTATATATATGTACATATATGTATTTATATATGCGCATTTATGTCTTATGCGAGATTCGGCAGTATCGGTTCTTTACTACTGGTTATTTCTTCTTCTTCTTTAATCTTAAAGATCCAAAGCAAAATAGAGATGGTTTAATGGGCAATTAAAATCGACTGCACATGCAAGATGACGAGGATGTTGTGATGCAGATGCAAGGATCTTTCCGAGTATTCCTTGCCAAAAGGCATTTATCTAATGTGTTCTGATACCAACCACACGAGGACATTAGAGATATACAAACATGACATTCTGGATGTTATAAATTGTGTTTGGGAAGAACTATCTAAAGGCTTCTTTAAGAATTCGTTCATCTCTTTCTTCCTTCCTTTCTTCATTTTTCTTTGTTTAATTCTTACACTATCAAAAAGAAACACTACACAATGCCCAACGTTATGATTGATCAGCAGCAATCCTTAGACCGCTCAGACAAAAGTCAACGTCGTGTTACATTTTCTAGGGTTGTCATTCTCAACCATTCGAGTGTATTTGTTATCGTACAAAATGACGATTTACCACAAAGAGGGCTAGTCCGTCGTATCAGTGAACGGTCCAAGGAGCTCAAACTATAGACTCTGCTGTAGTTTATGTATTTCCCTTTTGTTGTCGGCACCAAAGAAGTTATCCAACCCCAATACATCCTTAACAAGGCACTAGAAATAAGGCATAGCTCTTGAGCTTATCACTATCATGTACAAAACAAATTACCCTATCTTCTATCTATCTATACATATATTTCAATATTCAAGAAAAAAAACAAAAATGCTCCAATTTATACAAAAATAACAACTACAAAATAAACTGTTGATCCAGTTCTGTTTAAATATTAATCGGCAAATAACAAAAAAAAAGATTTGGATATTCTAAATGTAAATTTAAATATTTCGATATTTATTTATTTTTCTAATTTAACATATACATATATAGCTACTATTTAAGCCATAAAACGGGCCTTTTACCCTTTGTCTCTTTTTATTATTATTATTTGTATAGAAGTAGTGCTATTTATTTAGTTATTTATATATTATTGACAATTAAAATTCAAAACTAGCCAAGTATGAGACATAGAAACATTTCTGGTTAGTTTGATAGTGCAAACAAAAAGAAATCATTGGAAATGTTGAAATGCTTTATTATTATTTTGCAAATATTATTTTGTTTGGTAGATTAAGTATAAAGTAATGAGGTAAGATTAGTAAATTAAAAAGTAAAATAATAGTTAATTAAAGGATAAAGTATATATATGTATATATAGATGTGTGTGTGTGTGTATGGGTATATAATACATAATTAAGGACAGTTGTCACCAAGCTGTTCGGGGCAAGAACCAACAAAAACGTGGCCTTCAACACCAGCGATGGTAAAGACAGCTTGGACAATGGCAGAAATACCCTGACCAGCAATCATACCACCAGCACAACTGTACATAAAGTCTTCGTGTTTCTTGGGGAAATATCTTTGCCAGATACGAGAACCACACCATCCAATGAACATTGAGAGAGGGACTTCAGGGGTTGTGTTAATCATAGCAATACCAATGGCACTGATTGAGGGGAAGTATGGAAGGAATCTCTTGGGGACAAAGATGTTACGCAAAACTGGGCCAGCTCCACCAACAACAGCGCACACTACGGTGACAATGATACAAGAACGGCTCAACGGGTCGCCATCGCCAGTCAAAAGCTTGGTAACATTGTACCATGCACTGACAGCAACGAGAGCAAACTCGCACTTGGCATTCATGTCAGGATCGATAATACAGGGGTATGCATCAGCAAATAAGATGAAGAGACCGACGGCGATACCAATGGCAAAGAATGAGGCAACAAACTGGGACAAGAACTGGGAGCGGGGAGAGGCACCAACAAGCTGGCCAGTCTTAAGATCACCAACCATGTCGACAGCCTGGGAGGCAGCAGAAGCACTGATGTTACCAGCCATCAAGTTGTTCTTCTGGAGATGTTTGAGATCATCGGCAGGCATTCTGGCGAATACAAGCTGGGACATTTTACCGATACTTCCAACAGGGTTAATATCAGTTTCACCAGTGGCCTGGAGACCAACGAAGGCGAACAAGAAACCAAGAATGACGGCAATAATTGATTGGTAAACGGGCATGCCAAAGTACTCGCCCATGATAGCACATGTGAAGATGATGGAGATGAAGGTACCAGAGGCCCACCACCAGGTAGGTACAAGCTCTGAGGCCTTGAAGATCTCATCGGGATCAAGTTCAGTCTTGATTCTGTCGTCTTCATGAACAGTCTTACGGAATATATGGATCTTGATAAGGTGGTAAGCATGGATTGCAGCATCACGAATGCTAGCACCACCACTCTTTACACCACGCCAGAGAGCGTCGTAGTGAATGAAAAGCTCGGCAAAGGATGAGATAACCATGAGGGCAATACCGGGCCACAGGAAGAAGGACTGGGTGGTTTCACCTGCGGCTGTGAAACCGTAGGGCTGAACGAAACTGCCATTGGCAACCATACAAGGACCAATGACACCAAATACAACAACACTTGTGACAAAGAAAGTGACGACAGTACTACCGGGAGTCATCAAACCAGCGCCAAAGAAGGGGAAATCAAAGTGGAAATTCCATCTCCAGGCAACATCAGCGCTCATGAGAGGGGCATAGTTGGCAGCATGACCAATCCAGTACAAGACATGGACTGAAAAGAGGAAGGAAAAGGTAAGTTTGGGTTGGATCCTTGTTGTTGTTATTATTATTCTTATTCATTGGTGTAAGGGTACTTACTAACTTCGAAGAATGGGACAAAGTATGCAATGACGTTCCAGAAAAAGGTAGTGAAGAACCAGATACCCATCCATTTGGCCTTGCGCATGGCATCACGCTCGCCCTCGACGGTGTCGTGGAGAGATATGATGGTAATTGCCGAAGCACGGGGAGTAGGGAAAGTTAGGTTCTGCTTGACAATGAACTGTTGACGGAGAGGTACGGCAAAAAAGAGACCATAGAAAGCGGCAGAGATTGTGAAGAGGACAAGGGCAGCAGCATCTTCGCGGGGAGTAGTCATCAGTCCAAGTTTATACATGGCGGGGATACCGGATACAAAACCGGCAGACAGGCCACCAGAAGTGGTGGCAGCAGATTGAGCAGTACAGTTTTCTTTAGCACCAAAGTAACCACCACCCCATTTTGGCGGCAGGATACGTGAGAGGGGCTTGATGATTGCAAAAGAGAAAATGGCACCAAAAAGGGAGGCACCAAAGGTCCATCCGATCTTCAGACCAAGGTATGTGTTTGAGGCAGCTATTGTTTTTTTTTTAGAAAATTTAAAGAGGGGATTAGGATGCTGTTCTGGAATCGATTGATCAAGTCAACTTGCCTACAAGACAACCCAAGAGAGAACCGACAATTGATGCACGCCAGGTGAATTGCCATTCCTCGATGATTTCTTCTTTGATTGATTTGCTGTTTACAGAAAGTTTCTCATCAGTGACGACCTCTTTGGTTTCATGGATCTCGTATTCGGTCTTGTCCTCGATTGACTCAGGTTTGGCCATCTTGGAGGTTCGATGCGCTTTTGAGCTTAATGCGAGATGATAAGAAAACAAGATGAGAAAAGCTTCTGGTTTTTATATATATATATATATTTAATTATTATTATTTTTTTTAAAAAAAAAAAGTGGCGCAAATAAAATGGAAAGTTAGATATGTCAAATGCACCAATAGCGCTTTATTGGAAAGCACATAATACCTGGTTTTGGTACGATTGTGTTTCGATGTGCCTTTTTGCCTATTTATTTTCTCTATTTTTGGTCCGATCTGATCCAGATCAACCAATTTTTATTTCGCACGCCATCAGTTCACAAATCTTTCTCCTCTATGAACGGACCTCTTGTCAGTCCCACTTTAGGAAATACAAGCCGTTTTTGGACATGAAGTAGTTTGTGTACGAGGGAAAACTAAATCTTGGATCACAAATCAGGTTTTACAATGCCAGTAAGAGGGTTGTAACTGAATTCCACAAGTCAAGTGCTCGCATGTACCGAGAATGGCAATAGAACATTGGTATTTATTCGATTTCATGAATAATAGTATATCTTTGTTACATTTCTGTTGATAAAAAAAAGTATTGGAGTTCCCTCAATCCAACGATCAAAATTAAGTTTCTCTATTTCTTTCTTTTAACTCTATCTTGTGGAAATGATCTTTTATAAGGTCACGTAGTCTCTCTCTCTCTCTCATCCTCTTAATATTATAATTAATTCTTAGCTTAATATACAGTCAATAGAATAATAAATTTAAATTTTATATATACAATATTTAGCTATTTTTATGTTAGGATAAGGAATCGACACAGAAAAATTCCTTATCCTATATTTTTAATGGAGTTATATATAATAGATAAACCTTTTTTGGACTCTGACTTCCAAGACTTGGGTTGTACTGGAGATTTGGGTAGTTTGGGCTCAATTTACTGTATGACCAAAAGAAAGGGAAAAGAATGATTTTTTTTTTGCATGGTCTTCATTTTATTAGTGACTGTCTATCTATCTATCTATTTGACCAACTGGCTGGTTGGCTTGGTTGACTGATTGTATCGATTAAACAGTGAGGTGATTTGGTGTGATTTACTAGTGCCATGATTTATGGTATTGCCAAAAAAAAAAGAAGGATGTTGGCATTTATGAAATAAATTATGTGGTGATTAAAGAGCCATGACAGCTATGTACAATAATACATCATTAAGATATTAAAGGAAACAAATTTCAAAAGGTAATTATAAAATAATTATTATTATAAAATTGAACAAATTAATTCTCTAGATACAGGCTAATAATATGAGCTTAAAAGGTTTGTCAACCTCTTTAATCTTATTACACATTTTATGACTTCTTCTAAAGGGCGATCGGGGTGTAACAATATGTTTGTTCTATTGGTACACAATTATATAAATAAAGGTTGAAAAGGTGTTCCGATTGATACGGAACTAATGCACCCTGGTTTACCTGTGACAATTGAGTGTAAAACACGATATAGGCATCCAATGTGGTTCTCGTATGATCCCGACTTTCACCTATAGGACTAGTCTGTCTAACCCACCACATAGTAAATGCTTGTACAAAATTAATTGTATATTTCTTGGTTGTATTTAATTATCTATATCTTTTTTATTTTAATTTGAAGTATAGTTCATTACACTATAATTGCAAGAATACGAAAATAAAATAAAAATTACGTTATAATTCAATTTTTTTTCGTCTTTCTTTGAGGGTTATTTTTGTGCTTGGTGCGCAGTTTTTTTTTGTAAATTACCAAGAGACACCAATTGTGCATTGGAATATGCCTTTTAATGCATTTACATATGTACATATATAAATATGCACTCTATCATTATTAATAAACCAAATTGTGTCTGTAAACCTTGTCAGATTACATTGTTGGCAATAAATACCATAAAAATCGTCAAGAAGAATTCGTAGGCTTCTAAAAAAAATTGGTTTTTTTAAAATACCAAAAAAAAAGTAGTTCTAAACACAAAAACCAAATTCAGGGTATTGGTTCAAAATTAATATAGGTGATCTTTTTCTTTTCTTTCTTGTTTTTCTTTTTTTCAGAATTCCACCCCTTAACTACACAAGATATATATATATATATACAGAGAGATAGAGATAACCAGGTATTTTTAATTCTTGATATGCTTTCAGGGAAATTCAGTCTTTAAAGAAGAAAACCTTGACATGAAAAGAGTAATAAAAAGATTACTTGGTAATGTTTTTGTGAAGCCTAACACAAAAAATCAATCGAAGAGCTCAATGCTCTTGCTAGAATTCATTCTATTCTTTTGTGAGTATCAATAAAGACTAAAATATAATCCTATAGGAAAATTTATTAGAAACTCTTTATGTTTCTGTTTTTGTTTTTGTTTCTTTTTTTTGCTGTATTTCTTATTTTTATTTAATTTTTTGTGAAAATCTAGCCCTGGTTCACTCCAGACCAAATGCTTGCATGTTACAATTTGTACAAATTATCTTAACATTGAAGTACACATTTTTTCTTTTCTTTTTGCTATCACATTATGATAAAAGGCATGTGTTTTTGTATAAAATCAGTCTGTACCACTGCAGTCATTAATTTTGTGTTTGAATAATTAAATATGTATATAAAAGACTTGGTGCAAATTCACGAGCACCTTGCCCAACCACCAAGCAAATACAATATATATATATATCTGCCTGCCTGTCTGTCTGTCTGTCTAAAAAGAAAGTTACAGAGTTGTGCAGATAAAATGCAATATCTATATTCTATTAAACCAGACCCTTTTTTTTTCTCCCTTCTCCTTTTTATATAAAGGGTGCTTTATTAATAGGGTATTTTACAACGATCTAATAAATATTTTCCCCCTCTAATATACCCCCTCCTCTCCTCTTTCTATTCTTCTATTTAACTTAATTTATATATATAGCCTTTGTTAGCTTCAGACCCCTTTTTATTTATTTTTATAGAAAAAATGTAATTAATTATCCTAATCATAATCATAACAATAGCTATTGTAACTTTAATTAGAACTGCAACTGTAACTTTGTAATTGTAACTACTGTAATTTTGGAACTATTATTTTTTAATTGTAATTTTTGTAATCGTCATTATTATAGCTGTAATTGCTGCATTGCAACTTCTGTAACTTCTGTAACTTCTGTAACTGCTGTAATTATAACTGTGATTGTAAATTATAGCTTTAACTCTAATTAAACTTATTTTTCAGTGTTGATTCTCACTTGTAATTCTTATTCATATGTTTTTATTAATTTGCTTTTATTCCCCTTCCTATATTTACTAATACCACCACCACCACCATTAATAATAATAATAATACTATTATTAATATTATTCAGTATTAGTATTAGTATTAGTATTAGTATTAGTATTATGTTGTACTATACATACAATTGATTTTTTTTTCTATTCATCATCTAATCTTGCAATCTCCATTATCCTTGAAAACAATAATACACCTCCTCTCCCCCTAGATTTTCTTTGTATAAAAATATAAGCATACACACATATACATATACATATACATACATACATACACACCCACACACTTATATATACATACATATATATATATATATATATATATATAAACAAATATATATTTACTTATTTACTTTCTTATATCCCTTTACCTTGAGATCTCCCAGTCTCTTAATATTATGTCCATTTGGGCAATCTCTAAACGCTGGCTACATTCTGGGGACGGAATATCTTTCTGGGAACGAAACGAATGGCATCGTCGACATGGATATCATCTTCCAGTAGATTTCTACCTATTGTCTCAATGGATCTGTTCATTTTTACTTGACATTGGATTCTTTTATTTCCTCAACTTCTTTACTGCCGATTTATCAGCATCAGAGCTGGTCATTGCAAGGAAATTAACAACAGATTGGGATCTTGATGATCAATCCAATCCAACAGAATGGTCTCAATGGCCATGTGCAGCCTGGAGCTGGCAAATATCCTTTTTATAAAAGAAAAAGAGAAAGAAAGAAATTATCATTATCATTAATAATGTCTGTTGTGATTGTAATTGTGGATATTACTCTTTATATATATTTACTATTGTGTATTTCCTTTACCATCTATTTACATCATGATATTTTTTAGCATTAGTGTCAAGGCCTTGAGCATAATTACGTCTTTTATTCATACAGAGGATCCTGTGGTCACATCTCAACGAGACCATGTTCCAAGAAGCAAGACATATATGCGTCGGTTTGGCGTGTCTGTAATTGACAGCAGAACAGGAGTGTGCAACATCTGCCGGGTCAGAGTGTAAGCCAAAATTGTATATTATTTTATAAATGTACTGCTCAAGAAAAAGAGGAAGAAGGAGAAAATTAAAGAATAATTACTTTCTAGATCACACACAACTCACCACTGTAAGCTGTGTAATAAATGTGTATCGGGTATGGACCATCATTGCAAATGGTTGAATTGTTGTATTGGGGATCAGAATTACAAGTAAGAATCCGGCTAAATGTTATTTATTCTGGTCACAGCAACACTCGCACAAACGAATACACATAAACATATACATATATGTATGTATGTATGTATCCGTTTGTGCGTTTGTGCGTTTGTGCATTTATTGCATTTAATGGACAAACTAGTTAATGCTGTCTACAAAGATACTTCTTGTCACTCGTTGTCCTTGTATTTTCCGCTCTACTGTGGTATACGTGCATCGCTTTACATGTCGTTTCAATGAGTATCCAAACAAAACCTCATTTTGTTGGTCATGGTAAATTATTGATTTCTTCTTCTTCTTTCTAAAACCACAAGGAAAAACCAAACAAATACAAATACGAAGAAACATTGACTTTAATCTAAATTATTTTCCCCTTCCTTTCCCCCCTCTTTGTTTACGGTAGTGATCAATATGCTTGATCTTAATCTGTCTCCGCTTGAAGCCGAGGCAACACAAACAACGTTGGTTCAGTGGGTCTATTTCTCAATGGTTATGGCTACTGTCATTGGAATACTCTCACTGATTGGCCTGATTGGAATGGCTCGTCTGTTATTGTTCCATATGAAACTAAGTAAGCCAAATTTTCGTTCACACACACACCCCTTTTTTTTCTTTTTTTTTAAACCACAAACCAAAAGGTTATCTTGGTATGACCACGATCGAGTTCATCAGTCTTCCATCAAATACACCCCTATATGACGATGATGATGATGACTATGAAGACGATTTTTATCTAGAAGATGCAGAACAAGGTAACCCCTGGCGTAAACCGTGGGCATCCGGAAGATCAACCAAAGGGGTTGGTCGCACAATTCAGCGACGGGCAAGACGATGGCTAAGGCCATGGCGTAACTTGATCAGAAGAGTATGGCCGTCTCAAGGCTATCTTTTCGGTCGGCCGTATCGACGAATACAGATATGCGTTGCAGACAAAATGCCGTGTATTGGTGACGTACATGAAAAGAGGCACACAGAAGAGTATGACAGATTACCAGAGGCTTACACAGATGTCCAACTGGAGGATATGCTGGCTACTCAGACGATTCGACCTGCCATCGATTCACGGGACAGTGATTTGGATGAAGAATTGGACGTGTCTGTTTTGGTAGAGAAGGACACAGGAACGGAACGGGGACCTAGTAAGCTTGCTTGGTTACTAGACATATCAGAAGAGGAAGCATTACGATATCAAGCACACACCAGACCAGGCTTGAGACAAGAGATAAGAAAGAATGTGGAGGATCACGAGAAATAGCGAGCTCTTTTTTTTTAAGAAAATAAAAATAAATCCCTCTTATTCCACTGGCAGAAATCTCGCAGCAAGGCAGTTAAAGAAGTCCTGATCAGTCAACAGTCACTACACAGGATAAGAAATGACAGTGAGAGTGAGAGAGTAAAAGAAAAAAGAATAAGTAAGAGTGTCAGGTTGATGATTATTGCTATTATTGTTTTGAGTTGGTTTAACCGTATGAGCTAAAGAAGGCTTTTATTTATTTATTTATTTATTTATTTATTTATTTGTGATTTATTTATGATTTATGATTTATGATTTATTTATTTATTTATTGTGTTAAGCTTGTATACATGTATAATTTTCAGTATAGTTTGAACAGGTTTTATTGGCGTAAAATAACTAAAGATTGTGATTTTTTTTGTACGCCTTGGTTACTGAAACTTTTGGTCGTAAATTTTTATCATTTTAACATAATGAAAAAAAAAGCATAAATAAATAAATAAATAAATATAGATAATATAATCATCATTTCGTTGTATCTTTCTCTTGAACCTTCAATTCCTCTACAACTTCACTCATGTCCTTGTCTATACATCTCAATACACCCTGGGTTCTCTTTGACAGAAAATCCTCGGCTCATCTTGGAGGGTTTGTCAAACTATCTCAAGCATCTTATCTTCCAGAGACAGTTCGGCTCCAATTCATCGGGACAGAATACGCAGGCAATGAATGTAAACAGGTTTGCGAGCACACACTCGACATCGAAGGCTCAAACAAATGGATAATCGCAAAGGACGAAAAGGATCCGAGATTAATGTTCACTTTCGACCTGCCCAACCATTTACCTGGTTCGTTTCAAGCAAGCGCGTACGATGGTGGGCTAGAGTACAATTTGGTGGCTTCTACTCAAAGCGCAAAAGGTGAAATTCATGCTGTACAGCCAATCGTTATTACCCGCAGTCCGGTTCTTCAGCCACCAAGACTGTGTTGGGGAACATCTTCTTCACCTCTCAGACGGTGGCACTATGAAGTCGAAGCTCCTCAGGTGTTTTGTCTACACCAGACTCCCTCTCTCAAAGTCCGTGTCCGCTCAGCCTTACATAGACCACACTTCCAGGCAACACTCGAAACCTGCCTTATTGGTATTCAGCTGTTTGAATCTGTTCGGATAGGGTAAATATAAAGCCAGAATAACATTACTTGATAAAAACCCAACCGTCAATGACTCATTGTGGAGTAAATGTATTTTAGAAAAGAAGCTGTTCCAAAGTCAGAACCTTTGATCACCTTGACACAACTACTTGTCGCACCGTCTCTGTCGTGGAACTCCCCTTGCGAAATAGCAATACCAGCCGAGTTTGAGCGATTGCCAAGTGCAGATCTATCAACGCCTCTTCAGAGTATACAGCATCGACTCCGTATCACGCTTGCCTTTTGTAATGCCCAAGGCGAGTCTGACCACGTCAATCAAGAGTTTCCTATCACTGTTATTTCTGGAGAAAAATCTAAAGAGAGTATTCGGCATCACAGAGAAGAGTTTGGGTCTGACAGCGAAACAAGTAGTTTAGACAGTGCTCTTGGTGTTCGTACATTTTGTTACTCGTCTTCTTCCTCCATGTAATATACCCCTCTTTTTTCTCCCTTTATTTCTTACTTCCTCTTCTTCATGTCTTTATCATTTATCTTTTCTCTCGATATCCCACTTTCTCTATCATTCTCTATATCAGTATTTATATTTATGTTTTTGTGTATATGTATTTGTGTATGTCCTTAATCTACTATATATAATTATATAATAATAATAATAATAAAAACTTTGTTGTTGTTGTTGTTGTTGTTGTGAAAATGAAACTTGTTATTCCCGGGATTTATTTTATTTAATTTAATTTAATTTTTCTTGTATTTCTTTTAAATCAAATACGATGTTTCTTATGTTAAAAGAAGGGAGTTAATTTTAAACTCTAGTCTTTGAAAGGAAGGTCGTGTGAGGATATTAGGTGAAGTCAAGTGTAAACGATCCCAAAGTAAGCATATGGTTCCCATGAAAGAGGGAGCTGTAATCCAAAAGACAAGATGTTTCCATTCCAACCAGAGGACAACGACAATGAAACACAATACTAAATATCACCTGCCTTGTATTTATTTATGTTTTAGTTACTTGATGCACAACCAAGAAAGAAAGAAAGAAAGAAAAATGTATGTGGGAGACGGACAACCTTGTTTCTACATTTGTCAATAAGCTCTTTTGGCTAAACCAGGTCCGGAAAGGGCATTTTGATTGAGTACAAGATAGAAAATATAAATATGGTCAAGAATGGTAAAATTGACTAGAAATAAACCAACAAAAGTACATTATAATTGATTGTACTCATCATTAATATCCAAGCATAAGATACAATATCCAAAGCCCATTTGTGATTTGGCATTATTACCGTTGGTACTACTACTACTACTACTACTACTACTACTACTACTACTACTACTACTACTGCTACTGCTACTACTGCTGCTGCTGCTGCTGCTAATAATTATATATATGTATACGTATATAAATATAAATATGATTATTATTTGTTCATTTGTTCATTTCTTTATTTACTATTATATGTATATGTATATGTATATGTATATGTATATGTATATTTATATGTATATTTATATTTATATTTATATTTATGGGTAGAATATTTTCAGTTTATTGCTATTACTTTGTTTGCTTTGGTACACTAATATCAGCAATCTTATCAGGAGTATCAATCTTGTCAAATACACTAGTATGTCCACCGGTCCCCTTTGCATGGTGATAAGTACGCAAGAGAGTATCGACATCGTCAAGAGACAGAGGACGGACATCTGCTAATTCCTTAATCTTGGCAGTCACTCGCTTGGCATCCTCATCTGTCAGATCAAGATCAAGCTGTTCAACACGATTCTTGACTGCATTCCAGCCTGTCAGACGATGACCAATGCTGACATATCGCGTCATACCAAAATCTTGAGGGTTCAGGATCTCATAAGTCGAAGGGTTGTTAAGAATAGCCTTGGCGTGAATTCCGGCCTTGTGGGTAAAAGCACAATAGCCAGTAATGTAGTTGTTGAATGGCACAGTGACCTCGACAGCCTCGGCAACAATGTTCTCAACCTCACGGATCATTGTCAAATCATACTTGTTCTTGACGTACTCCTTATCACCGGCGTACATGCGTGCCAATAGTCCGCCCAAGGGAGTAATACCATTACGCTCACCAATTCCGAGCACGGACGTATCTATGTGGGTTGCACCAGCCTCAAGTGCTATGATGACAAGATAAGTTTCTTTTTTCTTGTACAAATATAGAGTGATAAAGAAATAAATCGCGCAAACAAGCCTCTTTTATATATATAAAAAGCATAATTATATCACCTATATATATAGGTATATATCTCTCTCTTACTAATAAGGGCAATAATAATTCACGGATATTTTACCTGCATAAGCATTAGCAATAGCACATCCTGTGTCATTGTGGAAATGACACTCAATGTCACAGCTAACCACACTGCGTAAAGTCTTAACAAGCTCATAAACCTGACGAGGGTTTGCACATCCGACTGTGTCGGCAATACCCACGCGTGTGACACCAATCTTATCAACAGCTTTGTAGATGCTCAAGAGATCAACAAGATCTGAACGGAAGGAGTCTTCGGTGGAGAAACGGACCTCGAGACCTTTGCTCTTGATGTAATTGATCACCTCAATGGCTTTATTGGTGATGTACTCCATATCCTTTCCATGAGAGAATTCGCGTAGATAGCTTGATGTACCAATGACTACATCAAGTCCGTCTACACCAGTGTCGATTGCCAGCTTGGCATCGTCCATATGGCAGCGTACATGGGTGAGGATCTTGGCTTTCAAACCAAGACTAGAGATTGTCTTGCAGTCATTGTAGGATTGTTCAGAAGCAGCAGGAGAAGTCAGCTCGAGGTAATCAACACCGATGGCATCCAGTGCCTTTGCAATCTCGACTTTCTTTGCTGTATCAAAAAAGGCGTTTGCAAACTGCTCACCCTCTGTTGTTGGTTAAGGATCTTGTGGATTAGTAAAGGTTAAGTGCGTAGATTGAGGGTTTGGTTACCTCTCAGTGTAGATTCAATGATCTTGAAGTTGGAAATATTGGACATTGGGTCGGGATATTTTGGCATATAAGGCGACACGGTTGGTTCGCGTGTAGTTCCATTCTGCTTGGCTTGTGTAGACATTGTAAGAAAGAGGCTTTGAATAAGGATAAGAGAAGGAGAAGGGAGTAAGGAAGGATAATAGAGATTGAATTGAATTCAACTCGATTAGATTAAATTAAATTAAATTAAATTAAATTAAATTAAATATATATATATATAATAAAAAGAGCAAAAGTAGAACTACAAATGAGATTATCATCATTTCTTTTTAGATGTCATCTTTCCATTTTTACCTAGTTATTTTATGCATCTCCATCGTTTGGACAAATCAAGCCATTGTACTTTACTCTCCGACAATCAATCCAGCCTATAAAGATCAGGGACATATTAAAGTAAATCTATATATATATATATATGTATATTTATACACAGAGTAAAAGCAAAGAAAAATAGTACGGTATTTTACACTCCGGAACGTGAAAGCCAAATCAATTGTCTTTTTCTTCTTTTTCATATGTACTCAAGCAAATAGTTCTATAGCCTAAACGCCATATAGTATTGTTTAATAAATATAAGAATAAGAAAAGATGAAAAAAGGAAGTGTTACAACAAGAAGTATTTCCGTAGTTTCAAATCTCCTCCGTATATATGTATATTTGGTTTCCACTGTATATCACACACACACAAACTGTAAAGAAGTCTATAAAAACCAATGTGATTTTAAAGTGGTGGGAATTTTGTGGGATTGATTATCGCTATCTTCTCGGGGCTCTCGCTTTATAACCAATTATACTCCCACATATCTCTCTCGCCAAAAGTATAATAGTATTATAAAACTGAAAGATAACATCATAATTTATTTATTTTTACTGAGTTTAAATTATATAAATTTGTGACTTTTATAAAGATTATTCAAAAATGACTGACCAAGAATCAACTTCCTGTCATATTTTCACTCTCTATCTATTATTATTATTACTTTTTCAGATACGACTCTTAACATGCTCAATACTAACACCACTATAGTTACCACTTAAATAATGCAGGGTGGTTCATACGAATTACCCCTCAGAGCTCATGCAACTTGCTTCTTTTGAGTACATTTATATTACCAAAATCTAGTAACTGATGCAATGTCTTTATCGAATACAATTGCTATGCACAAACAATATATATACTAAAAATTCAAAACAGTTTAGCTGAAATTTAAGCATTATAACAGTAGCTATGGTGATGATGTGTTTTGTAGGATAAAATATCATATCGAAAATACTGCAAAAGAGGGAAAAAGATTATATTTAATAAGACATTAAACAGAGATATAGATGAGAAGTCTACTTTGTCAGAGATATTTTTTTTATCATAACTGTAATGGTAGACAATACTTTTATGGTTAAATTTAATGAAAGGAAATTTAAGATCTTAGTATGCTTGGATAATGAAAAGACCAAACATTACAAACAAAGCATTTGACAAATATGCAGCTTCAAGTGTTTTATAGTTATTTTTTTTTGTGTATAAACCTGATCCATTTGCGGTTCTAAACATTTTCCTGGTGCAATTGTGTCAGTTCCGTTTTTCGTTGATTGTTATATACAATAAAGAAGAAAAAAAAGATATGCCCTATAGACAATGGAAACAAGGTGCTTATATCGCTATTAAAGGAATAAGGGGAATACAGAGTATGTGAAAGTAAGACATGATACTGTCAATTTCTTAAATTAATACTTGACAGAATATTTCATAAAGGAATACAAGATGAAGTATTATTATTATTTTTTCAAAAATCAAATTATTCAAAGATCGCAATATACCCTATAGAAAAAAAAATAGGCGATTTTAGTGAATTGTTGCAAGTTTTCCGGGGTTTAAAGTGTCTTGTACTTGAGTTTTAATTAAGCACCAATTTCTCTCTCGCTCTCTTTTATATTCTACTTTTTTTTTTTACCCCACCATGTTTTTTTTGCAGTCAAAGCAAAACATCTTTTTCTTAGCTTTTTCAACCCATTACAAAACTAAATACCAAGTTATTCAAATCTAATGGCTTACCAGCGGTAGCTTGTGTGGGTCCTAAGCAGTAACCAGAACATAAGTGTTTTATCTTCTTTGAATTCTAGTCAGTCTTTGTCTCAAACGACGACCCTCCTGGAGATCTTCTTCTGCTTGTCTTCTGATACGCCCAATCCGAATGACGCGGGTGAACCTTACAGGTATAGTCCCAGCATATCTCAGATTGTTAAGTATATGTCGGAAGTTCAGGACAGAAGCAACATCCCGATTCCACAAACGATGCATAACTTCTGACCTGTCCATATTCTCCAAACAATTTAGATTGGTACATCTAAAAGGACTTGTTTCTATTTTTTTCACAAGGTCTAAAATTATTAAACGTCTTTAAAAGAAACATACTTAATAGCTATCAAGGCTAGTACTGATAAAATATAAATCCGTAAAGCTGACAAAAGAAAGCAATCTGAGAAGAATTGACAGAAAAATATCTGCATCAAGTACAATTTGGTTGTCAAGATTGCTCGCATGCTCATTAGAAATCTCGGTAGATTTAGAGAATTGCAAGGAATCTGTCTTCTTGTTTTTCAAAAGTATGAATCAGACATGACAATGTTAACACAAAGCAGGTTTATACTCTTTGATTAAAAAGAATCAATTAAGCAATATACATATCTTCATCAATATCATAGTACTTAGAGAATAGCCTTTTTTTTTTTTTAGCTAAAAAAATGTAAAAAGTATCACATAAAAACAGATATATGTATATTATTTAGTAACTTTATAGCTTAAACTGTTACTAAATATCATAAAAGATAGTACTTCTTCTTTCCATACTTCTTTATATTCAACTTGTATTATTTTGATCAATAAAAACTATAAAATTCCAAAATAAAACCGTGTATTTGTTGAACCAATTATAAGAATAGAGATATCTAAAAAAAGGTATAGATTTGCCATATTTAGAATGTTTGATTGGATTAAATAAAAAGTAATTTTAACTCCAATAAATTGTATTCGCTGTAAATACTTTTAATTTACTAAAAGCCAAGATTCTATTGGCAAACATTATAACTCAGTGACCGTAGGAATTATAATGTCTGCCATTTACTACAGTGATAGTTAAATAACACACTATTTCCATTATCATATGCGTAATGTGTAAACGCATAATAATCCTCTTTCTGGTCGGTTAATAATAATAATAAAAATAAATAAACAAGCTAATTAAATTTCATAATTCAATTACTGAAGAAGGTTTACTGCCTAGAGTTTGTTGGCGCGTGTAATAAAGTTCTCACAAGTGCTCTTTGTAGCCAATCTAAAGGTTAATTATGTATTTTGGAAATTGACAAATAAAAATTGTTAATTTATGCTTATGGAAAGAATTAATTTTGAATAACCTGCATTGATCAGATTCTCGTTAAATAACCTCTTTGGCAATTTATTTATTTTTAAAGAGGTATGGAGCGAGCTATCAAGTAGGTATATTATAGGCAAGGGTGAAGATATAGGAGGGATGAAAAAGTTAAGGAAGAGGTTAACTTTATGAAAAGGTGTCACTATTTTATTTGGCATATTTTATTAGATTAGATATTTTGATCTTCCCTTCTTTAAAAAAAAAAAAAAACAAACTCTTATCCAATAATATTGCTTAAATTTCTGATCTTTCCTTTGATCTTTTTTTTTTTTGCTTTTTTGGCTGCCCACATCAAGTCAAAGTTAATCTCCGATTGGTTCAAAAGCAAGTCACGAGGATCTATGTTTTTACATCTTGAACGCAATGATATTTCATCCATTTATAGAAATTTTAATGGCACTTTAAGATTCAGTGCTTAGAGCTGGTATGAAATAATAATTAATGGGTTTTAAGTCAAGTAGCACATATATCTTCTCTCTGGACAAGCAAAATTTCTTCAGTGTATTAGTGTTGATTGCATCTTCTTCATTGATAAAATATGTGTAATAAAGACCTACTATATTATTTGTGGAATATAAACTTATGAAATTTTTAGCCAAAATACCTGACAGAAATCTCTAATGTAAATTATCAAATATCAAGCAATCAATATAATATTTCTACAGCCAACACACTCATGTATATATAAATGGCCTTTTGTGCTCTAAATGGAAACCAAGCTTTATATTGAATCGAGTGCAGAATGAGTTATACGTCACAGTTTATACCTCCTTGACGTCACAGCTTATACATTTAAGCTATGTAGTTTAGTGTGGTCAAGCTAGTTAACACCTATGTACGAAAATAAATTAACATTTCTTTACAAATCAGTAACACCAGCTTATTTGCCACCAGCATATATATATTAAATAAATAGAATTCTATATAATAATAGAAACTAAAAAGACTTCATTTCATTTATATATATATATATATATATATATATATATATTATACATACGTATACCTTTGTTTTTACTAATATTAAAGGTAAGGTGCAAGAAGTATACTTTGGAATTTCGAATTCCGTCACTCATTTATTTAAATGCCATCAATTAGGCTTTGCGTAAATCTTTTACATTGATTGTAAAGGCAGCCTTTCAATTATTGGTGCCCCGCGTCTTTCTTGCTTGATTACCTACTTCTTTTCTTGCATTTTTTTTTCAATCTTCTTTATCTCTTTTTTATATATATCTTTAACTTGTTTATAAATATACGCACACATACATACATTTAATATGAAGGTCATTGACAAGATTAAACAAGCCGAGAAAGAAGGTCGCCACTACTGGTCTTTTGAATACTTTCCACCAAAGACACCTCAAGTAATAACAATACTAATAATAAAATAATTATTACTAAAAACCACTATTGCAACCATTTGTACTAACCTACATTCCCTCATTACCATAAAAAAACACAAAGGGTGTCCAAAACTTGTATGACCGTATGGAAAGAATGCAACGCTTTGGTCCTGAATTTATTGATATAACTTGGGGTGCTGGCGGTTCTTCAGCCGACCTGACCCTGGAGATGGTGGCAACTGCACAATCTGTTTATGGTCTCGAGACAATGATGCATCTGACATGCACAAACATGCCATTGTCCATGCTTGACCATGCTCTCAAGGTAAGCCAACACACATGCATATACAGAATACGGTACTCAATACATTTTATTAGACTGCAAAAGAATGCGGTTGTCAGAACATTCTGGCCCTTCGTGGTGACCCTCCAAAAGGACAAACCACTTGGGAATCCTGTGCAGATGGATTTGAACACGCCTCAGATCTTGTCAAATATATCCGTAAACATTATGGCGACTACTTTTGTATTGCCGTAGCTGGTCACCCCGAAGGTCACCTTGACAACCCTGACAAACACGATGATTTGTTGCAATTGAAAGCAAAGGTCGATGCTGGTGCTGATCTGGTGGTCACCCAGTTATTCTTTGACGTAGATCTGTTTTTAGAATTTGTCAAAAAGTGTAGACAGATTGGTATAACTTGCCCAATTCTTCCTGGTTTATTCCCTATCCAGAACTACAATGGTCTTAAGCGTGTTATTTCTTTTAACAACAACCACGTTCCACAACATATCTGGGACGCACTGGAGCCTATTAAAGACGACGACGCAGCTGTCAAAGAGTATGGTATCAATCTGACTATTGATTTCATTCGCAAGATGTGGGCAGCCGGTATCAATGGATTCCATATATACACCTTTAATCTTGGTGAGTTTATTTGTATAAAATAGAGATAAAGAAAATGGAAGGGACAAGGCCAGATATTTAAATTAAGTTATATTAATATAAATAATCATTAGAGCGAAGCACACGCCTAGTACTTGAGCGATTGGAACTTGTACCTGATATGGAGAGTGTCAAACCATTGCCATGGAGTCCAGTAAGCCATAATTTTACTATTATTATTTTTAAATAAATTCGAGCTAACAAAAAAAAATCTAGTCCCTCACCTCAAAAAGAGCAAAGGAAAATGTGCGCCCGATCTTCTGGAAAAATAGAACCAAGAGTTACATTCAGCGTACAGAAACATGGGATGAATTCCCCAACGGTCGATGGGGTGATTCAAGCTCGCCCGCTTTTGGAGAGTTGGATGGTTATGGTGTGTCATTAAAATATCCAGTCAAAGAGTGCCTGGATATGTGGGGCACACCTACATCTATGGACGACATTTCGGTTTTATTTGCAAAGTACTGTATGAACAAGGTGCCAGCAATTCCATGGAGTGCACAGCCGCTTGATTCAGAAACAGAAACAATTCGCCAGCGTTTGGCTGCTATCAATCTGTTGGGCTATTTGACAATCAACTCACAGCCTGCTGTGAATGGCGCAAAGAGCTCTCACAAGGTATATGGATGGGGTCCAAAGAACGGATACGTGTATCAAAAGGCCTATTTGGAGTTCTTTGTGTCTCCCACAGATCTCGACGGTCTGCTGGCCAAGATCGCCAAGGATCCCCAGGTCACGTACTTTGCAGTTAACAACCAGGGCGATCTTCGCACAAACACACTCAATGACCACCCCAATGCTGTCACCTGGGGAGTATTCCCTGGTCAAGAAATCATTCAACCCACCATCGTAGAGTCTGCTGCATTTATGGCGTGGAAGGTACATTGATATAAGTCAAATCAAATCAGGAATATCAAAACTTATTATTATTTTGTGTGTGTAAAAATAATTTTTTATCTATTTATTTTAGGACGAGGCTTTTGGATTGTGGCGTGAATGGTCTTCTATTTACGAGCCTCAAAGTCCCTCTGCAAAATTGCTTTCTAATATTACAGACACTTGGTATTTGGTCAATATTGTCCAAAATGATTTCCAGGATGAAGGTGGCATCTGGCGTTTATTTGATCTTGAGATCGATGGCGAGATCTCGCGTAAGATCAGACGCTCTTCAATTGTACTAGAAGAATAAAGAATACATATGTGTATATGTATATAGTATAATATAAAACAATAAAATAAAACAAAACAAAATCTAATACAATACAATACAATACAATACAATAAATCAAACACAAACACGCGCATACATGTACATGTACATATACATGTACCTGTGTGATCTTTATTTACTATGTATAAAAAATGGTTACTTATATTCTAACATCTGGGGAATGTGGCATTGTTGACCTGAATGTCTAAGGCAACTGTAACTGCTGATTGTTTTTGTACAGTAGCTTTGGTGGTCGAGGGGTATTTCGGAACAAATACAATATTAAAGGTGTAATCTTGAGTTGTGTAGCGCGAAAAGAAACGGCAGCCGGGTAGCTTCCATGTAGCCGAGTAAACTTTGTTTTGGGTTCCTCCAGGATAAGGCACTGCGGACAAACCACTGAGGGCATCAAGCTGATACGTTTTTGTGGGATCAGAACGAGCTGTCCATTGGAAGACAATGTCAAATGAAGAGGGGTATTGAAGTGTAAGAGGAGTTGTCACTATTTCAAGCCAATATACGATACAAGAGGTAGATCAATAAGTGTAACAATGTGGACAAAATTCCTCCTTTCTTTTAAGAATATACATAGATATAAATATAGGTGTGTATGTACATGTTTGGTTGCCCACAATTGTGTATTCGATTCTCTGACGACTATTACTGGTCCACTGTTCGTTTGTCAAGGGTTGCTGGATAGTCAACATGCCCTGTCCACAGACCGCGGCTACGAATGCTAGAAGCACCAATATAATATACAGACGAGACATAGCTGGAGGGTAAAGGAAAGAAAAGAAAAGAGATGGAGAAGAGAGAACGAGAGCGAAAAATATATTACATGGATGAGTGTTCTTTTGATAAAGGTAAGTCTATCCACACACATCTAAAAATACACCTCTTGTACAACACAAATCTATTTAAGAAGGGGGTTGCTTTTATATAAATAAGTGTAGGTTTCCGGGCCACACGCTGCTTGTAGCTCACGCTCGGTCTTCGACGGATTGTGCATGAGCGTAATGATAGGACTACAGAGAATATCTAATGTTGGTCTTAATTCACGAAATCGACAATACCGGAGTATGAATTTAGTCCAGGGAACCGATTCGGGTTGATTTGTGGTCCGACTGAGTCGGTCGGTCTATAGTTGAGGCCTATCCACTGTAGCAAGGATGATCCCTCCTTTCCTTTCATCCCTTTGACTTTTTGGTATGTCAAATATGTAGCTCAACAAGATATAAAAGTCGACCGATAGACACATGCATATATGGATGCTCGAATGGATAGATGGATGGATGGATGTGTATATGTATCGATAAACTTACAAATATACACATATGTGTATTATTATTGTTATTGTTATTATTATTGTTATTATTTTAAATAATGCAGGAATAACGAAACGTCATGTCCAAGTCCAAGAACCACACCAACCACAACCAGAGTGAGCATTCATTTGAATAAAAATTAATCCAAAGTATAATGTGCTGACTGTGGACCCAACCATTCTAGACAAGAAGGCTCACCGTAACGGTCTTAAGAAGCCCAGCCAGATGAAGTACCCTTCCCTCAAGGGTGTCGATGCCAAGTTCCTCCGTAACCAGCGTCATGCCCGCAAGGGTACTGAGAAGGCTCTTGCCCTCAAGTACGCTTCCAAGACTGCCTAAAGTTGGTGAAGAAACTCCCGTGATGTGATTTTCATTTTGTATAATAAATTCACTGTGCACTTTTGTGGTACACAATCATGGAACTATATACAAACATACATATAAGCATATATATATATATATATATATATATATATATATATATATTACGCAGGATTTAAGGAAGACTATAATGATTTTTTAAAAAAGAAAGTGTCTGAGAGAGAGAGGGAAAAAACATAGTGATTGTGATTGAGTGCGTGTGCTTGTGTATGTGTGTGCGTATGTGCGTGTGATAAACTAGAAGAAAAAACTTGCCGGCAAGCGATCAAGGAGAAGAATAGATAAAAAAAATATAAGGGATAAAAAGAAGATATTGGAAAGAATATATGTGTGATGGAAGCCTCTCAAAGGTTTCTAGTGGGTTCATAATCGATATGCTACAACAATGAAAAGGAAGAGAGAAAATAAATATCAATAACTTGCATGGACGCGTTGGAGGTGTATTATATTCCATCCCTATTCTCTTTTATTTTCATTTTCTTTTTATCTTCTATGATTTCTTACGTTGGCATCGCACTGGGCTCGGATAGTTTCAAACACCTTGAGCATCTTACGTCTGGCGCCTAGGGCAGCCACACCCTTGTCTTGAAGATCTGTGTCAGAGAGACGAATAATGTCCTGCCAGTGCATCGACTCAAAAATAGAATTGTACTTGTGTAGACGAAGGCTCCTGAACCAGGCAGGAACGTCTTTGTGTACGTGTGCATTTTAGTATTCTTTTTTTAAATTTTTTTTTCACTTGTTGTGCATCAATATTAAGGCCACACTTACCATTCAAGAGTTCCATATCAAGAACATCTTCTTTTTTAGTACTAGGTGTGGTAGAGGGTCGTCTGTGGGATAAGCAAGACACCTCGCTGTGATCACTCTCATCATGTTCTTCGATGACTGTTTTTTCTGTATCCTTAGGCTTATTTTCTTGGATACTAATGTGCTGCATAGCACTCTCGAGATTTTTTTCGTCTGTTTCTTGGACCGTGCCTGGGATCGAAGAACGAGGGATACGTCTGCGAGGAGTGGATGTGGTCTTATCGAGAGACCACTGGGAAAAGTCAATATCTGAAGAAGAAGAAACAGATGGTTGAGGACCAAATTGCATGGGAGTTATAGCCCAAGGCGAATGAAATGGTCTGTCTGGAGTAGGTGCAGGAGACCACATCGAAATATCTGCAGACTTGGGACGTTGGTTGGGTGTTTTTGGATCTCCAATATTTCCCACACCACTAACAGGTCTACGAGGGCTACTCAGCCAGTTGGAAAAGATGGACGGATCACCTTCTACGACTGATCTTGGCCGTCCAAACAACGAACTTTCCGAGCTTCCTGGCGCTGTGCTTACGTTAATACTGCCGTTGTTGCTTGGGGCGTTAATTGTTGGGGTGTTAATAACAGTAGGGGTGGGAATATTCACAGTTGATCCACCCACTACCATGCTCTGAGGTCGGCTTAATCTTCGGTTATTGACGGCATCATCAACGACAAGGCTATTCGTCTTGCGAACGGCAAAATCTGAACGACCAAACAGTTGGTTGTATTCCTCTGTATCTCCGAGAGCAAATGAATGTCTATCCACAGCCCTAGCACGATTAACAGTCGGTGGTCTGCTTCTCACTTGGCCAGTCTTGTAAGGCAGGACAGACAATAAACGCTGGCTTGCATCGAGCTCCGCTTTAGCTAGCTGGCTTTGGATATCTGCTACACATACACAGAGAGAAACACACACACACACGTGAATACCATAAGGAAGAAGCATGTACTTCTTTACCTTGCTCGGGATTTCCATTGTGTAAGAGTCCATGGAGCGAGCCACGTTTCATCAACTGCTGAAGAAGATTGATAAAGAATCTAATCTGAACTTGTGACGAGTGTTGCAACAGTGTATAAATTGCTGCTGTCCGCTCTGCCTCTGAGAGATATCGATACCACTGATCAACGTGTTGCATTTCCTCTTTAAAAGTCTAGTAATTCATAGAATATGAGCTTGTTTTTTTTCCCTTTCTTTATTTTATTTTTTATTTATCACTGTTTTTTTTGTTGCTGATGATTTTTGTCTGATTTTGGTTGGGCTGGGGTTGGACTTGCCTGATCAAGATTTGTTGCTGCCATCTCATCCAAGCTTCGTTCGTATGCTTGGAGTTCTTCGTACCAATTTCCTAAAAGGTCGGCTAGATACAGCCAATGATGAATTTGTAAGGGAATTGACCAGAATTTTATGACAAGGATGTCTATCTGTTTGCTTCATTCAAGCAATATTATTGATGACTTAATCTTACATTCCATTGACCCGTAATTGGTTGGTCTAAGTGTCTCTGACACTGGTCGACCTGACCGTGAAGTGTAATTGGTAGGAAGCATAAAATGCGGTTGAGCAGACTGTGACATTAGCAACCAACCAACACACGTAAAAGCCAGAAAGAATTCTTACTTTCCCTCCCCCTCCCTTCTAACTTTCTCTTTGAAAATCTTGGTGAGTCTGATAATCCAGTCACATGACTGACATCACCCACTCACTCACTTGCACACACTTGCACACACAAGCACACACAAGCACACATAAGCATACATAAGCACACACAAGCACGCACAAGCACGCACAAGCACACGCAGATGTATACATGTACTATATTTCAGATATTACACATATATCTTGTTCCCCTTGAATATGTTCTTGTTCAATAGCTTATTTCTAGTGTATACAAGATAGCATAACAATGAACTTTATATATTTATATCTATTTTATATAAAGGTAAATATATTAAATACATAGGAAATTTTTTCTATTTTTTTTCTTTTGTCCTTTTTATGGCCTTGAGTAGAATTCCTTGACTGAAGAATATCCAGCAAAACCTGACTTCAATACTAAATGAAAAATTACCTTTCAAATTCTGGTGAATGATCGGAAGGAGGAGAGGGGGACATGAGGGTGTTGAGAAAGCCCCTGTAGTGTTACATTTGTATGCCATCATTTTTCACTTGATATTTTCTTGTTGCATGATCCAACTGCCCTATTGCATACAATCTCAGCGTTAACTGTGTAACGTTTCTATGATATAGTACTCATGAACCACACAAAGGCACAATACTCTGACCAGCTCTGTTTCAAAGATCTAAAAAGAAAAGAAAAAACGGAAGCCCTTTTTTTTCCAGTAGTGCTTTTAGTGCCTGTAGGTTGTAAACTGACAAACAATAAGCCTCCCAATTCACAATCAATCCCCCCCACTTTGTATTTCCAATTGTGGATTTAAAGTAGAAAAAATAAGCACGATCATGTAATCCCTGAGTTATGGTACATGAATCGATCGACATTTGTACCATAACAATGCAACCTACTCTTTGTATTAGGTTCGATTTGATTCGATGTGTTATTGTTTGTATTGACTTGCTTGCGATGTCTTTAATAATATTATGAAGAGTACTTGTAATGATAACATTGGCAGTGATATATTGTACGTTTACTTATTATTTACCTTTTGATCCTTTGCAAATATCAGTTATAGACTTACCAGTCAATAAATTAGCCAATGTAGTAATGTCTTTGTCTAATACAACATGTGTGTCTTTATATATTTCGTACATTCTTCTTAATAGATGATGTTATGAGAACTATTAAGCATAATGACATTATTATGATTATTTGTAGCAGTCTACATCAATATTAATCATGATTTACAGGCAGAATATTAATAGACTATGAGCAAATGATAAGGGTAATCGACATCTAACTTGAAGAATTATTTTTATTACTATTATAATATTTAACCCTTGAAATACCAAAGTCATCACTTGGACTACGTTATAACAAGAGTGGTAATAATATATTCCTTTATTCATGAGAAAATCTCGTGTGAGTTTTATTAATATTATTATTAGTATTATCAAAGAAAACATTTTAGTTCGGGTCTACAAGCAACTGTTTTGATATATATATATATACAAAGGCTCCATTAGGGAAAGACATCACCCAAAAGGTATGATGAATGGTGCCTATATTAAAACTTTCCGCTAGGATCACATCTACATAGCTATAACTGACGATTATTGGGAATGAGTATGAAGAGTTGCATTGCATTTGACAAAATATATGACTTTACTATCTCGGAAGTAAAAAGTATGGTGTAGCTGGAAGTAACGCTGTTCTTTGGAGAAACGGGAAGTCATTTAAAGTACACCATAAACACAAGAATACAAAACACACAAAATGAACAAACACTTGACTAACTGTAACCATATTGTAAAATACAATACAATATAGTATAGTATAATATAACAAAGAGACATACATTTCAAGTATCAAGACTTTACAGGCAAATTCTGTAATTTTGTTTAGATGCTTTTTAGTCTTTTAACTGCTGCTTTATTGAAAATCAAGCCGATTATATCTTTATCAGGAATTTCGTAAGTAAAAACTAGTTGTACTGAGAGTGTCAAAGTAACCTTGATTGGTTTCATAAAAATCTAGGTAAGATATAATAAAATAAAATAACGCAGAATCAAGAGTTACACACTAGAGATTATAAGCACGATAAAGCTCTTTGAAATAAGTAATAGTCTCATCAATAATGCTTTAGAAAACAGATCCTGCTTACATTATCCAAGTATTCGGTAAAAGATCATCTACTTAAATTTCAACAGCCACGCAGTAAAATAAATAATACAGTGTTTCAACACACAGACATAAATACACGCACATAAACAAAAAACAAAAATTCTCGCCATATCTTGTACGATTATACGATTGTGCCTGTGATTTATCTGTTGTGTATTAGGAAATAGTATATCTAGACACAAAGAGGAAAAGAATAAAGTAGACTGGCTGGTAAATGAACGAGGGTCTGCATATTGCTTTGTATTGAGGAGATTTGTTTCTTACATAATACTTTTTGTTATTTGTGTAATTTCTCTTGTAAAATTGGGATTTCGACACAATAGGCTTGTAACTTGCAGGAAACCAAAAGAAAAAAAAAGGAAATGCTATCTATTTATCATTGCCTTTAGAATATTCTAATATTGTTTAGTCAATACTACCTGACAGTTAGATATCCCAAGGACTATACCAAAATTCTCTGATTTATTCATTAAGCCTTTTGAACTTTAGGTTAAGATATTTATATATTTAGCTATCTCTCTATAGATTCGAGATACAGTCTTCCTCTATTTGTTCTTGACTTAAATAGGCTTGTGTTTGATTCTTGTTGTGGTCTTATTTTTATTTTTATTATCAATTTAGAAAATTTAATGGTTTGCTGTCCGGAAATCAAGTACAAGCTATTTATAATAAGGGGGGTTACTGAGACTGGTGATTTTTTAGTATATTCCACAAGCTTGTTTGTCTGCCTGCTTATTTGCTTATTATCTTATTTGTTCGTTTGTTAGATGACTCCCTTAATTGCCTATGCGGCTGTCTGTCTTTCTAACTAGATTGAATGACAAACTGAACTTAATATCTGCTCATAACCGAATTCCTTTAATGCGTTGTCCCAGTTTCTGGTATATGTATTGCAATGCACTCAACCAATCATGATTTGACTCAATAATCCATAATTAAATTGGGAATAGACTGTATTGTGTGACCAGATTTATTTTAGGATATAAAGAATTGAAACAGTAGAAATATCATATCTTACTCATTGTTACAACTAAGCAAAACATTGGTCAAGACACTCAGCTTCTCATGATTACTGAATAGTTTGAAAATAATGAAATCATCTAACCAAAAGACTTTCTTGAATACTAAGCTTATTAGGAGAAATGTCTTATATATGTATATATAAAACTTTGCTGAGCAAAAAATAAGAAGAATATGCTGTACTCAGATTTTCTTGGAGGATTAAATTTGCAACAAGACTTTCTTGTTATTCTTGTGTGATTTCTTCATTTGGCCAAGTTCCAAGCCTCCTGAAAATGAAAGTACCGTTCATTCTGCGCTGAATACACTTTTATAAAAATCTGCTTACTTTCCTAGTAGCTACAACCTATGATAGAGACAGTGACCCATTAAATAGGCAAAAAGAAAAAGGAAACATTATGATCTTTAAGGCCTACTTCTTTAATGCAATTTTCTGCTGTCCTTTAAATATGAATATATAGATATATTTTAATAAATTTTTCAGGTAAGATAATTGTGATGTTCAGAATATGTACCATCAGCTTCCAACTCCTTTATTGGTTAGCAATACTAAATAATTTGCACGATCACGTAATATTGTTCTTGTTCTTGTTCTTGCTCTTGTTCTTGCTCTTGCTCTTGCTCTGGCTCTGGCTCTTGCTCTTGCTCTGGCTCTGGCTCTGGCTCTTGAGCTTATAATCTTTGGTTTCATCCGTTGTTCCCTTTTACAAGGGAAAATAAAATTGGGCAGAGAATGGAATGTCAATCGGAGGTTGAATTCTGTATTTGACGTAAGTTTCAACCTGATTTTTGTGTTACTGTAAAAATGAATAGCCATGGGAGCTTAGAGAGGGAGAGAGAGGGAGAGGGGTAAGTGGGATTTGGAAGCTTGAGGGGGTTAATGGGCTAAATTTTCCTTTCTCTCTCTCTAATATATATATATATATATATATATTTACTTGCTAAGCTTTCGCCTTCTTTCACTTTAATTATTAAAGCAAAATAATACAAGAGTAAAAATACCAAATATATATAAAAAAAAACAAGAAAAGAATAGAAAATAGCACTTCTTTCGATTATCAATATTTGTAGAGCCAAAGAACCATTAAACTCACCTTCCCCCAAAGACAAAGATAATTATAAGCACACACACACACATACACACACACACAAATAAAGAGAAACTGATTTATAGACCATACGATTAGTTCTCCCCTTTTCTTCTTCTTATTTTTCTTTTTTTTTTATATATATATATATATTTATTTCCCCTTTTTCCGTTTCTTTTTTTTTTTACCTTTAACAATCTACTCTGAAGATTAACCGTGTTTGCAATGGCAAGCCAAATACAAAAGAAAACTATACGATTCACTGTTATTTCAGCTGATGGTCTCCTCAAGAAGGATCTTTTCTTCAAGTTGCCCGATCCTTTTGGTAAACAGTCATTCATTGTAGAACCAGCTAAGCAAAGAAGCTAACTCCATCAGTATAGCTGTCATCACTGTAGACAAAGAACAAACCCATACAACAACAGTGATGAAAAAGACTCTCAACCCATACTGGAACGAATTCTTTGATTTGTAAGAAGAAAATGTTTTTTTTTTTTGCTTTGCTTAAAGTCATCTCATCATCTTCTTTAGACGAGTGACAAATAAGAGTGTGATCGAAATCAAAGTATTTGACCAAAAGAAATACAAGAAAAAAGACCAAGGATTTCTAGGTGTTATTGCTATCCCAGTTGGTAGCCTACTAGACGTAGACACAAGAACTGATGGTAACCCAACCTCAATTAATAATCAGAATAAAGCTGCTCACAATTCTTTCTTTGAAATCTTTTAAATTTTCTTTACAACAGCACAGATATTCACCTTGGATCTAAAAAAATCTCATCCTACCGACACTGTCCATGGCAAAATTGCTATCGGTATATCCACAAATGCAAGTGTGCCAGTCCAAAACAATGGCTCTATCGGAACTTCATCTCAACCATCAACAAGCAACCACCAACAAATTACAGCTGAACAATCTGTCTCTGCAACCTCTGCAACGAATGCACCCTCAGCCAATGCAGCAGGCTCCTCACAAGCAAACGACAATCAGAATCTTCCAACAGGGTTAGATTTCAATATACATATATATTATCATTGTTTAAATTGGCTAAAGTCTTTTTGGATTTTGCCTATAAAATAGATGGGAACGTCGCCTAGACCATCTGGGAAGACACTATTATGTTGATCACAACACACGCACAACGACATGGAAACGACCCTCGTGAGTTTTTTTCTTTTTTTCTTTTTTCTTTTTTCTTTTTCTTTTGTCGGGTTTTGGTGTTACATCAGTTGCCATGGCAATTAAATTTTATACGCCTTTTTTTGATCTCTTTCTTAGTCATGGAAGTGTACAAGAGCAACAAAACCTTACTGAGATGGAACGTCGCGCCCACACCGCACGTGGGCTTCCTGAAGATCGCCAGCCACCTAGCGCACAATTTGACGCTTCACTGCCAGCTACCAACACCACTACAGCTGCGCCTATTACGGCCACTCCCATAACCACTACTACAACTACTACAGCTACAGCTACAGGTGCACCTGCGCCCGGGGCCACACAACAAGGAGCAACAGCTGGTACCGGACCTCTTCCAGCTGGATGGGGTATGTACTATACACAAAAACACATATTTCTCTTTTACTGATTTTGTAAATCATTAATGACATTCCGGTCTTTGTGTATCTGATTAGAAATGAGAACAACACCAGAGGGCAGACCTTACTTTGTTGATCACAATACACGAACCACCACATGGGTAGACCCAAGAAGACAACAATACATCAGTACAATCGGCCCAGGATCAAATCTCCAGGTCCAAGTTCAGCCTGTATCTCAACTTGGCCCACTCCCATCTGGCTGGGAGATGAGACTGACAAGTACTGGCAGAGTTTATTTTGTTGATCACAACACAAAAACCACTACATGGGATGGTAAATTATACATTCACATAGACAGAAAGACGCACACAAAAACACACATACACACACACACAATTCATTTAATTTTAGTTCCATTTAATTTAATTTAATTTAATTTAATTCAATGCGTTTCGATTCAATTTAATTTAATTTCTTATACTCATCACCATCACCATCATCATCATCATAACCATCATATCATTTTCTTGTCTACACAGATCCTCGTCTTCCAAGTAGTCTGGATCAAAACGTACCACAATACAAGCGAGATTTCCGTCGTAAACTTATTTATTTCCGCTCTCAACCTGCACTGCGTCCAGTTCCTGGCCAATGTCATATCAAGATCCGTCGTGAAACTATATTTGAAGATGCCTATGCTGAAGTGATGCGCCAATCACCTTCCGATTTAAAGAAGCGATTGATGATCAAGTTTGACAGTGAAGATGGTCTTGATTATGGAGGTCTCTCCAGGTAAAACCATCAATTATACTATACACTTATGTCTATAGTATTTTATATCCTGATTTACTAACATAACATAATATAATATAAATTAACAGAGAATTCTTCTTCTTGCTCTCACACGAAATGTTCAATCCATTCTATTGGTAAGCCAAGCAACAATATTAATTGAGCACTAGCCGATTTATATTATGAATATTTGGTCGACTTACTTTTTATTTTATTTTATTTTTACATACTTGCATATACTCGTACAGTCTTTTTGAATATTCTGCTCACGACAACTACACCCTTCAAATCAACCCTCATTCGGGTATCAACCCCGAGCATCTCAATTACTTTAGATTCATCGGTCGTGTCGTCGGTCTCTCTATTTTCCACCGCCGTTTCCTTGATTCATTCTTCATCGTGTCATTCTATAAGATGATCCTCAGCAAACGTGTTGCCGTAGCCGATATGGAGAGCGTGGATGCTGAATACCACCGTAGTTTAATGTGGATGCTGTAAGTCATTAATATAGACTAAATAAGAAATTAATTGCTAAATAAATGTTGATTTGTATTTTTTTGGAAATAGAAATAATGATATTACAGATGTTTTGGATCTTACCTTCTCTACTGAAGATGATCGATTCGGCGAGACTGTCACCGTAGATCTCAAACCAGACGGTCAGAATATTCCAGTGACCGAAGAGAATAAGAAGGAATATGTCAAGTAAGAGAGGGGGATACCCTTGAATTTATTATAGTATCCGAATCAAATTACATAAAGCTTAACTTTATCACACGATTGTTTTTCCTATTTAAAAAGCTTGGTGACCGAGTGGCGTATTTCGAGACGAGTAGAAGAACAATTCAAGGCCTTCAAGGAGGGTTTCAACCAATTGATTCCTCATGATCTTGTCAATGTATTTGATGAGCGTGAACTTGAATTGTTGATCGGTGGTATTTCTGAAATCGATGTCGAAGACTGGAAGAAACACACAGATTACCGAGGCTACACTGAGCAAGACGATGTGATCCAGTGGTTCTGGAAGGTTGGTACCATTATTTATTAATACAAAAAATTCAATCAAGCATCTGCTAACTTGTATTATTATATTTATAGTGCATAAAGACATGGGACAGTGAAAAGAAATCCCGTTTACTCCAGTTTACAACCGGTACATCCCGTATTCCTGTAAACGGTTTCAAAGATCTTCAAGGTAGTGATGGTCCAAGAAGATTCACCATAGAGAAATCTGGGGAAGTAACTCAGTTGCCAAAGGCACACACTTGGTGAGTAATTCTTAAATATCTCAAATGACAGGAGCAGAAATACTGATATTCATATATTATACGTGTGTTTTTAGCTTCAATCGCATTGATATGCCACCATATAAATCCTACGAAGCATTGGTGGCCAAATTAACAATGGCAGTTGAAGAGACTGTTGGTTTCGGTCAAGAGTAACCCATTTTACAACCCTTTTCTTCTTTTATCTTCTTCTTTAGAAGAATAGTAATCTAAATGAATCATGACTTCCCCTCCACTTCCTCCCTTCTCTTATACTTCTTTTGCGTATATTTTATGTGTGCTCGAGTTTTTTTTTCAAGATCTTGTGTGTCTATAGTATTCTTTTATACACACTTTATATTATTTATCTCTTGCCCTACCTCTTTTATTTTATTTTATATTTCCTCTTTTGTATAAATACCTCCTTTTTTTTCTTGTTCCTTTTGTCAATCACTTTCAAATGAACTTCTTTATTGAATATCCTGTTTGATACCTATGACGATAATCTCCTTTAAAGCCTCATATATTTCCTTTATCTTTTCCTTACATCCTTATTTTTATCTTTTTTTTTTCTTTTGGCGCAAATACAGCTATTATTCATATATATATCTATATACATATATGTGCATGTAATTATGTGAAAATGCGCATGATTTTTATCGGGATTTGTGACAAGATCAACTTTTCAATGGTAATACACATTTCATCAATAGTAACATAAAGGGAATTATTTTTTCTTCATCGACAAATGGTCGATTGTCAAGAAAAAAATGATATTAAAATAAGATTAATTTTATAATTATTATTATTATTACTTTAATATTAAGCGTAGAAAATACAAGGGTTTAATGATTCTATGTAAAGTTGGTGCTGATGAGGTAAATGATGCTGTCTAAGCATGATATAATGAACAATAAGAGGATAATTCGTTTTGTAATTTTAAGTTATACTATGTACAATATGTCTGTTTGTTTGTTCGAGAGGGAAGGGTATGGGGGATGTTTAAGCATGAACACCATAATCCCAAATATGGATCTCACCATCGTCCGAAGCACTGACCACCTTGGTATCACTTAATGAGACAGCTGTGACAGAAGCAGAATGTTTGTGGATAGAATGCATAGGGAACCCGCTCTCAATATCCCAAATCTTGATGCTACCGTCTTGAGAACCAGAAACAAGATGTAACTTGTCGTAATCGAGGGATTTGATCCCTTGGAAGTGGCCAAACAATGTACGGTAACATTCACCTGAATCAACAGACCAAACCTTAAGGGTGTTGTCAAGAGATCCAGAAATGACAATTTGGGAACTAGAGGCACTGTCACAGTCTGTTGATTTTTCTTCTTCTTCCTTTTTGGCTACTTGGTTTTCGAATCTATGCATGAATCCAGGCATACTTGAGATAGCGATCTGAACAGACCCACGGTGGCCTTCAAGGACACGGGTGCATTCTCGTTTTGCAAGGTCCCAAATTCGAATGGTGCTGTCGTCGCTTGAGGACACAAGCATAGTACTGTTGTGCTGGATTTGAACATGATTAACACGCTGAGTGTGACCAGACAAAGTGTAACATTCACCGGTCTGAAAGTTCCAAATCTTAATAGTGGCATCGGCAGATCCACTAGCAAGGATGCGAGAATCAAAATTGATGTGAACTACACCATCAGTGTGGCCTTGAAGAACACGAATACATTGGCCGGTGCGATAGTTCCATACTCTGAGTGTGTGGTCCATAGATCCAGTAACAAGTTTTGAAGTATCAAACTGAAGACTACTGACAGAGCGAACATGTCCATTCAGTGTACGGAGCTTCTCTCCGGTTTCAAGATCCCACACAACGGCTGTTTTGTCGTGGGAACCTGTCATAACCAGGTTGAGAGACTCGCAGAATTGTAAACAAGTAATACCCTTGCCATGTCCCCCCTTGATGATTCTGTGGGTCTTTTGGTTCTTGCGCCAATGTCTTTCCACAACCAGACGTTCACTATAGACTTCTTTCCATGCTTTACGGTCAATTCGTTTCGATGATGGTGATGGTTCTTCTTCGCGGGATCGCTTGTTTGCCGCACGGGTTTGTTTGCGTAATAAAGGAAGTCCCCATCCACATTTTGTACACTTTCGATCGATGTGTTGGACACACATTCGATGCCATAAACTATCATCATTTGCAAATGTCTTCCAACGACTGTTAACTTGAGCTGCGTTACAAAGTGATTGAGCGTCGAGGTGGCCAAGGATCTGGAAGATGATTTCTGAAGGGAGTATTTTTGTAAAATCAACGCGGAGGAGAGGTTGAATGGTTTCGGATAAGTATGAGAGTTGAGAAGTAGAGCAGGTTGACAAGAGTCCCTGGAGAATAATTGAGCGTTGAAAAACGTCGGCAGACTTAAAGGTTGCCCAGATTTCTTGAATTGGCATTTGGTAGTCTGTAGGGAGAAGAGAGGCAGCCTAAATTACTTAGTTTTAGTTAACCTTATTCTGACAGCCGTTTAATAATCTTTTGGATTTCTAGAGTTATGTATCAGTTGCTTGTTGTGGTTAGTTTACCTGCTCAAGTTCAGTGGCTATTTTGTGTCCACTTGTGTCGGTAGAGTCGTTATGGGGATTATGGGGAATAGTCATGGTTCGTTAAAAGAAGTAAGAATAAAGTAGAGGATATAGAATACAATAAGAAAGACGATTTTTAGGGTTTTATTTTTTAATCAACTTTATTATTTTATAAAATCTGAATTGCGCAATCGCTATCAAAAATCCTTCGACAGATACAAGTTGAATGTAAACAGCCTCTGATTGGCTAATTTCGGGATATCGCATCATTTATCTTGATTTGTGTGGAAAGAGCGGAATTTGAGTCCAAGTTGAGATGGCTTTCAAAGAGCCTCAGAGAACTTGCCTGTTTCTTTATGCTACAAAGACGTGATTAAGCTAAAGTATGAGCAACTTGATACATAAACTTGTGCTCCTCTTTATCTGTATACAGAATGTCCTTATCTGATAGGCGGCCAATTAAACACATACTTCACAAACATCCAAACTTACACACAAATATTTAAGCAATTGTTTATCTTTAATAGTTTCTTTTTTTGGAAAATATATACCCTAAGAGTTCCAAAATATCAATTTCCATGGAATTACAGTGCTTCCAAAGAGCAATGTAACACCCAATCGAAATTAATGTCCCTGATAAGTCAGATTCAATTTTGCATTTTTAGGAAGTCGTATTTTGGGAAACCATGTCGCTTTGCTTGAAATGATGTCTGTCCCCTGATTTCTTGTCACTCGAAAAGAATCTAAAACCAAGACCTTTCATCCGTGTGTTTTTTTTTTAGCATTTTACATTCTAAGATGAGTACCGTATTTTTATTCGAATATGGGCATGTGAATGTCGCTGATGAGAATAGCAGCCCTGAGCTCATGGAGTACATTATCGATCGGAATGATTTTTTTGTTGAGACAATTGCCATTCACACTGATTACTTGGAGAACGTGACTTCCAGCGAAGCTTCTTCAGCTTGTTCAATGTGAATAAAAAAGCCAAAATATGAAGACATTTGGATGAAGGAGGCCAACGTGAAGCGTGATTATGTACGTTATATTGTCTAGGATAAGGTTAGATTTTTCGACCTTAGGATTGAAAAGTGTATGAGTGTATCAGCTGCAGCAAAGCAGTTGGGAATTCACATTCGGACTGCTCAAAGATGGGTCAGACAGTATAATGTGTGCCCTGAGTATTTTTTGAGAGATTTTTATTCTATTGAAAAAAGCAGCTCGGAAAAGGTGGTGGAACGCTACAATTGAGCTCGTAAATAGGAAAACACAGATGTGAACTTCCTGACGAATTGCGTGTTTTTTTGACAAATCTGCTTTTGATATAAACATGAAACCTTCAAGAGCTTGGCCCAAAAAAGGTACCCGTGCTATTATTACCAAGCATATTACGAGAGCAAACACAACGTCTATATTGAGCGCTATTTATGCCCTAGGGTTAATTACAATCGACATAAAAAAAAGACCTACAAAGAAGCGAAAGGCTGAATGATACATTAGCTCAGGAACTAAAACAAGTTACTATATTAGTTTCTTAAAACTGACTCTTGATAAAATGGATAAAGACCCACATATGAAAGGTCACTATATAGTTATGGATAATACACCCATTCACACGAATAGAAACTTAAAGAAATATATTGAGTATCGTAGTTATAAATGTGTTTATCCTCCTACTTACTCTTCTGAGCTTAACCTAATAGAAAACTTTTGTGTAGTTGCAAAGAGTAAGGTTAAGCGCCACAGGTTTTTGCAGGAAGACATTTTATCAAAAATAATCACAGAAGCCTGCAAAAATATAGAGAAAAATAATTTCAGTGGTTTCGTTTCGTATCTTTACAAGTGTTGGGATAAATGACGAAACAAAATGCCCATGTAATGAGCGATAACGACTTCATTAAAACCCAAACAATTAAGCCATAAAAATAAGGTAAGCAACAAGCACGAAGCAAAAAAAAACACATGACTAACATAATTATCATTGTTAAGGACGTTTTGAAGACGTTTTTGATAAGACGAATTTTTGGGTCAGGTCTAGTTTGTTTTTTATTTGTTGGTGTTTTTTTTTTGAATTTTGTTATCTTGGTGTCAAGTGTTGCGATGCGGATTGTAGTGTAGCGTGCCAAACAAGCAATTGTATAAAATATACTTCCTCTATATTTCAAAGAAACTAGCAAAACGTTAGAAAGTGAGCCAACAACATCGTCACATATGCCACCAGAGTTCATAATAGACCTTTGCTGTCTAACTGAGCACGGCCGGTGTATCGTTAAATGCTTTGATGTTTCCGAGGGATTCTATCAATTCCAATTACTGGCGCGAAAAATGACTAGTATCCCCAAAAACTTACACATGGAATCCCATGTATACCATGTGTTATCATTATCATTTACCTTCTTGGCGATACCCGGTAACTTCCACAATGACCTCAACAAGTTTATCCCGAATGACAAATTGGTAAAGATAGTAAACGATCTCAATACCTGATTTAGCATTGGCCAACTCAGAGTGAAACATGATGTGATTTGCCAACAATCGGATATCGCAAATGTACGTGCAAAAGAATGATATTTCGCAAAATGCTTATAGCGAAAAAAAAAAAAACATATTCTTTCTCTAGGATCTTCGCACCCTGTGGTATTTCAGGTACTAAACATTATAAAAATAATAAAATAGATAATGAAGACATATAGAAATACTTTTCTCTCTTAAACTAGAGCTTTAGGACTTTCTACTAAATTAGCTGCATGTAGCTTTGACATTGTTTATTCGGCAGTATGATATAATTATCTTAACGATCTCTAGGATATTATCAGCAGTGCTGACTGTAATAATTATTTGTCCAATTACTTCATCATTTATATATATTATGTGTTGACAAGATGATAGCTACTAAGTTATCCCAAAATAAATTTGCTCTTATATGTAATAAATCCAACAGCCGAGTGTCTGGATTACTACACCATCTTCATAAAAACAGAAGCTACTCATTTAACACAAATAATAAAAGAATAATACCTCCCTACAATTTGAAAAATCTGTCTTTTGAGAAAATAGCAACCGCCCTTTCAAAAAAAAAACTCTCTTTCCAAAAAAAAACCACCCTTTGTAACAAAAAATTGCCCTTTGCAAAAAAAAAACGCTCTGCAAAAAAAACTGGCCAATCACAAATTAAAAATAGTGTACAAATACTCAAAATAGAGACTTAATAGATAAGCAATTATTATCAAGTTATATACCTTTGTTTATGTTATCAATATGTATAAAATATATTAATAACAAGATTATACATTCAATTCCACAGTTGCATAAAATAAGCAGAAGATAGAGATAATCACAGTAATATAGGCATAGTCGTGACAATAAATAAGCTCACAATTTTACCTTGTCATTTCTGTTATATATAGGGCAGTACTGCAATACAAAAAAAAAGAAAGCGGTACTATGATCAAACAGCAACAAAGAGACATCAGCAAAAATATCTCGCATAATATATTTGTCAAGATCGAAGAATGGATCGTGTGATAACTTGATAAGAAATTTGTACCTCATAAGTGCGAAGGTGTGGGTGGCAATCGTGTGTACTTTAGCGACAAGGACTTGTAGAGGTCTAAGGAGTTCAGGATTCCACCCCGTTGCCTTTATTGATGTCTTGACAGTAAGGACTTGGAATGGGGTAGCTTCGTTCATTGTCTTCTAATCCACAATGGACAAGAGATCTGAGGTTTGGCCAGTACTTTTGAAAGTGCCAATTTGTAGGGATATACTAAGATATTGAATAAGTATATATGCTGCAGATCAGTTAATAGATTACTTACAAGAGTAAAGAACAAAGGTATCTAGAGTTTAAAATTCTTGCCTGTCAATTGTGCTGTCTTTTATAGACCTTTTCTTTTATATATCATATGTGACTTTGACACATAAGAATATAGTACGTAATCAGCCAGATAAATATAATGATTGATTGATATAAAGGAGAGCTGCCTAAAGGTATTAAGCATTTCGGTAGCATCCTGGAAATACATCAAGATAAGATTTAGTTCCTTGTATCTGTATTGGCGTTTTATATTCGTTGTTCCGAATTTTATGTACCTATCACTAAAAACTTACTGAGAATATGTGTGGGTGTGTATAATTTCTCTTGAAGAATAGTACATAACCATTGTATTGCTTGCGAACCTTATTAAAGCCATTTATCATGGGAATTGAATAATAATAGTAATATAATTGATTTGAAGGACTTGTAACTTTGATACTTCTAGCAGTTAGGCTTAGGGTGATATTCAATTATAATTATCTTGGTTTTTAATCCAAAAAGCCATTTTAAGTGGATATTGTATGCTAGACTGCTTACAGGTTGCAAAGTTGGATAAAGAGACAAAAATGTCCTACACAATTATGTATCTTTAATATGAACTTAAAGAAGCCTTTGCCATCAAAAAGTAATGACTGTGATTACTTTTTAAGGCATTGTTGCTTTTTTATTTTGTAAAAGTCTTTTTTTATTTCTCTTTTTTCACAAGGTCTAAAATTATTAAACGTCTTTAAAAGAAACATACTTAATAGCTATCAAGGCTAGTACTGATAAAATATAAATCCGTAAAGCTGACAAAAGAAAGCAATCTGAGAAGAATTGACAGAAAAATATCTGCATCAAGTACAATTTGGCTGTCAAGATTACTCACCCGCTCATTAGAAATAATTAATTTAGAGAATTACAGGAGATCTGTCTTCTGGTTTTTAGAAAGTAGGAATCAGGCATAGTAATGTTAACACAAAGCAGGTTTATACTCTTTGATTAAAAAGAATCAATTAAGCAATATATATATCTTCATCAATATCATAGTACTTAGAGAATAGCCTTTTTTTTTTTTAGCTAAAAAAATGTAAAAAGTATCACATAAAAACAGATATATGTATATTATTTAGTAACTTTATAGCTTAAACTGTTACTAAATATCATAAAAGATAGTACTTCTTCTTTCCATACTTCTTTATATTCAACTTGTATTATTTTGATCAATAAAAACTATAAAATTCCAAAATAAAACCGTGTATTTGTTGAACCAATTATAAGAATAGAGATATCTAAAAAAAGGTATAATTTTGCTACTTTAAACGATTTTATTGGATTAAATAAAAAGTAATTTTAACTCCAATAAATTGTATTCGCTGTAAATACTTTTAATTTACTAAAAGCCAAGATTCTATTGGCAAATATTATAACTCAGTGACCGTAGGAATTATAATGTCTGCCATTTACTACAGTGATAGAAGAAAGTTGTAGGTTGGCAACTTTGTTGCAGGTCCGGGGTTTAAACGCTGCAATTTCCTACAGTGGTAGCCAGGTGGCAATTTATCGATGATTGTTGCCAGGCCGGTGATTTAAATCCTACTATTTTTTACAGTGTGGGCACAAACTCCCGCAACTCGCGAGATTCAGACCCAATCCGTAACACTCCTTTCCTTTTTCCCCTCCAACACCTCAATCAACGCTTTGTTCAACCCACGCTCTCCTTTCCTGCTTTATTGCTCTGACACTCACTCACCCACCCACTCACACCTCTCGTTCTCTCGTTCTCTCCTTCTCTTTACTTTAATTCAACTTCTTTTTCTCTCTTTCAAAAAAAACCCCTCCCCCTCCCTTTCCTTTATTTGTACCAATGTCCTCATTAGGTCGCTCATCGACTGTACGTGAGTCGACTAAGCAAGACGGCCGGTCTCCCAAGCGAGGTCACAGTTTTCGTTATGCCCCTTCCCATTCAAAATCACATTCAGTCATCCGTCGCCAAACTTCGGAAACCTTTCGTAGCCAAATCACCTTAACACGAGATGATCACTCGAATCGGTCAGGTCTATTCTTAACAGTCGATGACGTTCAAAACGGAGCATCGTCGATCGATTCAGGATCCGAAGACGAAGACAGCGGATTTATTGCCTCAACTAGTACATTTCATGCCCAACCATCATTATCTTCAAAAACATCTGCAAAAGAAGGAAGAGATACTTATTACAACGGAGACTATGAAGAAGAGGAGGAGGAAGAGGAAGACGATCACCCACGTTCACTCGCAAGCACACTAAAGACCAAATTACATCTTTCACGTAGATCGGCTCGGCCCGCCAATCCACGGCCTAAAAAATCTACTAGCACCTTTAGCCTGCGTGGCCATAAAAAAGAGAAAAAAGAGCAAAAGCTGTACGACGATGGAACAAGCCCTATCTATCCTCCACCCCATTCAAGAGACACAGCCGAGAGGTTAGATAAAAAAAATTACTAGAAAGATATATTTTTAAAAAATAATTAAAGAGAGAATGTGGCAATTGTTTTCTTTATGTATATTTATGTGTATATGCGCATATATATGTACATATGTATATGTGTATGTATTTTAGAGATCAATATGGGTTTGTCAAATGTACCCAATGGCTGTCCCAAGAAGATTATGATGCATTTGAAAAATCTTACAAACCTGTAATGGACCGCCGACTTCAAAAATGGCGACAAATGCTTTCCGACAATCACGGACAATGGCCACAAAAGAGTAGTAAATGTAAGACTAAATTATTAAAGGTTAGCTATGTTTCTCATAAATGCAAATGCAATTTCAATCAAGTCAAGCGTTATATCCGTAAAGGTATTCCTCCAGAATTGCGTGGTCAGGTAAACAAAAATAAAATAAAAATCCTCAAGAGAAATAATTAGCAAAATAAAATAAGAAGTTATTGGTTTGATAAAGTAATACTTATATTTGTGTGTGCGTGTGGGTTAAACAAGGCATGGTTTCATTACAGTGGAGCCAAGGAAAAGATGAATCAAAACCCTGGAAGATATGCATCCCTTGTCGAGCAAGCAAAGGCAGCTGGGTCAGAGAATGAACACCTTGAGATTATCGAACGTGGTCGGTTTGGTTTGACATAAACGAATATATGCATTCATTTTGGGCTTATAACTAATATTCAAATATCCCTCAGACCTCCATCGAACCTTTCCCGACAATATTAAGTTCAAGGTGACGGCAGATTCTGTAGATCCTACTGATGTACCAATCATCCAAGCACTACGTCGCCTCCTGTCTGCATTTTCGGTCTATTCACCCTCAATTGGGTATTGTCAATCGCTCAACTACATCGCCGGTCTCCTGTTATTATTTATGCAGGAAGAAGAGGCATTTTGGACATTTGTTGCTGCTGTAGAAGATATACTTCCCCCTAATATTTATGATGTGACTATGGAGGGAGCCAATATTGACCAAACGGTGTTGATGATGCTCTTGTCGGAACGCTGCCCTCAGATCTGGCACAGGGTTGGCGATGGAAAATCGTTTTGGGAGTGTGAAGAAGCAGAGGTTGGCATGCCTACCACTTCACTGGTGACTAGTCACTGGTTTCTTACGTTATTTATCAACATTCTGCCTATTGAAGTGAGTTGTCTTGCTGTGGTACATACCTACGGAATGCTCATTTGTCTATAGTCTGTACTGCGAGTATGGGACTGTTTTTTCTAGTAAGAAGCCAAACAGCTTGTAACTAAAGGATATTGATGGAATCGAATAGTGAGGGACAGCGTGCTTTATTTAGGGTAGCTCTCGGGATATTCAAGGTGAATGAACAGGCAATTCTGAATGTGCATGATTCACTCGAGGTTTTCCAGGTGGTTCAGGTAAGACAAAAAAGAATTAAGAGCCAAAATACAAAACTGACACGTGTGTAGAATATTCCCAAGCGAATGGTAGATTGCCATAAGTTGATTGATGTAAGTCACCATATTTTAATTAATTATCATAAACATTTACTGCGAAAACTGCTACATATTAAATATGATTGGTTTCTTGGATTTTATACAGGAAACTTACCACAAATATGCTTCTACAACTCGCCTAACTGAGCCTGATCTTACACGACGAAGGCTCCTTTTCAAGACCAGAAGAGAAGAGAGACGCAAAAATATACCTGTTGAAAGCAAATTGAAGCGCGGCCGGATCAGAGGAACGATTATACACAAAGGTCTTGGTCGTCGTCTGGTCGAACGAGCAAAAACCGTTAAGCTTTAGATATATCATTTGGTCAGAAAATAAAAGCCAAAACAATAAAAAAAATCAAAATAAGAGCATTTGTTTGATCTTTTATTTATAACATTAACGCAGCATTATTTTTGACTTTTTCATTTAAATTTCAAAAATCCTCATTCGATTTTTTTGCGTTACCAATGGCTGTAATTGACGTATATTATGTATTATAAAATAAAACTTAAAATTGAAGCACAAAACCATTTAGAAAAATCCAGCAACTTCTCTTGGATGACTAGCAATTGGAAATCCCGCTGTGACTGTGTTCTGGCATTTTGGCTTTTTTTTAGGTACTTGCTGCGGGTTTTTCACCCTCGCGTTCTTTTATATTTATCTCTAACAAATCTTCAGTAAAAGAAATTATGTCTGGTAAGAATTTAAAATAATGAGCCCCTCCCATCTCCAAGCATTATTAGCTTAAATAGACCACAGATCAAAGAGGTATTTTGTGCTGAGAGAACGACCTTTTAGACTGGGACTCTACTACCGTTATCCGCAAGCGTGCCGACAAGGTCAAGGTTGCTCGCACAGAGGCTGAAATCAACGCCGCACGAAGAGTGAGTATTATCATCATACCATACAGGCTATATTTTTTTTTGTTTCTGTTAACTGATATTCTGTCTTTTTCTTTTTAGGTTGGAGCTGCCATCTCCACTGAGAAGAAGAGTGAGTACCTTGGAATATTAACGAACATATAGTGTTATAAGAAAGAGAGATGAGACAGAAATCAAGTACTGAAACTATCTTTTTTTTTACTAATTAAAAAAAAAATAAAGCCTCTACCAACGCTGGTCACGCCAACACTGACCATCAGCGTATCGCCAAGCTTGACCGTGACAACGATGTTGCCCCTCCTCCCAAGGTTGACGTTTCTGTCGGTAAAGCTATTCAGAAGGGTCGTCAGGAGAAGAAATGGACCCAAAAGGACTTGGCACAGCAGATCAACGAAAAGCCTCAGGTGGTAAGTTGAAATGAAAATGAGAATGAGAAAAAAGGAAAGGGAAAACAGGTGTTGATTATCCCGTCATTTTCTCTTCTCTTATTTTCTTTTAGGTCAACGAATATGAGTCTGGTAAGGCTATCCCTAACCAGCAGGTTCTTGGCAAGATGGAGCGCGCTCTCGGTATCAAGCTGAGAGGCAAGAACATCGGCGACCCTCTTACCTTTGGCAAGAAGTAAATTATAAAAAATAATAATAAATGTACAAATCACCCAATTTTATCTATATAAAAAAAACATCATTAAATTGAGACATAAGGAAAATGCCTGGGCTTTAAATACGGAAACTGTGGTGATTTTTCTCCCCTTATTTTTACTTGCCTAGCGTTATTATTTTTATAATTGTACCTTCGTCTAAAGGGGGAGTAGAAGGTCGATTTTATTACAATCGCCATGTAAACATTCAAGTATCAACCAATAGAACGTTAATATAACTAACTCCGCTGTATTTATTGGCTAATAATTACCGCGGAAGATCGAATGACGTATGCTACAAACAGGCTGTTGAATCAAACAAAGATCATCTCTAAAGACGCCAAATGAGTGTCACTTGGAAGAGCATAAAATTGCATTGTTCTGTACCCCAGAAGGTGGTGTGTGCTCAGAATAGAGACACTAAAACTCTTTTTCAAGTAGATATAAAGAGTGGCTTAGTCGTAAAGCAAGTAAGCAAGTTACCTAATATAGAAACCAGCCTTTTTTGTCCTCCTTTCTTCAAGCTCCACTCGCATAGAAGAGGAGGGAAACACAGGCCTCTTTTGTGCTTTATAATACAGTTCAACAAAGTCCAGAGCATAACAAAGAAGGGATGAGCTCAGATTGGACGTCAATGCCAATGCGCTATGGCCTATTTACCCCGCAATCTTCGCAAGAGATGCCGGATTCTACCGAGCATCCGAGAGATAATGACTCTAAACCTTACGATGTAATGTGGCCAGACACGGATGAATCAGAGGATGAAGATTTCCTCCCTCAAAATCAGCACATTCGCTTCCCATCACCCACTCGTTCCCCCTTTTGTGACACTGAGGACACGGTGGATAGAAAGAGGGGCCGCATGAACTCTGTCGGACTGGCTTATGATACCCGCGAACTGTTGCGGCGACGTATTGAAGTAGATTGCTGTATCACCGAAACACCTGGTGAAAGGGCTCGCCGAGTAATAGACAAGGCTGTTGACAACGGGTGTGAAACGGCCGACTTCAGGTTTGGACAAAATGTCTATTTTAAAGTTGCTCTTTTTGATTCTTACGACTGCTATTGTTATTATTATTATTATATATTTTTATTATTATTTGGTCTAGTCATCTTAACTTAACTGAAATTCCTGATGAGATTGCTGAACTACGATATATCACAGTGTTTCGTAAAGACACGATGATTGTTAAACCAGCGTCACTTGAAGTCTTCCTGTACACCAACGCACTGACCTGTCTGAGTCCAAGTCTGTTCAAGCTCACCAATCTCACTGTCCTTAGTTTGCGTGCGTAAAATATAAATACCTTCTTGTATTTTGTGTCCACATACTTAAAAGAAGAAGGGGCTGTGTTAAATTTTTTAATAGGCAACAACCAGTTGACGAATATTCCTCCCGATATTGCCTTATTGGTTAACCTAGAGGAGCTGTCGATTGGAAACAATCATCTAGTAAGTATAATGAGAAGAAGCCTATTGATCTTTATTGACATCGATTGTTAGTCATTTATTCCCGCAGAACTACTTAGTATTCCCAAACTCTCCAACCTCTCACTGTGTCCCAACCCCTACTTTTCTCCAAAATCAGATGAAGAATCCAGTCGTCGTCGTCGTGTAGTGGAGCACCGAGTGCCTAGTTTACTCGAAATCACCACTCGTCAGTGGTTATCCAAAGATTGTCATGAATCCACACCCTGGATTCCGTGTGCAATTGAATCTCGATTATTATCCCTCTCCCCCACCAACCGCTGCTACACCTGCCACTCCACCTTTGACCTTCCTTCTATTATCGACATATTCTGGTATACTGTATTTGGTGTCAGTACAATTCCAGTCCAACATCGCTTCTGCTCACTCAAGTGCAGCAAATCATTCAATCCACCTCAATAACCCCTCCATATCAACTTGCCTTCTATATACATATGTACCTGCTTTCCTCACTCTCCCTCTCTTAGCATAAAGAATAAATAAATAAAAACACATAAACTAGCAATAATCCAGTGGGCCAATCAAATAGACGGATGGATGACTTGGATGCACCCCATCTCGTGTGGAAACAGGTGGGCTGTGTTGGATCAGTATTGACCAATCAAATGGCCAGAATGGTGAATGACGGGCTATTTTAAAACGTAATTTCCCCCTTCACCAGTCTGGTTCATTCAATCTTTCTCTCTTTCATATTCCTTAATTCCAATGTAAGTTTTCTTATTTTACCGGACATGGTTCAATAACCGCCCGGACTTTACACCCAAAAAAAAATCCTTTATTTTTTTATTGGATTTTATCCCCACCCCTACCCCCCAAAGAATAAATATAATACATATATATATATATGTGTGTGATTATTATTTCTTACATGTAAATTTACAGGGCAAACTTGACTATCCAAAAGCGTTTGGCTTCTGCCGTCCTCAAGTGCGGTCAGCGTAAAATCTGGCTTGACCCCAACGAAATCAACGAGATTTCCAACGCCAACTCCCGTAAGTTTTCACATCTTAAAAAAAAAGCTTTAGTTTTGGCAAGGTTACTAATAGACTAAAAACCACAGGTGCCAATGTCCGTAAGCTTGTCAAGGATGGTCTTATCATCCGCAAGCCTGAGGTTAGCCACTCTCGTTTCCGTGTCCGTGTCCATGCTGCTGCCAAGCGTCTTGGTCGCCACATGGGCTACGGTAAGCGTAAGGGTACTGCGGATGCTCGTATGTCCACTCAGGTGATCTGGATGCGCCGTATGCGTGTCCTCCGTCGTTTGTTGGCCAAGTACCGTGAGGCTGGCAAGATTGATAAGCACCTCTACCATGCTCTCTACCTTAAGTCCAAGGGTAACGGCTTCAAGAACAAGCGTGTCTTGATGGAGTACATCCACAAGGCCAAGGCCGAGAAGCTCAGAGCCAAGACCCTCAACGAACAGTCCGAGGCTCTCCGTGCCAAGAACAAGGCTCTCCGTGAGCGTCGTGCTCTTAAGCTCGCTGAAAAGGTACGATTTTTAGATTTTAGCCAAAACAAAACAACATCTAACTAACGTTATTTCTTTTTTTTTCTTTACGCAGCGTGCTCAACTCCAGCAAGAGTAAGAATCTCTTATGTTTCAAAATAAAATGAAAAAAAAAAGAATCCCTCCCTTCCCTCTGCAACGAACAAACCACACATACACACACCACTGCTACTATTATCCCTTGTGAATATCATATACATATACATTATACATACATAGGAAAAATGTGAATTTATTTATTTTTATAATTGAAACAATAATAATTTCCAATTTCCAATTTCCAATCAATCAATCAATCAATCAGCCAATCTATTCGATTCGATTTAATCACATTTGAATCTCAGTCACTAAGATGTGGAGAAATGATTCTTCCAAAATTTGTAAATGACCGTATCTTTATTTGAACTCTCTCTTTCTTTCTCTTGTTACCTTGACCAAAAGCATTGATAGCCTTTGTATATGGATTGTTCTTTTATACTTTTGTTATGTTCTTGATATTCAAGTGAATTCTATTGGTGAATTGTGTCCAGACAATAAGCAGCAATAACTTCTTTTTTTTAAAAAAAAAAAAAAAAGAAAAGAAAATCTTGGCCTATTCTTTAATAGTCATAATGAATTAACTAAATCACCCAATGTATTAAATGTTGTTGTAATCTTTACGCCAATAATTTCTTTAAATAAAATACACCCATATAATGCAAGAATTCAATACTATATATCTTCCCCTCTCTCTCTCTCTCTCTCTCTGTGTGTGTGTGTGTGTGTCTTGATTTTCATTTTATAGATATACATAATGTATGTGAGTATATCTGTAAAGATCTTTGGGCGGTGGACCAATAACATTTTATTTTTTTTAAGAAAAAAGAAAAATGTGTACTGGAATACCCACAAATTTACACACGCATCAATATAATATGTATATTTTAAAGGTTTAAATATATAATATATAATATATATATAAGTTATATAAGAATCCCGCCTTGGATTTCCCGCTTCATCTTATTCTTTCCTTCCTCCCTCCCTCCCTTTCGTACTTTCCCTATCTTTCTTTCAGTCTATTGTGTATAAACAACCAAATACACACTTCTTCTTTGCTCCCATGTATACCCGTCGACTATCACTTCTCGCGCTTCCTCTTAGAGTGCACTCTTTGCAATATAACATAATCCGTCGATACTATTCAGCAGAATGTCAACCTCACAGAGAGCCTTTCCACAAAAGTCTAGACCTAATAGACTTCTTTGCAAAAGTCAATGAAAAAACCAAGCCTTCATACGTATTTGCTCACGGTGCAGCCGGGTTTGCCAAGAAGGGTCGACCCGTCCTGGAAGACCGGGGTGATTATCGGAGCGTACAAGTGGGTGAAGATGCATATTTCCAACGAGTAGACGGTTTGGGAGTTGCCGATGGGGTTGGAGGCTGGAGTGGTGCCAGAGGTAATAAAAAAAAGATATAGAAATTTGAGTTTTGTTGATCTATCTGCATATATTAAACTTCCCCCAAAAAATAATAATAATTAAAGATGATAAAGCTAATCTTTGGTTTGGTTTGTTTCTTTTTGTGATAGCTGCAAATGTCGCCTTGTGTTCTCGAAAGCTGATGCATTATTGTTATCTTCAAATGGAAAGATTTGATAATGTAGATGATCCTTGTTTTTATGAATATGAAAAAGCTGATCCAGTAAAGATTCTTCAGGAGAGCTACAGTGAAGCACTCTATGAGGAACAAACAGAAGTAAGAGATACGCCAAGAGAAGAAATCCTATAAGGAGTGGCTAACCATCCAACGACAACTAAAATAAAATAAAATAAAAGGGAATTGTTGGGTCAACTACTGCATGCATTGCTATCTTGCGGCATGATGAGCTAAGGATTGCAAATTTGGGCGATTGTGGGATTTCTGTAATCCGTAACAACAGCTACTTGTTTCGAAGCGAAGAACAGCAACATTCTTTCAATTTTCCTTACCAGCTTGGAACTGGCTCACCCGACAAACCTACAGACGCACAGGTAACAATATGAATTGTGAAGTATTGGACACATTTGACTGATTCAAAAATTCAAAGGTCTTCAATGTAAAGGTTGAGAGGGGTGATATCATAATCCTCGGCTCTGATGGACTCTATGATAACTTATTCGATCGGGATATTCTGGCTCTTGTACGCACGCACATCGCAGCTTACATTATGCCTGGATCTGCGCATCGGCCGCCACGACTACTCAATTTTGATCCACAGCATCTAGCCGCAGCTTTGGCAGATCGTGCAAAGTGCGTGAGTGAAGACCGGAGGAATGTTGACAGCCCGTTTCAAACCCGAGCTATCCATGAAGGATTTTATTATCAAGGGGGAAAAACAGATGATATTACAGTTCTCGTGGCAGTTGTTCGAGATAGTGAAGATTCACCTGATCGTAGACTTTAAACACATACCAATCATCTATCCCCTTGCTTTTCTCATGGGTTTTCTTACTTGAATCCATGTAATGTACATAGAACCAAATAATATAAAGAAGGAACCGGGCCATGTTTTGCAGACAGAGAAGTATTCTATTGTCTTGGACTGTTTCTAATCTGACAATTTAGATTAAAATCATACTTTAGATGTTCAGGCAAGAAGTATTAAAATAATAATAATATAATAATAATAATAAAGTACATATACTATTACCTCGGTTATCATCTAATTTACATAATACTGCGTGCATTTAAGTATATATATATATATATATATGTATATGTATATGTATATGTATTATTGTTTACTAGATAGTTTTGAAATCCCCAACCAAAAATAAACCTTTGGTGTTGTCATGACAAAGTTTATAAATACATTTTTTTTATTGCACAAAAAAAATAGTTTTTTTTTATATATTTGACTAGAATTTTTCCTTTTTTATAAAACACAAGAGTTTTGTAGTGAATCACGCAGGCTATTTTTTGTGACGTGTTTGGAACAAGACAAGAGCAACAAAAAAAAGAAAGAGTTAACAAAACCACCACTCTTAATAACAAAAATTATAAATAATAATATCAATGGCAGTCCAGAAACCCACCACAGCTACAAAGGCAGTCAATGGCAAAGACACCCCTTCTTCCAAGGGATCTCCCGACCCTGAACGCGCCTCGGATGCAAAGGCCGACGATGACAATGAAGATGAACCTGTTGAAAAGGGTGTCAAGGGAGAAGCCAGCAAGGACATGAAGAATGTGACTGGATATGTCAATGAAGAACTGACCAGCAAACAAGTTGATTCCAACAAAGTTGCAAAGGTAGTTTCAACATCAATTCTTCATATTACTCATCTTTATTTTTATAGTCACTTGCATTCATTCAAGAGGCAGCCAAGGCACACAAGCAAAAGACCCTGTAAGAACCTTTTTCATATATATATATATATATATTATTTTTTATTAAACCTTTGGTTTGTTTTTCTAGTGCTAAGCATGTATCTTCTCCTGTCAACAAGCAAGATGTTGACTTTTTGGTAAGTATGAACGTAACATATAATTCATTTATTGATTGAAACATTTTTTTTTAAAAAAAAAAAGGTCGCTGAGATGCAAGTTAGCAAAGCAGAGGCTGAGAAGGCTCTTCGTGATAAACAAGGAGATGTTGTTGGCGCATTGAACGAGTTGATTGAGAATTAATATAGATATATAGATATATAAATGTGTGGATATGTTTCTGTGTGTGTGTGTGTGTGTGTATGTGTATGTGTATGGTAGTGTAGTTGTAGTTTTAGTTGTATATCAAATTGTATCAAAACATTAAATGCTACTCTAAACATCAATTTTGGATCTGGATTCTTTGTACACCTTTTCCTATCCACTCAGACAAATAACTGTCATTTCTGGGCTCACTCACTGAAATACTGCCATCTGCCAGATATTGCTTATTGTTGAATTCAATGTGCTCAGGCAAGTAATTGTAATTAATCATTATCCCAAAGGATTCATCTATACCCTTATCTAAGATACACACACAAAGAAAGAAAAAAGGAATTTAGTATATATTTAAGGGTATTCTGATTCAAGTTTGAGTGACTTGCCAGAAGTATCTGCTTTCCAATGGAGTTGATGAGCACAGGCACCATTACGAAGGTGGAAATTAGCTTAATATTGATAAAGTGTATATGAGTTTGCTTGTAATAAATAAATAAAATAAAACAAAATAAGTTGTATTATAGCCAAATATTTACCAACAGGATCTTGTGCCAATTCGCCGCGTTTTTCAACCAGAACATATCTTTTTGTTGTTGTTGTTGTTGCTCTAATTATTAACCATATTGACTTTAATAATTCTTGAGGTTCTGGACTTGCCTGGCACATAATCGCATCAAAACATCTTTCAAGGAGTCATTATTTCCATCAAATTTCTCAAGTCGCTACAGTATCCCAATAGTTAATATATATTATACAGGAGTTATCTTGTATCAGCCATTATTATTATTTTCTTTTTCTTAAGAAAAATTCCCTCACCTCTCTCCAATCTGATCCAATTTTGGTACGAATTTGCTCCTCAATATCAGGTTGTTGGGAACCTTGATTCATAAGCCAGTGCCTGAAGCGAGGCAAGGGACTGAGGGTAGCAAATGTCTCGATTTGAGGATATTCAGACTTGAGTTCTCTCACCACACGCTTAATCAAGAAATTGCCTAAATCAACCCCACCTAAACCACGTTGAGTAGTGATGGAGTAGCATATAGCACATTTAAAATTGTTGGGATCACAGACATCTGGAAGATCTTCTTGAAGAATTGCCTGTATTGAACAGGCCATTGAAGGTACTAAAGCAACCTGAACAAATACCAATGGTTCCATAGGTATATTCGAATGAAAAAATGAATACAGACGACGATCAGGCCCAAGACGTCTAGGCACATGGATGAGAAACAAAAAATCACAACAGGTATCAAGCTTTACCTCTTCATATCACTGAGATCTGCTACAGCATGTACTGCTTCGTAACGAGAAATCTATTTTCGCACATACTCTCGGTTGGTTTGACTTGTCCTTCTTTCTTCCTTTCTTCGCCGTGTTTTTTTTCTGGTACATATATAGCCCCCAGAAAATAATAATAATAATAATAGTAATAATTACCTTTTCTAATATTTCAGCCGATGTTTGCCATGTAATACGCTCCAGCTTTAGGAACCCAATCATTCCATTTTTCAATTTCTGTTTTAGGCTGACTTCAAGCTCTCCAAGCACTTGATATGAATTGCTACTTCTATCTACTTGGCTCATCACATTCTATCAACTTCATTAGAGTTTTGCTTCTAATAACCTGGCTGTATTACATGTAAATCGGCTCTCATATCTGTGAGAAACTTGAGACCACCTGGCAAGCGACTGACTTGATCAAAAAATACATTGTGTAGAGGCTCGAGAGTCCGGCGAAGTATGTTTTCTGTCTTGTAGGTCAATTTAAGAAAGCGAGAGATAAAGAAGTTGTTGAATAAAGAAGATGGTGGCTTACTGAGGCAATCATTGATCCTGATCCTTGTTGGCAGGCCGTAATGTATGCTTTAGCAGCAATGGCTGCACTTTCTCGATCTACGCCTAGTTTATTGTTTATACGATCCCAGAGTACTATTTAATTATATATATACATCTTATATAATTCTTACAGGACTTACCTAGCTCCTCAGCCAGAATATGGAAAAAATCTGATTTTCCATCCTAATTTTTTTGGGGTGTCCAATACTTATTAAGTGAGAATGGATCCGTAAGTCGCTTACTTGGTCCAATCGTCCATAAGCTTCACAGCATTTGGCTGTCACTACACTCGGTAATAGATCACCTGTGCCGCGTTGAGTTTCCTGCCCCCGTGTAGTTGCTTTGTGCAGGAGTGTGCGCATAAGGGTTGCATCTGGGACTGTGTGCTTTGAGCCATTGACGCTAAACGAAAAGAAACCTAAATAATTGATTAAAACACTTTTATTGTGTATTGTTTGGTTTAATTCCTATATTTCTTTTGTCTGTGTGTGTGTGTGTGTGTGTGCGTGTGTGTGTGCGTATGTATTCATGTTTACCCGGCTCTTTCACGTACGTCCTAATGACAGACCAGTAATCAAGCACAGCCGAAGGTGTAACTTGCTCATTCGTGCCATGAGTTGGTTGAGTGGAGGTATCTCGGTGAATGTATCGGTAGACAGACAAAAATCGTGTAGTTCGATATGAAAGCACCGTTGAACGAGGAAGTGACAGTAGACGTTGCATAAGGAAACACTACACAAAATATTTGAAAGTTGGAAAAATAAAAATAAAGAGATGAAAATAGGCTTGAAGCTTTAACCGTGGGATTAACTCTCACGTGAAATAGCTGATACAACTCCACATATTTATATGTCTGTGTACAACTGTGGTACAAAAGAGTAATGTTGAGCTTGTTTCTCATATACACAAATATTTATACATAATTCGCTAGTTTTTCTTTTCACCCTGTAAGTCACCTTTGACAAAATACAACTATACATATTGATGATCTTGGTATTTAGATTATAATCTTAATTTACAATGTTTATATTATTAAGGAAAGTTTAATAAATTAGAGGTGCTCTGATTAATAGCTGTTGCTTCGACACAAATATTTGCGTCGATTAAAACAATATACAATATTACTTTTTATAGCTTAATATATATATATAAGAGGTGTTTAACAAAGGTTTAGAGCTTATTATATTAGTATTTATATTTTATATATATTCTGTAACTCGTATTCTAGTCAGCAATAAAGTAAGATAGCACTAATGCCGTGTAAATTTAGGGGTTATACTATATAGTATATAGGTAACTGGTTTGTCCTTGTCTTGTATCTGGGTTTATTAAAGGTCCCCTTTTGAAAGATATTTTGTATTTTTATAGAATAAATGGCTTTCCAAAAAAAAAGAAAGGAGGAGGATATAAAATTATGCTAATTTCAGTGCTTTTTCAATTTAGATATATATATATTGGAATTGTGAAGTGTTAATTTCATTGTAGAAAATTGTAATTATAAGAGTGAATTACATTTAAAACAAATAATTGTTTATAAGAATTCTATTTTTTTTTACTGCAATAAGAATAAAATAAATTACAGTCTTGTGCTTCTTGCGGTGTTTATTTTTCTTTTCTTTTTCGGTTGTTATGGTAAGCATTTAAAAATAAAATAAAATAATTGTTGCCAAGTAACCATTGAAATTTGATTCAAATCAGACGCGTATGAGTACACATCTATATACTGTTAACTGTGATGAAGAAACCGAGTGGTATTCGACGCGTGATAATTATGCATTAGAATCCTAGGCTTTTCTTTATATATAATTTTCTTAATCCACCTTGCAAGCGCTTCCCCTTTCATTTCTCTTTCTCTAAAGCAAGCAAGGAAACTCAGCATTCTCTTATTGGACAGATATCATCTGACATTTTGGTTACCCCGTATTTGGCAACCATCTTCCCTTGTTCCATTCCTCTTTAACGCTCTTTCTCTACTGACCGTCTTCAAGTAAAACCTACCATTCACCCTGAGATCTTGTCTTCTTATCTAAACGAGTCTCTTTCACCAACCTAGTCTTTCCTTTCTCTTGTTTTTTCTCCTTACCTCAACACTACCTCATTCCCCCAACATGCATGGTCCCATGAGCGGCCGTAAAATAGCAGGTGAGAAACTTTGCCTTTACTTATATTCTACAAAAGTCGTTCAAATCAAAAACAGATATACATATACAATTTTATATGTATATAAAATAGAAGGGTTTCCTCTTATATTGCTGTGCTTTTTTGCTTCTATTTTTCAAACTTGACTCTTATTGCTTCCAAACAGGCGAAACAGATACACTCAAAGTAATTAAGGTTGCTGCCAAGGACGGCAAAACCGGCCAGGATTTGCAGTTGCATTATTCCAACTGCAAGGTGGCTGGTAATGGTTCATTTGGTGTCGTCTATCAAGCAAAATTATTGCGAACAGGTGAAGAAGTAGCAATAAAAAAAGTGCTACAGGACAAACGCTTCAAAGTATGTACACGATACTAAATAATTAAAGAGATTAATATTTAACAATATTATTATTTATTTAGAATCGAGAGCTACAGCTTATGCGAGGGCTTAATCACCCCAATGTAGTTGAACTTAAAGCCTTTTTCTACACACAAATAGACAAGGTAAATATAAGTATAAATAAAGATAGTTGTATCTTTTGTATAATAATTTTTCAAACAAAAAACGGCCTTTTCTTTTTACTCTAGAAAGATGAGGTATATCTTAATTTGGTACTTGAATATGTACCAGAAACTGTTTATCGTGCAATCAGACACTACGCCAAAACAAAGCAAACAATGCCTATGCTCTACGTCAAAGTATATACCTATCAATTATTAAGATCCTTAGCATACATACATTCACTTGGTATCTGCCATCGCGACATTAAGCCACAAAACCTACTTCTTGATCCCTCGACAGGGGTACTCAAACTGTGTGATTTTGGAAGGTGAGGCTACTTATTAATATAGCACGTGCATCCAACTAAGTGTATATTCAATAAACGCATACATATCCATGCATCTATCTATTATGGCACCAGATTTATGGTTTTTATTCTGATATCTATCATCATTGTTTTTGTAGTGCCAAGGTACTTGTGGCAGGGGAACCAAATGTGGCCTATATTTGCTCGCGCTATTACCGGGCCCCAGAGCTTATCTTTGGTGCGGTGAATTATACTGTCAACATTGATATTTGGTCAGTAGGATGTGTTATGGCGGAACTAATACTGAGCCAGCCGCTGTTTCCTGGTGAGAGTGGACTCGATCAATTGGTTGAGATCATCAAGGTTCTCGGAACACCCAACAAGGAGCAACTGCTTGCCATGAACCCAAATTACACTGAACATCGTTTCCCCCAGATAAAGCCTCATTCTCTGTCAAAGGTAAAAAATAAAAAGTAAAAAGTCGTGGGTTACTTGATCACACGATAAAATCAATTGAATATCTAAGTTCTACACATATATGTATTGTATATTTATTTTTAACCAACAAAACGAATACAGGTCTTCAAGCCACGGACACCCGCAGATGCCATTGAATTTCTAAGTGAACTATTGCAATATGAACCCAGAAAGCGACTGGAAGCCATTGACGCACTCGCACATCCATTTTTCGATGAACTACGGGACCCAAATACGCGATTGGCACAAGGAATGCCAATTCCACCACTATTCAATTTCACATACTATGGTAAGCACATTTAAGCCTATGTATTTTCATTGTCTTAATTTCACTCTAATATTATTACAGAGCTTTCAATAAAACCAGAACTGCTCTACAAGCTCGTACCACGTCATTGTGAGGATGAGCTACTGTCTAGAGGCATTGATATTCATAATTTCGAACCCTTATCCGAAGAAGAAATGAAGAATAGCATACCTAAGCATTAGGTTGCATAACGCACAGTATTGATTTCACTACTCACTAACATTCACTCACTCATTTTGTCAAACTCTATTTTTCTTCTTCTCTTTCTCATTATTATTATTATTACTATTACTACTATTATTATCAGTATTATTTACAAACCCCAAAAAGACCCTTTCATATTCCCAAACCAATCTTACTTGTTGTCTAACCTTTACAAGGGGTTTTTTTAGGGCTTAAGTTTGTATCATAGTCTTCATCAAGTCATTGAATCAATCAAGCAACCAACCAACCGACCAATCAACCAATCAATCAATAAACAAATAAATAAAAGGAAAAAAAAAGAAAGAGATAGAGTTTAAATTCATCTTTTATACACACGTCTTCCATCTACATACGTCTCTTCTCCTTCTTCATTGTCCTCTTCTTGTCTTTATCTTTTTCTTTTTCTTTATCCTGCTTTTGCTTCTTCTGGAGCATCTTGTTACGCTCCTTTTCAAGTTCACTCTCGTGTCTCATCTGTTCTCTTCTAAATGCTTCTTGTTCCTTGATCACATCTGCATTACGGTTGGCAACCAGCAAATGATCTACTCGATTTATATATTTAATTATCTGTTCATTAAATAACCTCATAAGTTACCTTGGGATGCAACCACTCGCTTGTCTTTAGGATGTGCTTCAGTCGCAGTTTGTTCACTGTCAGAAGTTTCGGGTGCACCATAGCTGTACTGTTGAAGTAAACGCTCACGCTTCTCGCGTTCCTCCTTCGAAAGTTCTTTTCGTCTATTCAAAGCTGCCAACTGCTTTTCTTCTTCTCTCAACTTTTCTTGCTCAGCCTGTCGAGCCTTTTCGCGCTCTTTGATTAACAGATTAATAAAAGCCTTTTTTTTTAGGTAATTTCTATATGGATAATGTATATACCTTGGATTTCTTGCGTCTGTTTAGCCTTGAGCTCAGCCTCAGACTTTTCCTGCAGGCTATGCATCTTCTTCCATTCGTTCAAGATATTATCAATAATCTCGTCAGTCGGTTTATCCTATAAATTTGGTATGAGTAAATTAGATTCTCACATATAAATTTTATACATTTGCGTATAAAATGAACGAAAGGTTTTGTTCCTGTTTTGTTTTATTTTACAGTTATTACATACTGTTGTCTCTGAAATAAATTCTGAAATGGCTTCACGCTTTTCTTCTTCTTCTAATGAATCCTCTTGTACAATGCCAGCAATGTACTCTGAGATGTCATCATCTATCAAGACATGCATTAACAAAGGAATCTTTACCTCTTCATTTCTCTATTTCTCTTTTTATATAAAGAAACACATATATATATATATGTGTGTGTATGTATGTATATCAGTCAGCGGAGATAAAAAAGATATCAACCTTTGAGTTGGATCTTCTCCAATTGAGCTGCAACTTGATCAACAAGACTCATGAATGTGCTTTTTTTGCTTTTTTTTTGGTTAAGATGAATCTCACAAGTCTTGTGTTCAAACGTCTTTAATTTTTTACATCTTGCAACTGTGACTTGAGTTTCCTACTTACCTTTAGACTACCTTCAACAACCGACAATGAGTCAGGGAAACGATGATGATTTTACGAACCGTATTGCTAAGCTTGTCGGTAGCAATGACACCAAGCCTTTGCCATCGTGTGTTTAATTGAAATGATTAGCATATAGAAAGCAAAAGATTGAATTATTCTTTTGAATTATAGTGATGCCGAACTCGCCAACCGATTCTCCAAAGTATTTTCTTCTCAACCTGTCGCAAAACAAGCAAAGTTCGACTATCATATACCCAACAATTTAGCTAATGACGATGAGGATGTAAGACTTTGATTTTGTGGTTTAGCAAGACAGTGCTCTTAATGCATAAGTTATTCAACAGGTTGAAAAACTATTGTCTGAACTTGATCTTTTGAATGACAGCGACAATGATGGTCTTTTGGATGATGATCTACTGGCCTCTTTAACATCCCCGGAAGACCAAAAGGCTCAAAAAGAAAAACTTAACCAACTTGAAGCAGCTTTTCTTGGGACACACTCTGCAGAAACTGGGCTGGAGGACGAAAGCCATACACTAATTAGACGTATCCAAGAAGAATCTGCTTTAGATGAAAAATATGCCACATTTGCAAAGAAACGTGACGAGGATCTGAAGAAGCGATATGAAGCACTTCAACAGGGCTGTAACTTTTCACCTGCCAATAGTGGAGAGGTATCTTCAGCATCAAATTTCAAAAAACAGGAAAACAGTGGTAAGCCACGAGGTTCTGTCCCAGCTGCTCTCACAATGGATGAAATATACAATGAAACAGACGATTGGTGCTGTAAGTGTTATTAACAGCAATATGTGATACTTTTGATCATATATATATAAAAGCATAAATATCAATATTAACGTTGAGTAGGTATGTGTAATGATGATGCGAGCCTTATTTGCAAGGGCTGTGATAATGACAAATATTGCAAAAGCTGTTTTTATGAAGGACATCGTGGTGAGATGGCTGATTATGAAGCGACTCTACACGTTGCAAAAGAATGGAGCAAGACAAAATAAAATATTATCTTTCACAAACTGCAAATCTGTTAATTGAAATGCTGGGAGGGCACAATAATTTAAAGCTTCTTTAATCTTTAGTGACTACCTTTTATGATTATTAATGCACTTCTAGTTACATAAAATCATTAAACTTTAATCCCGTCGTATAAAGGCAATTAACCTCTAGTATACTTGCTTCAATAATTTAAAAAAAGGCAGCATCATAATAGCATTAAGAAACTTTTCCAGTAGAAATAAGTGCCAGGTATTTAAAGTAACAGCTAAAAGTAACTTCTGTCATTTTGAAATAAATACAGACCCCCGATAGGCTCATGATGATTCCTCGGTAAATTACAACTGCTTTCGCTGAATTCAACCTTTAATCATTTTATACTTTTTATTTGATTCTACCAAGGTAGCACTAAATATGTGTAGCTTTTTTTTAATGTCTACACGGCTCCTCTGTTTAATTGACATGTCTAAAAAACAAGAGAACATATATAATTAATAAAATATCTTGATATTCTAAAGAAGCTCGAAAATAAAAAAAAAAGACATAAATAGTGTCATCCCTGCTAAATATTTATCATTTTACTATATAACCCATATCTACGGGTTGGTGTTACATTAAAAATTCGTATTTAAAGGGCAGTGTGTGTTTATACATTAAAAACGGCCCTCTTTAACTTCTACAATGGTATCACAGCGTGGTCTTCAAAGTATAACGCTCGAGTCTCCTATGCGTAGATGCGCATCGGCTACAAATTGGACTTTCTATGATCCTTCTGAGAACCCTACTGCACCAATTAATCTCGGCGTGGCACACAATGACCTGCTGCAAGACAAGTTGCTTGAGAAAGTAAGATATCGGCATTATGGAATACATGGTTATGCTCTAACAAACAAATAAACTTGTGTATACCATCTTTTGAAAAGATCTCCTCTTCGTTGACTATCACACGCAAGGTAAAGTCTATGTTTTCTTCTTCTATAGGCAATCTGGCTGTGGTAACACTGTTTTTTTTTCGTACAGGACCTTGATTATAATTGTGCGTACGGTTCAATAATTTTACGAGACCGAGTTGCGTCTTTTGTTACCCGGCAGTTCAAAACTGCCGAGCCTTTGGTCGCTGATCATGTAACTGCTTTTACTGGAGCTGGGGCTGCGGTATATTATTTGAGTGTAGCTTTGGCAGATCCCGGAGAGAGTATTATGGTCATAGCTCCTTATTACGGAATGTTCGATGGTGATATTTGTGGTGGAACCGGAATCAGTCTGTTCCCAGTCTATCTGCCTACCCTTGAGGATAATTTTGTGCATGAAAATGTTTTGGAAGAAGCATTTGAACGAGCAAAAAAGGAGAATGTGAAAGTCAAGGCATTGCTTGTCACAAATCCCGACAATCCAATCGGAAGGTATCAAGAATACATATTGTGCTTGACTTGGAGTAAGAATATATTTCTCAAATATAGCGTTTATCTAGATGCTATTCTCGCGAAGGTCTAGAGACTTTTGCTCGGTTTGCTTCAAAGCATTCTATACATCTCATTCTTGATGAAGTGTATGCTCTGTCTACATTCAGTCATTTGGATACATCACTCTCAGCAGATACTGTCATTTCAGCTAAAGAAGAGAGTGATGATCCTTTCACATCTATTCTCAGTCTCGAAAACCTATCAGACCTTATAGATCCATCGTTGGTTCATGTGATCTATGGTATGTCCAAAGACTTTGCTCTAAATGGTCTCCGAATTGGATTTATCCTTGATCAAAACAACGAAACGCTTCGCAGTGTACTCCATGCTAGTGCGTAAGTATATACAAGTAAAAAATAAATGAATTATTGATAAGGAAAATATTTCTTACTGGTATATTTACTAGGGTAATGAGCTATATATCCAGTATCACTGACAGAACTATCTCCAATTTTCTGTCAGATTCTGTATGGATTGATAGGTAAGATAAAGCATATCGTGTATTTTACGACATCTTTAATAAATTTATTTATTAAACCATTTTTTTTTTCTGTTCAAATAGCTATATTTCTACCAATCGTCGCCTTCTGGCAGATTCGTACGCCAAAATATCTATCTTTTTTAAAGATCATGGTGTAAGACACCTACCTGTTCAGGCTGGTCATTTTGTATTTATAGACTTGAGGCCTTTTTTGATTCAAAAAAATGGAGGTAGACCGCCTACTTTAAAAGACGAGCAGGAGCTATGGCAGACTTTACTTGATAACGGTGTGTATGTCGCTCCTGGTGAAGCGTTCCGTACAAAAGAGCATGGCTTCTTTCGTATCACATTCCCTCTCAGATCAGATTTGCTGGAACTTGGGCTCGATCGATTGTATAAAACGACAGTTGGATTTGGGGAAAACAGGGTGATCAAAGAATCCCAAGCTTTGAAAGCAAGCAAATAAAACGAGATATCAGGAGCTCTTAAGCTTTAATTCAGTATATTGTATGCTACCTTTTTTATAACATATATCCATATTTTATATAAAGCTAACCTTTCGACAGCTTCTCGACTATTCAAAGATTCTGAATAAACTTTGGAATAAAATAAATAATGAAGAAATAATATATATATATATATATATTGGTAGACTGGGTATAGGAATGTTTACTTTAATCAGTTAATACTCGCTATCATGCTTTTGTCATATTTACAATCAATAAATTTCTAAAGAATATACTTTGTAATAGCAATTGTCTATAGAATTTTCTAATAAAGGTTGAAACCACTCACAAACTTAAGACAAAGAAAAGGCCCGAATATATATACAACAAAGACTGTTTCAATTTAATATTTATGAATAATTATACTATGCTACATATTACAATATATAACGGTGTGAATCATAGCTATTTCATAAGAATTTTCTGTACATGCAATATATATAAAAGTATTTATCTCTTTGAAAAGAAACATTGGTTGTTTATAAATAAAGGCACGACTTAAATTTTACATAATGGCTCAATACTATTTTTTTAGGAATTCATCCTATGATATATATATCTAGATTTAATGCTCCTCGCATCTTGAACTCGAGGCTTTCAATACACAATATATTGGTGTGAGCCTAAAACTTGAATTAATATTACTATTTGTCCTTCAATATTTTTAAAGCACAAAAGTCTCAAGGTCTGAAGTGACAGGATACTATTACAAGAGCTTTATGGGAATATTAAGAAAAATATGATACTTTTCCATTTGGTTTATGTATTTTATGTAGAGACTTTGGTCTTTAATACAGTAAAATTGATTGATCCTAATGTGCAAAAAGGGAACAAAAAAATACAAGTAAATGATTGCGTAGATACAAGTATATTTTTTTTGTATTTTACTTTGAATGAATTGAATGTCAATCTGAATATTTGTGCTGGCGAATTGAAAAAGAAAAGAAAAAAAGAATCGGAAAGGATAGATGGTAATACGAAACTCCCTTGTGCCCTTTGCTCGTAGCTGTTTGTTATTTATTGTATTCATTGAAGAAACACAGTCTTTAAACTCGTATCATCTTACATGACCTTGACATACTTGATCACAAAAAAAAGTAAGTTCCTAGTATCTCCCCCCCCCCCCCCCCCATATACACACACCTTTCCCACCGGGAACGAGAAACGCTTAGCCACTTAACAAGTGAAAATATGTGCAACGTTTACAAAGTGACTCTTGGTTGAACCATATAAAGGTCGTACAGTTAATAGGCAAGCATCAAACCATGAATATGAATATGTGTACATACATTCTTTTTATTTGTGCTTATAATCTCAGAAAGCACTACTGAGATATTTGGTTGGAACCGTTACGCCAAACAAAACAAACCAAAAAAAAAAACAGGAAATATTTCTAGTCATTAGAGTTATTGAACGTGTTTTTTTAAGTGAAAAGGCTCTTTGTTTACAAGGACTATTAAGATTCTATATATTATTTCCAGCATTCTTTTGGTGTAGACGTATACAAAATCTTGATAATGTAGTGCCTAAAGGATTGTCCGGGAAAATATTTTGAATTGGACTCAAGCCAAATAGACTTTCTTTTGGCTCTGTTGCACAGTCCGTGTCGGATTTTCTAAGCTAGTAACCACTTTATGTGTTCTTATTCAAATATGGAGATGTTACTACTACAGATCAGGTTCAGTTTCAGGCAGATTACAATAGTTCTTTTTGGATAGAATAAAATAAAACAAGTCAAAACAAAGACCATGATAATATAGCAGTGGGTTTTGTTTTCACTTTATCCAAAAAATAAGTATTATAGTCTGTCTAAAAATCCCGGATTTAAATAAGGAATAAATCGCGGTTCGATAAAGATCACCGAATAGGAGATAAAAGCCCAAGGCATTGACCACATTACTGTGTAGCACTAGCCAAGAGAAATCAGAGGTTGTAGTGTTTTAATTGCAAACTATAGAGCATACAGGACATAAACGGAGAGTATTTCCCGATTTAATAGGGTCTTTTTAGTACTGACATGATGTCAATTTTGTACTCATATGTACAACTTTTCAGATATTCCAATACTATCTGTATACATACATATATATATATTTAAAAAACCAAAGATACTATAGAACCCCACTGTATTGAAATCAGGTGGGATATATATATATATAGATAAGAAGACACAAGTATTTAAAATGTACGTCTGAACAATTGTTTCATATGATCTATTTGTTGAAATACAAGCTATACAGAGAAACAATACGAATATGTACCTGTACCTGTTACCTCTTGGTGCATATAATCTGTCTAAATATGATCAATAGAATATACAAATTTGGCAAGGGAAGATAGGTAATAAAATATACCGAGTAAAAAAAAACTAAAAAAAAAATATAGAAAAATGGGAACAGGTAAAGAAGTTATTGAACATTCAGTATTGACTTGATATAAAAATAGTCCAATTAAATGATATGATAATTAACGTTTGTCTATGTTCAGTAAATTTTGTGTAGGAATATCCCTCGTCTTTCTAAATACATTCATATGTGTAGTGTTATGCTCTCTACAGCAATGTAATTGTTTTGTTGAGTAATGTTCACGTCGTAATAAAGGCTGTCTATTTAAAGTAAGGTTTCTATCCAAAGGAAAAAAAAAGATCCCAGATTTGCGTTCAATTTGGATGTAGACTTTTATGCTTAAAGTACAGGAAATCAGATGAGACAAAGTTGTAAGATAATCCATATTCTATTTCTATCCCACAACTGAAAATCTTATTCTTAATTCTACCAAGCTTCTGGAGACACAGACCAAGGCTTTAAGAATGGTCTGGTGACTATCATAACACACGATTACCGGAAGTTTTACTTTTTAATACGTAGCAACAAGACTAAAGAAAAAAACAATTCCAAAACACATCTTCTAATTAAATAGACTTACAAAATACGGCTTATAATATCGTATTATTATTATTATTATTATTAAGCAGTCAATTGTATCCATAATAATAAGAGCGCATAATATTTATTTCTTTTCCTTCTTTGTTTTTGTTATATAATCGACGAAAGAAGACTTGCATTAGACCATAGCAAAGTATTTTTGAGTAGCAGATAGGGCGTAATAACGGACATCGGGATCCTCGTGCGTCATAAGCTTCATAATTCGTTGCTTGGCACCAATGCTCTGCAAGAGTCTTAGAGTACAAACAAATATACATGTATAAACATTAGAAATATTTCTTTGTTAAACGTTAAACAAGTCCTTACTGTTTTCCTTCTGTTGGTCTATATTTAACATATTGGCCAAGATCATGACATGCAATAGCAAGCACAAGAGGGGAAGAAGAGCTCAACAGACGGGCCAGGATTCTAACACATTATACATATATGCACACAAGATTAACAGCAAATTACGCAAAACATGAATCAATACTTTTTCTTACTTTAGTAGCTTGTGGCCTTCTTCGTCCAACCGACTAGCATTCTCACGCCAAAAATTCTCGGATTTGTGGGGAGGTGACCATTCCAGCTTACCGGTCTCAAGTTCGGACGCATAGACTTCAAATGTACTATATATACGCCACATTAATAAACTCGCATAATAACAATAGTAACGTTGTATTATAGTATAAATAAAGATAACCTACGTCATGCTTTGAAAACTGCCTTGAAGCTCTGTTTGGATAAACCCAATATCATCCTTCATATCCTGATCAGACCATTTACGTGTGCCCAAGTGCTCAACAAAGGGTAACAACTTGGCTACGAGCATTGCCGAAAGATTGGATTTTGGTGCAAGTTGAATGAAGTTCTGTTGATAAAATACGGAGGATATTTAAAGTTAGTTATTATATTCATTGACTTCTTTTTCGTCTTCTTTACCTTGAATATAGCTACAACTATGCGAATAATCTTTTCTTTGACTGCTGACTTGGCAATATCAATCAAGGTGGGAATGACATCGTATTTACTGTATAGATCCCACATCCAGGTCAATTGACAAAACACATTACCATATATATACAAAACTTACGCGTTCAAATGAGTAGAAATTTGCTTCTCAAAGGTAAGAAGCCAAATAGCAAATAATGTCTCGTATACTTTTTGTGGATTGGAACTACCTCGTTTGAGTACATTTACCAGCCTTCACACAAATAACACATTACGTTAAAAACACATCGATTAATCGATAAAGAACATACGAATTCATGGCATGCAATGTATCCCAAAATATCATTCTGTAAGGAGGAATATGAAACAACGCATTTAGAATCTGGATATTAAGTTCTACTGTGTGAGCCTGTCTGCTCTGAAGCTGAAATGTAATGTTGCGGAAAAATTCATTGATATTGGGATCTTGTTTTGGAGAAGAGCTATTGTTGATGGCTTAGTATCTTATCATCATTATATACCACTTGATTTCTTTTACTATACCATATCAACATAGTCAAGATCTTACTCGACTGAATGGTAATAAACTCATCGTTTATGTGCAGTGCTCTAAAGTGTGTGTGTATGTGATAAATATAGAGTAATTAGTATTTTATTAGAACAATTATTTCTATACCTTACCTGTGAAATGGAGTGAAAGGGAAGCCTTCCTTCCCCTTACTTGCCTCATGAAATAGTTGGATACGTTCATCATGGTCTGTATTGAACCAAATCAGAATACCCTGTTTTCCTCAAATGCTTTTAAAAGCTTCATTTTTTTATTACTTGCCATGTATCATGTCATGAATCAATATCAAAACCTTTTGAATTGCATCTACGCGTGCCAACTTATGAATGAGCGAAAGGTACATGGCTGCATAATGAATTCCATGCTAATGAGTTTATTCATTCATAGTCATATATTAGAATATCGCATAATAAACAATTCATTAACAATTCGTTTTAGGTTTATTATTCACCTCTGACATAGCGCTTGATATTTCTTCTGAAGACTTATTCTCCACATGGGCGATCATTGCCACCTCATCCTCTGTAATAAGCCCGGCTCCCTTATAATCCTGTACGAAACATTGTCAGTATCCGCTTGGTCAAAGCAACTTTTCAAACACAACCCTCCTAGAGTCTAAAACCCCACAAAGATCAATTCACTTTTGACTACAAATATATATATATATATCTATGCATATATGTATGTATAAACTCCAAATAAAAAATCTTCAAGAAAAAAAGGAATATATAAAGCCAATATCACTTACAGACCATGGAACAGCTTCTCCTCTGATCTTCTCGAGAAGATCATCGAGATAAGGATGCGAAATGACAGTAAGTGTTACATCACTAACAAGGTCTTCGCGAACCAAGACACTTGTAATTCCAGATGTTTCGGTCTCAGGTAAATTTTGGGCGAACAGCATTGGAATGAAGATTGAAATGCACGAATGAGTTGTTTCTTTCTTTCTTTCGCTTTTTTTTTGGAAGAGAGTCAAAGCGAAACGGGGCAAAGGTCAATGTCGGGAATCGAAACATATTTTTTTTCAAGGGGTTCTTTATTCGTTCGAGATTTGATTTTTTTTTTGTTTCGTACAAGAACACAAAGCTTGTTAGAGAAAGGTAGAGAATGGTAGTTAGCTTCCAATTGGTGTATGTACACATATTTGATGTAAAATAAAGGATGTTGTTTATTAAGATATGGAAAACGAGTCTGTCAAAAACAGATTCCAAGTGATGAAAGAAAGAATATAAAAATGCCATGAAGTCTTTTTTTTGTTAGTCAACTGCTCTTTACGTTTTGTATAGAGCAAATGGACAAACAAACAAAGAAGTATAAAATAGTACGAGTATTAAGGATGGTTTGATATAAAAAGAAAAAGTATAAAGATAATGAAATCACATAATTCCATTATGTCTTTTTTTTGTCTTTCTTTCTACACAATACGCATTCACAGTGTGTTTTTTTTGTATATATCCTTGTGAGATATGGGTGGATTATGCTGCGGCTACAGCGGTTGATACAGGGGCATGTATCTCCTTAGGCTGCTCATGAACAGATTCGTCATCCTCATGAACCTTTGCATTATCTTCAGGAACGGTGTCTTCGTCTGTAGAAGTGGCTGGCACATCAGCTTTAGCCTTCTTTTCTTTCTTGGCCGGGATCTTTGAAAGGAAACCGGTGAGGCGACCGAGTGGCGAGGAGGGACGAGCAGTCACCTTGTCTTCAGGGACAACCAACTCCTCGGTCACAATATCTACAGGAGCAATGGTGGCAGAGGCAGTGGCGACATCAGCATTGTGTGCGTGCTCTTCATGCAGCTCTAGGGGGGGGGGGGGGGGGGGGGGGGGAAGGCACATGTTTGTGTTACTATATATTCTCCTGGTGTGTATATATTTTCATATTCATATTCATGTCCAGACATCAAATATAGCTTACCATGATCGCTTTCTGATTCAACGGCTTGTTCGGTTGGTTCCTTGGTAACGTGTTTGTCTTCCTTGGTTTCCTTTTTCTTGAAGAATAACTTGCTGATAAAAGACTGGCGCTTAACATTGGGCTCAACATCCAATGTATGTGCTTCTGCAGGGTCTGCATGGACAGCAGCGTCGTCAGTTGTAGTAGCTTCCGTGACCTCAATTGGCAGGGTAGTATCGGGTGCATCAGTTGCAGAGGTAACAGGTGTGGTACCTTCTTCTACGGGAGTAGCAGGTGTTGTGGCCTCGATAACGACTGCATCAGTCCCCGTAGAAACTTGCTCGGTGGCCAACTCATTACTAGGAGGCATTGGAAGATCTTCTAATCTAGCAGTTGACTATAATAAATATTGAGCAACAATGACATTGAAGGTTAAATATTATTATTATTACTATTATTCTTTTGCTGGATTTCTTGATCTGATGAGCCGCAATTTTTTTTTAAAAAAAAAAAAGAAAGAAAGAAAGAAAAGGACTCTAAACTAACCTTTGATCTGCCAAAGAAGCTAAACATGGACTTTTTCTTTTCGGGAACCTTTTCCTCGACAATGACGATCTCTTCTGTATGGACTTCTTTGGTGTGCTCTTCTTCTTTGGTAGGTTCTTCCTTCTTGGCATGTTCTTCCTTCTTGATGTTTTCTTCCTTCTTGACTTTACCGAATGGATTGAAGAGAGTGCGTCTTTTTGTATTGTTCTTTGGAGGAGATCCGGGTTCAGAGGCGGGTTCAGCAATGGGCTCAGAAACAAGTTCAACGGCAGGTTCAGTGACAGGTTCAGTGACAGGTTCTTCTACAGTGGGCTCGGCAGCTGGTGGAGCATCAGTAGATGTTGACTGTTCAACAGCTTCAGGTACCTCTGAGACCTCTTGTGTGATGGGGTGCTCAGTATCTGGCTTTATTTCGGTATTCTTGACAGGGTTTGATTCTGAAGTGGACATGGTTGTGGTAATAAAGAAAAAGAAAAAGGAATAGTGGATCGAGTTGGATTTATAGTTGTCTAAAATTAAGACCAAGCAAGGTCTCTTGAGAAAACAAGGTTAACAAGCACGAGTATATAAAATAATAATAATAGGAATAGCAATAGTAGTAATAGTGATGGTGATAGTAATAGTAATCATAATATTAATATTAATATTAGTAATAGTAGTAGTAGTAGTAGTAGTAGTATTAATAATAGTTGACTCTGCGGTTGAATACCAGCGCAAACAAGATATAGATAAAATCAAGGGGCTGCAAGGTAATAATTGTTCTTGTGCCACTAGACTATCAATTTTTGTATTTAATTTAGCAAGCCAGCTGAATGTATTAAGAAAATAATAAGTCTGTAGATACCCTTTTTGAAAAAGAGCAAAAAAAAAAGGCTCAAAGGTCTTATTTAATCTTTGTATGTGTGCTGAGAGATGGGGGGCTTATGATAGGAATAAAGCTAGCTCAAAGAATATTAAGTACTCATGTAATAAATCTAGATCTGTACTATACAAGAATACTTGCAAAAGAAAGAAAAAAAAGTCCATGTATAATTATTAGATTCTAGAAACTAGAGCTTGAGTACTACTACACATTAATAGCACCTACTTTATCAGGCTTTAGATACTACATATATTCTATTAGATCTGGTCCTTTAAATGAGGACAACTGACTTTCTCCTGTCCTAATAATTAAATATGCATATATATATATACTTTACACTCATACACTTAATGAACCTTCTTCAAGGCACACAAGAGATGTAATTATTCTGAGTGAAAAAAATGCTGTCAAGTATCCTTAAATGGGCTGACTAAATATATATGGTGCAACAAAACCATAGAAGGTATCAAACTGTCATTTTCTACTTTTGTGGGTTGTACGCTGAGTAGCACCAGCATATTGATTTTAATGGATCGTCCGAATCATATTCTTTTGGCATTATGGATCCAGTTGGTTCGATGTCTGTAACTCTGTGGGTGCTTGAGTTTATTAGCTTGCTCTTATCTATCTATCAACCAAGCAAAGAAAACCCATTTTTTTTTCTTTTTTTCTTATATCTATCGAATGTTGAATTTATTATATTGTCAGATGTTTCTTTGCAAAACAATCATCATAGTGCCCTATATGTATACATTTACACATTTATATATTTTACTAGAGGAATTAGTTTCAGCTGAAAGTTACAACTTATTGGTGAGTCTATATATACATATATTATGTTTAAAGCCCACTGTGTATGTTATCGGATACCACAAAGAAATAAATAGAAGAAAAATAATTTTCTTTGCTTAAAATAGGCTTTGCAACAGCTTGTATTTACTAGAAAAAAAATCGCAGATCTAATATATACCACGTGTAGAAATTTAACCAATCCAAGATACACCTGTTAATTTTTTTTTCTTGTGGTGTTTTCTACTGTTTATGTTCTTGATAAATATAGCTACGTTCTATTACGGAGGTCTTGAAGACAATCATAAATTTCAAAACTTCATCAATAAAAATAATAATCATCATTTTTTTTTTAAAAAAAAAAGGTACACAAGCATATATATATACACATTTACAAATTGTTCCACAGAAATACGATGGATTTCTGGTTTTTAAAATTTTCTGTCAAGTAGAGTAAATGAGCCCGAGATTTGAATGATATCTTTTTGTCCTTCTCTTTCTCTTTCGTTATATATACATATTGGCACATATATACATACATATTATACTGCATATTATTTTGTCTGTCTTTTTGTTTGGTACAATTTTCAGGGGTAACTATGGATATACAGTCTTTACAAATTGGTATTGGTATTTTTTTTTAATATGGTTACCTAGACTACGACTATTCCTTGGAAACCAAACTTCAGGAATCTGGCTCGTGCTCATATGACTGCTAAATAATCATAATGATAATAATAACCATAGAGACAACCACATAAAGTTTTTATTTTTATTTTTTAAAAATTAATAACCATGGAAACAAAAACTCGTATAGTTATAGACTATATATAAATACATACATATATAAATATAAAAACTTACTTCTTGGTTTGAATAAAGAGTGTAAGGGATAGTATCAATGTGATACACTGACGTGTTATTTCTGGTCAGTCAGTCAGCCAGCCAGTCAGTCAGCCAGTCAGCCAGTCAGCCAGCTAGCTAGCCAGCTAGCCAGCCAGCCTGTTAGTCAGATGATTCATAATTCATGTGACTTTCTCCTTTTCCATTTGACGTAAAAGTGCTATTTTTCTTTTCTTTTTAAAGGTCAACCCTTGGTACACCAACGTTTTCGTGACTTGTAATGGAGTTGGGTTGTTTTAACAAACGTAGACCCTTTTTTTTTAGTATTTCTATATTGAATAGTACAAGATTTCTAGATGGTATATATGGTTTTTTTAGATTATCGTTTCATTTGTACAGTGAGTAAAAAGCACTTTACGCCATTTTTTCATAGTTTGAAACGGCGTAATATTTACAAATATTTTTCTTTTCTTTTCTTTACTCCAAGGTTGTCTATTTATGTATAGTGGAACGTATGAGGAAGGACAACAACAACAATAATAATAAAAATAATAATAAAATAATAAAAGAATAAGGGAAAAAAAGGGGGAAGGGGTTACGGTCTTAAAGGTAACCTTCTTTTGATTGAGTAATCCGTGATCCGGACCGTCGACAAGTCTAGTATATAGAGAGAAAGAGGAAGGAAGGGGTGAAAATGAGAGATGGGGGGGAGGGAGGGATCCTGTTTAATGGGCACAGATCAATGCGGGGTAACAACAGTGCTGAACAGGCAAAAAAAAAAGGTTGAATTGACTCCATGTAGTACAGGTCACGACAGATATTAAGAGCGCGCTTTATAATCTTTTTGATTATTGTACATGTATTGCCCTCCAATCTTCTTCATCTCCATGGTAACAGCACCAAACTAAGCATCTAAAAGACTGTTTTTTTTTCTTTTTGTTTTTGATATCTTGTGATTTCACAAGTAGTCTCTGGTTTATATCTGAACCTCTTTAGGGCTATTTAATAACATGATGTATTGAGCATTCTTTTCTATATATATATATTAAATCTCGGTCATCTATGCTAATAAAAGGTACAAAATAAAGTTTTTTTGTCATGAAATGGTAAATACAGAAATCCGGGTTCTCATTTTTTCTCTATTTTTCTCATTGGCCAAAAAAAATTATCCATATATTTTGATGGTTTTTAACCTTTGCAATGACTTGTATCTTGTAGTCACACCAAAGCACAGCCAAAAAAAGGGGGGGAAAGAGAGCAAACGAGTGAGAGTAAGAGAGAGAGAGAACGAAAGAAAGAAAGAAAGAAAGAAAGAAAGAAAGAAAGAAAGAAAAAACGAAAGAACGAAAGGGATAGGAAGGGAGTACAAAGGGTGAGTACGTCTTGTCAATGTGATACATCCGCTTAAGCTCTTGTAACCAAAACAGTAAACTTGTTTGGGGAAAAAACTTAAAGTGACGTGTTAAAAGATACCTTACTGAAATAGAGGAAGGAAGAGAAAAAGGAAAATCTGCCAACACAAAATAATAAGATAAAAATGTATTGATATTCTGTTGATTGTTATAGATACCATACAATAAGTAATATATCTCTAGGAATACCAAGAAATATCAAGCGATTTGAAGTAAGGTTTTCTTTTGGGTTGTAAAAGAATCAAAGGGACAAGATTTGTATACATTTTTATATATATGAGCTACCAGAGAAACCTTTTTCTTTATGTTGATTGAATACCTAATAAGTATACATGTAACCTATTATGCTTTGCCTCTTTCCATTTGCCCTACCCATGAGACCAAAAGTCTTCCAAGTTTGTTAATGTGAAGTTGAGTCCAATCACCTTTGAATAGCCGCTTACTTTTCACTTTTTTTTTTTCTTGTTGTTACTATGGTTTCTTGACTTCCTTCTTTTTGGGATTTGAGATTTTACCCCGCACTTTTTATTTATTTGGCGTTGTTGTTAAGTGTTCCTTTATATCCATAATTATAAATCATTCTTTTATGTATACACAATTTATCGTTACTATCACTATTGCCTCCAATATTTCCTTTTTGCTACCTATTTTTTTTTTTTCAAAAAAAAAAAAAGATCTCTTCTTATTCTTCTGCTTCTGCTTTTACTTTTGGTTTTTTTTTTGCTTCTTCTTCTTCTTTCTACCATTTTTTTTAAAAATTATTTTTATATTTCATATAAATACATTTTCTTTACTTGGCTAGCAATCCTTGACATTTCTTCTATTTAAATTTTATTTTACTTTTATTACACATTTATATATAAAATATATAATTATACTTATAATTATAGTTATCTATATATCTATATATTAAATTGAAAGTGTATATTATATATCGATATATATATATATATATATATTTTATATATTATATATTAAAGTAATACATATACAAATACAAATACAGCTTTATATATACAAGCACACGCACACGCACACAAATCAAATCAAATCAAATCAAATCAAATCAAATTCAAAGTCTAATATATATATATATATATAATATATATATATTCTTATATATATATTCTTATATATATATATATATTTATATAAATATAAATATTTTCTATTAAATAAATAAGAGTGTCAAGGAATATGCCCAGTATGGCCGATTCTACCTCTTCTCCGTCCTATGGTTGTTCCAGTCAACCACTGTCTCCTGAAATGCAGAATAATCGTAAACGCAAACAGCTACAATACCCCACTTCAGTCGATAATTCGCCTTATATGAACATCCCGTACCCCCCCGCCCAATGGTCAACAGACCCCTATGCTACCCATTCCTCCATCGGATACACCACTGAAAAACCTGATATGATGTCCTGGCCATCAACCCAATTCGACCCTCGTTCTACCTCCACCTCAACTCCAGAAAGCAGAGTTCGTCAACCATCCTCAACATCTTCTGCCACAGTAGACATCGACGACCTTTTTGATCAAATTGACCCAACCCTCATTCCAGGAACATCCTCAAATCCTGCCCGCTCATTCTATGTCTATGATCAAGACCAACCCCCCACAGATCAACAATCGGCCTCAATCATCTCATCGCAACCACAGGCCTGCCAATCGTTTGACTTCATCACTTCATCGTATGCTTATTCTGGACAGTCACTCCAAGACGTCCCACTCGATATCCACTCCTTCCCACTTCGCGAATCCCCTCAGGTGCCCTCCCAGCTCGGCTCAGAACCAAACCAGAACACCAGATACAGGCAATCCGACCTTCAGCTCCACGACCTTCATACTGTCCATCGACGCAACCAGCAACAATTGATTCAGTCCTGGGTTGGTGCAACATACTCAGCTCCCCAACAGGTATCTCCGAATCACTCCCCAGCCGGCTCAAATCCAGCCTTTTCTCCCGTTACTCCCGCCTTCTTCTCTCCCAGTTTCCTCGACTCTCTTCAGGGCGATGGCCATAGCTCACCCAGGCAGCTCACGTTGGACCAGTCGTACTCCCAGCCTGTCTCAACCGGTCTTGACACTCGACCCTTGGACTGGAATTCTGATTATAATTCCACTCAAGCTGATCAAAGACTTAACATGGTTGCCCAGGTAACAAATATTTTTATTTTATTTTATTTTGTTTGGGGTGAAAATAATGGCATTTTTCTACAACCTTAATATCATAGGCGCCACTTGAAGCATCCGAAAAAAAAAAAGAAAAAACTGATTTTTTTTTGATCTCCCTTTGTTGAATTCAATTCATTTTAGACAAGAGATATGCTCTCACCACCTGCATCACCTCCACACTCGTCAAATTCGTCGACAAATTCGTCTCCTCCAATTACTCCCATGTATGGTCGTTTGTCAAACCTCTCGATTCGCTCCACACCGGTTTCTGTTTCTGTTTCGGCTCCTGGTCAAATCCCATTCAACGGGCATCACTACTACGATAATTCGGCCACTACTACTATCCCAACAAACATGACTGGCGGACATCCGATGCTAGTCGTAGCCACAGCAGCCCATCCACCAACCATTCCAGAAGCGGCGAGTGAAGAAGACGAAACTCGACTAACCTCGGGTCCTATTTCCTCTCCACACCGAAACCACCCAAACGTTATTATTGATCGTCGTTCAGTCAAGACCAATCGACAGATGATTCAAGCCTTTCAAGCCGCAACCTTTCGACCTCACATTCAGAAATATCTCAGGAGCCCAGACCCAATGTCGGTTGGTGAACGTACAGTTGTTATACTCACTTCCAAAGTGGCACAAAAGAGTTATGGTACCGAAAAGAGGTTAGAACACACACAAAAAATAATAATAATAATTATATATTATATAAATAAGTATATATATATATATATAAATTTAAAATATATAGTATATAATCAAAGTTCTTATTTATTTACCAACTCTCTTTTTTTTTTTCAACCAAAAAAAAAATAGATTTCTGTGTCCCCCGCCCACTGCCATTCTGGTGGGTACTACTTGGTGGACTCCCAAAAAGGATGCAACGTTAGACGATGGCCATGTCTCGGACGATGCCCAAAGTCAACCACCTGACCCATTTCTCATCGACAATGAACGCGTCCTGGCACCCCCAAGACTGACGGTCTGCATTTCCGGAGAGGCATCAAGCCAGGCTGGACACATCGAATGGTACACTGTCTCGGGTGTGACGGTCGGCCAGACTGGACATGTTAAGGCAGCCCAACCTTCTTCCTCGTCTTCGTCTTCTTCTCCTTCTGGAAACGGCACCACCAGTGGCACCAGTGCTCAACAAGAAGGTCTGCATCCCAATAGATTCAGAAGTGCAGAATCAAGAAACAATAACTTTGATTGGTACCACAACCATCACCAGGAACCCTTGGCTGCCGGAAAGAATGTCTCGAAACATCTGTTTATCAATGATGCCGACGAAAAACGGAAAAGGGTCGAATGTCTGGTCAAGATTCAGTTGGCCAATGGTCTGATGCTTGGGACACTTGCCAGTAAAGGAATCAAGGTCATTAGCAAACCAAGCAAGAAAAGGCAGAGTGTTAAAAACATGGAGCGTAAGTGAAATGTCATATGCAAGTATATATGCATGCATGCATGTATATATATATACGGGTGCGTGTACGCCAATCCTGATTTAACATTTTTCTTTATTTGATTTGGTTTAATTTGGTTTGGTTTGGTTTGGTTTGGTTTGGTTTGGTTTGGTTTGGTTTGGTTTGGCTTAAACTAGTCTGTATTCATCATGGCACAACTGTATCTCTGTTTAACCGAATCCGCTCTCAGACCGTCTCTACCAAATACCTTGGCGTGTCTTCTTCTTCAGCTCAGGGCTCGCCTTATGCTTTTCCGGGTCATGCTCAACCAAAGACCCAGGCAAGCGATGTCAATGACGGTACCTGTTTTGTAGCCCGAACTACTTGCTGGGATCCCTTTGTGGTCTGGGTGGTGGACACTACGCGCACTCCGGGCGACGGTAAAGAAAGTGACACACCCGAAGATTACATTGGTCGCAATGTGTACACCCCCAGCGTGCCTTACCCTCCGCCACCCGCGATTGCTTTGAAGAACAAGACAAACCAGCTAGTCCCGATTCTCTACAACCAGCACATTGTTCTGCAGTGCCTTACAACCGGTCTTGTTAGCCCGGTTATGATCATACGCAAGGTAGACAAGGCATCTACTGTTGTAGGTGGCGCTCGTTCTGTCGATGACCCTCACATTTCTGGAGGTGGTGAGTATGGCGATGAAGTATTCGGAGACCCTGTTTCCCAACTCCACAAGATTGCCCTTCAGATCGTCCAAGACCCTTCAAATGCAGTACACGCCCATCATGCTGCAATGCGCCAGCAAACCCAATCCCAAAATGGAGACTACGATATGAACTACAGCAATTCTGGTGTATTTTCACCTACGCATCTACCCACACCAGCACCAGCACCAGCACCAGTACCTCAATTGCAAGAAAAAATGATGCCACGCTCCAACCAGCCTGTCACTTACTTGGCATGTCTGAATGATATGGTTGGAATGCACAAGACTGTGGATCCCAGACGACCTTTAGCGACCATATCACAGCAGACAGCAGCAGAGGCAGCCGCGACCGGAGCATACTTTCTGAAAGAGGAGACGATGAATAATTACAATACGATCGATAGTTCGGTTCCTTCGCAGCAAGAAGGTGGGAAAGTAGTCCGTAAGCGACGAGTGTCGACTGATGTTCTTGAAAGACACCTTAATTCCGGTTTGAACAACTACAATTTAAATATGAGTATGAGTATGAATATGAATATGAATATGAACGGAATACCGCCCAGTAAACTCGTTAGTTCAATGTCGCTCACCAACCTCAAGGAAAGAAATCAGGGCGAGATACTTGATCCTAGTCTTCGCCGACGCGTCAATAGTATGAACGATGATATTGAGGCATACTACGGAAGCCGTGCAAATGGCGGAAGTGCAGCATCGCATATTCTCATGAATCGTGGCCGATCAGGGTCGACGCATTCTCTGGAGAACAGTAAGCGAAAGCCAAGCATGAGTGCCAGTAGTAGCTCTAGCTCGACTAGCACCGGCAGCCGTCGTATGTCAGCTGTGAGTGTGAATGCTGGTAGCCCTAACCATGGACTTGGTTCATATTGGAGTGAGGATGTTTCTGACGCAGCAGTTTGGACAATTGTAGGAACAGGTAAAATATATATATATATATATATATATATATATTCTGTATTTTTATGCCATGTTATTTATTTAAACAAAAACAAATATATATATATTTTACTTGAGAGTTTTTATATAAAATATATTATTGATTTTTTATTGATTTTATTTTTAAATTGATTATAGATTGTGCTGTATATACATTCTGGACACCTCCTGTGGACGACACACGGCCACAGTTGAGCGTAAATACAACAATGTTCCCTACCTTGTTGAACTACACTCTCAATATGTCGCCTAGTGTGGCCTACCAGACGCAGCAAAGCACAGGTCTCGACCGACGCCTTCAATCGACAGGAGAAGAATACCCTGATTCAAATGAACAATTGATGTCCTTGCACGGCGAGTCCTTTTCGCGTGATTTGCAGGTGTGGTTTGGAGACATCAAGGCGCTTGATTCGGATTACCGTAGCCGAGAATTGTTTGTATGCAGGTTACCTACGCGTCAGAACCTCTTGGAGGGAGTAGGACTCGAGACAGTTGGCTTTGACAATACGACACATGCTCCTATCTACAGTCTACCGATTCTATTGGTCCGAGGAGATGGCACTGTTTACAAGACCAACAAGACCTACAAATTCCAGTAACAATTTTTTATTTTTATATATTTTTTCGTTTTATGCTTTCACTCCTTTTCTTGTGTATTTATTTTATTTTATTTTATTTTATTTTATTGTCTTTACTTTATTTTTATGAGTAACTTTTCTCACTTTATCACCTTACCCTACCCTACCTTCAACTTATTTCAACTTCTTTCTTTCTATGCTATATGCTTTTACTTTCTTTAATGTAAGATTATCATTATCATTATCATTATTATTATTATTATAATTTTTTCATGCCAATTGATATATTATATATCAAAACCTGTATTATTTTCTCTTTCCTGTCATTTCATCTTTTTTCTATAAAACAAAACAACAAAAATTCATGAATTATTCGACACATTTATTTTCTCTTTTCACCACTACACACATATTATACCTATTATATATATGTATATACATAAAATCAATTAACTTGCTTATTATCGTATATATAAAAAAATATTCTATAAAACGTCTTCTTATTTTATTTATATATATATCTGAATTCCCAATTTCTGGAAAATCCTTATTTTCATATGTATAATATATATATTTGGCAAAAGGGAAAAAAAATGGGGGGGTAAGAAGAAGGAGGAGGTAAGTGGGAAGAAAGCGAGACATTTGCGGGGTATCTTTTGTTTGTTTGTTTGTTTGTTTGTTTGCTTGTTTTGTAGCCATATTCTGAATAGGCAAAATGCGGGTAACATTTCCTATTTTTTTCTTTAAAAAAAAACGAGTCAAAAAACGAGTCAAAAAGCAAGGCAAAAGGCAAGATAAGGCAAGGTAAAGAAGTATATAATAAAGGCAAATGTTTAATAGCACATATGTGTTCATTTCCTTTGCCTTTGACAATACATGCATGTATATATATATATAATATGTATTTTTTTTTTGGTTTGGTTTGTTTAGTGTGGAGTGGAAATGGTGCTTAATACAGTGTCTATACAAGATAAATAATAAAAATAAAATAGTATATATATATATATATGTGCGTGTGTAAGTTATATGAATATAAGAGAAATAAAATAAAATAAATGAAATCTACTCCCACTTTTTGTACAAACGATACTATGAAATATACATAGGCAAGAAAGAGAGTAAAGAAAAAGGAAAGCAATAGAAGTACAGCAAAGAAAAGAAAAGAAGGTGGAAAGAAGGGGTTGTATGTGATTGTGTATGAAAGCGAACAGGTTAAATGAAAGAAGAAGAAGTATAAGAAATATTTTGCACTGGTCGGCGATGTGTTGATATATATGTTATGTGTGAATGTGTGAGTGAGTGAGTCTGTATGTAGGTCTGTATGTATGTGTGTATGTGTGTATGTATGTATGTATGTATGTATGTATGTATGTATGTATGTATGTATGTAGGTCTGTATGTATGTGTAGCTGTGTAGCTGTGTAGCTGCGTGCGTGGGTGTGTTTTACTGTATCGTACACTGGCAGTAAGAAGGATTTGAGCTATCGTGGGTACCCCATTCTCCTCTTGCTTCATTTGGATGTTCGGGCTTTGTGTCAATACTCGCCGCTACTGTCGTCATCTTACTTTCTACATAGTTCTCCATAGCCATTGCTGGCATGCTGGGCATCTTTTTGAATCGAGTCGAACTGTTACTCAAAGTGTCTCGGCCAGAATCGAGTGAAACACGTTTATGAATCTCAACTACTTGTGTGTTACAATCCATCGTCCCACTTGTTCTCTTTTTGGTGACTAATGAAAATGAAACAAATCGAGTAAATACGACAACCAAATAGGACACATTTTGATGTTATTTGTTTGTTTTGTTTTGTTTTGTTTATTTACCTGTCTCGACATGTATCGTAGTTTGCTGTTCAATTGGTGCTTCCCATGATGATTCAGTTTCCTCTTTAACGCCAGCACTAGCACCAGTAGCAGCACCAGCAGCAGCACCAGCAGCAGCACTAGCAGCAGGAACAACAAGTGGAGTATCAGTTGAAGCACAATTATGGTTTGAATTTTTGCGATGTTCCCATCGTTTCAGATTGCTTTCCATGTGATTAACAGCAAAAGACATTTCTAAAATAAAAATAAAAATAAAAATAAAAATTATTAATATTAAATTATTAATATTAAATTATTTGATAGCCATTTAATTTCTTTTATATATGCGTATCATTTAGTGATTCAAAAATTATTCTTATTCTTATTCTTATTATTTACCTGGAAGCACTTTTTGGACACTCTTGAACAAATCAAGCGCAACAAAACAAATGAATCCGATTTGTGAATCTTCAAGAATAACTTTTGTGCGATCATTCATCGGAAGCACCGGCATCCCAAGCTCACGTTCGAGATCGCCCTGTAAGACAAACTCTTCTACAAGAAGTTCAGCCCACTTTTCAGCCCGCATAAACGGACGAGTCTATAGTATAGCAAGATAAATTTGTTAGTTAGTTAAATTGCAGAAAGAAAGAAAGAAAGATTACTCACGACATTGCTAATGTCAGCACATTTGATCAGTCCACTACAGAGCAAGAGACGTTCGTTCTGGAGGGCGACTGAATCGAGAGAATTGAGATCTATAGTCTTCATTCGATCGGCCTGCTCCTTGATCTTTGTCACATAATCACTGTGCAGAGACATATCGGTTGCCAAAATACTTGTGATCACAGTCTTGCGGAACTCTGCCGAGGTGCGCATATATGAAAGTAAATAAATGAAAAATTTAACTTGCTGTTTCTGCAATGAAATTTTTTTTGCTGTGCAGTACAGTACAGTACAGTGCAGTGCAGTACAGTGCGAATAATATCTATATTTATATATATATATATATATGTGTGTATGAATGAATGAATAAATAGCTTACCTTGATAAGAAGATGACCCACAGCCACCGGCAAATTGATCAAAGCCATGTTTCTTGATGAGTTGGAAAAGAGTCATTGAGTGAAGACTTTCAAGGATAGAATGATCATTGTAAAGTAAAGCAAGAGGGGTAGCAGAATTGATCTGATAAGATGATAAAGTAAAATTATATATAAAGAGAGAGAGAGAGAATAGAGAATAGAGAATAGAGAAAATGTAATGTTAGTCAATTGATTACAGCTAAGATTATAATCATAATTGGAATTACACACAATTACAATCACACACAATTACAATTACAATTACGAGTTTTTTTATGTATATGTATTTACCAGGAACATGTTGTTCACACCAGGATGGGCAGCATCGTGTCCAATGGCAGCCAGCAACAAGCCAAATACATCCAATGGACGCAAGATGTCCTGAGGAAGTTGGTAGGAAGACCGCCCTGTGTCTACAGTGTTGTAGGGCAAAAGACCAAGCTGGCAAAGGAAATGGAAAAGGCATTGGAGGACGTCTACGGCGTGTGCAAAGTTGTGATAAGGATTTTCGTCGTGATAGGCGCTTGAAAGGTCGATGATAAAGTCGTACAATTGACCTAGATGTAAATAAATAAGCATTGTTACTCCAAAAAAAAATCATATAATTTTTATTTTCTTATTATTTTTTCTTTACCTTGACCGATACCCAGATAAGAAAGTTCTGGTGAGACCAAGATTTGTTCAAATATAAGATAGACACAGTGAATAAGATCAGTCGAGTCGTAATCGAAAGGACAATAGTCCCAGCTAAAGATCGCCTTTTTCAGTGTATCTTTGTGTTGACTAGTAATTAAAGGCAAAAAGGACAATAAGTTTAGATAGACAGACAAAAGGTTATTATATTTATATATATTTTTTAAATAAGGACTTTACCTTGTAATGGTCATGTATTTTGCATGCTGTGGCAGTGGAACATAAATGTCCATAATAGCCTTTGTAAGTCTATGAATAAAATGGAATATTTGATTTGATTTGATTAAATTTTAAAAAAAATAAATCATTCAAGCTTTGGATAGCTTATTTATTTTCTAGTGTTCTGGTGCTTTGTACGTACTGCATATCTCTGTTGAAGATTTCTTTGAAACGGTTGTTGAGGCTATTGGGAGGGTATGATGTTGTGGTGATGGGTGGGCTGTTTGATAGAAAGTGGTCGGGACATGAGACTGGTGATGAAGGAAATGATGATCCCTGGACGCTACTATCATGCATTTTGGAATCTGCGCGACATCTGTGCAATTTCTAAAGAAGGTTGTGTGTCAGCACATTGTTGTTGTTGTTGTGTAATGTATTTGAGGACGTACGAGAAAGAGGGTCTTGATTGTATAAAGTGGGAGTGGTTTGAGAAGATAATCAGATGCACCGGCGTGGATACAATCGAGCATAAATGAAGGTGAATCGTTTGTAGAACAGACTATGGGTTTAAAGTGAATGCGATCAAATGGAATCAAATGGAATTAAATAGATTAAATAGAACAAATCAAAAGACATACAGAGAGGACAAAGAGGTTATTATTACTATTACTATTACTGTTACTATTATTTTGGTAAACTTACCCACAATCGGCACTGTACTCATTTCGCGGCTAATCTTTTTTACCCAGGCCATGCGTGGGTCAGCCATCGTTCCAGAAGAATTTGTTGAATTTGTTGAACAAGAGGATGAGCATGATAGGGTGTAAAGGGAGTCGGTGTCATCATAGTCGTATTCTTCTTCGGGGCATTCTGTACCGAGAAGGGCGTCAAGATCGATCAGTAGTAGTGTGGGTGAGACTTGGTTGCATTCCCTGGCTCTTTCGAGGGCCTCGGCTGGATTGGACTGCAAAATGACTATACGCACACAATATTTATTTTGTTTAAGCATTTAGTGTAGTTACACGATTGAATTTATATTATAAATTATTATAAATTATTATAAATTATTATATGTTTGGTGGTGCTTGGGTGCTTGGGTGCTTGGGTGCTTGGGTGCGTATTTAATATATATTTTTATTTACCTTGACCGAAAACAGCCTGGAGAGATACCATATAGGTCGGCCATTGATTGTTCTCTGTGGATTCACTATTGGTACTCCCATCAATTGCATAGGGTTGAGCCGGAGACTGATAAAGGACGATGACCGAGCAATCTGTAGGATTCATCGGCACAAGCAAAGGGAGATTTCTTTTTTTTTTGGATTTTTTTATAAAGAAGTAATAATTTTGTACAAAACGATATTGACTTTCGCTGTTGCTGTTGCTGTTGCTGTTGCTGTTGCTGTAGTTGTTGCTGGAATGTATAAGATGTACAGATATCCTTTTGTGTGTTTTGTGTATGGAAATATAAAATTATATATTTATTCAACTTTCTTCTTCAGGACTGTATCTATATTTATATTTAATATAGATAGAGAGGTAGGTGTGTAGGTGTGTAGGTGGGTGGTTTGGTGCTTCTGGTGATGATGATTATGGGCTTTTATGCTTCTTTTCCTTTCTTATTTGATGTGATCGTGTAGCTTGTTCTGTTGCAAGGGCAGCTTTATTGTGGCCGTTTGATGAGAATATGAATATAGATATCTCAAATGAAAATGAAAATAAAGAAAATCTATAGTGGAAATAAGGATCGCGTTGAAAATAGAAGGAAAGAAAAGAAAAGAAAAGAAAGAGAGAAGGAAGAAGATGCCGCTAATTTTTTTTTTCTGTTTCTTGGGTTGTTGTATGGCTCTTGTTGCGTCTTTGCACTGCACTCGAATGGAATACGAACAAACTATTGGGTAGGTAGGTTTTACAAGGTGAGTTTAGCAGGGGCTTGTAGCACACAGTCATTTATAAAAATAATAATTATAATAATAATACAATACAATACAATACAGTACAATACAATACAGTACAATACAGTACACTATAAATAATTTTTACAGTTACAAAAAGACTGTGTATTTTATTTTATTTTTTATTTTTTTTTTTTGACTCTCGTGCGGAGAGGACTTTTTGGGGGGAGTAAGCTTGGACCTTTTTTTGTCTTTTTTTTTCGATTACCAAAAATACCACGTGGCGGCTCATCTCATGTAAGAAGAAGAATTGTATATAAAAATGAAAAATGCGTGTGTTTTTGTGTGAGTGCGTGCGTGTGAGTGAGTGCGTGTGAGTGCGTGTGAGTGAGTACGAGTGAAATGAAGTGAAATGAAGTGAAATGAAGTGAGTGAGTGTAATATATATATATATATATATATATATATATTATTATTTATCACATTCAAATTCACACACATACACACACACTATATATATATACTTCTTGTAAAATAAATGAATAAATATACTTGCAAAGAAGAAAGAAAAAAAAAAGACTAGACTTCTTTAACTTTATTGTAAAGTAAAGTATTGGCTCGGCGAAGGCGGAACTTGGTCCCAAAATCGGGGATCGGATCATATCGGTTACGTGATAGTAGTAACAACAATAGTACTAGTAGTAAAAGTAGCAAAAGTAGTAGAAGGAAAATAAAAGAACAAGAAAGAAAATTAGCACCAGGTGATATCTAATCATCGAATAAATCTTTCCGTGTCCTTTTTATTATATTAGATAGGTCCAAAGATCTGACTCTTTCTTTACAAGAAGTACAGTCATTAAATACACCTATATATATAATATATTTTTTGTTAGTAATGATTTGTTTAAAAAAATAATAATATTAATATTAATTTCATTTTCTTACTTCTTTTACTTCTTCCTCTTCTGCTACTACTTTTACTTTTACTACTTTTACTACTTTTACTAGTTTGGATTTATTTATATAAAAAATCGCGTGATAAAACAGTACCAATAGAATTTATACTGTCAAGACGACTGCTACTATGCTTCTTCATTACATCTAAAGAACCCAAACATATATACGTATATATACATGTATACTTTCCAATGTTTTTTTTTCTTTCTTTCTCGCACGCAACATATCAACACATGTCTAGTATCACTCTAGTCGATTCAAATCTTTTACCTCGGATTCTAGCCGTTTTGGTCTGTATGACATAAGAATTTTATATAACTATATATTTTTGTTTTAAGCCTATGCTATTTTGTATCATTGTTTGAACCATTAGGCTAGCGAGATTCAATTCAATATATTATGTATATAAATCCAATACTGGTTACCAAGTAATAAGCGAGAGAAAATAAAGATCGATCGATTGATTGATTGATTGATTGATTGATTGATTGAAAGAGCAGATCATGTTTTGTATATATATGCTTTGGTTTCATTTGTGTACAAAAATATATATAGAGAACTAAAGAGAAAGAGAGAGAGAGGGTGTTTGTGTGTGTTTGTGCGTGCGTGCGTGCGTATGCGTGTGCGTGTGCGTGTGAAAGGGAAAGGAGAATAGAAGAAGAAAAAAATACGATACGATACGGATACGATACGAGAGAGAGAGAGAGAAAGAAAGACAAGAAGTAATAATAAAATAAAATAAAATATGATAAAATATGATAAAGAATAAAATAAAGACTACCATCTTGGACCACTCGCATGGTGATGACTGCCGGCAGCTTGTGTGTAGCTCTCACTCATCACACCATCGTTGGCAGGATTATAGGTGAACCCTGCAAACTGCTCCTGCATTGTCTTGGAAATCTGAGACTCATCTACCACAGACTCCTGTGGTGCCTCTGAAGTAAACTCTTCGTCAAAGTTTGAAGTATCGTTTGATCCATCAACCGAAGGCTTAAAGGGAGGCTGCACCTTTTTCTGCATCAACTTTTGCCAGTCAATTCGAGCAAAGAAGGGGTGATTCTTGATATCTTCAGGTCCATTGTTACCAAGACGTTCATTAGGATCCCGAGTAAGAAGCTATTCAAAATAACAAATAAGATAACAAAAACAACAACAATAAAAAAAAAACTTACACCTCGCAACAATCCCTTGGAGTCTTCAGACATCTCATCCGGGAATCGAAGCTCATCTTGAAGAATCTTGCGATACATCTCATTTGTGTTCTCATCATAGAATGGCGGCAGACCTGTCATCATCTCGTACAAAAGCACACCCAGGGTCCACCAGTCAACGGTCTTTGTGTAGCCCTGTCCCAACAATAGCTCTGGTGCAAGGTATTCGGGTGTTCCGCAAAACGTGTTGGTCCGGTCATTCTCCTTCATGTTCAACTTACACAAGCCAAAATCACACAAGGCAATATGACCGTTGTAATCAATCAGGATATTCTCGGGCTTCAGATCACTTGAAACGTTAAATATTATTATTATTGTTTTGGTCTTGTTAGCACAAAGAAAATATAAAACTCAAACAAATCCTCACTCACTCACTCACTCACTCTCACTCTCACCCATATTATATATATATATATTGGCTTACCGATAAATCACATTATAGTCGTGCAAACATTCGAGTGCACATAGCAACTCTGCAGTGTAGAATCGAGAACGTTCTTCATCAAATTTGCCTTCTACCTGAAGGTGGTGGAATAACTCTCCGCCATTGATAAATGCCAGCACAAGATAAAGTTTATCAGGGCTCTGGAAAGCAAACTTTAAAGGCACAATAAACGGATTTCTGATCTTGGCAAGCACGGTCTTTTCTGCCATTGTGTGGGTCACTTCAGATCTAGAGATAATTCTGGATTTACGCAAAACCTTCATGGCATAGATACGGTTTGTGTCCTTTTTTCTCACCACATAAACCTATAATGCATACACAGATAATAGCAATAATAAACACACAAAGGTTACTCTTCTTTTCTCTATCTTTCTCTTTGGTCCCAAAGAAAGGAAAAGAAAGGAAAAGGAGATTTATATAATCAAGCAATTGTTTCTTACCTTTCCAAAACTTCCTCTTCCAATCACACGCAAAAGATCAAAGGCATCAAATGCAATCGGTTGATTTTGCTAGTAGTAAAAAAAAAAACATTAAATAAAAACAAGCTCAAGACAAAGGAGCGGTCATTTCTATGTTGATAGTATTTATAAGCATAATTACCTGTTGAGGAGTGTAGCATAGTTGAACATGCATTGCACCAGTACCACCGACAATAGTCAAAACCTGATCATCAAACTTTGTAGAATTGAAGTTTGGTGTCATCTTGACCGCACCGAGGAAATAGTCGTTTGTCGGGTGAGTAGAGACTCCTTGAGCAGTGGGAGGGTGTCTCAAATAAATTGAAATCGAAACTTCTGAGCTACGAGATACATCACTAAACAATACAATATAAAATTTAGTTTAGTTTCTTTTTTTTTAAAAAAAAAAACTTTTAAGAGTTGTTTGTTGTATTTACAAATGAGCACGGTACTGGTAAACTGGATGAGCGGTATCTCCTCCAAGAGCATCGATCAATACTTCGTTCTTATCAAACTCAAGTACAACATAAGGCAACCACCAGTTCTGTCTGCGGGACAATGAATCACGGTTACGAGAGGTCTGGGGTTGATGAGGGATTGGAGGCAATTGGACACCAGATGGAAGAGAGATGCCTTGGGCCTCGCACACACGAATCAGCAAAACACCTGACTTTGGCTCAGCTGGCTGTGATGACACAGAAGAAGCAGCTGGAGCATGAGATGGTGGAGGTCGAACAGGTGGCTGTGGAGTAGCCGATTCTTTGTTTTCTATAGTAAAAACAAGGCAAGATTAATGTAATTAGTTTTTTTATGTGTGTATATCTTTAGTTATTTATTAGGTCATTGAAGATTATAGTCAATATAGAATCATATAAACATTTGTATATATATATATATATAAATTTTTACATCTTCTTTACAATTTGGTCATTTAACCTCCCACACACACGCACACACATATATATATGGCATCATTGTTTTTAAAAGGTAGATATAAATGAATATAAGGAGAGAATGCTGTGCTTTTCTTTACAATATTTGGCAAACACAAAAGTAACAGCAACAGCAACAGCGACAATAATAATGGTAATGATAATGATGAATAAAATATGGTCGTATGAAATACAGTGTCGGTTTTTTTGTTGTTGTTGTTGGTGTTCAAGTTGTTGTTGTTTGGAAGCTTATACTATTTCTATGGGTAGGTGGGTGGTTTGTGCTTACTTTTAACGCCTGGCAATTTCCAAGAGTTCATGGTTTGCCAGAAGAGATGAGAAAGTTGAAGAAAAAGGAGTTGTAGCCCAGAGTCCACTTTCAGGCCGAAAACATTATATTTCCAAACTTGTCTTTTGACGGAAAAAGGGGCGGGATTTGAAAAAGAAATGTGAAATATATATAAAAAAGAACTTGACTTTTTTTTTTTTTTTTAATTTATTCATTTGATTTGAGAGGTTCAATATTGAATTAAAAAAAAATTTATACACATTCTCCCTTTTAACTATCCTTTTTTTTATTTTTATAATATTTTTTTATACAATATGTTATGTTAAAGAAGAGGTATTTACCCGTATTATCACCCTTTCTAGCTCCCTCTCTCTCTCTCTCTCTCTCTCTCTCTCTCTTTTTTTTTGCTCTCTAAATACACTTCTTTTCTCCCTTTCTTCCATATCTTCTCCCCTTTTTTATTTTTATTTATGCTTAATGAGTGCCAATGTTAAAGAGGTAGAATAATTACAACATACATACGCATGTATTATGTTATATATATATTCATGACAGCAACCAAGTGTTGGCTCTTTGTTTTCTTAAATATACCAATTCACATCTATATACCTATCTACAGCCTTTAATTATTCTATAGGTCTTGGAAGCGATCAACTATTGGTCCAAAAGAATAAATAATATATATCTTTCAGTCCGTTTATTTTATAGAGAGAAAATAATTGTTATTCATTTCAAAAATTGCTATCCCAATGATTACTGGATAATCGACATTATTGTCGAATCCTATACAAACACGTGATATTTATTCTTAAAGAGCCTTTTAATGATGCAAACCAAACCAAACCAAAGAAAAACAATGCTCAGACTAATAACTGATCCGGTACCCGGGTGAAAGGTTTATATACAGCTACTATTGTTAGTTATTGTTATTAGCATTAAGCATTAAGCATTAAGCATCAAGTTATGCTTTTGTCTTGTCAATATTAAGCTGCATTAAAACACACACATATAAAGGTATTTTATTTTATATATGTGTGTATATGCTTTATTATTGAAATTCATATTTCTCCTTTCATAATAAGCAAGAATTTGCTTTTGTCGCAGGATTATTTTATTATTTTTTGGTACTTGGTAGTAGGAGTAAATTGTACCACACTTGTTCTCTTGATATAAGGGCAGGGCATAACCCAACTCCTTTGACAGCAATAGCAATCATATCAATGGTAGTTGTTTTATTACCAACAACAACAACAGCAAAAAAGAAAGACACGCACGACCAGTTGATCAATAAACATTTACTCCTTTATTTATTGTATATTTAATAAAGGCTGTCCTCATTGACTATTCAAAACTAACTTTCTTTACCCCAGAATGATTTGCTCTTGTCAACCTGCCAAATCGGCCCCAAGTGTCCTAACGAATTCATTACTTTCCTGCCAACTCTACTATTGTCATCTACTCTGTCCAGATACCAATATCCCCTTCCTTTTTTTTTGTTTTGTTTTATTTTTATTTTATTGTTCGATAGTAACAAGAAGCTGGGTAGAGCTATTTCATTCAAAACATTTCCATAAATTGTGTATATATTAACGCGTTAGATTCTATAAGAATCCGAAAGATTTTAAAGAAAATAATAATAATAATAATCCGAGATATAACATCGAGATATTTATCCCTTTTCTCTTGCAAGGATTGAAGAAAATAATGATACGGGATTTAAACATATCGATGCATTTTTCTTGGCTTTTTTTGTTGAACTCGTAAAAAAATTGGATAATTTGTAAATCTTCAATAAATGTATTATGTAAGTGTATTTTTCAAGAAGAGAGTCTCTTCAGAGCATCAATCCATTCTACTGCCAAGAATGAGGTCGAACCAACAGGAGGTGTGTAAGATAGCCACCTAGACCAAGCTACAAATAAGAAATATATATATATAAATATTGTGTAGATTATTTGCCACTTGCAAGGCACGTACACACAATAAAAAAAAAAGGGAACTTACCCCAGAATGAAAACTTCTTTCCCAGCCATTTTCCTACAAAGGGGAATACGACAAGGGAGAACAAAGCATTGATTTGTTCCTTGCTTTCTTCCCATTCAGCCTCTGCATCGTCAGAATAATAACCATCCTCTGAGGCTTCATATCGTCTTTCGTAGCCATAATCACCATCCTCACTACGGTCAATGTCATCAATGTCTGGAACTCTGTCCAATTCACTGTATCGATTCTCATTCATCATCACCTACAATTCAAACAAACAAACAAACAACCAACCAAACAAAACAAAACAAACAAAGGAAGGAAGTATAAAGAAGAAAGAACGCGTTAAGAAGAAACCATTTACTGCCTTTATTATCATTATTTGCTTTACTGCGAATATTACTTTTTTCTTGTTCTTATATAAAAAAAGAAGAAAGTATCAATTTGTTTCCTCATACTTTTATTTTTTCTTTTTTTGGTCGAAAATCTACGGTTCCCTTTGTCGGTCAAAGAAAACTATTGAGCGGACACCAGATAGAATAGAGCGTAATGAATGATATGAATTAAAGGAAGAAAGAAAGGGTAGACATACAGAGGGTGATAAGAGTACTTTGGACAGTCACATTTTGGAATTGTAAACTCTGTAAAGCTTCGTTTCTCGTTTTTTTTTTCTATCTTTCTTTCTATCAAAGTACACCACAGAACTATCATAATGCAAATACATGGGTTATTTTCTTTAAAAAAGATAAAAAAAAAAGCAGAATAAAGCATATGTAGCTAATAAATTTTCTTTACTACATTGTATATATATATAAGTTAAAGGCACAAATTAACCTTAAAAAACCATGTTTGACTGTTTCAAATCTCAAAGACTTTGATAAAGAAAACCCCAGACTATCTTTTATTTAAAATATATCTTTATTATTGCTCTAATACATGTGATACTATTATCTCTGTAGTCTACATTAGTATAGTCTTTATAAGTGAATTGGATACAAAGAAGAAGAAAGAAACAGACTTATATACACTATGGGAAAAAAAGAGGTGCCTCTGGAGGTTCCCTGGGGGGAGGCTGCCCAGGAAGCCGTCCAGGGGGAGCTTTTGATTTCCCTCCTTTTTCACCTCCTGCCTTTTATGAATTATTATATATCTCCGCTATCTAATTGATGTAAGCCTTTATTCATTTACCAGTATACTTTCTTGTAACTTACACTGTAGGAAATGGCAGCATCTAAAGCTGCGGATGCGCAACTCGGCTGCCCATGAGCAACTTTTATAGTAAATAAAAGGCCAGCTTTTACTCCATTAGCTTTACATTTTGGCAAATACGATTTATGGGATTTTAGATTAGAGTAGGTGCTGTGTTATAACAAAATACCCATATATTTATTTGTCGAATTTTGGTCGCTTGGTTTAAAGTTTTTGTATTTCAGCAGATTTGCTTTCTATTTTGAAATTGCCACAGAATTCTTTAAAATGCTACAGAATTCTATTAATTGCTACAAAATCTATGGTAATTTTATTTGATTTTGCCACAGAACAACACCCACTCTATTTATGACAAAAATACAATATTCCAAAAAAAAAAAAACATTTAAGTAACAGAAAAACCAAAAACAGGTTGTGACGCTTCTTAAGCCTTTTGAACAAGAGTTCTATCAATAAACCGTAGTGCTTTAGTATTTTACTTGGATTTTTTAACTCCATAAGCTTCTTTTTAAAACAAGAGACCCTGAGTGCTAAAATAAAAGAGTAAAAGACCTTGGTGGAAGTCCACAAAAGGAAGTACCAGTCACATCAATCTGACAAATCCATAAGACAGTTTCAATCTATCGTGATGCCTGATCTCTCATGGCATCTGCAACTGAACAAATATCAACGGAGAATGCTCCAGAGCACTGTCCTGTAAATATACCTAACCGATTATCTCGCAAATAAAGAAGACCTTGTATAACCAGAATTGACCTTTATCTTCTTTTGTCTTGTCTTAGGGTCCAGAGAGTCAGGCAGCTGGACAAGCCGACGCTTGTGCTGGGTGTCCTAACCAGAATATCTGCGCTACTGCTCCAAAGGGTCCTGACCCAGGTACATACAACAACAACAACAAATAAGACGGATACAGACAGAAATCTATGACTGCAGTATTCACATTTCACTGATATCAACTTATAGACATTGCTTTCATTACGCAGCGCATGGCATCCGTAAAACACAAGATCTTGGTTCTGTCAGGAAAAGGAGGTGTTGGAAAGTCAAGCTTTACTTCTCAACTAGCCTTTGCCTTGTCGCACGATGAGGAGGTCCAGGTCGGTGTGATGGATATCGATATATGCGGTCCTTCGATCCCTACAATCATGGGCCTCGAAAATGAACAGATCCACCAGAGCAACAGTGGCTGGCAACCTGTATTCGTCCAAGAGAATCTGGCTGTCATGAGCATCGGATTCATGCTTCCGGACAAAGATGATGCTGTAATCTGGCGTGGGCCAAAGAAGAATGGTCTGATCAAGCAGTTCTTGAGAGATGTGGACTGGGGAGAGCTTGACTACTTGCTGGTCGACACTCCTCCAGGTACCTCGGATGAACATCTTTCTGTGACCACATTCCTTAAGGAAAGCGGCATTGACGGTGCAGTAATCATCACTACTCCACAAGAGGTTGCTCTTCAGGACGTTCGCAAGGAAATCGATTTTTGCCGCAAGGCCAAGATTCCAATCCTGGGCATGGTAGAAAACATGGCCGGTTTTGTCTGTCCTTCATGTCATGGCGAATCCATCATCTTCCCTCCCAGCACCGGTGGAGCAGCGGCTCTTGCCAAAGAACTCAACATTGACCTCTTGGGATCTATTCCACTCGATCCTCGGGTAGCCAAGAGCTGTGATATGGGTGTTTCATTTATGGACGAGCATCCTGACTCCCCTGCATGTACTGCCTATGAAGCAATTATTGAGAGTAAGTCATTTTTGCTCGATAGTCTTTCTTGGGATGGTATATTAATCAATTTAATTTATTAATTTAATTTATACAGAGCTTTTGGAAAAAGTCGGATAAAGCAGTCTAATATACTACCTTGGCTTTTACTACCTTTTATATACATATATCATCCATCAACAAAAAAAATCAATAAACATATAAAAATATATTCCTGTATATAAATATAATTATCTGTATATTCGTGTGTGTTTTAACGTATGCATGCATAGTGTATCTTGTATTTTTCAAGTATTTTTTTCCCATTATATACACCGAGTTTATTCGACATTTGACAGTAAAATGACGTAAGTGAGTGTAAGTTCTGGCAAACACAAGCATATAAAAAGAGGACGCATCTTGTTATCTGCACCTTTTCCTTTTATTTTTTCCTTTAAAACAACTACATAATATGGCCTTAGCTCCTCAATTCGCGGGTAACTTTTTTTCTCTTCAAGTCATTACATAAGCATCCTCTTCTGCCCATTTACTCATTATACATTGTCATTGCTTTGTTAGGTCATCGCCTTGGTTCTGCTTTGGCTCCTAATACCATTGAAATCTATCTTGACTACGTCGTATGTTATTTTGTTTAACCTTGCTCTTTTGTTTTGTTTTATTTTATTTATTTTTGCTTGATTATTGACGCGTTTTATAATATTGATTGTAGTGTCCATTTTCGGCCAAAATTTACAAGAAGCTTAGAGAGGTGAGAAATATTGATAAGAAGAAGAAAAAAAAAAGAACCCAATAGTGCTATTGGTCGTGGAACTTATCTTGAAAGCACTCTAGCAATTCTGGCAATTGACAGAAGAAAAATACCCTGACAAGTTCCAAGTTATCTTCCGTCAGCAAGTTCAGCCTTGGCATGCATCTTCTACACTTGTGCACGAAGCTGCTCTCGCAGTAGAGAGAATCAATTCTCAAAAATTCTTTCCATTTTCCGATGCCCTGTTTGCTCACCAGGCTGAGTAAGTTGAAATTGTCCCTTCTTTCTTTATCAACTGGTTGATTGATTGATTGACTGACTGACTGACTTATTCATGCTTCTTTCTTTCAACTGTATAGATACTTTGATGAGGCTGTCGAAGAAAAGACTCGTCGTCAGTTGATTGATCAATTGAGCACCCTGGCTTCAAGTGTCGGCGTTTCTGGCGAGGAAGTCAAAGGACTTTTATCAAATGGAACAGGCGAGCCAAAGAATGCAGGCAATAAGCTGTCCAATGATCTCAAGCTGGCCATCCGCCTAGGTCGCCAAAATGGTATCCACGTCAGCCCAACTGTTTTGTTTAATGGAATCCGCGATGACAGTGTATCTTCAAGCTGGGAAATTAAGCAGTGGGATGATTATTTGAAATCAAAGCTTTAAAATTAAAAAAGTGAACATAAATAAAATCAATCAATTAACCAAATAAAAAAATAAAAAAAAATAAACCAAGCTTCAAAGCTTTCTTATTACTATTAATATTATTTTAAATGTTTTTTTATAAAGGAAAAAGAAATGGGGGATTAAATGTATTCAATAAAAAAAACCAATTTGAGGTCAAGATTACATTTCTTCATTAATGTATTTGTGTAATAAATAATCTTAACCAAACATCTTGGAGAAGGCAGCCTTCTCCTTCTGCTTTCTCTGGACAAGTCTCTGTTTGGCATTAGCAAGTTCTCTCTTGATAGCAGCATCGTTAGGATCTTTTTTGGCTGCCTCTTCAAGATCGCCAATGGCACCCTGCTCGTCCTTCAGGGCAATCTTGGCAGTTGCACGACGGAACAGAGCCTTGGTAATATCACTGGCCTTGAGGTATTTTTGCTCATATTCAAGGACATGAGTGGCAGCATCAACAGCCTCACGGTTCTCGTTCAACTTGATTGCACACATGGCTTTGTTGAGATAACAAGGAACCTTGATTGCGGCATACTTGACACGCACCTCTTCGGGATCCTCTTCATCGAAAACGGGCTTCTCGTTAAGATAACGAATAGCCTATAATGATAGTAATATACATATATATTAAAAATTATTTATAAAGAACAAAAAAAAGGGGGCATACCTTTTGATACTTCTTCATAGCAAGATTGTATTCACTCTTCTTAAAGTAATCGTTACCAATGTTCTTGAGAACACCAGCAATCTCAATCAAATCAATAGGTTCCTTGGGACCTTCATAATCATCTATTATATATAAGTAATATCAATATTTGTAATATTAAGAGAAACCTATACGTTTACGGATGCACATGTGTATATATGTTTATTACCTGGAAACTCTTCATACTTGTCACCGTCAGCAGGAGTAGGAATACCATCATCAGCACCCTCGGGGATCTCACCACAGTCCTCGATAACTACATCCTCCAAGGGCTTATCGTTCTTGGATTTCAAGTTCTCCATCTCGCGTACGATGCCCTTTCCCTTCAAGACCTTTCCGAAAACAACATGCTTTCCATCCAGATGAGGAGTAGGAACAGTAGTGATGAAGAATTGGGATCCGTTGGTTGCAGGGCCAGCATTGGCCATGGACAACAAGAAGGGCTTATCGTGCTTCAAGTCAAAGTTTTCATCTACATGTCATGGTAAGCCCAACAAAATCCTTTTACATATTTTTTTTGGAAATAAAGTCAATCGATTGTCTTACCTTCGAACTTTTCACCATAGATGGACTCTCCGCCAGTACCATTGCCAGCTGTGAAGTCACCACCTTGACACATGAAATTCTAATGAAAAATATCAATTGAAACAAAAACAAAATTGTTAGATAAACATTAAGATGACAACCTTTCAAGATGATGGCATGTAAAATAAAAATAAAAGCATATCAGCCTTACCTTGATGATACGGTGGAAACCGGATCCCTTGAAGTGGAGAGGAACACCAGACTTTCCTTTACCCTTTTCACCTATCGTACGCGTCAGTTGATACAATCCATCAAAACAACAAGAAAGAAGTAAATTTATATGTTTATGTTGTTTAAATTTAATACACAGGTAATATAGATATATAAATGCCTGTAGCATATCCGGATTTTATATGCTTACGTACCAGTGCAAAGGGCACGGAAGTTTTCGGCAGTCTTGGGAGTTACATCCTTGAACTGTAGGAGAATGAGTACTTTTTTAAATTATTTTTACATGACAAATATTAGAGATTACGCCATTAGACTTGCCAACTCAAACACGATTCGGCCTTCCTTCTTGCCGCCAATGGAGATGTCGAAGAATCTATTACAAACTTTCAATACAATCCCACAGACACTGGTATCACATTCTCTCTTACACGCGTGGGTTGGGCATAGCGGCAAAGGGAGAATGCAAGTTAAAGAGCAAAGAACAAAGAACAAATAATAATAAAAAAAAAGGCAGGCGATTTTTTGTTGGTAAAAAATAAATAATTAAAATAATAATAAATTTGGGCGGGATTGTTAAAGCTTATGGGAAGTAGGATAAAAATTGGCCTTTCTATGGATCAAAAATTGTTCTGGAAATATCCACACTGGTTCTTATTTTTTTGTTTTTTGTTTTTTGTTTTTTTGTTGTTTTAGGTCTCTCACTCCAAAATAGGTAAATAAAGGTATAATCTTTTAGTTGATAGATAACTCTATGGTTCATGCTCTTTAATATACATCTTCTCGATTTTGTTTGTAAGAAATCCTTGTCATCATCGTCGTATATATATTTTTTTCTATGTTACTATTTACATTTATTTATCTTTATATCTCAAAGAATAAATATTAATCTCTTCTTTATAATCATCATCTTTTTTTTGGTATTTTTTTTTTTACCAACCCTCGGTGTTGCGGACCTCAACCTCCTTTCCACCCAACTCAGCCTTGGTGACAACACGACCGAGCTCAACAACCTTCTCGTTGGATTCTTCCAACAGGCGGGTGATCTCAGGCACAGAGGCACGGTCGGCGACAATTACCATACCAATACCGCAGTTGAAAGTACGCGACATCTCATAAGGTGAGAGGTTACCGGCCTGCTTGAGCCACTTGAAGATAGGAGGAAGTTCGTAGGAAGCAGCATCGACTACTACAGCAAGATCCTCGGGCATGACACGGGGAATATTGTCAAGGAAGCCGCCGCCAGTGATATGTGCCATAGCCTTGACGAGCTCGTTGCGTACAACTGGTAATAATTGCTTAACGTAGATACGAGTGGGAGTCAAGAGAGCCTCACCGAGAGTCTTGGCCTTGTCCCAGGGACAGGTGGAGTGGTAGGTCAAACCAGGCTGGGAATCAACAATCTTACGTACAAGAGAGAAACCGTTGGAGTGAACACCAGATGAAGCCAGGCCGAGAACAACATCACCGGCACGGATGGTATCCATACGAGGAAGGATCTTACTGCGCTCAACAGCACCAACAGTAAAACCTGCGCCATCATAATCGCCTACAGCGTAAAGACCGGGCATTTCAGCAGTCTCACCGCCGACCAATGCAGCGCCAGATTGAAGACATCCCTCGACAACACCAGCAACAAAGTCAGTAGCAACATCCACCTCGAGTTTTCCGCACGCGAAGTAATCCAAGAAGAAGAAGGGCTCGGCACCCTGGACAATCAGATCGTTGACGTTCATGGCCACAAGATCAATACCGACGGTGTTGTGAATGTTGCAAATCTGGGCAACCTTGAGCTTGGTTCCGATACCGTCAGTAGCAGAAACGAGGATGGGATCGTGGAAACCAGCAGCCTTGAGGTCAAAGAGGCCGCCGAAGCCGCCGATATCCGAATCAGCGCCAACACGCTTGGTAGACTTGACTAAAGGTTTGATCTTCTGGACCAAGAGGTTACCAGCATCAATGTCTACACCAGCAGCAGCGTAAGACAGACCGACTTCCTTGGCCAACTTATCGGCGTAACCAAAGGCGCGGTGTGCGATGTCCTTGCGATAGTGCATCTTGTCAAACTTGATCGAGTTGACACCTGCATAGGCGAGATCTACAGCCTCGCTAAGGCTAGAGGATACAGCAGACACAGCAAGAACGCGACCACCGGCAGTGAAGAGCTTATTGTTCTTGGATTCGGTGCCAGCATGGAAAACGGTGACATCTAGTGTATATAAAAAGGACAAACATTCAATAATTGTTATTTCGTGACTTTATATATATATGGTTGATAGCAAATTGCTTCTATCAATGAAAGAGACTTACCCTTGGGGAGGGTGCCAATGTTGATCTCTTGACCCTTGGGATAGCTACCAGGATAACCACCAGCAGCAATAATAACAGTGGCAGCAAATGCATGCTTGATAGTAATGGAAACTGCATCAAGACGACCCTCAACACAAGCCTATTACAAAAAAAATTATTATATTATCTTAACAAAGATATATGATAAGCGTAGATATTTACCATCATAACTTCAGCGAGATCGGTATCATCACTCAACAAAGGCAAGACGACCTCAGTCTCAGGGTCACCAAAACGGACATTGTACTCAAGGACCTTGGGGCCAGAGGCAGTCAACATAATACCAGTGAAAAGCATACCGACAAATGGGAAGCCTATACAATGCAATTTAACATATGAGAAAATATTTTTTATAATCTAGTATATAAGTGTGTGTGTATGTGATAATTACCATCTCTGCGCATGCCATCAACGGTGGGCTGGAGAATGGTACGCTTGATTTGATCAATAAGGGACTTGGTACCAATAGGAGTGGGAGCATAACAGCCCATACCACCAGTGTTGGGACCCTTGTCACCATCAAGGGCACGCTTGTGATCCTGGGCAGGAGGAAGAGCAATAACAGTGTAGCCGTCAGAGAAGGCCAACACCGAAAGTTCTTCACCCTCCAGACACTCTTCTACCACAACCTCGTTACCAGCAGCACCAAACTCCTTGTCAACCATAATTGACTTGAGGCCGGCAAGAGCTTCTTCCTTGTTTGCAGGGATAAGGACACCCTTACCACCAGCCAAACCAGAAGCCTTGAGAACAACGTTGTGCTTAACAGACTTTACATAGGCAGCAGCCTTTTCAAAGTCAGTGAAATTCTAGACAAAGTAAAAAAATAAATATTGTTGGATGAGTTAAAAATATATTTATAAAAAAAAAAAGGTGCGCTGAATAAGGAGCGGGTTTCCTTTTTTGCAGACTTACTTCATATGCAGCTGTGGGAATGTTGTGCTTCTTCATAAAGTCCTTGGAGAAGGTCTTGGAGCCTTCCATTAAGGCAGCCTTGGCTGAAGGACCGAAACAAGGAATGCCAACTAAACATTTTGTAGAATAATGATTGAGTTTTTTATTTACTTTTAAGGTTTTTCTTCTTCTTCTTCTTTCTCTGTATTATATGACTTTTTGGACTTTTTGGACTCACCCTTCTTGAATGCGGTATGAATACCTTCTACCAAAGGCTGTTCGGGACCAGGAATAACAAGATCAACCTACAATAGAAAATAAGATTCCCAGTTATGTGTTAATGAGTCTGTCTTGATATAGGTTTTAATTGCTTGATCGATAGTTACCTTGTTCTTAACAGCGAATTCGGTTAACTTTGCAAAGTCGCAGACACCAATAGCAACGTTGGTTACTTTACTTCCGAGGGAAGTGCCACCGTTACCTAATATTGAAGTAGGTTTAAGTGAGTGTGTTGGATAAAATACGATGAAAATTGTGTGGGTGGGTGTGTAAGGTATAAGGCGTACCAGGAGCAACATAGATGTGAGAGACCTTCTCGGACTGGGCGAGCTTCCATGCAATAGCGTGTTCACGGCCGCCAGCACCGACGAGGAGCACGGTAAGTTTTTCTGGAATAGTGTGTTAGGATTAGAGATATATAGATATATAAAAGCAATATAATTGCTATAGAGAGAGAGAGCAAAAGTATATGCTTATGTGTATGTGTGTTCTTTACCAGAAGCCATCAAAGGTAGTAAAGGATATTGGTTTGACGAGAAGAAATGCGCAAAAAAGTCGGTTTTTAGCTTAATGGATGCTCTGAGTCACATCACCAAGCCACAGGACTGACTGATCGACTCATTTAGCTTTTTAAGATTTCCTAAAGCTTTTTGGAAATCAATGCACTTTTTTTTTTCTTTCATTCTCTACATCGATATTAAGAGTTGTCCTTTATCTGACCCTAGTGTACTATATGGCTTTGGGGAAACAAAAGGTACTACTTTAAAGAGATAAAAATCTACATATAATTCCACTTGTCTTTTCTTACTCTCTTTTTCCGTTCCCTCACATCAGATCTTACTTGGCGGGGGATACAAACTGCCACTGACATCGAATGTAGGAAATGCAGTCGGAGACCGTATGCGCAAAGTCAAAGGCCACTAACTAATGACTAAAATAGAAATCTATTCATCCTAATCAACCAACAAAAAGCACCAAAGATCAGTCTAAGTTGTGGACTGGGCGGGTTGTACTTTAAGGCATGAATACATAAGGATTTGTGCAATAAATAGATGAATAGCTATAAAGAGAGAGAGAGAGAGATATTGGGCTCTCATCAATTAACAGTTCATTGAGTACCAGAAATAATTGGCAAAACTAACTAGTATCTCTGTATGATTTTTTTTTAGTGATAAGCACACTAAAAAAGAAAGTGTCTTTGGAGTGCCAAATCTTTCAAAGATGTTGACTAACTTTTCGGTATTCCGGCAGTCACTGTTCCATCAAACAAGGAATTCGATCCCTATTTCTGGAATAATCTGAATAATTAGATATTCGAGATAATTTGTTTTGGGTATCACTTTTTATAATTCAATCATTTTCGACACCTTTTTCTTTTCACTCCACTGCTACTATTAGTATTACTACTACTTATACTCACATATATATATATATATATATATATCCAATGCTGTAATAATTAAAGTCATTGTATATAAACTAGTATCAAATAATTACTGCATTTTATGTTCAGGCGCCATAGTCTTATCAATCTGATCCTTGATCCGTGCTTCAAATATATACATGTGTAGACTGACCAGAAAATTAATTCTGGACTTTAGAGTACATAAATACTCTTGACCGACCATCCTCATTTCGTTTTGACTTATCATCTTTAGTTGTTACAAAAAGCTATCCTTTACATTTACCCAATAGATAGGAAAATTTTGACAAAAAAAAACACTAATAAGGATCGGAATACATAAAAATGTTTTGTCTGTCGCTATAATTTTCTTTTGCTGTACAGTAATAATGATAATAATACGAATATCGGAAGATGCGATTAATAAGACATCCGCCAAGATTGACCTGAATTCATCACAAGCTATTTGGTCTCTTTGAAAGAAAAATGTATGGACTATAATTACAAGAGTTTAATAGTATCAGATCATTATTATATCTATGTAATAATAATAAGAGACACACTGCTTAATCTTGTACATCTCTATTCGGTATCGTCCAAGTCAGTATAAGTGTTTATCTGGCTCATTCTCCCAAAGGAGACGAGTAAAACAAAACTTAGAGATTATCTACATAATCAATTTCTGTATTGTTTGCATCAAAATATTTAAAGCATTGCTATTGTAAGATGATAAACAACCAAAAAGAAAAAGAAGGTTTATTCAATATGTTCATACTGCTTTACAGGTACATTCATAAGATTGTACATCGTTTGCATGCTAGATTCTGTGCGTCCACTATCACGCACAATACTAAACACTTTGCCTTGGCCAAATCCCTTTGGAGTAAGACGACCTGTGCGTCCAGCCATGTGAAGATAGGCTGCTACAGAAGACGGTCTTCCAAGAATAAACACATGAGAGACGTCTGGGATGTCCATTCCGCGTGCACTGAATTCGTTTGCAATCCACAGTGTATTTGGAGAAATGGGCTGACCAGGAACATAGTCTCTGATGTCTTTGCTTTCTACATTGTGTACTTCCAACCGACGCTTAATATCAGCAGTGCTGGTAAATGCACCAACAAAAAGTATCCCGTGACGAACGTTCTCGACTTGCTTGAGTATAGCAAGGTTCTCTAGCACACGGTCGTCGGTGTCCTCAAAGTCAACTACAGATCGTTCTACTTCAACAGGTTCGGAATCCTCTTCATAGGGCTTAATGTTTCGAATTGTGTCGTCGGAAAGAAGCAAACAATGGTGATTTACATTGGGGCTATCAGCATCGTCATCCAACTGTGTCCCTTCTGTAATGTCGACAAAGAGGGGATTGTACATCCATTGTCTTTGCTTGAGCCAATGACGGATAGGTCGGTTCAAGGTGGCCGATGACACAACCAATTGCGGTTTCTCTGAATGTCTAGGAAGATTATCAAATATGGATTCGATCAAGATCTGGGCAGGTTTTGGATGCTGTGCGCGCCGCTGTTGATCGCGCAAGGAAGCAAAACGTTTTGGAAGGCGTAATGCTTGATCTGCCTCGTCCAGTATAATTGAGTTTAATTCATCGATGTTTAACCGGCCTTGTTGAATGAGATCGAGTAGATGTCCAGGTGTTCCAACCATTGTTTTTGAGGTTTGGAAGACATTTGACTCCACAGGAGAAGATGTCGGGGCATCTGGGAGAAGACGCTGCAGCCATGAGCCGATCTGAACAGCCAATTCCTGATTGGGTACGATGTAAAGTGACTGTATACTTTTTCTTGGAGGGGTTGGCTTGTCGAATGAGGAGAGTGCAAGTGCGATTCCGAAAGTCTTTCCAGTTCCGGTACGATCTCGAATAAAGAGATCTTGACCTTTAAGGATTGGCGGAATGAACAATGACTGGGCCTTTGTGGGGGATTCAATGTGGAATTCTGAATTTAACCTCGAACATAGTGTATTTGATATACCTAATTGCTATTATTTGTTGTTAAAGTTTAGTATTATTGCTATCATTAAAGAAATACATTAATCAATACATGGACTATGTATCTTTGTAAATATCTAACCTGAAATGTTGGCTTTGTTGTGTAAAGCCTTAAATTGGACGAGATTTTGTGCACAATATTTAGCCTCTGGGTCATCATTTTCAACATCTTAAATATAATTATCTATTATAATTTATTTACTTTTTATATTAAAAATTATTATTAATATTAGTGTTGAAATTAAAGGGGAATTATTTCTCCTGTATTAATATTAATAATAAATAAACAATCAAAAAAAAATCTGCTTCTTTGAATTGTTTTATACATGCATACTTTATATAAAGCGAAAAAAAAGACGACGCACCAATAATAACGATAGCTAATATCACTACTTTATTCCATTCTCAAATATATATATATATATATATATATATATATTTGTATATAGTATTTACAGGCAAAATATATGTGATTTTATTGCAAGATAAATTAGAGACAAAAAGAGATTGAATTAAAGGAAACTAAAAGAAAAACTTGATGAAAATGTAAATATATATATATATAAAATTATAATTGCTATGCTTCAAAGTAAAATAGAAAAGGAAGATGTATAAAGAGCTAAATAGTAGATGGATAAATAAATGTATGTGTAAAACAAAACAAAACAAAAAGAAATTATTGTAATTATTATTATTGTTGTTATTTAAATGGTTCTGCCGGCCAATGCTTTGTGGGCTTCGGCAAGTTGGGCTTCCAAAACCTTGATACGGCTTTCATAGGAAGATTCCTTAATCTGCAGGTTGGATTTCTCAGAATCCAATACAGCCACGCGCAAGAGTAGGCTGGTGTTGATCTTTTCAAGATCAGACACACGGATTTCAAGGGACTCCATCTTCATGACTTTCTTGAGTCGGGATCTACGAGCAGCATCGGTGTTCTTCTGGCGCTTGAGGGCGGCTTCACAAGGAGAGAACTGGCCAAGGTCTTCATCAATCGAGTCTCTGGCACGCTTGGTTTGTGATTTGAACACAGGAGAAGGAGAAGGAGAAACAGCAGAAGTAGCCACAACCACAGGGGTCTGGGGTACACCAGGAGGAGGGTTTGCAGCAGCCAGTGCAGCCAAGGCAGCGGGAAGACCGCCAAGATCTGAGAACAAATGACTAACCTGCTGAGCAGTGCTGGTTGAAATAGACACGGGAGCTGGCGCGGATTGCTGACTTTGTTGGTGATGGACTACAACTGGGTCTACGATAGGGCTAGTTTGGAACGAAAGATCAGGCGAGGCGACATCGAACAAGGGTGAGTTGAGGATGTCTGACATGTCCAGATCAAGACCAAAGCCAGCGTTTTCGAGGCAGATGTTGTCCTTGTTATCAAACGGTGGTGATCTGAGAAAGGCATCGAGAGGAGTAGCAATTTCAGGGCTGGAATGCTCACTTGTGTTTGGAGAGGGGAGTGATGGGTGGACAAGCCACTCGTCAAAGACGGTGTTGTCTGACATTGCCATATCTTGCGGGGTGGCAAAGGATTCAAAGAGTTGTTGGAAGACGGTTTCGTCCATGGTTGGTTTTGATTCGGCGGTGTGTGAGAACGCGGGTGCGGCAGACATGGTTGGTTGTACTGGGTTGTTTATGTTTAGATACTTTTGTTCAAGAGGGGGAACTGAGTTTTGGTTTTCGAGATTTGCACGTCTTTTTGTTGAGTTTGCGAGATTTTGAACATCTTAAAGAATGATCGAAGGCCATGGTGGCGAAGTGTAAAATATTTCTGGGGTAGGGTTGTGGTTGAATCGAATGTAAATAAATCGTACGAATGTACGAAGGGCGCTTAAGCGGTGAAGGAAGCCATGTTGGAAAAAATATAATAAATGTAAGGTGTGGGAAATATATAAATAATTAAAGGGGAGGTATGAAAAGTTAAAAGGTAAACAAAGTCAAGAAGTGTGTGAGCAATAGGAATCTACACACACAAATAGACAAATAATAATAAAATAATAAGAGCAAAGGGAAGAAGCAGAAGAAGGGAAAAAAAAAACCTTTCAAGAAAGTTAGAGAACAAAGGGGAGGTGAGAGATGGTACTGGTTATATACCAAAAAAATATTAATATTTGTTTTTGATAGGCTAAAGATTAGGTCCTTTCTATGACTCATTCGCGGGATTTCTTCTTTCCTTAATCCCTAACTTGGTGTGGATTTTCATTGGAGATTCTAGAGCGGGCCTTATTGATCACTGTATCACTGTATCACTGTATCACGGTATTTTATACTTTAAAAAAAAATTCGGACATTGTTACATATTTATTTTTGGTTGATTTTCTTACCATTTTTAGATGAAATGAAAATAAAATTCAGACAAAGGGAAAAATTAGTTTCTTTTTTTTTTTGGTTTTATCCAAATAAGGATTTCAAAATGGACAATTTACCTCGAGAAAAAAAAAAAACTCTAACACCCAAAAATGGATTCAACGTACAATACTGCGATTCAATTTATTTGGAAGAGCGCTTTTTGGTTTGTCTTTGCTCTTTCCAGATAGTGAGCAACATTCATTATTATTATTTGGAAGCATTTATATCATGCTGTAGGTGTACTACAATCCTTGCTAACCAAAACACCAAAGCCACGCGTCGAAATATCATTCAATGATCTATTCTTATATTTTGGGTTGCAGCTTTTAGTTATCAAGTGCTCATCAATAATTACTACAACCAGTTAACCTTCAACATCTCTTCCCTTTAATGTGCGCCAAAAGGCTCCCGTAACGCCGTATGTATTTGATTTGATTTGATTTTATTTTTAGCTTAACAAATGCTCTTTTTTTTCTCAAAAATTTGCTACCCAAAGACCACTATGGGTATCTTTGTATCGCTTGTATTTAAACTTTGCTTGGCTCAATCTTTGCTCTCCAGCACAAATTCTCTAGTATATCAAGTTGACTCTGGTAAATGGTGATCCTTGGTGTTGTATTCAACTCTGGCAGTAAATATAGCCCCTTTCTCCCGGAATCTATATATATAGGTCTATATCACTACTTAACTTCTTCCAACGTCAATACATTAAGCCTGATATCAAGATATTTTCGTTTCGAAAGACATCCTTTGATGTGTTAATTAGAAAGTCAATTATTGATCCTATTCAAGAAATAGCAAAGAAAAAAGATCAAATAATTCTGGAATAAGACTTTTCCTGTTGAATCCAAGTTTTTTTTTAGTTTTTATTTTTATTTTTATTTATTTTTAAAAAAAAAAACTGTAGACCATTTTCAGCCAATCGTGATATCCTCTGGATAAAAGCTCCTTTACAAATACAGACAAAGAGTTTACACTTCTATTAACGAATATTAGAGCAAGGCTTTTAGGGAGATGAAATTACCCAACATTAAAGGCGCAATAGGCTTTATACTCGGCTTCATACTGTAAAAAGATTTGCAAAAGACAAGAAACAAAAGCTGCATTGAAATTTAGTCAGCGGTTTTGGTGTCACTTTTAAAAAATAATATTCTTTAGTAACCGAAAAGTTTCATCAAGAATTGTTTATTGAAAGACTTAAGAAACAGGAAAAAATGTGGTTGATATAGGTGAGCAAGAGCTACCTCCGCTTCTATTGTTCTAGTTTTTGATATAATGATGGTTGCTATATGATTCAATACAAAAAAAAATTACCAAAAACCAGCCGAAAGTGTACTTTCCGGATATTTTTTAATTGCGCAGTCAATGACGTACAACAAGCTGATGTCGGTGTGTTGGTCCTGATTGTGCGAGGGGTGGCCGTGCTAAAGCCAAACTATAGGTATTCGAGAAAACAGATAATTTTCTGAAAACATTTTGATATTGTGATAGATATATAATAAGGAGCTACCATCAAGAGTATGATTCTTTCTAGCTTAGACATCAATAAGTTTCGACCGAAATTTTGGTTACACTGATATCCTGGCATAAAGGGTTTTAGATATAGCAGATTAATGGTACTGTTGGATATAGCATCCTTGTTCATAGAACATATAGAACATATAGAACACACAGATCATGTTGGGCACTGTATCAGCGGTGGGTGAATGGCGATTGTGCCTTCATTGTATATCGGAACGCGATATATGGGCTCTATATTTAACTAGACCATTGCATCTTTATTACTACTCTAACCTATGTAAAATAGTACACTGCTCTTCTCTGATGCTTTTAAGTTCTACAAGTAAGAATTCTGAACATAAACCTTTAATATTTCTGAAAAAAGTAAAGCGAAATAATCAAAACTTAATTTTTGATTCGTTCAAGAATATTATAAAATTTCAAAAAAGTGTCGTACATTATAAAATACAAAATACAAAATAATAATGAAAATAATGAAAATCTCAATCGATCTATGAGTGGCTTATAATTAAATTCAATGTAGATTGGAATACCCTCGCACATCCCAGCACATGCTTTTGCTTTAAATGATATGCTGATGATGATGTACACAGCATTATTATACTTAATCAAGTCAGGTACACTTACTGTCCAGCCGAGCCAAAAAGTCATTACAGAAATTACTACTAGGAACTGCTCTTCGTTTTGTTTCCATAGAAATAAATAGAGCTTTATATTTTTACGATCTGCCTGTGTATATATTCATCTCTATACGCGCGAGTATTGGAGTTGACCCTCCGAATCAGCGGGGATGCTTAGTCTCTGAGAACTTTAATTGTAGATAATTTTTTTTTCTCTCTGTTAGTAACACGTTTCACCATATATATTATTACTATTATTTGGTTTTTGGTTTTTTTGTGTATATAGCTTATTAATTAATGTGGAGGATGTTGTTGGAATTGATATTCAATTGGGTTGCGATTTTTTTTTAGATAGGAAAGTCTGGTAAATTAACAGGAATCATGGTAATTGGTGGTAAGAAAATATCGATTAAAGGTGCAGACAGATAAACAAAGCAAAGTAGAAAATGTAAATATAGGTAAATAAGGGGAAGTACGATTTGAATAGAATTGGTATTATTTCCTTTGAGTATTTGCTTGATGAGTTTAGACTGCCGATAATCAATCTTTTATCCATCTCTTCCCATACCCAAAAATAAAATATAAAAATAAATAGTGCTTATTCGCCTGCTATTGGGTATGATAAGCTAAGAAGAAAAAAGAAGAAAAATAAAAGCAATCGTATATGTATATGACAGCGCTCTTATCTCTCTTTCTCTCTTTCTCCCTCCCCCCTTTTTTTTTTAAGTGGTACTACGACAACGGAGAAACCTCAACTCAGACCATTGATGGAATGGGGGTTTTCTTTTTCTTTTTAGGATATTGCAAACCTCTTTGTTTTAGGAATTGATTTTGTGGCAAATTTTTTTTTGTACAAAAATAAATAGTCCCATCCCATATACACCTTTTGCCAAAATGATGTCGTACTGTATATGGACATATAGATATTTGTTTATTAAATAGGGCGACCTACAAGGCAGTCATCAAAACGTCTAGTAGAATAGCGCGCAAACCCCTTCAAAACATACTTGGGAAATCTGGTTGCTAGCGTCTGCAATTATTTGAAAAAATAGTTTTTTTTTAGTATAAAGTCTCGGAAAACTAGGATACTTGCTAGAGCTAAATACTTGAGCTTTATTGCTCCCAAGGCTATTAATATTAATTCTATTCTTGTAATATAAAATACAATCCTGCTGATTAAAATAATTATAAGCAGAATGGTGGCTCTACATTGGGTGTGAACAAACTATATACATACCCGTAGATACAGTTTTACACGTTTCCTCCAATTAAATTCACACGAAATTGACTTTAGAATGTTTAAAGAAGTAGTTATTTATCCTAACAGCGAGGAAATAAACCCATAGAATGGAAGATCCAGCCTTGACCATCGGACCTCTTGACCTTCTTTTTCCCAGAATCTCTGATAGATTTAGTGAGATTATCCTTATAACTTTGTGTGAATAGTTTATTCAAAGTTGGCAAATAATTACTGAAAATATAGTACCTGTCCAGGGCCTGCTGTCTTTCTCTAATCCTTCAGGGCAAAATGGCGTGTCCTGAAAAAAATACAATAGGGTGTTTGAGTAGTTTTAGATGTTTAGGTTTTACTTTTGCGGTGTACTAAATACATAGGCCAATAATAATTAACATGAAAATAAAACTGTAGAAAGCTTTCGTATTTACTTTTGCTCTTAATTTTATTTTCTTATGAAATATTCATAGGCAAAAGTGGAGAATCTAAATTTGCATTCTATAAGCAACTAATGGTAATGCTTAGTTGTTTATAGATTGAAAGTATCTCGAATTTAGATTAGTGATATCCAGTCACTTTTAATATTAAATCACCACAAAAGTAAAATCTAAACATCTAAAACTGCTGAAACACTCTATGCTTGAGATTTTTTTTTTGAAAATCAACCATTTTCTTGTATTGGAGTGTACTTCATCTGTATAAATATATATTCAATATGACTCTTCCAAGATCACGCCCTCAAACTTTTAAATCAATCGTTTTTGTTAAGATCAGAACTACAGGTTACTGATTTATTTAATACAGTACAATATACAAATACTTAAATTAATTAATTGACAATGCTCTTAAAAACACCCTCGGGATCCCACTTTTGCTTCAATTCACAAAGCTTGAGGTAGTTGATGCCAAACTCCTTTGAAGAGGGTCCTTCAAAATCAGCGTGGTTGCTATACAGTCTCTCGCTGTTTCCATTCTCAAGCACAGCCTGTTGAAGCTTAGCACCCCATTTGCGCATCTCCTCTGCCTGGTTAGGATCTTGCCAGCGTGCTCCAATACCAACATCAAAATTGGTATCGCGCCAGCAGAATGCCATGTCTGTTCGTTTGTATTTTTCGACAGCATCGGGTTGGAAAGCTGCAAAAACAATATTTGACTTGTCTGATGTAGGAACAGTCTTATACAACTGCTCCAACAAGTCAAGCAAATGCTTAAAGTGCTTGTAGTCAATGTGAGGCTTAGTATTTGCGGACTCAAAGCGAATGAAATCAGTTGTGTATGTTCCTGGCTCGTCTCCAAGTGTGCATGACTTCCAATAAGGCATGGATGATGTGTCTCGGACAGCAGGTTCGATGGCCAAGAAATCCGCAAAGCTTGCCTCTCCTTGCTCTTGAGTACCATTGTAGAATGGCAAGATTACCACACCTGGCTTACCATCTGCTCCTTTTGATAAGACCATGATGAAGGCTGCCTTGGGGTCCTTCTTGTCATACCATGTGTTTATAGCCTTGACCAGAGCTTCAAGTTTGTCCCCAGTGTAGGAAAGTACACCACTCCAGACAGTGTCAGAAATCTTATGTACTTTCAGCACAAACTACAATGTATGTCAATTACTTGGATCTTATTTTGCTGGCTTTATTATTTTTTTTATTTACCTTTGTGACAACACCAAATCGATTACCAGCACCACGGATAGCCCAGAACAAATCAGAGTTGGAATCCTCGCTTGCCCAAACAATCTCACCGCTGGCTGTAACTACTTCTGTTCCCACGATATTGTCGACTCCCAAACTATTTTAGTAAAGCAAATAAAATAAAAATAAAATTTTATTAGTATCCTGCTAAAATGCGCTGTTTCATTTTATGACATACCCATATTCTCCTGCAAGTTGACCGTAACCACCATGAAGTAAGAACCCACCAATACCAACGTGGGATGAAGATCCAACGACTACATACAATAAAATTGAATAAAAATCAAGGCAAGTAATAAATAATAGGTAAAACCGTAATGATAAACTATGCACTCAAAATCTCCCTTCAACTTACCACTAGCAAGGCCATATTCTGCTGCTGCTTTTACAATATCACCACTAAGACATCCACCGCCAGCAATAATAGTCTTGTTATCTGGATTGACAGTCACCTGCTTCATTAATCCCAAATCAATCACAATACCATTGTCGACACTGGATTGACCACCTGGGGAGTGTCCACCACACTTAACAGTAAATGGTACAGAGTGACTCTTGGCCATGATGATCTGATTAAAGCAAGCATTAAATCATTAGCTGCCAGTGGATCTATGATCTATGTTTATATAATAATGCTAATCAACTATAGAAAATATTCTTTACCGTCTTTGAAACATCCTCTGCATTGGCCACCATAACTACAGCCAGAGGCTGTTTTTCAGCAGCTTTAGTCCATCTCTTGGTTGCCTTTTGATAAGGCTCTCCGTGGTGTGCCATAACAACCTGGGCGCCCGGAGACAGAGAAGAGGCAAATGTGGTAAGCTGCTGGGTTGTCAGGCCAGTGTAACGCTTGTTAGATTTCTTCAACCGGAAAAAGCTAGGAGCATTGGTGTGCTGTTGAGTGGTTTCTTGGGTAGGTGTTTTGTCGTTGCTGTTGTTGTCTTCAGTTTCGAAACTGGCAGCAAATACAGGGTCAACACCACAGAATTGACACATGTTTGATATATGAGTATATTTTAAAGTGAGAAAAGAAAAATATAAACCGAGAAAAGACGCGATAAATAGAGCACTGAGACGTGTTTCTCTTCTTATAGGCCAGATATCTGACTTGTATTTTGTTTTTCTTGTTGGGCAAAGACAGAGCGGGGTTCAGTGCCTAGGCCGGCTAGGAATATATATGCCGTCCATTGATTGATTATTAATGACAGGCGGATAATTCTTTAGTCAGTAAATCAGAAACTGTACTATGCATAGAGAATATGACAAAACTATGTAAAGCAAAAACAGCTGGCTTAAGCGTTTAACCCATCGCTCTATTTAATTTCTGGAATAAGATCAGTTAGATGTCTAGTCAAAGTATTTCATTAGGTTTATCTCTATGTTGTACACACACGCACTTTAGACAAATATACTAATTCACTCATGTTAATTTTCTTGTTTATTTCTTTTTTCTTTTGAAAGAAGATCCATTAAATATCATTGCAACAAACTGAGCGCAACGATATCGGAACCAGTCGTAGCTTGCACATATAAGAAGGAATCTTGCTTTTTGGGTTTGCAAGTAGGCGTTTTCTGGGTAAAATATTGGTTTTGTTACACCACTTATTATACGCCACGTTTAACGCCAGACTTCTTCATGTCAAAGCATCAGATCTACATCTGTTTCATGATATTTAATACATTGATAACTATGTTGTGGTATAGTAGACCAATTACAAGAAAAACACACAATATAATTATTGTAGTCCCTTATAACAAACTCTTCATAGCAGGTCAGCTCAACTTACAAACTGGGTTCCTATTTGAAGTGTAATATAAATATCATAGGAAATAAAGAATAAAAGGGGAAGAGGGAGAAAGATTATATATATATATCTATATTTAAAGAAAGAGGTAATTCTGAAATAACTAGTTTGAATCATCAATATTTTCCGGTGCTTCATCTTTATTGGCAGAACTCTAATCTCCTATTTCCCTTGAGTTCCAAAAGAAATCGCAAAACCAGGTTATTCTTATTCTTTTATTTTTTTTTGTTCAATGAAAATCTCGCAATACCATTCACCTTCTTTCTCATGGCCGATTCCCGCATTCCTGTAACTGTTCTCACTGGCTTCTTAGGAAGTGGAAAGGTACAAGACTTGTGTATGTATAGCGAAAAAGGAAACATTGACATTCTTCCTTATTTATTTTATGTAGACAACTTTACTCAACTATATCCTCAAGAACAGTCAACATGGAAAAAGAGTAGCTGTTATAGAAAACGAATTTGGGGAGGTATCTGTGGACGATTCCCTTGTGGTTGATGCTGGACAAGAAATCTTTGAGACCCAAAATGGCTGGTGAGTGATTTAGTGTAAAATGATCATCTATTCAAATGCATTGAATACTCGTATTTATTAACAAAAACAAATATATATCTTTTGTCTTTAGCTTGTGCTGCAAGGTAAGACCGAATAGAATGATATAAATATATTGGTTATAAGTCTAGAAACCTAATACTTGTTTCAACTTATTATCGATAATTTAGGTCAGAGGGGATCTTATACGTATATTACACCAGCTGATCGATGAACGTAAAGGCCAGTTTGACATGGTATTGATTGAAACAACCGGAATGGCGGATCCAGGACCGGTAGCTCAGTCATTCTTTGCAGACGAGCGGATCCAGGATGCTTTCAGGATTGACGCTATTGTGACTATGGTGGATGCCAAACACATCGCCCTTAGTTTAGGAGACACAGAAGAGGGGGCAACAGTTGAGAAAAGAGAAGAAGCATACCAACAGATTGCATTTGCAGATGTTGTCTTACTCAACAAAACCGATCTAATTACACAAACTGAACTCGAGACCTTGGAGAAACGTATAAAAAGAATCAACGATGTGCCCATAATTCCCTCTGTCTATGGAAAGGTGGACCTGAACAACATATTAGCTATTGGAGGATTTGATTTGGATCGTGTTCTTGAGCGTGAACCTGCGTTTTTAAATACAAAATCAGATGATCACAGCCACAAACCACATGTAGGTGTATATTAAATTATATATATTCGAGAGTATTCGAATCTTATATATATATATATATGCGTGTATGTATATTCTCTTGTAATTAGATCCATCAGGGAGAAATTACTTCTGTGGGTATCTGTGAGGTTGGTGAGGTAGATTATGATCTTCTCAACCGGTGGATCCAGAGTGTACTTGCTTCCATGGGAAAAGATATCTATCGTATGAAGGGTATTTTGAATGTGCACGGAGAAGAGGACCGCTATGTATTTCAAGGTGTTCATATGGTATGTGCTTTTTAATATACAACCTACGACGTCTTAACCTAACGTATAAATATTATTATTTTTTTGTTAAAAAAAATGTAATTCAGATGATCGATGGCCAACAGGATAGAGCATGGCGTGCAGATGAAGACAGGACAAACAAATTGGTTTTTATTGGAAAAAACCTCAATCGAACAGCTCTTATTAGCAGCTTTCAAAAATGCCTTGTCAAAGATACTTCTATTACACTCTAAATACAATACATGATAATATTATAATTCTTCTAATTTTTTTTATAAGGCGAATACTATTAATTATGTGGTTTTTGCTTCAATATCACTTTGGTCTGAACCACTGGTATATTTTGGATTAGCTGCGGAATTAATCTTTGGTTTTTTTTGTCTGGGTGGTTTAGGAGCCTTCCACAATTCTCCTCTACTACACAAAGTTTCTAAACCCAAACCTGGACCAATGTCTAGTAAAGGATAGACATCTTTTTCGAGTATGCTTATTTCAGAAGAAGTGAACCGGCTGAGAACAAAGTCTGCAACCACATCATGCGATCTGTCACTAGGATCATCAGGGGGTCTTCCAATTCCAATACGTACTCGCTTGAAGTTTTCTGAACAGAGATGCTGAATAACAGATTTGATGCCATTGTGCCCGTTTGCTGATCCACCCGATTTCATAGACACTTTGCCAAGAGGTCTCTGAAGATCGTCGTGAAGTACATATATATTTGAGTGGTCGATTGAAAATTCACGTACTTTGACAAATATTGACATTAGAATAGAACGCAATTGAATATCTTTTTTGAAACAAAGTAGCATACCAGCTTTGGATACACTCGGCCCACTAACATTCATTAGTAAACGAGGCTTAAGTAAAGTGACATCAATTCTTGTCCGAGATTTGTCCTTGTTTTCAATGTCCAGTGATGTTTGGGAAATTGTTGCTTTCAAGGTACGATTTTGTGTCCAGGTAAGATCAAGTTTGTTGGCGATCTGATCCAAAACCATCATTCCTACATTGTGCCTGGTATTCGGATGGGTATAGTTTCCCAAACCAACTAGCTGGGGGATAATTAAATCATTCTATTGTTACAGTAAAATTCGAAGGTTCTTACTAGGACCCGGATCGTTTGCATTCAGAAAGCAATATATATATATATATTTTTATATATATATATATATAAATATATTTATATTAATAAAAATAAAAAATATAAAAAAAAGGGCAAGAAGCGGACATTGAGGTTTGCAGGTGCACTTGTTGCGACGTCATTGCGTTGGAAAACGAAGCAGCGTGTTTTGATTCGCCTGTCAAAAATATGTGAAGTCTATATTTTTACTGCACGCACGCGCGCTTCCCCTCCTTTTGCCAACCTACCTTTCCCTTTCCCCTCCGCCTCTTTAAAAAAAATCATCAAGATGCAGCAGGCACCCGTACTTGTTATGAGTAAGTTAATTTCAGAGAGAAAAAGTTATTTAAAGTAGATTGATGATGTTCAACGGATGTTGCCTTACCATTATTATTACTATTTTTTTCCTTTTCTTTTTTTCCTAAAAAAAAAAGACACCAACATGGAAAGAGAGTCGGGACGTAAAGCCCAGCTCTCCAACATCACAGCTGCAAAGGTAATAGGGGAAAGAGAAAGTAAAAAATAAAATAAAGTAAAAATAAAGAAAATGTATGAACGATTAAGAGATGATGAGATGAGATGAAATGAATCTTTGACGGGTTTTGTTACTCATCGCATATTACATCTCATCAGACCGTTGCAGATGTCATCCGTACATGTCTTGGCCCTCGATCTATGCTCAAGATGCTTCTCGATCCTATGGGCGGTATCTTACTGACAAACGATGGTAACGCGATCTTGCGTGAAATCGAGGTCGACCATCCTGCTGCCAAGAGCATGATCGAGTTGTCGAGAACCCAAGATGAAGAAGTCGGTGATGGCACCACAAGTGTCATCATTCTTGGTAAATACACTAGGAGCTTTACTTTTTTTTAAAAAAATCAAAACTGCGTATACGTACCATGTCGTCGGTTGCTTCTTTTGGTTTTTTTCTGACGCGTGCTGTTCCTTACTATTAGCCGGTGAGGTGCTTGCACAAGCTCTTCCCCACATCAAGAACAACATTCACCCTATTGTGATCATCAGCGCCTACAAGAAGGCTCTTGAAGACGCATTGAAGATTGTTGAGGAGATCTCTAAGCCTGTGGATGTGACCAACAATGCAGAGATGTTGGCTCTGATCAAGTCTTCCATCGGTACCAAATTCGTAAACACCTGGAGTGACTTGATGTGCAAGCTTGCTTTGGATGCTGTTCGTACTGTTGCACGAGAGGAAGAGGGTACCGGTAGAACCGAGGTTGATATCAAGCGTTATGCTCGTGTTGAAAAGGTAACTGTTGTTTTATTGCTGTGAAAAAAATATAATAATAATAACAGAGAAAAAGTGAATATCCAAAATGGGGTTTTGCAAGTTGGGGGATTGGAGGACTGTTAACTAAACATGCCTTAAATATTTTATTATTCACAAAGATTCCAGGTGGTGAAATTGAGCAGTCCGAGGTTTTGGACGGTATTATCCTCAACAAGGATGTCACTCACCCCAAGATGCGTCGTAAGATCGAGAACCCTCGCATTATCCTCCTCGATTGTCCTCTTGAGTACAAGAAGGGTGAATCCCAGACCAACATTGAGATCTCCAAGGAGGCAGACTGGAACCGTATCCTTCAGATTGAAGAGGAGCAGATCAAGGCTATGTGCGATAAGATTATTGAATTGAAGCCTGATATTGTGTTCACCGAGAAGGGTGTTTCTGGTAAATATTAAGCGTGTTTTTGATGTGTGTTTTAATTAATAACCCATTCTCCTCGGCAGACCTTGCCCAGCACTACTTTGTTAAGAACAACATTACCGCCATTCGTCGTGTCCGCAAGACCGACAACAACCGTATTGCTCGTGCTGTTGGTGCCACCATTGTGAACCGTGTTGACGACCTTAGAGATACTGATGTCGGTACCCACTGTGGTCTGTTCTACATCGACAAGATCGGAGATGAGTAAGTTTATAGCTTATAGTTTATTGCAACTGAGCTTATTTGACCAATTCTTAAATTTCTTTTATTATTATTATTATTTATTGTCTGGCTTTAGGTACTTCACTTTCCTTACCAAGTGCAAGGATCCTAAGGCTTGCTCCATTATCCTCCGTGGTCCCAGCAAAGATATTATTAATGAAGTTGAGCGCAACCTCCAGGATGCCATGTGCGTTGCACGCAACGTTTTCTTCAACGCAAAGCTTGCACCAGGTGGTGGAGCAACAGAGATGGCAGTATCCGTCAGACTTGAGGAGAAGGCCAAGACCTTGGAGGGTGTTGAACAGTGGCCTTACCGGTCTGCTGCTGAAGCTATGGAGGTTATTCCCCGTACTTTAATCCAGAACTGTGGTGCCAATGCCATCAAGGTTTTGACCCAACTTAGAGCCAAGCACGCCAACGGAGAACACTCATTTGGTGTTGATGGCGAGTCTGGAAAGGTAGTAGACATGAAGGATTATGGCATCTGGGAACCCAGTGCAGTCAAGATCCAGACCATCAAGACTGCTATTGAGGTAAGTTAAAATAGTAAAATAACAATGAGAATAATAATTAAAACGTTGTGAATGTGTTAATAATTTTTATTTTTTATTTTCTAGTCTGCATGTCTGCTTTTGCGTGTAGATGATATCGTTTCTGGTATCTCAAAGAACAAGAGCCAGGGTGCTGGTCCTGGTGGCATGAGCCATGATGCTGCAGAGGTAATAAAAGAAAAAAGAAAAGAATATGGACAAGGATAATAATAATAATAATAATAATACTTTTTTGAATTGTAGGAGATGATCGGCGATCGCGAGTAAAGCAAAAAAGAAAGAAAGAAAAACAAAACAAAACACAACAAAACAAAAAAAGAAGGTGTTGATATATATATATTCCAAATGTTCTACAGAAAACATATACATTGTTTCCATATCAAATTGTCACTAGTAAATTTGGCCTGTCGTTTTTTTTTGCAGTTTGACTTGTCGCTTTTAACAATTTTCACTTGTCATATTTAAAAATTTTCATTTGTCGCATTTCTTTTTCTTCTTTTTCTCCTTTGCATTTGTCGTATTTCTATGAAAACGGCCAAATTCGGCTCGATTATTTGTAAAGATTATATAGATGGGATGAAAGGTGGTCAACAAAGTGTAGGTAGAGAGAGAGGTGACCTAAATGGAATGGTTATTGAGGTTATATTGGTTATAGTTGCTTTTCTTCATCTCACCCTTGACCAATTTTATCAAAATGAACATTGGCTAACAACAAACATTGTATATTATGCTGTATGAAATACAATAAAACAAACGCCCAATAGAACTAGATAACTTATCATGCCACAGGGTACATCAACACTTGTCATGATAACGAATTTCTTAAATGTCTGTTTACAATTATATTTTCTAGAGTATGGTAATTGACCAATTAATTTATGCTGCTTATATTTATTGACAGGCCATGATAATACAGGGTTATAAAACACACTTTCCACTGTGTTCAATGTGAAATTAAATAAATGCAAGAAAATTATTGAACATTGTCTCTAAAATGTATTCAGATTTCTATATATTTATTTATGTTGTATGTTTGCATCGACATTATCCTCTAGGGTGAATGAGCATACGCAGATTAAACTACTGGGAATATGTCATGACTGTTGATGAAGGTGATATACTTGAGGTATAGCCACGCATAAAGTCAAATATTGGATCAAATGACACGACCTTGTTTTTATAAACAGCTTTATTTTTCATAGAATGACAGTAAATAAGATTTTGAAATAAAATGAGATTCTTAAATATCTGTAAACGAAGATTATTAAAGGCATACTAGTCAAGTTACAACTTACGAAATTATCAAAATAAAGTAAAATTAGATTTTATTTGGTGGAAACACTTTAACTAAAATGGTGTCAAAATCCGCTCAATTTTCTGAAAATACGTATGGTTTCTATAGAATATGTGTACGACTGTAACATAAATCATAAACTACGTTCAAATATGAAACCACTATGGATCATTTTAAAAGAGGTTCATTTCTGGTGCAGGTACACAGATCGCTCTACTCTCTATCTTTTGTTCGTCTATTTTCGTATTCTGTGCACAGACCTCTTTTGCATACAATTGTACTATTTACAAAACCAAAAACCGAAAAATACTAATAGTACAGAAAGAATCTTCAATTAAGAAGAGAATGAAAATCTATTGATTCTAAGATCGTGTGTGTGCGTATGTATGATTTGGGGTTGGTATTGGTTGTTTTGTTTTGTTTTAATAGTTACTCGACTGTCTGTCATAGTTGGCACCTCCTGCACGTCTAAGTCTTGTCAAAACTTCCTTTTCATCGAGATCATGAACATGCGATGCAGGAACTTCAATGTGGAAATTACGGATGATGTTCTTTACATCCGACATTTGAATTCCAAGCTTGGCCTTGCGCATTACACTCACTGACTCACCACACCAGGGTACTAGTACAAACTTGATACGTTGAGAATACCTGGTAAAATAAATAGACAACATATTCGTGTGCAATCATTAGAAAAAAGAAACTGCATGCATGAAATATATGTATTTCCATTCAAAGTACTTACTCATCATTACTCAAGTTGATTCTCAAGTAACCCCAGCCAGCAATTTCAGGCTTCAATTCCTTTGTGAATTCCTCGAGTCCACCTGAACCAAAACCAGCAACAATGAGACGGTCAGGCTTTCCATCTGCAAAGGTAAAGAAGGACCAGTTTGTTTCTGTCTTGTCATCCCGAACATCCTCATACACTTGGTTAAGTTCGGGATCAGAGATGTTCAGGGCCATGATGAGCAGATGAAGGTTATAATACACAGGACAAAAAGAAGAGGTGTAGAGAAAATTAAAAATAAAAAAGGTACGTGTCCAAAGGTAGTGATTCCCTGTCTTTTTTTTTATTTTCCTTTTTAAAGTTAACCAATAATAATAAGGCGGCGTGGTAAATATATCCAATGCAAACAGCGCTTCTTTTTATAAATATCACAAAAATGATACTGTGGTTACATATCATTTTCTCCTCTAGCCCCCCGCCCCTCTTTTATTTGTTGTTGTGTTGGTTCTCCCTTTTCATAAATACATAAATACACACACGCACACACACATTTATTAAAGCATGGTAAAGCCAAAGCTGCTGTGAGATACGCCACAAGTAAAGTAAAAGAGGCTGTATTTTTACTGTTCTAAAGCTCTGTGTAATTTATAGAGGTAATCTCAGAAAGACAAGTGTGATTTTCTTTATTTGATCTAGCGTCTATGATCAGTCAGTCATTCGTCTTTTTTTTTTTTTTGGTTTTTCTTGAGCGTTTTCCCGTGGTGTTAAATGAATGAAATATGAATTCGTTATTTGTGCACATGTATCTATTTACGTCTGCATCATTTTGTTCGTAGGTGGCTCAAGGCATAAGAGGGTTGAATGACCTCTTTTTTGATGGGTGTATATTTAGCAAATACAAACTCAACCAACAGTATCTGATAGACAACAAGCCAAATGTAACAGGTTATTGGAGAAATAAGTAAAGTATATAGATAGATATATAGATAGATAGTAATAGGCTATTTTTTTTGAAACCTTTGAGCCAGGTACTACTTTCAATTATAGCCAAATCACCCATTTTTGAGACAGTTTTGATAGCAAGTGTGAAAGGCAAGGGAACATCGCCATACTGTGTGTGAATTATTGAAGAATCTATAAATATAATTATTGTATGTATGTATATATATATATATATACTGACTATTGCAGCCAGATAATACATTGGTTCCCCATTTGATGATATAGGCAAGGTTCAGTCCTTGGACACGTTTGTGAATCAATAAGAAAGCATGTACAAGAATAGGAAGTTACATAGAAATTGAATGGCCCACTCGTACACATACGCCCCACCACCGTCATAGGCCCCGTTACACGACCTTGCAATAGTATAGCCCAGTCAGAAAATCATCAGTGTAGATTATTATTATTTTTATTATTTATTTATTTTACACTGACCTGTACATCAATATTTATATAAAACTAAAAGGAATTAAAGAAAAACCCTTTTTTTTCCTCCTCCTCCAAAATACAACCCTTACTTTCTCTACAAAATACAACACCTTTTTTTTAATTTTTTTTTGTTTCATCTTGGTCTGGTTTCTGTCCTGTTATTTGCTTTAAATCACACATTTTTTTATTACCCTAAATGTTAAAGCCTTTGGTTATTAAATTATCTATACTTTCTCTGGGGTTATCTTGTCTCTTGAGCCAAGCCCAAGCACTATCTAGTCCCCTCAAGTTCCCACTCTCCCGTAGAACACATTCTACCAATACCTTGACCAAGAGATGGAGTAAGAACAAATCTCACGCAACCCAGAAAAACGTCTCTGGATTAGTACCCCTTCTTGAAAACAAAGCCCTTCAAGAATATGCCATTAGCGTTTCGGTTGGAACACCACCAAAAGAATTCCTTTTAGTGCTCGACACCGGCAGCTCAGACACCTGGGTTCCCTCCTCTATTTGCACCCCTAAGGCCGGCTGTCCATCAGATCGAAGATTTAACCCAAGCGAATCTTCTACTTATGTCCACACCAGACTCGATTATCAAGCCGGCTACTTAACAGCCCAAGTTAATGGCTCTTATTTCAACGACACTATCACGGTCGGAAATTTCACCCTGGATAACCAATTTCTATTCCTTGTAAACGATCAAACAGGCTCCCTTGCCGACCAGACAAGCGACATTTTACTGGATGGAGTGTTCGGTGCTGGATTACCTGGCTCATCTACCTTGTCAAATAACCGAAACGAAACATTCTTAACTATCCCCATGGAATTGTATGCAAGAGGTCTTATTCCCGAACCTCTCTTTTCGGTCTTTCTCGGTCAAGCAAAAGAGTCAGCCTGGAGCGGCGAGATCATTTTCGGAGCCGTCGATCAAGAAAGAGCAGCTTCTCGAATCACCTATATAGATGTTGCACAGTTCCAAGCACCTAATGGCTACGTCTACTTCAACAACTGGTTCTCCCTGGCTTCTCAGATTGAGGTTGGAAGCAATTACATCGAAGCCGAGGAAGACACATCATTACCCTTCTTGTTTGATACAGGAACTGACGCCTTGGTTCTCCCAACCGATCTTGCCGACAAAGTCGTACAAAGCCTTGCACCAGACGCTATAAAGAATGATACCGTTTATAATGTGGACTGTTCCTACCTTGGTAACACGCGTCCATTCCGGATCATCTTCCCTGGTTCACAGTTTACTACAGTAAAGCAGTCAAAGAACCTCAATGTAACACTAGAGGTGCCAGTCAATAAAATGGTTACTCGCTTAGGCTCGACTTGCCAGCTCATAATTGAGACCAACGATGACTCGTATCCCATTATTGGCAACTTGTTCCTTCGACATTTTATTACCGTGTTTAATTTTGAGGATTATACTATTGGCCTTGCTCCAGCCAAACAATAAGGGAAAAAACCAACAACAACAACTACTACTACTACAAATGAAACGGATGCTGCAGGACACTTACCATCTTTCGCTTGATATCTTTATATTTTTATGTCTGTATTTGAATACTACTCATCTAATCTAGACCTTTTTTTTTAACTAGTTACAACATCTTTGTGATTATTTAAAGACTTCTTTTATTCTTTACTCTTATTTCATCTATTGATGTCTACAAACCCATATTACATAAATTATTATATATTATAATTAATTATTTTGGCATAAGATTCTACACCACGAGTGCTAATCTACACTAATTACTGGTTCACTCAACTAAATACAATTTGAGATTGGAAAAGAAAAAGAAAAACTAAAAACTCTAATTGGTCTATAAAAAAAATTCACAAAACCTTGAGTCAAAGTTAGGTTTGGTACTAAGAAAACGCGTTTCTTGTGTTCAATCTACTTTATCTCCTTATTTTAACGACAGATTTTATGGTGAAAATCAATACTATAAGCTCCTTTTAACCATATAATAATCAATACAGATCATTCCAGGCCTTTTTTTTTCTTTAAATATTTCTGTTAGACCAGGAACCCCCGTCCTACCAAAACATCGATCCAATATCTCCAAGGACCTTTAATAGTCAGCCATATTAATATCTATCTTTTATAATCACATTATAAAGAGCAGGTATATCTATGGAAATTTAGGGTACCTCTTTTTATTATTGTTGTTACTATTCTTTGTGTATATATTTATTTGTTCTGTAACTCTATATCATATTCATAAAAAGAAATGTCTAGGAAACACTTTACAAGGTACAATTGTGTTTTGCAATCGAATTAAACAAAATAGAAGAAGAATTGGCTTACGGAAGATATGAGCAATCAAAGCCGAAAGGTGTAAGCGCGTAACGAGGAGGGTAGTACTTTTTGCTCCTTTGGAGTGGATCGTGGCATGTTACAGAAATAAAAGAAAATTAAAGGAACGCGTTGTCCAACAATGTTACATTGTATTTTCTGGTCTGATTGCTCACACCACATCTGTTTCATTTGGAATTATAAAAATAGTTATTATTCTTTATGAGATTTACATAGGGTACCATTATTTATTTTGAGTCGAGTATTAATGCACAATATTCATCGAGAAACTGTTTCCAATTACTTTGCATACAATAATAATAATAATAGTAGTAATAAATGAGGCTATCCCAAAGAATTGATTCTGTAAATCAGAGGGGTATTCTATATATTCATGACGATCAGAAAGGAAATGAACCACTTTCTCCTGCAGTCTCGATAATCTCTTAAACACTTAATGTCAAGTATTTACATTGTTTTAGACAAAATATAGTCTTTTAATTTCAAACCACCGTCAATATTTGTTTCTTGCATAATTGATTGCTTCAAAATTATTTCATAATGTAGATGTCTTTTTTTTCTTACTATCTTATCCAAATATGCATTGTCAGTCCTTCAAGTTGCTCTCTTTTTTTAAAAAAAAATGAAGCAAAGTTGACAGATATGCTCAAAAGCTGTGTTTACTAATCGCCGATTTCTTGATAATTAGGCGCCATCGATTAAGCCAGGTCTTTTCTGGATCCCGTAATGAGACACGATACTTACACATAAGAACTAATGTATTCATTTATCCTGGTATCATATGAGGATAAAGACCAAGATTTTTGTATTCTATATTATCTTTCCAAAATTAGCTTGAGATGTAGACATATCCTATACATGTGTATGTTTTCTATACTAATATAACTTGTATTTTCTGTCAAATGTGTATTGTTATTGAACCTTGTCTGAATGAGTCTGCTATAACTTGTAAAATATATACAACATTTTTTTTAAAAAAAATTAGCATTTAACGACTATTGAATAGTAAAACCAAATAGGGTTTTTTTTTGCTTAACAAAAAGGGTACTTGTCACTAAAATATAATAAATTACAAAAAATGTTAAGCTTTCATAAAAAATGAACCAAAAAAGCATCATTTTCTCCTTGATCCAGATTAGCTCCTAAATATAGTTACAGCTTTTGCTTTACTACTGTGATTTTAACTATTATATTTTAATAAGAATATATATATAACGAGGTTCATGGAGAGAGGAGCGAGGCGTTTTCTATAATATCAAACGCTGTAACATTAACCACTACTTAATTGATACAAAGCCTGCTAAAGAACAGAAAGAACAGAAAAAAAAATAAAGTAACAAGAAACCAAAGAAACGATCTGCAATGTAGTCAAATTAGACGTCTAGGAAGTGTTTGTTGCTCTATCGATATCTATAAATTAACCTTGATATCTTTTTTAGGCACTTGATTTATAATACTTTTTCTTAATAAGCTCACTTTCTAGTAAAAGTAGTTGGTCTGTAAAAATAATAATGAATATTCTTGTATGCTTATTGAATGCAGTAAAATAGCTTCTTCATGACATTCTTCACCAAAAAAGAAACCTGATTAATTATCGAAAACTAAATAATCAATTAACTCAGAATATAGCAATTGACAGCACTGCTATAGTAGCTATACGACCATAGATCGTAGTATACTCTAAAAAAAACATAAAAAATATGATAGTCTATTGGATAAAACATTCTTAGAGATAAATATGGAATACACCAAAAAAACAATAATATATATAAAGAAGTAAGAGCACCAAATACAGCTTGTTAATTTCAGGAGATATATTATTGAGCTTTTCAATGTTTTATTATCGTCTTTTACTTGCTGCTTTATGTTGTCGTATCGTAATATATTGCCTATACTCTTAATAAGAACTAGTATAAGTTAGCTAATAGTAACATTTCAAGTTAACCATATTATTTACAAATCACATATCTTCTGGTTCAACGAGACCTACACTGAAAAGCGAGTAAAATATAACAACAACAAATATCAAAAAGGTATCGTAGTAAAACAATAGCCTACTCTATTTCTTTAGATAATTGAGTGTTTTAGGAGCAACACAGAACAGTTAAGCAAATGATTATTTTCTTATAAATTCATCTTGTTTTTGAAAGCACACTGCAGTCTTGTGGTTACATGATTGATATAAGAGTGGCGACAACTACAATATGTAAAGAGTTGATTCATTATTTTGTTTTGTTAAAAAAACGCCATTAAAGTAAATTTGACAGACATATATCATAAATATATACTGATATTTTTAGGGATCTATGTTAACAACAACATCCAGCCCAATATAATCCAACCCAGGTCGACAAATGTGCTGTACTTTATGTAATGCTTAGTATTGCAGCTAATAAACACACATATATTATACCAAAGTTCACTTTCTTTATATATGTACATTTGACATAATTATGTGGCACTGGCTTGTAAGGGGGTAAAGAAAAAGAAATTTTACATGTGGCTATCTATTACTTTCTATTGTTGTATTGCAGAGGTTGAGAGATGTAACATTTACTTTATCTCTTTCTCTCTGAGGACCGGCGGTTAGTAATACTAAATGCCGTGAGCACAAAAACTGTGAAACAGGAGACTTGTCAGTCCACAACATGATGATTATATGGTAACGAATCGAGCCACCTTAATGACTTTATCACATTCCTATATGTTACTCCATAATATATTCTTGCATTCGTATGCTGTGGTTTCAAAAAATATGTTTTGTTTATTAAAAATTGTTTGTATTTGTAGCCATTACGTATTTCTGCTACTTAAAATAATGAATTAAGGAACTAATAATAAATCCTGCAAAAGAACATGCATTTCCTTTGAGGGGATGTAAAAGGAGTTTTTAATATGTAACTTGAAAGAAGTTTAGGAGCTCCGTGTCTATAATACCAGCCCGTTCTTTATCGTATACTTTAGTATTAGAGTATCAAACTGCTAGTAATTATAATTATTTTATTTGAGATTGATTATTCGGATCATTTGCACGTTTGTGTAGCTTATTAATATCTGAGCACGTAATCAGCACTATGCTTACCTGTGGCTGAAACTCTAATGATATATTTCCATTGAATGGCTTTGGTATATACAATTTGATGAAGCATGATACTCCAGCCAGGAAAAGCATGTGCTGTATATTTCAATTAATGAAAAAAAAATGATATTTGGAGAGACTAAGTTGTATAAAGCAATACAATTGAAAGCCTTTTTTTTCATTTCCTTTCCATATTTTGTGTGATGTTTTTTTTGTGTTTGGATATCAGAGGGTACATGTATTTATCAGACTGACGATGAAACATCAGTAATTTTATATTGATCAAAGAAACCTTGTCGTATGACTTGAGAATAACAAATAAAAGGGTTGAATTGATGATGATATATATATGTATAAGCTTTTTGGAGTCTGTGATTTCTTCTAGCAATATTACTAAAGTTATACATCTTTATGTAACAGAACTAATTCCAATTTCAGATATGCGACTGTATAAGAAATGAATAAGAAGCTCACAGGTCAATTGAAAGTATATTCTTCCTTTGTGACTAATCTGTTGTTTCACCAAGCAATATAACCATATTAGGAATATAAAAAATAGCTGGATTGAAATCTTTCAAGGTTTAAAAATAATAATGAAATATATGTTATGTTATGTATATATTTAAAAAGGTATTTTTAGAGGCTTTAAAGTGTACAAGTCTTAAATAAGTACTTTTTATTATTATTATTATCATAACGTTTCTCATACAATGCCACAATCGATGAATCTTAAACTACTTGCTTGGTAGCACTATTTATTTTGTGCACGTTTTTGTTATTATTTTTATTTCCGGGCGGTCTTGGGCTGTCCAATAAATTATTATCGACCTCTAACCTGTTCTGAGTAGAAGAAGTAGTGTTGTATTCAAGCATCTATGACATAATTCTACCTTTTCTATAAGTAATATTGTTAGCTTGCTATATATTAGACCGAGTCTGTTCTGAGTGTCTCGAATACAGAAACCCTTGAGTTCTATTTATTTATCCAGAATGGTACATCGAGAGAAAGATCTGAGTTTAATTGAAATACACTATGAGGAGCCGTCAAAAATATACTTCCAGTGATGTTGTCCAACCAACAAAACCAGGAACATCAATATACTTAATTTTATGTCTGTGAATGAGTCTCAGTTCAACCAAGACATCCCAAGTAAAATATACGCCCCCAGCATGATACATATATTTTTTTGTAGAAACGTGGGACTATGAGTTATGCTAATCCCCCCCTTGAAAAGTACGGTATTTATTCATTATGATCATAAGCACAGTGGTGTTGAAATAAAAAAAATGCATTTTCTGTAAATCTTTTGAGCCCAGATTGTGTATAGAAATTACTCAGTAAAAAGAAAACCAACAGGCTGTTTTGACATCATATGAAATATAAAGCTACCAGCAAAACAAAATAAGTTAGTTCCAAGAAAGTCCAGGTCAAAAAGAAATACAGGTTAAAGTTTGGTGATTAGACCATGGACATTAGGTATCTGGTGTCTTGATATTCTTATTTTATTATTAATTTTGATATCTGGAGCTGATATGACAGGTATGCTACATGAGATTAACAATGGTGCAGATATGTCAATCATATATCCCTTAATCTCTGTCGTAAAATGATTGGTTTGGTAGCTTATTGATATTATGAGCATAATGTCCAAAAAAACAAAACAAAGATCGACAGAAAGAAAGCTATTTAACACATTATATTATATTTTCAAGCTCATCATCAGGAGCTATTTATTCATACGGCTGGTCATCCTAAAGAAAGAGAAGAAACCAGTGAATCCCTAAATTATTTACTCTTCGTATATTAACTCTCACTCCCTTTCCAATTTACTCATTCAAGCAATATGAGCATAAAACAATTATATTATTATTGCAAGTCTTTGTAAGAACTTAGCTATCAAATTATTCATCTTAATATCATATTTCAAAGCAATATTTTCTTCTCAAGACCCTCAAAGAGTTATATTAGCTCAACAAACACAGATATAATACTCATATTTACATTGTTATTTCAAGCTCTTGTACCTTGTTTTATATACATCTTGGAGTAGAATAACGAGACCCTTTTTTTAGTAGTAAAGAGTAATAATGATTCTACATTAGTCACTTTTAAAGAATTATGGGAAATCGCATAAAATTACAAGTATGTTTATTATATTTTGATTGTTTGGACCAAGTTAATTGTATTTTAATAGTATTAATCAATATCTTTAAAGTCAAGCAGACGAAAAGATTAGTAGACAATTTATTCAAATGAATAACATTTCTTTGTTCTTTCTTGCATACAATAAATTTATTCAACTATTATATATCACTCATTACTATTATTATTATTATTATTATTATTAAAATATTGTGTTATCTGCCGAATGTCAAATCATCACATATCCAATAAACCTGTTTTCATACTATAGACTTTGTGGTCGTATGTCAAGAACATGATATTTGCCTGGATATTGGACAGTCTGAAAAGGACACTTAATATAAATCACTTATTATTGTACAGTTTTATTTTTAAGGAAAATGTTAGTTTATCTGGCTTGACTTTTAGGATAGTAGTAATAACAAGTAGAGGTGCACAGCTCAATTGAACACAGATATCGTCTTTGTGAACAATTTACTGTGCAACAAAACAATATGCCTATACAAGGAATAAAAAACAAAAAATTATTGAGAGAAAATTTCTCGGAAGACCCCAAAAGATTGAAAGCTAAAAGTGTATGTTCTTGGCAGTCGTACAGTAGTACAAGGCTAGAATATAATGCTAGATGTATATAGCTCTGTGTGATGATCCTTCTTATGCTACCAGAGAATTGATACAAGGCCCTAATAACGTTGCTCATCTAATCCAAGTCCTTTTCTCACTCTCTCACTCTCTCTTCTTCTTCTTCTTCTTTTAAATAACATAAAATACAATAAAATAAATAAATAACGATCGACTTGGTTAAAATCTTAAATTTTACAAAACACCATAAGCCTGTATTGGAAATATTTATATAAAGTTCCCAGACTGCCTCAGACTTTGGTCTCACCTTGTAAAAATGGACTCTTATATTGAGCTAGTAATAATGTGGTGCTTATAGAATACCGCACTATAATGTATTGTATATTTGCTTTAATAGCTGATATATTCAAAAGTTTTATTCTATTGATTTTTTTTATGTTCACCATTAATGGGATGGCCGAGACTAATATACATGTTATAAAGACATGATATATATATATATATTAAAAGTCCTTTTGTAGATTGATACTGGTCTTCCAAGTCGATTACACCAAGACCTGTTTAATTTAATAATATTTTTCTCTTCTTCTTTTAAATAAGTTTTTTATTATATTAGACTTGTACTAGGTTATAAATGTGCATAATTCTGTATCATTTAATAATAATCATAAGAATATGCTGTGGAATTGAATACAACATATACTTTTTATTAGCTTGAAATTGAGAAACCATAGCAACACATCTGACATATGAATATATACATATCTTGGTATGACGTGATATTCTATATTTCATATAATACTAATCTATCTACCCAACCTTGAAAGAGGTTCCTCTTTCGATTGTTTTCTGTAAAAACAATCAAATAATAACAGCAGTCTTCAATACAATCAATATGTCTTGGAATGCTTTAAAGTTATATGCGGAGTGAATAGCGTCTCCTTAATGACATGAGATGTGGGGTCAGGCCGTGTGCTTCAGTATGATTATTGAGTGACAGCCAAAAAAGAAAGAAGTCAATCACGGTACAATTGTTTTACCGCATTGCCTCCTTTATTCGTCATCAGCTCTTCCTTTCCCTATGGAATACAATCAATATCCATATAGTATCCACTACCTACCTTTCATTATATCAAACTTTTCTTTTTGAACTGTAGCTTAAGGATGATCTCTCTTCGATTTTTTTTAAAAAAAAAGCTCAACATACGTATTGTTCAAAGCCAGAAGGTTGTTTTTCGGCCACCGAGTGACGACCGAATCTTGAGCTCAGAGCGTTTGATAAATAAGATTGAGAATATGGTAAGCGCGTTTCTTTCATTTTTAGACCTCTTTTTTTCTTTTTTATCAATGTCCTACCTTGTAGCAAAAAGGCTGGTTTCTCGACAGAGAATTGACCTCTCACAAACCCACCGTTACCTGAACACTCAGGCAACCCGACCCACTAAGCCTTCTATCAAATGGTCAAATATGATTCCCCGTCCCTCTGTGTGGCGAGCTACCGTATATGAGCATTATACCAAAGGTCCCCCTGCAAAGTCATGGCCACTTTCTTACCATCTGTTGATTGCCACCATCCGCGATTTCTTGGACAGAGGCTGTTTATCCACTGTAGAACAAGCTCAGTATCTGACCAACAGCATAAAAAACCCAATTCCATCCGGATTCAAGGAAACCCCAGCAATAATCCCCTCATCTTACAGAACGCAGGCCGGTGATAATCTGTCTCAGCTTCTGTCTCTAAGAGACCAGCGAAAAATAGGGTGGGACTGGCAATCTGATCGACAGAACGCGTCTTCACTCGAAGGCGAGTGGATGGAAAAAGACGGGCAAGATGATCAGAATAGTCCTGTAGTATACTATCTACACGGAGGAGCATATTACTTATGCTCTTTTGGAATGTATCGTCGATTTATATCAGATATATTAAAGGTAACCTTTACGTATCATGTGGTGTTTGATTTCTTTTTTCATTATTTAAAGGAGTTGATGTTTATCGCTAATTATGTGTATGCGTGTAACACTACTTAGGGGTCAAATGCACGTTCATTTGCCATTGACTATCGCTTAGCCCCACAGCATCCTTTTCCTACTGCAGTAGAAGATGCACTGGCAGGCTACTTATACCTTATAAATCCACCCCCAGATGCTGGATTTTCTCCAGTTGATCCTAAGAAGATTGTTATAGCTGGAGATTCTGCAGGCGGAGGTCTAACACTTGCCTTATTAATGGCGATCAGAGATGCACGTCTGCCCCCTCCTGCAGGTGCAATGCCATTATCACCTTGGTGAGTGAAGAAGAAAAAAAAGGAGAAGAGAGACATATTTACTGGTGTATATATGGTTGCACTTTGCTATGCATATCCTATAATGCTTCATTCGAACTAAATGAAGATAACTTTTTTTTGTAGGACTGATTTGACGCATTCACTACCATCGATATTATCCAATGCGGCCACAGATTATCTCCCGAAATTGGGATTTAAGCATGCCGAATCTCCTGCGTTGGATTACTCCGTCCTTCCGAAACTCAAACATAATGAAGATGATCATGAAGAAATATCGATAGGTCCATTTGGAAAGAAAATTGATTTGTCTGAAGTAACAAAAGAAGATATGGACCGTATTCAGTTTTATACAAACAATGCGTCTATAAAGCTATCTCTGGCTAGTCCAGCCTTTGACAAGAAGGACTTACACGGTCTTCCCAAGCTACTCATTGTAAGTTCCAAATACAGTATGCTATAATACATCCTTTACTAATATGATAATACTTTTTTTTTACTTATATCGGAATAGCAAGTTGGTCTTGCAGAACGGCTTCGCGATGAGTCCATATATGTTGCTTTAAAGGCATCCGGTAAATATCCCGGAGCGTCTGACTATAAATCAAAGCTTCCCAGTACTCCAGTTACTCTTGAGATATATGAAGATCAGCCACATGTTTTCCAGATTCTTATTCCTACAAAAGCTTCCAAGTGTGCCAATAGTCGTCTGGCAAAGTTCGTAATTGAGGCAACTCAACCTGACCAGAAAGAACAAGAAAGTAAAGATGAGTCGCTTGTGGCAATTCAAATTACACCAGAAGGGGAGCACAAAGATGTAACACAGGACCTGCTTGAGCGTATGACATTGGGAAAATGGGACGAATGGGAAGCACGCCTAGCTAGACCGAGTTTACTCGAGCGCTTAAAGGAAATGCGAGAAAAACTATCTTAGTAAAGCTTTTTAAAAAAATAAAAGCTTAAACAAGCCCAATGGTTTTTTCTTTAAAAGAAAGTAATTACAATGTCAATGATATTAGGCGTGCTGGGGGTAAAGGTTAAGTATTGGGACTTCTTTGATTTTGCGATCAGTGCTGCTGAATAGCTATATACAGAAAAGATGTGAAAGTTGAGATACCATCCTAGGCTAATGGAGTAGATTGTGCGCCTCAATATACATATTCTATCCTATGTCCTATTCTTTTTTTTTGTGATGCTTGAGATGTTCGAGAAGCTGAGCAATAAAAATGATATTAGTATTATTATTCATAGATAAATCCGTAGCTTAATAACATATTCAGAAGCTCCTTTTTGGATTCTTTTTTGCACTTTTCTCTCACTTTCTTTTCCTTACCAAAACTATTTCATTAGATCAACTAGTGTTCAAATGTCAGAAATAGCACAAGAGTTCGATCCAGAGAATTATTCTTTTGTAATCGGTATAGGTAATAATATGACAGATAATAAGGACGTATTGCCTTAAGGTTTTTTTTTTTTAAAAAAAAATACTATTCCAATATTCAAGATTTCGGTACAACTTTCTCCGGATGTTCTTTTGTTTTTACCGGAGATGGTACAGAAGAAGTAGTTGACATAACAGACTGGTAATCAAAGAAGAGGAAGACGAGTGTGTATCTTATTATATTCAATTGGAAGACTAAGCCTTGTGTGTCGTATGGGGGTAGAAGGCCGAACCATGGAAGTCAATATTCAAAAGTACCAACTGCCTTACTTTACCAAGACAGCGGCCATAATTTGATAGCCTGGGGAGACGACGCAATAAACGACCCTGATCAATCAGATAACCCAGAAAGCTTTCTTGTAGAACGGTTCAAATTATTCTTGGACAAAAGTGTAGAAAGCATGCCTGAACTTCCATTTGACTTGACTGCTATCCAAGGTATAAATAATACACTATCTTTCTCTTTTTCAATATATATATATATATATGCGTACGTGTGTATGCTAGGTAGATAGATAGATACATAGCGGGTGGGTTAATGTGCTGATTATATTTATAATTTTTATCTTATATTAAACTTTATTCTTGTGCATCATTCTTTTATATGTGTATAGTCATCACAGACTATTTAACAGCATTCTACGAATACACAAAGACAGTATTCGAAGAGTCATTTCCAGACCTCTACGATCCTTCAAAATGTAGATATTGTCTTACTGTGCCGACTATATGGAACGATATGGCCAAGGCGATAATGCGCAAAGCAGCTATACAGTCCGGAATAGTTGATCCCTACGACCACCCAAATCGATTGATGGTAACTAGTGAATCAGAATCGGCAGCACTCTACTGCGAAAAGTCCTTTCCTGGATTCAATCTTTCTCATGGTGATCAATGGATGTTGTGCGATGCCGGAGGCGGAACTGTTGACTTAGTTGTATACGCGGTGGATGAATCCTCAGGAGAGAGACAATTGTGCGAAGTAACGATGGCGTCTGGAAAGTCGTGCGGATCGACTTTTTTGGATGCAAATATGGAGATACTAATCAAAGAAAAAATTGGGCATCTTGTTGAACTGAATGGATCAATGATGCTTCAATTAATGCATCAGTTTATTGAGGATATGAAGGTAATATATACATACATATCTTTGTAGTTGTAACAGCCCATCCTCAATCATTTATATTCTGATGCTCAACTACTTAATATTGTAGCCCCAGTTTGATAACGAAGAAGATATGTTCATGCCTTTGCCAAGTTCTATTCTGGAAGTTATCGAAGACCTTGATTCTGAGTCTGAAATTGTAGACGGACAATTGGTATTCACAGCTAATGAGCTTCGGGAACAGGTGTTTGAGCCAGTCGTTCTTCAGGTTATTGAATTAATCGAAGAACAATTCCAACAATCGTCAAGCGAAATCAAGGCCTTGTTTCTAGTAGGAGGTTTTGGACAATCAAAATACTTGTTCCAGCGTATAGAGGAGGTATTTGGTGACCGTTTAGAGTTTATTCATGTACCTCCACGTGGTGATCTTGCAGTTGCGAGAGGTGCAGTAATATACGGACTCAATCAGCAAAAGGTCACCAAACGAATCCTTCGCCGAACTTATGGGATCTGGTCGGCAATGATGTTTGATCCGGTGCTTGATTCGCCCGAAGATCAGATTGTTGATGGTGACGGGATGTCTCTTTGCAATAATCGATTCTTTGCATTTGCCAAGATGGGAGACGCAGTTGGAATAGATGAGTGCGTGTGCAGTGAATTCAAATGGTACAGAAGCGAAAGTCAATCACTCCGTAAGTTTTGGTAGTCCTTTGTACTTGTACTTGTGTGTGTATTATATGCTAATATTATCATTTAATTGAAATACACACACACACACATATGTGTATATTTATAAAGGGATATACACATATGGAAATTATGGAGATGCTCCAAGATATATAGATGATCCAGACATTAAGCTTATGTGCGCTTTTGACATTGATTTCCCACTTGACATTGAGCGAAATCATGAGGAAGGTATCCCGGCACTTGTAGGAATATACTTTGGATCAACCGAAATGCGGGTAGAAATTACAATCCATGATAGTATGTTCACCTACACGTCTGCTTATGACTGTCTTGATAATTCCTACGAAGTCGGATACAGCGAAGTTCCTTTGAAAAGTAAACCCTCTTTTACGAAACGAATTATACATTCGTTTGGCATCGGCAAGAAATACAAAGCTTTCAGATCTTTTATTTCATAGTCTTGTAATTAGACTTTGTAATCTGTGATTTCTTATTATTTAAAAAAATTTAATAAAATGTTTTGTTTGTGTATTTGTATTTACTTATTTATTTATTTTTTGGCAGGAAGTAGTATGAGCTTATTAGTAAATAAGGTATACTACATAAAACAGAGTATAAGATGTCGACAACATATATCGAAAATTTTGCTCGACTTCGATCGTCGGTTGTACATAATTCCAAAAAACCGGTAGCAAACATTTAAATTTCAGGCTCTTTGTATATCAGATTAGCTTACTGTCCTCGTTACATATTTTTTATAATATATATACACGTGGGCTTTGTTTCACAGATACAATAAATGGGCGGTAATAAAGGCAAAGAGGATCAATATATATATATATATATATAACAAAAGAAGAGGAAAAGGAAGAGAACGACATAATTCTACAATTACAGCACAAACTACTACTTGCATTATGAAATCTGATTTGTTTTCCTAGATATTAACTGCACTTTATTTATCAAGTCCAAAAAGGCCAAGGATAGCTCAATGATTTATTTATAGACGATATATATATATATATTCTAAAAATAAAGAAATATAGCTAGACAGCTATATTGGATAGCCTTCATATCATCTTGTTCTTGGCTTCCTGTGCGCGCGGAGCAAATACCAAAAGACAGTAAGACAGCCCAGAGGATAATACGTTGGAAATGCTTGGCAAAGATACTAATGATGGTTGTTGTATTTGGTTTAATGCTGTTATAAAGGATTCAGGGGCGAATGAAATATATATTGTCTAGCGGGGTTTATAATACACGATGCAATTTGGCATTTATTGGATGCTCTATTTCTAGGCTTGGCTACGTGATCTTTCTTCTTTAACATTCAACATGGCCATCCACAAAACAGCACAAGAATCGGACGCAATCATCAAGGAATTGCGTCTTAAACTGGGCCCAAAGTCAAAGACAATGAAAGACGAAGTAAGCTGTAGATCGCACAAGTCTGGCATGACCTAACCTTTACTATTTAGTATCTCATTCAATTCCTTGTTGCCCGCAGCTGGAGTGTGGTGGGTTTATTGTTTATTCGAGTCAAGTCAAAGATGGCTAATGATTTACACACACACACACGCATATATATATATACTTCAATTAGTCAGGCGCTAAGAATCAAATTGAAAAGACTTTGGAGTGGAGAGAAAAGCACAAAGTGAATGAACACCCTGTTGCCACAGGGGAAAATAAGTTACCGCTATTGTACCCTATCCGTGGTTACAATAGCATCCCTGATGGTAACCTTGAGGCTGCACCAGGTCTTTCAGAATCTGTCTTGAGAATCAATAAGTACATGGGTGGCAGCTGTCTCCACAAAACTGACAAGAATGGTTGCCCTATCTACATTGAACGACTGGTAAATGAATGTTCTATGGAGACTGCACGATCAAATCGATGTATTTCTAAATAAAAGGCAATTGGGTTAAACTTTTTTCTTTCTTTTTCTTTTGTAGGGTTACCATGCAGCAAAGGAGATCGCGAAGTACACAACAGTTGAGGAGGTGTCTAACTACCACATCGGCTGCAACGAGTTTCTTAACCGAGTAATTATGGAGGATTGCTCTCGCGTGGCAAACAAAACTATCAATCATGAGACTGTGATATTTGACTGTACCGGAATGGGATGGCATCGTATGTTTGTATACCAAAAAAAAAGACCTCTTCCTCTCCAAAGACAATGTGAACAATGACAAACTAATTTGATGTGTATTATTGTATATATATAGAGCTTCACATGCCAGCACTACACTATCTTCGTGCTATTTCTGATGCAGATCAAAACTATTACCCAGAAACTCTCAGCAGACTTTTCTTGGTCAATGCACCTTCGTCATTTGTGTTTGTGTGGAAAATAGTAAAGGCATGGCTTGATCCTGGTGTAAGTGCTTTTGTTTTGTACGTGATATTTTTCAAAATAGCTAATAAGATATATGTGTGTATGGGCATATATATTTTGGGGACAGACCATTGACAAGATCAAGATTTTGGGTTCTGACTATAAGGAGGAACTCTTACAATATATTCCTGCCGAGAACTTACCGAGTTTCCTGGGAGGAGAATGTACATGTGCTCATATGCCAGGCGGATGTGTGCCATCTCAAAGTAAGTACCATAAAACAAAAAATGGTAACCTAAATGAAATCCGCACCGACTAATAATTCTTATCGGTGTATATATTTAAAGTGCTCAAAAACATCCCTTCGCTTGTACCTCAATCCCACAACGAAAAGGTTTCTACCCCATACAACACAGATATTATGCAAAAAGGAACCTCATACGAGGACTAAAGAAACCAACAAACCAACAAACCAACTCCCTACTTAATTTTCGCACACACACACACACACATATAGTACAAAGTACTTGCATTAAACAAAAGAACACTTAAATATACACTACTCGATAGCTCACGTATAAACATTATTATTTTACAGCACACTTGCACACACGATTTTTTTTTGTTTTCCATTGCAGGTCGCCAAAGCAAGCCAAAAAGGTTATTGTTTGATTTTATTAAAGCATTAAAATGTTTAATCGAAGAGACCTTTTTATCCAAATAGGCAGAAAAGAGAGAAGACGTAATTAGTTTGTATTCAGACACATATATTTGTTTCATTTATATTTCGTTTTTTAATAAAAGAAAAGCCTTTAAACTTACCGAAGCCCATATCGTCATCGGACTCCTCCTTCTCCTCAACAGCCTCCTCAACGGCGGCCTCAGTGGAGGCAGCAGCACCGGCAGCACCAGTGGCAGCGGCGGCTCCACCGGCACCAGGGGCACCGACGTTCAACAAAAGAGCCTTAAGGTCCTGGCCAGCGAGGGCCTTGGCGTAGAGGGAGAACCAAACGGGCTCAACCTCGATACCAGCAGCCTTGACAAGGGTCTGGAGCTTGTCAGACTAAAGTAGATTGAAATAAGGCAATGTAAATCATCATGTCGTGTATTATTATTTTACACCCTAACAACTCCGAGAGAGCGAGCTTACGGTGATTTCAACGTTGTCATCCTGGAGGATGAGAGCGGCGTAGACGACGGCGAGTTCGGCAGACATGCTACAAGGAGGTGTGAGGATGCTTATTGGATGGATATATTGATGGATTGATGGTAGACTTCTACATACACGCAACGGATGGATGAAAATGAAGGAGGTGACCCTTGCTGCCCATCCATCATCTTCCCTATGTGCCCTCTCCCTTGGAAGCACAGTCACAAACTTGGACTGTGCCGTTGGATCGGAGTAGAATAGACTTCTTGAAAGTATAGGATTCTGACCTAAAAAGAGACGGTTACAAAAATTTTACGAGACAATTGCATAAAGAAGGGAAAAGAAGCTTGGAACGTACTCCATTTTTGTTAGAGATCATTGAAAACTCTATAAAGAGATAGAATAATAAAAAAATGTAGATCATTTCAAAAAAAAAAACATTATCAGACACTTTTTTAAGAGAATCATAGAGTTTTTATTAAATTATTTAAATTAGAAAATTAATTACATGAACTACTATCTACCGTAAATTATTAAAGACTTTTTCCCCTTGAAAGTGAGAAGGATGAATGCAGCGTATCGCTATTTTTTATTGTAAGTGTATTTGTAGCGATTTCTCTCTCTAGAGAGAAGCATACATTTAAGCATAATTTAAAAGCCAAGGTTCAGAATAGAAAGGGATCTATAAAACATTACCCTGGATCTAAAAGTCTGAGTCTTTCATGAATGAATGAGTAGCAGTAATCTTACGGGGGCAACGTTTCCTGGTGGAGCACGACGTTTCTATCTAACCGGACCAATTAATTGTGACTACATGTCCAGGGCCCGGCGTCTTTCTCTAATCCTTCAGGGGAAAATGGTGTGTCATGAAAAAATACGATATATTCATTGTATGCATTAGCTTTACTACTTTGTCCCCACACTTTGCGTATTCATCAATATCTCCCCAGACATCTAACTCTCATCTTTTTAAAAGTCACAGTCTGTCTTTGGGCAATTTAATAATGAAATGTTGTCTCATACAAAAATCAATTCCTGTATATTCAATCAATAACCGCTTGACCCTTATATTTAGACTTGACAATAAAGAAATAACAATTAGTCGCAAACACACTATATCAATAGCCAGTTATCCAGAAGATTATAAGGAGTTGCTGTCATTAGAGTGTGACGAAGTCTTGTTGGGTATTTTACTATTTATTGGCCTTCTTACACGTATCGTGCCTTTCTCTTTCTTTCACCTACTTGCATTCCCAGAGTTTGACAGCACAAACTGGTAAATAATCTCCACTCATACTTTTTTTTCTGCAAAGTACAAAGAAAACCTTTATAAGAATACTTTGTATCCTTGGGGACCAGACAAAATTATTTCGTACCGGTAAAGGGTCAAGATTTGTGGTCTGGTAGAATCAAAATGTCGACCCACCCACCAGGAAATGCCGTCTCCCTAAAATTACTGTTAAAATATGTATCAAAAATATAAAGCCTCGAATCTACAAGCGAAGTGAATTTTAAATATTTTGAAAATTTTAAACATGTATAAATGATAGAATAGTCTGATGAATATTTAAAAATAAAAAAAAAGCTCACTATATTTTATAGAGTCCTTACTCTACACGAAGATGTAAGCATAATCAATAGTATTATTGAAAACAACGGTTCCATTTCAGAGCAAGACATTTACGCACTCTAGCTTCCCATCATTAAGAAGATTACATCTATAAAAAAGATAATCAGAATTAAACAAGGGGAGACGATTAACCTGTTCACTACCAAGCGCAAAGAGGCCCAGTATTTTGATCATGAAAAAGTAAAAGGATCTAAAATTGATGTGCGTTTGCTGCTAGATTATGATAGAAACGAAATCGGTTTATGTGCTGGAAAAGTTTGGATAAATACCTACGATCCAGACAAGCTTATCCATGATAGAAGTAAATGCATTTGAGAATCAAAAGAAATCTGCGATCACCCGATTGAAACAGGATTGGGAAGAGACTAGAGGTGCGCACGGAGTGGGACTACGCAGTGAAAAACGCTATTGATAGCAGAAAATGTTCCTAATTTAAATATAGTGCAAAATGGGATATATATGTGCTGTATACACAATTATAGATTGCTGTTACAACAAGTGCTATACTTCAAAGGTAGAATCTTGCGTGAAAGTATGGTAAATAGTAAATAATTTATTATGCATGTAATGTTAATAAGATACAAACATACTACTATTAAAAAAATGGTATTTATCAACTCTACCATGTTTTCTTCTACTTTGAATAAGAGGTACTATTTTATAGATAAAAAAAAGAGAGCAAAAATGGTATAGGGCAATAAAATAAATATGATTCTCACAGGCAGTAGTGATAGTACTCGAATATACTTCTATATCTGGGCATCAGAAATATTTTACACCTGCTCTCTATCAGGTAGCGATTTTTCGGACGTTTAAGATATTTGGTGTGGACAGACTAAAAGTTCAAAAAAAAAATGGCAAAAAAAAAGAGCAAATATTCAAGTTATATTACTGGGCAAGAGTTTTAATTAATTTTGCCCTTTTTTTGCCCTTTTTTTTGAACTTTTAGTCTGTCCACACCACCTATTTGTTTCCTTGAATTCACATCTTGAGAGCAAGCTTAATCTACTGTTTTTGCTAAGAAAAAGAAACTGAATCGCAAGTAGACAAGAGATTTCGCTCGACTTCATTTCTTGTTTTGTATGTGTGGTGAAAAAGTTTATTCATTTTCGTATTTATTTATATATATATTTAATTTAAATTACAATGTGATTTATGGTATGTTTTTTTTATTATTATTATTATTAGTAGTAGTAGTAGTAGTAGTAGTAGTAGTAGTAGGAGTGGTAGTATTATACACAAAAAGAGCTGGTTCGGTTCGGTTCGGATTGAAGTTCAGGTTCAGGTTCTCAGGTTTGGGGGTTAGGATTTGGATATGGATTTTGATCGTGATTGAGATTGAGATTTGGGTTGGGGTCAGGTTAATTTATTTTACAGTTGTTTGCCGTTGATGGCAGATGGTCCCGTTTGCCAACATCTCCTCTAAGTCAACGTCTTCTCTTCGTCTCTTCATCCGCGCCTTGATTTGCTGCCTTTCACGCTCCAGCATGGCCAGAACAGTAAACTGTTCAGTTCGTTCTTGTTCAAGCTCAAGCGTTTTAAGCTTCTGCCAGCCGTTGTGTTTAACACACCGCCTGCTCTGGCGACATGCCATTTCGGGGTCTAAAGATGGAAGTTCTTCTGCTTCCCACTTGCTCTCTGGCCAAGAAAGGCGACAATCATAGCCACACACATCTTCATCGGCAGTAGGCTGTGTAGAAAGTGTGGCAAGGAAGGCAGTCTTGCGTTCGACAATCCCAATCATTCTCCGCGCACGTTTCTTTTCGTCCCTGACTCTCAGTAAACGATGTCCATCGTCCCGGTCAGCAAAGGAGCTGAGGCGACTCTTTGTGAGATAGCTGTGACGGTCTGCCAGGGATGAAGAGGAGGAAGATGAAGAGGATGTAACAGATGACCTGCGCTTTGATTCTGCGCAGGCAATGCGAGTCCGTGCTACTTGCATTCCGCATGCATCGCTGCAGTACTTTGACATTTGACCTTTTGTACCCATCCTAGCTGCCCTTTGGCAGACCGGATTTGCACAATGAGCTTTCCAAGATGTCTTTTTGCCTTCACCTAAAAATACATTTTTTCAAGAGAAAAATAAATAAATAAAGAAAAGTTAATACATTATGCATATATAAGTATGTGTATAAATAAGAAATATATATATATATATATGTGTGTGTGTGTATGTATGTACATGTACGAGTATGGGTACGGGTATATAGATATGATATTATTTCACGTACGTTTTGCACAGCTGTGACAGAAATAGTGGCCAATGAATTCACTTTGCTTTTCACTAATCCCAATACACTCGCCATGGAACCATTGATCACATAGATCACAGGCAATCATAAAGCGAGGGGCATCGTATGGTGTTCGGCAGAAGCAGTAGAGTGTGTCATCTGCAGCCGGCCCACTCCGGCTCAAGGTTTGGTCGGGTAAACTTTTGGAAACGGGTTTATTGGTTTGTTCTACTTTTGGCTATTACCAATTTTATTATTGTTTTTAGGAATGTGATCATGATTAGAATGATTAGATGAACAAATGTAAACATACACGCACACATAAACCTCTTAATTTTTTTTTGTTTTGTTTTTTTTTTCTTTTTCTTTCTTTATATATAAACTCACCTCTTCTTTTAGTAGAGGCTCAGCTGGTGCTGTGCGTGTCTCTCGGTCGACTCCGTTTTCATATTTCCAAACTAGGGCAGTCGTGTCCTGTGGAATCTCTGGGCTAGAAGTCTTTCCTTTTGTAATCCAATGTTGAACTTTTTTTAATGGCTTCTTCATCGTCGCCGCCGCTGATGTAGTCGATGTTACTACTGTTTTTGTTGTCGTTGTTGTTGTCGTGTCTGGTGTATGTCTGTCGATCACTGGTTCAGGACTTTCTTCGATTGTTTCCCAGGTTTCTGATGGTCGGGAAGATGGTCGGGAAAGTCTTTGATCTACTGTTGTAGGTGTATTCATAGTCATTGTTCCTCCTAGCCCTACTCCTATCCCCCCTCCTCCTGCTCCTGCCGCTGTTGTTGTTGTTGGTGTTCGATTAGGTGTTTCTACCGGCTGCCATTTCAATACTGGGCAATTCTGAGATTCTTTTGAGAGACGCTTTCGAAGAGGAAGGCGTTTGGAATTCCCAGCTGTATCTGATTTTGGGCGAGTAAGTCCAGGATCTAGGCATGGCTTTTTGTTGAGGTGATCAATGTTTATTGCTAGTTCAGGATTGAGCATCGAAGTGATGTCTAGTGCGGCTGAATTACGTTTTAATGCTTCATTGGAAGGACCATCTTGAACGTAAAGAGACATTGTTTTAACTCAAGGGAGGTTGAAAGAGAGAGAGAATATGTGTGTGTGTGTGAAAGAAGAAGAAGAAGAAGAGAAAGAAGAGAAAAGGAAAAGCGAATGAAAATAAATACTATACATGTATAAATAATATATGAGTATATAATTATTACTACTGTAAGGGAGGGGGGGTCAATTAAAAAAAAAAGTTCGAACGAACCTCAGAAATTCAAGAATATTATTGGATAAGAGTTTTAATTATTATTATTTTTGAAAATCTTGAACTTTCAAAAGGAAGTTCAAAAAAAAAAGTTCAACAAAAATGGATTGACCAGACTTCATCTATTGATTATTGGGCTAAGAAAAAAAAATTAGTGTGAGGAAGATGCGTAATACGTAGATACAATAAAATTTAGGTAAGTAAACCCTTGGATAAGCACAGAAGAAGAAAAAAACTTGTAAAAGAAGCACTTTAATCAGATATATTTGCGCTATTTATTATATAATAATAAGAAGGACAGAGGGAAAGAGAAACTATATGTATATAAAACACGAACTGTACAAGCATGTGCACTGTTGTAAATATAATTAACACCAGAAAGAAGTAACCATTGTGTGTTGATTTGAGGCTTATCTAACTAACAGCACAATTTTTTTTTCTTAATAATATAAAGAACAGCAATATTAATATGATGTAAAGCCGTTCTATTTCATTTGGTTTCATAGCAAAACCAAAACCAAAACCAAAAAACAACAAAAGCGACAGTATACTATGTCATTTAATATGCAAACAATGGTCTAAGCGAGGATATCAAAATTGTATTGTTGTTTTCTCACTGTATGTGGTAAAGCTACCGACCTATTTAAATTTTAGATACTTGTCTAGAGACCAAGTCTTTTATACAAAAATGCCTTGAATAGAAATTGTGTTGAACCAAGTCAGGAAGTTTAGATGTTCGCGTAGGGTAAATTACAATACTCCTAAGTTTATTACAAAGAAACAGAAACTATAGCTCGTAAACTATACGAACAACGCGAACTTTGTGGATAAGCTCAAAATGAGTAAATGATCTTAAGACAGAATGTATACTATGATGACATATTGAAATTAATTATACCTAATAAAATTGACAGTATTACATACCAATGTCTAATTTACCTTATACACTTTATTCTTTTTTCTTAGTATAAGCTTGAACTTTTCTTTTCTTTTTTACAAAGTGGAGGGGTCAAATTTAGATCGTTATTATTGGTTGAAGTTCATTCCAACCTTGGTTCCAACCTTTTTTTTAATTGACCCCCTCCTTCTTATGGTTGTTGTAGATTATATTGTACGCTTATATATCGATATATAACACAACAGGGTATAATATAAAGAAGAGCGAATTGGGAGAAAGCAATTTAGACTTGAGGAACAAGTGTTTCTTTTGATACCAGCCAAACTTCTTTGAAAGCGTTTTATTATACTTTTTCACTTGCAGTTCTTTCTCACTACGCAACTACTCACATGTTTTTCTGCAATTGTCAAAATAGATAAATAAAATCCCAGCTCCTTTCCTCTTATTCTGTTTCCCCTTTCTTCCCATTATTTCCCCTTCTTTCCCCTCTTCATCTCTATATATCTCTTCTGCATATGTATTTATATTAGAATTAAATAAAGATATATATAGGTCATCTAGTATATTACAGTCTTTCGATTGGTGCTTGAAGGGCTAATACATTGATATTGCTATGTGCGCATGTGTGTTTTGAATGATAGTAATAATATTATCACTTCTACGGACAGGATGAAATGTAAATTATATTTAATTATTGTCCTTAACATTTTCCTATATTATATTGGATTAATATATATGTATTAAACCCTTTTTTCATTCTTTCTTTCTTTCTTCCTTTCCTTTTTTGTGTTTCTGCTGATTTCCTAAGTTGTAATTCTTGGCGAATTATTTAACAATGGATTTTCAGGTGCTGGGTGAAATATCAATATCACAATTACCCACACCACAATTGATGCAACATTAACTACTCAAGTAAGCACAAAAAAAAACAAAGGAACAAAATGAATAGGTAAATAAATCAAGCAATTAAGCAACCAAATATTACTGATACGCATATATGTACAATACTTACTATTGCTTATAAGAAAATCAGCTGTCAGCTTATTGCCGTTAAGCATTTGTTTTCCTGTCAAACCATCAACACTGAGAATAATAAAACACAAGGAATCGATAAATATCGCGAGTGACAAGATACGATTCAACTCCTGGACAATAAAACCAAATGAAATGAGATGAAAAGATTAGATCCACTTATCAAAAAAAAGGCTTGCCTTGAAATAACCAAGCTTGCGTGTGATTGACCTTGCGTGAGAAGAGAGGCAAGAGTTGAACAATAACTTATTAAACCTACAATGAGACACCACTCCCAAAAGTGATAATATAAAAAGTGCTATATACATATATAGTCATGTTTGTGTTTCAGTATCGATAGCAAAAATAAAAAAAGGGAATTCTCCTTTGCAAGTACACTACCTACCACAGCCATATACAAGTTGAGGCATCACTTCTTTGTAGGCAGGAATATATACGTTTCGGGAATAATTGTATTGGATTACAGGAAATGCGATTATACTGACGCACGTCCTAGTATAAGAAACCAACTCAAATGTATTAACAGTCGTAGTGTTTTCTTCTCTTTACGATTCTGATTTTTAAAAGAACATAAGATACACACCCATACACATACGCGTGTGTATACAAAAGAAGGATAAGAGGTGGTAAAAGCCCCCCTCTACCCCCTCCTCTATCCCTTACACTCCAGCCTAGCTATTTCTTTACATTGTTACTATAGTTTTCTCTATCCGTTTATTTAATGCAACTCACCACACAATGTAACATTTGAACTCCTTACTACTCATGAACTTTGCACCAGCCACCAAGTTTGCCAAATAGTTCCAAAAGCATTGTAGTAGTAACAGAGTGCTACTATATTGATTACATATTGGACAATAGTTTTTTTTAATGCGTCGAATAATTTCTCATTCTAACTATATGTGCCTGTATATGTACATTAGGTATCAAACTTACGTCTGTAGTGAGAATCCTATGCAAAGACTGTAATCTGATTTGTAAATTAGAATATTTTAACTTTGAATGATTAATTTCACATCTTTATATGTATGTACGTATGTATGCATACATTACCAGTAGGTACAACATAGTCTTTGTTAGCTTGACTCCACAGCATCTCTGGCTTAGTAACGTATTGTCCATTGTGTTGGATATATCCTTCTTCATATTTTACTGTACTTGACGCTACATCTAATACAAACGCTATAAATAAGAAAGGCATAATAACAGCAATGACACTAGTAGTTGAATGTGCTTTAGTAAATATGATTACCATATGTCAATTGAAACGGAAGCATAATCAAGATCAGCAGCGAGACAATGGATTTGAGTTCTCCTTTCCGAATACGGCTCGGCGAGAAGCATTGAAATCTGTCCAATTGACAGACACGATATATGTACCATAAAGTGAGGTACGATATGGAAACAACCCTTTCTATTTATTTATGTAGTAAATCTGTCAGTCATCAAATATCAGATGGTTTACTCACATTTTCTTTTCTTGTTATTTTCTTTGGTTGATTGGACAGCTTACGAAGGAAACTAAAATCACTCAAATGGGTCATTATCAAAGAAGAAGAAGATTAAAATCAAAGGTGCTATCAAAGCTATTTTAACTTGAAGGAGTAATATATATAGAGAGCGAGAAAACACCAGCAGCAGCGGCGGCGGCAGAAAGAATATTGGTTTGTATTGCAGTAGGATTTATCAAATCCCTTGTAGTTTCCTTTTTTTCCCTTAGTTCTTCCATCCTTTCTTTCTCTCTCTCCCCCTGAGACGACAAAGGATAACAAGTGGAAAGTATAATTAGTGGTCTGCACTGGTGCATAACTTTGGTCTCTTCTATATATATATATATGTGTGTGTGTGTGTGTGTGTGTGTATTGTCGTCTGTATATACATGTGTACTAAGAGAATTACATGGACCTCTTGCCTTTCTTATTGGCAATTGACCCTACAAAATTTGATTCAGTTCAATTTGACACCACTCGAATGTTCATGATTGTATGTATATAATGTATATATATAATATAACAGATTGCCCTGAATTATTAATTTTCTTTTTGGGTTTCTTGTACTCATTAAATCAGAGTCACTTTCATATGGGATCAATTTATTTGGCTGACGTGGAAAAAGGTACAACACATTTTCGCTCTTTTTCATTGAAAGAATACGGTGTAGTAAGCAGGATTGTTGGCGCTGTATAAATAATCCAAATCTGGTATTCTTTTTATTTTTTTATATTATATATATTACCCCACACATATATATACATACATTTGATTTTTCTTTAGAGAAAAACTTTAGCAGGCCTTTACATTCTACTCATTCATCGCAATGGCCAAAGACGAAGGACAATCGACTTCAAGCGTTCGTACAGGGTAAATCATTAGCTCTCTATCTCTTGATATCCCTTGCTATATCTATCCTTCACTTTATTATAATTATATGTAGTAAGAAAAACAAAGCTTGACAGAAAGTACTCATCAATAATTATACTCTTACTTTTATTTTTATTTAATGATAATAAAAAAGACATGAGCTCAATCAAGCTGTTCTTGAAGCCTACCTCATTAAAAATGTACCTGGATTCATCGGCCCATTGCAGATTAGCCAGTTCAAACTCGGCCAATCAAACCCCACATATCTTTTGAAGGATGGAAAGTAAGTAACAGATAATTATAATAACATTAATTATAACATTTGGACTAACTTCTTTTTTTAAAAAAAAATGTAGTAAGCAGCAATATGTTCTTCGTAAGAAGCCCCCAGGTGCTCTTCTCTCAAGCACTGCACATGCTATTGAGCGTGAGTACAGAGTAATCCATGCAGTTGGTACATCCTCGGATGTGCCTGTCCCTAAAGTCTACTGCCTCTGTGAAGACGTTTCTGTCATTGGAACCCCATTTTATGTACGTATATTCTAATACGAAACTCTGTCAGTATATTTACCTATATAACAAAATATTAAATGCCGAAACACATTGTTTGATTTGAATTTACATATTAGGTTATGGAATTTCTTGCAGGTCGCATTTACTCTGACGTTCGCATGCTTTCTTTGCCTTATGAGGAACGCAGAGCTTGGTGAGTACTCAAAGAGAAGAATAAGAAGAAGATTATAATGCATAATGCATTAAAATTCATATTTAATTCAATTATGGTTATAATTTTGCTTCTGTTTCTGCTTCTGATTTTGCTTTTGCTGTGTAGTTGGATTTCTGCTGTTGAGACCTTGGCCAAGTTGCATAAACTGGACCACAAGGCTATTGGCTTGGATGGTTACGGAAAGGATTCAGGTTTCTATGCTCGTCAAATTAGATCCCTTGCCAAAGTTTCTGCTGCACAGGCTGAAGTTGAGGATAAGGAGACTGGTGAGAAGGTTGGACCTATTCCTCGTCTGAATGATATGTTTACTTGGTTCAAGAAGAACCAGGTTCCTGACAAGGCTACTATTGTACACGGTGATTTTAAGGTAATTTCACATACACATACACACACAGAGAGAGAGAGAGAGAAAAAAGGATATATACTAATACACTCCCACATATATATATATATATATATTTGAATTTCTATATTTCTTTGTAGATTGATAACATGGTAAGGAATCACAGTTTAACCGCAAGCAATGATAGCAAAAAAAAAGCATAATTCTAAGAATCCGATTTTTTCTTTTTGTTTAGATCTTCCACCCAACTGAGCCTAGAGTCATTGGTGTTCTTGACTGGGAGTTGTCTACAATCGGACACCCTTTGTCTGATCTTGCAAATCTCTTGCAACCCTTTTATGTTTATCCTTCTGATAAGATGACCGGGTTCAAGGGATTAAAAGAACTTCCTATTCCTGGAGCCGATGAGTTGATGAAGGCATATTCTTCCATTCTTGGACAACCCTATCCAATTGATCGCTGGATGTTTGCCGTTGCATTCTCTTTCTTTAGAGTAAGTCATTACACTATCAGCAAACGAACAAACACTGTATTTATTCTTCTTTCTTTTTTCTCTTTTTGGTTTAGCTTTCTGTAATTACACAGGGTATTGCTGCTAGAGTTGCTCGTAAACAGGCTTCTTCTGCACAAGCAATGTATTATGCAGTCATGTTTAAGCCAGTGGCCAGAATGGCTTTGGAGATTGTAGATGAAGGTGATTTGGTTCAGAACCCTGTTAGTAAACTATAAGTTATTTTCAATGAAAATATAAAATATAAAAATAAAAATAACAATAACAATAAAAAAGCATATTAAAGAGCCTGTATATTTTGCATGTGGTGCATGTTGATCGTATCGCACTTTATTAAATTATACACATGTTTCAATGTATCTTGTTTGCTGGGCTGTATGTGTTTCTATATGCATTTTAGAGACCTTTAAGAGCCATTGCACCAGCAACCAGCTGCATAAGTTTAACTGGATCTTCTTTAACATCACCTGTTTGATAGTACTAGTAAAGTATGCGTTTGTGAGATTTAAAAAATCCTGGGGTTGTTTTTCTTTTGCTGTTGCCGTTGTGGATCTATCCATTATGCTTTACCTTTTGGATACGTTTCAGATCTCTTATCTGGTCCAGTTGATCCAAAGCCACCACATCTCCCTTGATATTATCTTTCATAAAAGCAATTGCCTATAAAAATGTACACGTATTATAAATATAAAGTATATTGTATTGTATTGCATTTAATATTTAAATTATAAAAAAAACGATATCCCAATTTTAACACATACCCAAAGTATTTTCTCTTCTCTACTTCTTTACTTCTTTGTGTCTCACTTTTTTTTTACATCTACAAACACGTAGGCATATGCATACGCACAAATAAACAAATATTTACCTCTTCACTGGTTCCTCCAAGTTTGACAGCGATAATATCAGTCGTGGTGTCTTCAATACCAAATCTCTTTAAAGATTGAGAAATCTAATTCAAGTTTTGTACACAATATTCATGTGTTTGTTTATTTGTTTGTTTGCTTATTCTTTTTTCCTTGAAACACATTACACATTGCACACTGCACATTACAAAGTAAATTAAGCTGAACTAAACTAAACTACTATATCATATACACAATAATTCAGTAATTAATTTCTTATTAAATCACATACATGAATAGTCGATGAAAAGTCGAATACAATCTCGGAATTAATATTGTGGGTTTTGAGCTGGTTGTGTTTTTCATCATGTGCAGCTCTGTTTGCAGCCAACATTACATGAAAAGGATTAATGACCTTTTATATATATTAAATATATTAAATATTTATTGATAATTGTTCTTATTATTATTCTTTCTCTTTCTCTTTTTAATAATTATATTAAATTATCATTGTAATAAGAATATGAATATGAATGAAATCTAACCAATTCAGCATTGACAAGCGCGCAGGCCATTGTAGCGTCTTGGTTAATCAATCGTTGGCGTAACTCTGGTGCATTTGTAACATTTCGGAACAGACAGACGTGAGCTTGTCCGCGTACGGGATGTAATTCAAGTTTGTAAGATTCCATTATATTTTTATATATTTATATATATATGTATATGTATACGTACATGCTTACAGTTATATACACACACACGGAGATGAGGAGTATAAGCTTGTGTATTAATGCGCACAGTCTAGACAATTAAATGATTCGTCAGTGATGCTTTGTGAAAAAACAAACGTGCACCCTTGTTGGGTTAGTACTATGATGTTTGGACACAAAAGAGAGAGAGGGAGAGAGAGAAAAAAGACTTCCAATCATCAAATATGATGCACTGCGCCTCTTTTATCTTATATATATATATATATATATCATACGCACAACACAAATTGTATCACGGGCGTTTTAAACAAGCCAAACCAAAAATAAAACTAAAATCATAATAAATACACATACAAATACGCACATACATACACACATACAAAGATATATATATATTGCATGTATTATGTAGTCTGGTTTCAACACAAAAGGCTAAGTAGATTTTGTATTATATTGTGATTATTTTGTATTCTTTGTATATTCAAAACACAGGAGGTTCGATAAATGTATTATATACATACACACAAATGCAAGTACAAGTACAAACGGTAATAATAAAATAGGTAAGTAGGTAGGTAAGGTTTTGTGTACAACGGGTACATGTCAAGTACAACCAAATAATATTTATTTCATGGGTTGCAAGTAATATATTTATATATAAAATATAATATGTATTATGTATCATGTATCATGTATCATGTAGCGTATAATGTATGTAAGTAGTGTATATATTTATTGCAGAGGTACGTGCGCCAGGAGCTTGTTTTATTGCCGCATATTATTCTTTGTAGAAATCCCAGTATATATTTGTGCAAATTTGTAAAAATAAATAAAAACAAAAAAAAACAGAAATACTATTTACGATTGCTGCCACTTCTCTTCCTTCTTCTTTTTCTTCTGCTTGGATCTGTATTTATACTTGTACTTCTTCTCCTTCCTCTACTTATTATATTTCTACTTCAACTACAATCATGGACATTATTGAGTTACTTCACCCAAGTGAGTCAAATAGCACGCGTGAATCAAAAAGATATCCATGTAGGTGGAAAGACTGCCCAAAGGCATTTAGTAAGTTCAAAAGATGTAAATCACACAAATACGCACCCACCCTCACCCCCCCCACACACACATATATATATTATCTTGATTTTCTTTCTTCTTTAAAAAAACACTAATGAAACAAAATAAAAAATAAAATAAAAGGTCGACCGTCTGACACAGCTCGGCATTATAGAATACATGTTGACGACAGGTATATAAATCAAGCAACTATATCTATATGACTATGTATATTCATACGTATCCTCTAGACCGTTCCAATGTCATATCCCTTTGTGTGAAAAGCGATTTATTCAAGTGAGATTATATACATACATTAGATTGTTTTTCAAGTTTATTTGAAAAATTACCATTATTATTTTTCTTTAGTTAATATATATATATATATATATATATATATATTGGGGGTTTTCTTTGTATTAGAAATCTGCACTGACTGTTCATTTGCGTACTCACTCTGGAGAGCGGCCGCATGTGTGCGAGAATATCAATTGTAAAAAAAGTTTTGGCGACATTAGCTCTCTTGCTCGACACAGGTAAATATGCAGGCAGGCAGGCAAGCATGGGAACACACACACACACACACACACATATATATATATATATTAGAATCAACATGAATATCATGAATAATACAGGATTAAATAATATATATATATAATTGTATTTATGTATTTATCATTCAGACGGATACACACTGGTAGTAGACCATACAAATGCCATTTAGAACATTGTCACAAAAGGTATTTTAAATATACATATAATGATATTTTTTTAAAATACACGAGTTACATATAACAAAAAAAAAAGAAAAAAGAAATAAATAACCACAGAAAATATTCTTTTTTGTATATGTACTTTTTATTTTTATCTTTCCAGTTTTACAAAAAAGGCACTTTTGGTACGACACAGGAAGAAGTGTCATGACCAGAAAACAAGCGAGTAAAGAACAGAGCCAAGTTAATCCAAAATTAAGAAAAGAGAAGGAGCGAGCGAGTAAATATTATGTGGATATATAAATCAATATATATAAGTAAATAAGAAAGAAAGAGTATCAAAAGAAAAAAGAAAAAATATTTGCAAGTTCATCTTGTACGCTTGCAAAAATTCCCTTATATATATATATACATATAAACTTTAACTGAATATAACTTTTGTGCCTTTCATTATCGTATTCCCCACACACTCAAGTAATAGTTAAGAAGGAATCAAGTAATAAATTACTACACAAAGAAGAAATGTACGTAAAATATTGATATACTCTAAACTAAATTTTGAATAAATAATTATTTTTTTTACCATATAGGGGGTTTCACCAGTTCTCGATGCTTGTCATTTAAAAAAACAATAATAATTCAGAGGCACTTTAATTATTGTCCAATAATAGTCAATGTCGAAAGAAAAACTGTTGAGTGCCTTGAACACTTTCTGAGTAAAATACTTGGGTATATTATTAAAGCTGGTCAATCACAAAACATTCTCATTTTCTCTTTATATAAATACATATATTTAATTAAAAAAGTAATTGGCGTCATTTACGATTATTCTATAAGAATGCAAAAAGAAAGTTAAAGAAATACCTTTTGGTTCTCTTCAGCGTAGCTTAAATATATTCGGGATAAACCAATATATTCAAATGGCGCATTTATCAGAGCGGTAAAATATACTCGATTTCTTTTTGGGCAAGCGACCTTTTTTTGCCTAGCACTGTAGTAAATGGCAGACATTATAACTCCGCGACCGTAGGAATTATAATGTTTGCCAATAGAATCTTGGCTTTTAGTAAATTAAAAGTATTTACAGCGAATACTATTTATTGGAGTTAAAATTACTTTTTATTTAATCCAATAAAATCGTTTAAAGTAGCAAAATTATACCTTTTTTTAGATATCTCTATTCTTATAATTGGTTCAACAAATACACGGTTTTATTTTGGAATTTTATAGTTTTTATTGATCAAAATAATACAAGTTGAATATAAAGAAGTATGGAAAGAAGAAGTACTATCTTTTATGATATTTAGTAACAGTTTAAGCTATAAAGTTACTAAATAATATACATATATCTGTTTTTATGTGATACTTTTTACATTTTTTTAGCTAAAAAAAAAGGCTATTCTCTAGATACTATGATATTGATGAAGATATGTATATTGCTTAATTGATTCTTTTTAATCAAAGAGTATAAACCTGCTTTGTGTTAACATTGTCATGTCTGATTCATACTTTTGAAAAACAAGAAGACAGATTCCTTGCAATTCTCTAAATCTACCGAGATTTCTAATGAGCATGCGAGCAATCTTGACAACCAAATTGTACTTGATGCATATATTTTTCTGTCAATTCTTCTCGGATTGCTTTCTTTTGTCAACTTTGCTGATTCGTATTTTATTAATACTAGCCTTCATAGTTATTAAGTGTGTTCCTTTTAGAGACTTTTAATAATTCTAAGCCTTGTGAAAAAAAAATAGAAACAAGTCCTTTTAGATGTACCAATCTAAATTGTTTGGAGAATATGGACGGGTCAGAGGTTATGCATCGTTTGTGGAATCGGGATCTTGCTGCTGTCCTGAACTTCCGACATATACTTAACAATCTGAGATATGATGGGACTATACCTGTAAGGTTCACCCGCGTCATTCGGATTGGACGTATCAGAAGACAAGCAGAAGAAAATCTCCAGGAGGGTCGTCGTTTGAGACAAAGATTGACTAGAATTCAAAGAAGATGAAAAAATTCCGTCCTGGTTACCGCTCAGGGCCCACCCAAGCTACCGCTGATAAGCCATTAGATTTGAATAACTTGGTATTTATTTTTGTAATGGGTTGAAAAAGCTAAGAAAAAGATGTTTTGCTTTAACTGCAAAAAACATGGTGGGGTAAAAAAAAAGTAGAATATAAAAGAGAGAGAGAGAAATTGGTGCATAATTAAAACGCAAGTACAAGATACCCTAAACCCCGGAAAACTTGCAACAATTTACTAAAATCGCCTATTTTTTTTCTATAGGGTAGCCAATAAAATAATTTAAAAAATAAATCGAACCTTAAAAGGGGATCTCAACTGTCCACCTTTAATAACTTTAATAAGCAGTACAAAAAATCTCCCAGAGCAGGAACACTCTCCATTTTAAAAGTATTGTACACTCTTTCCGGAAATTATTGGTGCAAAAATAAAAACAAATTTGGTGCAAAAATAAAAATCAATTTGTGCCATTCACCAGCGTACGAGGGAATTGCATCGAGGGAATTGAGCCACGTCATATACGATTCCGATTGTTATTCAGCATCTGTTTTTTAATTCTTTACTAAAATACCCTGCCCATTTTTATTTTTTTGTTAATGATTTGTTTCATTTTGGCTATATAAAATGAGCTTTTTAAAGTATGGTCATTTAGTATATTCCTTTTTGTAACTAGAGTCCTTATTTTAGAAATTTTGTCAATTCGGAATCGAATAAATTACTATGAAAAGTAATTTTTCTTTCAATTCCCTCGTACGCTGGTGAATGGCATTAGTGCAAAAATAATGATAAAATTTGGTGCAATTTTTTACCATTTCTCTGCTTAATTCATCTTTTTTGGTGCATTTAGTGCATTCCATTTTTGCACCAAATAATTTTTTGTTTTTGCACCAATAATTTCCGGAAAGAGTGTACCATATAAATGGGTTGATTTTTCGACAGTCCAAAATCCGTTCTTTTGGGGGGTTCTTTAATGGTAAAATATTGAGAGAGAAACCGTGTACCTTAGTTTAGAGAAAGTTTTTTCTATACACTTGTCCACTACCTGTTGGTCGATTTCTGAAAACCTGACTTGTGTCTGATAATCTTGGCTGATAGCGGATAAAAACCATTGTTAGCTCGTCGGCTTCTTTCAAATAGGTATGATTCGTTGAAGTCTACTCCCGAATTATCTATTTTTTTTTCAAGGCTACACTATTCCACAATCCACGTTTTCAATTTCTCTCAAAGTGCTTGCTTATGCTGATAATTTCTTAACCTTCCTCAGCGATTACCGCATTCTATAGGGGTCAAACACACGCCATTATACTCTCTATTATCATGTTCGTCACATCCAAAATAAATGATTTCCCCCTCCTGTTTGCCTGGAGTTCATCTTGGTAGGATTGTTCCTATTCCTCGCCAGCAATTTATTTCCGCTATCCCACAGCGCGATGAATATGGTGCCAAACTTTTCAATGATATACTTTTGTATACAAAGCTACACTCGAAAAATTAACTTTTACGCCCATTTCTGTGCAACAATCGTTAATTCCCTTGTACTTTCTTGTCTTTGACATACTATTCGTCTCGTCCGAGTCCTACATTTTATTTTCTCGTAAAACCTTTCTATCTATTATTGGTAAGTTCGTTATGCCCCGTATATTTCCAAAGATAAAGGATTCTACATTATGTCTTCCTCGGTCTGCTGGGGAATTTTGCGCCCATTTTCCAGCTACGCAACAATATACTTCAGTTGCAATAACCTCTTCTTATTCCTGCGTCTACAATTCTTCCGATTCCTATACGTTGGCTACGAGCACATATTTATATATATATATATATATCCTTTAAATTCATCTCTCCGGAAAATCGATCCCGCTTTTTTCTTTCTTTCTTTCTTTTTTATTTCCTACAAGTCGAAAAGATACTTTGCCTTTGTTTTCTGTACTCTCTTTATTTTGCTCTACTTATGATAGGCTACCTTCGTTAAACATACCTTCTTTTCTTTCTTTTTCTACATTTATTTCTTTTCCTTTTGATGTTATATGGTACCCTATGCCACATAATACCTTTCTTCCTATTTTTTGATTTCCTCAACTGGTGGTATCTGATGTCTTCTACTATTACTCTTTACTTCATTTCTTTTCCCATCGTTCTCCACCTTACCAACCAGCATATCCAAGAATCCCCGAACAAAGCCTTCCGTGTTTTTAGTATTCATACTGATATCCTACGGTCCTTTCTCTCCTTCTCTTCTTTATAGTAATTAAGTTGTATTTTGAACAATTTAATAAAATGTCTAAAATAAAATAAAATAAAAACGTCGTGGCCTACCATGAAATGTCGTAGCCTTAAGATCGTTGTTTGACTGAGACTCATATATATATATATAACCCATTTTAGGATAACAGGAAATAATTTTTAATCTATGAATTTTTTATAGGACCTTGGTTATTGTATTTTATTTTTAAAAAAAAAAATGAAAAATGAAAAATGAAAAATGAAAATGAATATGAATATGAAAAAAAAAATCTAATGAATAATGATATTATTCTTTTTGGTTGTTATGGTTATGGTTATGGTTATGGTTGTAGTTGTAGTTGTAGTTGGCATATAAAGTATAATAAAAATAAAAAATAGAAATAGAAATAGTAATTTACACACATAGTAATAATAATAATAAAAGAAAAAGTAAAAATAAAGAAAAATTGATGTTCATGCTTAGTTATAGAGTAGAGTGAAGTTGAGTAGAGTAACTTAAAGTAAAGTAAGGTACCGTAGAGTAAAATGATAATAAATAGATAGGTAAGAAAAAAATAATAAAGTTAAAAATAAAGTAAAGTAAAGTAAAGTACAGTAACTTTGGGTTTGTAATAATGGATGGGTCGTCTTTCGCTCTTTCTTTCTTGAGTTACAAAAAAGGAAGAAGAAAAAGAAAGGAAAACCTTGACTTATTCTGCAGAATTAGGTTTCTTTGGGCACATCCTACACCACAATAAAATTTAATATTAATTTCAACTCAACTCAATTCAATAGAATTCAATTCAATAGAATTCAATTCAATAGAATTATCTATATTATTACTATTTTACTTACATAGAGTAATGACCCTTTTGGCCACAATGGATGCATCTTCCGTCAGACATGTTTTTGTTGTTGTTGTGTAATGTAATTGATTGGCTTGTGTTTTTTTCTTTGAGCTTGAGCTTGAGCTTGAGCTTGAGCTTGAGATTTTGGTATTTTGGTGTTTTGGTATTTAGGCTTGAAGCTTGAGGTTCTAGGTTTGAGCTTGATACTTGGGGGGTGGTTAAATTAACCGAGCAATAAAATTATATAAGAAAAAAGAAAGGAAATATATGTGGTTTATATATGTTTTTTTTGTATAGAAAGAAGAAAAAGAAAAAGAAAAAGCAAAGAAAATAAAAAAAAGCGATTCTTTTATACGTGACAAAATATAGAATATATTTTTGTATTCGTTGCTCAAGATTACTTTATTTAGCACCAACAAAATTTATATGTTACAATACAATACAATAAAACACAATATAAAAAAAATAGTAATAGTAATAGTAATAGTAATAGTAGCTTTTTTTTCTTGCGATATAAACATTTGCCGATCATTGCCGACACGTGGCAGACCTGTCTCACAATAATAATAATAATATATATATAAGCGAAAAATTTCGTTGCCCTGGCGGAATGAATGTGACTTGACACTTGGTTACCATGGAGAAAGAACAAAGAAAAAAAAGAAAGAAAAAGAAAAAGATTAGTAACCATAGTAATCGTAATAGTCTATTCTTATTAAGAATAATTTATATATATATATGTAAATTTTTTGACAAAATAAAATAAGATAAAATATCAAATCAAATCAAATCAAATCAAATCAAACCAGAATTTAGCCTTGACTTTTCCTTGACTTTGCCCTTGACTTTGCCCTTGACTCTGAATTTGACTTTAACTCTAATTTGATCTTGACTACAGGCATTATCCATAGAAGTAAAAAGAAAGAATAGTAATTTTCTCTTTTTACTATTACTATTATTATTATTATAGGCCTCTCAGTAATATACCAATCGAAAATCTCCGCCTTATTAGAAATATTAGAATTATTGTAATAATTTATTATTATTATTACTATTATTATTACTATTACTACTACTGCGATTACTACTATTACCAACCTACTGTTTATATATATATATAGAAATATTTTAACGGAGTTGCTGGTATCAAACGTGGCTAAACGTGGCTAAATGTAACAAATATATTTCATACATTAATAGTTCTTACACAGCTATTGTAGAAAGAGAAATACAGATAGAGGCATATATTGTGTAATTATGACTATATATATAATATAATATAATTAAATATAGTATTATTTATTTATTTGTTTTAAATAAAAAACTTTTTTTTTCTTATTTTGATATATTCAATTCAATTCAATCACTGTTCTTTGGTCAAACCCGAAAGAAGTAAGAAAAATAGGACTATACTATATATACATAAATAGTCTGTAATGATTAGTACAAAAAGAATAGCTTTATATACACAAATCGTCGTTTAGTAAGCTTCTAATCATGTAAATGAGACCTGCCAGATTAGGCATCAAAAAGATTTGTTAGTTCTAGGGAAAGCCCCTTTTTGTGTCATTGGAAATTGTGCAAATATTATATTCTACAATACAGTGTTTCTTGAAATCATTCGCACACTTGATAAAAAAATCGTGCATTGGCGTTCATTAAAGCAGTTTTCTGTTTAAACAATCTTCGGATTTTGTTATGAAGATATGCAAAAGCCTTGTAGGTCCATAGTAAGCACTTTGTTGCAAGCTTCTCTGATTTTTGAAGACAATTCTTCCCCTCTTCCAAGAGCGCTTCTCTCTTTACTTTACTCTTGTATACTAGCCAAAATTTCTCAATGGGATTGAGTTCAGGTGAATATGGCTGGAGATAAACGCAGCTATAGCCATGAGCTTCAATATAATTTCTAATATCACCATGGTTATGGATAGGACAATTGTCTGTTATTAGATAATACCCCTTGGACTTTTCGTATTGATTCATTATATTTATTGTTTTAGCGACGAAGTTGAAATAATATCCAATTACGGTTCCGCTTTTTCCTTTCCCTGGTTTTTTGGTAGCTTCACCTAGCCATTTTCTTTATGAAGCAATGAACCCTTTGGGTCCTCAAATCTACGCTTATCACACTTAAGTGAGATATAGCTCCTACGATAGTATGCGATTCTGCTCTTGTTTTAGGAACTTCTACTATTGGTGCCTCTTCTACCGTTTCCCATGGCATACTGCGCTTCAAGTTGATGTTAAAAACCGACTCATCGGTAAAAACGCAGTTGGCCAAATAATCTATACCAGTCTTTAAAATCTCAGTAACCCATTAGAATCTGGCCTCTATCTTCGCTTCACTATTGCGTTCTTCAGATTGGGAGTGAGCTCTTTTGAGTAATATATTGCATCTAGTAGTAATAAATTTGTGGGGAAACGATCTTTATATGTCTAGATCTGTAAACTGACTAGTGAGTCTCTCTATCATCTCATCCAAAACAATGCTTGGCTTTTGATTTATGAGATCTATCAGATACTATTTTCGTTCAGAATTTGCTTCTTTTCATGCTAGAAGTTTTTTCTTTGGCTTTAGTCACTTTTAGTAATCTCTCTGAAGATTTGAGATTGATATGGGGTAAAAGTAGTTATTGAAGTCAGAGGATATTGGTCATCGTCAATCTCCATCTGGTATTCAATAATTTTATTTCCATTCTCATCCGTCAATATACCATCACCATCGCCATAATAAAAGGTTGCTATTTAAAAAAATATTTTGTATTTCTTAGTAAAAAGCAAAGCAAACGTAATTTAACTTTACACAAATATCTTTACTTTTTTCTCAAATATTTCTTATACTAATTCTTGAATTTTCTTTCATAAAGTGCACGACTAATTTCGAAAGACACCATACAATACAACAGTGCAGTCTTCTCTACTTCCTCCTCATCCTCCTGATTATCATCAGTATCATCATCATCATTACCATTATCACTATCATCTCTTGCTTAGCTGTTTTGTGAACACACAATCTAGACATATACTGTTACTCTCTTTGGAAATCCCAATCACCTGGACCACCACCTTCTACCTTTTTTATCCAGCTATTTAATTTTTGTGTCTTTGTTTGTGTTCATATTTTATTCTGGTCACACTATACCACGGGAGGAATCCAAGCTTGGTTATACACACACAAATGTATATATATTTGTATGTGTGTGTATGTGTAATGAAGAATAAGAAATATGATGATAATAATGAGAGTGTTCTTTCTCTTCTTCTTGTATACTGATAATACCAATTGTACTAATGACACTAACTCTACGGGAAATCAAATGCGTGCTTAGGCGTGTAATTTTTTAATGTGCTCCGGGGTGTATTTAGAGGTGTATTTTCTATTTTTGTTCAAAAGGTTTTTCTCTTCCCTTTTTCCCTTATATGTATATATGTAATAAGATGTATACATATATAGATATAAAATTATAGAAGTATATAACTATATACACATGCGTTTATTCATAAAAATATAGAAAAATAACACAGTGCTCCTAAAATTCAGTTGGAGGATACTTAAGATGTGTTACTGGAAGCAAAATGTCAAGTCCAAATACTTGGATTTGTCGCACAAATTTATGCATCAAGGAGTCTAATAAATAAATAGATAAATAAAGCAATGTGTTTCAAATTATATACTACTGTTATTAGAACCAGTATTAGTATTAGTATTAGTTTGAATATTATATATTATTTGAAACAAATTAGCTATTTAGTTTTTTTTTCTTTTTCTTTTTATTTCTTTTTTCTTCTTCTGTTCTTGGCTGGTATACAAAACCAATACACACACACACATGGACCAAAAAAAGAAAATAAGAGAACAAAAAAAATCTTTTGTCTAATGAGACCGTGCACCCACGCGCAGTACGTTCATTACACGTGGCTCCCAAACTGACTATTTCGTGTCAGGGTAATTTTTGAAGATCAGCATAGATAAATAAAGATGTATTTATTCGAAGAAATAAATAATTAGGCGAGAGAGAAAGAAGGAGATATAAGGAATTAATGAATGAAGGAATGAATTGGCGAATTAAAGGAATAAGGAAACGGCTCCAACCTATCCTGTGGGGACCCTTTCACCTTGAAGTGGAATATTGTCGGGCTTGGAACAAAATAAGCAAGATAGAAAAGGAGAAGCAGAGAAAAGAAATCGGTAATCGGTAATCGGTAATCGAATGGAGCAATTACTTTCTATATAAATAATTATATATATCTAAATACAATAACAGGTTATGGTCTGCGTTACTCGAGTCCAATTGGTGCAAATTGATCATAATACAAAATGTTTCCATATATCAAATTGTCGCCTTGTCAAACCATTTCTTTTATTTTTCTTTACGAGTTAAGCTTATAGAACACCAATAGCTAAACCTCTTTTGTATTCTTTCTTGACTCATCAAACTATCCTCTTCTGTACATTCCCACAGCTCAGCCCTAACCCTAATCCTGCCGGATACACTTTACTTTCCTTACACGTTTAAGTCTAATTCATTAGATGCTATCAAAGGTGGTTACAAGTAATAAAAAGAGAAAGAAGCTACTGCAGTAATTATTAGTAGTTGATCATTTTGATCGATTGAACCAATATGTGGGTATAATTTCTAAAGAAATAGTAGTAGCATCGAAAGATATGTTACCACCACTTCAAAAAGCAAAATACATATCTAGTTTTCTTTTGGTTCTCTAGCAATGAGCATAATATTTTGTAAGAGGGATCGAATGTACATTGAGAGAAACATCAGATTTATTGATATCAAAGATGTTTTATACAAAGCTATAAGAAGAAATCATATCAGGTGTAAACAAAGTCTTCTTACAGCATTGGAACTACCCATCATTTTAAGATAATAATACTATACAATAAAGTATAGTATTTTGAGACTATGAATAGATAAATTATATCTACTTCTTTTTTTAAAGGAAATATCAGCATTGTATATACACAACGAGGTTGTAAATTTAGTATAAATATTAATAACAGCTGAATGTATACGAGAGAAATTTGATCGTAATTCCATACCTACCTAATGTAAACTGTCGTTAAGTGCTAGATTTGCTCACTATACAAAAAATGATAATAGTATAATTTAATCTTTGTAAAGTTTCGCACAATTTAAAATTTTGAAATTTTACATTTTTTTTTTGAAGAGTAAGAGCAGCTTCAGCAGTTTCTTTATCAAAAAATAATAATCTTTAGAGTTATTGTTTTTGGCATCTTTCCTTCTTCTAAAAGGTGAGCTTTATAGTTGAATTTCTTTTTCGTAATATATATATATGAAATAATATAAAGGACAGAACTTTTAAAACTCTTAAAATATTCTTCAGGTGTAAAGAATATAATCTAAATTTTAAAGATATACTTTTTTTTTGATTTTTTTCTTTACTTTATTTCTAGATTTGAATGTAAAGATTTTGTGTAAAGAGACTGGGAGAGTTGCTCCAGAGCAAATATCTGCTATGTATATTTTTTTTTTATTTTGTGAAAATAGTATAAATGTTTAGGATTCTATAGAAGTATCCGGACATTTAATATCTAAATAGATATAGTCGGAGTATATAAATCAGAATGATCCGGTTCTCGGTCTTGTCTCTCCTCAAGGTCGGTCTTTAGAAATTAACAAGGAATAAATCTGGTGATTACTTCGTTTTATATTTACATATATACATTTTACATAATTATGTATTAAAAAGACTACATTTTGTTCTGATAAACTATTGACTTCATATGTTTCAAATATTTAGAAGTTTGAATATTGATATGTAAGTCTTTATTATGTAGCAAGTACAGCTGTGTTAATGACAGACAATATCTTGAGTTCCAATGTAACCAATCTAGAAGAAGAAGAAAAAGGTTAAAATATTGTGTAGACTCACCTACTCACTAAAGTACACACACGCACACACACATATATATATATTTATATATATAAGAGAGAGAGAAAGTAAGAGAGAAAAGTCTTTCAATAAGAGCTTTAATTTCAAGAATTATGCACTCTCAAGTTACTCAAAGAACTTGTTATGGATATATTTTGGACGCACAGTTTTACTTGCTAGTTTTGTAGTGAGCCAAAATACGTGTCTTTCTTTCCTTCTTCCTTGCTTGATTGACTGGATTTTCTATTTGTTACGGTATATACAGACACATAAAGATATTCAAATACATTAAAGCCACATATTTCTCAAAGTTTTATCTATAAATCTTGTTGTTTTTGAAAAAGACAATGTAATTGAAAGTTGAAGCAACCAATATCCAAAGTCACAACTGGTTTTCTCTTTCTGTTTTTAAAACATTTGCATACTGATTGCCCAAAATTCCGATGCTAGCCCCGTCCTCTCTCTCTTTACGTTCATATTTTTCTTCTCTTCTTCTTCTCCTCTTTTCCTTGATACTGTATACTCTGTGAGTCTAAGTGTTCAAGCACACACAACATAATCGCCAAAGAAAATACGCAGTGACATTAATATATATATATATATATATGTCTTAAAACAACAACCAAGATACAATCACTCGTACTCACGTACTCAAAGTCACCAATTAGGATATTCTTTTCTTATTATTAAAGTGCTTAAACTAGTATTTCGTAAAAACTCGCAATGTATCCTGAAGGTCAATTGTCACCATCAGTACCAAACTCACCAAGATATACTCTACCGCCAATCACTTCACCAACGTCTCGACAAAACATGCATCCTCCACAGCCTCAATTTAATCAAAACAATATCCATCATCGACCTATGGACCGTGAACCTGATCAGCCCAATTTGTATAAGCAACATACTCCTCAATTCGCAGCGTCTTCATCAGTATCCTCAACATTTGTGCAGATGCTAGCATACAATAACACACACCCAAGTAACAGAGGAGAGAAAATAACCCAACACAACAAATCAACTACTTTTAGTAATCACCCACCACAACAATCACAACAACCATTACCGCCACAGCAACCATTACCACCACAACCACAACCACAACCACAACCGCAACCACAACCGCAACCACAACCGCAACAAAATAAACACCACCACCAGCAACACCACCAGCAAAATCAGCAGCAACACCACCAGCAAAATCAGCAGCAACACCACCAGCAACATCACCAACACCAACAGCCAACGCTATTATCTACAGCATACACAAGTACAGTACAAAACACATACTCATATCATCCCTACCATGAATATCCTTCATATGGAGCACCACACGAAACTAGTCATCAAGTAGGAGAGAATGAAAAGGCTCATGTAGCAGCACCGTGGCCAGCGCAATATCGAACAAATAGCAGCAGCAATAATGTAGTTTATGGACAGCCATCTTCCGTTTCAATTTCGACTCGTTCTCCAATACAGATAGCAACTCCTGAAGAAATTCATCAGTACACTTACACTAATCTCCCCAAAGAAAACAATAGTAGGAATAGTAGTAATACTCGATGGCAGGAAGGTATGTAATGTGTAATTTATAATGTGGAGTATAGTTATCTTTGCAGTACTTATCATAGCTAGAATAATCTTTCTTCTTCTCCTTTTGACTTAAATTTCATTTAGGTGAAATAGTTCAGGTTACCGAAAATGCACGGACAAAGAAGGAGCGAGAGTATAATGAGAGGGTTCAAGAGATAGAGCGCGAGTTTATGGAAAACAAAAGAATGTAAGGTATCTCTTTCTTCATCTTTTAGAGAGAGAAAGGAGGAACGTGGGGAGAAAAAAAAAGGAAAGGAGAAAAGATGTGTTGGGATCTAGTCTCCGATCATGCTCTGACAGCAAAAGACCTTCAGTACTAGCTGAGGAATTGTTGAATTGTATTGGATTTATTGAACCCTAAAACTGATTCGTCGCAGCATTTATCAGGAAAAGATGGAAAAAGTCCAGGAAGAACTCAATGAGGTGTACAATGGCAAGTATATAGTGTACATGCAACAAATATAATTTACGAGAGAATCTAACTGGATTTATATATCTGCATAATTATTATATACAGGGGATTATGCCTTGTTTGATGAGAGACTAGCAGCTTTGGAAGATAATAGGGTTTTGATGATAAAGAATGCCCAGTTGATGATGGACTACCAAGTAAAGTGTGTTGATAAACAACATGACACAGACTGGCGTACTCTAGAGAAAGAGTCTATGGTACGTATTCTCAAGATCTAGAGGAAAATATTGTTTTGTTTAATTTTTTGCTTTATTGGTTCATGGGGTGGGTTCCCGTCTTGTAGGCAGAGAAAAGGGAGCTTCAGAGAGCAATGTATGTCATGTTAGAAGAAAAGAGAAAAAAACTAAAGGAAGACAAGGATGGTGAATTGGGATCATCAAAAGGTACGTTAAAAACAACTATGGGGGGAGGGGGGTTATTTGGCTTGGCTTGGCTTGGCTTGGCTTGGCTTAGTGAAGAGAGGTGAAGAGAGGCAAAATTAAGGGAAGTAAAGTGTTTAGTCCAAGTACATAAATAAATCAATAAAAAACAACAAACAAAATCACCATATCTAGAACTCGCCTATTCGACTCACCACACCCGCAACCGCAAAAGAATGATGCGGAAGCGAGGTAACCCTCTACTGAAACTGGACAGTATACCGCCCACAAAGACGGGAAACTACACATCAAAACGCCGTTATGCCGCAGAACATATCCTTTTTAATATAGTAATTACTGCTAATTCTAGTGCACCAGATTTAAAGAAAGAAAGAAAGACCTAAATAGTTCACCAGTGTGTTGGTTCTTGACTCTTTTATATTTAATTACGGATGAGAGACTTTTCTTCGATTGGGCACGCACTGACAGCTCGGAATGAAGATGAGCTTGAAGCTGATTTGCTAGTAATGCGCAAGGTTCGTATCAATTAGTGTACACTATCCACACATGCAAACGCACGCACATACGCACATACGCACACACACACACACACGTAAAGAAAGAAAGAAAGAAATATGCACAGGTGCATGTAAATACACACACACATACACACATACGCACGCACGTTAGTTGTTCTAGACAGAACATCAACTTTACTTTCTTAGGGTGATCAGTCAAAGCCACAATCTAAAGCCTCAATAGCCGTCCACACAACTACAACCACCAGAACCACCACTAGCAATCGATCATCAACAAAACGATAATAACTTATTTTCACATCATGGAATGACCTTTCTTCTTCTTTTTATATACATATTATTGTTCACTTATGAGTCTCACTATCTATCTATCTATCTATCTATCTATCTATCTTTTCTTGTCTGTTTGTCTGTTTATATTTTCGTTAGCCTTTTCTTTTCCTTTCTCTATTTTCTACTATTCATTTTATTTTTACTACTACTACTTTCTTCAGTGTACAAAAAAAAGTACATACTTACTCCCAGAATTTTCTTATTCATTTACTTCAATAATCCGCCACGACAAAACCGCTCAAAAGAAAGAAAGAAAGCAATATAGTACAATGCAGTACAGTGCAGTACATTCATTGTCAATTGAACACATCTTTGAAAATAATGTTTAGTCCTTAGAGAATATTCACTATTCGGTCTTTGCTTGGAAAGGGATCAGTCCCTTTATATTTGTATTGCTATTAGTACGAGATTTTGAGCTACGATCTCAATTTTTTGTTACAAATATATCATGCAAATATATTTATGTGGCATAATGTACAGCCACTTGCAAAAACATTTCGACCTATGAGCCCAAAAAATTACTGGAGAAGAATTATGGCATATAATCGACATGCAACTACTTATCAGTAATAATAGCTGAAGTCTTCAAACTTCGAAAATTTACAGACATGGATACTTAAAGTCGATTGCACCATACAAGGTTTGCTCACTGTGCCAAAATTATGTGCCAGTCTGAATTTGAAAAGTGTGGAAATTTGAATTTGAGAAGTGTCCCCTTTTCAGCGAATGAGCAAATAATTCATGAAAAAAGTACATATGTGTGTGGGCGTGCGGATCAATGTTTATATTTGATAATTTCTCATGTCGATTATTAATGGACCAGCCAAAGTAATCTTTATACCTCCGATCGATGACAAAGATCGTTTTGCAAAGTTGCACTGCATTGCTGAATCAAGCGACAAAATAATTGAGATTAATGGCAAATTAATTGAATACACCGATCCAGAAAAAAATGACTGCATGATTCCTGATGCCTTTTATGAACTCGATCTGGGTGGAGACAGCAAACAGACGATCCTCGTACGCCGTAATGTCGGGAATGATGCCGCGGGATTCTACACACACCCGAATGAAGATTGTTTGAACCTCGGACTGACCTGCGAGTTCGAGACACACTACTTTACACCAGATCAAAGCGCGCGTAACCATGCCCAAGAGTATATTCCACAAGTACTTGCCGATCTGAGTGAAGAAGACAAACAGGAAATGGTTTTGTGTGTAGGAGAGCTGGTCATTACGCCTAGATCCATATAAAATTAAATATATAGATCGATAGAAAAAAATCATGGTGATTATACAACTAAGATATATACAAGATTTTAATTGCGAAATAGTGATTTTTCTTTTTAATATAGGTAAACTCCCAAGTTGATTTAGTGGAATTCCTATTTTAATTTAGTAGACACTGCTTGTAATATCAATGAGAATTGTCTTCATTTTAATAAATCTCCTTACAAGATCGGCAAACCTTAAAGAAACTAATGCTATGTTGGACCCAGCCATCACAGATCTCTTTTATAAGCTTCATACTGTGGTCAGGGATATAATGGTATTACAGGTAGTAGCGATTAAATTAAAATAGGAATTCCACTAAATCAAAAAGAAAAATCACTATCTCGCACTTAAAATCCTGTATATATGGTTGGACTTCCGAGGACAACTATCTCTTGTAATACCCAATGGTGTATTTGATAAACAAACTCCTAATCACTAATCTTACCTAGAGTCTTCAGACGCAAAATACAAGACAATACACATACATATTCTTGAATTATATATAAAACGCACACGCGCACACACAGTAGAAATTCAATAAAGATTATTGAGCGTCTTTAGCATTTATTTTATTGCTTAAAACTGGGTTCGTACACTTTATACTATATGTAAAGTCAATATAATATTAACATTTCTCCCATTCCCGTTGCATCTTAACCTTTAAATTATTAAAAATTGTTGATAATGAGACCCTATCATCTATTACTCTAGCTTTTTGAGCCTATCCAAAACATGTTCAATTGGCTAGAGACTTAAACTTTGATCCGCCCAATTCACAAAACCAAGCATTCGTACTTACCATTTTACAACTTCGTTAAGAATTAGTGTGATAACCGGTTCCATATATTTTGCGCTTTAAGAAATACTTTATTATATACCTCCAATATAAGGTATATTTGACAGTTTACAGCCTAGTGAGAGCTATTATAGCAAATTATAAGTATATTATATTACCATATTTGAGTCCATTAGCTTTAGAATACAACTCACATCTGCCTTCTGATGAAAATAATCTTTATACAATGGATTTTATGGATAGAATGAGAAGATGGTATTATTTTTTATTTGAAGGAAAATACTCTTTTTATATATATCTATTCGATTTTTACCAGAGGTTCAGCTATTCTAGAGCTTGAATGTATACACATGTACTTTTTTTTTTCTATAAATTATTCGGACATAGTTTTGGAATTATATAAAGCAATATATATGTGTATGTGCCGTGTTACTGTCCAGACAAGTATCAAAAAGGTGAACTTCTCTAGGATATGTTTATTATTTCATTATTTCATTTTATACATGTATATTCATGGCCATTATACGTATGGCTGCGAATATGAAATAAAATAGAATGGAAAAAGAATAAAATAAGAAAAAAACAATGTAAATGGATTATATATACACACATGCACGCGCGCGTCTTTGTTGGCAGAAATTTTAAAATGATGCACATGTACCACACAGACTACACAGTCCGATAACCCCACTACTAGTGGGTTGATATGTGTAGATAATTGAGCCAATGCAAAGGGTATTGTGCTCTTGAATGGATTGTATCATCTAATTGAAAGGGAGAGACATTATTAAATTTTCTTGGTCCAATGAACAATATAAATCTTTCTCTCTCACACACATATATATGTTTTCAATAAGATACTTTACTTGAAGGGTCGCACAAAATCCACAAGATGGGCATTCGAGGGTAGGGGTCGAATAGCCTTGACTATACCGAAGTACTGAACAATGGCAGCGAATACAAGTTGTGCTATCAGGGCGGTCAGCACAGATTTCAGATACATCTGGCTTTGTCTTCTCTAAAGAAATTATAATGAGTACATTGTTGTGGTTTTGTACATCTATATTATATTTCTGAATAAAACCAGATTTTATTTATTCATTCCAATTCATTGTTTTATTTGTTTATTTATTTTGATATAGTACCTTGCTGTTGTTCTTCTTCCTTCCGTTCTTTTTCCTTCTGCCCTTGATAGTGTGGTTCATTTTCATCTTCGATTTCTGCATAGTCCCGCATGCCTACTCGTTTAAGAGCATCCTGGTGACTATTTTTAAAATCCTCCCACTCTTGGGCAGCCACCCGCTGTAACCACTAGGATCAATGCATAAGAGAATGATGAAACGACTTGACATGACAAATCTAACTTGTAGTTCCGCTTGCCTGATCCTCTCTACGACGATGAACAAGATCCTGCCGCGCCATTTTGGATCGATCAATGGCATTTTGCCGGAAGCCTTCTTTCCAGATCTTGTGACGCTCCTCTGGACAGGGCTTGTTACATTGACGGCGGCTCATGGTCGATCACCAAGGAGGTAGGTTGGAGTTGAAAGTTGATACAAAGAACTAAATTTGAAGCCAATAAGGGAGAGTGGTGGGACTGCGACTGCGAGATTACTGGGTTATGAATATATATATATATAGTATTGTTCTGCAACAAGTCAAGTTTTTATTTGTATTTTTTATAAGAAATGCTCGGTATGTAAATTCGGACCTTATTATCTCGCAATAAAAAGCATTTTCTGCGTCAATTGAAGACATAATTGCGCAAAACTTTATTCCCCGCAAAAAATCCATTTCGGCAGGTATAAAAAAAAGGCCTTTCATTTGGTTGGAATTCTTCGGCACCGTCCCTCCGCCTTCTGCACTCTCCTCTGCATTCACGTCCTTTCCCTTCCCTCCTATGCTAGATCCCAGTATTCCAGCTGCTTCGGTTTTTGGATTGAAAATCCTTGAAATCTGTGACCACCACTGGGCACTCCACTTCAATTCTGCCCCCTTTCTACCTTCTTTGGTTCTTTCCATTGCTCGCAAATCAATCTCTCGCCTCTGTCCTCAGCTCGAGCTTAACTTTGCTGATTTTCCCCCGCATAAAAACACACTAACATTTTAACACTAACAAAAATCACACAAAAACAAGTCAAAAACCAAAAAGCCAAAAACATCAAATAACCCTCATAAACCCTCAAAACAAATGGTGTAATTGTCTCTTTTTCCCTATTCGTTCAGAGAACTTTAATAAATCTAAGCCTGTAAAATCTCCATACAAACAAACAAAAAAGGCCGTTTTTCCCTTTAATTTAGATTGTTACAATATGATGAAAATATTCCTTTGGATTTCAATGTTTCCAAGCTGTGTGCGTCTAGATGTATACAAAATGACTTAGTAGTGGGTGAACGAGAGAGGGGATTTATATGGCAATAAAATATGTCATCTATTCCTGCCCATAATCATATAGACAATGTCAATAAAATAATGTGCACCCCACTATCGATTATTCAGCCAAACCATTATCCCTCTCTTAATCTGCATTCACCCTCATCATTTTTTTATCACTCCCCACTTTTCTACTCTCCTACATATCCCCATTTTTTTCTGTACACCACCTGCTTGCTTTTAGGTCATATTTTTCTATTTGTCTTTTGTAGGAAAGCTAATAAACTTCTTTTTATGGTTTGCTTATTTTCATTTTCAAGGTAGAAAATTATCCTGTACTTACTTTTTTTTACTTTACCTAAATACACACTAAGATATGTAGAGTATTCACATTGGTAAGACAGAGAAGGACTAACCATCATTAATTAGGCCAAATGCGAAATATAGAATACGTATTGATAGTTGCATAAAGGCAGGTCTTCGGGCACAAACTATTCATGTACAATATAGTTGAGAATATACTGTTGAGTACTTTATTTGCATTTGTTAAATATCCTCATAGACTTTATATAAATATCTTCCACATGAAAATAATTTAGCTCTAATATTTGCTGATAGAACACAACATTTCATTATATCTGGAAACATGAAGTCTGACTTGAGATTCTGAATTGGGCATTTATATCTGGTCCCTAATGGTCTATAATAATGGTTTTTATAAATATTGCGTACACCGATTAGTCTACACACATTTTGTACACATTTAAATCCTATATATTTTCTCGTTATAATCCGAAATATGTTAACTTGTTAAATTCTCACTTGGAAGAGTCTAGTATTTGCTCGAGGAGTGTAAGGTACATATATGTACTTTATCTCTTATCTCATAGAAGTGCTATAATATTCAAGATTACTCGCTTTTTTATACAGATAAATACTATTTGAAATTCAAAGCAGCTCTTTGACAATTATGTAGAACTCGCTATCAAGTATACTATTTCCATTAATAGATACTTGTAGTATATATTCACGGGTAAGAATTAGGTACTCGTACTTAAGACACAAAAGGAATGAAAGGTAAAGCCAGAAAGCTGTTTACACTTTATGTATTTGTACATTCAAAGGTACTCAAGTAAGGTTATTACTTAATGTTAAGGTAATACGACACCTACTTTTAGATATAAAATATTATATTTCAGATTTTCTAGGGCCAAGAAAATTTCACAGGCATAAAAACTCTCTTCTTTGGTGGCTTTACTTATATTGGACTGTCAGTTTGGTACACCGATTTCTAACACACTGTATCTTTCAATTAATGTGTACACTCGTACACTCGAAGGGATAAATATATATATATACATTACTATATAGAGTATATCAACATGGCAGACGAAATCCAGCCATTAGGCAACTCAACACCATCCTCCCTGACATCTAAACAAGTTCATTACGCCCGTTTGAATGTGCAACTTAGCGAATTAGAAAAGAACATTAAGAAACTCCAAGAAAATCTTCAAGTCACAGCAGAACAGATCCCAAGTTTTCGCAAGCTTGGTACCCTTCATTCTTCCATGTATGTACTGTGTGGCTATATACATACATACGTATATATATACATTGTTTTCATATCATAGCTAATCACGCCTAAAAGCTTAATGTCTTCCTCAAGAGTCCTAAGTGAAAACGATACCACAGAGACAAACCGTGATTCTTAATGATAACTCACACAGACTATAATCACAGAAATAATATTAACAATAATAGAAATATATATATATATCATATCATATCATATACACCTTATTAAAAAGAAAGGGAGATACTCTGCAAATGACTTACATTTGGTCTCTATATTTTTAAAACAAGTTCATGAATTACCCACGCACAAGTAACTCACGATGTAATTGTGTTCCCAATTGAGATGAACAATAGGGATAAGCAAACAAGGAACTGTGAAAGGAATATATGAATCCTGCACATATTATAGACGATGGTAATTGTGTGCCCAATTGAAATAAATAGTAGAGAAGTAGATAAATTTAGGGATCAAATGGCACACTATATAGCAATTGAATTTGCACAAGAGAACTTTTAGCTATCAAGACAGTTATAAAAATTTGAAAGGCTTTCATAAATTTAGACAAACAGGTAGTGCAAACAGGTAGTAAATACTTAAATTGATAACAGTATAAAAAACACATAAGACACTTCAGGAAGAAGTGTTATCATAAACGTTAGAAGATGAGTACACAATGTATGAAATAAAGTAAATGAAACTAAACAACAAGTGCAATTATTACTATTTTATTTGAACCAAGCTTTTCAACTTTTGTAAGGGTTATGTTTTTTTTGAGTATCAGATATTTATAAGAATAAAATATTTAAATAACCTTAGAAGAACGGTTTTTTCTTTCTTTGCATAGTATGGTTATTGCTTCTTAAACTGTCCCAATGGGGTCAACCGGTCTACCTCGTAATACTTTAAAATGAAGATTATAAACATCTTATTAGGGCATTGGTTATGACTACTCATTTTCACCTTTAAAATTTCGAGATTCTCTAGTAAGCATAAATAAGACGTCTGCAAACTAAAGTTTTCATAAATATTTTCTTACATTTTGTTGCTGAACTCGCGTCATACAGCTGATAAGAATACCTGGTATTGAATTCTTTTTATATACAAAACTTAATAGACTGCCGTGAAATATCGGAGTACGCGTTTTCATATATATAAATATATTGGTTTTAAAGCTATCATTATATTTTGGATAATAATTCATATTTCTATATATTTTTCTGGAAGATGTACTAGCCGGTAATCATACAATTAAAATAGTCAACACAAACAGAGTTAACAGAAGACATAAAATGGAAATTCAAAAATATAAAAGAGTTTGTAAAAAGAAAAATAAGGATAAATAAAGTATTCGTTTTAATGACAGGCCGGTTTCCGGATGATCTCCGATAAAGAAAGCTCAGGTACCAAATGGTTAAACGTTGGGATAGGACCAAGTTTTACCGAATAATAATAATAACGAAATGGTGCCAAATTACAAGCAAGATTTTTTTCTTACTAAAAAAGCTGGTTATATGGCTCATTAAAGCTTGAATATAGTATATAATTATCTTTTTGCTTAAAAAATCCTTCAAACAAAAGGCAAGTTGATACGCAAATAATTCGTAGCTTGACATGCATGAACCACACACACACAAAAACACACGCGTAAGGATTTGACCATGTTTATTCTTTAATTTTACCGTCATATGTAAAGCTTACTGTCGTAAGAAAGTATTGTTGTCTACTTCAAATTCAGATATGATATATTATTTTTGTAATATGTACAATATGTACAATTATTATAAAAATTTAAAAAGCATTTATCACATTTATTTTCATGCAAACCGTTCAAATCTCTACCTCCAAGAAGTATGATTGGTCTCTCTAAGCTAATAATATTACCATGACTTTTTTTTTTAAAAAAAAATCATTAAATTTTGTTTGACTTGATCCAAAGAAACCCAGGCGTCTTAAATTTAGGAAGAAGCACCTCACATTATGCGAGTGACGTCACTTGGTTATTGGCCACCCGATTCAATATCACAGAAAACAAAAACATCAAGAGCCCTTTACCTAAACCACTAAGCGCGCCATGTCTCCCAAGTTATCTCACAACGAAGCCAACGTCGGCACCCCCGTCTACCACGATCCCTGGGCTAAGCGTGAGGCCTGGCGCAAGCACCCCATCTTCTCCAAGACTGCTGGTCTGAGAACTCTTTTCCCTGGTTTGGGCATTGCCACAGTCGCATTTGCTGCTTATTGCGGTTATGAGGCTGTTTTCCTCAAAGACAAGAAGCACCATTAAATAGATCGTGTTTTTACAAGGGTAATTGGCTCAAGTCTATTTCTGCATCGGGTGATTTGCTGACTGATTGTTTCATTTGGATCGTAGAACAATACCTCGGCTGGGCCTGTAAATGGAGGAGAACACAAAAAAAATGAACTGAAAATAAAATATATACATATAAAAAAAGAGGTTTTTGTTTTAAAGTGTCCTTTAATACCCATGAAAAAATCGAAAGGCAATATTGTTCTTATTTCTGGAGTGTGTACGAGTATAAGTGCGAGTGCAAGTGATTTGTGTTTGTGTTTACAAGGAATTGAGAGAATCAAGGCTTGAAGTGGACATGGTCGCGTGGGGTGTAATGGATGAAGTAGTGGAGGCCAATGGTTTGCAGGTCTGAAGTGATCATTGGTTTATCCATTCCCACGTGCGGTCTTTCATTGGAGGAGTTCTTCCGGTATTTAAATGGCGTACCGGTATATTTTATCTCTTCTTCTTCTTAAGCAATACTCATGGCAGAATCACTAGACAACAAGACACCCGAGACAGAAACGCCTCGTTTGGTATTGAGGACCTACCGGGCAACTGATTTTCCTCATGTGGACCATATGTTTGTAAGCAACTACTTTGCGCTCGTTCCAGAAGGTGTCAGACGAAAGTTATGGTCTCCAGCGACATGGGTGGTGTGGTTTGCAGTTTACTCGTATCTGCTGATGATTGTGCCCGTATTGCTGGGCGGCATGGATTTTCCATCCTGGGCAGATACCGTACTCAAGCTCTTCTTCACATTTTCTTGGGGAGCAATTGGCTTTGCTGCCTTATTCATTATCACCGACCAATTTGACACCCAAGACCGCGTTGAATATGCACGCCAAAACGATATGAAGGATCCTGAGGTTTACTACCTCAACTGGAACAAGAAAGAAGTCGAGGTGGAGGATGCTCCCAAAGGAAGCAGCGAAAAGAAGCAGGTCACTTTTGATAAAGATGCCAAACCAGCTACTGAAATTATTCGTGAGCGCAAGCCCGAGTCTGAACAGACTCCTTCACACTTTTGGGTTCTTTCTATGGATGGCGAACCCTGTGGTATGGTTGGACTGGCAATTAACAAGGATACTGTATTTGATCAAAGACCAGCCCAGCTAGCACCCTGGCAGAAGATTGGAGCCGGATTATTCCGTCGATACAACTTTTCTGTTCCCAAGTTCCTAGATACTCCCCCCAAGGTTGAGCCCAAGGTGTTTTCAAAAGCCCATGGACCTCGCACAGCTACTCTTACCAGATTGACAGTCAAGTACGATTATCAAAACTGTGGTTTGTCTACACTTCTTGTAAACCGTGCTCTTTCTTGGGCAAACGAGAATGGTATCGACCGAGTTTATGCGGAAACCAATGAGATGATGATGGCTGCAGAACAAATTCTCGAAAAGAGACACGGATTTAAGCGTATCAATAAGAAGAGTACCGGTTGGTTTGGTCAGTACGAAGCTGAATGGGAATGCAATGTTAAGGAGTGGGTCGCCAAGCATGAAGATCAAACAAAGGAAGCTTTTAAGAAAACCTGAGTGCCCAATTGTAAAAAAAAATTGTTTTTTTTTTTATTTGTCCAGCTTTATATTACATAAATTAATCATTAGAATCCTTTCACTTCTCACATCCAACATTTTGCCCCAATTTTCTTATTCTCGTGTCACAATTCAAACTGTGAACCAAAATAAAATTAAAATAAACGTGTTTTTAGCTCCTTTATTCGCTATTAATTATGAAAACAAAAGAGGTAGACCGGCCAATTGCGACAATGGAAGGCTGGGAAGACGGTTCCAAATACAAACGAGAGCTATTTAATCTCGATCGTTGGGAACTTCAGTCAGCAGATCAGTTAACGATTCATATCGGACCTCATGACATTGTATTGGTGCAAGATCCACATTCAAGTCACCTGGGAGGATATATCTGGTTAACTGCTATTGTATTCTGTGCCTATCTCGAATCATTGTGCGAGAAAAAAGAACGTCATGGATGGATATCTCTCGACCGCACCAAGCGTTGGGTTGAGTTGGGATCAGGTGTGGGATTGATTGGGCTTATGCTTCGTAAGATGGGAATCGAGGATGTTATGATTACCGATATTTCTGAACTAGTGCCTGTTATGGAGCGTAATGTTGAGGCGAATGGATTCACAGTCAAGTCAGTTAGTGGACGGAGAAAGAATGAAGCTTCTAAAACAGATGAAGTGTTGGTGGAGCCTCTTTTGTGGGGTGATGGGGATGCGATTGAACATGTAAAATCTTCTGGTGTGATTGACTATTTGGTGGCATGCGATTGTATCTATTCTGAGGCGAGTGCATTGGATCTGGTTGATACGATGGATCGGCTGGCGGATGAGACGACAACAATTATATGTATCAGTGAAGTTCGTAACCAGGCAGCTCAAGATGCTTTTATGGCTGAAGCAAAGTCACGCTTTCACATGGAGCTTCTTCCGCCCTCACAGTGGCAGGGAAAGGTGAAGGGAGTTGCGTTTGCTGAGACATTGAATCTTTACCGATTGCGTAAATCTGTGGCGCCTACCAAGCACAAGAAGAGAATAAAGAATAAGTCTTCTTAAAAGATTAAAATATTTAGAATAATAGCAATAGTTATATAGTTTAATGCATAGACACACACACGCATTTATTTATATATCTATACACAAAAAGAGGGGGAATAAATATACAGTTGATTTTCTTGTAATTGATCTGATAATGAAGTTCTGACCGATACTGTGGTCCTTTACCCGACCCTTTGGATTGGCGCAAAATGTTGTAACAAGGCTTGTTTAAATTAGAAGCATGTATTATGTACAAATACATCTACCAAGGTGTACATATTATATTTTTTTTTAATAATAAATAACAATTTTAATAATTTTAATTTTTTTTAATATATTGCTCAATATATCAACCTTGCACGCACAAAAAAAAACCCAAAAAAAACTCCTACTCCAGCCAACCAAGTACTATTCGAACTTCATCTTTTCTTTCTTACTTTTGCCTTGCCCTTATTTATTTCCCTTCCTTTGGGCTCATCTGCAATTAGCTCTTACATTCATTAATAAAAGCGTCATGAAGTGGCTGCCGCTTCCCAAGATCGCCCATGCCATCGCCATCCATCCCTTTACACCATCAACTCTACCTCAAAATTCCACAGCCTCACAAAGCGGACGCCCATACACAACCTACTCAACACTTCATTCACCACTCCTTTCACCGCAGACAGACACAGCTTCAATTCACACCATCGGCTCACTATCGCCCTCATTTAGCACCACTGACCATTCATCACTCAATCCAACAGACTATGCACACCTTGCTGCACTTGAAGTGGGCGACGAGCTCTTCATATTCGAGCAGCAAGGTCAATGGTACCGAGGATATGTTTTGAGTACACTTGAAGCAGGCAGAAAACCAAATACAGCACCCATCGGCTGCTTTCCTCGCTCGCACGTGCAGATCAAAGAGTATCTGGACACAGCAGCTGGAGACCCTTCAACCTTATGTCGCACGGATTCTATCTTGGACGACCGACCACTTTCTCCTACTGCACCCTGGCTGTCTCCTGATCTGCCAAGTCTTACACGTTCCTTTTCTGACTCTTTCATCAAGAAAGCCCCAGAGTGCGAACCAGCGCGTCCCAACAGTTATGTCGATTTTCACTTTGATCTCGACGATACAGCCCGTTATTCATTTGTCAGCGATATGTCTAAACCATCTCCACCATCTCTACCACTCGTTCGATTCGATCAATCTACTCTCACCGGCAGCTCAGAACCATTAGTAGACGAGATTGCTGCCTGTGTGAGTGAGTGGAACACTTTGCTGTATATTTATCTTGATCAGAATCAATACACTCAATTCAATGCAGTACGAGATCATATAAACTATCTCTTCCAAGCCCGGCGGCAGTTACTTGATCAGGCCCTTTCTAGGGAAGAACTATCAAGACTACGCAAAGAGATCATTCACCGTATGATCACTATGAATCTCGCCCTCGACCGTGACATGATCATTCGCCACCCAGAACGCGGCTTTCTCCTCGACTCCAATAATACCTCCCTCGCCACACTCTACCGTATGCACTGGAAATACACCATCGCTGACCCTCTTCCCCTCACCTCCTTTTCAACCGTTACACCCCCCACACCACACTCCTTTTCTCTTCCAAAAGATACTACAGATCTACCGGCACTGGAACCACAGCCTTCAGTGTCTCAACAAAATAACAAAGGCGCAAAATTCAATCATCTTTTATTCGAACTCAAAGCCTGCGTTGCTCATATATGTCAACCAGGGGAATTTACAGAATTATATTTTTCACTCTACAACAAGGCGGATTCAACATTTGTCACCGAGCAATTCGTAGTCGTTCTTACGTACAATGGAATGCCAAAGGACGAGAGTCAGATCGGAAAATTACAGACGCTTTTTACGGATCTCTCTGCTCACGACCTTACTACTAATCTTTATCTGATTTGTCGGATTGTTAGGCTGGGAGGGATGAAATTTACGGATAAGGAGAAGGATTATCATCTTGGAACAATCGGTAGCCACGCATCCATGATATTTAGCAACGATAATAGCCGTATGATGAACTACTTTGACCAAGGAAACGGGCGGTACCAATCAAAATCTGTCCTATCCCCAACAGCTTCTACTGCTAATCTTTGTAGACGTCCATTTGGATGCGCGGTACTACACGTTGGAGGGCTTCTACAAAAGACAGAGCGTATTGGATTCGATACAATTACAAACAACGGTAGCAGCAGTAACAACAACGGCAACAACACGCCTGCATTTTTCTTACCAGGGAATACAACCGCAAATCCCGCAAGCAATAGAATTACTTTATCTGAACACGATATGCGAATTTTCACTGCCACATCAGAGTCTACATTCTCAACACTTCATGAAGATATAATAAACAATTCAATCAAAGATATTTCTAAACATGCACGTGCAGAAACGCTTAGAGTTGATCTCAAGATGTTTTATGGACAGCTCGATCAGGTACTCAAGACCAATACTGCTTTATTACAAGACATGACTCGCACTTCACGACTTGGCTTTCCAGACGTAGTGTTTCCATCTGATGAACGTAATGAACTTTACATAACCCTGATCTCGGGTGACTTTGCCCAGTTTGGCCGGTCGCGCAATATACAAGTTACTTTGTGTGTCCGCGATAACTTTACCGGCGATGTTGTTGAAAATGCGCTATCTTCTGGTGCAAATTCACCTTTTGTAACATATTGGGATAGTATGGTATTCTACCATGACCAACGACCAAAGTGGGGAGAGATCCTCAAATTGAAGATCCAGCCATATGTTCTCTGGGCGCGATCTCACGTCTTTATTACAATTCGACACAGAAGTAGCCATCATATGACGACACCATTACCACAAAGTATACCAGTTGGTGTGGCAACCAACCCTCAGGCAAATGCCAACGAGAAAATTATAGCCATGGGATTTCTACCTCTCACCTTACCTTCGGCCCATCGTGATTTTGTAGCCGATGGATCTCATACCCTTTATTTATACAAATACGATCGTACCCTGGCTAACCAGGGCGCCTACATTGATAATGTTCCGTGGTGTTATCGATCTTCCACTCCCTCAAACATGCAAGCCCAAGAGTATACTAATGCTCGATATAAGGAACAGAAGTTCAAGGTCGGGCATCGGTACTCGTCTTCAGGTGGAAGTCTCAAGAGTCTTCATGGCACATTCACTACTCCCTCAGTTTTTAGCAGTACAACTGGAAGTAGTATCAACGTTGCAACAGCAGATTTGCCAAGCCCTGGAAAGCTTACCACATTACGTGATACTCTGACCATCAGTACATTTTTGTGTTCGACTCGATTTACCCAAAACAAGACTCTGGTAAAATTATTAAATTGGAGCGACATATTGGAGCAAGGACCCGAAGGTGGTGAAGAACTTTTATCAATCCTAGACAAATTTTCATTTGTGGGAGAAATGGAAGTTGTAAAGTTTCTTGGTGATATTTTTGATGTACTCCTGGCTATCCTTGTTTGCAAGCACAAGCACATGCATGCACGGGAAGATATCGTTGATCAAGCGCTGGCAGCAATAATCTGGGTTTTGGGGATTGTACAAGACAGACGGTTCAGTAACTTCAGACCAGTATTGGATGTGTACATTGATCAAAGATTTGTACCTGACGAGAACGTTCCCGCAGATGCAAAGGCTCGTTTACTACAAAACTCTAATGATGAGATGACCTATGACCAGATTCTCAAAGGAATGCTCCGCCTGTGTACGAATCCGAGTGACCCGAAGAAAGCAAAGTTATTGAGAAGTAGTATGAAAGTGTGGGACTATCTTTTCCGATTTATGGTACGCTCTAGAGACATGCAGAAACGGAAAGAAGACAACGGAGAACGTAGCCTGAGAGATATTATGTTTAAAGACGAGCTTCAGCAGCTATTGGATCTGATTATTCAAATGATGGTACCTGAGCAGCCTAATGTTATGATTGGTAGTCAGACACTGGCTCTCCAGCACTTTGCCGATGTATTAGGCGAACTTCGCGGTGTGCTATCTCCAAAGCAACTAGTTGATACAACTACCAATTTCGTTGATACCTGCGATCATTTTACAGGAAAGCTGGTTGGATACAAACTGTGTATGATTTTGGCTATTGTCAAGGGACCAGTATTCAACGATTATACTTGCCGGTCAGGCCTCGCAAAGCATGTGCTCAGGTGGATTCAGATGTGGATGAACTCTTATATGGCAGTAGCAAAGGACGTTATTTTTGCTCGCCATGACCAACAAGAAGGAGATCACCAACAGATACGATTACCAAAGGCACAATGGCTCGAAAATTTGCGACTTTCTTTGACAATCGTGAGCGAGGTCTTAGATAAAGCTAGAAAATCATGTGGTATGGCATCTTCGGGGTTGTCATCTGCCTCAGTATCATCACCGTCGATCAGCACATTCTCTCGTCCTATTTCTACAGCAACAAGCGGTGATGAAGAAATAATAGACGAATCTCATGTAGAGCTTATGTCCATTACCGAGGTTGTCCTTCAGCTGGTTCCCCAGTTATTAAACGCCTACAAGGAACTTCAGCGACTAACACAACAGGCAATACAAGCATTGGAAATGACGGGTAATTCTATTCCTTCAAATGATAATTCGGCTTCAGCTGCAGTAGCTGCTTCTAGTCGTCGTAACTCAAGACACTCTCTCGGTATGTTACGTGAGCGAAACAACTCGGTCAGTAATAAGAACAACCCGGGAACCTCTTCAGATATTTTGGAAAGCAATTCCAAGTTTTCAGTTGTTTTACAGGCCCTTGCCACCTCCCCTTCAGTGCCCTTTCCGAGCACCTATCCTTTTCAGACCACACCTACAAAAAGCTCGACTTTGGCAAACGGTAGCAATGTAATTGCTATGGTTACAACTGGATTGCTTGATATTACGGTAGTTCTTTTAGAACTTTTTCATCTGACACCCCAGCGACAGTGGGTAGCATTTCTTCATGACTTTCAAGTCCGTGAAGGACCAGCAGCAACTGCAGTATTTTTGCGAAAGGTTTGTCATACATGCATGGCGATCTTGTTTGGTGACGATCTACAGATTCTTGAGGAATCCAAAGGCACTGTCGAAGGTCGTGAGCGCTGCGAGGAGGATGAAACACGCGAAAGTAGAAAGATTCCTAGCAATTGGCTCAACATGGATGTTATTGCGCATCAGATCATTTTATGCAACATTCTCGCCCCTGCCATTTCTGTTTTAGAATCTGAAGCGTTCTTGCCTGTCACAATGGCAGATCATGGTGATACGGAGGTGGATATTGAAGAAGGGCCGGAGCTTATTTTGTGGCGGACAATGTTTGGCAGCTTACTTCAGACTATGTCAAGTTCCCGTTTGGAAACTGAGAAATTCTTGCCTCAAGTCCAACGTGCAGTATGGAAACTTTCCGGTAATAGTAAAGGAGCAGTCGGTGCAAAGACCTTGTTGCAACTCTGGCGCTTAGCAGGACCACCACAGCGACCAAAGGCTGAAGAGTCAAACAAAGCAGATGTCATGTCTTATTTTAGTAGTACAATCGAAGAAGAACCATTATCGCTCGAATCAGAAAAAGAAGACACAGAAGAGCAGACAGCAGAAGTATCAATTGAATTACCAAAGAAGGAACCCAAAGGACGCAGCATTGCATCCTTTTTGGAAGGTGACCCGGAGATGTATGGAGTAAAAATCATGATTGAGAAGATTAATGACGAAGATGCAGAAGACAAGAAGGAAGAATTACGAAGGATAAAGGAGCGAAGATCAACATGTTCTGCTTATACCGATTCTGGAAAGCTCCCTGCAATATCAGTGCTACAAATTGATCTGATGTCTATCGTACTACGCCCCCTTTGCGCCGTTGCCCTCACGCTTCACGAGCAGGCACGTTCTGCAGCTCTTGATGTTATTGCAGACATCATCACAATTGAATTGCACACCTTTGGAGAATTAACGCACACACGCCATTTGTTAATTGCAACTCTGGATCGTTTGGTTATGTCAGAAAATAAGGGAAATGAGATTATTAGAATTGATATGATGGAAGAACTCAGTCACATGCTCGAGATCAAGCTATTATCTCAAGATGCCAGTGAACTTATCCAACCTGGAAAAGAAGCCATTGAATCACTGAGCAGGTTTATGGAAATATTGCTTCAAATCCGAAGTCTCCCACTCGACGACGATGAATTTATGGACGAACAAATCAATGCAACGCTCAAACTGATGAAGTTTATTCAGGTTATTGAACGAGAAGAAATTTATATCAAATATGTTCACCAGCTCGTTCAGCTTCATGTCGGCAGCCACAACTACATCGAAGCAGCTCTTACACTCAGATTCCACGCTAATTTGCTTGAATGGGATCCATACGAAGACCTTGCACCAATTCCCGATCTAGGTTTTGTTTCGCAAACCTCATTTTCACGCAAAGAAAAGCTTTATTGGACCATGATTTCTTACCTTGAACAAGGCAGCGCATGGGAGATATCTATTGAGCTTTGCAAAGAGCTAGCACACGAGTATGAGAACACTGTATTTGACTATTTCAAGCTGAGTGAAGTGTTGCAGCGTCAGGCAAAACTAACCCAGGATATTGTCAAGAAGGAGCGTTATTTCCCAGAATATTTCCGAGTTGGGTTTTACGGCCGAGGGTTCCCAGATAGCGTACGGAGTCATCAATATATATACCGCGGCTTGGAATGGGAAAAAATGTCTTCGTTTGTTGAGAGGATGCAGAATCGCCACCCGAATGCTCAGCTTCTGTCAGGTAAAGATGCTGCCGTTGCGGTAATGCACGAAGATCAGCTCAAGGTACTGGAAAGCGCATTGGATGGACAGTATCTTCAAATCACAGCACTCGTACCTGAACCAGAAGGAGAAGCAAAGCAAAGATTGAAGAATCCGTTGGTTCCAGAATACATCAAAAAATACTCAATGGCTAATAATGTATCAACCTTTTCATTCTCGAGACCTGTCAACAAAGTCCAGTCTTCAGGCGAGGATCATAAGCCTGAGACAGATTTCTTGAACCTTTGGACCGAAAAGACCGTATTGACTTGTGAAGACGCATTCCCAAATATCTCTCGTCGATCACGTATTATACATGTACAGGTCAAAGACGTATCACCTATTGAAAACGCAGTTGTTGCAGTGGAGAACAAAAACCAAGAACTTTTAGAGCTGTATAAGAAATACTCTGTTTACGTCAATCAGAAACGACCACCATCTGGGTCAAATACTGTCAATATCAGTCCATTCTCAATGTCACTTAACGGTGCTGTTGATGCTCCTGTTAATGGAGGAATCCCGCTTTACAAAAAAGCATTCTTCTCGAAGACCTATTGGGTAAATAATGTAGAAACACGTCCATGGATCGAGCGTCTGAGAAAAGCAATTGATGTTCAGGTAAATTGAGTAATAATATTAGCTGCTTAATTTTTTTGGGGGGATTTAAATAAGTTGAATATTGATACTGATAAAGGTTTATGTATTATATTAGGTCAAAACGGTCGAACAATGCTTAGAAATACACGATAAGTTGGTCAGTCCAGAAATGCGACCGTTCCATATTACACTTGTTGGCTGTAAGTACATAACTTATTGATTCTTCTTTACAAAAAATAACAATATTTAATGTTAAACATAATTTGCTGTATAGTTTACAAGAAGAACTTTGCTGAAGAGATTGCTCGAATAAACCAGCCTGATAGTGGAATAGATGAAGCCACAAACATGTCATCTCCTGTTGAATTGAATGAACAACGTCCAATAATTTTACGACAAAACTCTGTTGCTCAGTCCTTTACCCCACTCTCAACCTTCCCTCCTCCTCTTCCAATTTCCCCCGTCAGTCGGGCATTCTCTATACGCTCACCGATGACTGAACAAGCTTTAATGCGCGCAGCTCTCGAAAATACATCGATATCCCGAGCAGAGAGCATATCACGTAGTTTGAAAATGACACTTCGTAAGAAGTCTCGAAAGAAGTCTCAAGCATAGAAAACACATAACTTAAATAATTTAAACTAGAATGTAAATTACACTTTAGGTCTAGAAAAACATGTAATATTATACTTTACAATAATCTATATTTAATCCTATAAACTTTAATAATGGCAGTTAAAAAAAGGCATTTGCGTGAGTGTGTTTAATAGCTTTATACTACGGTAAAAATATAAACTAGTTGATTTCTTCCAGCTTCTTTGGGGCTTAAAAGCTGTTCTAGGTTGAATTGTGATCAAGTGCTACTTTTCTTCCGTTGTTTTTATGTTTCAATTTTTCACTTTACATTTACTATTATAGCTCAAAAGTAAAGTGGGGTTTTTTTTAGTATTCCACTTTCGCTTCACTATGTTTTCTTGTAATTAATTAAATACACTTTCTTCCTCACTCACCTAAACACGGTACAGGACATAATAAAGTAGTTTACTAAATTATTCAAAGCATGTAATGACTGGCCAAAAATGTACCTTGAAGATACCTGGAGAATAGCCAACATTATAGAAAAAGGGTCAATTCAGAGGTCGATTTTGAAAAATGCTTGTTATTTTTCAAAATCGACTTCTGAATTGACCCTTTTCTTCATAGGGCAAGTTGGAAGATTTATATTATTCTTCTTATCTTTCTTCATTTTACAGTATAATTTCCCGGAAAATCATCTATTCATCTTATAGTACTTCCAATTTGGATAGCACGGGTGAATCTATCAAGGATCGTGCCATCATATCGTAATTGGTTAATAAAATACCGTAATTTCAAGTCAGTAACAATATTCCTATTCCACAAACAATGTTCAAAGTGTAAAGAAATTATTTCTATCAAGCAATTGTTGGAGTGTAACATCTAGAATAATCTATAAATGTTTTAACAATAATAATAGAAAAACAAGGGCTGGTTGTAATATTCATCTATAAGGATAATATAATGTTACATTTAGTGTTTGAGAACAATGATATGGGTAGAGGGTTTGGGACTTGCTTGGACTTTCCAATTAATGATTGGGGATACGAAGGGAAGTGCTAGTGCTATTAGGACATTATTTATAATGCTAGATATTCTGGAAGTGGGTTCTTGAATAATTTGACGAGCCTATTTCAAGAAAGGTATTCCAGCACCATATATTTGAATTACCCCTCTGAACTTCAATGTGCCGTGCTGCCCATCTCAAAAAGCTCTATTAGCTAGACTTTCTATTATTTTCCACAAGTCTTGTTTACTCATATATGGTTCCTAGAATCTCTCAAAGATATACTGGCACAGGATTATAGTATCAGCTTTTACGTAACACGGATATTAATATTGGTGAATAGGAAAGTAGTTGAAGGATCGAAATCCAAGCTGTTCTCAGAATTGGGCAATACGAAAGAATAAAAGGGAATTTCTGTAAGGAGATGTTCTGGCATCATTATATACACACACACATATATATGTTATTTTGCCGGCATCAAACCCTATCTGGGTAGGTTACTAAGATAGATAGGTTTTCTGTACGAAAATCTTTGATTGCTGCTAAAGAATACATGGGTTCCGTAGTGAGGATAATATAACATAATGCTTGCCATAAAAACATATGCTAAATTAGAGTAATAAATGGCTAATGTTGGTGATAAATAAAGAATACTATCCATTATAACAGCCAATAAAATATTTTTTGTACTATTTAACTATATATGCAATAATTGTTATCCAATAAAGTTCCAAAATAAATAGTATTTACAAATACACACCAACTAATAGAGCCTTGTTATAAGAAAATTAATATATATTTTTTTAATTGTACACGAGAGTTCTATGGTGTACTATATAATCAAAATATATATTCATAAGAAATAGATACGTGTACTGGGGTATGAATAAAATCTTTATATCAGCAAGAAAGCCAAGACACACGATTATCCGTAAAAGTAAAAGGTAAAAAGAATAAAAAAAAAATAAGCTTTAAGCAAATTATCCCCTTAGAATTGCCTCTGAACCCGCTCTTTTTCTTTCACAGTGTTAGGTAAATTGAATCTATAATATATTTATTGGTTGTGCATTGGCACCATTTATTTTGCTTGGCGTGCGTTTCATTTTTCAGATATATTACGATTATTCTGCATAGATATTATACATCTATTTTTAATCAGCCCGTGTTTCTCCTAGATGAATTGAACTAGTTCATTTATTTTGTCAAAATCCTCTGGACATATACAGCATTTATTAAGGAGCCTTTCATTGAATCATGTCAAAAACACTACCTTTATTACTTTGAGTACACTGACGACAAGTCCAATAGTAATTATCAGGATTGTTTATGAAATTAATTGCTGGGCATAAAACATTACATTTTTTATTCTTTCATTTAAATAACTACATACATAAATATATATGCTTATTAAACATGCAAGTTAATCTGGACCAAGATGATTTGTATGGCATAGTCGTTTTTCTCTTACCTTGTATTCGAAGCCCTTTTATCGAGTCATATATGCCCTTCCGCCAAAATAAAGCTATCACGAGAGGTTTTGCATTTTTGAGATATACGTCAAGAAATTCTTCATTGAAAAGGAAATTTTCGTCGAAAGTAATACTTTATATAATTATATTGATTGACTTCTATTGAAAAAAAAAAGACAGTTTAGTGCTAAGTACATACAAGTAGTACAAGATGAGCTCTATAGTTATGTTTATTGCTTTACCCCTCTTGATAAAATGTATATACTTCCTGGAATATATATATTAATCTTTTTTCCCTCTTTTACTTACTGAATTATGAAAGGCGTCAGCTCCAATAAAAGCTTACCAAATTCCAAGTATTTTTAGCTACACTTGAAGATCCAATGTAAACAAAATGAATACAAGAAGTGTAAAGAGAAAGTATTTTGGTTTGGGCCTTAAAAAAAACCAGCTTTATTAAAGCCAGAGAGGCTCCAAGGTTTAAAAATTCTCAATGTAGTAATAATATACCCCTCTTGACCATCCCTACTTCCTTCAGATAGTCTAAAGGAGTAAACACAGTAAGTATAAATAATAAGCCCAATCACTTATTTTTTACAGCTACTTACTATGCGCCTATTTACTGTTTTTCTTGTTTTACTTATTGGAGTGTATCTTCCATATATTCAAGCTTCATCTATTATACCAGGCGCATATATTGTCGAATATAATGATGTTCATGAATATCACGGACATAATGCTCTGATGGCATCTCTTGACAATGTTCGAGACTTATTTCGAGTACGCCATACCTATTCAAGTTCACTATTTCGAGGCATGTCCTTCCGTATCAACGACGAAAAACCAAGAGCACATTCTGCTAATCCGGCTAGTTTGTTGATTTCGCCACGGCACCCAGTTCTAGCACAAATGCTCGGAAGTCCTGAAGTAAAGCGAATTTACCCAGTGTATCGCATCCCACGTCCACAATGGACATCTAAAAGTGATGGTCATCCTTACGATAATGGGTTATCTCAAGTGAATGATGTACACAAAAAACTGAATCTTACGGGAAAAGGGATTACAATTGGAATACTTGATTCTGGTAAGTAACTCCCTTGATAGCTTATTTGTACCCCTTTATTCTTTTTTCTTATTCGAGGCTCCTTCACATTCAAAACCTGAATAAAGACGATAAAAAAAACAATTTTCAAGCAAACAATATTTCAATTTTATACATACTAACACTTTTGATATATGAATGTTTTTATTTATAGGTGTGGATTACAACCATCCAGCACTTGGTGGCGGGTTTGGTCAAGGGTATAAATTTAAATATGGTTACAATCTGGTTGATCCAGCCGAAGATGACACTAGTGCTGGCAGACATTTACCGGAGGATGACCCATTCGATCCATGCTCAGGAGGAGAGACTGGTAAGTATTCTTATGTTATATTTATTGTGTTTATAACCCAGAAAAAGAAGTATCTAACAAAGGTTATTGTTTAATAGGACACGGTACTCATGTCAGTGGTATTATAGGGGGATTTGCTCCAGAACTAGTAAGGATTGGAAAAGAAGCTTTGGTTGTATTATTCGGTCAGTTTGCTTATATTTCTCTTCAGAATTTTTCGGGGATCGCACCTGATGCCACATTTGGCATGTGGCGAATCTTTGGCTGTTATAGTGGTGCAAGCGAAGATACAGTTATAAAGGCTCTAGAAATGGCATATGAAGCAGGTATAGTTGTTATTTTTAATATTACTTAGATTAACGCATGATTTCATATTTTACTAGGATGCGATATAATTAACCTTAGCCTTGGTGTTGAAAATGCATGGCCAGAAGATGCAATGGCAGTAGTTGCTGATCGTCTTACAGAAAAAGGCGTCATTGGTACGTTTATTAAATCTATATTATACTTAAATCATCTTATTTATTCTTTGTTTAGTTGTTGGTGTTGCTGGAAACCAAGGAAATCAGGGTGTATTTATGCAAAATACACCAGGATCTGGAAAAAATTCAATATCAGTGGCCTCTGTTGATAATGCATTCTCCACGGGAAAAGTATTAACTGTCGATGCTCTACACAATCGTTCTTATCGTAAGCTCAAAATAGTGTTTTATTTTTATTTTGTACTTTGACTTTTTTTTATTAACCAATCAATATTTGATCTCTAGCATACCAATTGTCTGTATCTACTAGAACTTTTCCTAGTGGCGTTTTAACAACTATAATAGATGGGGAAGAAGCTTTAACTGGTTGTGAGCTCAGTAAATTATCAAATAAAAAGGTCAAGGGCAAAATCCTTCTCGTCGTACGTGGAGAATGCACATTTGAGAAAAAGGTCGAAGTAGCACGTTCGGCTGGAGCTATTGGTGTACTATTCTATGATACAGAGTCTGACATTCCTGTATCATCTCAAACAAGCAAAGGGTCGCTTCCATGCGCAGGAATATCATCTTCTCTGGGGAGTGAATTGGTCGATCTTTTTATAAAGGACTCCAATACTTCGTCTGTGGTTGTTTCCTTCCCAGATCAGCCAAAGGATTTGAGGAAAGATACGGCTGGTCAAGTATCAGCATTTTCCAGCGTAGGGCCAACATACGAACTCGACTTGAAGCCTGGTGTTTCAGGCATCGGTGGAGATGTCTATTCAACTCTTCCTCTTAATCAGAATGGCGGGTGGGGTGTTCGATCGGGTACATCTATGGCCGCACCGCATGTCGCTGGTGTCACTGCACTTCTGCTTCAGGCATACAGAACTGAGCATACAAATACTAGCCCTATATACATCTTGGAACAGCTTCAGAATCATGCTAGACTTGCCACCTTCCAAGGTGCCCCGGATCACCCACTTCGGCAAGGTGCTGGACTTGTTCAACGTGAGTTTTAAAATACATAGTAACTGCATAAAGCTATAGATTTAATGTGATGAAATCTACGTTTATATAGCATATACTTCTCTGAAGAATCCGATACATATTTCACCTGCACAGATAAGCTTCAACGACACTGCCAGTTTAACGGAGTACAAGTCTTATACACTGTCAGTGACCAATCATGGAAAAAGGCCACTATGTTTGACTATTGAAAATATTCCATCCAAATCAATCAAGCCCTATGGAAGTGGTTTTGGATATGTTCCCGTAGAACCTATTCAGAGAGGCGATATCGAAGTGACCCTTGTATTCTCCCCGTCGCATGATATCACAGTCTCTCCGGGACAAACAGTATCTATAGAGACATCCGTCGAACTGCCAAATCCTGAAGAGTACCACTATCCTATCTACGGTGGGTTTATTTCTCTAGTCGATTCCACTACTAAGGAAGCGCTTGGAACCGTTCCATACTTTGGTGTAATTGGAAAAATGGCAGAACTACCGATTTTTGATGAAGGATATCCTTTTCTTATTGCCACTGACAACGCCTCGACTATATATTCTTCTTCTGATACATTCATACTCAATACCCAATCAGACTCATTTCCCATGGTTGTGTGCCGCCTTTTGACAGCCTCCCCCCGAGTAGATATTGAGATAGTCAATGAAAAAGGCATCTCTCTAGGAACCATAGAAGAAGGGCCTAATGTATACTGGGAAAGAAATACTTTAGGCACTGATAATCGTGTGCGGACAGTCACTTGGAATGGTAAAGTTGTAGCAAGCAAAATTAAGCCTGGGGATACAATATATCCTTTTACAGTTTCAAAAGGTACATACTTTTTACGGATCCGTGCACTCAAATTACTGGGAGATCCGACTTCAGATTATGACTGGGAGAGATGGTTCTCAGGACCTATCCGTGTAGAGAGTTAATAGTCAACGTACCGGATTTCAGCTGTTTTCTTGGATGTATATTTTTTCTTCTTCTTCTTATGTTTATCTACTATCCCCATTATACTTTTTTTTTTCATGGGTTATTTTTACTTCTTTAAAATGCGAGGATTTTCCAAATTGTTTTTTAATAGTATTATAGTTTTTCTTGATCTATTTTTTTTCTTATCTTTGAAGGTTGATGAACCCGAATATAATAAAAACAAATTATACATATATAAATAATATCGGAAAATATCCTTAAGCCAAGACTGAAATATTATATTCTTTCCTATCGAGGCAAAAATGTCAATATTTGTTAATTTTTTTTTTAAAAAAAAAGAGGAATATTTGTTGCTAAGTATTAAAGCATCGTTTTGCTTTTAGAGAAAGAAAGAAAAAAACTTGCTTTTCAAGAGTGAGCTGTTCTAACACATAACAACCCGCTATAATGCAGTTAACTGGTGTAAAGAACAACTCCAAACCTTGGAAGCTCGCTCTGATTGCCCTCAGCCTCCTAGTTACCATTACCGCTGCGTTAGAGGATGTACCAACATTACCTCAAGATATTCTTCGAGATCCAAAATTTCGGGCCGCAACAACTGGAAATACTATCGCAGGTCGATACATTGTCGAGTTCGACGAGAAATACAGTGGAACTTCATCAGACTTTTTAGAACGTTTGACACAAGATATTAATAGAGATGATCCAAACATTGGTAACAAGCTTAGCATGACGATCTCTCATGAATATGACTCGACACCATCTATATTTCACGGAGTTTCTCTTAGTATCCAGCCAAAGAAAAGGAAGGCTGTACTTGGAAAGGTTCAAACAGCATCCGAAGAAAATGTTGTATTCACTGCTTCCCAGAACCGTGTTGTGAATAAATTAGTCAAAAGCAACTATGTCAAGAAAGTGTATCCGGTTACTATAATACCGAGACCAGAATTCACCCGTACTAGTCTAGCATATGATGAAGCACTACTACCGATCATAAATAGTGCAGCACTCGAGGTATCTTTGCCATTTTCTCATGAAATGACTCAGGTAAATAGGGTACACAAAGAACTTGGCCTCACAGGAAAGGGTGTTGTGGTTGGAATCATTGATTCTGGTAAGTTTTTCTTGGACTAAACATATTAGAGTCGTTTTTATTATTGTACTAATCTTCTTTATTAAAATGAAACTTAAAATGAAACAGGTATTGACTATACCCATCCGTCCCTCGGAGGTGGATTTGGCCCTGGCTTTAAAGTACAATTTGGAGCGGATCTTTCTGGCGATTTCTTTGATGTCAATAATCCATCCAAATCCAAGAAAGGGAAAACTCCCCTTGATACTTGCAGTGAAAAGTTTCACCAAGGAGGTCAGTAGCTTTCTTGTTTGCCAAGTTGGACGAATAACCCCGGATTAAACGTTTTGTATTGATTAGGTCATGGAACTCATGTCGCAGGAATCATTGCTGCTCAAGACACACGTTATGTAAGGACACATTATATAATTATGCTGTGAATGCTACTTAAACAAATTTAAATTTAACTTTTTCTTTGTTTCAGAATTTTACTGGTGTAGCTCCAGATGTTACACTTGGAATGTGGCGTGTATTTGGCTGTCAAGGCTCAACCTCTAGCGATTTGGTTATCAATGCACTTATCTTGGCTTATGAAGCAGGTAGAATTCCTTATAAGCATTTATAGATGGATCAGAAACTGTTTTTACGTGATTATTAATTGTACGTATATATAGGCTGCGATGTTATTAATCTAAGCTTAGGTGGTGCCACTGGGTGGGGAGAAGATCCCACTGCAGTTGTAGCAAATCGTATTGCTAAGAGTGGCGTAGTTGGTAAGTAGAAAACATATACATATATACATATAGTGGACAAGACGTAAAGTTTGGGGTCGAGTGTAAGGATACATTTGTCTAATAATATTCATTAGTCGTCGCAGCAGCAGGAAATGCTGGTTCAGAGGGACCTTTTATGGTCGCATCTCCGAGTGTAGCAGACAATGTGATTTCTGTTGCTTCTGTAGATAACGACTATGTACTGCTACCAAATGTTATACTAGAAAACGGCGATAAATTTGGTAACAAATTCTATTCTGAAATTTTACTTTTATATAATATAGAAGAGAAATATTCATGCATATCTTTCTAGACTACTCCTTATCAACTTCAACCAAAACATTTCCCAATGGTACAATCGTTGCCTATGCGGATGATGAGCCAGAAGTTCTTGCCTGTGGAGATTCAAAGCCAAGCCGTTCCTTTACTGGCCAAATTGTATTAGTCAAGCGTGGTAACTGTACATTTGACGAGAAAACAGCCAATGCGTACAAGGCTGGAGCCACTGCCGTCTTGGTGTATGATAACGAGCTCAATACAAGCTCACATCCAGTAACAGCCCAAAACGCACGTATTCCTGTAGCCAGTGTATCAAATGCAGCAGGTGTTACATTGATGGGACTTCTTGGGAACGAGACCAGTGGAGTTGGAGTGGTTTTTGAAGTCGAACTCTCGGGTAGCCCTTCTCTGTCTGCCAGGAAAATATCTAGTTTCTCAAGTGTGGGTACTTCTTTCGAGCTGGACTTGAAGCCAAATCTTGCTGGTGTGGGCGGATCAATATTTTCTCTGCTTCCTGTTACGCGTGGATCATATGGTGTTCTTTCGGGAACCTCGATGGCTTCTCCTTACGTTGCAGGTGCTATTGCTTTGTACCTTCAAGCTCACCCGGCACACAATTCGTCCTTTATTGGTCAGAAATTCCAAAACTTTGCCCTTCCTTCTTTTGTAGACAATCCTGCGAAACAAGGTGCTGGTCTTATCCAAGGTATATATATATGTGTGTGTGTGTGTGTGCTTTACAAAAATCAAAATCAAAATCAAAATCAAAACAAAAAAGAAATATATCTCAAAGTCAAGATACTAATATTTAATATTCAGTATATGATGCCATTACGCAGTTAAGCTATGTCTCGCCTGGTCAATTGAGCTTCAATGATACAGCCCATCGTGAAGAAAAGACACTGGCGATCACAAACCAAGAAAAAGAGCCAATGACCTATACCATCCGTCATTTTTCGAATCGCGCCATCGCTCCTTTCAACACTTCACAGCACGGATATACTCCTATACAGCCAGCCATCTATACAAAAGCCAATGTTACAGCCGATCTTGGTCTTTCTTTAAAGAATGTTACCGTCCAACCCGGAGAGACAGTCGAATTCACCGTTAATGTTGATAGCGTCAGTGAGTCTCTCGATAACGAGCCATTCCCCATGTATGGCGGCTTTATTACGATTGATCCCGTTACCGATTATTACGGAGAGGCAAAGTCGATGAAAATACCTTATGTTGGTATCTCTGGAAATGTGGCAGACATCCCAATATTTCCTAAAGGGTTCCCTATGATCGTTGATTCCAGTGACTTCCTTGGATCGCATGAGCCTGGAAAGCCCTATGTACTCAAGAGAATTCCTCACAGTCGCCCTTCTTTGTATGCCGTTTTCCGTCTACTGATGGGTACGGCCCACCTTACGACTGAGATTTTGGATGAAAACCAAGAATTTGTGGGCAATGCTTTTAGTACAAGTTATATGCCACGCAACACGCTGAACCCTGGGAACTTTTTGGTAGTAAATTCATGGAATGGATCTATTATAGATGAACAGAGCGAGACTTTGGGCGAGACAATCCCTCTTAAAAATGGTACATATTACATGCGCTGGAAGGCTCTGCGCTTGTTGGCTGATCCTGAGCTTGAAGACAGCTGGTTGACCTCTATTTCGGATCCTATTGTTGTTTCTTAATTTACATTCTTATCCTTCCCTTTTCTTCCCAAATTAATTTCTTTATTACATAAATATTAATTGCTAATAAATAAGTTCTGCATAATATAAATATATATTTATTCTGTAAAGAGAAATAGCATATTATTCAACCCAATGTCTTGCAATGTTTTGTGACTTTGCATTGTGCGCTTAATCCTCTTCTACTCCTATTTTTTTTTATTGTATTTTACTTTGTGTGAATCTCATTAGCGAAAAGATTATCTTTAATAAAATGGCATTAGAAAATGAGGATGCAGACGAGATTAATCTTCACACAGAAAAAAAGTACCAAAAAGATTTAAAAGTTGGAGAGGGTACCTATGCTGTTGTCTACAGAGGTAATGATAGTGTGATTTGAAAGGCGCAATGGTGATCATTCCCATGTTGATCGGCACTTTGAAATCAAGGAACACAGCTCTCTACGGGGAGAAAGGTCGCTATTAAAAAGATCAAGATGGGCCAGTTTAAAGATGGTCTTGATTTGACTGCAATTAGAGAAGTTCGGTACCTTCAAGAGCTGAGACATTCTAACGTGATCGAGGTTAGGGATTGCTGTCTATTAGTATATAAGAGAATTGGCGTTAATTTTTTGTTTGTATGTCTAGCTTGTTGATGTATTTTCACACAAGACCAATTTGAATTTGGTTCTTGAATACCTGGATTCTGATCTGGAGCAGGTTATCAAGGACAAGTCTATACTGTTCATGCCTGCTGATATCAAATCCTGGTTACTTATGATCCTGCGTGGCCTTGACCATTGTCATCGTCATTTTATTCTTCACAGAGTAAGATATGCTTTCTTGTAATGATAATAATGATAATTCAAGCTAATCATATAGCAATTGTAGGATATGAAGCCAAACAACTTGTTGCTTACGCACGATGGTATACTCAAAATTGCAGATTTTGGTCTGGCAAGAGAATGGGGTGATCCTGGACGACAGATGACATCCCAAGTAGTTACAAGGTAGAGAAAGAAGAGAAGTTTCGATGTGAATTGTGCGACTTAAATTGTTGCGTAGATGGTATCGATCACCAGAACTATTATTTGGTGCCAAAGAGTATTCCTATTCTGTCGATATCTGGGCAGTTGGATGTATATTTGCAGAACTTATGTTGAGAACTCCATATGTGGCCGGTGACTCTGATATGGATCAGTTAACAAAGATTTTCCATGCTCTGGGAACCCCAACTGAGACAGATTGGCCAGTAAGTATAAAACACAAAAGACTATATAATAGATATTTAATATGTGGTTATTTAGGGAATGTCTACATTGACAGACTATGTCCAATTCAAAGTGTTCCCAAAGGTTCCTCTGAGACAGTATTTTACAGCTGCTGGTTCAGATGCACTCGATTTGTTAGACAAAATGTTGGTGTTTGATCCTAATAAGCGATGGACAACTGAAGAAGTGAGTGTATATATGATATAGACTGGCAATGGATAACTCACAATGTTTTTGTAGTGTCTTCAACATTCATATTTTAGAAACTCGCCTCTTCCAACCACTCCAGAGAAGCTTCCTCGAAAGGCTCCAGATGTGGAGCAAGTAGCACAGACATTGAAGCGAAAAGCAGGAGCCAATATGGATGAAGAAGACTTTAACAGATCCAAAATCCCCCGAAAAATTGACTTTCCTAAAGACACATAAACCCTCAAAAAAATACTTTTGTACATAATCTCTTTCTATCTGACAGCAGTGACGTTTATAGTCTGTGTGCGTGTGTGCAAAGTAGAGTCATGCGTCGATCATTGCCCTTTCAATTGCCGCCTTCTTCTCATCATTGAACGAGTAAAAGAGATCATTGTGTCTTTATATATATATATATTTTTCTCTTAATTTTTATTTTCTATTTTATTTTTTTATTTTTTTACTTCTTGTACAAGTCATTTATTGAGTATGGACTTTTCATACTGCCTTACAAGGAATGTGTATTTACCAGTGTCCATAAAGATGTATGTGAGAAGAAATAATATCTCGAATTCTAGTTACTTATATCTTCGTAGCTCTTCTTTAGAAGGAAGGCGTGAAACATCTAATGCAGATTTCCCAATGTAAGCAATGCATCATCCCAATCAAGTGTCATGTCGATTCTAACAAGCAGACATTCACAGAAAACATTCTGATTACTATGTCACAGTCCAGCTGTACGGTGATAATAAACCTCTAACAGTTCCTGTTCAAACAAGTTACAAGTCGTTTAAGAACCACTGGAGGTAAATAGTAGTAGCGACTATAATATTATACGAGCATATTTTTTTATTCGGTAATTATTATTAACAAAAGTTTGTTTATTTGTTATTATTTTATTTATTTTTTTGATGGAAAGTTGGAATGAATGGTTGACATTACCCATAAAATACTGTGATTTACCTGCATCAGCACAATATGCCATTACTGTATGGGATACAGTCGGGCCACGTAAAGCAGTTCCAGTGGGTGGAACAACCTTAAGGCTGTTTGGAAAACATTTGTAAGAGACTAGTAAACAAAGAGAAACATTAGGTTTGGGGTTTAGTTTGATTGATTGATAGTGTAAAGGACACTTCGAAAGGGGAAGCATAAACTACACATCTGGCCAGGTCGTGAGGCAGACGGACAATCCAAAACAACTACACCAAGTAAAGTGAAGACAGATAATGATATGGATAAATTGGAAAAGGTGACTAGCGAATATCTGGATAATAAGAGCAACGATTCTGATTTTCGGTGCCTAGCTTGTTAAACGATACGATTGTGGTGATATCAGACCTGTAGAATGGCTTGACAACATGGCATTCAGACAGATTGAAAAAATACATAAGGTATAAATAAATAAATAAAAATTGAGAAATAGAAAGTTATAACGGAAACTATAAAAGAATATATATTTATATATGTGCATGTACCTTTAGAATGCGTCTTTACAGTCTACAGGACAAGCACTGTATATTGAGTTACCAAAATTTGACTTTACAGTCGTATTTGGTGAGATAGTAAGTAACCGGTACTTAAGAGACATTGACATTGACATTGACATATGACATGTCTATTAGGAATATACTCTTCCTGATCCAACTGCGCCTCTTCTTGGGCAGCAACCTCCTCAGATAGCAAATACGGTCACTGCAAATGCTGCCAACCAAGCCAATTATACCGATATCGGAGATGATGGGCGCAATATTAATGCTCATCCAACTGAAACAGTAGCCCTTTATTCACTTATTCTTGATCCTGATATTGTGCGTGATAATCCAGTTGAAGCTAAGCACAGAAGATTGGTCCGTAGTCATCGAAATGGACCCTTGGATCGCGACCTCAAACCAAACCCAAAGATCAGAGACGACCTCAATGTAAATATATATAAAGAAAATATACGAGTATATTTTGATTCATAAACTTGCCATCTTTACTATAGAGTATTATGTCCTATCCACCCACTCAAATGTTAACGGCAGAAGAGAAGGATTTGGTTTGGAAATTCCGCTTCTATCTGACAAGAGACAAGAGAGTAAGTAAACACTTTGAGGAGTATCCATATATTAACTTTTCTTTTATTAGGCTTTGACAAAGTTTCTCAAATGCGTTGTGTGGACAGACTCAACTGAAGTTCGACAGGCAGTAGATTTATTGCCATTGTGGGTAGACATTGACGTAGACGATGCTCTTGAGCTTCTTGGAAAAGAGTTTGAGAATAGAGCTGTTCGTTCATATGCTGTAAACCAATTGAGAAAAGCGGATGACGATGTAAGGGAAATGTAATTATAAGCAGTTTAACTTATATTATAATATTTTAGGACCTGCTTTTGTATCTTTTACAGCTTGTGCAGGCTCTCAAGTTTGAACACATGAATGACAAGACACCAAATTCTTACGAATCATCTTTGGCCCAGTTCCTTATTGATCGCGCAACTCGTAACCAAACACTAGGCAACTACTTCCATTGGTAAGAAGTCCGATATGTAGTGATATAACCAAGAAATTAAAGCTAATATACATTATTATAAACACAGGTATCTAATGGTCGAGTGCGAGGACAAGGTTATGGGAAAGATGTATGCCAAAGTAGCATATCATTATATCAAGGCTATTATGGCTGTAAGTTTTTATATGCAAATATTTACACTTGATTTCTAATTCACATTATTATAGGTGACGAATGGATGTCAGCGGCGTGATACATTATTACGCCAAGGAGAGCTTATTCAATCTCTCTCAAAAATGTCCAAGGATGTTAGAAGCATGAAAGATGTGAGATCAAAAAAGGAAGATAAATTACGAGCAATGATTTTAGATCCAAAAGGCCACTTTGGATCGTTCCCGCCATGTCCACTACCTCTGGACCCAAGTAAAGAAGTGTGTGGTATTGTGGCAGGTAAGAATATAAATTATAATATAAAACTATCAGGAAAAAATCTTATTCACATTAATATATACTTTCTTTTAGACAAGTCTAGAATATTCAATAGTAATCTCCAGCCTCTGCGTCTAACTTTTGCATGCACTGACACGACTACGTATCCTGTATGCTTGATTGTCTTTTCATCTAATAAGTATACTAAAAAAGAAAGATAATATTGTAGGTTATCTTTAAGACCGGTGATGATCTTCGTCAGGATCAATTAGTAATTCAGATTATCACACTGATGGACAAACTGCTGAGGAAAGAAAACCTTGATCTGAAATTAACGCCTTACAAAGTACTCGCAACTGGGCCTGAGCATGGCTTGATGCAATTTGTTCCTTCAAAATCACTTGCGGCAGTACTCAATGAACACCAAAACAATATCCAAAGTTTCCTCCGTGAACATCATCCTGATCCAGGTCCAGATGGAATTTATGGAATTGATGCTCAAGTGATGGAGACATACCTTCGTAGCTGTGGTAAGTGTGAAAGTTAAAAATAGAGAAATTCTACTAGTAAACTCATGAATACCACCTAATGATACTAGCTGGCTACTGTGTGATTACTTATTTGCTTGGCGTTGGAGATCGACATTTGGACAATCTGCTATTATCGCCTGAAGGTAAGAAATTTATATGTATATACATAAAAGGCAGAACTTTATGGGTTTCTGATCTCATTTATTTATTTTAAAACACACAAAGGCCATCTATTTCATGTTGATTTTGGCTTTATATTGGGTCGAGATCCTAAACCATTCCCACCTCCGATGAAGCTTTGCAAAGAAATGATTGAGGCTATGGGTGGAGCAAGCTCTCCTCACTACAATAAGTTTAGACAGTTTTGCTATACTGCTTTTACAACTCTCCGGCGTAACGCGAATTTGATCCTCAATTTGTTCGCATTGATGGTGGATGCCAATATTCCTGATATTAAGATTGAGCCAGACAAGGCAGTTATAAAGGTAGAAGCGGATACATAGAATAATCCTTTTCTTTTATATTAAATGAAAATCATTATTTAGGTACAAGAGAAATTTAGACTAGACCTTTCCGAGGAGGCGGCGATTGCATATTTCCAGGGTCTCATTTCAGAGAGTGTCAATGCGTTGTTCCCTCAAATAATGGAGACAGTTCACAAATGGGCCCAGTATTGGAGGCGGTAGATAATAACCTGTGCTATCAAAAAGTTTGAAAGACTCTTTATGGAATATCTGCCGTGATATATATATATATATATATAAAACCAAAAGGACAATATTTGTTATTGTGTATTGATTTCATTTGTTATATTTATGCTGACAGATTTTTTTTCCTATATGAGTTTTGCGTGGGTTTGTGTATGCAAGATGTGAATGTGTGGAGAACCAATGGACTTAATATAGACATCTCATGTGATGCGGGGAGAGCTTACACAACTTTAGACTCAATTTATATTTTACATAGAGCAGTCAAATCTTCACATGAAGAAGCGCGCAAGGTCCTATTTTAGTCAGCTTGAATTGAGTCTTTAAATAAAACCCCCTTTACTTTTACTTTTTATTCTTCTTACTCATATACATTCTTTCAAGTACAATATGGTTCTGGTCACTAAAGTTACCAAGATGCTTGGCATCAGACATCCCATTATCCAAGGTAGATTCCAGCTCTAATGGCAATGACTACATAGGCTGATCAGTTTTTATTCAAAGGTGGTATGCAATATGTTGGCACTGCCGAGATGGCTTCTGCCGTATCAAACGCTGGTGCACTTGGCATGATCACTGCTCTTACACAGCCTACCCCACAAGCTCTCCGTGAAGAGATCCGACGATGCCGCACTATGACTAAAAATCCTTTCGGAGTCAATCTCACATTTTTGCCTGCTATTGTTCCTCCCCCTTATGAAGAATACACACAGACCATCATCGATGAAGGCATTAAGGTTGTCGAGACAGCCGGTAACAACCGTAAGTCTTCATCATTTTTTTTTTAAAAAAAAAACTAGACGCTGAATACTGAAGTATCTAACAATGAAATTATAGCCGGGAAATATATCAAGATGTTCAAGGACGCCGGTGTTATTGTGATTCATAAGTGCACTGCCATTCGTCACGCAAAGTCGGCTCAGCGTTTGGGTGTAGATATTCTTTCTATCGACGGTTTTGAGTGTGCTGGTCACCCTGGCGAGGACGATATTACTGCCCTGATTCTGTTAGCAAAGTCTGCCTCTGTTCTCAACATTCCTTATGTTGCCTCTGGTGGATTTGGCGATGGCCGTGGTCTGGCTGCTGCTTTGGCACTGGGTGCTCAGGGTGTCAACATGGGTACGCGTTTCATGTGTACTCAGGAGGCCCCAATTCATAACAACATCAAGGAAGCCATTGTCAAGGCAGATGAGCGCTCTACCACTCTTGTCTTCAGACCTTTCCGCAATACCTCTCGTATCTTCAAGAACTCGGTCGCTGTTGAGGTAAACTCTCGTGAGAGAAAACCCGACGTCCAATTTGAGGATGTACGTGAACTAGTTGCAGGTGCACGTGGTCGTCAGGTCTACACAACCGGAGACCCTGAGTTTGGTGTCTGGACAGCTGGACAGGTTGTTGGTATCATTAATGATATTCCTACATGCGATGTACTCGTTAGCCGTATGGTTGCCGATGCTGAGAAGACCATTAACAACCTTCACAGTCTCATTGCTCCTCAAAGCAAGCTTTAGATACCCGATATAAAGAACAAACAACCAAAAATAATAATAAATAAATATATAAGTATATGCATAGTCATATATAATAATAAATGTCCATAAACCTCAACAAAAAAAAATACTTCTTTAATCATTAAAAAGCTTGTGACCATAATTAAGGGACAAGACATATAAAACTCCGTCTAGACAGACCACAATTTAAGGTGTCACCAAGAACAGTTGTCGGGAAGTGATAAAAAAAAAAGTCCAATGAGTCATCCCCGGGGGTATATGCCTTGTGTATAACAGTCAAGACTTGCCTTTTGGCTTGACATATGTGGATATGAACCTTTAGATAGATAATTCAATGATGTGATGTGACTATATTGTGAACACAGTTTTTGACGTTTTGTCCAGCTGTAATCGTTGGTTCAAGAAAGTAAACAACCAAACAGTCTTGTTTTTCATATTTTAAATCACCGACGAAAATTATTTTGCTTAAACTCCAGTCCAGGGACCCTCTCTTACTTGCTCTTTCTCTTCCTTCTTCCTTACTTTTGACAGCCAAGACCAACAGTCCTTCACCTGTCATCATGTCTCCCATTGCATCCGGAAAGAACAAGTCCGAGTCCCTCAGTGCTCGCATTGCTGGCAGTGCCAGTTCAGGTATTCTTGAATTGATCATCTTCCACCCTGTTGACACCGTCGCCAAGCGTTTGATGAGCAACCAGGCAAAGGTAACTTATAGGATTAGATTTTAATCGAAAATTAGTGCTCTAATACATATATGCTTAGATCCTCCTCCCTGGAATGACCTTTGGTGAGAAGAAGGCTGCCTTGGACTTGGTTATCTTCAAGGTACGTTATTTCATTTGGTCATATATATAGCTTATCTCTTTATACTGTTGATCCCTAATCACCGTGTTATTGTTTTTGATAGGATGCTGCACAAAAGTCTTTCTTGAAGAAATACGCTTCCCTTTTCCCTGGTCTTGGCTTTGCTGCTGGTTACAAGGTTGCCCAGAGAGTCTACAAGTTCGGTGGTCAACCTTTCGTTAAGGATTACCTGAACACCAACCACCAGGCTACTTTCACCAACGCTTTTGGTGAGAAGACTGGCAAGACTGTTATGCATGCTACTGCCGGAAGGTATGTATTATTATTTTATATTATGTTTATTCCTTGATACGGAGACTGTAGTGCATAAACTCATACGATAGTTTTCATCTGTGTTTAGTTTGGTCGGTATTGGAGAGATTGCCCTGTTGCCTTTGGATGTCTTGAAGATTAAAAGACAGACAAACCCCGAGGCTTTCAGAGGCCGTGGCTTTTTGAAGATCGTTCAGGACGAGGGTATGGGATTGTACCGGTAAGTACATACAAAACATGATCCAGCTTCTTCGGATCCATACCCAAGCATATATTTATCAAATACTCTAAAATAGTGGTGCTGGCTGGACCGCTGCTCGTAACGCTCCTGGCTCCTTTGCTCTTTTCGGTGCCTCTGCATTCGTGAAGGAGTACATGTTCCACCTTGAAGATTACAGCAAGGCTACCTTCTTCCAGAACTTCTGTGCCTCTATTGCTGGTGCCGTTGCTTCCATCACCGTCGCCGCTCCCCTTGATGTTGTTAAGACCCGTATTCAGAACCGTAACTTCGATAACCCTGAGTCCGGTGTAAACATTGTTAAGGATCTTATCAAGAAGGAAGGCTTTGCTGGTTTCTTCAAGGGTTTGACCCCCAAGATCTTGGTGGTAAGACAAAGAGATATTAAAATGACTGATGTTGTTGGGTAAATACTTGTATGAATATTAATTTATTTTCTTTTTCTGTTTAATACAGGTCGGTCCTAAGCTGATCTTCAGTTTCACCATTGCACAGCAGCTTATCCCTGTCTTCGACCGTGCCTTCAACGGTTCCAAATAAAACCGGCATACTTTCTTTGGTGCACCTCTTTCTGTAGACTCAGATAGAATAAAAAAAAAACCCCCTCTCAACCTTTCTCATATTAATCATCATTTCCTGTTTATACGATTATATTTGTTCATTTAGTGCTTAAAAAGAAAAAAGAAAATAAAACACTTTTTAATAATCGGACGAGTGTGTGTGATGTATGAGATATTGATTAGATGTACGGAAGATAATGTCTTAGGCTGCGATAACAGACTAGATAAGGAAAGGCGATCAAGATCCAAGTCTAATACACTGGTCTTAAATTTTCACTTTATTTAGTCATTACGAATTATATATCTTTAACAGGGATCAATCAAGAATGAATGCAAACTTTGCTTACTACTGATATTACATAACTATTCAAGCAAAATAAAGACCTGTTGTCTATCTAAGCTTTTAGTCCTACGAAAATCAAATCAGATATAATTAAAGACATTAATTATACACTTGTGGGAAACAGAGAGATTTTTTTTGAGGCTATTTATGTATTTTATCTCTCAATTGTGTAATGGTTTGTTGTGGTTGATCCACTGTGTATAGAAAGACGTCTTTGGTGTGTAACTTTGCAACACTCTCTGCAGGTTTTTTTTTACTCTTCATTCGTAGAGTATGGTTTTCTAGCCTGTGACTTTTTTTACTGCATTCGGAGACAACCGTAAGCCTCTTAAAGAATATAGCTTATATATATGTATATATAAAAACAAATCTGGTACAACCTTCAACTTGAGTATATTTTCTCGTTTCAAATATGAGACTTCAATATCCTTGCTAATAATTGTTTTCCTCGAGTATTTTCTTTGTTTTTTGTCTTGCTTTGTTTGTAAGGGTTCGAAGCTCAGGATTATTGTGGTTTCTTGTCAGTGAGAAAAAGAAATGTGACTAGATGTATATATTGGATTTTCTAATCTTTCCCTAAAGTATGTCTAGCAGTTACTTTAGAAACGTTTATATATAATCATGAAAGTTTAATAGCTATCTACAACCTGGCCAAGCTGGATTACTAAAGAAATACATATTTTACAAAACAAAATGTTGATATATGTTTATTAGATTTTTTTTAAAAAAAAAAGAAAGTACAATTGATATTCAGATTAGCTGTCCTTAATATATATATCACAGATTGGAATCTTCTCGATATTTATAATTACCTATCCTCCGTATTTGGTATACTATCGTCTATTCCTCTTTCAAGGAAACCTCTAAATAAGCTACAATGGTAACAATAAAGACCATTGTATTGTCAGCAGTTATCTCAATTGCACATCAAATGTGTTATTAATGATTTTCTTTTTGGATCAAGGATCTAAGCAAGCAAGTACTTGAAGAATAGGCACTAATCTTTCATCAATTTCAGCAGACAATATGCAATATTGATGTCAGGCTGTAATTGATACCAAGGGAGGTCATACTATATATTGATACTTTATTTTTTATTTTTTTTATTTCAATAATAAACATACATTTAATCTTGTATTTGAAGTTTGAAGGCTTTAGCTATTACTACTGACGAACGGTTTTTATGTTGAGGATATGTCTTGACTTCTCTAATGAATTTCTTGGGGTCAGAGGATGAAAAGTTTTTCGGTGGATGTATAGCAGTAGATTTAAGAAAGAAAGAAAAATACTTTGGGTGCTCTTCATGACCTTAGACCTTACAACTTGACGTTCCACCAGACCCATCACCCAAACCATTCTCGAAACAATTTTGGAGTACTTGATCTCTAAAATGCCATCATAGTGTGTGCATTTTTTTGTATTATTTCTTTTGTTCTTTATTTTGCAATATTTTTTATTAAAACAAAACAACAATGGACTACAACTACCTTATTGACATTGCTCTTGGAGAAGGAGGAGTCGAAGAATTTTTTACAAGCATTGCCTAATGCTTGCCCTTAGATTTTCTCACCGACAAATGACTCTGAACAGCAAACAGATTCATTTAAAAGGCAATGAAATAGAATTAAAGAAATAAAATACCACATTAACATAGCTATTATTCTCATGAAAAGTAACAATGTAACTATAGCTGCTTAGTATGCTGTATATGGGACGTTATTTCCCATTTTACTTCCTGTCAAAGGTGAAAATACACCTTTGACACGTACAAGATTTTTTATCATTTTGGAAATTTTATGTTACATAATTACTATATATATCATGAATCTTTATGTACGTTTTGGGAGATGGGCCTAGTGGAACGACAAGTGGTAAGGTCTAGGGTTATGAAGAGCGCCTTTGGTTTAAAGAATGTGAAAGCTAATTTAAAATGACAAGGTTCTTACTTTTTATGCTGTTATTGCATATTCTCTGTAGAAAAAAAAACATTTAAAATAATCAATTATTGCAATTATTGTGCAATTAGATAGCATGACAAATTCAAAGGAGTCTTTTGGGCTACTTTTTTTCCCTTTAAAGAACAATAGTACCTGTACATATACAATTAAACTAAATTTACTGTAACCATTACAGATGCTCTAAAGCTTTCCCTAACTTTAACTCAATACAGTCAATTCTTCTGTATGTTAATAAACTCTGGCTTGGCAGTTTATGTATAATTCCTCAGAATATGATTCCAGAGGCGCTTGTTTTATATCTTCTCTCCAGACAATAGAAAACAACGACTACAAGTCTCCCTTAAAGGCATAACGTCTTAAGACTTAGCGATACACTTGGCTTCGGTGCTTATAACCATATTCTTTTGATCATCATATACATTCTTTTTTTTTATATAGGGGGTACTCAGCCAGATTGATCGATCAAATTCTTGTGTGAATCTTGGCCAATGGTATCAATTTGTAGTTGAGGACACCAAAAGACAAAAGTACAAAATTCGTACAAAATTCATAGATTTTTATAGCATTTATAGAATAATCTTTGCACATTCTGATTTCTTCTTTGAATGTGTAGGCATCTAGACTCTCGAAGAAATCAAGGGCTCTTTCCCTTTACTCAACATCTGGCAATACATTGTCAACCTTGTGTATGTATTTATTGGCTTTAAGTGTTTGTTTAAGCTCCTTCGCGGCAGTCATCTGCTCCAACTTTATATTAACTTCCTTTTTGATTACTTCTAAAATATCTTTAATAAGTTCGTCTGCACTTTCTGATAAAGACTCTACCAGTGTTTTTTTTCACGATAAATTCCCTGATTTTATGCGATTTCTTCAAGGCATCAATTGCTTGTTGCTTTGCACTATATTTTGGCATGTAAGATGGAGAGAAAGAAGTATTATATAACTGTTGGCAATAAATTCTATGATTTATTAAGGAGAAAGATAAAAACAGTATCGTATTGCATATAAAAAGTAAGGATTAGGTTAATCAGAGAGCCGTACGTTTTTCGATCAAAATTTGATCGAAATTTGATCTTTCAAAAAGACGATCAAATTTTTATCGTCGCTATTACAATTGTAGTCCAATAATATGGCGTTCTGAATTCAAAATTTGATCGATCAATCTGGCTGAGTACCCCCATAGAATATATTAAATGTCCGAAATCGGGACGGTTCTTTTTTTGACCATTTTTTGTTTTTTGCTGCTTTCAGGGACAAACTTCATCACAAATCATCTAACTAAATCTAATCTAATGGGAAAGAGTGAAAAAATCAGCAAGTCAGAAATTCCACTCACAGCTGTGAGATCTGAAGAGACAGAAAAGGTAATTTAGTACTTTACTGAAGATTGCAATGAAGCTGACATTCAGTAGCACCACAAGAAAAGCAAGAAAGAAAAGAAAGACAAGAAAGACAAGGATAGCAGTATGTATTCAAACTTGTGTGTGTGTGTGTGTGTTGATTGGTTTAAGGGAAAAAGCAATATTTAATTGATAAGCTATCTGTAGGTAGCAAGCGAAAGAGATCCACAGATGAAGAGTCAGAAGAAGAAAAGGTTGTAGTAGAGACCAAGAAGGCCAAGAAGGAGAAAAAGGAAAAGAAGGAAAAGAAAGAGAAGAAGAGCAAGAAAGACAAGGAGAGTGAAACCAGTGATTCAGATGATACCAAAAAGGACCGTGCTCATGCCTGTGCAACATCTACACCAAAGGTATCCAAAGTAGAAGAAGAGAAAATAGAGGTAATGTATTCACAATCATAAAATCACATCAACATGAATGTTAAGAATAAAAGAAACGGTATTTACACTTTTTTTTATGTGTGTGTGTGTGTGTATTTTATTGATTTTAGGAACCTGCGGCAACCACTGGATGGAATGACTGGTCAAAAGCCTCGTTTGGAGGTAACCAGGAACAGAAGAGCAAATTCATGCGTTTATTGGGTGCCAACAAGGCAGGAAATAAGGAAGCCGCACCTGCACCCAAGAAGAAGGGAGGTTTGTTTGGCTCCTTGAAGAGCGCAATAGATGAGGATGAGAACCAGCGTATTGCCAATGATCTTGAAAAGCAGTTCCAGGGCGGTTTGCAAATGAGAAAACAGCAATACACTGGCCAAAGAGGTGGTCTCGGATTCAGTCGATAATATATATAATTTTTTTTTAAAAAAAAATACTAGTAAAATAATAATAATAATAATAATAATAAAGAGCATTTGCATTGTATGTATTCAATATGCTTTATTTCTGTTTATTGATTAGAGAACAGTGAAACAAGGGAGAGTGGGGAAAATAAGACATTTAAGCAGACTTGGAGGCAACGGCTATAAAACATACAGAGAATATGAGTTTAATTAATCAGTGTGCACAACAACAATATAATTGTTATCCCATTCCATTTGTATTTATTTTTCGTCAAAAAACTTACCCTGGATGTCCAAAACAGCCTGGTCGAGGATCTGCTGCTGGATCTTGGGGTCCTGCAAGTCTTTGTGGATCTTCTCGATCAAGTAGGCAGCCAACTGCTTCTGTTCGCGCTCGCGGACGCTAGCCTCGTGGCGGACCCAGGAGTCAAGAGTGGTCTTGAGCTCGTGGGCAACAGCGACCTGCTGCTTGAGGACAAAGGCCTCGGCCTCCAACTCGGCGGTCTCGCGGGAGATAGCAAAGAGAGACTTGGTAACATCGACCAAATCCTTCATTTGACCAACTTCCTCAATACGCTCCTGGACAGCGGACTTGTGGTCCTCACGGGCCTGAACCAAGATGTTCTTGATGCGCTATATACCCAAAACACAATAATAAGTACACTAGTTCTAATATATATTAAATATACATATATCCTTTTGTTTTTAGACGTACAGCAATGTGGTCGTTGGCCATGGTTGTGAAGGGCTCACGCACGTACTTGAGGAGTACGCCGAGAAGACCAAGAGAGGCAACAAGGACAAGAGTCTCCTCGTTAAGGATATAGATTTCCTTGGAGATCAAGAAAGTGGAAATACCACCACCGGCTGTAAGGAAACCAGCCTTGGAAACGAGGGAGTTACCGGGAAGAGCATCCAAAATAGAGGCCTTCTTGGGCTCTTCGACTATTGTTGTTTTCGAAAGAAAGAAAAGGTAAATGTTTCTTCTTTGTACCTTTTATATATTTATCTGAATTTGTATGTATGTGTTTTCGCGTCGAATAATATCTAAATGTATTCAATTTTGCCATGTATTACCCTTGTTCTCGGTGGTGTAGCTACGCATACTATAAGAGATATATGTCAGTAAGAAAATATATTTGGTTTCTTTGCTTGATGAACTAATTCAACCTCCCTCCAAAGCTAGTAAAAAAAAATAGTAATGAACGTTATACTTACGCAGTGGCACCAATGGTCTGGCGAGTGGCCATCAAAGTAGGACGGACGGCAGAGACTGTAGAAAGTGGATTTTTTTTAGTAAAAGAAAGAAAAAAAAAACAAGATAAAATGTTATGTCAAATATTGTAAACTATATTTAATTCTATTGTTTGGTTTCTTTTTTGGTTCATGGTATTATCAACCAAGCTTTGTGAACGTTCTACTGCTTCTCCTGTTTTCTTCTTCCTATTTTCCCTCTTCTTCTTCTAGATTCCAGTTTGTTCATTTACCTGCAGCACCCTTGGTCAACAAACGGAAAGCCATTGCTAATTACAAACCAATTATTATTCTCATGTTCCTTTCAGCAAGTCATCGCGTCTTTTTGTTCTCGGGATTTTTTTTTAAAAAGCCAAGTTTTTACTACTTACCGCGAAATATAAAAAAAAAAAGTCTATGAAAACAAGGATTAAAAAAACAAAAGCTTGTTGGCGAGCCCGAAAAATTTACAATAACAGCGAATCACTGTCAGGGGTGGAATTGCTATTTACACACCTAAACTCCCCTTGAGCTTGAATGCAAAATTAAAATATGTCCATGTATATTATATATATATATAATATTAAATATATATACAAGTATTCACTAATACAGCATATTGGTTTCTTGTATTAAGCTAATACAATATATATATATATATGTATGTATATATGTGTGTGTGAGATAAAGTTATATAAAGCAACTGTTTACCAAGGACGTGTGAAATATAACTAAAACTGCAATATATTGAAGCAAATATTTTAATTACTCTACATAAGAAAGAAATATTGAGATAAATTATGGCTTTTTTCTTTAAGTGTTTAATGTGTTTCCTCAAAGTAAATATATAGTGTCTCTTTTATTTTTATACCACTTTTCTTACCAGCAAGTGAGTAAAGAGGTTTATTGAAACCTTCTACTACCTTTGAACAGACTCAAGGAATCACGTGAGATGACATCACGTGTATAGTTAGGACCAAGTTATCCTACTACGCTTTCATAAAAAAGAAAGAAATGCAAGTTTTCCGCAAGATTTTTTTCTTCTTCAAAACATGCAACAAAAAATGAAATGCTCCTATTATTAAATATATTGTACCTTTTTGATGGTAAAGACATTTGATCCTTATGCGAAACTTGTTACACGAATTAATATCCACCCAACTATAAATTAATACAATTTTTTTTCTTTCTCTCTATATTTATTGGGCGGCTTAAGTACAAAGCACTAAACAATTGAAGAGGAAGGAGGGTTATCTGTGAGAGGAAAAAAAATAGTATTACAAAACAGAAGAGATATTTACAGCTTAATGTAAAAAAAAGAAGAGGAGGAAGAAGGAAAAAGCCGTATCACCACGGCTGTCTTTGCCAGCAATGCGCCATGAAGAAAAGGCCGTGTATGCATAAGGCAGTTTTAATGTGCCAGCCGTATGGTTATGTGTGGTAGAGAATACGGACCAGAGCTTGTGTATATCTGAAAATAGACAGATCACAATATTCAACTGTAGTCAAAATTAAAGACTTGCTTATGTTTTGTTATGGTAGTAGCATCTATTTTTTTTAATATTAATTGTTGTTTGGAAATAATGCAATAGAAATCCATTTAAAGTCCTTCTTGCATTTACCATAGTTTTCTGTAGTCAATTCTATATATACATCATTCAAAGGTTCGGTGAGTTTCTTTCTTGTTTGTTGAATTAAGCAAAGATCTAACTACAAACGCCTTTGGTCTCAAAAAGATATGTATTTGTGATCTTTGTGTACTCAAAGTTATTCTTCAAAACAATAACAAAAATTTTCAATAATTTGAGGATTCGATGACTGGTATGCAAGCTGATTTTGGAAAGAGTCAGATATAAAACTCTTTTAATAGCCGGCTGTTAATTGAGTGAGGTGTATAATATTCTACCAGTACATACAGTACAATCAAGTATGTAGTACACTTTAAAGGAATCTGCAGGTAAATGCTATCATTATGCCTTGTGCATTGTTTTACTTGAATCAATAAAGTACATTGAATCATTATAACATCAAAATGTCTTCCAATTCAAATTCAAATTCAAGTTCAAATCCGTGATTGAAACTTTGACATTTATCAAAATTCGGGACTTCTTCTTCTTTATTGGATACGAACTTTATCTTTACGCTTAAAATCATATGTTTTGACCCAAGAGCTTAAAAAAAAAAAAAGAAGAAAAACGCGAATAAAAAGGAGACCACAATAAAAGCAGCAGGTAAAAAAACGCAATTTTTTAATTTTTTTTTTTGTATTTAATATTTGTGTGCGCGTACATGTATGTTGTGTGTGTTGTTTGTCTCCTTTTTCGTCCGTATAAACTTGATTGATTGTTACCATTCAATCAACAATGCAGAGTCACTTTGTCTCGCCTTCTACCACCCACATGCGACAAAATTATCCAAATCACCAAGCACCTCCAGCCATCACTTACGCCGTTGTATGCTGTGATAAGCAAGGTGCACCACTTCATCTTGCAAGTCTGTAAGTCTTGAAAGATACCTATGCTTACAATCACTTGCTACATTGTACAATCTTAATCTTGGATTCAAAAAAATAAAATAAAAAAAAGAGAAAAAGAAATCAATATATTAAAAGACTCTCTCTTTTATATTTATATATTTATATGTATATATGTATATATAAAAGAAAGAAGAGAGAAAGAGAAAAAAAACTTTTTACTCATTTAAGCAAGTCTATTCACAACATATACCCAGATTCTCATATTTTTTTTTCTTTAAAAAAAAAGGAACTATGAAGCCGAAGAAGCTTATGCAAGTGCTTTGATGAACCAGATGAAGGCCCTCACACGCGCATCCCTTGTTAGCCCACCACGTATTCTTTCCAAGTGTGGACCCCTTCTGGCTGGTCTATGTGCTCAGTTGAGGTCGAGCGAGCTGACATTTGCCCAACGCTGGAGCTTATTTGGGCAAGAGACCATCGGGCTAGTTGATTTGCTAGATTGTAAAGTATCGCACCATGTACGAGCCTTGCCAACTCCAATTAATCCGGAGCCAGTCGAACCTTCTTTTCAAACAAGTTTAAAAACCTTTGCAGCTCTGTTTAAAGTTGGTGAGGTTGTACCTGAAAGTGAGGAGGAGGAGGAGGAAGAGGAAGAAGAGGAAGAAGGTGGTGAAGGTGAAGACGATGATGAAGAAGAAGAAGACGAAGATGATGAAGGAGAGGGTGAAGGTGAAAGAAAAAGAAAAAGAAAAGGTGAAGGTGATGAAGACGACGACGACGACGAAATTGATGAAAACAACCACCTGATGGACTCAATGGAACTATCTTTACGGGAAGAAGATCTTGAACTCAGCGAAGATGATAAGAGCGTTAATAGTGATAGCTTCATGACCATTTTGGAATCTTTGGACGAAAAGAAAATCCTAGAGACATTAGTACCAGATGAAATTCTACCAGAAGAAGAAGGTGGATCACTTTTGGAGCACGAATACGAAGAGGAAGAGGAAGATGAGCTAGACGAAACAGAAGTAGAAGAAACGGTGCCTAGATCCACCACAGCGACAGAGGAAACCACAGAAAAAGATATTAAGATACCCAAAGTAATACTTACGGAAGAAGAACTGTTGGACCTTCAGTTCCTTCCAGATGTCGACGTCGAAGTTGCTGATACTGAAGATCATGCTGATCTGGCTAGTGATATTAAACAGACAGAAGCGTATGTGGAATATGAAGGAAGTGACTATAGTGGGTCGGCTGCATCAAGTCCTGAGCGAGACACTGGTGGTAATATAGAAAGCTTAAAACGTCCATTTGATGAAGACGAAGTTGATGAATTAGAAGATGATGAGGAAGAAGAGGTTGCGGATTGTCATTCGGCTAAAAAACAGTGCCCTGATAAATAATAGTAAATTTTGTCTAACTTGACACTCTTCTTTCTTACATTCTTAAAACATGTAAATAACCTCTTTCTGTATATAAACTTCTTTTCAAAAAAATCAAATCAAAACCAAAACCAAAAGTTAAATGTTCCAAAGTTTGCCAATCTTTTCTATATTTATATATTTAAACACGTATTTAATAATGGTCCCACAAATTATCATTAAATGATGACCCACAAACCTTGTTCTGGTCTTTACCCACAGTAGACAAAAAAGAACAAAAAAAAGAGAGGCACAAAGGCAGTCAAAGTTTTATTTCTACATATGCCTTTCTTGGTATTCACTATATTACCACTACTCCTTTTCTTTTCGTCTGTCTTTACGTTTTTGTAATGCCCATTCCGGTTCAATGGCGTGCTTCATTAGCAGCCTTTAGGGCCTTTCAACCAGCCCGCATCCCCTCCCTATTGTCCACGCGTACTCTGAATCGGCCTCTTTCCTGGTCCAGCCGATGCAACGTATGCAAGCTCTGACACTAAAGAAAAAGAAACAGAGACTAACCTATATATCTATCTATATACATATCCATATCTATACATTAATTAGCATAATAGCCGCCAGAATATAATTCTCTCAGCCGTAACTCCTCTCACTCCACAAACTGCTCCTCTCAAAGCCATAGTATACTTGCCTTATCGTCTTCTCCAGACAAACTCCAGACCTCGTGACCCAAGGCGACTTGCCAGACTAGAGAACGAAGCGCGTCGAGCCTCTGATGATCCTTCACTCCAAGCCGCCCTTTATACAGTAAGCACTCGCCGTCTATCTTTGACATTCTTCTTTCTTTCTTTCTTTCTTTTTGCTCTTTATTTCCTGGCTCCTTATTACTATTTCTATTACTTTAACTAATAATCAAATAGGAGCTACGTTTATCGCACCGTCCTCAAGATGTTATCACTCGATTTGAACAAGGACAATATGCATGTAATGAAGAATGCGTTCGACAGTATTTAGCTGCTCTAGCAGAAACAGGGCAAGAAAGCAAGATCATGCCTCAACTTATGAAGCAGTTGGAACAGCATCATGAACAAAGCAGACAAGGGCTGGGTGTGAATCTATCAAGTGGAGGAAAAGTAGATCCAGTATATGTCGTGGTAGAAGAAGGTAAGCCCAAAGCACACGCTGGATTTAGGTAAAAGAAACAAAAGAGAGAAAAAACAAATAAAGAAATGAGTCCTTTCATGGTCTTTTTTTTTCTTCTTCCTCTTCTCTTTTTCTTCTTTCTTTTTTGTCTTTATTCTGGCTTGCTCCATTTTTTTTCTTAGCACGCGGCTACATGTTTTGGAGAGTGTTGCGTTGGGTCGGCACAACGCTCACGTACACCTTTATCCTTTTGACCGTCATGTCGTTGGTCATGGAAAACTCTGGCTTACTCAAGACTACATCCGTAACCCAGCCTGAATATGAGGTGTCGGCCGATCAAGCCGTCAGATTTGACGATGTTCAGGGGTGTGATGAAGCTAAGCAAGATCTGGAAGAGATCGTCCAGTTTCTCAAAAACCCTCACAAATTTACCGAGCTGGGTGGAAAGCTCCCCAAGGGTGTACTCTTGACTGGTCCTCCAGGAACCGGTAAGACTCTGTTGGCTAGAGCAGTTGCCGGTGAAGCAGGTGTGCCGTTCTTTTTTATGAGTGGAAGTGAATTCGACGAGATGTACGTCGGTGTGGGTGCTCGTCGTATACGAGAACTGTTTGCGGCTGCTCGCCAAAAGGCCCCTAGTATTGTATTCATTGACGAGTTAGACGCTATCGGATCCAAGCGCAACCCAAAGGATTCAAACTACACAAAACAGACACTCAATCAACTCTTGGTCGATTTGGATGGGTTCTCACAAACCGAAGGTGTTATTTTTATTGCTGCGACAAATTTTCCTGAATCTCTTGACAAAGCGTTGGTTCGACCGGGGCGATTCGATCGGATGGTCAATGTACCTCTGCCCGATGTTCGTGGTCGAGTTGAGATTCTCAAACTTCACTTGAAGAATGTGACAATTGACCCAAAGATTGATATAAGTGTGATTGCTAGAGGTACGCCTGGTTTCAGTGGTGCTGAGTTGGCCAATCTTGTGAATATTGCGGCTATTCAGGCCAGTAGAGATGGTGTACGTGAAGTGAAGATAAAACATCTCGAGTTTGCAAAAGACCGAATCATTATGGGAGCCGAACGAAAGAGTGCAGTTCTCACTGAAGAAAGTCGACGGCTTACGGCGTACCACGAAGGTGGCCATGCTCTGGTTGCGTATTATACCCCTGGAGCTATGCCACTCCACAAAGCGACTATTATGCCTCGCGGAAGTGCACTCGGGATGACGGTACAACTTCCGGAGATGGACAAGAACTCGTTTACCCGTGGAGAATTTCTTGCCCAATTAGATATTTGTCTTGGAGGACGGATAGCGGAAGAACTTATCTATGGAGCCGAAAGTGTTACGAGCGGTGCGCACAGTGATATCGTAAAGGCTACGGAGATTGCTAAACGGATGGTGCGCTATTATGGCATGAGTGAAAAGGTTGGGCCGGTGCAGTATACGGATGAGGATATGATTCTTCTGAGTTCGACTACAAAGATGGTGATTGAAAGAGAAATGAAGCAATTACTACTGGTAAGATGTATATTTATTTTATTAAGTCCTGATGTTGAGCTACTGCAAGACTCTGATGATAATGGGGCATTAATTGTGTAGAGCGCAGAAGAAAGAGCCCGGGAGCTGTTGGTTGTGCATATGGAGGAGCTACATCGTTTATCAAAGGCGCTTTTGGAAAAAGAAACATTAGACCAACAAGAGATGATTGACATTATAAAAGGAAATTCGTATGATAAGAACAACAAGTCAGCTTAATAAAACAACAAATAAATACATGTTTTGAGTTTTGTCTTGATTATATTTCATAAGTGTGTGTGGATCCTATAGAGATATTCCTATTGTATTTCAAAATTCTCAAAGCATAACAACTATCACCAAATTACAGACCAAAAAAAACAAAAAGAAAAAGAAAAATAATGGGCTTCTCTTTATTTCTTTGGAGATAAAAGATTTGCCCTTGTTCTTAAGTTGACTTGTACTATGATTCAAATGCTAAATTGACTATCCCAATGTTTTTGAACGAAACTATCAAATGAACAGTGAAAGAACATTTGCTGTAGCACACCTTTATTTTATATCTTTTATATATATATATATAATATTAAGGGTGGTAAATTAAATATGATTTACAATAAAGTACACTTTTAACTTTAGCTAATAAATGATGGGATGAGATGGTGCTATCCAATAATAATTCCTTAAATAATTGTACCTTTTGTAATTTGTACTCTACAAACCATCCCTATATTAACACTATTTTAAATTCCCTATATATTTTATTTTAATTTATTATTTTAATTTATTTATTTATTTATTTATTTATTATTTATTATTTATTTTCTTTCATCCTTTCTTCCTTTTCTACCCATCTTCTTTTTCCTTCTAGTTCTGGATGGACAATAATACCAGCAATAAAATGCCTTTACCTTGTACTGCCGGTTGCGGGTTTTATGGAAATGAGATTTATAACAACATGTGCTCCAAATGTTTCAAAGCCAACAAGACTAATGAGACAAAGTGTAAGTTCTTTATTTTATTTTATTTTATTTTCTTTGATAGTATGATATACATACACGCACATATGTATACAAAATATTTTATTATTTGCACAAGAAATAAAGAACAAAAGTAAAAGAGGCAAAAAAAAACAATGTGTACAGAGTGATGGCTGAATGACAATGATTACAACTGTTGAAAAAAAAATAAAAGAAGAAGAAGAAGAAGAACACATGTATAAAACTTATACACATAGGCGTGTGCGTGTGCGTGTGCGTGTGCGTGTGTGTGTGTGTGTAAGAGGAGAAAAAGGCGTATATTCGACCTTGTGTGTATATTTGTATTTTCAAAAAAAAAAAAAAAAAAAAAAAGACTGGATGAGTTTAGTAAATCTGTTTCTTTAATAATCAACAATAATTTTTTTTAGCATCTCATGATGAGACATCCGAGAAACTCTCATCGGCTTCTAACCCCATCAGAACTTCACTATCACCTACACCTTCTGTGATGAGGGGTTCCATTCCATCACCATCATCAGAACCCACCATGTCACGCAAACATTCTCGACCGTCTTCACCCGGAATACCCGAAACACCTGAACACACAAACCCACTCCCGTTACCTTCCGCAGTTCTCAACAACGATAATGATAATAATACTGATAACAATAGTAGTATTAAGGATAATAATAACAATACCATCACCACCACTACAACAACCACAACAACTACAACCACAACAACAGTAACGTCAACATCAAAACCATTGACACCAAATGTAAAACCCATTCAAGAAAAGAAAGGAAGATGTTTTCTATGCAGAGTCAAGGCAAGCCAATACAATACAATACAATACAATACAATACAATACAGCCTTTTCTCTTGTATTGTGTAATTAATATTAAAGCAAATGATGATCTGATGTGTACAACACAGGTTCCACTTGGAAAGCAAGCTGCCAATAAATGTCGATGTGACTATGTGTTCTGCGATTCCCATCGGTACCCTGACCGCCATGACTGTGAAATTGACTTTGCCCAGTTAGACAAGAGTAAGTTATTCTTCTTGTTCTTCTTTATAGTATGTTTAGGGAGTGTTAAATAAATAAATAAATATATATATATTCTTGGGCTAAATTCAAAATGCTTATAATTTATTTGTAAAGATATTCTTGCCAAAAATAACCCAAAATTACATGAAAGACCCAAAGGAGGACGTTCATTTCAGAGAATCGATAGTCTGTGAATAAAGCCACAAACGCATACACAAACGCACACACACGCATAACATATACGCATACACATGCAGAAAATGCATATAATACTTACAATGCATACAATGCATACATATGTGTATATGTGCTATATACGTATAGGTGTATAAGTGTAGACGTATATGTTTATGTATATCAACTTTCTCACATCCCTATTCTTTTGTTTCTTTCTCTTTTAAGCTTAACACATATCCAATCCTTTTTCTTCTTTCTTTTCTTTTCTTTTCTTATATATTTTCTTCTTTCACTTGCATTCTTTCCCACTTTATCTTTCTTTAGAAAAATATGATTTCAATTCACTGTATTTATCCTTCTTATTCATCATCACCATCGTTACTAATGAGATCAAAGAGGAATAAAGAAAAATAGCAACCTATTAATAATAATAATAATAATAATAATAATAATAATAATAATAATAATAATAATTAACAATTAACATTGTAATATATATATATATAAGATAATCTGGTAGACAAGGTAAGCGAGGTAAGCCATTTATTTACAGTGCACACATTTATATGTTTATTCATGTTCATATTTATCTGTATATTTATATATGTATTTATATGTATAGAAACAAATAAATTATTATTATTGTTACGATTACTATTAAGATTACTATTACTACAATTATTATTTATTTATTGAGGGGATTCGAGTACAAATTCGGCTAGCATGTCGCGCACCTTTTCAAAATCTGAGGCCAGAATTTTTTCTGCTTTTTCCAGCTCATCCGCAGATACCTAATAAAATACAAATGAAATCAAAGTATCAGTTAGAATCTCTTCCTCTTCCTCTTCTTCTTTAAACAATTTCTTTACATATATATATGTGTGTGTGCGATACTATCTCATCATATTATTATTATTATCTTTTTAAAAAAACACACTCCTCACCAGAATATTAGCACTCTTAAAGGTACTCAGGTACAACAGGTTGATTTGAGCTTCTGTCACAAGTGGATGAGAAATCGACCTCACAATACCACACCGATCGAGATTGGAACCTGCCAAGTTCACTTGAATGACACGAAATGACGACCCGGTATCTTCATCCTGGAATATCTGATCATCCGAAAACAACTCCAAGATCCTTCGGTCGGCAACAAGTGAGATTCCATCACTGCTAGCCGTATAAGAAAAGAATCTGGTTTCTTCATTGTTGTAGTTTTTGAGGATCATCTCCGGATAGCAGATTATCTTGAGCACAGTGTTTATATACTGTGATCTGTAGTGAGGATTTAGCCCGACGCATCTCAATTCGTCTTCTAGGACGCAGCTTTCGAATAAATCTCGGGGATATATGTTGGAAATCCGTGGGTCTACGGAAATCGAGACGGCTGCGTCAGAGCCGTTGTGGCTGCGCAAGGATTTAAGTTGAGGCTCCTGCGTATGTTGTGTTGTTGTGTCGCTATTTTCGATATTCTCATCGTCAATGTCGAACCCGTGTTCTTGCAGAAGGCTGACTGCACGGCGTAGACGGCGTTCTTTGATCTATGATATTTGTAGAATTATTGTTGATATTAATATTAACCATAAAGATTGGTGTGTGTTATAGCTTACAAGAACAAAGTCTGTTTGATAGCTAGACAAAGAAAATCAATTGATTATTTGATTAATTAAATTTGATAGATCTGTACTTACGTAGACATGTAGAATATAGAGAATTTGCCCTGAGCTAATGGACCTGACAGATCACTAATACGTCTACCACTCGAATCTAAAGACTAGGTTATTAAATATATATATATATATATGTATATATATTGTATTTAATAACATACCTTGTCCTCCTTCTCCATCTACCTGGAGTACTCTAAATGTATCTGGCGATGTACCCATGTCCTGACACTGTGTTTCTAATAGGACGGGCATAAAGTCATTGTCAATTGTAGCCTTGTCGGCAACAATCGAAATTTCATAGGCATTTTCTGTAAACGAAAAGAAATGATCTGGGCTACAAGTACGCACAAACGAATATATTAAGGTTACTACGATAATTTTGTGCAATTGTTATTTTCTTTCTTTCTTTTGACATACTCGTTGACTTGTTTAAAGAAGAGTTGTTTGACAATGGCATGTGTGGCATGAGGTAAATGAGAACGTGGAAAGTGAAGCAGCTTGACTTTGGTAGGTAGAATGGTGATCATGATGGAATGAGTTGAAAATAAATAAAGTAAAATAGAGAAAAGAAATTGATGAAATAGACAGATATATTTATACTATTATTTATATTATTATTTATATATGAATATATTTATAGATATACTTTATGTTTATATATATATATATATCTTTACATATACAATTCATAAAATAATTGACATATTAAGCAATTATATAAGCAATTCCTAGAGGTAGATGCGCATCTACTGACAGAAACAGACCATAAAAAGTACATACAAATAGTAAAAAGAAAGTCAAAGAAACTGATAACCAAACCAAGCCAACCAACCAAAAGCTTAGTACACAAATCCAAATTCTTGTTTATCTTATCTCTAAACTCCCGCTTTAGCTAAGAGATCTTTAAATTCCTTTCTTCTCTTTTGTCCGACACATTTTTATATATCAAAGAAAAGAACCAAGATTCAAGTAGTTTGTTTCAATTTAACTATAGTAGCTTTCTAAAGATTTTGTTCCACCAAATATTTATTTCCGTTTACACTTGAAAGAATTATAAAGGCCAAAAGAAAAATGATCTATTGGCTAATTGATTGATTGGTCAATTGATAGATAAATATCATACAGAAAGACTGCAGAATTGAAATCTGCTTCTCTTACATATTGCTTTATCGTTTGGTTTAAAAAAGAATGACACATACATATATAAGCTTTTTTTGTGATTTTATGTATTTATTTAAAGATCCGATCACCCGGCTACAGTGTAACATAGTACATCAGAATACACAACATATATAAAACCAAAAACCAAAAAGAAAAGGGTGCGAGCGTCAGAATCAGAGTCAAATTGAGTCACCTTGAAAGATATATATCTACTGGCCTTTTATTAGTTTAGCAATAAAAATAAAATAAATAAAGGGGGTGGATCTGTATTACAGTATTTTGAGTTTATATTCAGACAAATTAAGAAATTTCTTTAGGCGAATAAGAGAAAATTGTACAATAAATCGATTTTTAACTAAAACTTGGCAATTATTGATAGTAACTTACTTACCAGACTTAGATATAATGTATAGTAAAACAAAATTACAAGTACAGAAACAGAAGGGAGATAAAACTATACACAGGTCAAGGTGATTCCGTCAAGGCAGAGGCAGTGTAAACCAGTCTAATGTGTACCAACAAAGATTGCACAGTCTGTCAAAAAGAAACTTGTTTTCCAGATTTCTAGGTCCCATTTCTACATCGATTTTTTTTTAACTATGGCTATTTATTCGATCTAAGTTTTCCGTGGCCACTTTTTCTATGGTTACTTGATCATAATAATACCCATCGTTACTGGAAGACTTGCAAATATATTCGAGACTTTCTTCAGTAATAGGATAAAAGAAAAATATTCTAAAGGTTGTTGTAACACTAGAAATAATGGAAATCACGAGATAGTAATAATAATAATAAGGGATAGGTTGTTTGCCTGCAGTTCAACAACAAAGTCACCATATACGAAAGAGACCAATTACTCAATAACTCAATAACTCACAACTACTTCAAAATGTAAGCTGTAGAAATATTAAGGTTTTTATCTTGAAGAAAATCAAATCAAGTACATTAATGCCCAGTAGGTAAAGTTATGGACTGAATATTATAAAAATAACATCGGGTACAAAAGTCAACTTCTAGCCAGTGGTACAAACAGTTGGTGAATATTTAAATTGATAACAGTATAAAAAGCATAGAAGAATAATCACTAAACCACACCGAGAATATTATTGCTACTTTATTTGAACCAAAAGCTTTCAATTTTCATATGGATCATTTTGGTTTTTGCTCTGGTATCAAACCTTTTACTTTACTTTATAAGAACAGAATATTTAAATAAACTTGGACAAACGGGCTATTCATTCTTTTGCATAGCATGGTTACTCTTTCTTAATGCATTCCCGCTTGAGGGGTTGCCGGTCTACCTCTTATCTTTTAATAAATTATTTAAAATGGAGTTACCTTTATCCAACCTTGGAAATTTAACAAACTTACCAAGGTTATTCTAGTTTTCAGTAGTCTCATCATTCATCATTCACCGCTCATAATTATCTCGAGCACTTTTTGAATTATCAGTCAACACACACAGATCTCAACAAAAGAAATATTAATAACAATAACAATAATAGTAGTAATAATGAAATTTAACGGTGACCAATATGATTGCCAACACGAACCTATTGAGACATCAGTAAATCAAATCAAATCAAATCAGGAAGTTAAACTGTCAAACCTACCAAGGTCTCTAAAGCCTTTGCTGAATTCTCAAGTAAATCATCATCAAACACAATTCTGTCCTTTTCCCACAGAACCACAATCGTGCTTCCACCAAATGCAAAGTAACCCAGAGGATCAGTTCGGCTCAGCTTGTCTCCAACCTTGGCTGTCAGTACGATCGATCCAACCATCATGGCACCAATGCACACAATCGCCACATTTCCAAATTCTTCCGATTCCATGTGGACCACACATCGTACATTTTCACCATACACATCCAATCTAACAAGAACCAATAACGACAAGATAGACACATAAATTAGATGGTATCTTTGCTTAGCTTCAACACAGATAATTTAGGATTCTATCAACTCACGTAGTTCTAATGGCCATTGGATTAACAGTATAGTACTGTCCCTCAATATAAGTAATATCTGTAATCACACCATCCACAGGAGAATGATATCTTTTTTTTTGTGCATAGACACACATATAAAATAATAGTAATAAGAACGATAATAATTAGTAATCAGTAAATTAGCAATCATTAAATGTCTATATACTTATATATTTATTTACCTGTGATAATCTTGAGGTGCCAATCGGAAGATCGCCAGTGCGCCTCCATCGTACACCTTGGCCCTCTTACCATCGTTGAACAACTTGGCAACACCAAACTCAATTCCTTTGATCCAAAGGCGAGTGGCATCGTTGATGGTAGCAAAAGCCATCATTCGACAATCCGCTGCACTAACTACTACAGAGCTGTCGTCAGGAGAGTCGCATGGACGTGCTCCAGGCTTGAGCTCACGATAAAAGAACTGGTTGAATGTCTTGAAAGAAGACAGACTCTCCTTTGTTTCACCAAGATCCAATTGGTGGAACTTTACAAAAGATTCGATCTCACTAGCAGATTGAGGAGCATCGTATCTCTCTCCTTGCTTAATGGACATTGTGTGCATGATACGTTGAGCTGTTTACATGTTTTGTTAAGGTTAATGTTTATTTGGCTTGGATTTATACATTATACATCTTATTGACTAACCTGTCTTTGATTGAACGCTGGTCTTCATTCCCTTGTACATCAAACGCATTCCAACTCTCACGTATACACTCATACGTTCTTCAACTAGCTGACCACTAGCTCTGTCTTGGACAATAATATTTGCGTTGCTCTAATACAACCATCAAAAAGAGTATTCAAAATCCAAGTCCAAATACATATATATATATAAGTGTGTGTGTGTGTGTACTTACTGCTCCTGGGGAATATGTGCCATAGCCTACTTTGGTAGCAAGTTTTACAAACCACTTACGCTGGGCATATGCTTCTGTCACAAAATCACCCATCAAGAATCTATCAACCGACGTCCAATCATTGGCGGAACAAGTGGCTACGTGTGTGAGAATATCCATCTGGTCATGGTGAGACATGTTTGGTCGATGACAGATCGGACACTTTGAAATATGAATGACCCTTTCATCAACCACGCTAGTGTCTTGCTCTTCTTCTTCTGCCCTGAGATCATCGTTCAACAGACTAGACTCGGAAGCAGCCACGTACTGAACACCGGTGGCCTCATGAAGGACATCTGTTTCAGGTGTGGTGTGAACATGATGATCAGGGTACTCATACCCATCCTCCAGACCATGCCCAATTGAGTCTGACAGGTTGCCGTCGTTGGATCCTGATGATGCTTTGTCGGTCAACAGCACGAACTCTTCAAGACTTTCCACAAGCTCATCGACGGTTAGGTCCTCTTCAAGATCTTTTGAGTGCTGCTCCCAGAATGCATCCAGCGTAGACTCAGACAGGGTTGACCCAAGACTCTCTAGCATTGTAGTGACTTCCATTCTACTCAAGGTGGTGTTTCCGTCAGCATCGTAGGTCTTGGCCAGGGTTGTCCAGAACGTCTTGCGAATAGCCTCATACGTCAAAAACTTGACGCGGATTGTGAGAGAGGGGCTTAGGTGACTCCACTTATCTGAGTTGTCTGCTAGTTTCAAATTGACAGTATGCTGTTGCATGTCAGTATCCATTATTTTTTCAGGGTTGGTCTGGATGACATCTGAAGAGCAGAGCTTGATGATCTCTGAGATAGGAATCTCTTGAGTGGCCACCAGGTCGTTGGTAGTGAATTTGTCTTCATCATAGATACTGAATTTCAGACGAAAGGTGCTCTCGTTGTCTCGCACGTGAAAAAAGAGCTTCTCGTTCCACACAGGGTTTAGGTCGTGCTGGACCACTTGGGTACGGAAGGTGGAGGTTCCGTATGAAGTGATCACAAAAGGATCCATATCGAACCGAGTGTGTGCCTCTGTATTGTAGCAAAGTTTGTATTGGTTATTAGTATCACTTTTGTCGATACTTGGGTTGGATTCTCTCTCACATTCACTCCCTCGCATATGAATATGTAAGTGTAAGTGAGGAGGGAGAACTATGTCTTGTACTTACTGTTGCTAATGGGTGGAAGATCATTGGCGTGCATGATTTCCATAAACACAACACCTATTGTTGATTTGTCAAAATCTGCCACCTTATTTCTTGTAGCTTTCTGGAGTCGTTCCTTGATTGATTTGACAATCGGCTTTTCTTTGTAGCTAATGGCAAGTGATTCGAGTTCGTCTTTCACGGACTTCTTTGGTGCCTCAGGCGACTCGGCTTTGGGCTGGTTCGGAGAAAGCGGGTTCAGGGCCAAGAAGAGTTCCCATGTTTCTTGGAGGACAAGAGGATCAAGTGGTTCAGATGCTGGCTGGTCCAAGACAACCAATCCAATCTTTAGGCCAATCCAGGCCTCGGTTCCTTGACGTTCTTGGATATCCAAAAGCCCTTTGTGGAGACGCACCGAGAATCGGTGGTGACGAAGCGGTGTTGAGTGCAAAGGGTACCAGCGTATCTTTAACAAAAGTGTGAATCAGTCGGAGACAATAAAGAACGGTAAGATTCTTGATCGTTGTAGAATGAGACTAAGTTATCTGTATATCTACTTTAGACACGCCTATCGATTTCTTTTACTTTTTATTTATCTATCTATTTATTTATATATATATATATAATTTACCTCGTTGTTGGAGTCTTCAAAGTCAAGAACATCTTTGGGTTCAAACAAGTGGTCGACAGGAAGTTGCACTTGGCCGAGATAAGTTGATCGGAAGCGAACCTTGTCGCACACAGTCACGACTAGTCCATTGGACCAAAGAAGATGTTGTTGCTTCTGTCCAAATGATTTGTCTACCAAGGGCAGGTCAAAGGTGCACGACCAATCTGGTTCTGCGGATTTTTGAACTACATGAGTCTGGTGCCTTTGACCCGCACAGCTTACGATGGCATAAGGGCTGGCAAGAATAGTGTCCTACCAATGATGTCAGTGTGAATTGCCTATTCGCTCAAATAGGGTGCACAGACAACTAGGTAGACAGGTGGTGGACATGTATATTTATACACACATTTCTATTCTCCTTTGTTTTATTTTTTGCTTTTAACAATACAGCTATTAAATGCTACGCTTTCCTTTTTTGGATCGGTTGCCGAAGAAGCGAAAAAGATTGAAATGAAAAAGAAAAAAATAAAATAAAATAAAATAAAATAAAATAAACAGAAATAAGAAAGGCAGAGAAAGATACTTTACATCGCCATAAGGATTGATATTAACGGCTTTAGAGACCATTACACGTAATACGAGTCTGTTGGGATCTATGAGATTGTCAGAGTTCTCGGTCTCAATGTCATTATCGGAATCCCGAGAATGAAGTGAAGGAATGGCCATTGCAGCAGCAGCATGTGCAGCACGCCATGACCGAGAAGCTTGAATACGTTGAAGAAGCTTCTCTTTGCGAGTGTTTGGATGTTCAGAAGGTGTAGGAAGTTCCATGATATAAGAAATGAAGAAACGAAAATGAAAGAAGGAGAAAAGAGAAAGAGAGGTATAATGTGTGTTGTGTAGAATAGAGAATATGTAGTAATCCTCTCTTAACTCTCGTATTCTTATACTATGCCGCTTATTGTATCTCCCTTATTTGTTGAAGGTATTATAGATAGTATTATATGCGTGTGTATTTATATTTATATTTATATTTATAAATTTTGTATATTTTGTATATATGTTATATATATATATATATTATTATTATTATTATTTTCTGTACAACCTGCCATTACGCTCTCTTTTTTTTAGACCTGTCCATCAGCAAAATCACCTTCAATTCCAGGCTCAAGTATAGCAGCATGGCCCAAAACAATCATTGCAGCGGCACCTAAATAGAAACACAAGAGATAAGTACACAAGAGATATCCAAAGATCAGGCACAGGCACAGGCACAGGCACAGGCACAGGCGCAGGCACAGATAGACAGAGAAAGAAAGAAAAACAACTTACCAATAATCCAAAAGATAGCGCCTGTTGCGCCAGAGAAGAGTAATAAAAGAAAGGAGGCTCCTGCATAGAATGCATACAGGCTAGAAGCTGAAATTGTATTGCCAGCAATTGTCACAGGTCCATTCATACGAGAAATCAAATAGAAACCACCAAAGATGAATCCAATAGTGAACAGCAGAAGCCAGTTGGTAATACTACAGAACACCCTTAAGTACATTGCATTCCTCTTCTTCTTTTGCATTGCCTTTTTCTGCAACTTACATGGCATAGATAGCCAGACCCAAGATTATCACAAAGTAGTTTGCTGAAAAGTATTGCAAGTTGTAGCTATTCACATTCAATAACACCAAGAACCAAATAAGAGTTAATTAAATTTTTCTTCTGCTATCTATTCATAAAGAATAATAGCCAAAAAAAAACAACTACACGTCAACACATATACATGTTCGTATTTGTGTATCTTTCTTACTTCCAACGCTGACTAATGGTTTGAAATGAAGAGGTAAACGAAATTCTGTTCTTGTCAAAAAAGTCACCCAACGGACGCAAGTTGGCAAGTCTTCCTTCGCGCAACTTGGTAAGAAAAGAGAATCGGGGATCACTTCCGATAGCTGTAGCAGCAGCCCCAAGTTGACTTTGTGCGGTCTCGGATAAAAAAGGTTGAGATGACATTAGATGATGGGAAGTAGAAGAAAGAAAAGGGAAGAAATGAAATGAAATGAAACAAGGATTGTTTTATGTCGGCTCTATAAAAATAACAACAATAATTTATATATGTTATATAATAAAAAAGGGCAGAAAATGAATATTTTATTATAATAATAATATTTTGAAACAATTTCAAAATGGGATCTTATATAGAAAGAAATGATATAGAAAAAACAAAAGAAAAAAAAAGGGAGAGGAACAGGAACTGGTGTTGAATTTGACAGACACACAGGCACAGAACAAATACAGTATTGGTATTATTTTTTGCCAAGCATTTCCAAGGTAATTGATATTGGCCAATCTTAGGACACGTAAAGAAGTGTGATTGATAAACTCAGTGCTATATTTTTATTGCCAAGACATCACTCTTCTTTATTCTTATTTTTATTCTTATTATTAAAATAATACTAGTAATACTATGCTACACACTCTCTGTCATTCATTTACCTCCAGACCGACGCAATTATGCTGAGCCTGCACCATTGACAGCAAGATACATATCTTTTTATATAATTAAACAAGATAAAAATAGTTCAAAAATAATCTAGGTCGGTCAAGTATCCTTTGTCTTATTCTGTGACAGTCACTTGAATGATTATTAAACAACCAATATAATTAGATATCTAGCTTAATGAAATAAAACCAAATAGCTAAGGTTGATCAAACACCTTTCCCTATTTTGAACTTTGGTAGATAACACATATTTGCCGCCGTACGCAAATTTACTCTACCTGTCTTATGTCTTCTCTTTTTAACATCAAATCCGTCTCTACAATTATATGTGCCACTGTCTGTTTTCAGTGTAAAATCAATCTTCGCATAACTCACTCTATAATATGTATCTTTCTCTGATAGTACGGTCTAATTTATTTATTCATTTTATTTTTTTTAAAAAAAAAAGATAAATACATCACCTTAAACATTACTCCCCTTCCTCAATGGCGAATCAAAATGTCATCTTTTAATTCAAATTCTCATTGACAAATTTCACTCGTCTTTGCTTGTGCTTTTTCATAGAATTCGGCTTATTGGCTACAGTAATTTCTGTACAAATCTTTACACAATTAAAACAACTGATTGCCATGTTTCTGCAGACGATGATCATCTAGATTTAACGACACTCGGGCACTTTGTAAAGAGATTTAAAATTACTCTATATCCATCTCTTTCTTACATGACACGTAAAAGAAAGTCCTTAGTCCTCTTATCAATCTGGTCCGGAGTCTTCTAATAATTTCAAATGAATACATCTCTATCTCTTCAAAACAGTCAATGATATTAGTGTTATTATGGCACTAGTCAGATAAATACCAGTAGCAGCTGTAAGTACAGTAAGCTATTCTTTTACTAGATCTAATTTTCTTTTTCTGTGTGTCAGCTTGGCAATATTATTCCATTCTATTATACTATGTTCTCTCATTTACCTTATTTTGTCATTGTGTTTATATCTGTACTAAGATCGAGAATACAATTCTGAAAGTAACATAGTTTAATGAGGACAACTAGGCTGGGATAGAAGAACGAGGGGGTTGAGACAGTCCCTTTTATATGTATATTAAAGACAAGTATTTAATATCATCAAATTTCATGTTTTTTTTCTTCTTCTTCATTAGCTTCAAGAAAACAATCTCCTAAAGAAAGGGTTAAGCTGTACTGTACTGTACTGCTCTTTCTTTCTAGACTTATATATCTTTTGGATCATAATTGTGCATACACACAACAAAAGTTGTGATTTTCAGCAATATTCTTTGTTTCTTGAGTCGTTTGGCGTAATAAAGTGCATAAAAAAAACCAAGAAAAAAAATCCAAGTTTTAGTATTTATTAAAACACCGCTAATAAGTTTTTGATCTTGTCTTTCATACTTGCATGAATTTTATTTTTATTTTTACGATCATTTGTTTACACCTTTAAGAAATAGCTGTCTCTATACATGATTATCGCAAGTATTATTAGATCAATAATATATAGTCTCAGTCACGCTCAAAAAGTCACTCCAAAAAAAAAGGGATTATAAGAAAGGTGGAGGACCGTTTGCCTTCAGTACTATGCTTCTCTCTTTCTTTTTTTCTTGAGTTGTTTGGAGTGTGGTTTGCTAAACAAGACAGGAAATTGTCTTGAATACGACTGTAAATTGCTCCTTTGCTTGAGAGCATGCGATATTTTTTTTTTTTTGAAGAATGAGAAAATTCACGTTGACATTATCAAAATTAGGGTTTATGGTAGTTTAGCTGTCTAGCTGCTACATGTCTTTTAATATATATATATATATATATGGTAAACAGTAATAGGCTTAAATTGACACAATTATACAGAGTTATATTTGTACTTTATATCATCTTCTTTTTTTTAAATAGTAATAATAACTATTAAGAATGTCTATTGAGGCTAATGGTCTTGGCAATTAAGAAAATTTGGTTATGTGGATTGTCAGATTTATAGTTATCTTTCTACTTTACAAGTCAGGTAGAAAATATTAGTAGAAAATTTAAAATCTAATGGAATAAATATTCTGGTGCCAATTCTGACATTTAGTGTATTAGCTATCAAACGTAAAAGTTTTGAATGTTTCTATAGGTTTTGAGCTTATCATTGAACAAACAATAAAAAAAACAAAGGGGGTGTATAATTGGGAAAAGATTATAGGGGAGGGGGGGGCTGTATTACGCAAATTAATAACTTGAATTATACTGTTGTATGGTACTATTAATGATAATTTGAGATTTGCTTAGAGTTGAACATACTTATTCCGGTTGATAAACAGCATGTATATGTATATATATTATATTGTATTGTATTGTATTGTATTTGCTTTAATATTGAATATTCAATTCTACGATTGATATTTGAAAGATTTGCAATTAATTCTTTCTTTTTTGTATATTTTATTTCTACAGTTATGATCTCAATCGAAATTTCTATCTTGTTTTAAAGCACCAAACTGTTTTCTTGGAAAGACGACTATAAATTCCCATCTTATTAAATTTCGGGTTATACACCATAGAAAAACTGGTTGAGATAATGAAATGAAACGATATAAAAAAAAAAGAATAAATCAAGCCGAGAAATAACAAGTTTTAAAGTTGCAAAAAAAATTCGGTTTTCTTCTTAGAACCGAAACAAGGTAAGCCCATCTGTATCATAACCTTACAAGGCTTTCTTTATCCACAAGCACATAATCAGCCAATGGAATCTTAATAGAGAAAATACTCAATTATATACTACTGATATTTCTTTTTGTAATTCAACTTTTTATATGTTTTAATAAAGAATAAGAGTGTCAAAGACTTGGATATTAATTGACAGTAGACACATTTTGTGAGACATACCTTGTGAAAATCCAATGCTGATTATCGTACAAGGTACGTAGGGCTACGTAGAAACCATAGAAGTTCCATATCGATGAAACGCCTTGTACAGTACCGAAATAAAAAGAAGAAGAAGAAAATAGTCTTTATCGGTGATCTGTAAAGGTTGAATTCCCTCTATTTTTGTTTGTTTGTTTTGAAACTTGATCAATAAGAATAGAGTTAGTAGATGAATTGGCAGCCGCTTGACAACGCCTTCCCTAGGTAACTCCCTTATAATATTATATACTTTGAATACCAAAAACAACATTGTTACGTAAACATATAAGACTTACATCAGATATGTGACCTTTTGAAACATTATCTATTCACTCACAAGAGCTGAACTTGTAGATTATTATGGCTTATATCCAACAAGGAAATAATATATACATATACATATAACAATAATATTAATATTAATATTAAAATTAAAAATTAAAATTAATTGGATGTTTAAGCTCAGTTTTATTGTGGCATGAAGATCCGCTTTGGTAAATTGTGAGATGATGAGCCAAAAAAAAAGCAAAACCAAAAATACACACTCACACGCGCATGTATATCCAAACAGACAGACAGACAGACAGACAGACAGACAAAAATTTGGAATAAAATTGTAGGTGAGTTTTGCGTTGGTGTAAAGTATAGACAATCAATTGCCTTTTTTCTTTTTCTTTTTTTACAATTGAATAGAATTAACCGGTCTCTCGTTGATTAGTGATTAACAACAATTCTGTAGACAAAGAAGCGGTGGGTTAAATTGATAATAGTTAAGATACTTTAATACCAATTGAGTTTATTGCTTTGGTTTTCCTGATAAAAAAGAAAAGTCTTATTATTATTATTATTTCAAAATTCAAATTTGAGCAATTTCTACTATCTCCTTTTTGGAATTGTATCTTCTTGTGTTATAAAAGAGTCTCGACCATTTGAGAATCATGGGAAAAGAGCGGGTTATAATAATGATAATTATTAATGTTATTTTGATCAATTGGTATTTATCATATAGGTAGATTTCTTTAAAGAAAAGAAAATGGCCAATGTGTGGTATGATTAGTTATACAAGTATAATTATAATAATAATAATAATAATAAAAAAAAATTCGGGATCATTGGTGATGCCGTACACAGACAATATAACGTGGCCGATATTATGGACTAAAGATAGTTAAAAGAGGGATGGAAGTATGAGGGATAGAAAGAGAGAGAGAGAGGGGGGAACGGGATCATGGCTTTGTTGTTGCATACCCATGTTAAAGTATGCCTCAATGATATGCGATATATCCCTGTTTTGTGGGATTTAATAGCAAGGTAAATGAAGTTGGAAGGTCTGTTTGAGTGTCACATAGAATGACGATAACAGTAATACCTAAAAGCCCATTGTTATTATTGTTGTTATTGTTATTGTTATGATTATTAAGATTATAATTATCGCAATTTTTACTATAATTTGTGATTATGCTTTTTTATTTTGGATTCTTATGAACAAAAAATTAATAAAGAAAGACATTACTCTGCTGATATTGTTGTACCAAAAATAAGCATAAGAACAACTTCTTTGAACAAAAATAAAAATGAGGAGTCATATTAGAGCAAATGACGAGTGGACCGCCAACTCCTTCATTATCACTCCGCCTCATTTTAACTGCGCTGAAGATGATTAGAGATATATAATAAATATATATATATATAAATGTATTTTGGCTTGAGAAGATTGACTCACAAATACCATCGCCCTACTATGAATCTTGATTGGCTTCTTTATAGATTTTTTCTCTGAGAGAAATAGAATTATGGTATATAATTTGGGGCAAATACCACAAGTATTAAGATGCCAGGAATGGGTCATTGAATGATGGTGGCAAATATATATATATATATATATGTATGTATGTATGCATATATACACATTTATACATATAAAGTATTTTTATATAGTTCTTCACGTGTATGAAGAATCCTAATAAAGGGCTTTGTTTGGCAGTAACAAAGGGAATACAGATACGGGGGAAAGGAGGTGGGTAGGTTCTATAAAGAGCCTGATTTGGTGAAGAAAACAACATCCATCATATTTCAAAAAATGAACCCATTGGATTTTGCTTTTTTTTTTTGGTCACATTAAACAAAAGCCAAAATTTACACCGCCAAAGAAGCACCAATACCAATACCATCATCATCACCACCACCACCACCACCACCACCAGCGCTACCACCACCAGCCGCACCAGCACCCCCTATTGTTTCCAACTGATTTACAATATTATTATTTTTTAAAATATATAAATACACTGAGAGCGAAAGAAGTAAAGTCTGGATTGATCCTTTCTTTAAGTTCTCCTTCCGATAATAGTTCTTCAGCTGCTGCTCCATTTCTTATTTCGTTCCATCTCTTTCACTTTTCCACCTATTTTCCCAGAGGCAATAAAGATAGACTATAGTGATAGTAATAATAATAATAATAATAATAATAGCTCTGAACAACAACAGCAACAAGAAACAAGAAACATCTTTTCCTCCAAGAAAACAAAAAAAAATCAACAGCACTTACACCTTACTACACTTTACTTACAACCACAACCAAACAACAATACATATTAATAATGTCATCCCAAAAACACGAATACAACAGACTTGCACCATTTTCATTTCCAATCTCCAGAGACGTCACCATGACCGATGCCTCCACAAACGAATCGAGAATTAATCAGCGATGGACTGGCTATGGTGGTTTATCCGGCAGCCATTCAATCGGCTTTAGAGTGGTTCCTCGGCGAACAAAGATTAAGCGATGCCCCGGAGGCTCATTCGCTCACTCAGCAATGTCCCAAACAAATCATGGCAGTAGCCGACTCATCGAACCTTTACTGAAGCCTTGTGAAATGGGCAAAAAGATAGGTAAAGTATCTATACTTTTTTTAAAAAAAATTTACTAGTATTGCTTTTCATTATCGTTATCATTTGATCAAATCAAATCAAGCCAAACAAAACAAACCAAACCAAGACAAAACAAAATTATTACTAATAATATAAAGTGCAATCAATAGATTTCTTGAGCTGTCTGCCTTACGAACTAGGATCACACATCATATCCTACCTCGATCTACCTACCTTGCTTATACTGGCAACCGTCTCCCGCACCTGGAACACGGTTTACAAAGTCAGCGACGTGTGGAGAATGAAGACGATCGAACGAAACTGGAAAGTCAACAGCATACCACCAGAACTGCGTATGGACCGAATTGACTGGCACTATTTATTCAAACAACGTTACCAGCTCGAACAGCGATGGAGAAAAGGAAGCGTGCTGACCCACTACCTAATCGGACACAAAGACAGTGTTTATTGCCTTCAGTTTGACAAACACAAGATCGTAACCGGCAGCAGAGACAAGACGATCAAGTTCTGGGACATGGCTACATACTCACATCTACAGACACTCGAAGGGCATGAGGCCAGCGTACTGTGTCTGCAGTATAATGAACATATCATGGTTTCTGGATCATCAGATACCACCATCATTGTTTGGGATATGTACACTTGTCAACCCAGAATGAGATTGAGAGTAAGTTTAATTTTTTTTTCTTCTTCTTCTTCTTGTTCTCGACAATAAACCAATACATACATATATAATGTATAAATGTAAATGTAAATGTAAATCATACTCATACTCATATCATTTCTAGGGACACAAGGCAGGCGTATTGGACGTCAGTTTTGATGATAGATACATTGTCAGTTGCTCAAAGGATACATCTATTCGGATATGGGATATCAACACTGGTGCTTTACTGAGAACCATTATGGCACACCAAGGCCCAGTCAATTCGGTACAGCTCCAGAACAATAACATTGTATCTGCATCAGGAGACGCACTTATCAAGATGTGGGATGTTACTACCGGTGCATGTATACGCCAATTTGTCGGCCACACTCGCGGCCTAGCATGCGTCCAATACAAGGGGAATCGAATAGTGAGTGGATCCAACGACAAGACAATCCGAGTATGGGATGCAGATGTAAGTACAATATTCGATTATTATCAGTAGCATTATTGTAATTACAATCATAATTATAATTATAATTATAATTGATCATAATGAGATTCTAATGACCATAATAGACTGGAAAATGCTTGATGGTTTGCAAGGGTAAGATATGAAGGAGATCACACGTGTGCTTAATATATAATACCAATACTAATATTAATACAAATAACTTCTTTATTATTTGAAATGTCTTCTTCAATAGGCCATACAGATCTAGTCAGAACTCTTGACTTTGATGACGAGAGAATTGTTAGTGCAAGCTATGATCAAAGCATCCGTGTATGGGATATAAAGTAAGTCTTTTAAAGCCGCTTGGCTGTCGGTTTTAAAAAAAAATTGAACCTAATCATTATTCAAAAAGGACTGGAGATTCTCTATTAAACTTTCAGAGTGGACATAGTAGCTGGGTACTCGATGTTCATTTTGACAAGAACAGAGTTGTTAGGTAAGCCCAAATCGATAAGAAACATATATATAAAAAAATCAATTATTTATAATTGTATTTTATATTTACAATTTATATATATACATAGTGCAAGCCAAGATAAGCGTATTCTTATCATGGATTTTTCTGCTGGTCTTGACACGCATCTCATCACTTGAGGAATTATTGATACCTATATCTATATTTTCTTTTTCTTCTTCTTCCTGTTCTTTACATACACACATTTACGTACATACATATATACATACTTACATAGTTACATACATACAGACTTACATACTTACTTACATATTATACACACACCACACACACAGACCTTTGCATTCTATACATTAAGACTCAATAACCCCCCTTGGACTATTTGATTCTCAAAATTGTAATAAAAAAATAAAATAAATAAATAAATAAATAAATGTTAATATCAATGTTAATATTAATGTTAAGCTTCTTGTTTGGTGTTGAATAAGGTTCAAGGTGAGCCGATCAAGTTGAGTCGGTAAACACATTAGTATTATTAATATATTTCTGTCTATATGTATCTGTATCTGTATCTGTATCTGTATCTGTGTGTGTTTTGTACTTTCTATATATATATATTATTATTATTATTATTTTTGAGCGCGATTAAAGCGGGTTTTTCTTAATTGTTGTTGGTCTCTAAAGACTGTTGGCTCGTTTAGATTAATGCAGGGACAAGTCATCTCGCTGTAATTGAAACAAACGCTCTATTCAAAAGTCCCAAGTGAAATATGAAATGAAAGGGGGGGGGAGGGAAAAAAAAGGTAACTCTGGTTACCGAAATAATAAGAATCATAATAAGCATAATAATAATGGTGATGGTAATGTATGGTTCAAATGTATTCCAAGAACGAGGTTACATGTCTGTGCTCTCATGTCGAACATATTCGATTTGGCCAAAAAATCGGGTGTATATATATAAGGGTTGACTGACGGCTATATGTCTTTATGTCTTTATGACTCTATATCTATATCTATATATATATCTGTGTCTGTGTCTGTGTCTGCTTCTATTCCTGTATTTGTATCTCTATATGTATATGTGTCTGTGGGTATAGTGCGTATAGTGTATCTGTATATGTTTATGTCTGTGCCTCTATCTGTGTCTGTGTGCCTCTGTTTGGATCTGTGTATATATATATATATATACCTGTTTATCTATCTGTGCGCGTATGTGCGTTTGCGTTTGCGTGTGCGTTTGCGTGTGCGTAGATAACTTCTTCTTCTTCTTTCTCTTCTTTTTTTTTAAAAAAAATGTAAAGAAATTGAGGTGTCTTTAATTTGTAAGCGAGACAAGGAAAGAAGAAAAATAGGCCTGTGCACAGCAACGGAGAGCGGAGAGGGTAAAGAGGGAGAGGGAGGGGGTGGAAAAGAGGGTTGTATGGACTCCCCCAAGGAATGAGATATCTAAAAGAGCAAAACCCCACACACAGACATAGACACAACCGTAAAGCCAAAAACAAAATATTATTATTATCAATAATAATAAGGACTTTTATATTTTAATGAATACCAGTATTTTGTACTTAAAAACCCTGTGGTAGCCTTTAAAGACTAATTCTATTAAAATCAAGTAATAAATAATGATATTGATAATGGTAATGGTAATTGTATCGCCGTTGCTGTTACTGTTTTTGCTATTGTTAAACACCGTACTATCACCGAGATTATTAGCCAAGCAAGCACGGGATAGAAAGAAGCTCCCTGATCTCAAATGTAAAAATTTCGGTAGTTTGACAGCCGTGAACTGACTTCTTCTACTATTACCTCTTCTTTGGTCATAGTGTGTGTCTCATTTGGTCTCTAATCTCACATGACTTTGGTAGGAATACTTCTTGCCATGTTCTCTATCCGATCTTACAGTCACACACACACACACACACACATACTATCTCTCTCTCTCTATGTATGTGTGTATATGGTGCTTTAAATTAATATTAATATTATCAGCTTAAATGTGTGTGTATATATATACATGTATATGTATATATATTTATCATCACCAACCTGTCTTGCTCCTTCTTTTTTCTTCTTCTTCTTATTTTTATTTTGGTTTTTTACAAATTGATATTAATATTATTTTATTTTTGCTCTTCTTCTTCTCGGCCTTGAATACCCCCCCTTCTTCTCCCTGTTTTTTATTTTATTTTATTTTATTTGCAAATTTTGTTATAAATATAAAATATATTATATATATATATATATTTATATATATATATACAAATATACACACACAAAAGTATACAAGTATAAGTACAAGTATATAAATATATATATATATATAATTTTATTTTTTTATTTTTTGCAGTCTCATCTCTGATATTCTCCGTCTGTCTCATATCCAACTATTTCCTATCCCGACTTTTCGTTTTTTTTTGTGCTTAAGTTTCCCTCTCATCTATCTTCTTTTTTTTTTCTTCTCTTGCTTTACACTTCTTTTGATTTGAAATGTATAACTTGTCCGCGACTACCCCGCCTAATTTTCTTGATCTGCTATCAAATGACGATGGATCCTCCATAAACAACCTATCCCAACCTATCCATTTTTTTGATTCAGAACAAAATCAAGACCCTATACACCATGATCCTCACCCTGCACAGTATACCACCCAATGCTCTGCCCCACCCAAGATCGATGGTCAGCATATGCTCATCGAAACACCAATCCATCCTCTCCAACCCTCCACAGACCCTCCCCCGTCTTTTGACCTTGATTTCAACTCGCCTGACGAGCAAAGAAACGACCTAACCCATGTCATTGGAACCTTTACCAGCTTTGAACAAGGTAAACAAACATTCACTCCAAACTACTGGTTAATCCCCCCCACCACCACGCACACACACACACACAAAAAACAAATAATTAAATAATTAAATAATTAAATAATTAAATAATTAAATAATAAAAAAAGAGTTTGTAGGTTTCAACCTCATGGAAAAAGAAGGAAACTCGGGCTTGTCGGCCGTTGGAGGAAACTCACAGTTTATGAATTACTCGCCCATCGAATCAAATAACTCAGCCATGGATTTTAGCCGAAGACATTCTGTAGCTGTCAGTGACTATGGCACATTAAGATCTGCAGAAACTCTTTCCCAAAACTATCTAGACAAATCGCTCGGACAGTCTACGAAACCATTTGTCGGTAATCCCAGCCATCGGTTCCCCATCGACCACACCAGTACACTCCAGGCGATCGCCGAGAATCCGATGCTATTCCACCATCGCGCCTCGCTCCCAAACGTGTCTTCGCCCAGCCTTGGTTACAAACGACTCAACCACTCACACCACCTCAGTATCCTCACTGACGGGTCGAGTGGTACGAGAATAATCGACCAAGGAGTTGGTCCCCAGTTGACATGGAAACAAAGTGGGATGCCCAAAAAAGAGGGTGTGAGATCCTATTCGGTCGCAGGTGAAAAACAGCAGCCAATCCCGCTGCCAGCATCAGCGTTAGCGTCAGCCCCGCCGCCGCCGCAACCTCAACCGCAACCGCAACCACCACCGCCGCCGCCGCCGCTGCTGCTGTCGTCCCTATCATCATCGCTATCATCATCTCTGTCGTCCTCCTCGGCATCAGCTACGCCATTGTCTTCCTCGTCCTTGTCGTCGCTGCCGGCTCATCACCGCATATCACTTGGCGGCAGTTTGTCAACCCCCACGCTCTCCTCGACAAACATTATTACACCTCACGCCCAGAGAAAGCGCTTCTTTGATCCCCGAGCATCTCACCCTCCATTCCCTGTCTCAAGTGACAGCGCCCAGATGCCCCAAGTCGCATGGAACTCCTGGTTTGATGAAGAAGCCCACCGCAAGCGCACCAAGTCACTTGATCTTGGCCAGACAGCCGAAGACGTTGTGGCAGACGACTCAGGCGAAAGTACCGATGGCGCATTTAACCTGAATGTCGACAACGACTATCCAAATATCACCGAGGCTGATATTGAAGCTGCCAAAAAGGATTCAAGTGCAATCCCCCGTCGTCAGAAGCTGAGATACGAAGGAGACAACTACACACCAAAATGGGTCAGATACACAGGTCAGCCCAAAGAAGGTTATTGCGATAGCTGCCGGCCTGGAAAGTGGCTTCAACTTAAGAACAGTGCTTATTGGTAAGAGCCAAGAACAATATAACAAACAAAGACAAAGACAATAATAATAGTAGTAGTAGTAGTAATAGTATTCATTATTATCATTGTTTGTTCTCCTTGTTTTCTTTTTTATTTTACTTGGATATTCATTAATTGGTTTGTTTGTTTAGGTATCATAAGCAATTCTTTCATGGTATATCATCGGTATCTGGAAAGGCGTTTGTCCTTCCATTAGAACAACGAGACGGAGAGCACGATGTCATCGAAGGTCTATGTCACCAGTGTCATCAATATGTTCCAATTTGCAATGCTAAGCGTAAGAATAGCGTGCTGTGGTATCGCCACGCCCACAAGGTAAATTTATTTTTATACATTTTACTTGTAATGCCTATAACTTGCTCTCATCACATCGTTTTGTTTTTTACTGTCTATACTCTATTTCTAGTGTCATATATACGATAAACCAAAGTCAAAGGCAGTAAAGAGAAATTCTATTGCCAAAAAGCCAAGCTGGTGATCACCTCGTTATTATCTACTATCCCTGTCCCTATCCCTATCTCTCCATTTGATTTTTATTTCGATTTTATTTCATTTTTAGCTGCAAGTTTCTTTTTTCATCTCTTTTCCTTTTCCTTCTATATTTTATTTTATTTTATTTCTATGTTTTTTACTCTGTACATAATGCCACATACTCTCTTTCCTTAATAAGATTTTTTTAAATTACGACATTTCCTTAATAAGAAAGTGAGACTGTACCAATGTTAACAATCCAAAAAAAAAGAAATTATAAACACTTTTGTCGATCACTGTTTTCAAAGCAAGATAAGAAATTAAAGCCAGTCACGAAAACTTAAAACTTACTAATGTGACATAATCATTCGACTTGATCTCTTAAAGAAATTAGTCATTTTTTTTTTTAAAAAAAAAAAAAAAAGAATAAGAACAAGAACACTATAGTAATCGATACTATATTAAAAGACCACCACATATATGTCTTTTAATTGGAGTAAAGAAAGAGTTGCAAAAGATAATCGTAATTGTGATCTGTGATCTTGTTTGTGAGCGTGAGCGTGAGAGTGTGCGTGTGCGTGTGCGTGTGGGTATATTATTGTTATTAATTTGATACTTTAAAAAGTCCATATAACTGATAGTAAATAACCGAGACCATCGACCAAAGAAGCTTATTAGAAAATGTTTAATTTTAATGAACTCTATTAAAACAAGTGTGCTAAAGATATAGCTTGTTTTTGTCATTTTAGTATATCGCATATTTTAACCCATTCAAAGTAATCTGAACAATGTGATGGTTGTACAAACAATGCATTTTGATAGCTAATTCTGGTGATATTCTCTTATTAAAGTGAGCAGTACGAAAATGACTCCTCACGACTATTAAAAATACTATTAAAAGTGTCTTGCGCCTTAAAAGCCTGTACATGCAAAAAATATATAAAAAAAAAAAAAAAACATAAAAAGACTAATACGAGAATAAAATATTAGTATTGATATCTTTGATAGATTTGAAAAAAAAGATTGAATGATCATTCTATAAAGATGTTATATATATACATGTTTAAAATGCCAATTTTATTAGAGAAAAACAACAAACATACGATGAAAGGGAAAGGGAGGGAAGAAGAGATGTTAGGAAGGTGGATCCCAAGGCTTCATAAGATTATTATTATAATTATAATTATAATGTAATGCCGGCCATCAATTTAGATAGATCTACATGGCGATAGCTCGACTGATTCAGGTAGCGCTCTGCTTCTGTCTTCAGCTCAATTAAGGTGTTGTAGTGTCCTTTAACAATAGATTCGGTAAGGGCTATAACAAACCAGCAAGGATTATTAATCTATTTGATATAGTCTGGTTTTATTATTCTTTATTTTTAGACTTACTCGCTAATGGGGTATCGGCTGCCTTGTGAATAATTTTTACTGGATCAAAAATATAGGTAAAGTACAGGAGCTGAGTGTAGAGACTTTTATCAGAGTACTAAGAAGAAGAAGAATAAAAAAGAATCGCATTGATGTGTTGGTAATTTTCGTTAGTATTTCCTACATCAAAAGCATCTATCTATCTATTTGTTTGTTTGTTAATTACTATTATTTTACCTCGCGCATCATAAGGCCGCGGCACCCAGCATTCAAGCAACGTCTTCCAAAGACAGACATCATCCGTGTACGATTACCACAAGTGTCATCATCACAGATTAACCAGCCCTGGTAATATTTGCGAATGTACGATCGTATCGCAAGTACCATCTGGTTCAAAATAATGTTTTTGGAGAATTCTTGTTGGCAACCCTGGCACTCCAAGCCCCAGGTCACAACATCCTCTGTAAATTGAGTTATCACAGTTGGGCAGACAGTAGTCTCTTGGCAGTGTACACATTTGAGGGTTAGTTTTTCAGAATCCTTGAATCGTTCTTCGTCACTAATTTGAGACTCCAGAGTCTCGAAATCTTTATCTCGATCATTTGAATTCATTCGAGAGCCGATATTGTACTTGGTTGGGTCAAGACCTACAAAATTCATATTACTTAATTGATCGATTTACATACATTGATAATAGTAATTGAACTATAAAACGTATGCATTTATATATCTTTAAAAATAAATGAAAGAAAACTAACCAAGACATTCAGCCAATAGACCAGGGGCAGTTCCCTCTATAGGTGAGCAAAGACGTACAATAGGTGGGAATACCTGCTGGTTCAAATACCATTCGATATCTTTAAGAATTCGTTTAGTTAACAAGCAAAGAAACAAACAAAATTCACTTTCACTTTAATGCTTTTCTTTTTTCTTCTTCTTTTTTTTTTACTAACTATCAGGACCGTGCGTAAAGATGCACTCACCTAATTGCATGCTTCCACTAATAACGTCGTCTGGATGATAGGCCCTTTCTGCAAATCCTGCTTTTGTGCCATTTGGAACGTCAGAAACTTGACAGATAACATATGGAACTGTGTCGCCTGCTCTAACGGATTGTCCTGCCTTTCGCATCCGCATGGCCACTTGGACATGAGGTTGGGATTTGGCGTCTGCATACTCTTCAGGGCTCTTGGTAAGTTGCTACAAATAAACAAACAAACAAAGATACAGACAGACAGTATTAGGTTGTATGTGCTTAAATGGTCGCTGATCCGATTACTGTGTACAAGGATACCACCCTTACTATACCTTATTAATGATATATTTTGTAATTGTCATTTCTCCTCGGCGAATGCGTTCTCCAATATCACGCAAGTATGCGTGAATCTCTTCTATAACATCTTCACGGTCCTTATCAGACAGAATTGAGTTAAGCACATGTCTACACATACAACAAAGTTAGTCTTCTTATTTATGTATCCATTCACTTTTTCTTTTCTTATTATATTTTAGCTACTTGATTGATATACATACAAGTGTATAAAAAAGAAAGAAAAAAGAAAAAGTTTAAAGAGAGATAGAGAGAGAGAGAAAAATTGGTTTGCTTACGCAGATACATCGTGAGATAGATCACACCAATCACGACGGACAAGATCAAGACCCTTTGTTTCGATTGTTTCGACCAGCTCTCCATTGGGCTTCTCTTCCACCAGCAGAGCAGCATATTTCTTTTTCTTCAAAAGCAACATATGCTTGAACATGCCATCAATATCGATCTCCAGCAATTTATAAAGATTATTGACACGCTGCTTGAGTAGATTTCCGATTTCCTTGACCTGGGCAATGTCGCTCTGATTGGTGTACACCATAATTGAATCAGTGTCACCATAAATCACGTTCAGATCAAGACTTGTGGCAAGATCGACAGTATTCTGGAGAATCTCTCGACCCTTGTGGGTAATTAGCATGGCCAGTGGTTTGGCATAAAAGCGAGAATGAGAAAAGCCGAGACAGCCGTACATACTGTTGGCAGTAAGCTTGAGAGCCTTTTGTCTAATATCATACTATAAGGCAGTCAGAATATAAATTTGCGATAGATAATCAATCAATCAATCAGTTGATTAGTTAGTTAGAGAGAGAGAAATAGAGAAGAATCAATCATTTAACCAATTGTTCAATTGTTCAATTGTTCAATTGTTCAATCAATCGATAAATCACTTAATTTACCTGCATTCGCTCTGCTTCTGAAAGGTTTGGAGCTTTCATTAACCGTTTTACTTGACCACGGCGATCAACCAATGTTTTGATTAGACGAGGAAGTACACCTGTAGGCATAGATGTGTCTGGAACTTCAGGAACTTGATCCCCCTTTAATTTTTTTAGAAAAAAAAAGAGAAAAAGAGAGAGAACATATAGATGTGTGTAAGAAGCCTTATTCTTCTATATAAAGGAGCCTGCAGTAATATATATATATCGAATACTATACCTCGACCACTGCTACATCATGACGTTTTACGGTCGTAAAACACACGTTGTATTCTTGAATAATAGATGGATATAAACTGTTGAAATCAAGCAACAGAACAAACTTGTCATAGAAGCCTTTCTTGGGTTCCAGGACGAGACCGCCTGAATAGGCTGGTTTGCGTTTCGTATTTGATTTTTTGGCGTGTACGACTTCGTTGTCACCGTCCTGATTGTGCTCTAGAGCCTCGACAATAGCCGCCTGTGATTTTACATTAAAAGTCTTGTCCGGGCAGATGAACTTTTGGCGATGGAATTCGTGCATAAGCAAGAACTCGTTTCGTTCGGCTCTTGCACCAGTCATTGTTCGGGACCATAGATTGCCTGCCAGGTTGGTGAGCTGGCGAGTCAAAGGGAGGATCTGGAGCTTGAACATGAGAGCCATTGCGAGGTATGCATCAAAAGTACAGTGTTTCAAGAAGTGAATCAGAGATGCCGACTGTTCATAGTAGCCTTCCATTTTGTCAAACTTGATGTCTTCACGCTCAATCTTGAGTTGAGACTGAGCCAGATCGGTCATACGATAGGACTTGCTTCGAATAAGATCCTTTGCAGCCAAGTAAGTATCACATACAAGACGACCACTCATAATCAATCTCTCCTGATAGGTTGACTCGCCAGAGCCACCAGGGCCACTTTGTAGTTTTGGCCAGCTAAGATAAATAAAGCATAGGGTGAGAAGAAGAAAAAAGAAGAAGAAATAAACAGGTATTTAAGAAGGTGATGGTAAATCTAAATATCTACATACTGTCGTCTCTTCAGTCTACCAAGTCTATGCCAGTTTTGTGTATTGAGTGCCTTCATGCGATGCAATAATACATCGAGATCAAAACCAGCAAAGTTGTGACCAACGATTACATCCGGATCACAAACATGTATTTTGGCTGTTGAATTTTATGGTTATTTCTTTCTTGAACGTTTATGTAATCTATTGTAGTAAAGTCTATGTATGGTTTAAATTTAATGTGGTTTACTTTACCAATCAGATAGTTCAATAGGGAGAATTCGGTTCGTTCGACTTGGACACTGAATCCATTGCGTGTTTTTTCTTTTGTAACCATATCATTGAATCCAGCAGGATATGGTTTATTTCCCAGTTGACGTACAACAGTAAAGCGCATTCTTTCTTGGCTGTCCACAGGTGTAGGTTCATCAATCTTGACTACAATATATATATATATTATTTTTTTCATTTTTATTTTTATTGGTAAGAAAAAAGAAAAGTGCTTACCTTTAGTACACACATGCGCACTAGCAGCTATAATTTCATTTACATTCTTTTGAGGGTTTATTAATGTACGTAAACTGAGTGACATGACAACAAGGGGAGGGATATGAGTAGGTTCGTTTCCCTGTGCATCACGGAGAGGGTTACAAGTTTTAGGATTGTCTACTACGATTTCTACTTTACACCAGGATTCCTAATTAGAAATCATGTTAACTTTCATTCGTTTCAGTTCGAATATCTTCTTTTTTTTTGCTTACACTAGTGTCACTAAGTTTGGCTTCCTTGATCTCTAACCAACATGGTCCCATAATATCACGTTTCATAATGAATTGTTCCAAAGGACCAGTATTGGCACCAAAAATACGACTAAAAGTCTTTCCTGATAAGTTTGTGGGTAGTGCAGGTTCTATTATCATTTAAAAGCAGGAAAAAAAAAGAAGAATAAAGTCAATGGTAATGTCAATTATAATAATCAGTCATATGTATATAGCATAAAAAATATACAAAAAATTAAATGGCTTGTACTTACGGTCATAGCCATACACTACTTTGAGATATTCAGCTTCTGCAGGTACACCAGGTATCTCAAATGCATATTTTCTCTTGCACTCTTTTGATCCCCATTTGCTGATCTTCATATGTTCGCATATATCTGAAAACTCGTTGTACACATCATCCATTGTTACAGGTGTATCTGTAGGTTGAGCTTGGTCTATTGACAGAAAAGATTGTGAGAATAAATTCTCTATTCTTTCTTTAATTTACTGTACCCACCATCAAATCTATGCTCTCTTGGCAAAACAAACACATTTCGCTCAATGTTCTTTACATTTACACAACAACTGATGTAGGATCTTGAGGTTTTTTCATAAACCTGCAAAACGATTCATAAGAACTTCTTCTTTTTTTTTGGTATATAACATCTGTTGGGTTAATTTACCTTTCCAAAAAGATAAATATCGCCTTTTTCTCGACGCTCGTACACATCATACCACCAGACTCTTAGACTTCCGTCTTCCTCAAGTATACTCTTTGCCTTTGAATCATCCTTGACAATTTCTGCAGAGGTGTTACCCATCATAACTTTAGATTCTGCAGTTTCCCAGTTCTGAAGGTCAAGTCGGGGACCTTCTAATTTGATAGGAATGTGGTTTGGATTGACGGTTTGTTTCAAAGATGCTGTAGAATCCACTGGTGTGGTGTGGTTTTTATCATCTGTCTTTATGGATCCATTCGATGGTTTTTTTACGCCCTCTGTGTTCATATCCATATCCATATCCATGTCGAAATCCACATCAAAGTCAGCGTCATATGAAAAATCGTCGGTTTCTGTTTTTGAGGCGAGTGGTGCAGATGTGGATGTGGGTTTCTGTGTAGGTTGTTTTACAAATAATTCCAAATCATCGTCTTCCTCATCTCTGACATTTTCGTTTTCGGTTTTGTTGTCTATTGTGGCGGTTACATCATCATTATCATTATCATCATCCCATTGTTTCTTCACGAGTCGTCTAGGTTTGTCTTGTGTGAGACGAGAGGTTTTTGGTGTACGAGAATAATTGGTGGGTTTAGTCTGAGTCGATTCTGCTGCTTCGTCTCCACCAAGACTGGATAAAAGGTCTGTCATAAAGTCTTCACTCGATGCATCCGGCTAAAAAAATAATAATAATTTATAATTATTATCATGTACCTGTCAGATTTGTCTCTTTTTTTTTTGCATACACACACACACATATATATATATATATTCTCTCTATCTATCTAACATTGTAATTCTGATCTTGCTTAATTTAAATTATTAATCTAAAATAATAGTAATAATAGTAATAGTAATTTACCACAACGGGTTTTGGTTTACGGCTGTCTGGGTTGGTTGTCGACTTTTGAAAGAATCGATTGAGAACTTGGTTTGGCTTGGAGGCTATCTCTTTCTTTTTGGGCTCATTCTTTTGTTTATCCTTTCGCTTTCTTTTGCCTGTTACGGTTTGTGTAGATCAGTTACGAGATCAACTCGATTCTGCATGTATGTGTATCTTTATCTACAAGGCATGTTCTATATATTACCCTTTGTTGATTCCTGTTGCTCATATTCATCCGAGAATGCTTGGTCGTCATCAAGTCCATTGTCAATGTAACCTCCATTGTCATCGTCCTCGACAAAATTCTCGTCATCGCGAATCGAATCGTAATCTTCATCGTCTATTTCTTCGTACATGTCTGCGCTTTTATTCTACAATAAAGTATAGATAGATCAATAATAGTAACAATAATAATAAGAACACTTGTGTGTATATGGTTTCTACCTCATATTGAACAGCTCTTGTTCGATTGAGTCTGGCATCCCTAAGGTTTTTTAGCAGTTCACTCTTTGATTCAGCCCCTTGACGCTTGGTATGTCGTTGTGACATTGCAGATTAATGAAAACGAAAATTTTGTTGACCGACGCGAAAAGCGAACCAGCTCGTTGATCGCGACACAGGCGCGTCAGTCACGTTCAATGTTTATCGGAGATGAAAGTTAATTCATATATATATATATAATTTTGATAGTCAAAACAAAAACAAAAAAATTAACACAAATTAGACTGACTAAAGAAGTAAAACATATTTAAGGTCTGTTGGCCGGGCAGGAATAAGTGTATATATATATATATTTGGGGGGTGGAAGATTAATTATCAAATTTTGTTATAAACAATTTTTATATTAAATGATACATATATAAATACTTGAAAATTAAAATAATAAAAGTGATAAATTAGGGTTTCAAAACGGTACTGATCAAAGATGATAAACCATTGGGCCAAAAGGGTACCGAGAATTTATATCTAGCTCAACAAGTATCTACTGTTCACTCTTGCTTTGGCTAATTAACCACAAGACTATATAAATTTATATATTTTATATAAAGACTGGTCATATAAGCTACAATTAATAGTAAATATCATTTGAAGAGTTCTTTATATGAGAGAGAGAGGGGGGGATCTGTTGAAGATGATCTAGAAAACAGTCAGTCCAAATTATATAAAGTCGCTGTAATGACTATGAAACTCATTAGCCTATTTTGAGGTGAATTATATCCTCATTAAAGATACTTGCTTTTACATTTATATATATATATGCTGTGTTTGATGGATGAATTCTTGATTGATTACAAGGGACATGGTAATTAGTGTGTGAAATATAGCTGTATATCTATATACCTATCATTCCTATTCTCATTTTTATTTTTGGAAAGTATGTATACCTTTTGTACATATAACCATTTCAAGACACAACTAAGCTTTGGTTATCAAGCACTAGAATATTTATATATATATTAAACTGTGTAGAAAGAAAGAGGGATAAAATGAAATGAAGGGTGAAGGGGGGGGTATCTATGAGAGGGAGGGAGTGAAAGGGGGTGGTGGTGGTGAGTTTAGGTTCTGAGTTTTGGGTTTAGAAAATTGAAACAAGGTTCATACGGCAGATAGATAGAGTATCAAGATATTGAATTATATACTATTACTAATACTAATACTATTCTGATGATATTGTTTTTTGGGAGTCTTTTCTTAACAAGCTCTATACCATACATGTATTGTCTTTTGGTTCTTGCCTTTGCTCAAAAGAAAAGTATCGCTATTGATTTTATAATAAAAGCTTTTGTTAGTTTCTTTATGTGTGTGTGTGTGGATACACTGATAAACCCATGGTGATCGTCGGTGCTGTTCAATGTTGTACAGAGGTCAAGATGAATTTGTGAATGGTGTGATGGTGTGATGGTTTTGTTTGTAGTGATACAAGGACAAGGTATGTATTGACAGTCTGTACATGGGTGCAATATGAATGTACAAGGGGTGTATGTATTATTTTGTAAATAAAGCCAAGATATATATAAGAATGGTTTGGAACTCTTGAATATTACAGGCCAGAATACTATATCTATATCTATATCTATATCTATATCTATATCTATAGACCCCATTTGTACTGGGTGAGCGGGTTTGTAGGTGTGTGCACATGAAACGTCTGTTGGCCATCACCAGACATTATATCTATATATATACAATAGCCATGTTTGGAATAGAAAGGAAACCCCAACATCAAGAATACACTATAGCTTTAAATATATAAATATATATACAAGGCTCATTCTTTATTATATATTTTTCTTGTTTTCTGGAAGAAGAATAATATTATGGCACACCAGAATATTGTAACCCAAAGCCACCAAACGTCTTGTCTTGTCTTGTCTTTTTCTTCTTTTGCTGTCACTTGTACTTTATATAATCAAGATCTGTCTATTTATTTAATAAACTCATTCTTTTATTTGATCTGATCTGATCTGATCTGACTACCTCCACTTTATATTTATTATGAATATTTTGTTATAATGGCTTTGAAAGATGAAAATAGGTGATAAGATCTTTTCTTTCTTTATTTTTCAAACACAACAAGTGTTGTAAAAGGATAGGTACTTATTTTTATATAACATTCGTGGTAATAAAGTATTTAACCTTTAATCTTTAGTTTCGTTTTGTACTATTGTACTTTTGTACTTTTGTACTTTTGTACTTTTGTGGCGGCTATCGAAACAAAGTTTTATGATCTCTCTTTATTTTATTTTAATTTTTTTCATCTTATAAATATCTGCGCCTGTGTCTGTCTGTCTGTCTGATATATATATATATATATATATATTATATATATGACTTTTTTTTTTTTTATTTTTCTCTAATTTTCTCTGATTTTCTTTTTATATTCTTTCTTGAACCAAAAGGACGTTCACCCCCCTTCTTTAAGCTTGTTTGTCTTTCTTCACTATCCATATCTTGAAAGAAGCAAATCTCACTTTCCCCTTTATTTATTTAAAAAAAAAAGTTATAGTTGTAAAGCTTTCAAGTTATTGCGCTCTATAGCCTATCGACCTAGCTTATCATCTCTTCATGGCCGAGTCTCAGCATCTCCTGTCACAGCCTACTTCTCAAAACTATAGCTCTACAGCAACAGACAATGGTCAAAGCTCTAGACCAAACAGCAGCTCAAGTACTTGCACTATCACTAGTATCAATAATGGCGGTACCCAAGATCCACCTCAGTCTTCCTCTTCTGCTATAACAGAGGCAGAGGCAGCAACTGAAACAACAGCACTATTAGCATCATCATCATCATCATATTCTTCTTCTTCTTCTTCCAAGACAGCGCTGAAACTTGCTTCAGAATGTCCAACCCGACCTCCTCACCCCTGGTTGACTTTTTTGGAAGAATTTATTGAAGAATACTCTACATCAAGGTACCTAGAGAATAAGAACAGTGTTGCAAGAGATCATCTGGGTAAGTGACTAGTATAATTGTAATTATTATTATTATTATTATTTGGGGGGAGTTTGTACTCATAAAGATGATACAATAAAAGCTTAAAAACGCGCAATTTGCACTACCTCGTTCAAGCACTATATATATATATATATTATCTTCATATTCCTTATTCATTATTCATTTTTATTTGGTTCTTTAATTATGAGTAGCAAATGAGCGTACATACCTAGCCTGGTTACGCACAAGCCTTGCGACCATTTCTTGTGGAGTTGGTAAGGAATAGTCAATAAAATAAGGAATCATTTTTTTCTTTTCTTTTTTGGGAGGGTGGTTCAAATAAATATATATATATATATATATAATATATAGGCGTTTCAAAAAAAAATTATTATTTATATTGTTTTGTAGCCATCACACAGTTCTTTCGATTGGATAAATCAATTAGGGACGGAAGTCTTTTGTGGTTTGGAAGACCGGTTGGCTTGTGCTTTATTCTGATGGGTATGATGTTCTTGATGTTTGCGTTCGTGCGCTATTTCCATGTCCAGGCTTCTATGATCAAAGGGTATTTTCCAGCCAGTCGAGGAATAGTGATCGTTACCACTAGTTCGGTCCTGATGGCATTAATCGCTCTCTTTATCATCATTACCTTTTCATCTTGATTCCCTTTCTTTTTCTTATGTTGATATACAACACTCTCATTCATTCCTTCATTCCTTCATTCCTTCATACCATACCATGCATACCATACCATACATATCATACATACACACATACATACATTTACCTATCTATCTTATTCTGTTTGTCAGTCCTACTGTTACTATCACCATTACCCTTCTTTCTACTACTTGTTAGTATCCTTTACACAGCCGTTAAACTTACAATTCACTATGTTACGCTACGTTACGATACGTTACATTACATTACATTACATTACATTGCACCCTTTCTTCTTTTCTCCCTTTTTCTTCTTCTTCTTCTTCTTCTTTGGTTTATTCAATATACATATTTATATCAAAATATAAATCTACAGGTATTTTTCAATAGAAAAAAATCAAGACTCTTTGTTTAATTGTTTGTTTGAATTATATATATATATAAATGTGTGTGTTTGTGGGTATTATTTTCTTTTTGAAAAATAAAATAAAAAAAATTATGATTCTTCGGTTGACAAGAGCGGAGCAGTTTCATCAAGAGTATCATCTTCATCGGACTTGACCAAGGGCCATCGGAGCACACCGTTGAAATAAAATGTACCAATCACCATGACTACAAAGCCAACAACCTGGATACCGGAAAATTGCTCCCAGCCCAAGTAAAGCGATACCATCCAGATAAAGAGTGTTCTGTCAAAAAGAAGAAAATCAAAATCAAAATCAGTTTTTATACATTTGTATAACATTTGTATATACGGATTTTTTTTTCTTTCTTTACCTGCATGCATCGATTGTGCTTCGGGATGTGGCCGACACGCTAGAAGTAATCGAGAGTCCAAACCAATTGAAAAAGGCGATTGAGAAACTGATGGCAAGACCGGTCTGCCAGACAACAGGATTGTCAAAAAAGTCATGGAAACCTTTGGAGATATTGAAGAACGGGTGCTGGCTACCAAGCAAGAAATCCAGAATCGGCATGGCCATCAGGACCGACAAGAGACCAAAGCTGCCTTCGAGTCCGACTGCCTTGAGAGGAGTGACCTTGTAGTGCATCATGATCTTTTCCTCGATCACAAACTGAGTGGCAGTAAACAGCTGGGCACCCAATACCAAGCCGACACCAAGCAATGCCTTGAAATCCTCATCTGACCCAATCAATCCATTGTTGTTTAAAGAAGTCGCAGATGGTCTCTTTTGGGGATAAAGTACGGATGAGAGACCAACGATACCGACACCCGTGACCACAAGCACCAATGAGAACCATTCGTAGGCGCGTAACCGGCGATTCAGGAACAAATAGCTAAATAGTCCGGTAAAGATAACAACAGCACCTCGCAGCATCTGATACACACTTGCGGAAGTCAAAAGCAATCCCACATTCATCACCTATATATATATATATATATATAAAAGTAAATATATAGCTCATTTCAACCAGTTGATTTTTAATTGTATGCGTGTGAATATATCTCTAATTTTGTTTGGATACTTGCAGTTGTGGCTGTGAGATCACAGAGGGTGGGAATCCAGAACAGCAATGATTTGATGCCCTTTAATTCTGGTGTGTTTGGCTTGATTTGAGTATCCACGTCATCCACAATAGCAGCAGCATCGAGTTGGTTAACAGCAGAAGGTGGAATTCCAGACGAAGAAGCCAACTTTTGACGATGTTCCCACATTTGATAAAAATACACAATCCATACTCCAGTCTCGCCAACAAACATATTTAAACTTTTATGTATTTATTTTTATTAGTATCAAGGAAATTTATTTATATATAATGTTTTCTTGTAAGCTTACGTTTGCCAGATTGGTTGTTCAAAAAATTCTCTCTTTGTTGGATCAGGATCTTCACAGTTTGCAACACACTGCATGTCTTGATACTTGTTGAGAATGGTATTGCAAACACCTACAGTTATCATTATTTTGCACAGATTTTAATAAATAAATAAATAGATAGATAAATAGATAGATAGATGACGTTACCTGAAGCTAGCATACCACCAACCAAGATTAGCTTGGTTGTATTGCTTATTGTAGGCCTACTGGAAGACATCTTGTATTATGCAAACTTCTTCTTGTTCTTGTCTTTCTAAAGTTGTGGTTTGTGTATAAGAAGTAAAAGAGAAAGGAAAAATAAAAAATAAGGAAAATAAAGGAAAAAAAAATATATATATTAAAGGATAAGGAAAATCCAAAAGAGGAAGTTTTATAAAGTTGTTCAACTGTTTTAATATTTCCCCCTTTCTCTCTTTCTCCTGTATTTTGTGACTATCATTTCAAAAAGAATTATGAATTCTGTTTCAAAAAATGAAATTTACTACTACATTTTTTTTTTATTCCTCTCTTTAAATATTTCCATATTTCTTGTCTTCATTATCTGTGTATGTAAGATTTCTTTTGTATTTATTTGAAATGTTTGTGATATGTGCACGTGAATAATAATAATAATAATAATAATAATAATTATTATTTTTAAAACTACAGCGAGTTTTTTCTTTTTTCTTTCTTTTTTGTATGTGAAGAAAATATAATATAAAAGAGAGGGAATTGTGACTTTATATTAGTTTGTTGTTTTCCCATTAGATACAAAGAAATAGAATAGAATAGGACAAGGAAAAGGGTGTTGGTCGATATGTGTTTGTCTGTAGATGTGTGTGTGGGGTAAGGTCAGGGCAGATCAGGATAGAATCTTTTGATTGGATTTGAAAGAAGAAAAAAGGGCCAAGGTTTAATAGGGAAAAGGGATAAGGGGAATTTTTTGTGAGGTTATGAGTGAGTGTGGGGATGATGGGAAAAATAAAGAATTAAAATTTGGTTAGTTAATAGATAGATAGGATTTGTTGTTGTATTTGTGGCTTTCTTTTCTTATCGAACTCGTTTGGGATCATGGCTATCAGTTGTAGCAGTAGTCGTATTGGATCGCTTGATTCCACGTGGTTCAATATCGTGCTCTTCAACATCAGGAATCTCTGGCATCAAAAGAGCCCCGTCTCCAGGATACTTGTAAAGAGAAGGAAGACGGTTAGCAGCCGGAGCCTCGTTCTCTGGTGTCTGAATCTCTTCTTCTTCTTCACACTTTATAAAAAGAAATAAAAATATAAGATGAATATTATTATCATTATTAATTACTGTGTCTATATATATATATGAATGAATGGTAGGGAAAAGGGGTTAAATTATTTAACCACGCAGAAACCTTTCATCCCGCCCTTTCCTTCCCTTTTTTTATTGTATAGTATATTTCTTACTTTATCCAGAGCAGGTGTTTCCATAGTGCTGAGTGTCATTTGAATAAATTCTCCCATACTCTTTTCAAATGTCTCGAGAGGATAACGCTGAGCAAGCTTTTCAAAATGTTGTCTCAGATCAGTACCGGCCTGAACGATAAGGAACTTTTTTTTTATATATATTAAAAAAAAAATAAGGGGAAAAAGAAATTGATGTAAAGATAAGCCATTTTTGTTCCTGCTGTTGATAATCACAACCAGAGATACACATACCTCTTTCTCTCTCTCACGGACTTGGGTCTTGAACAGATACATGGTCCTTGTTTTGGGGAATAGGAGATGGTGATCGGCTGCCCTGACACCCCAGACATCCTCTTCCTCTTCCTCTTCCTCGTCGTCCTCATCCTCCTCTTCCTCCTCATCCTCCACATCGCCATAAGAAAAGATCTCAAAGATTGGCTCCAATCCGACCTGGGCATCGCAAAGGTAGCTTTCGATTGCGGCCTGGGTCAGCAATTCAAGAAAGAGATCGTACCAACGAGGGGGCATTCCACCGCCCATCACTTTTTGGCCAGCAAATGTGAGGGGGGTCGGATCACCTTCTTCGCCTGTTTCGAGCGTGTGTCTAAGCATATCTGCACTTGTCTTGAGGAACGAAGGGATGGCCTCCATTAATCCGGGGGGAGGGATTATGGTGGATCCAGATGGCGTTGTTTCTGTGTTGAATAAAGGTTCTGATGCTGATGCTGATGCTGATACTGATGCTGATGCTGATACTGATGCTGATTCTTGTGTTGTTGTTGTTTTTGGTGGTGGTGGTGGTGCTTCAACAGATGCTGATATAGGTGGTGATGATAATGATAATAATGATGAGGATGAGGATGATGATATGGTTGATGAAGAAGCTTTGGTGGTTGAAAATGGAGATTGACATCCAGGGCAGTCTTGGCGACGGTGCCGGCGACAGAATGTTGGGATGACTGGACGAGCAAAGAGCTGCTGGCGACGCTTGATGTCGCACGTTTCGTCCTCCTTGTCCTCGATCATGGATGCCATTTGTGTCTCGTGCCTTTTGCGACGTGCAGAATTGTGTGCAATCACGTGGCATCCTGCGGTGGAAGTGGCATCAAAGCGGCCAAACACAAGGTTTGTGAGCTGGCAGAGATGGAGCCGCTGTTCAAAGTTTGCATCGATCTTGAAGGATGGCTTTTTGTTTTGGTGGCTAGACAGAATTCCTGCTACGATTGACTCGACTGCGTTCTTGTCCTGCTCAGCCTTGGAGGCCGTATCCTTCCAGCGCTGTTTGCGAGACTGGAGATCATTGTCTGGCAAGGGCAGCGAGAGTTCGAGCAGCTCGACGTGGGCTTGTTTGAGACGTGACTGGATGGATAGGTAGAGTAGGTAGTCGAGGATGATCTTGTTGGTTGAGGGTGCCTGGGGACTAGGCTGGTTGTTTGAGGGGCTGAAGACAAACTTTAGGTTCTGCTTTGGCTTGGTTTCTGTGTTGATGGATTGGATAGAAGAAGTGATGTTGTTCTGTGAGAGAAGTTGGGATTTCATTTCTTCTACTTCTACTTCTACTTCGTCTCGTCTTTTTTTTGTGTTTTTCTTTGGTTGTCTTTCTGTTGTGTATACAAGTAAGATGAGTAGTAATTAAACTAAAGAAAGGCTGATATTCGAAATTTGGATTACAAGTAAAACAAGAACGAAAGAACGAAAGAAAGAAAGGAGAGCAAAATAAGACAAATAAGCAAGGATTAATATCAAATACGGGAAACGGGAAGAATGGCAGTGTTAAAATAAAATATAAAATAAAAATATAAAAAAAAAATATTACTGTGAAAGATCCGACAAGAGATTGCAATTCCTTCTCGTTCCGAAGACAGTCACCACTCTCTCCCTCTCTTTCTCCCTTTCTCCCTCTTAATCTTACTCTCACACACTGTCTTAATAATCATCTTGGTATAGTTACTTGGTTTAGTCAGCTTGCTAGTGAATTTGGCTACTTGATAACGTATTCTAGATTTATATAAACTTTTTTTTCTTGGGTTGGTTGGTTGGCTGATTGGTTGATTGATTTAGAGAGTGTAAGCAGCTCAATTTGCAATGTTTTACAAGTTACATTCATAATTCATAATTCACATTTAAACAATAGCAACAATAACAACAGATCGAGTGTAATTTACACTTGAATTTAACAACCAAAATGATACTCTATCCATTTCATTTTCATTTCATTTCAAAAATTGTATATATAAATTATATGATTTTTAAAGTATATAGATTAAAGTATAAAGTATAAAAACCGTGTGTATATATATATATATATATATATATATCAAGGTAATTCACACCATTCGCTATCTCTCCTTCTATTTATGGTAATTTCTAGTCGCTATCTTTCCCCTTTTCCTCCTCCTCCTCCTCTTCCTCCCTTCTTTTTTTTTGAGTGTGTATTTTTCCTCTCGTTCTCTCTCATGTGATTTATGTTTATTTATTCATTTGAAGAAAATCCTCCATTTGTAAATATACGTGTGCTTGTACGTGTATGTATGTAATATATGTAAAATCTATGCGTGTGAATATTTAGTATATATTTAGAGAGAGAGAGAAATTGGTTTGAATTGAATTGAATTGAATTGAATTGAATTTAATGTAAAGTTTATTTATTTTATCACCATTATTTAAATGCCTTGTAATTTTTATTTTATTTTATTTTATTTTATTTGTTACAAGGAATTAGCAGGCAGATAGGAAGAAAATCTCACCCCCTGTCAAACAAGCTTATTTTATGTACATAAGCAACCATTCTTAAATGTCTTTCTATATATATTTTTCTACAGTGACATACTAATTTACACCCCATATTTTCAAATGACTATATATATTCCATGGATTTGATTGGTCGGATTTGATTCAATGACATTCACTGATCAGTTCTGTATGCCTAAAGGTATTACCAAGTCTTGGTATTACAACAACAAGAGATAATAAGCATACTCTATAGTGTCACCACTAACCTATTCAGTATTGTCCTGTCCATTATTACGCCAGAACTACAAGATTTTCATTGTTAAAAGACAAGAAAGACATGACGTGTTGTGTATCCATTGTTTCAATTTTATTTTATTTATTTTATTTACTAAAGAACAATAGTATATTGGCAGTAACAATGGTAGTAGTAGCAGTAGATAAGAATCAAAATTGATTGATTGGTTGGTTTATTATTTTTTGAGCTTTTGTAGGAAAATTACAGATATGTATATTATGTATATTGTATGTATATTGTATGTATATTTTATGTATGTATAAACTTATAGACATTTATGAATGTGTTTTGTATGTAATTATGTATAGGTAGGATAAATAAGAAATAAAGGGCATATAAATAATAATGAATTGTTTGCTTAGGCATAGAGTGACATGGGTTGGGGAGGTGAGGTTATTGATGTGTTGGGTTGAGATGTTGGTGGTGGTTGTGGTTGTGGTGCATCCATCAGACGCCGCCGGGCCTTGTGAGGTGGACGGTGGTCTTTTGCCGGTCGTCGGACTGACCATGTCACAGGTGCCAGACTCTGGTACATTAGCCATGTTGTGGTGAGAGAGGCGATCGATTGAAGGACCGACATGACAATTGTTATCATTTGCAGTGTGCTCTGGAGTGTTGATGAAATCGGTACCCGTTTCTTTGGCTTGAATGGCTGCATTACACTCGACAGATAGCCGCGTGCTGATGATCGAAGGTATCCGCCCATTTGGACCAATAGATCCCACAGTAAATCATCTTCGTCTTCTTCGTCTTCATTGTCTTCATTGTCTTGTTCATCAATAATAGTGTTGTGTGCCCAAAAGATATCGCCATATTCTTCTTCTTTTTCTTCTTTATGATTGGTTTTGGTTGTTTTGGAGTCAAATGCCTGTAGGACTGGAGATTCTGGAATATACTCCATCTGTTTGACTTCGGGGTTGAATCTAACGGAAGATTCTGATCGAGCCTTTGGCCATGGACGTTGAAGAATAGGGTGTGAGTCGAGGCTTTTAGAGTCGGATTGACCTCTCCGTTTGAGGACAGGCTTAAGGCCAGTCGGAGATGAAGCTACTGACGATGGAGTGACGGTAGGTCCAGCATCTGTATAAAGAGGACCATAGAGCCCTTTAATTTATATAAAAAAAAAAGAAATTAGAAATTATTATTTTATTTTATTTTATTTTATTTTATTTTATTTACTTACAAGTGATATCAGATTCCTTTTGCCTAATTTGATATAGTGTTAGAAATTATTTATTTATTTTGCAGAATATAAACTATACCAGTTGACTGCGGATGGACTGACGAGTTGGTTGCTTTGACCCAATTGATCAGTGCATCGTTTGGCCATTTGTCTCCAGAGTGCATTTTGGTATCTGATAAGTTTGTTGTGTTCGATCTGTAGGCGTCTTTGCTGCTTTGGATCTAAATTGGTCTGGATATAAAGCTTGGCACCGTTCTTCACTGTCAGTTCTCGTGCTTCCCGATGAGCGCGTATGAGTTCAGTTGGCCGCCAGTCGTGCGATAGATAATCAACACAAATACAAGCTTTCATCTTATCAACTTTTTTTTTTCTTATAGATTGACAATAAAATAAAATAAAATAAAGAGGTGAATGAAAAAGGAAATCAAAGTTGGGGAAATAGAAAAAAAAATGCAGACTTTTTATATAAAAAAAAATATAAAAAAAAAAAGAAAATTCTCACACAAAAATAAAATAAAAATAAATATGTGAAATGCAACACAAAACACAACACAGTTTTTATTTTTATTTTTATTTTTATTTTTTGGTTTGGTTTGGTTTGAGTAACCCTCTCATTTATAGACTCACCAGACTTGGAATAAAATAAAAATAAAAAAAAAATGTTTCTATCCCCCATCTTTTTTTTTTGTTTTTATAGGATGCACAGACCGTGTTCCACACCCTTCACTCCCCCCATTAACAACAACAACCATCATCACTACAATCAATATAAATATCGCATTCCAGACTTATTCTTGGATATTTGCACCACAAACCATTCAACGTGTCATCACATCAACTCATTTATTTATATTATATTATATTATAGACATTCACTTCATACATAACATACATATAATTATCTGATATAAATTGTTTATCCAGTTTATCTAATATACGCGTAAACTAGATAGAAACCTGTTTAATATACACTCTAAAAATGTTTACCAATGTTCAATATACACAAGTAGAAATAGATAGATAGACAGATAAGCAGGCAAGCAGGCAGGTAGGCATAAAAAATAAACGCCTTTATCTTTGTTTTTTTTATTTATTCTCTTCTTATTTCTAACCAGTCACGCGTCTGCGAGTGTGTGATTGGCCAATCTGAGATTCCCTTATTTGTACATTTGCCTATTCACACACACACATAGAAATCAGCCTTGGACTAAGAATATAATATAAATATAATATATACATACATACAGCATATAACATATAACATACATCTATACATATACGTATGTGTATATACTTTTATATACACACCTGAACATTCGACAATGGCCATTGAATCACATACCTTTCAAAAGCAGCAACAACAAACACGTCCACGCGACGCTCGAATCATTGCTCTCATCCTACAATCTCTTGGCGTAGAAGACTATGATCCCAAAGTAGTCCAACAATTATTAGAATTCGCTCATCGTGAGTCAACAAAGCAAAAGAAAAGAAAACAGCAACAGCAACAATATCTTACACACTTTACATATATGTATTAATTAATTAATCAAGGATATACAACCGATGTCTTTCAGGATGCACTTGTCTATGCTGAACATGCCGCAAAGTCAGATCTAGATCTCGATGACATTCAACTAGCCATCCAAGGCCGCGTCAATCATTCATTCACCACACCTCCTCCCAAAGAAGTAATAAAACAAAACCAAGATATACTTTTTTTTTTCTTCTTCTTCTTTTGCTTTCCTTGATCCATCTATATAACTATTGTGTATATATTCAACTAACTAATTGATTACTTCATTAATTGATTGACAAATATCATATCATATTATTTGAAATATTACTATATACTTTTATTTTTTATACAAGTTTCTCTTGGAACTTGCTCAAGAAAAGAACAAGGCACCTCTTCCTTTGATTCCAGAAAAGTATGGTATTCGACTTCCTGCCGAGAAACACTGTTTGTCCGGTCTCAACTTCTCCATCATCCCAGACGTATGTTATCTATTGATTTGTTAAATGCATCTATCTGTATACTAATCATATAATTATATAATCATAATCATAAAAAGGCTCCTCCTCCTCCACGTCCATTGACAGACAAATCAGGGCAATCACCTAGCCAAGAATCACCTCCAACTCAAACTGATGGATCAGGTCCTATGGATATGGACTATGATCCACTCTTTAGTCAACCAGAAACCAAAGCCAAACGTGGGCGTGAAGTAGTTGAAGATGATGACTATGACTTTTAAAACCAAACAACGACAATACCAAATCACACACACACACACACACAATCTATAAATTCTTCTGTCTTATTTTCTTAATCTTTTTAAAGAAGTATATAAAATGAAATAATCGTATAAATAAATGTATCAAGGCAAACCAAAAGAAGAAGAAGTAAAAGATATTATACTATATATTAACTAATAAATAAATCTGTAATAATTCTTTGATTAAACAAAAATATATATATAGTAACCTTAAATGTCTGTGTTTCTGTTCAACGTCACGCTCTATATGTAAAAAAAAAAAAAAAGCACAGAGAGAGAGTATACTACATATTACACATAAAAGTGTGTACGCTGTGTGGTAACAATATGAGATACATTTCATTACTTCATTACTTCCCTTCTTCTTCTCCTTTTTTTTTATAACTTATATTTGAAATGCCTATCATTCCACAATCAGTTCAGCAATGGTATAACAAAGTACCTTTGATTACCAAAGCAATCATTACCATCTCAGCGGCAGTAATTGTAGCACCTGCACTCGGTATTGTTGATTCCTCAACATTTGTTCTTAATTGGAATGCCATTTTCAAGAAAGGACAAGTAAGTTTCTTTTTTTTTGGATTTTTTAATTTTTAATTTTTTTTTAATTTTACTTAATAAAAATAACAAATTATACTTCTTTACATAAAATGTGTACATTATGTATTTTACATGCATACATTTGTATACATCTCATTTGTTGGTTGTTTGAATGACTCCTTATTATTGCTATGAATCTTCTTGCTGTTGTTGTTCTGGCTGCTGCTGTTTACTATTAAAGGTCTGGAGACTCATTACAACATTCTTTTCAAATCGACTGTCATTTGGGTCATTAATGGGAACATATTATCTATATTGTCATTCTATTGAACTTGAAACAGACGCCTTTCAAGCAAAGAAGGCAGAATATGCATATTATCTCTTTGTTACTTCTATATTCCAACTGGTAATACATATTTTAATATATAAAGTATTTATATCTATATCTATATCTATAAAGAAATGGAAGAAGGATAATGAAGAAGAAAAAGAAAAAAAAAGGGAAACCAATATGGTTTATATAGCTTAATTTGCTTTCTTTTCTTTCTTTCTTTCTGTCTTGTTTGTGTATATCTGCGTGGGTCTTGTCTTGTGTCTGTAGGCTGCGGCATCTATACTAGGTCTGTCGGTCATGACAAACGGATTCAGCATGTCTATTGCCTATCTTTGGGGTCGCCATTATCAAGGTCGAGAAGTATCATTTATGCTCGGTCTTCGCTTCAAGGCACTTTATTTGCCTTGGGTGATCTTGGCCTCTGATTTTATTACGAGCGGAAGATTGTCCATGGCTTCATTGATTGGGATCGGTGCTTCTAGAGCGTACTGTTACCTCAAAGATGAATACCCTCGACAGGGCGGAAGACAACTGGTGGCCGTTCCTGAGTTTTGGGTCCGCTTCTTCAACAGAGGCTTCTCAGCTGGAGGAGGTAGTGCTGGAAGTGGATTACCCAATCCACTTAACCTCCGTCTGACCGGGAATTCTCAATGGTCGGGATCAGGCTTCCGTCTTGGTACTCGTTAAACTCTTTTATACAAAGTAAATGAAATAAAGCTAGATGTAGATTATACATATGTATGTATCAAATTTGACTTTATGATACTACTACCTCCATTTACTTTTACATTCATATTTACTTTTACACTGCCATTGCCACTACAGCAACAACTGTTCTTTATTACGATCACAATTACATATAAAATTACATAGATAGATAGATAGATAGATATATCTGTTTCTTCTATCTAAATAAATAAACAAATGTGCATTTTTGTTTTTCCTTTTCTTTTCATTTCATTTATTATATCAAACTTCTTGTACACATTATTTCATATTCTTTCTGACCTGTTCTTTTTTTATAAAAAAATGACTACGTCATCAAATGAAAGGAACTCGGGGGCCTGCAAAAAAATTGTTTGACAAGGCAAACCACCGACGGAGGAGTCAACAAAACTTTTTTTTTTCTAGCCCGCAACCTTGACTCTGGCTAGCTTCCCTCTTCCTTGCCTATTGAACATACCCCCCCTACTCCCTTTCCCCCCCCCCTTCTCTACCAATGTTCTCCAGGATTGCTTCTCAAGCCACGAGACGCTCTGTTCAGCAGGCCATTAAACCTGCCGTTCAGGTAATAAATATGTTTCTGTATTTACTTCTTTACTTCTATACTTCTTTACTTTTATGTCTCTCTGTCTCTCTTTTGTTTTTTTTTTTGGATTTTTCGTTTTTTTTTTCGTTTTTTCGTTTTTTGGATTTTTTTTTTTTTGGTTTTATTACATTGAAAAGAAAACAAAAAACAAAAAAAAGAAGAACAAGAACAAGAACAAGAGAGCTCTACATGTCAAACTTCAACTCCAACTCCAACCTCAATTCTTTTGTACTTTACCGGAGCCAACAACAACAGCATCAACAACAACAATTCACCATTCAATTACAACAATATATACATTTCTCAAAAAAAAATACGCTACAATGCACAACTGTGGCGACAATTCCAAATTCATTTATTTGAATGAAGAAGCAGAATCAAAAGCGACAATAACAACAACAAAAACTTGAACGGCTAGTTACCATGACAACCATACAACTTTGATATTTTCCATAATAATGTACACATATATCGAAACAATAAAGAGTCAGAGAAACACCCAGAGAGAGATAGAGAGAGAGAGAGAAATCGAGAATAACAGACCGAAGAAAAGATTCTTTTTACTAAACCATTTGATTTATATTTTCGTGTTTGTGCTTTCTACGTGTATCTGCGATTTTATAGGCTCGTTTTGCTTCCACAAAGCCTGCTGCCGCTGCTGTACGTACATAAAACTAAAATAAATAGAAAACTAGATGTAATTACATAGTATATATATACAAAAGTGTGGGGTTATATTATGTATATAATACACTATTTATTATGAATTGTTATATTAATATATGTTTATGATTGTTCTATAAAATAGAACGCTATGCAGGTTGCTGGTGTCTCTGCTGCCATTGTCGGTGCTACTGGTCTTGGCTACATGTATGCCAATGACAATGTCCATGCCAACATGGCTGATGAGGGTCTTCATCCCCCAGAGCACCCTTGGTACCACAACGGTCCCTTGAACACCTACGATCACGCTGCGTATGTGTTTTTTTTTTCTTCTTTTTTTTAAAAAAAAATTCATTATAAAACACACACACACACATAATTCGAATTATTCATAATAGTCACTTTTTGCTTGTTATTACAACCAAAATATATTATATATTAACACAACTATTATGATTGTATCTCTTTAAAAAAAATAGTATCCGTCGTGGCTACCAGGTTTACAAGGAGGTCTGCTCCGCCTGTCACTCTCTTGATCGTATCGCCTGGAGAAACTTGATTGATGTTTCCCACACCGAGGATGAGGTCAAGGCCATGTCCGAGCAGGAGGAATATCAAGATGGACCCGATGACAATGGTGATATGTTCCAGAGACCCGGAAAGGTAAATTTATATATATAGAAAGAAACAATGAACAATAGAATATATATATATATATAATTAGTTGATATATCAGTAGAGATAGAGGGTGAGAAAATGAATAAAAGAAAGAAATGCGTCCCTGTGTGTGTGTGTGAATAGAGAGAGAAAAGACAAAAGAATGACAAGTCATTATATCAAACTTACTTACATTATTGTATATGTATTTGTACTCGACGTTTTTAGCCTTCTGACTATATGCCCAGACCCTACCCCAACGATGAGGCTGCTCGTGCTGCCAACGCTGGTGCTCTTCCCCCAGATTTGTCTCTTATGACCAAGGCTCGTCACGGTGGTGCTGTAAGTATCTATTGCCAAAGATAAATATATATATATATATATTTCTTGGGCACAAATACAAAGTAGAATATACAGTACAGTATGTGTATTAAACCGATCAATTATCAATTATCAATTATCAATATAGGACTACGTCTTTGCTCTTTTGACTGGTTACGTCGATGCTCCCGGAGGTGTTGAGGTCCGTGAGGGTCTTAACTACAACCCTTACTTCCCCGGTGGTGCTATTGCCATGGCCCGTGTCTTGTTCGATGGTGTTGTCGAGTATGAGGATGGTACCCCTGCCACCACCTCCCAGATGGCCAGAGATGTCTCCACTTTCCTTGCCTGGGCTGCTGAGCCCGAGCACGATGAGCGCAAGAAGATGGGTATGAAGGCAACCGTCATCCTGACCGGTTTGACCATCTTGTCTATCTACCTCAAGCGTTTCAAGTGGGCTCCCATCAAATCTAGAAAGATTGTCTACAAGTAAGTTAAATTGTGTGTGTATAATATCTATCTTAATACTCATTATTATTCTTTTTTTTTTGTGTATATGAAAAAAAAACAACAACAACAATCAATCGATAACCTTGACAACCAAAATTTATTAGCCCTCCCAAGTAGATAGTAGTATATTAAAAATCACCAAAAACAAAGAAATCAAGACATTTTTTTATTTACTGTTTGCAAACTACTATCTGTCTGTCTGTCATGTCTGCCATGTCTCTTTATTTGGCTTATTTGGTTTATTTGATCTACTTAATCTTTTTTTTCTCTTTTTTTTTTTTGCAAAATTATCATTACTATTATTATTATCACTATCACTATCTAGCATTGGCTAGCTTATATGTATATATTACGAATATTGAACATTGATCGAAAAGAAAAATGAGTGGAAACAAGCAGTATATGTATACAAAATATTAAGTTAATTATTGCTAGGGTGATTATGAATTAACCAAGAGAGAAATATACAAAAGAGTGTTTATCGACATGATCTTTAACAATAATATTGATATTGTTGTTGTTGTTGTTATTGTTGTTGTTGTGAATTATTTAATGTGACTGCTCTTTCTTAAATTGGCAGTAGTAATAAAATGGCTGTGGTGTAGATCCCTTTTTTTTTTTTGTATTAACCAAGGAAGCTATACACATACAGAACAAGTGATCATTTAAAAAGAAATCAGACAAGGACTTTTATACAGAATATATGTATATATATATTTAATAATTATAAAATCAACCTAATATGAAAACATCTAGACAGCAAAAAAAAAAAAAAATAACAATCTGTATTACCCCACTTTTGATTTCCTTCTCTTTCAAAAACTTGGACAAGTGATTTAAATGTACAATTCTTCAGTCTTTGGATCTATTTTATTCTCACAATTCTATACAAAATAGAGTTGTACATTCCGCATACACACACACACCAAAAGGAATGAATGACTTTATGAATTATTCATTTTAGTTGCTTTAAAAAAAAGAGAGAATCTTATATTTTTCTGGGGGGATTCAGAATCAAGTCTGATTGACAAGTGGTATTACTATTGCTATTATTATAAGGCTATAGACTACAAAGAAGAGAAGGACAAGAATATCATATATCATGGGTGAGTCTCCTACATATATACCCTTTTTTTTTCTTTTTGTTATATATGAAAGACCACAAGACCATCAAGCTATAATATTTAGTTCAATCAAGGGTTAAATCGAATTGAATATGACAATTTAAATAAGTAAATAAGTAACTATGGAAACTTTGTTTCGCGTGCAGATTTTCTTTTTATTATGTATAATACACCAAGTATATATATATATATATACTTATTCAAGTCCATATTAAAACACTATGTGCCCGCCCTTTTTGCTTTATGATTTTCTCTCTTTTTTTCTTTATTTTGTTTTAAGAATGACCATGGGATCAGTATCTCCTTCTCTCTGTTATACATATATATATATATATATATATATATCTATATTGATTTATTGATTTATTTTTTGTATAGTTATATAATCGTAAATCGTAAAAGCAATATTTAATGACAATAGTACTAATACTAATATTTTATTTTATTTATCAATTTATGAATACAAGTATACATATAGTGTTTTATTTACATGTAGTCATATACATCTGACTAGATCGATAGACGCAAGATCTGAGAAGCAGAAGCACCAAAGTGTACAAGATCACCCATTTTTCTTTTTGTATATATGTATAAAATAAATCAACAATAATAATAATGGTGGTGGTAAGGATGATAGACATACATATCAAACAGCAAAGAAGAATGCTATTAATTTCAATACCAACAACCGTATTGTATGTGGATAATATTCATCATTTTGGCGGGCTGTGTAAGGTTAACAAAAAAAAAGACCCTTGTTCTCTCTCTCTATTTTATTTCTCTCACCCCCTTAAGTTTCCTTTTTCTGTTACAAGGTTTGATTGCATTGTGTTTGAAGTGTAGAGTACAATATCACTAGTACCAGTGTGAGTATCAATACTGAGTGTATATATTATTGAGGTGTACAAAGATTTGTAATATTCACAGAGTAAAATACAGGCGTCCAAAAATAATAAAATAAAATAAAATAAAATAAAATAAAAATATACCCAGACTAGATACGAAACAATGTCAGGTCATCGAATATACACACACACACACAAACACACACATAGTACATCTTTAGTTCCCTTCTTGACATGTACATGCACGCCTTGTTCTCTATGCAATTCGCTCCATCTATTTATCTATCTATGCAAACCACAAGTTTCACATCCTTAAACAAATATACTCAGTGCAATAATAATAATAACAGCAGCAGCAGCAAGATGTCCTTCTTTTTATTATTATTTTGTTTCACTACTTGATTCAGTCTATTAAAATACTACTTTATTTATTTATTTATTTCTCTTTAATACTAAAAGAAATACTCGATCCGTTTTCCATGTATTACATCTATATATATATACATATATACAATATCTCGTCCTCCTCCCCCCCAACAAAATAATATATATAAAAAAAAATACTTGGCGGATCTACCTTTTATCCATAATTTCAAGTGATGTGCTTATTATCATCTGGTTACAAACATTATACTCTGCAACCAAAACTCGTATTTTTTTTATTTTGATCATTATAACTTTGATACATAGCTGTGCAATGCATATATGCATATACGCTTATGCACTCATGTCTATATGTACAATGTGTGTAATGTGTACTGCTGTTTTACTTGGTATTTGGGTATATTATCTGTCCTTTGCTATATGTTTGTTTTCGGCTGTCTATAAACTAGTTCAAATGTGATATACTATACTCTATCAGCCTTTACCGTTATCAAGAATGAAAGTAAAATAGAATAAGATAGAGATGATAGTAAGGTACTCCAAAAATAACTCGCGTGTATCATTTCTTTCTTTCTTTATTTTTCAATTTTTTTGAGTAACCTACCTCCAATAAAGATTCCTTAAAATCGTCTTGTCTTTATTGAAGAAATAAATATAAATAAAATAATAAGGTCACTATTGACTTACATGGACGAAACAAGTAAAGAAAAAGAAAAAAGAAAAGGAAACAGTTAACCTGTCAATCAAGAAACCAATATTCTTATATATAAATTGTACGCCTATAATAACTGTGTGCAATCTATCATCTGGGGGAAGAAGAAAGAGTAAATAAAAGCGAGTTGAATATATTAGCAGCTAATGTAAAAGCCCCAGAGCCCTTTTGTTTAACCATCCTTATCTAGTTTATTTATTTGACTATATATATATGCCTGTAGTACACTTTACAAAATTTAAGATTTCAAATTATTGTTAGTATTATTTTGGGGGGTCTCAGTCTTTTTTTTTTTATTTTTATTATTATTCCAGATAACGCATTCATGTCAAAATCACGGCCCTTTTAAACTACTAGCATTCTTGTTAATGTTATCATTGATAATAAAAAATAAAACTTCATTTATTTCTCTTTCTCTCTCTCTAATCCAAAAGACCCACCCACCCACAGGCTACACACTACTTGCCAAAATAAAGAAAAATGACTTTAGAATGAATGGGAACTTGAGGGGTGTTGAGAGAAGGTGTTTTAAGAATTTTTGTATGGAGTTTGATTGATAGTGATATAACAACAAATACATAGACTATTATTTCATTCTTAATATTCTTATCAAGAATTAAACAAGAGTCAAATCTAGAGATTGATATACCAAACCATGTAACCACACGGACCCTGACCAAAATACATTTGTTAAAGTGATCGTTGACTGAAAATATCTATTATTCTGATGTTGCTGGTGGTAGTGGTGGTGATTATGATGATGAAATATATTGAGAAATGAGTGGTCTGCATGGGTTCTGGGCATTGACTACCAGTCTACATTACTCTTATTTGCGCTGTTTATTCTCTTTCTGGGGCAAATACAGATACAAGCACAAGCACAATAATAATGATATTATTTTTTATCAAAAAAGAAGGAAAAAATGTATACATATTATATATACATACATACATATATGTGTGTATGTAAATTTTACCAACTAAGAACAGTGTAAGTTTCTTTTGGTTTTTAGTTTCGCAAACTCGTACAAGAAACTAAAGTGATTGTAATAATTATAATAGTAATTAAAAGATATTTTCCTCCGTTTGGAAACAATAACAATACACAAGAAATAGAGGATAGCTGAGTAGTTCTGCTTGGTATTATAGCCTTTTGCTTATATTGCTTCTATTGCTGTTAGTGACAAGTAACACAATGGTAGTGCTGACAAAGAAAGAAAGGTCTTTTTTCTGTTATTCAATTAGACTTATTCTCTTGATTCTTGTGCTTTACTTCTTTTTTTTTTTTGGTTTTGTTGGCGTGATAGATTCTGTACAATTTGATCACAACAAGAAGAAGAATAAAATAACTATGGTTACAAGAGCTGTGTCAATATATGTATTCGGTTTTTATTGTTATTATTATTTGTTGATTTGTAAGGACAGTAAAAGAGTATCTGAATATGGTGTGGGTGTGTGGGGATGTTTCTTTTTTTTTCAAGGTTCAATTTTTATATAAAATAAATAGAGTACAATAATTAGCCAAGTGATTTCAAATTTAAATAATATGATATATATGTATATATAGAAGGACAGAGGTTAGTGATAAAGAATTTGATTGTTATTTTCTCACTTTGAATATCAAGCTATTCAGGTGTCCAAGCCTCTGTTCTACTTTATTTGAATATGTACATCTCAAGAGCGCTCATTACCAATATATACAAAGGTAGAATTGGCGTGCACAAACTTTGACAAAGTAGTACATGACCACATCCACATTTTATATGTACAGGCTCTAACCCCAACACCATCACCAAAAGTAGCTTGTTTTAATAAAAATACAAAATACAAAACACAAAGCAAGGGGGGTGGAGGCGGGAGAGGCTAGGAAGTTGGGGTGGTACAAACAAATGAAATTATATTTTTGCTACATCTATAA